ATTAATTTAATTAAATTTATAATATTAAACTTTTATAATAATTTTATAATTTATATAATTATAAATTTAATTATTTAAAAGTATATTTTATTTAAAATATTAAAATAAAGTTTTATTTTAAAAGGTTTATTAATATTTATAATAATTAATATATTTTAAATAATTAAAAATTTATAAATTTTAATTTAAAAGTTTTAACTTAAAGTATATTTTTATAAAAGAAATATTTATAAAATTTAAAAGAAAATTAAATAAACTTATAATATAATAAAATAATTAAAGAATAATAATTAAAGAATAATAATTATAAACTTTTAAATTTATATTAAAAATAATATATATATATAAATATTATATTAAATAATAATATTTTTATAATAAAATATATTAATTATTTATAATATTAAAAGTTATATATATTAAAATAATCTTTTAATATTTTATAATTTTATATTTTAAAAGTTATTTTAAGAGTATTTAATTTAAAATAAATTTTTAAATAAATTAAAAAAATAATATAATTAAATAAAAAATATATAATAATATTTTAAAATATATAATAAAGTAAAATAAAATTCTTTAATTAACTAAAGTACTATTTACTTATAATAGGGTATATACCTTCTAATTCTAGGTATATAAATTTTCAATCTCTTAAAAAGCGGTCCGACCCGCCTTTACCGGCTGAAGTATGCCATGTTGGTACAAGTGCTGAATCATTTGTACAACGGCACTGTCACCGCCTATTGTCTCGTTAGTTCGCTTTGGCGGTGAAAGACGTGACAGATCACTATAGTTGTCTTCTTGTAGTAGCGTCGAGCTCGGGAGACTGACCTGATGCCATGATGATGGAAGCTGTTAGAGGGTAAGTCTCCCTGATGCCTGTGACACTGGACAAGGATTCGAATTGTCCTATGGGAACACAATGGTCTGGAAGTTAATGGTAACATGTTAGCACTCTCCGTCGCGTAGGAATACCATTTTGTTGGTGTGATCTTGATTTGCTGTAGATGAGATGTGATAGGATGGGCATCATGACTAAGAACGTCGTACCTGTGAGATCGGCTAGGGTGCTAAGGTGCACGAGTGGTAGAATGTGGCCCGGTTTCGAGGGCGCGAAGTAACGCGCATCCGACCTGGGAACAGTCTTAGTTTACAAACGGGAGGAAAGATGGAAGGGATGTTGCAAAGCGATTTGGTTCGAGAAAATGGGCGGGCAAATACATACTGCGTATCGCGAAGATCTTCTTTCTTTGAGCTCTGATGGACAAGGAGCGTCAAGTTTGGGGAAGAGTCCTCGGTCAGGTATTCGCTGGCCCAGCTGGTTTTGAGAAAGCCCGACAACAGTCAGCTCAAAGAACTTATTTCCCATCTGCAAGCTATTGACCAGAAACATGGATATAAAGGAGCAATCTTACGACTTCAACTCGTCCCTTTTCAAAAGAGCTTCTTGATACATCGACTCGGAAATATCTCCGCTTGTAATAGTATTCCACGCTGCCTTGATGTTGTTGTTCAACAGAGGGCGGCGGCCACGATTCGCCTCTGAACTTCAAAACATGGAGGAATCAGCGGATGTGTGTGATATCGGGAGAGTAGAGTTGGGAAACTCACTATGCTTTCAAGAACGGGGCCCCGAGGTCTCGATATGATTCCCAATAGACAATCTTTCGGTACACCTGTGAAGCCAGAGACCATGTTAGCACGAGTCTTGCTCTACCAACATCAAACCTGGGGAGACGGTGGTGGTCGTTGACACTTACATCGCCAAATTCATCACCCAAGCTTCCAATTGACTCCCCCAGTGTCGAAGTATGTCTTGAGTTTCTGAAATCCACCTTCGTTCCATCCCACAAGCGCTGCAGGTTGACATGGTCCCTCCGAACATCTAAGCAGGTCTCGAGCTTGCCAACGAAAGATTGGAATATTGCCTCGGTTGTATCTTTTGGGGTCTTGAGACTTGGGTTCTCCTCGTTCTTGGTATTATCATCCTCAACAATTATCTTTAATTTCACTGGCAGGCGTGGAGAAGGTGAGGCGTTCTTGGGTGTCAAAGAGTTATCCAGCAATGCCCGTAAAACCCTGCAGTATATTCCAGGGTCACGAGCCAAAACGCCTTCTTGCAGTCAGCACGACCGGATCCTGAAGGAAAGATTGCTTGAAACTCATTTTATAGGCCAAAGGGACATGGGAGCACGACATTACTGCATTTCGATTTACTTACCCAATGTGTCCAGAGATTTTGCCAACGGGTACATGCTACCGGGATAGATGGCTGCAGTTGTTGGTCGACCACCATAAACGCCATTAGCATCGGCAGGAAGACGTATCGATCCCCCTATTCGACCACAAAGGTCAATTTTGAATGGTGCACATAAAGGTGTTGAAGCTCGCAACATGCTTAGGCCAACTAGGGTGATGGATAAGAGAAAGTGAGACGTACCTGTATCAGTCCCTATGGCGAAGTCTATCCATTCGTAAGCAGCCGCAGCACTTGCACTTCCGCCGGACGAATCAGAAGGCGATTGCAAGCCGTCTGCCCTTGGGTTGAAATTCCTATGGATGATATTAGAAGGCAAGCCCTAGTAGTAGATTCAAAACAAGGCGATGGGGTGCGTTCAATCAAAGAGGTTCAAACTTTCAAGGCGTGCATGGAGAATTGATTTAAAGATGCCGCCACTTACAGAAGGTAGTCGGTGTTCTGCCAATGATACGGGCCCGCGAAGGCAAATTCGGACTGGTTCTTGTCAGCATTATTCTTTTTCCAGCCCGGGATAGAAGAGGATCAGCTTACGAGCTTATTCTTCCCAATGAAGACGGCCCCCATCTTTCGCAAAACTTCGACCACGCCCAACCGTTCAGGGTCAGGTGATTCATGTTCTTGCTCTCTGCCTAGGCAGTACTTGTCCCTCAGGCTAACCCAGGCTCGACTTCCAAGACTCGGACTCCCCAGGTCTTTGATATGAAAGATGTCCTTAACTGAGAATCTCAGCCCTGACAGGGGCTGCTCCGGCGTCGCTGATTTACTGTGAAGCCTCGAGGGCACTCCTACGCTGAGGTGATTGACCCTTGATGTGTGGATTGGAAGTGGCAGGATCTTGCCATCCGATGAAGAGTATACAGTCTGCGTGAATGTAAGCATGGGTTGAAGCACAGACGCACGGTCTAGGGATCTAGCGTTATTGGGCTGCAATCCGTCTACAATGAGGGAGGGGCCGGGTCTCACCTGGATAAAGGCCTCATAGGTATCCTCGTGCACACGATGCGCCGCCATCAGCCTCCTATCTTTGAGTGACATAAAATACGGCCCTTGCAGTGGAGTGTCAGACGACCCGTTGGAAGCACTGAACTGTTCTCCTGTTTCACAAGCACCTGGTTTCCCTCCGATGCCTTGAGATATATCATGACTTGCGGGACCACAAAATACATTGGTTGTCTGGTACCTTGTCCAAATTTTATTAAAAGCCTCCTCTGTCATGGTGATGGCAATGTTTTTGTGATATCCGGGCTGTGGCTGGAGGTGAATGTCTTGTACGGATAATACATTAGCCAAGGCCTGCTAGTTTGACCGTATTTTGAATATTCACTTTACTCACTTTTAAGAAATCTCTCGTCCCATATGTCGTCCAGCAATCGCCACTTCTCCAACACACTCTGGAGCTCCTCGAATGTCACCTTTCTCTCGCCGTTGGGCTCGTCCTCTGACACCGGGATGTGCACTACGGTCAGGGGCTCGACATGGTGCCAGGCTGGAGTCGCATCACTAACCCCGTCCTCCTTCAAAGAGGAAGTAGAGGAGGCAATATTGAGAATGATCTGTTTATTGAGAGCAGCAATACTCCAGGTTGCTTCTTGGCGGTAAAAGAAATACATTCGATCCCCAAGCTTGACCTTATATCTGATCAGTGAACTTGTAAATGGCACCAGGCATCTTTTTGCTTGTCTCTTTTCACTTACTGCTTCAGCCGACCAGTGGGTTTGGTATTCTAGAGGAATCAGCATCGCTGTAGCTTGTAGTGGTAATACGAGCACGCAATTACGCCTGTGTATAGTACAAGCTTTCGAAGTTGTCGAATCAGCGCGCTTTGAAACAGTTGTGATACTGTGTTTCCAGTTCCTGTGGACGGGTTGGATAATGTTACAACAGCACCTGTTTGACAAGCAAAAGTCGGTTGCGATGGTGTCCATCCATTGGCAATACAATATTGAACGAGCAAGGACCGGGGTCAATGGAATAAGGTCTCGGGAAAGCCCTGATGATGTCAGGTTCCGGCATCCTCTAGTATCCGGTTCTCTGAGTGCCGCCAGCCTCCTTAAGGTTCTCGATACCGAGGGGCTTGTCGGCATTTACTTCGGTACCTGGCTACCAGTACTTTAAAATCCTGGGCCATGCTTAACCTGGTCATCATAGAAATTTAAGGTTTCAGGCTGCGGAGAACGACAGCAACCAACTTGAATCTGGTTACTTACCAGCGGCACAATGGCGGTGCAGTTCCTAGCTAGTCATTACCGCCAAACGTTTCGAGGCATGACGAAGTAATGCATGAGAAATGATAAATGAAGTGAAATGTAGGAGTCGTCTTAACAAGGTAAAAATTGTGTGTCTACTGGAGAGCTGGAGTGTCTCTTGGGGGTGGGTAATTATGGTGGCAGAACCGCGAAGACCCAAGTGCCTCGCTGTGGCTCTCAAATTTCTTTGACTCTGTGGAGCAAAAGTTTCATTTTCATTCTGACGACTATGCGTGGTGGAAAAATTCTAGTAAGGAAATACTGGCTCGTATCAGGTGCGTAGGATAACCAATTCACAACTCTACCACGTCGCCAGTCTCACCACCGCGACATGACCTGAAGTTGGCAAATCCACCTATCACCGACCATAACCCCAAGGGTAGTAAGCGGCAATGCCTCTAAATATAAGGAGGCGCCTCCATATTCGTTACACGTGACAACCCGCACTCAGCGAAGATTTGAGCGGACATTCGAAGGTAAGAAAAAGCAGCCTACTCCTTCCGGTAGCACGACGCCCAGCCCCTGTGCAGGTAAGTATCCTGGAACTCGAGCGGCGCAAACGTCCTGTTGGCGAGGACCTCCGAGATGCAGTGGTCCGTGTGGTACTCGTTGATGGCCTGCCCGACATACGCCATGCCCGGCGTCCGCGCCACGAGCGCCACCTTCCTGAAGGCAAACTCGCAGTGCGTGACGTGGTAGCCCCAGTCAACCCACAGGTTCTCGTAGGTGCCGGTGAGGACGGCCTCCATGGGGACGCGCCGGGTGCGCGCCTCGTCCTCGTAGACGAACCACTCGCGCGACTTGACCATGGCGTCCGCGAGCTCCTCTGAGACGCACATGGGCGGCACCCACGAGTTGACGGTCCAGTCGTACTTGCATCCGCGCGCCTTGGCCACCTCGACGGACTCGCCGCAGTTGGGCCCGTTGGTCGTCGGCGTTTCTTCTGGCCGGATCGGGGGCTGGGTAAGCGGGATGGAAAGGTTTACGAGAGGGTTATTGAGCGCATCTTGGGGGAAAGGGTAGCCGTCCGGGTCGGTGGGGCCGTCCCAATGTTTCTCATGGTGGTCGCAGTTGTGACCTTCCATGTCGTGGTTTGAGTGGTGTCCGGTGTTGGGAGTCCATTCTTTGACTACGGCACCGAGCGCCATGGTCCAAATGAGAGAGCCGACGAGGGCGCCCACGAGGGTGAAGACGAGAACGCGGTAGGGTTTCGCCTCTCTTTTAATTGGGAAGTCGACCATGTTGGGTGATCGCATAGTGTCCTCCGAATCACTGCTGCTCCGCCCCAACAGCGGCTCCTTGGACGAGGAGGGCATGTTTCACTTTCTAGACTGACAATTTTTGATCAGAAATTGACCGAGATGGTCGTTCGTAACTAATTGAGACGTAGACGGAGAGCTTTCAATAATCGTAATATCGTATTGAAGGATTCACTTGGTCGTAGTGTTAAGCCTCAGAACAACTTGAATTTGTTCAGACTTGGTTGATTAAAGCTAGACGTACGTCTTCCTCCTTTGGCCCCGTGACTATTCCAATCATCACTGGCATACAGCAGTTGTAACGTTAGGTCAACATACATTCCTTGGTAGAAGACCCAGGCGTCAACAAACTACCACAGTACACGACTGTATGCCAAATCCCGAAGTCTATCATCACAGTTTGAGTTTACTCGGGACAGATTTCCCGCGATCCTGGGTGCCTGTTTTCCGCGGAATAATAGGCTGCAACCATGCACGCCGACTACAAAAATATCAGTATCTGTTTTCCGAGGATATTGCTTTTAAGTTTGGGCGATATCCACTCACCACATCCCGGCAGTAGGCCACGTAGCTTTCGTGACATGTTGCCCATGAATCATTCAGTATAGACTTGCATGCCTGAAAAAATTACTCGGACTACCGTGACTAGACATGCTGACGACCTGCTCGAAGGTGTGCCCGAATTGGTGGCCCGCGTTGTACAAGGATACAGCCTTCCATGCACCAGAGGGACTCTATACTATAAAGTCACAACTACAATATGTTCAGATGCCTCATCACGGTGATGAATTGCGTCACCTCTTCCGTAAATATCTAGTCAACTCTCCCAATGAGGACATCCGCCATGAAGGTTTATCACAGCCCCCATTACGGCGGTTGATTAGTCTTTCTCGCCGCATCGCTGTCGCAAAGCAGAGTTGGCCTAATGCGACATGCTTTGTACAGTGTTACTCCGTACACTATTCCCCACATCTGTCGTGGGTCTAGAAATGGCCTCACTGCCAAGTAATCCGACAGCCGTTGCATCCGGAGCCGGTCGAGGTCCGCCCACTTTTTATGCTCCGCCCAGCCACCTCTACACTGAGGCAATGGGTGACTCTATAGTCACTCCTGTTACAGGTCAAGTACCACACATGCAGCATTTTAAGTTCCGCTTGCCGACATAGTTATGCCCAGTCCCGATCCTCGGGCCTCACCACACTCCCCACTTCGTGAGACACTTTTGAATTGCAAGCAAGCAGCCGCTAGAGCCATTACAGCTGCACATACACTAAAGCCCCTGCCTGTGATTGATACGACTGCATTACGAATGGCCCCGTCACTGAGGTAGCTTGAAAGTATCGTGTGGGGTGAAAAAGGCCTTGGTTTAGTTCCAAACTGTTTGCTTTGCTCAGTCGCGAAAGACAATTTACATTGTTCGTTAGTGCGTGGTTTTTAAGTTGCATTACTGCGTTGACTCAATTTTTTTTAGGATGGTGACCTGAAGCTGGCTCCGTTATCCATCATCTGTCTTGATTTACATGTGGCCAAGCCTGGAAATATGACTTAAGTGGCTCCAGGGCTCGACATCCTTCCAATCATTAAGCCACTAGAACCTGGAAGCACGTACCGCTTCAATATCTTGCCCTAGTACCAATTGGAAGCTGGGCAAGCCGAAATCAATTGCCTAGCATGGGTTCTATCTCAAATATACCAGTGGATCTTGGGAATGCCTCCTCGACAGCCACCACTCGGCTTACTGCGCTGCAGACGGGACTGTTCGCAGCATCTATTTCGCAACCGGGGACCTGGGTTGGCTCACACGTGTTTCCCCTTCCACTGGACATTGACCTTGCACGCTTCAAGTCCGCATGGAGCACCGTCGTGGATCAAAATGAGATCCTGCGGTCACGCATCATATGGGACCAGGGGCAGGCTGAAGTACCAGGCTCAGCAGCGGGAGAAATGCGCCTGGTTGTTCTCGATGAAGAAGAGATCGACTGGGAGGAGAGATTGATGGAAGGGGATGGTGCATTGGCTGTGGTGACGAAAGAATTGAGGACACGTGATATGGGTTTCGGGGAGAAATTGAGGTGAGCTTTGAGACCCCGTATATGAGCAATGACTGAGAGGATATGCTGACCCGCGAGCCTGGACAGCGCATACACAATCTTGAGAATACGGGATGGTCCACTCTTGTTCATCTGGACAATGCATCATGCCCTCTACGACAATTCACATCTACTCCTCCTGGATGATGTTATCCGGTTGTACCACGGGCACCAGAAAAGCCTTTCTGAACGCCCGTCCTTTACCAAGGTCTTCCTCAAAAAGGCGAAGACTGAGGCAGACCGTGCCGCCGCGGCTGCATTTTGGACCAGTGAGCTGAGTGGGTGCGAAGACGCTGCCATTTTCCCATCCGTTTCGGGATTGCCCGCGGCCCAACCACAGACTCGCATAGAAACGCCCTACACATTCCCCGCACCAAAGCGCAGTATAGTCGCGGACGCGACCAACTCCATCCTGATCCAGGCCGCGTGGGCGGCTGTCGTTGCGAAACATACGGCAACGAAGCATGTCGTATTTGGGTGTACGGTCTCAGGGCGGTATGATCCTGAGACAAAGGATGTGGTGGGGCCAACGTTTGCGACTGTGCCGGTAAGGGTGAGGCTCGACGACGAAGACAGGGAAACGCTGTTGCAAAGCCTCGAACACCTCCAAGCGTCGGCGGCAAATGCTAGAGTCTACGAGCAAGTCGGCCTGCAGTTCATCCAGGATCTCAATCCCTCAACAAAAAGAGCCGCATCGTTTCAGAACTTACTGGTTATCCAGCCCAAGAATCATCCTACACCTGCTCCTGTGGTCAAGAAAACAACATTTCCCCGTGATCCATCAAGCAACGGTAAACTTGAGTTTGTCAAGACGCATCTGGACCTCACGCAAACCTACGGTCTTGTCATGGAAGTCACGCCGTCTTCTTCCGGCCAGTGGCTCCTCGTCGCCAAGTACGACGACAGGCTTTTCTCGGCCCAGGAGGTAAAGAGAATATGTTGCCACTTCTCAAAAGCTATCCAGGAGGTCTTCCGGGAGGAGAACAGGGATTTGAGGCTCAGAGAAATTGATATGGTCACGGATATGGACCTTGAGATAATAAAAGGCTTGGCTTCTGAACCCCGAGTTATCCACAGCGCGCAAGACAATGAGAGCCAGCTCCTCCTCCATCAAGAGTTCGAGCGACAGGCCAGGCTCCACCCGAGCTCGATGGCGATTGATGCTTGGGACCTATCTCTTACATATGCGCAACTGGATGCTCATTCCACAGACCTGGCCGAATATCTGCGCTCTTGCCAACAGACGGCGGGCCCTCAGGTCAACCAAGCGTCCCACGTCATTCCCATTTGTTTCTCAAAGTCGGCATACGCCGTGGTAGCCATGCTTGGCATCCTGAAATCAGGAAGTGCATACCTTCCCATCGACGCTGGGTGGCCTGACGAGAGGATTGCAGCTATTCTATCATGTCTGCAGAGCAAGCACAGAAATACACTGGGCCTTGTTTTGTGTGATAGTGAGCAAGAGGCCAAGTTTAGGCGGCGAGGGCTACTGAGGAAAAGCCCCCCGACTACAGTTCTCACCGTTGACAACGGTCTTCTGCGGCACCTTCGTCCATCGACCCATCAACAATCAGCAGGTCTCCAAACGCGTACCTCACATTCACCCCAAACCTCACCCTCTAGCCTGGCATACGTTATCTTCACGTCTGGTTCGACCGGCTCCCCAAAAGGGATTGCAATGTCCCACAAGGCTTGCACCACCAACTTTCGCCATCGCCTGTCTCGTCTGCAGTCCTTTAGCCGCACAACCAGGGTATTGCAGTTCTCCTCATTCGCCTTTGACGTCTCCATCTTCGACATATTCGGCACCCTCTCAGCCGGCGGCTGCGTCGTCATCCCCCATGAGACATTCCGCGTCAACCCCTCGCGGCTCTCGCAGTTTATGACCGAGAAGCGAGTAAACTGGGCCTCCTTGCCGCCCACGTTCGCTGAGCTCCTCAGCCCTCACGAGGCCCCCACATTGGAAACCCTGATTCTGGGTGGCGAGCTGCTCACCAGAGAAGTCATCGCGAGGTGGAAGACCCTTGGGCCGTCCCGGGTCGTCAGGCTTGGGAACGAGCTTGGCCCCTCAGAGACCTGCGTCGCATGTGCGGGCAATTACGATGTGGCCTTGGAAACGGATCCACGGGATCTGGGACGCCCTGTTGGTGGAAACAAGATGTTCCTAGTCGACATGGACGACAGCAGCAGACTAGTGCCAGTCGGGTGTGTCGGGGAGCTGGTCGTCTACGGAGACAGTGTCATGAGTGAGTATCTTGACGATCCAGTGAAGACTGATGAAGCCTTCACGGAGCTGCCTGATGTGTGCACTGTATGGCTTCAAGATGAGCCGCGAAAAAAGGCCTTCAAAACGGGAGACTTGTTCTGGTTGAATGCAGAAGGTCGACTAATGTTCGTCGGGCGCAAAGACCGACAGCTAAAATGGAGGGGTTTCAGGCTGGAGGCCGAGGAGGTAGAGAGCTGTATCAAGCTCGCCGATGGGGTCAATGGCGCTGTTGTCGACTTGACTGCCGTACGTGCTGCAGGCCGGGATGTCGAGAACGCCCAGCACACCGGTCAAGAACTGATAGCTTTCTTCACCTTTGAAGACACGCAATCATCCACAGCCAGAGGGAACGGCCCCAAATTTTCCACCGCACAGGCCAGGATTGTTGACCCTTCAAGCAGTACACAAATCCCCCTGCTGGTTCGGCGGACCAAAGCTCTTGTCAAGGAAAGGCTTCCACACTACATGGCTCCTACGCTCTACGTTCCCATCACGCATATACCGACGACCAGTTCAGGCAAGCAGGATCGAAACCAGCTCCTAAGCCTTGTGGAAATCGCTCCTCTCCAAATAATTCAGGAGATACAGCGAGCATCCCGCTTCGACTCCAGCTCAGCAGAGATGCCGAATGGCCAGCATGTCCAGGACCAGACCCCTTTGAGTCCGACGGAACGCGCACTCAAGACCGCATGGACCAGAATCCTGGGGCTCGTAATCGACGACGGAATCGGGCACACTTCAAACTTTTTCCGCCTCGGCGGGAACAGCATCAAAGCCATCCAGCTCAGTTCACTGGCTTCCAAGATGGGACTGGCGAATCTTACCGTCGCGAGCATCCACGAGTTCCCAACCTTGCGAGGCATGGCGGCGGCGTGCTCAAACGGCACGCAAACAGATCATACCAATGAGCGCAAACCTACTGCTGAGCAAGATGTTAACGTCCTGACGAAGCAGCGGATATGTGCTGCGTTGAGGATCCGCCCAGTTGACGTCGGGGACATCTACCCCTGCACACCCTTGCAGCAAGGGCTGTTGGCCGCCTCCATCCGGCAACCTGGAACCTACGTTGCCAGTAGAATGTGGCGTCTGAGCGGCTATGTCAATTTGCAAGCATTCAGGGAAGCTTGGAACGTTGCCATCAAGTCAAACGAGATTCTCCGCACAAGCATTGCGGAAGACGATGGCAGGTTCTGGCAGGTCTCTATCGCGCAAATCCGCGAGGATGGAACACGACAGGTAGTTGAAGAGAGGGAGATCAGAGGGTTGGAACCCGCTGAAGAGAACAGGGAGAGTGTCCGCAGACTCGGCCTTGATGAGAACCAAAGCGGCCGCAGGCTGTCATTCGTCGAGATTCTGAACGACCAGACCACCGGCCAAAAGTACTTCAAATGGACGATTCATCATGCTGTTTATGATGCCTGGGTCCTCTCCATGGTATGGTCGCAGGTCAAGCACTTCTATGAGTTGATCATCACGGGTCATACCCCAGGCCTTCAAATCCCGCCCCATCTCACATTCGGCGACTTCGTCAGGAAGACGTATCCAGCCAATATCCCGACGCCTACAGCGCGTTTCTGGCAGGACTATCTCTCCGCCTCAGAGCCCTGGCCGGCCTTCCCTACCGCTCCAATATCGAACAGCTCGGTGGCACAGACAGACAGTGTCACCTCCACACACATCGACCTGAGTCTTGTCAGCATACCAGGCGTCACGGAGGCGTCTCTGATCCGGGCAGCCTGGGCATGGGTACAGTCCCTCCACCTCGGCGTGGACGACGTAGTCTTCGGGGTCACGCTCTCCGGCCGGACCGCACCCGGGGCCAGCACCGTCGTCGGGCCCACCATCACAACCGTCCCAGTCCGCGTCGCCGTGTCCCAGAGCATGCGGATAACAGACTTCCTGTCCCGCGTGCAGCAGGAGGCGAACGCGATGGTGAGATACGAGCACACCGGCCTGCCCACGATCAGGGACCTGGGCGAGTCCGCCAGCTGGGCCTGTGGCTTCCGCAACCTCCTGGTGGTCCAGGACAACCGCGGCCAGCCGGCCTTTGCGTGGGACGGTGTGGAGGCCGTCAGCGCCGATACCGACATCCGGCACCCGGTGCCGCTCGTCTTGGAGTGTGACCTCGAGGACTCGGGCCTGACCATGCACGCTATCTTCGACTCGAAGTTCATCAGCAGGGGTGAGGTGGAGTTCCTGCTCGCGCACCTGGGCAGGGCCGTGGAGTCGCTCTCGCAGCAGGCATTGGCTCAGCCGTCTTCGCCCGGTGAACGGGTCCTAGGCGATATCGACTTCTTGTCCAAGATGGACGAGGCCTGGATAACGGACTGGAACCAGGAGGCGAAGCCGTCGGCGGACCGGCTCATCCACGAGGTTTTCAGCGAGCGGGCGAGGCAGTGTGGGGCTAATAGCGCTGTCGATGCGTGGGACGTACATTTCACCTACCAGGAACTCGATGATGCGAGCGACGCGGTCGCGGTGTACCTCATTCAGCAAGGACTGGCCAAACCCGGAGATCTCATTGCCCTGGTAAGCTTCATTTCCTCTAAGCCCAATTCTTATTTCTTCTAACCCCGATCAATGCCCAAATTTCGTGTTCCTGCGCTCCTTTACAATATTCGAAGTCGCACACACCATCTCTTTTTTTCTCTCTTGGTTCCGGCTTAGCGTTGAGCAAGGGAGAGTACTCTGCATAGAAACCAACTACTGACCACCGCCGCCCGGAAGTGCTTCGATAAATCAGGCTGGGCTGTTTTGGCCATGTTGTCCGTCTGGAAAGCGGGATGTGGGTTTGTCCCGCTTGATCTGAATCACCCAAGATCAAGGTCAGAGGAGATCATCAGCGCCACGCGGGCAAAGGTGGCCCTGTGCTCAACGTCTCGACTGGAGCAGTCGAAAGGCCTGCTACCCAGTGTCGTGCTGGCTCTGGACCACGACTCGCTGGCGAAGATGAGGCTTTCCAACGAAAAGGCCGGAAACGGCGGGCGCCTACCCTCGGCACAGCTTTCACGGCCTGTTACACCTCGTGACATCTGTTACGTCTTGTTCACGTCGGGCAGCACCGGCCGTCCTAAGGGGGTTGTACTGGAACACGCTTCAGTGTGCACTTCCCTCCTCGGCCATGCGGCCCCCATGAACGTCGACTCGGAATCTCGGGTGCTACAATTTGCAGCGTACACCTTTGATACTTCTATCGGCGAGATATTTACCGCTCTCCTCGTGGGGGCCACATTGTGTGTGCCGTCTGACGTTCAGCGGATGAATTCCCTGGCCGAGTTTATCAATGATAAATATGTGTCTTTCATCTGGCTCACGCCGACTGTCGCAGGCTTCCTTGACCCGCAGACAGTGCCCGGAGTGAAAGCCATGGTTATTGGCGGCGAGCCAGGCAGCGCTGCGCTTTTCGAGGCGTGGATTGCGAATGGGACCTCGATTGTCTATGGATATGGCCCCACAGAGACTTCTATCACGGTCACGTTGGATCTCAGTGTCACGGCGAAGACTGATCCGGCAAAGATTGGCTGGCCGATTTGTGCAAGCACCTGGGTTGTTGATCCCGACCAACACTCGAGGCTCTTGCCAGTAGGCTGCGTCGGGGAGTTGGTAGTAAGCGGGCCGACTGTGGGGCGAGGCTATCTCGATGAGCTCAGGACCTCCTTTGCCTTTGGGGAGATCCCGGATGCGTGGGAGAACCTGGCACACCGTGGAAATTCCGAGTCCTCCGGGCAGCGAGAGCGATTCTACAAGACTGGGGATCTTGTCCGGTACGATGTTACTGGCAACATTGTCTTTGTTGGGAGGAAGGACGACCAAGTCAAAGTCCGCGGCCAGAGGATCGAACTTTCTGAAATCACGGATCGCATCAACCAGATCCTCGGTGAGCGGTGTTCCAGCTTCGTCGAGAAAACTGAAATCAGTAACCCTGAGCTGGCCGGAGACGCGGAGACCCGCCTTGTCGCCTTCTTCACTCTTCCACCGCTCGAAGGAGACCAAGGCGACGAGGAAGGCCGGGAACACTGGGACATATTTTGTCATCCATCACCAGCTACCATTGAAATCATCACAGACATCGAAACAAAGCTTCGAGCCCAGTTGCCTTCCTACATGGTACCCTCTCTATGGGTGCCGCTTCGGTCCATCCCCCTCACCACATCCGGCAAGATCGATCGCAACAAGGTGAAGACGGGACTGTTGCAAGTCATCGACAAATTCGGCTGCGGAGCTTTCATGCCCGAGAGCAACCAGCCCAAGGCAGAACCGCGGGAAGAGCTGGAGAGGCAGCTCCGGGATATGTGGAGCGCAGTTTTGGGGCTTCGTGCCGACCAGATAGGGATCCACGACAGTTTCTTGCGCCTCGGCGGCGACTCGCTGAAAGCCATTGTCCTGGCCCGCGCGGCCCGCAGAGCCGGCTACCATCTCAGTGTTGCGGATATCTTCCTGCGCCCGGTCCTTTCGGAGATGGCTGACCTCATGCGGGACTCGATGACTTCTTCGACATCTGTTGAGCAGGGAGAGAGGGTGTCCCAGAATATCGACGATATCCCCCTATTCAGCATGCTTGCCGGAGACATCGAAGCCATCAAGAAAAATGCTTCAGCCCAATGTGGGATAACATTGGACGACATTGAAGACATCTACCCCTGCACAGCAATGCAGATCGGCATGGTCGTAGCGTCCTCTCTGAGTGATGGCGACGAAGGCGGCGAGCCAGCCAGCCTCTATCTTCTTCGCAGACATATCGTTTTCGAGTCAGCGGCTGCGTGCGATACCTTCTCCGCCGCCTGGGCGGCCGTGAGAAGCAGGAAACCGATTCTGCGAACGTGCGTCATTCAGCACCAGTCAACATTCTACCAAGTGGTCGTCAAAGACGACGCCGACTTATCATGCCAGCCACCAGGCCCAGAGACTGGGATTTACCGCAGACTACTAGCAGACTTTCGAACTGTGACCGCCAATGAATGCGAAATTTCCCTGCATCATGCAGTTTACGACGCTGTTCTCCTCCCGCACCTGCTCCAAGAGATCCGCCATGAGTACCTCCGACTCAACTCCGGCCCCACGGCTCCTCTGGTACAATCCTCGAGCACGGTTCCCTTCCGAAACTTCATCCACTACCTCGAAAACTATGATGAAAAGGCTGCATACTCCTTCTGGTCAGAATATCTTCCATCGTCGGGTGACAGAGACAAGATAGCCCAAGAGACCTTCCCACCCACACCCCAGCAATCGCCCCTTTCCGACCAACAGCCGACCGGTGCAGCAACAGTGGAGTTTGTTCGACACTTCACCGGCGGTCCTGCCATCGAGAGCAAGACGTATTTTGGAACTACACTGGCAAACATCATCAACGCGGCCTGGGCCGCGGTCGTCGCCCGGCACACCGGCGCAGAGGATTTGGTGCTGGGCAACACCCTGTCGGGGCGAGACGTGGTCCTCGAGAACAGTCCTAACGGCGCCCTCATCGATGGACCGACCCTTACAACAGTGCCTGTGAGGTTCCAAGTGGGCCGTGACAAGCCAGTCTCGGAACTTCTCCGCGAGGCACAGCGCGACGCCGCGCAGATCCGCAAGCACCAGCACTTGGGCATGGCGAAGATTGCAAAGGCTGGGAATTGCAAGTTCGGAACGCTGCTGGTCGTCCAGACGCTGACTGAAGACATTGCCACCGACAGCGACGATGTTCTCGCACCTCTGGAGAACCTCCCCGGACTTCGCGGGTTCCATGGTGGAGGGAGCAGTGTACCACAGGAATATCCTCTGGTCTTGGAATGTCTGGTGAACAAGACGCACTTGACTGGCGTTCGGGCTTACTATGACGAACGAGCAATCCAAGGTTTCAACGTCGCACACCTCCTGGCTCACTTAGAACGCTCTATCCGAACACTGATAGCACCGAGTAAGCAGAACCTCAAATTGGGCGATATTGATCTTGTGACGAATACCGATGTTTCGCAATTGACGGCGTGGAACTCGAAGCCGCACGAGAAATCCCAGACAACACTGCTGGACCTCTTTTTGGACAGGGTGGGGTCACAGCCCGGGCACGATGCTATCTATTCGACGGGACTCTCGCTCTCCTATGAGGAACTCGACCGGTACTCCAGCCTCGCTGCATGTAATATCGCCGAGCGCCTTGGAGCTCCTCGCGAGGACCGCCAGACACCATTCGTCATTGCTGTTTGCTATGAGAAGAGCGTCTGTGCTATCGTCAGCATCTTGGCAGTCATGAAACTTGGAGCCGCCTATGTACCGCTTGACCCGTCCAGCCCACACAGCCGTCTGGAGATGATCCTCGACGACGTGAAGCCCTCTGCTATCGTCTGCTCGCCGAGACAGGCACAAAGGTTCTCGGGCAAATTATCCCACCCCAACATCATTCTAGTCGGCAGTGATATCCACGAACAGGCCCGCGTTGGAGGTGCCGAGAGCACGGTCAGCCGGAGCTACCCAGTCACGCCAGAGTCCCTCGCGTACATTTTCTTCACGTCCGGGTCCACCGGGCGTCCCAAGGGGGTCATGGTCCCCCACAGCGCCATCTGCACGAGTATCCTCGCCTTCTCGCCGGTCGTCAGGCTGTCGCAGGACAGCCGCGTGCTGCAGTTCTCGTCGTTCTGCTTCGACGCCAGCGTCGGCGAGATCTTTGCCACGCTGAGCGCAGGGGGTTGCGTCTGCCTGCCCGACGACGAGGAGCGGCTCGCCGATGTCTCGGGGTTCATGAACGAGGCCAGGGTCAACTGGGCCTTCCTGACCCCCGTCACGCTCCGCGTCATCACCCCGGACGACGTACCGCTGCTCCGGGTGCTCGTCGTCGGCGGGGAGCCGCTGCCGCCGTCGCTGTTCAAGACGTGGGCCGCGCGCCCAGACAGGCTGCAGCTGATGGAGGCGTATGGCCCGACTGAGTGTTGTGTGTTTTCCACGATGAATACGACCGTCACCCCAGACACCCACCCTCAGGACATGGGGTTTGCCCTTGGCGGCGCGACTTGGGTTGTCGACTCTGCTGACTACCACCGGCTCGCCCCTGTCGGCTGTGTGGGGGAGCTCGTCATATCGGGAAACACCGTCGCTGCGGGATACCACAACCTGCCAGCCCACAGCGCGTCTGGCTTCCTGGATGAGAGTCCGGGATGGGCAGAGTTGTTCCCAGAACACGCAGCGGGACGCATGTACCGCACTGGTGACCTCGTCCGCTTCAACCACGACGGCAGCATTCGCTACGTCGCAAGGAAGGACAACCAAGTCAACCTGCGAGGCATGCGGATAGAGCTTGGCGAGATCGAGTACCACCTGGCACGCTCGGCAGCTGGTAGCAAGGCGGCACCCATCGTCGTGATTGCCAACACGCCAAATCACGGTGAAGAAACCAAAGAGAAGGCATTCCTGGCCTGCTTCTTCGTGGTGGAGCTAGCGGGCAAGATTGCGCCGGAACCTCTACGGATGACGAAGCAGCGCAGGGAGGTAGTGCAGTCCATCGTGTCGTATATGCAGGACAAGGTACCGAGTCACATGATTCCGACCGTGTTCATTCCGCTCCCCGGGTTCCCGGAGAACACCTCTGGAAAGGTGGAGCGACGGGTCCTGGTGGAGGACATACTGGGCGGATTCGACGAAGACGACTTCAAGCACTACAGCGTTTCTGTCACGACGCAGGCACCGGATACTGCGCGCAAAATGACTCCCAACGAACAGAAACTGCGACAGGTCTGGTCGCAGCTACTTGGGGTCGATTCCGGCATTATCAAGCCTGACGACAGCTTTTTGAGGCTGGGCGGCGATTCTGTCGACGTGATCCGGATGGTCACTACGCTCCGCCAAGAAGGCTGGCATCTCAGCCCTGTGGAGACACTCGCGGACCCGAGGTTGTCATCGGTTGCTTCTAAGATAAAATTGGTTACCAAGCACGCGGCGACGGCCGGTCTTGCGAGGACCACACCCTTCTCGTTGTTGCGGCGTCTACCCGGCACAGTCGATGTAGAGAGACTGACAGCTGCTGCGGAAACGCAGTGCTCGGTGCCGCGGGGCATGATCGAGGACATATACCCGTGTACCGCTCTCCAAGAGGGCCTGCTGACGATTAGCGAGAAGGTCCCGGGGTCATATTTCTACCGCCAAGCCTGGTCTCTTGACGAGGGTGTCGATGTTGACCGCCTCCTCGCGGCATATCGCGGCTTGTGCAAGGCTCATCCCATCCTGCGCACTAGAATTATTCGCGGCGACGACGACCGCGCATACCAGGTGGTTCTACGGGAAGATTTTAAGATCGTTTCTGGGTCAAGTGACGCAGAGGACGCACCGTGTCGAAAACATGGCAGCTTGGTTGGCAAACCACTTCACTGGGTGTCGATCACCCTCTCGGGACCGACCGTGGCTTCCAAATATTTGAAGCAATTCGTGAGAACCATTCACCATGCACTCTATGACGCATGGTCCTTGGTCAACCTTGAGACAGAGCTAAATGAGAGATACATGGCAGCGGAAGCATTTGTGCCGCCCAAGACGACAGATTATACGCAGTTCATCAGGTACATCACAGAAGACAGCTCGGCACTTCCGGACGAGTACTGGAAACAGCATCTGGATGGTGCAAGGAGAACTCTATGGCCAGCGGTGCCCCACGGGCTCGAACCCCAGACAAACATCTGTGTTACAAAAACGTTTCAGCTGGAATGGAGCAAGTCTCGAACCAGCATCCAGAATTATACCAAGGCGTCAGTGGCGCATCTGGCCTGGGCCCTGTTGCTGGGCAAGCACTCAAACGAGACGGATGTCACGTTCGGCCTCACCCTCAGCGGCCGTGATGCGCCCGTCGAGGGCATCGAACGGATGACTGGCCCTACAAATCTGACCGTTCCAATTCGGTACCGGCTATCCGACAGCAATGGCCGTGCGCCCAGTATCGCGGAGATGCTCGAATCGGTTCAGAACCAGACGAGAGAAAAGAACAGATTCCAGCACCACGGCATGAAGAACATCGCGCGCGTGAGCCCCGATGCCCGCGCCGCCTGCGACTTCAGGAGCCTCCTTGTGATCCAGCCTGCACGGCAGCTGCAGCAATGGGCGGAGTCAAGGAACAAGATACTCAAGGAAGTTCTCGACGACGGCCCGGCCCTGGTGCATCCCTACGCTATCATCGTGGAACTTTGCTTCCAGAGCCACAGCGATGGTGTGGGAGTATGGGTTCACTACGATGATCGCCTCCTGAGTGGGCCGCAGGTCGACCTCATTGTCCGTCAGCTTCACCGAACCTTGGAGGCGTTGGTGTCCAGCGAGCCATCCACGAGCATCGACGCTCTGGACCTCACCGACGAGATGAGCCTTGGTCAAATGAAGCGGTTCCACGAAGACACGTGCAACAGTCCTGCAGAGACCAGTATCGTCTCCTTGGTCAGCCACCAGCTGACGTTGAACGCGACTGCACTAGCGATCTCTGCATGGGACGGTGAGATGACATATGCAGACTTGGACATCCTATCGTCCGGACTCGCCACATATTTGAGAGACACGCTGAGATTGAAACCCGAAAGTACAACTGCTATATGCCTCGAGAAGTCTGTGTGGGCTGTTGTCGCCATGCTCGCCATCATGAAGGCTGGAGGTGCATACGCGCCAGTCGACCCGTCCGCACCAGATGCCTACAAGGCAATGCTGCTCGACCAAATAGCCGCTGACACCAAGGGCAGTATTGTGCTTGCGTCGGAAGGGCAGTCGGAATCCATCAAGAAACTTGTCCGTCCGGGAACCCAGGTGTTGACCATCACAAAGTCCATGATATCTAGCCTCCCCTCGTCACCAGACGGGCTGAACATGGCAACACCGGGCTCAGCCGCCTACGTCTTATTCACGTCGGGAAGCACGGGTGTTTCCAAGGGGGTCGTCATGGAGCACCGTTCCGCATGCACGAGCATCCTCGCCCACGGCGCCAAGTGCAAGTTCAGCCCGTCGACCCGTGCCCTGCAGTTCGCCGCATTTACCTTCGACGCCTCCATCATGGAGGTCTGGACCACCCTTGCATTCGGAGGCTGCATCTGCATGCCCTCGGAGTCTCAGAGGGTCGATAACCTGGAGCAGTACATGCAGGACTCACGGGTCACCTGGGCCTTCCTGACACCCACCGTCAGCAGCCTGGTGCGGAAGGACAAGGTGCCGTCCCTGAACAGCTTGGTCCTGGGCGGCGAGGCGCTCACAGATGCCAACATTCAGAAGTGGGCCGCAACTGCCAAGCACGAGCCTGGTAACTCCAGCCACGAACTGCAGTTGATGAACGGCTACGGGCCAACAGAGTGCTGCGTCTTCACCTGCGTCAACGCCAACGTGACCCGCGCCTCGGACCCCCGCGACGTCGGCCGCGCCACCGGAGTGTCCGCCTGGGTCGTGGACCCAAACGACCACAACAGGCTGATGCCCCTCACTTGCCCCGGGGAGCTCGTCATAATCGGGTCGACCCTCGCGCGCGGGTACCTCGGCGACGCAGCCAAGACGGAGCAGGCCTTTGTGTACCCGCGCTGGTCAGCAGCCGTCCTGGGGGGCAAGGCGAGGGCGTACCGCACGGGGGACCTGGCCTCCTGTGGCCTGGACGGGCATATCATGATACTCGGGCGCATCGATTCCCAGATCAAGCTGAACGGGATGAGAGTTGAGCTGGGCGAGATCGAGAACGCGCTGCTCTCCTGCGTGTCTGACGTGGCAGCTCAGGTCGAGGTGATGGTCGTCAACGAGCCCGAGCCGTCCGCGTCATCCGATGGAGGTGGTGTCGTGGCATTTATGGCGTTTGGGGGTGCTCAAAAGTCACTGGTTGACATCCCTGCCGTCGTAGGGAAATTGTCTTCGCAAATGGCCGCTCGTCTGCCGAAGTATATGATTCCGAATGACTTCATTGCCGTCTCGCGGTTTCCGACCACAACAGCGGGCAAGGTCGATCGTCGCGCACTGCGCCAGCTCATCAAAGATCCCGAAAATTCCGCCTGCCAGATCAACATCATCCACCGGGAGACGTCTGTCTCGGCAAGAACCAGCACCAAGACACAGGCCGGGGATGATGGTATCCAAGACGCACGCGAGCTGGCCCTGCGCGATCTGTGGGCCGAGACTCTCCGCATCGAGGACTCAGGTGCCATCACGAGACACGATGACTTCTTCATGCTGGGAGGGGAGAGCATCCGGGCCATCCGGCTGGTTGCAGCTGCGAGAGAGCGGTATGGCATGTTCTTGACTGTGGATCGAATTTTCCGGCACCCTGTCCTGGCGGATATGGCGGCGCAAATGAGCGAAATTGTGGAGTTGGACGGAGGGGTACAAGATGAGCCGTTTGATTTGCTGGATGATGGATGGTGATGAATGGTGATGATAATACTTATGATTGTTGCTGTTTGTATAGGCGTTTGATTGCCCTTGCTGTACATGGTGGGATGCTTAACCTGTGTACATGCTCATTCTTATCAAGCAATCTATACGCGCGCCTTCGCACGTCTTTTGAGAGATCGAGCCATTCGAAGGCTACATACATAGGTGAACTACACGACTGAATGTTTTTGTGCCTTTTCATTCTTCGGGTTTTCACCTTCCCTCTTCGGAGCAAGAAGTAACAAGGGTAATATCAATTGATGGAACGACGAAAATACTCGAACTGCGGTACCGGAATTCCAGTACCACTCATAATAACGCGGGAGTCCTAGGTTCCGAACCGCCGCGACCTCAAGCCGCAGGCCTCGAGCTGCAGAACCGCGTGTCAGCATAGAACGATTCGGTCAGGCTTGGAAAACCTTTTTCTCGCCATTTGCCGTGCCATGCGACCCTCTTTCACCCTTCTCGCCATCTTCTGCCCCACGCCCTCGGTTCTGACCCCATCGAGGCCCCAGCAGGACAAATTCCTTCCAGCCCGTCCTCTCCAGCCTCTGTCCCTCACTCCCATCCCCCACCACCGACCTTGCCGTCTCGAGCAGGAGGAATATCATCAGAAGCAGACTGGTCGCCCCGAAAATTGCCAAGGTGAAGAAGACCCAGGCACCGCTCCCCGTACGCCAGGCAATCAGTCCGCCAACGACAGGGGCCAGGACGGTGCCCACGTTTGCCGCACTGATGGCCGGCCCAACCATGGTGCCCCTCTGGGCTGGGATGCACACATCACTGACAACGCCATATGTGATGCTCGCACAGGCGGCGACACCCAGGGCTGACACCGCTCGCAGCAGGATGAGCGCGACGTAGGACCTGTTTCCCGAGATATCGTTGATGGCGAGGCCCAAGCTTGCCACGGTAAAGATGATATAAGTGACGATGCTGATGAGCCGCCTGCCATGAGCGTCGGCGGCCGGGGCGAAGAAGGCGGGCATGACTGCCTGGACGACGACGTAGAGGGTGAGCGTGAGGTTGATAGCCTGGGCGGAGGAGCGGTACTGTGACTGCAGGAGGGGGAGGAGGGGCAGGTAGACATTGGCACTCAGCGGTGAGGCAATGCTAGCTATGCCTAGGATGGCGGTGAGAATATGACGGTGCCTGGCCGAAAACACTGGGTAGGGCTTCGAGGCATCTTGGCTTGTCGTCGTTGCCTTGGGTGAGTTGGCTGCACTTGGGGTGCCGGCATTGTCACCCTGAGCGAGTGGTTCACCGGATTCTGTGACGCATTGAGCCATACCGCGTGCAAAAATCAAGAATTCGGCTCAGAAAGTGTCGCGAACGAGACATGGAGGGCGCGGAGCCAGCAGAGGGCGGCTCTTGACATGGGCCTGGAGGTCTCATTAGGACCCTCGGGCGCCAACAGCAGGAGCGCTAACCGGATTTTATGACAAGGATTCTAGAAGAGGGTTTCAAGTAACAATTTAGAATCAATAATAAGACCGAGGAGGCCATTCACCATAGCTCGAGAAATAGTTTCCCATCTCAATACAACCCATCACGTCTTCTACACTCATTGAGAAAATGACCCTTGCATGTACAGGCTACTCACCTCCGGCATATCCTAAGCCAGTCAGAGTCTGGCCAGAGAATGTGAGGAGAGACTTTCGTGGAGTGAGATGGACACAGTGATTCACACAGGCATTTGTTTGAAAAGAAAAGATTCGATAGCTCCTCTGCTGAGTACATACCTAGGTACTTAAGTATATTCAACTGGACTTAAGGTCTTAGGCGCTCTTGCTTCTGTTTCTTCCTCCGATCCTAACTCCAACAAATCTTCAGATCAAAGGCGTCACACATGCACAACAGAAATCAGAATCACACATGTTTAGCTGACTGAACATCTCCAAAATGTCTTCTCAATTAGAACCGTCTACTCCACTTTACCCTCTGCCAAGGGGTTTTCCACCTCCCCCTCCGATTCAGCCACCTCCGCCTAGGCCCAGCGGCCCCCACCACCACATCAACCTGCATTTGAGTTACCACCAAGGCCTCCCCCAAGGTAGACACCAAATTTTCAAAGGTACCGCACTATAAAGCGGCCTTTACATTGTTGGCAGCCTACTTCGGCAGTTCAGGTACAGTTTCTATCTCACGCCTCACTACTTGGAAAATCAGGTTTATTTGGTGGGCTGCAAACTTCATTGAGGGGGGCTGAGAAAAGGTACTTACTTAGATGAGTACGTAAATGCAGTGAAATAATAGAAACAGTTCCGTGATTTGCTGGTACTAGAAATGCCCATGAATCCCATGATAGTAACCCCTCTATTTCTGTATTCCATGAAGTATTGCGTCTTTCCTAACATGTCCAACCGCCCGTGCGAAGTTATGTTATAGCAGCAGCGTTATCTTGACCGTTCCTAATACTCGCTGTTGTCTTTCATTTGACTTCTCAAAGGAGTGCCATGTGCGAGCATGATGACTGGTCACGGTGAAGGCTGTCAGTACTGACTCCTCCAGCTGCAAAGAGAGGAGGAAAGTGCTGCTGTCCAATGTGTTGAGATTGGTAATGGTGACGCCGAAGTTTTGTCTTATCACTACTGAGTCTTGCAACCTGGGCTCGTACACTTTCAAGAATTCAGTGAGTAGCAAATCAATCTATAGAACATGCTTGGATCTCATCATGATTTGGGATTGAACGAATTGAGTGACTGAAAATCCTTGGAGAGAGTCTCTGTGACCAATGCCATTGGGGAAAGTATTTGAATACCGTCCTGGCACGAGTTCCTGGTTCAACTACTTGAGCTTCAAGGCGTCGGGATCAGCAACTGATATCAGGACCAGGAAACCATGGTCAAGACAAAGAGACCGTATTGGAATCGAGCACATTAAGGCATACCACACATCAAGGCCTACAGTACACCAAGCCAACGGCCTGGTGTTGCCGAGGGAGTACAACCGAGCCGAGTCGCCCGACCATGTTCTGACAGATCCAATACACATCAATGAGAGTCCAGTAGCTGGAAAACATATCATTCTGCACCCAAGTCGCTAAGTGGGATACTATCAGAGATACCCTTGGAAGATTATAGCTAACCTTCACAGCACTACCAGCGCTGAAGCCGCACAGGGAGCCAGCAAGGATACCAACAGCCGACACAGCCCCGGTGTGGGCATCGCGGCCCACCAACGAACGACGATCTCAGATGCGAGTTACATCGCATACAATCTTCATATCAAAGTCCTCTCAAGCCGTCGAATTTTGGATCATACCGGTGTGTCAGTGCCAAAAAAGAAAGAGGCTTGAGTAGTCCAGGACTTCAGCAAGCACAGCATGCCTAAATGCAGTTGGTGCGGTGGTCACCCTATCAAACCAACCGCGCTTTACGAACAGGTTGCTTGCCCTGGTTGGTGTATGGGTGACCGTGTCCCATGTTGGAAGTGCGGGAACAACCCAATGTTGATGCGGCAGGCTTGTTTTGAATGCTTGAACCGAAGGACGGTTCGCTGTATGCTCTGCGACGACGGGTCAGGTACCAAGACTGTCTGGGGGGACGAGAATGGATATTGGTACTGCGACAATCCCTTGGCAGCTCATTCTGAAGACTACACGAAGTGGACGTTCGACAAGTGTAATAAGATGAGTAAGAAGAGATGGGAGTACAGGAGGATGGGTAAGCGCTGAAGAGCCACTGAAGTCTTGCGCTAATGATGGGGACAGCCTCAATTTGACCCTCTCGTGACTTATTCTTGATTGAAAATCATATGTCTTGCCATTACGGAGCATCCAAAATCACGAATTTGTGATCTTAATGCAAGATTGAGTCTCAGTAATACTCCAAGCGTGTTACCTACCTAGGTAGGTACCCTATGCATCTGCGCGGGTTTTGGTTCGGATGTCCTGTGTCAGAGACAGACCACCCAACTTTATGTCAACCATTGCAGAGCTACAGATGTCGTCTTACGTACCTAGGTAAACTAGAGTTCTTGATGGATATTATAAGCCATTCACCGCTGTGTAAACATCACCGGCTCTTGTGCCCGTACAAGCTTTACACCCAGGCTGCGCGGTAGAATAGTGACGATCGAAATCTTGATGCTCTTCTGACCCGGCCTTCAAAACTTCAACACAGCAATATTATGGACTGTCGGGCCTTTTAGGCAGCTCCGAGGTAGTGGCGAAGGTCAATAGACGCCATCTTCAACCAGGATCTGAGCACTCTATCCTCACTTTTGGTAATACCTATTAATACACCAGCATTGCTATCACTACTAGTGTGTCTTAGTGTTTCGATTAATAGTACCTGAACAAGTTCAGCTAACTCCTTAATGCAGAAAAGACTGCTCCCTGGATCAACGCGATGCCTGAGTCAGACGAAAAGGTTATTGTCAGGTTTGCCAGGTGGTTGACAGCCAACTACGGGAGGCTCTGTCAGAGATAGCGCGGGAGCGATGTGCCACGGCATCTATGAGGGTAACGACAATTGCATTTCTTATTTGTACACACAGTCGGTGATCAGGGCAAAGCATCTAAGTAGAGACCTTGCAAGCTCTGTGACCATACATTGCTGAGGTCGGGTGATGGTTGATCTTTCTTTGGGCTGGCTTTTGCTTCTTCCACTGTGAAGGAGAGAACAGGGGTCGGATTCCAAAGAAGTGTGGTCTGCCTGACGCCCCCCGACCCCGCTCGGGTGCTGGGCCGACCAGTAATACCTGCTTGTTGGCGCGTATAAGGCCAACAGCCTGGTCTTACTCTACTTTGCTTCTTTTTGGGACGAAAATCCACGGGGCGATCGATTCGTCCCTAATGACCGGTATGGTGCAGCGACAGCAACGAGGGATTGTCCAAACTGCGGTGTCACAAGAGCTAAAGGGGTTGGTTGATGGAGGGCGTGGGGTGCCCAGGTGGTCTGCGCCGATGAACGAACTGATTCCACGGAACCCTAAACAGATAGACAGATAGACAATTTCACGACCTGAGCAATTACTCGTTCACCACCTGTTTCGTGGCCGGAAACAGCCATGACAACGAGCACTCTGATGCGGACGGGCCATTATGTCTCCAGAGCATAAGAGAACAAGCCAGGAAGATGGCACTGATGGGGTCTCTGGTCCGGGGGGCCACCCCTTCAACAAAAAGACAAAGCTCAGCCCGTCGTCCGGTGGCGAGGAGACAGCCGTCCTTCGGCGCCACCTAGACGAGGCCCTGGATTTCATCAACAGCTGTGGGCTCGCCTCAAGTACGACGCCAAATCTCACCTACCGCACCTCCTGGCCTGCGCAGGACTGACCTGCTCTCTCCAGAAGCACCCCAATCTCTCCAGCCCCTTCTGGAATCCCGCCCCAATGTTGCCGACGGCATGGCACAACAGATAAAGGCCAGGATATACGACACCTGGGAGCCCCTCTGCGCCGACACCTCGGGCAGGCAGACCGGCATCCACTCGTCTGACCTCAGCTCCGCCCAGTGTTCTCATTTCCCAGCCATCGAGAGGCTCGCCAGGCTCCCCAGCAAAGACAGCCTGCGCCTGGCATACGAAGTGGCCTGGTACCTCAAGGATAATTCTTATGGGGACATGGACGAGGACCGCGGGTTCGGGAACCGCCCCTCGGATGAGCAAGGCGACGCCTTGCTGTCCCGCCTGATCAGAGACCGCCGCGCCGCCGGCGAGATGTGGGACTATAAGCGTGACCTGGGCGACATTGACCGGGAAGCATATCACATGGCTAGTTACAGCGTTGACTGCTGGTATCCCGAAACCCGGGCGCTCCTACGCGAGGCCCTCCACTCCGCCAGTCAGGGCTCGGACAAGGACGCAGAGAAGCAGCCAGACCCAGTCCCGAGTAAGGACAGGCTTACGAAAGCAAACCTGGACATGTTCAGCGCGTATGAGAAGGACCGAAACAGTAAGTCATACATCTTGTCGGTCATTGAGTGGGCCCGGGGGGTTTTGCAGGCAGAGCTCAGCATGGTTGACTCGCTTCAGGATATGGCAAACAGCCCAACCCCTAGCCGGAACCCCTATCTTGCCTTCCGGATCCAAATCGGGGCCCTGCGAATAGACTTTGCTCAGTGGAAGCATATAATATGCTCCCGCTCACCCTCCGGAGGAAAACGACTCTGACACTTCCCACCCCTCAAGCTCCCTTTCGAATCCCACCCCAGACAAAGACTTCTGGATCGATCGAACGTGCATTGGCGAGACCACTGTAGATCGATCACCCGACCGAATCGTGCTGACAGCCGCTTTTTGCTGCTCCAAGAGGGACGCCGGCGCCCTGTGCGGCCACCTTCCAGGGGCATCATCCAGCATTGCCCCGGGACCTTCGGCACCGAAGCGGCCGCTAAGGGTGACTGTCGGCCAGAAACTCCGCGCAACGGCCAATTTTACTTCGACAGCGTAGGCCACCTCTCTCTCTCACACACTCTATTTCTCCTTTTCATTTTTCTCCTTTTCATTTTTTTCTTTATTTTGTCCTTCTTTTACATATCTTCCACAGTCTCCGTGACCCTAATATTTTGCTGTTGGGAAAGACTGGCTGTGTGCTGTTGTCCTAGTGACACATCCGATATCCTAGTGGCCTTGGAGCCTTCAACTTTTTAATTCTTTTCAAATTCTCGTCGTTACCCACTCAATGGGAAGTTCCCAGCAAAGAATCGGTGCGCACGCTCATCACGAAACAGACGCTGGGACCAGTTCACTCGAAGATGACAGCGAGGCTGAGGAGTCCCGACTCCTCGGGGCAGAAGACGCGCCTCTGCAAGGGCCTGGGTCAAGTCATCTTCCAATGCACGAGATGACCGGGTCCGGGCAAGCCACCGCTGTTGCACAACCCCCAGCTGAACCTCGCCCGGTGAACGAATCCCAGGAGGAGATGAAGGGCACCGTCTCGTGGAGAGACCTCCCCCGGAAACAGCAGCTCGTCGTAATCACTCTGACGAGGCTGTCCGAGCCTCTTGTCCAGACCAGTCTGCAGGCTTATATGTTCTACCAGCTCAAATGGTTCGACCCCAGTCTTTCCGACTCGGTCATCTCGAGCCAGGCCGGTGTCCTACACGCCTCCTTCACAGCGGCTCAACTACTCACGGCCATGATGTGGGGCCGTGTTGCCGATTCGAGTCGCTTCGGCCGCAAGAAGGTTATCTTGATCGGCCTTACAGGAACGATGATATCATGCTTGGGTTTCGGCTTCAGCAGGTCATTTTGGCAGGCTTTGTTTTTCCGATGTCTTGGAGGAGTAACAAACGGCAATGTAGGCGTCCTCAGGACAATGATCAGTGAGATTGTGAGAGAAAAGAAATACCGTAAGTTCTGTCCCCTGAACTCCTGCTCTGAGCAAGCAAAAATCGGGTGCACTCTTGCGAAAAGAGATTCGATCCAGTGCCGAATCCTTGTGTGACAATTACTGAGACTGGTCCGAGCAGAGTCGAGAGCATTCCTCCTGCTTCCGATGACTTTTAATATCGGAGTTATTATTGGCCCGATACTTGGAGGAGTACTCGCAGATCCAGCTGGCAGCTATCCGGATTTGTTTGGCGAGACGAGATTCTTCCTCAACTTTCCTTACGCAATGCCGAATCTGGTCAGCGCCTTCTTTCTGCTTTCTGCGTCCCTGACGGCATGGCTGTTTCTTGAAGAGGTAAGACGCCGGACAGTCGACCCTGACCTGACTTTACTTGCTCACAGCAAACCAGACTCTCGATGCGCGAGTTGACAAGAGAGACTGGGGCATTGAAACGCGCAAGAGGCTCAGCACACTCCTCTCTACTTACTTCTCTCGCAATTGGGTCTCCGCAGGCTATACCCCATTGGCATCTCGCGATTATGTCAGGATCAGCGTCGAGATGACACCCTCAAGGACCCCGTCACCAGCTACACCGACCGTCCCGAGCCCGTCGAAGCGGGCCAAGCGACAACCGCGCTACACCCAGCGCCTACCGTTCCGGCGGATCTTCACGCGCAACGTGTGCATCACCCTGCTGGCGCGATTCTGCCTCGCCTTCCACGTCGGCACATTCAACAGCCTCTGGTTCGTCTTCCTCTCGACGCCTGTCTACGACCCGAACAAGCCCACAGACGGCGGACAAGGCCGCCACCTCCCGTTCGTCTTCACCGGCGGGCTCGGGCTCCCGCCCGCCAAGGTCGGCACTGCGATGGCGGTCCTCGGCGTCCTGGGCATCACCCTGCAGCTCTTTGTCTACCCGGCCCTCTCGGCGCGCCTCGGGACCGTCCGGTGCCTGCGCATGGCCCTCGTCTGCTTCCCGCTCGCCTACTTCCTCGCGCCCTTCCTCTCGCTCGTGCCGAGCTCCACGGAGCCGCCCGCACCCAAGTCCGGCCCGGCCATGTGGGTTGGCATCTCCGGGGTCCTGCTGTGCCAGGTCGTCGGGAGGACGTTTGCGTCGCCGAACATGGCGATCCTCGTCAACAACTGCTCGCCGCACCCGAGCGTGCTGGGGACCTTCCACGGCCTGGCGCAGACTTGTAGCTCGGCCGCCCGCACGCTAGGTCCTGTTCTGTGCGGGTTCCTGTATGGCGTCGGCCTGGCGCACGGGGTCGTCGGTGGGGTCTGGTGGGGTCTCAGCCTATGGGCCGCCATGGGGTGGTTGACGAGTTGGCTGCTGAAGGAGGGCGACGGGCATGAAATATGGCTAGATGGTGACGAGGAAGATGAGGGTGTAGACACGACAAAGGCAGTTTGACTTCTGCACATTGGAGGCAGTTCCAAATTAATGACTATAGATGTCGTCTCTTGAATCGCAATCTCATTCTGGTGCAAGTATAGATGTCGCCATTGTGCGCACAGCCAGCACGATTGTGTTGGAAAAGTCCATAGTAGTAATGACTAAAGAGCAAGCCTGAGTACCTAGGTATCTCGAGCTTTTTAATTAAACAACCTTGGATGCCTGGGTAGTGCTTTGTGTTTGCTTAGGTATAGAGAGGCCTGAGGCTTTCAAAATCTGATTCTATTCAAGAAAGAGGTATTGTACTTCTGTGACGATCAAAGTATTGCTCTACAATGCAATGAGTCCCAATCTTGGCAAGCCCATAGATAGCTATCCAAGTCTTTTTAATTTCATCGGATCAATCCAGGTCAACTCGTTACCGCTCGCCGTATCCTGCTGCTGGCACGGTGGGTCATTGTCCGCATTGCCAGATATTGTGAACTAGTGAGCACCCCAGCATCATTGATGTCAGCACGATGGAGACATCAACACGTAAGGGTCCAATCACTGGACGTGCATAACTTGATGTGCCCTAATCAACTGCTCTTGACGTGTGAGTGCATGCTTGGCATCCAATAGGCCGGAGCTGGGCAGAGAAACGAGTCCGTTGCACATGTGGGTTCACCTCACCTACAGTGGTAGCACTAATGTGAGGGGTTCGACCGATAGATTTGCCTTTCGTAGATCTTTTTGTATTTGTAACCGTATCGTCATTCCCATGTCCCCGTGGTCGCTTTTGTCTCCATGCAAAATGCCCTCCTCTGAAGACTCTTTAGAGCTTTAAGATACCTAGGTAGGGGTAGTATCGATGCAGTCATGTACAACCACACGACTAAATCAGGCGGCATCATGGATGCCGCAGCCAATGCAACTCAGTGGTCGTCGCTATTATTTCTCTTCACGTCTCTGCTCATTTTCTGGATCGTCCTTGGTCAGATCACTTCGCCGGTCAGAGGCTATCCGGGTCCGTTTTTAGCCAGTGAGTGCAGCGATCCCAAGCCCGTGTGTTCTCGGCCTTCCTGTTGGCTGACAATTACAAAGAGTACACGAACTTATGGAGAACATGGTACGCTTCTCGTCGCGATATCCATCTGGTATATCAGGAGCTTCACGAAAAGTATGGGCCTATAGTGCGTGTGGGACCCAACATCCTGGACGTGGATCTTCCGGAAATCGTGAAGCCGGCATTCAACGACATCAAGAGCGACTGGCAAAAGGTCAGTGTCAAATTTCTTTTAGATGCATTGAAGTAACTGTGGTTTAACATTTTATCTCTAGACCGACTTTTATCACAGCAGCAGTGCCAAAGTCAACGGGAAGCTCATATTCAACCTGTTCAGTGAGACGGACGGAAAGAAGCACGGCAAAGAGAAGAAACCAGTTGCAAAGTACTACACCCAGGTCGCAGTCAGAGCCCTAGAGCCTCACGTGGACGCGATGATATACAGGCTCTGTCAGGCTTTGGACAGTCGCTTTGCCGAAGGCGGGAAAGCCTTCGATCTTGGACAGTGGTTGTCATTCTGTATGTCTTATGCTTGGCACTTTTTGATTGGACCTTGATCACTACCAGGTGCATGGTAGATCGCTATATTGATACTTAGGTACTAATGTCGTCCAGATGCTTGGGACGTGGTAGGCTCCGTCACATTTAGTCGACCATTCGGCTATCTCGAAAAAGGGCTTGACTTCGACGGAACCCTGGGAGACTCAGCGATGGTACAGGACTATTTCTCCCTGGTGGGCGCAATCCCGTCTCTTGATAAATGGCTTGGCAAAAACCCCATCAAGCCGATCGGGGCTCCTGGCTTCCACGCGATGATGGGGCGAATAATCAGGCACCTGGGGGACCGGTATGAAGGCAAAGACAGGATCTACCATGACTCAAAGGAACCCGACTTCCTGGACCACTTCATCGAGGCCAAGAAGGCTGATCCAGGGGAAGTCGACGATGCGCAGATCGTTTCGTGGCTCATGATCAACGTTCTGGCCGGGGCTGACACGACTGCATTAACACTCAAGACGGCGTTCTACTACTGTCTTCGAGACGAGCGTATCTGGCAGAGATTGCGAGAGGAGCTCCTGGCTGCGGGTGCGCAGGAGGGGACGCCAGTCCCCTACGAGGTCGCAAACTCGGCGCCGTACCTCGAGGCGGTGGTGCGGGAGGCACTGCGTATCCTGCCTGGGATATCAATGTCGCTGGAGAGATATGTCCCGAAAGAGGGCCATCGACTTTCGGACGGCAGCTTTCTCCCGGGTGGCAGCACCATCGGAGTGAACCCATACCTGATCGCCAGGAACAAGGGGATCTACGGTGAAGACGTCGAGGAGTTCAGGCCGGAGAGGTGGCTGCTCGATGAGGCGGCTGGCGAGACGCGAGAGCGGTTCGAAGCCCGTCTCGCGGCTATGAACAGCGTCGACCTGACGTTTGGAGGGGGCAGGCGCATGTGCATAGGGAAGAACCTTGGCCTTCTTCAAGTTTGCAAGGTTCTTGCCACCTTGGTGACATCTTACGAAATGGAACTGATCGATCCGGAGGGGAAGTGGAAGGTCATCAATAGCTGGTTCCCCAGACAGGAGGGTGGGCTAGATGTTAGGATCACGAGACGGCCGAGTCCATAGTATTCCATTGTAGTCTGCCCAGGCGAGATATAATCAGAATATTTGAAGCCGACCCATTCCAGAGGGACAAAAGGACTGAAATGGAATGATTCCGAGAACTGACAAAGTTCCCTTTTCAAACTTTTGAGAAATGCTATATCCCTGAACTACCTACTGATGTCGGAATAAGTACCTACTCAGTAGTTGCGTCGCCAATGTTTCGAGCCCTGAATTTTCTAGGCTCAGTATCTCGAAAAAGAAATTAAGGAATCTCACAAATAGTTAAGATATTTGGGCAGCCCTCATCAGGTGGGCGGCAAGACCTGTAAGCCTCCCACGTACCCTTGAATACATGTAAGGTAGACTATAAATTCAAATGTTATAAACGCCCCCCCCCCTCTCTACCAGCAATGAGTAGGAGGCCTCTTGTCTATGTCTCCGAACCTTCGAAGATCATAACTAATTCGAGTGCTAGCAACAGCTAGAGGGAGTACAATGTGCATGTGATATCAACAGTTGCGAACAACAAGGGCACACACATTGTTGCGCGAGCTCGTGCCGGCTTATCCAGACCGCCAATGCTTGCTCAGGTGCCGATGCCCGGCTGCTAATAGGACGGAAGCTCGGCAGCTGTTGCACAACGCTGGCGGCTGCAGTGCGGTTGGAAATGATTGGAAAGTGGACATGCGCGGCCAGCGGCATCCGGAACCCCTAACCGCTTATGCAGGTAACGTGGAGGATAAAAAAAGAGAGTCAAAACCGTAGGCGGTTCGGCGACGAATGAGAGGGCTCACATTGGTGATGAGAGTAAATGCGCCACAACAAGGTGTCTTGGGACTGCGACCCTGACTGAGTACTTGAGATTGGAAGGTCCCGCCGTCGGATGGAGAGAAAATCGAGACCCAGTGCTCCTTACGTCTCTCCTCTGGTTGTGATCTTCCATCTCGAGAGACAAACAAGTGAAGATGATGAACAGTTTGAGCCTAGGAGCCGTGCTGGCCGCGGCATGTAAGTCTTCCTTCCCTGGCGGCCCCACTTCTGCTTGCCCCGTCCGCCCCCACCTGCTCCAATCTTCAGGGCCAAACCACCTGAGGCCCCTGTACCTGATGGCAGTTATTGACGGATGATACAAAGCTCTCATCACACATTGCCTCGCTGCGCAGTCGACATTCCTTGCGCCAACACAGTCCGTCGCCTTCGCGCTGAGCATCCCGGACGATCCCAGCAATGAAGACATCTACTTCAGCATTGCAATGGCCCGCGGGCTCAGCTGGGCGGCCGTCGGAATGGGCGCACACAAGATGCCCGGGACCCTCGTTTTCATGATCTACCCTTCGGCATCCGAGAACAACATCACCTTCTCGCCGCGGCTCGCAACCGACCACACGGAGCCAGAGTACCACCCCGCCCTGGACTACGAGACACTGGCAAACGCCACAGGCCTGGTCAACGACTCCACGTACATATACAGCGCCGTATGCCACAACTGCCGCACCTGGCGTGGGGGCTCTCTCGATGTGAACAGCACCTCGGAGCGCTTCATCTTCGCCACGGGGCCCGGTGGGACCGCAGGCAGCGACAGCGACCAGGCCTCTGTGAAGCTGCACTACGAGCACGGTGCCTTCACCATGGACCTGCAGCATGCCACCGGGCCTGTCCGCCCCGCCGTGCTGAATGCAGTCACCGCCGACGACAATGACGGGTCCCAGCTGGTCGGTGAGCCCGTCCAGGGGATGAACGACTGGGTGGCTGTGATCCACGCCGTGTTCATGATCGGCTGTTTTGTCGGGCTGATGCCCCTCGGCATGTTGATGGTGCGGCTGGGCGGCTGGGTACGATTGCATGGTTTCAACCAGGCCGTCGCCATGATCGGCGTGGTTGTTGGCCTGGGGCTGGGAATCAAGACCGGCACGCTTTACAACAGGGTGAGTTTCGTCCTGAGAAGCACGTGTGTCACGGGTGGCTGTGCTGACTGGATGCCGGGACAGACCAAGAACTTCAACACAGCCCACCAGGCCATCGGCATCGTCGTTTTCATCTTCATCCTGGCCCAGTTCGCGCTGGGCGTCGTGCACCACCGCGAGTTCAAGAAGACCCAGAAGCCCACCAAGTTTGCCCCCGTCCACGTCTGGCTGGGCAGGGCAACCATCATTCTGGGGATAGTCAACGGCTTCCTGTATGTTCTCATCCCTTGCCGGCTCCTCTCGCCTTGTGGCCGCCTTGTGGCCGCCTTGTGGCCGCCTTGTGGCCGAACGGTGGACTAACATGATCACGCAGCGGATTCCCACTTGCTCTTTCTCCGCGGCACAACTATACGCTGCTTGGCCTCGTCATCGCCATCTCCTCGGTCATTCTCGTTCTGCTTTCCATGAAGCTGGTGTTCATGAGACGGCGGCAGCGCCGTGAGGAGGAGAGACGCATGGAAGGGCCTACGGGGTATCAGGCCGAGCCTTGGATGGCACCTGGCCTGCACCAGCACAACGACACGGGCTCCTTTGAGATGGGGTCTCTGAGGAAGAGCGGCAGCACCACGGTTGTCGAGGCCAGGCCTCCGCCGGCGTATGCATAGATTAGCGCGTAGAACAACGAGTGTCTTTGTCGGAATGCATGGGTTACCAGAAAGAATATTCTCTCAATATCATATACATCACAAGATGCACTAGCAGCCAAAAGGTGAGTCGGAGAGCATCGCGGCCGAAGGCTCGGGTTGGCGGGGGCAAGATGTCGTCGAGGAACGGAGCCGGATCTTATGCAGGATCAGTTTGCCCGTGCCTCGGCTCGAAGGGCCCGTGAAAGGGTGCTTGTGGGGGAGCCCAAGCTTAGGTTTAATCTCCGCCCGAGGAACGCGTGGATACTGCGGTGTCAAGTGTCTAATTCAAGCAGGCAGGCAGGACCAGCTTGCAACGACCCCAATCCCCCCCCTTGCCCCCCCCCCAAAAACCGAGGGAGGGGCCCGTGCAACTCCCGAGCTTCACTGAGCATCCCCACACTCACATGCCGCCGTTGAGGAAGGGGGTAGGTAACATCAACGGAGTCCTGCGCCTCAAGAAATGGGTCCCGAGCTCCTGGGTCCGCTCGATAATGTTCTCGACAATCTTGAGTTAGTAGTAACCTCTCGCCATCCACCCAGCTCCTGCTCCATCCAGCTCCATCCCAGCCAGCCGCCTGTCTTGGGTTTCAGATATCAGCTGCAGCTTCTCACCAAGTCTGGACTGGACCTTCCTGCCCCTGCTGCTCTCCTTGCCAAGATCGGCCTCGTCCTGTTACTCCCTAGCCTCTCTCTCCTTTCGCCCCCTCTTTTTTTTTTGTTCGTTTTCTTTTCTGCTCAAGCACTCTCAGTTACCAGTCGCCCCTTCTTTAGAATCTCATCCATTGCCCTGCCCTGCTTCACTCCTTGGGTGCGAGTACCAACCAGAATGGCTTCCAGGTCCAGCATCGACAAGAGTGCAAAGGTTGATATCCCAGCCTTCACTGCCACGGCTGTCGATGTCATCCCCGAGACCTGCTCCGCTGTGCGTGCCGGTTTCCGCTCTCTCAAGACCAAGGACCTCGAGTACCGCAAGATCCAGCTTCGCAAGCTGTACTGGGGCATCAAGGACCATGGCGCCCAGCTGGAGGAGGCCCTGATGCGCGACCTGCGCAAGTCCGCCTACGAGTCGCGGTTTACCGAGATCGACTGGACCGCCAACGACTGCATGTTCATGCTTGACAACCTCGACAAGTTCACCAAGGACGAGGTCGCCCCGGTCCCCTTCGTCTTCAAGGCCAACAAGGTCCGCATCCGCAAGGAGCCCCTTGGCAGCGCCCTCATCATCGGCACCTACAACTTCCCCTTCATGCTGACCATGGTGCCCCTGGTCGGCGCCATCGCCGCTGGCTGCACCGCCGTGGTCAAGCCCTCCGAGGGCGCCCCCAACGTCGCCATGGTCATCAAGTCCATCGTCGAGAGCTGCCTGGACCCGGAGGCCTACCGCGTCGTGAACGGCGCCGTCCCCGAGACCACCGCCCTGCTCGACCAGAAGTGGGACAAGATCTTCTACACGGGCAACGCCAACGTCGCCCGCATCATCTGCAAGAGGGCCGCCGAGAACCTGACCCCCGTCACCCTCGAGCTCGGCGGCCGCAACCCGGCCTTTGTCACGCGCAACGCCGATCTCAAGCTGGCAGCCAAGCGGCTGCTGTGGGCCAAGACCCTCTGCGCCGGCCAGGTCTGCCTCTCCCAGAACTACGTGCTGGTCGAGCGCGAGGCAGTGGATGAGTTCATCAAGCAGCTCAATGCCGCCAGCAAGGCCGCGTTCCCCAACGGCGCCAAGGCAGCCCCTGATCTATGCCGTGTCGTCAACGAGAGGCATTTCCTGCGCATGAAGAAGATGGTCGACGAGAGCAAGGGCAAGATCGTCATGGGCGGCGAGATGGACCAGTCGGAGCTGTTCATTGCGCCCACGGCCGTGCTGGTCGATTCGGTACAAGACAGCATGATGAAGGAGGAGTCCTTCGGGCCTGTCTTCTCTATCATCCCGTTCGACAACCTCGGCCACGCCATTGACATTGCCAACAGTGTGGACCCCACCCCATTGGCTCTGTTTGGCTTCGGTACAAGGGATGAATTCAACAGACGTATGTTACATCGTCACTCTAGCCATTAGGCCAAACCAACCCCACCCCCACCCCCAACCATTTGCCTACTAACACCCCCTCTCTCAGTCATCAACGCAGTACAGTCAGGCGGTGCCAGCTACAACGACTCCTTCATCCACGCATCGATCCAGACCGTCCCGTTCGGCGGCGTGGGCGAGTCCGGCACGGGCAGCTACCGCGGCAAGGCCTCCTTCGACGCCTTCACGCACCAGCGCAGCATCGCCGAGACGCCCGCCTGGGCCGAGGCCACCCTGCGCGTGCGCTACCAGCCCTACGACTGGTCGCAGCTCAACATGCTCAAGTTCCTGACCGAGCGGAAGCCCGACTTTGACCGCGAGGGCCGCGTCGTCAACGGCATCGGCTACTGGATGAAGTTCCTGCTGGGCCTCGGCACCGCGGAGAAGAAAGGTGCGTTGCTGAGGTGGTTGGCCCTGGTCGTGGGGTGGTTTTATCTGACTGGTGGGAAGCGGACGAGTAGGCTTTGATTCTTGAGAGTGAGCGCGTGACAAAATTGCGGCGGGGCGCGTTCTTGCCTTCCAGTTCGATCGATTACAACCTGTGTGTGCGCATCACTTGTACGTCAATATTCTGCGCTTTCTTGAGACTTGCAACAATACCTTTTTAGCTTCCTGGTGCCATAGTGAGCGGATGCATTCCAACGGACCAACGGCTTGTACATTAGGGTGCGGCATAATGACAGACAGCTTTGACGCTGTCCCGAAAGATAGGGACTGCAACCAAAAGGGTGAATGAGTGGACGGCTACATACTGGTGGCTGCTTAGGGCTGTCAGCACTGCTGATACGGGAGACTTGGGTTCACGAGGGGAGCGGTAATAATACGATTGAGTTCATTCGATTCTCTACCTTGAACATGCCGTCTTAATTTTGTTTGTCCTTTTTGTTGGTGGGGGGGGGCCGTCTTGAAGTTTTAAATGGATTGCTCGAGGCATCGGCCATAGTTGGAAATGGGCGGAACTGTAGGAGTAGGGCCTGGGGCAAGCTACTTAAGTATGTTGTCACCTTGAGATACTTTGCATTGTACCACTTGTGCTTGAAACAAACAAAAGGTCAAGTCGAAGGAGAATTCTGAGCATCAGGGCTAGGGCTGCACATTGTACTACTGTAGTGCAGGTATCCGAACACCACATTGACATTGAGGCCTCTGGATTTCCTTGTAACGCCCGTTCAGTGAAATTCCGGGTACGATCAAGAGCGGAGGGCTGAGAGGAGATGAATGAGAGTGGCCACATGTGAGCAAGAGAGGAGCCTGAGTAAGAGCTAGACCACGCCCTTCGCCTTAAGATCATCTGCCTGTTGACACTATATGAGCTAGTCAGCCCGGAAGATGAGCAATTCAAGGTGTCGTGCCTTCTTGCCTTATGGAAAAGAGTGTTTAAGATAAGAATTGACATTGCTCTCAAGTCTGATGATGATAATGTGAGACAAGACGCGGGACTATAGGCCACATGTTGGAATCTTATTCATTTTCTTCTCTATCTGTGACTGTCTCGAGTCAAGACACAAGCATTTTGGACTCAAGCCCACCATCTATCAAGCTCGCTTTCTTGATTCTGTCAGTAATCAAGTATGAGCTGGCTTCTATATCCTCCTGATATAAGCAAGCATCAGCTCTAGATACCGCTCCACCAGAACGTCTCGGGAACCTTGAAGCTTCCCCTGACGGCCTTGTCCTCTTTGACCTCACTGCTATTGCTGACAATCACCTCGTACTCGCCCTCCTCGACGATCCACTTACTCCTCTCCTCATCGAAGTAGCTCGCAGCATACTTGGTCTCCATGTCCACCTTGACCGCCTTCTCCTCTCCGGCCTCGAGCTCGACCTTTGCGAAGCCCTGCAGCTCCTTGACCGGCCTGTTGACCTTGGCCTTCTTCTTGGGCGCAATATAGACCTGGACCACCTCGGCACCCTTGACCTTGCCCGTGTTCTTGACCTTGACGCTGACACTGAGCTTGCCGTCTGCCTCGGAGACCTCGAGCCCGCTGAACTGGAACGTGGTGTAGCTGAGTCCGTGCCCGAAGGGGAACAACACCGACCTGTCCGCGAACTCGTAGTATCTGTACCCGATGTACACGTCCTCGCCGTAGATGGTCCGTCCGCCCTCGGTGCGGAAGTTGAGGAAGGCCGGGTTGTGCTGCAGCTTGATGGGCCAGCTGAGACTGAGCTTTCCGGACGGGTTGACGTCGCCGAAGAGGACGTCGGCGATCGCGTTGCCCGTCTCGTTGCCACCGTACCAGGCTTGAACGATGGCGCCGGCTTTGTCAGCCCAGGGCATTGTAACGGGAGTGCCAGACTGGTTGACCACGACGGTGTGGTCCGGGTTGGCCTCCACCACTGCTGTGATGAGGTCATCCAGACCCGGGGGCAGGTCCATGTTCTCCCTGTCTGAACCTTCAGTCTCCCAGTCCGCGTTGAGACCCGCGCAGATGATGACCTGGTCTGCCTCCTTGGCCAGCGCCGCAGCTCTCTGTATCTCCTTCTCGGCATCGATGATCTTGCAGCCACCAACCCTCAGCGCGCCGCCTCCGAACAATACATTCCCACCGGCCAGCCTCGAAGTGGCCGCGCTTCCGAACTGCACTTTGAAGTGATACGTCTCGCCCTTCTTGACGCTGAAGTGACCGATCTCCTCAACGGTTCCCTGCCCGAAGAAGGTGTCGCCTTGTCTCTGGACAGTGTCGTTGTCGACGACAAGCTTTCCGTTGCAGAAGAGCTTGGCCGTGCCGATTACGACCAGCGAGAGCGCCCACTTGGCATCCTCGTCAGCGACGAAAGAACCTTCGAGGTCCGCATACCACTTGGTGGAGGTGATCTTGGGGTTGTAGTAATCCACCAACAGCAGGTCAGTCTTGTCCAGCTCGACGACGTCCAGAGGCGTGCGGTCCGCCTTCTCGTCTGGGTGCTCGTTGTACGCTGTCATTGTCATTCCGGGTTTGCCAGACTTGGACTTCAGCACTGCCCCCAGGAGCGGCAGCATCTTGTGGGCATAATGGCCGACAGAGTACTCAGGCGGCGAGTCCAACTTGGCGCTGATGCCGTCGAATGGCGTGACAGCGTAGAAGGCGGCAAGTGATGCGGAACCGCCACCGTGATAAGTCGCGATCTTAGCGTTAGGTCCAATGACGACGGTCTAGAACAGTGTCAAAACCAGTTCTCATGATTGTAGAAGCCGGGCGACAACCTACCTTCTTATCCTTCTTCAGAGGCAAGATGTTCTTCTCGTTCTTGAGAAGCACGAGAGACTCGCCACCAATCTTCCTTAACAACGCAGCCGTCTCGGGGGTGTTTTCCGCCCTCTCCTCCTGGCCCTCCTTCACCCCGGACGCAGCACACTTCTTGACGAATTCGAGTACCTCTCTGGCCCTCTCGTCGAGAACGTGCTCCCGCACCTTATCTGTCGAGACGTTGAATTTCAAGGCCTCGCCCCTGAATCTCGGGGGGCCGGGCATCTCCAGATCCAGTCCTGCGAGGACAGACTCGGTCGTGCTGTAGGAACCGAACCAGTCACTCATCACGAGCCCCTTCCAGCCCCACTCGCGCCGGAGGAGCCCATCCAGAAGCTCCTTGTTCTCGCTGCAGTACGTGCCGTTGATGCCGTTGTAAGCAGTCATGAAGCTCCCCGGGTTGGAGTCTCGCACCGCGATCTGGAAGGGCTTGGCGTAGATTTCTCTCAGCGCCCGGTCCGTCACGATGGCCTGAGTGGCGTTGCGCTTGTGCTCCAGGTCGTTGCATACAAAGTGCTTGATGGTGGCCTGAATCCCCTTGCTCTGGATGCCGTTGATGAGTGCCGAGGCGCCGAGCCCAGCTAGTACTGGGTCCTCGCCAATGGACTCAAAGCCACGGCCGCCCAGAGGTGAGCGCTGCATGTTGATGGTTGGGCCGAGGATTACGTGGGCCCCTTTGGACTTGGCCTCGTCGCCCATCTTGCGGCCTGCCTCCTCGAGCAGGGGGAGGTTGAAGGTTGCGCCCAAGCCCGTTCCACATGGGAAGCAGGCTGCCTTGACGCCATTGAAGAATCTGTGATGGCATCAGACGCATATCCGGTTGATGCTGAGGCCTTGGAGGTATAGGCGGTGCATGTATCAAGGCAACTTACTTGGTGCCTCTCACACCATTGGGTCCATCGGAAGTTCGCAAGGAGGGGATTCCATGGTGAGGAAGGGCCTTTGTGTGCCAGAAGTCAATGCCAGACAAGAGGTCACACTTCTCGCTAGGGGTGAGCTTCTTGAGGACCTCCTCAACGTTGATGTCTGCCATGGTGCAGAATTAGAGAAGAAATTGGAGAAGGACAGCCACAGTCTGCTCCACACAGCCAAGTTGTCGAGGCAGGCCTTCCAGGGTTTGTGATGGAAGGAAGGAGATTCAAAAAGAACCATCCACTGACTAGCATTCAATGAGGGGCGTACAAAGGGAGTGAGTGGGGACAGGCAGGAGTGAGGAAGAGGCAACCTCCTTCACTTATAACATAGTATCCAGGCACATGGTGACGTGCCTGACAAGGTGACAGTTCCAGCCCACAAGGCTCGATCGAGCTCATCAGGCCAGCTCGGCGTGGGTCCAGCCGTGTTGCCGGGATATGGCATGGCACAGACATGGAGAGCTTGTGTCGTACCTGGACATCAGTCGGAACCCGCTGGGTTACAGCTTCCCGGGGGTCACGCAAGCAGCAGGTGCAAGTAGCGAGTGGGTTGCCATGGAGAAGGGCGTGGCCTGGCTTTGCCCGAGCCGGCGGTCACCCAGCCCGGAACAGCCTCTCGGCTAGGCACTTGCCCAAGAACAATTGAATGTCTGGGCCAAGCGTCCACCTGACCCAGCACATCCAGTCCCGTCCCCAATATCCCCCGGCGGGGAGGAGGGCGGAATTGGTTACTGTTGGGGCTGCCAGGGTGAGCTGTCGAGCCAAAAGCTCGGGCTCTAGGAGGGGCTATTGGGTGAGGGCCAATATCTTACAGGGGGTCGCGGCTGAGGAAGCCCCTCAATGATGGCCAGATCCGAGGTTTACCCAGCCCCGAACTTGGACCGGTCGAGCCTACACCAATTGTGGCCCAAGCTTGGAGCGCTAGGCGGGGACGTTCTGCCCGTCTACCCGCCAGGCCCGTCTGCTATTTCACCTGGCTGTTTGCCATAAAACCTCCGAGGCGATCGTGATGTCGGCTCTGAGCCTCCTGGATCCGGTAGGGCAACTGGCCTGACCCGCCCGCAGTCCTTCTGAAGCCATGTTTGGCCTGGTGACTCTGCGCGTCGAGGAACAGGATTCCTTGGCTGAACGACCTGCATGTCCCAACATGCCTTGTTTTGTAAACTCAGTCGACAAGTAAACAAATCATGCAACACTTTCTGACCCTGAGACCGAGCGTGGTTCCGCTGGGCAAACTAGGATCATCGGATGGTACGGACAGAACGCTGCTGGCTGCTGTTTGTGTTACATACGGAATTACGAAATACGAACAAGGTATTCCTCGGCACATCACAGCAAACCAGCTCAATAGAGTCCGATCAAAGCGGTGCTCACTACGATGGGGCCCAACTGGTGAGGTTACCTAGGACCAAGGTACTAATCTCAGATTTCACTCTATTATGGAAAGCTTCCGAGGCTCTAGTCTCACGTATTCATCGTCAAACCCCCATTTGGGACCACCAACTTGACCAGGTATTGTTCCCTAAGTACACAAACACAAGCCGGGTGCCACAAGACCAAACGCCAGCAACATGATAAAGAAAAGAAAAAGAAAAACAGCATGCTCTCCGACTAAGATACAATCAAGCCGCCTGTGCTACCGACCGGCCTCCGCGAGCAGCCGAGCCACCTTTCCGCTGCCCGGCATTGGGCCGCGCCAGCGTGTACTTGGCAAAGGCGCGGGCCAGGGCCTTCTTGCAGCTCACCTTCTGGCTGCCAACGAAACTCTCGATGGTAACGGCAATTGCTCGGTCGATGTCCTGCGACGTAACGTAATCGGCCAGTCTCATGCGGCAGAAAGCCTCGCTGATACGGATGATGGCTTCCAGATGACGGACCTGCAAGTATTTTGTCAGCTATCAAAGCTTCGGCCCTGAAGCGTCAGAACATGACTTACTGTGATCGGGTAGGCGCCGGTGGCTAGACTCTCCCTGCGCATATCGGCGAAAAGTCGCGAGATCTTGTCCTCGTCCATGTTGCCCAGCTTCGGCGAGCAGTGCTCACGTGCCCAGAGGATGTACTTGCGAAGAAGCTCTTGTGGGATTTCGCCCTCCTTGTTGGCGCCCGTAGCTGCTCTAGAAGAGGCCTGGGTCTCGGTGGCCTGGGTCTCGCCCTCTACGTCCATGGAGTCGTCATTTGTCTTCTGAGTGTCGGTTGGGTGGCTGCGACTGTGCGATCCAACAATGAAGCGGGCAAGACGCTCGTCCTCAGATGGGTCCACGGTGTCGCGGACAACACAGAGGATATCAAAACGAGACAGAATAGGCTCCGTCAACTCCACGTTGGAAGAGAATGGGATCGTCGAGTTATAGCGGCCACCGATAGGGTTGGCGGCAGCGATGATACCGCAGCGTGCCTGCAGCGTCGTGACAATACCGGCCTTGGAGATGGAGATGGTCTGTTGCTCCATGGCCTCGTGGATGGATGTCCGATCCTGATCATTCATCTTGTCAAACTCGTCGATGAGGCATGTTCCCCTGTCGGCCAGCACGAGGGCACCGCCCTCCAGAGTCCATTCGCTGGTCAGAGGGTCCCGACGGACACTAGCCGTGAGACCCACAGCACTGGCTCCCTGGCCAGTCGCGAACACGGCGCGATGGGCGGTCTTCTCGACGTACTTGAGTACTTGTGATTTCGCAGTACCAGGGTCACCCAGCAGAAGAACGTTGATATCTCCACGGACGTGGTGAGAGCCCTTGGTCGTCTTCGCTACACCGCCGAAGAGAGATAGCGCCACCGCAGTCTTGATGTCTGTGTGGCCGTAAATGCTGGGAGCGATCGAGTTGATGATCTTGTCGGTGATCTGAGGGTCCTTGGACAGTCTGCGGATTTCTTGCTCGTCCTCTTCAGTCAGCCGGAACCCGGCAAGCTGATCATGGACCTTGACGACGTTGTTCGCCTCGAGGATGGTGGCAAAGACCGGGAATCCATTCCTGTTGTTCAACTGCGCATCGTAGTTGTTGCGATAAATGCCGGTGACTTCGATCTCCTCGCCGGGCTTGGCCTTGTCGATCAGGTCCCACAGAAGAATGACCTCTCTGTGGCGCGGCAAACGACCAGCGGGGACTGTGCCTGGTGACTCCTGCAGAGTCAATTTCTGATAATTACGATAGACTGTCTTCTCAGAGTTTACTGTGAAGGGCCCGCGAGATTGACAGTTTTGACAGTAGGTGATCTTGACCTCAACATTTGACTCCTGCTGGAAGGGGCCCAGCGTGATCCCGCACTTGGTGCAGTCAAATTTGACATACTTCAGCTGCGGGAAGACGCCGGTACGTCGTGTAACGACACCGCTGACTCGAACCAAGCTGTTGAGATGTTGCTGTCGAAGTTGTCGCAATGTGTAATTCAGGGGCAAGTCGTAGATCCTGACATGGATTTCGGCGTGGATGCGCTCGTAGTCTGGGTAGTGAAGAAGCACAACGTCCATGGCCACCTCGTCAAACAACTTGAGCATCTCGGTTGGCGCATTTGCCAGGAAGAAGGCAAGGATGGCCTTCTCGGATGCGAGCTCGGTGTACGAGACCTCAAGGGTCTCGGCATTGACCTCACCCAATGTGCGAATACGGTTTCCGTAGACAGACAATCCGTTCTCGTCCGTGTACTCGGTGAGGAATGACTTGAACTCGCGCTTGACGGAGCGCTGCACATTCAACTGAGACACCCACTCGGTGATGTTGGACGACTTGACGTCTCGAAGTGCTTCCAGGGACAGTTCTTCGTCCATAATGTCGACATCCATGTCGTCATCTGGGTCCTCGTCGTAGCGGTGACGCCTTCGGCGAGGCTGCGCAGTCAGGTCCATCCCCGGGGATTCCGCCCCGTCGCTAGGAAGGAAGGCAGCAGGCATGCGCTGTCTGCGAGCGACTTCGCGATCCCTGCGATTCAATTGTGCCTCAAGCCTGCGGCGCTCGGCGATGTCCATGTCTCCATAATCACCCTCATCATCAAGGTCGACGCCCTCGTAGGTGTCGTTGGCATCCCGCTCGGCGTAGTCATGTTCGAATCCCTCACGGAACAGATCGACGTCATCTTCAGCCATCTCGTCGAGCTCGTCAATGTCGTCCTGGATTTCAGGCTCGTCCTCGATATCGTCGTCGTCATCGCCTCCATGAGCAATATTAAAAGCCGGTGGTGATGAGGGCATGGGGCTTGACGCGGCGGCAACAGATGAGGAAACATCATCGCCGGCCCCTCGAGACCTCTTAAGGCCAGAGCGAGGTGCGGCGCCGCGGTTGGCGGACGATGGATTGGGTCTCAGAGGTGAGCTGTGTTTGCATAACGTTAGCAATCGGCTTCAATCTACAGGTTTGACACCGTGAGGAGAACGACGTTCAATGAGAACAGCGTGACATACCTCATCCTGAATGTGCCTGATCGTCTCCTCTTTGTGTTGGGTTCGGGTTGTCAAACAGAGGAGGGAAAGGTGCAATGCAAAAGAGAGGCTTTTGGTAATGTGTGGGAGGTGAAGTGGGGTTGGAGTCTCAGGCAGGTTCAAAGTACGAAAGGGAAAGCGAGCATGCAAAAGAGGACCACTTTACGCGCCCGACGCGTCGACGCGTTTAATTGATTTTTAGCGTGTCTGCTCGGCTTGCAATCAGAATGCCGAAACAGGCTGCCGGGATTGGGACAGTTGGTTTAGGAAGGCAGGCGTCGCGCCGCGCCACCAGACGGTCGGCAGGCAGCCTGCCCTGGTCCGTCGAGCGTCAGCGGCACCCAGCATCATACCCAGTTACTCCGTGCCTAGGTATCCAGGCAAGCTCCGACGCGGGTCGCGCAATCAGAGACCCACGGCATAAACCATCCTTGATACCAATATATTGGCACATTTGAACCTCTCCCAATTTCACCGTCTGTCTTACTCGACGCTGCAGCCATCAATGGATCCCTCCACGCCGGCCATCGAGAACGTTGCCGCGGGCGATACAGAGCAAGCCGCGCCGGCTACTCTAACACGGCGCGACAGCACTTCTCAGCGGAGTGACAATTCCCAGACGGCAGCCGAGTGAGCATTTCCATCCACAAATACAATGGCCGCTTCTTCCATCCAACCTTCTGACATTGTCTAGCATCCTCCGGGAACAGGAGCAGCTTGAAGCTGACGCGCGCGAAGCCCTACCATACGTGAGTGCAGTCATCCATGCGATCCCTGGACTTCATCACCAGAACACCCGTGTCTGACCATATGGCAGAGCATCTCGAACTGCACCAAAGACCTCGGAGCCCTTCGTCAAAATGTCTACTCATGCCTCACCTGCAACCCTCTCCCCGCGAATCCGACCGACCCATACAATGCCGCGGGAATCTGCTACGCGTGCTCGGTGCAATGTCATGGCGAACACCAGCTCGTCGAGATCTTTGCCAAGCGCAACTTCACCTGCGACTGTGGCACCACGCGCCTACCTGCGACGAGCCCTTGCACCCTGCGCTTGGATCCTACGACCAATGCCAAGGGTGACGTCCACTCTGAAGAGCCAGCGGCCAACAACAAATACAACCAGAACTTTCGCAACAGATTTTGCGTCTGCGAGTGCGATTACGACCCCTTCCAACAGAAAGGGACCATGTACCAATGCCTGGGACTGGGCACACACGAGACGGGAGGCTGCGGTGAGGACTGGTATCATCCTGGCTGCATCATGGGTCTCGGACCTAGGTGGTACGAGAAGATGGAAGGGAAGAAACCTGAGCATACTGCATGCTCTCATAGTGGCGCCTTGGCCTCAATATCAGAGGCAGCCGAGACAGAAGTTCAGAGTGAATCCGATGCGCCTGCGCCTGCGCCTGCGCCTGCGCCTGCGCCAGCAACGGCCAATGAGACAGGAGACGACAATGAGGAGGAAACACCGAACCCTGCCGGGTTCCCCGCGGATGACGACTTCGAGAGTTTCATCTGCTTCAAATGCGTCGACACAGCCCCTTGGATCAAGCGATATGCCGGTACCCCAGGATTCCTCCTCCCGGTACACTATAGGCCCGAAGGTGACAGCGAAGAGAAGACCGTCTCGGACGAGGCCCCTGGTGACTTGAACAAGAAGCGCAAGGCAGAGGACGGTGACACCGTGGATTCTCAAGAGTCAAAGAGGCTTAAGGTCGAGTCGGATGCCGTGGGCAATGCTGATGCCGAGCCCAAGCCTGAAGACGACAGCACCGTGGTTACAGAGTCCAAGGTCGATACTAAGCCCGAAGCCTGCAAATACGAGGCTTTGCCTTCAACACCAGAGGGAACGTTCTCCTTGTTCTGCGCCGAGTCGTTTAGGGACCGTCTCTGCAGATGTACAAGTTGCTTCCCTAACCTTGCACCGCATTCCCAGCTTATAGAGGACGAGGAAGTGTACGAGCCTCCGGTTTCTGAGGATGGATCCGACAACGGTGGTTCAACTCACGGCAGCGGCAGCCTGTACGAGAGGGGCGAGAGTGCCCTGCGCAACGTGGACCGGGTACGCGCCATCGAGGGTGTCATGGCTTACAATCAGCTCAAGGACAAGCTGAAGCCTTTCTTCCAACAATTTGCGGATAGCGGGCAAGCCATCAGCGCAGACGACATCAAGGAGTATTTTGCGAAGCTGCGCGGTGACGATGAAGCAATCAAGGAGGCGGGCGAGTCTGCCAACAAGTCGGATCACCGGCACGAGCAAGCTGGATATTGATCAGGCGAAAAAAATGGAAAGGGAAGGTGGACACACGGCGGGACACACGATCTTCTCTGCCCCCCAGCAAATTTAATGACTGATGAACTTGTACATTACTACGTGGATGTGTGGCTTTGATGAAAAGTCTGGGATGGATCCGATAGTGTTGGACACCTGTGTCGCGGAAATACGATTCGGCCTAGGGATCCTTGCCCTTGCGTTGATTTTCTTTTAGAACGGACAATATATGGTCCTACTCATGTATTCAGTACCAATTGGCAGTGAGAAGCTTAGCCGGAATAAAGATACGCAGCAGCCAGCTCAAGGAGGAGGCAGAATGCCCCTGCCCTCTATCATCATATTCTCGTTCCTCAAGAAATAATCAGATTCATCAAAGACCTGGGATATCAGACAGCCGAGTCTTTCCTGCCTTTCTCCGCATCATGAGCAGTGGATAGCTCCTCAACACGGCACGCATCAGGAAAGGTCTTCCTGCTCGAGTCACTTCCATCAACCTTGCTGTCCGGACGACCCAGTGCTTGCCGCACTCGAGGGCCTTGGTGGCAAGGCCGGCATTCCAACTCCGAGCGAGTCTTCTCTCTGCATCGCCACTCCACCCATCTGCTGCGCGCCCAGGGTCGATTCCTGACCCTGGCCATCCATGCTCTGTTCCATGGCCCCAACACCAGCCAGCGCCTCCTCGGCGGCCTTCCTCTCCATCTCCTGCAGCCTGAGCTTCTCCATATGGTCGACCAGGTCGTCGTCGTCGCTCCAGTAGGGGTCGTCGTCGGGCATCTCGGGCATGGCCATCCTCTTCCAGAAGCGCATTTCCTGCCGTATGGCCTTCATGTCGACGCGGCGCTCCCACCTGGCGCCATCCTCGTCGTACTTTGAGCGGAACTGCCGCAGGTTCTCGTTTGCCTTGCCGGCGTGCGCCTGCATCTCCCAGATCTGCTCGCGCAGCCTCATGTTCTCGGCGCGCTCCTCGGCCAGCTGCGCGCGGTAGGACCGGTGCCACGAGGCAACGTCGGCGACGTGTTTTTGCTTGTAGTCGTGCAGCTGCTTGAGCATCGCGGCGATGACGGAGGCGTAGTGTGTGGAGAGGGCGCGGTACTCGTCGCGGCTGAACTTGGCACGTTCGAACAGCTCGGTGAGCAAGGAGATGGTGGTGTCGATGTTTGCTTCTTGGGCTTGAACGGGGGCGTTGAAGTCAGCATACTGGCATTGAGGAGGTAGACAGGCAGGAGGGGGGTGCAACGCACTGCCGAGGTCATCGGCGGCCGAGGTCAGCAATTCCTCGTTCCCTAGCGACTGCGTCCTTGCTCGGTTCCTGACCCGGCCAACGCTGGCCACGACGTCTTCCAGAGCGCGTTTGTTCTCGGCCAGTTGCTGGCTCAGAACCTCCACCATGTTGTAGATGTAGGCCAGCTCTGCCTGATAACCGGCCGGCGTGGGGTACCCGTTCACCAGGGCCGGCATGGTGCTGCCATTGAGGCCATTCATGATGGACAGCCTGGGCGAGGTTGTCCAGGGTGGGCAGGGCGGTAGCTTGAGCAGTAGAGCTGCAGGTCGCTGGGCTTCGCTGTGGATCGAAAGTGTCGCTGTGGATGTGACGATGGGTTGGTTGGTTGGTTGGTTGGTTTGCCTAGTTATGTCTAACTAATGACAAGACCAAGGGGATGGATAGACGCGGTGTTGAATAGCTCTATTGCAAGTACCTGCAAGTACGGCCGACGGTACGGAGTACCCCTGCATCCCGCAAATGGGTACCCCTGTCTGTGCCGCAATTTGGCGAGCCCGGCTCCGAGAGCTTGGAGCTTCGCGACTGAAGTCATCGGCCCGCCCATGGATTAAAGATCCTCGGGAGGCTTTCCACCACACGACACTTGCCAAAACTGCCAGCGAGCTCCAACTTCTGGCCACTCCACCAGGACCCTGCCAATTGATCGTCTGCAACATGCTAAGGTAAATCGCTGCTTTGGTGCAAGCCTCGGCCGTCGCGGTACGTGCTAATTGTGGCGCAGGCCAACAATCCTGGATTGAACATTTCCTCCACCATGCGCTCGAGCTCGACGCGCAATGTGTACCAAAGATTGGTGGCCTGCCATGGCCTGTCTTCTGCGCCAGGACCGGCCCTCCCGAGCTCATCTCGACCGACTTCGATATGCTCCCACCGTGCGGCAGCCAGGACCCCGCCCCGTCGGACGTTTATGAAGATGAACCTCTTCAAAAAGCCCCCTAGAGAAATAAAACAGGGCGGCTTCGAACCAGGGTTCGCCACCTTTGTCGAGTTCCGAGCTCGGTCTGTGGAGAATACCCAGCTCCCCTCCAGGGAGGAGCTGGTCGAGGCATTCCGCACCTTTTTCGAGTACAAGCTGATGCGCAAGAAACCCCTCAACCCGACCCAAGCCTTCTGCGCAAGACTGGTTGTCGATTATTTGCAGAATACGGTGGCCGAAGCCAGCTTGACCAAGGAGGACCTTCAGAAAGCCTTGTATGCCGTCTCGTTGCCAGCGGGTCGCGGCCGCACCACGGAGCATGTACAGCTCGCGACAAAGCTCTACCACCAGCTCAATGGCCTGAAATACTCCGGCCGGCCTGTCGACGAGAGAGAAAGGATCGAAGAATTGACCTCGGATGATCTGGAACGCTATATATTGGTACTCATAAGGCAGAACGCTACGAAGACGGCGATGGACACTCTCTTGGAATTTCGAGATCTTTATCCTCAGGTCGATTCGAAAGGGACGAAACAACTAAACGTTCTTCGCTACCATGTTCTCAAGGGCCTTGCATCAGAGGGCGACGAGGTCAAACTACGGGATTTTGCGCATGACCTACTCAACTCCGGCTATGGTTATTCTCCTTTCTTCCATGGGATGATGACATCGTTCTATAGCAATGTCGACGCGGACGGCGAGGGTGGCCTCCGAGAGTGGTTCGAAAGGCCCATTCAACACGACCTGAGGCCAACGCCCGACGCCTACGTGGCACTCATCAAATTTTCAGCTCGGACGAGAACGGAGCCGGATTGGTTAAAGAAGGCTATGCAGAAGCTCTGCGATTCCAATCCACCCAAGGCCTGGTGGGACGTGATACTAAGGTGGGCTGTCTACCAAGGCAAAGACATCGACCACATCAGGCGTATGATCGACGTCATGATCCAGACCAACGAGCAAAATGATTCGGTCCGGCCAGACACTCGTACGATCAACGGCCTGCTCTCAGCAGCAGTTGAGCATGGCAACCCTCTGTTTGCCGAGCGGATAAATAGTCTAGCACTCGAGCTGGGGCTACGCCCAAACGCAGCCACCTACTCACTGCTTTTGCAGGCGCGAACCACTGGTGAGGATGGGGTCGGTGCAGCATCAGCTTTTGCTGACCTGATCCATTGCACCGCCTTGGCGGATCAGGCCATCAAGGCCATCAACCAGTATATCAGGCAACTATGCCATGCTACTCCCTTGGACTACGATCAAGTCCTGGCCGTCCTGACCCATGTTGAGAGACGGGAGGTGGAGCTGGAGCCCGAGACAGTTGTGGCGCTATGCTTGATGTTCCTCAAGAACGACAAGGCTCACGAAGTGATTGACACACTCAGTCTTCATGTCAAACAGTTCAGTATGGAGGACCGGCAAGTCATATTGGACAGCCTGCTCAAGTACTGCCAGGACCGCGACGTAAGCACGGCACGTGCATGGGACTGCTACAACATCTTGCGGCAGTTCTTCCCAGAGGCCAGCCGGGAAGAGCGGGTAGCCCTTATGGAGAGCTTTTTCGACCGCAAGCGTGCCGACATGGCATGCTACATCTTCGGACACATGCGAGCGCACGACAACGACGACATGCGGCCCGACCTTCCCACCTATGTAGCCTGTCTGGAAGGGCTAGGGGCTTGTCCGGACGCGGAGAGCGTGCAGATGATCCACAACATGTTCAAGATGGACACGAAGATACAGCCGACGACGAAGCTCTACAATGCGTTTATGCTTGCATACACCGCGTGCGATGAACCTTCGCAGGCATTTGACTTCTGGCGGGAGATCTCCATGTCAGCAGAAGGCCCGAGCTACACCAGCCTGAGCATTGTCTTCCGCGTGTGTCAGGTCCTGCCGTACGGTGATGAAAAGGCCAAGAGAATATGGGACAAGATGCACAGGATGGAAATCGAGATCCCCATCGGCGTTTACTGCTCGTATATCGTCATGAATGCCGGCCAAGGGCATCTGGAAGACGTCAAGGCGTTGTTGATCGGCATGGAGGCCACCTATGGGAAAGAACCCGACTGGAACACGTAAGTCACAAGTTGGGGTGTGGTGTGAGCCCGATGCACTCAATACTAACAACCTACGCAGAGTCGCCGAGACCTTCAACGCCTTCACGAATTTAGATTTGCAAAGCCAGTTCCGCGAATGGATTGCTCTCGAGTTTCCGAAGCTCGGGGTGGGGCTGTCCAAGAACAAGCATTTGGTCAAAACAGTTCGTGGCACTGAGCGAATACCACTGAAGACGAAGAGACTGCGCGCGGCGCAGTATGAGAGCGCCTGATGGTACACCGCAAATTGAACATTGGATCAGGTGGACCTCTTAGGCAAATACAATTGATTGTACACGAGACCGACCATATCATACAGGCTTGATCCTCTGCCTGTCAGGATCAGGTATTTTGGCGTTCTGGTATCTTGGGGCTTGGTCACCGTTGTTCCGGAAGAGGATCATTGGGTGGTGATGGGTGCTAGGATGCAGCCCCATGCCGATAGACCTCCTGATGGCCTTGGCCATCTTCCTTTGATTCACCGGTCGTAGTCCAGTCTCCTTCGAGTGCTTGATACGGCCCATTGTTGTCATGAACTCGGACATGATGGAGAAGTTCTGTAAGCCGGGTCAGCGTAGCCCAGAGAACATCAAGGGGCAGCCATCACGGGCCAGGCTGAGCCGGCTGGGAGCCATCCACCTCTCAGTGTGATAGAGACACACGTGGTAATGCCAGCTTCTCGGCCTAGAGATGACAGCGACGTACCCTATAGTGATCCAGAGGATTCAGTCCAAGCATGTCTATAATGTCCTTGCTCGGCTGCTTGGGCGCCTTCCACTTCCTCATCTCCTGCGGGGACAGGTCATGCGGCGCGTAGATGTCGCCGGGTTTCCAGTTCCGCGTCGATTGCCGCGCCAGGTTCGCGCTGTTGGTGTTTTCCTTCGCCGATTGCGCGAAGTCGTCCTTTCTGAACTGGATCTTTTGCTTCGCGTTCGACTTTTCCAACAGGCTTGTAAGACGGTCATTTCCCGTGAGCTGGCCGGGCTGGCCAGGCGACAGACCCGAGCTGCCACCATTGCTGCCCTCGTCCATCTCCATGAGCTCCTTGGTCGCGCTCGGGCTGGTGAACTTCACTGCTCGGGTAGTCAGCCTTCAGGTCGGTTAGATCTTAGGAGGGGAGATTGGAGACTGGTCTGCAACGTACGCGCTCCATTTCTGGATGTCGAAGAAATTGCGACCCTCTGTTGGAGGGTGCAGGGCTTCAATTGCCGCGAAAGCGGCTGCAATGAGAGTCTTGGTGGCATCGTGGCTGTCTGGTCGAGCCACTCGCTGCAAGCTGAGGCAAGTCGACTGGCGACGTCCAAGTCGTCGTTCCTCTCTGGCCGGGTTGTTCTAAGCGGATTTTCTGCGGCAGGCCGGGGTGCAGCTAGGTGGGGCCGAGTCGGTGCCGACATCTGGACCCGCTGAAAAAGTTGACCCACTAGAAATTGGCAGCGTGGAAACATCAACGACTTCTTTCTCTCATCAAGCCCCGTTTCGTATCGACCACTCAGTCACTGCAAAATCCGGCAACATGGTCAGAAAGCTCAAGCATCACGAGCAGAAGCTGCTCAAGAAGACAGACTTCATCACCTACAAGCAGGACAATGGCCACCGCGACCACAACGTGATCCGGCGGTACATGATCCAGAAGCCAGAGGATTACAACAAGTACAACAGACTGTGCGGCGTGAGTGCACTCTGGTCCACGGTGATACCTGAGCCCGTTCGTCTAACGAAAATCATTGCAGTCACTGCGGCAGCTTGCCCACCGGCTGTCACTCATGCCCCCGGAGAACGAAGTGCGAAGGAAGCATGAGAAGCTTTTGCTGGAGAAGGTCTACGACATGGGCATCCTGTCGTCCACTTCTAAGCTGAGCTCCGTGGAGCACGGTGTGACTGTGTCTGCCTTTGCACGGCGGCGCCTTCCTGTCGTCAGTAAGTTTCGGGCCTCGACTGTCGGCGTTTATAGCGCCGTGCACTCCCGTGCGAGCCTCATGCTGACACCTCTGGCAGTGACGCGACTGAGGATGGCTGAGACCGTCCAAGCTGCCACCAAGATGATCGAGCAAGGACACGTCCGTGTCGGCACGGAGACTGTCAGTAAGTCATGGCCCACGACTGCCCGGCGCGCTACCTGACCTCTTCGGAGACGTGACTGACCGCGACGTATCGTAGCCGACCCCGCGTTTCTGGTCACCCGGCAGCTGGAGGACTTCGTGACTTGGTCCGTCGGTAGCAAGATCAAGCGTAACATCATGCAGTACAGAGACAAGCTGGATGACTTCGAGCTGCTATGATAGGCATCCTCGGCACAACGTCATTCTTTGGATCAGAGTTCGACTTATCCTACGCTCTTCCCGCGCGAGCGGAAGGTATCGAGGCACTTACCCCCGCCATAAGTGCGGTTTCATCGCAAATGTGTGAGCCGCCGTGTGCGGGCCTTGGGAGCAACCAAACTCCGCCTCGGCTCCCTGGCTGAGCCCGCGACTCGGCATGAAACCATAACTTTCATGCCGAGGAGCTTAGGAGGGCCCCCTTGCACGGTGACCAGGTGCTCGATCGCTCGCCAAACTGAAAGGACGGGAGATTGTCGACATTGTTTGCTGAGCATGTGGATCTGCGCAAGGTTCAGCGACCAGTCGGGAAATATGCAGGAGGGCAGTGCTGGAAACAGCCGCACGGGCACAAGATGCCGTTGGAAGGCTGAGTTGGAGACTGAACTGCCATCCAATTCGTTTGGCAGTGTGCGGCGTCGCAACGGTCTCGGTATATTCGATTCGACGAACGGTAGTCCGAGAAGAGGGACCTCGGGATGACTAGGCAACTGCTCGGCCAACCGCAAGGCGGATTTCTCACACATCGTGAGCCTGAGATGAACATGTTGCAGGACGGCGACAGCCATCTGAACCAAACCGTTGCCTTGCAGATAGAGTTGAACGAATCTGTAGCCTCGGAAGAATTGACCGAGGTCTGGTCTTGGCAATCACTGCCGTATCCCTATTCTATCCAGTCATGCGAGTCCACAAAGGAGCCTTCCCAGTATCATCTGAATTGACAAAACTTTGCCCTTACAGGTTAGGAGAATAAAAGAAGCATCAGAGATAAGCTTCTTGGGCGGTTCGAAACACTTAAAACCCCAGGTGTCGAAACCTCAACATCGGACGACCCGTCCCCTCCACCACGGAAATGTTGCGTTTGAGGGTCCAAGCCTCTTTCGCTCTCGGCACGCTCTGAAAACGGCAAGCGTGGGGACGAGAAGACATACCTACCGATGGCTCACAGTTCCTATGGGACTCAGATGAAGCAATGCACACCCGTATATATCCAGACGAGGTACCACCTCTATTCCCTTCCGGGCTCTCATGGAATCCAGACCGGTCTGCATTCTTTCGCGCCATCTACTTTGAGTTGTCCCCCTGGTGGGAAAGACACCCGTTCTCTATTCTATACAAATAAGCACATGATCCTTGTCGAACATCACATTCATACCTACAGCAGAGATGTACTCTTCGGGGTTAGTCCTGGGGGCCCTGCTTTTCAGCGGCTACACCAACGCGCACGGGACGGTCTCAGGGATTGAGATAGACGGGAAGTTGTAAGTCCACGCAAAATCAACCCCATATCTCAGTCCAACCTTGGCTGACATTTTTGAAGCATCCAAGGATATAGCCCCAGCCAGCAATACCAGAATCCACCGCCGAAGGTGGTCGGCTGGTCCATACCGCAAGACCAGTCTAACGGCTTCGTCGAGGACATCACCAGCCCAGATGTGATCTGCCACATCGGCGCCACCCCAGCCCCGATCACAGCCCCAGTACAGGCCGGTGCCAACGTAACGCTGTTCTGGACCAGCAACTGGCCCGAGTCGCACCACGGGCCCATGCTGGACTACCTGGCAGCGTGCCCCGGCAACGACTGCGCCAACGTCGACAAGACGCAGCTGAAATTCTTCAAGATCGACCAGGTCGGGCTCGTCGACGGGTCCAAGCCGCCGGGGACATGGGGATCCGACCAGATGATCGCCAACAACTTCTCATGGACGACGACCATCCCGGCGTCCATCGCCCCCGGGCAGTATGTACTGAGGCACGAGACCATCGCCCTGCACGAGGCCCAGAACGAGGGCAAGGCCCAGAGCTACCCCCAGTGTGTGAGCTTGGACGTCCAGGGCGGCGGCACGGCGGCCCCCGAGGGCGTGGTTGGTACGGCGCTATACAAGAAGGATGACCCGGGCTTAGTGTTCAACATCTATACCGAGCATGCTCCGTCGGATTACACGCCGCCTGGGCCGCCTGTCTTTACGGGCTGATGTCGAGGTGCGACTTTTTAAAGGTTATGAGACCGGACCCTGGCTCTAGCTTTCGCAAAAACTTTCCTTCCCCATGTTTCTTGAAAACAAGGATCTTGTACTTATTCCTTTATTTCGTGTTCTTACGACTTTACGATTGGACCCCTCGGTCCTCTTCTTCAGCAACTGTAACTACTTGTTCAAAATGAGACATAGTAACATTTCAGAGCAGCCTATGATAATTAGTGTTGGTCCTTTTAATGTTTATTGATTTAAGTTCCTAATTATTGATACCTAAGCAGTTAGTTGGTGTAAGCCGAGGTCCCACGAAATGGATTTTATTTCAGGCTCTGCGCACCAGAACTTGGCCTGTGTTGGGCAAACTTTCAAACACGCTTTAATTGTGCCTCTGACCTTTCACTCAAGTGATCTGCTGGTTGATGTGGACGCGCGAAAGTATCTCGGGAAAATTTGTGATAGCATGGTGGCATGGTCTGCCTGTGCGCAGGAAGGTCACTTCTTAACCCGCGTAAGCCGTACTCGGAATGCGTCTGTCCGGCCAGGCCACTATCACGGGCGAGATAAACCATGTCCGGCTCCAAGTCCATTGAACTGCTTGTAAATAGGATTGAATTCTGATTATTCACGTGCTTGCTATGCTTCACTTTTCAACCCAAGGACCGATTGGTGAAAGAAAGAAGCAATGTCGAGTGCGGATGTTGGCCACCCCGCCGCTTGATTCCAGTACGATCGCTGTATGTAGCCGAACGTCGATATTTTTCCACAGGACATAAAATTGTATCTGAACCAAAGTCATCACCACCCATTTCCAACCCAAATTGTCGCCACGGTTTAAAGCAAACAACCCAACAGACAGAGGGCGCACTCTCTGTAATCCTGATGGCATTGATTTCTGCTTGAACTCATCCGAGCCGCCCCACCATCCGACCATGAGCCGTTGTTAAGCTCACCTTGGTTCTTCGCCTCACCATGGCACCATCAACACGCAGGCTGATGGTCCAGCGCCCATGGTCCAAGGCTTCTAAAGCATGTCTGCTTCACGCCAACCCAATATGCCCAATAGGCATCCGCCACTCATCATCGTCATCAATACCGACTGAGACAACAACAACAGCAGCAGCAGCAGAAGAAGAAGAAGAAGAGCCCGCCGAGACGCGCAAGAGCCCATACGGACCATGGCGCAAGCTACCCCCAACCGAGCCCCTGCGCATCCTCTTCTGCGGCTCAGACGAGTTCAGCTGCCCCTCCCTGAGGGCACTGCACAGGCTGCAGGCCGACAAGCCCAAGCTCATCAGGTCCATCGACGTGCTGGTGCGGCCGGGCAAGCCCGCAGGGCGGGGCATGAAGCGCATCGCGACGGGGCCTCTGTTCGACCTGGCCGAGGTGCTCGGGCTCCCGGTCCACAAGCGCGACACCTTCACGGGGTGGGAGCTGCCGCTGCCGGGCCACGTGCGGCACCATGTGACGGGCGAGGTGCTGCGGCACCCGGCGGCCCACGAGAACTCGCAGCACCAGCCCTTCAACCTGATCGTGGCCGTGAGCTTCGGGCTGTTCGTGCCCCCGCGCATCCTGCGCTCCGTGCGCTTCGGCGGGCTCAACGTCCACCCGTCCATGCTGCCCGACCTGCGCGGGCCCGCGCCCCTGCAGCACGCCCTGCTGCGCCGGCGGGCCCACGTCGGCGTCACCCTGCAGACCCTGCACGAGCTGCACTACGACCGCGGCTCCGTCCTCGCCCAGACGCCCTGGCCGGGCCTGCCCGTGCCCGAGGGCTGCGACGTGCGCGGGCTGCACGACATGCTTGCCGACAAGGGCGCCGAGCTCCTCGCCGGCGCCCTCCAGAGGCGCGTCTTCGTGCCGCCGCTGCAGTTCGCAGGCTGGGAGCCCACGCATGAGGACCTGGACCGCGGGCTCGTCGTGGACGCGCCCAAGGTGTCCAAGGCCGACTCCATGGTCGACTGGGCCTGCGGGACCTGGGGCAGGGACAAGACGCTGTACCCGGAGGGGTGGACCGCCCAGGACCTGGCGGCGAGGTTTCGCGCCGTGGGCGTCAAGCTCGACCGTGGGGCGAGCAACACGGGCCTGTGGACGCATGCCATCACTGCCAAGAACCCGCACGAGAAGAGGCTCATCTTCGAGGACGTCGAGGCCGTCGAGTGTCCTGAGACCCTGAGGGAGGTCGTGCTCACGATCGCGCAGGCCAAGTTGTCAGGGCTGCCGCCGTGGCTGGTAGAGCAGTCAAGGAACCGGCGGTTGCCACCAAAGACCCAGACGGCAGTCTTTGAACAGAAGGATCCTCTCGATGTAAATGGCCCGACCGAGTTCAGGGTGCCGTACCTGATGGACGAGCACGGTGCAGTCACAATCCCCATCAAGGTACCATATCGCATCATCGACGGGCTTGTAAATTCCGCCCACCAAGAGGGCCAGCTGGATGCCATCAGGATCAAAAGAATCAAGGTTGAGGGCGCCAAGAGCAAGGAGGCCGCCCATGCTATTTCTGAGTTCAAGGAGGCCCACGTAACGGTGAGGGATATCTCGCTGATGGAATACAGCATGGAAACCATCACCAGACTCGTCGGGTAATATCGTTAGAGATCATGTATCAACAGGGTTCAAAAACAAAGGGCTGTCTGCTTCACATGAGCGCAGACCTATACATTTAGATACGGCGTTAATAGTTCCACATAAAACACGGTAACGATCAAATGAATTTACGAGCACGGAGCCGTGCAGTCATGATTTCATTGCTGAGGTACGGCTTTCAATGAGCCCTAGAGTTACAGCCTGGTGAGCGGCGGTGTCACCAGAAGATGCCATCTGCCGTGAGCATCATGTTTGTGTACGATGAGGGTAAAAGCCAAACCAATTCAGACGCCACCAGATGCCAAAATATCCACCGTGTCCTCAGAACCAGCCAACCGATGCCCACCGAAAGGAAAAGTACAATTCGTATCATGAGCTCATCAATCTCTCCCCGTTCGCCATACCCTTAAAGTGAGTGTTCTGTTTGCAACGCCTGAATGACTTGTGTGGAAGACCCTCATCGTCTCTCTCATCGTGTGGATGAGGGAGTTAGGCACTCTTGGCAGAGTGCTCGGTGGAGGCGGTGGAGGCAGTGTCGGTCTTTGTGAGCTCTGGGTCCTCAGCTCCGTGGACCGACTCCTCAAAGACGGGCTCGGGCTCGTTGAACTCGAACTTGGTCTTGAAGTCCTGGAGGTTGTTGGCATAGCCGGACGAGTTGGATCGACGGCGGGCGTTGGAGAAGTTGAACTGGTCGTCAAGGACCTCATCACCAGGGTTTCCCCTATCACATACCAATCAATATCTAAATCAGATGGAGGAGATTCGGCCTCGAGTCCTGTGTGACCATGTACCACTTTCCAAAGCCTCGCACCAACCCACCGGTAGATCTGGGGCACGCATCGTGGTGATGCAGCATCTGACCAGGGGATAGTGGCAGAAATGCTTGCTCTCAGGTCCGCAGCAACTGGGAGGGAACGAAGATGGGGGAGTCAGAGGGGAGCTTACCAGTTGCCTTTTCCTCCGCCACTCTTCTTGACCTTCTTGGGATCCTCACCAACGTGACCATGCTTTGCGAAGTAGCGAGGCAGATGCTCCTCAGGAGCAGCAGTGCCATTGGCCAGGCCGGCGTGGTCCTTGTCGTTGAGCTTGTGAGAACGAGTCACTATCAATCGAGCCTGGTTAGCGTCCACCTGGGTCATGATCGAAAAATGACGTTGATTCTCTCTTTCTCTTAATTGAGGGATATCCCGTTGCGGTCCCCCCCCCCCAAGGGCTGACTGTGCCCAACATGGGACGGCCAGCTTGTTGCTGCGGTTACACCAGACAAGAGGGCAGACTCACTGGTGATTGATCGAGTGGGATGGATGGGGAGTGTTGATGGATGATGGATGATGGATGAATGGATCTAGAAGGATTCAGGACCGTTTTCTAGATGATGTTCAGTCAGCGCCAGATGTCAATGCGGGGTTGTGTCCCAGGGAAGGGAGCTCTGAAGGTTTGAGGGCGAGCTTCCCCATTGGAGGTACGTACAAAGGGAGGTCGCGTGATGTCAATGCACCAGATATGCGAAAGATTCAGATGGCCTGGGCTCGACGCAACCTGATTGGGGAGGCAGTCCGGCAGTCAAGATGCTGAATGTTCAGATCGGGAGGGAGTTGGTGGTGAGAGACAGAGTTGGTTGGGGCAGGTGGACGTTGTTTGAAGGGCGCAGGTTTACAACACGGAGCTGGGAGTCTTGTCTTGACACAGACAGCCTTTCAGATACAAACAACGACGGAGGGGAAAGGGAGCTCTGCCTCCATTTAAAAAGGAGCAGGAGCTTGTCTGCCAGGGACCAATGGGCTGATTCGACTCTGTTCTATGAAGTGATCATGTGCCCCTGCTCGGGGTGGTCTCCGCTGCCAGCTTGAGCTCCCGTACGGAGTACAGCTACCTCCCACGGTACCTGCCTGGGTACCTGCCCCGGGCTGTCAACCTGGCCAGACAAGCCAAGTGTCAGGCACATGAGCAATTAACAACCTTGGAATCTGATGGTTTCAGGTACGGAGCCGGCAGCCGGCATTCAGCTGCCCTCTTTTGGCGACCACGACCCCCCGTACTGGGGGACGGCGGGGACTTACGGTGTACCGTTACCGTCGACCACGCGATCGCCGGACGTCGTGGCATGACATCAGAAGCCCTGGCCGTTTGGGGCCGCCCGTCACGCAATCTGGCAATCCACCCGGCCAGCATTGCTCGGCCTGCAGACCCAATTGATGCGATGCTGCGATGCTGCGATGACTGCAACCGTGTCCGTCTTGTGCAGTTGCACATACACAATACCTAGGCACCTTCCAAGGTTTTCAGAGGGCTCTCCTGGGCATGTCGTGTCGTGTGACTGGATGACTGGACCCCTCCGCGTCCAAGACCCCTGGGCCTTCCCCAGATCCGTCGATCCACTGTAAGCGAGAACCCCTGCAACGGACTGACGTCGCTGATTCCACCAGCCCCATGTACCGGTACCCCGGATTCTGGGGCTGGGCGGGCGGCCACCCCAGGTAGCACTACATATCCCAGTTGTCTACTACTCCGTACATAGTACCAAGTGTACTGCCTGCCCAGGGCAGCATCTCGATGGAATCTGTAGCACCAGACCTGTCCGGGCAGATTGAAGTCCTCGTCACTTACGTACGAGGGGCCGGGCAACGCCTAGTCCCCAAGCCTCGAGCTGGCCGGTACCACCGAGGCATCAGCGGGACGGCCGGGAAGGATGAGCACCGTGGATCCCATAGTAGATACCTAGGTAGAGAACGCCGGCACTTCCAGAACGGACCCCGATGGACACGCTGCGTACGGAGTACTGACAGTCCCCGGCCATTGCTAGAGACTTTACGCCGCAGACTTGCATGCAGGCTCAGAAACTCTGAAGCTGTCATGCCACCGTCATTGGCTGAGGAGCAAGTTTCTTAGGGCATAGACTCGGGCGAGACGGCGGCTTGAGTCCAGACCCAGAGCTCATTGAGTCAGAGCCTCTTGCTGTGTGTGAGAGGCCTGCCTCTGCGGTGCTTGTCAAGATCCAACTTGTTGCCCATGACTGCTCATAATCATGCTCGCCTAATCACTTGGTACCTACTGTAGGCGTATATCTTGTGCTGGTCGCTGGTTGCGTCCCCATTGGACCCTTCGTAGTTGTAGTCTATGGACCTAATCAGTGGACGGGAACTAGGGCCGATATCGGGAAGGCTGCGGCATTGATTGTTCAGCAGCGGATTTTGCTGCTTTAAGTCTTGGTAATTGCTACCGCTGATTCGCGTGCACTGTATCCACTCAGCTCTGGTGCAGTCATACAGTGCGACAGAGTGATCAGATAACACTTCTGCTCAGTTCTAGGGACTGAACGGTGCATCTCCGCCGAAAAGTAGATCGCCTTGGCGGGATTACAATATCACCGCTCAACCCAACCTCCTCCCCTATTAATCCTCTTTTTTCCATCTCTCACACCACACACAACCTTTGGAATCCAGTGTCTACATTACAAAGCCAATAAACCTCTCTTCCCGTCAGTTTCTGCCAACACGCAGAAAGAAAAAAAATTATACACCCATGATGTCTCCCTCAGTCGTGACCATCGACAACACCCCGGACATCGACTTCTCCGCCGACTTCAACCCCGCCCCCACCAAACAGCCCAAGAATGGCAGCACAACGCAGGGCCGCACCCTCCTCCTCGCGCCGCCATCCATAGCCGCACAGGGCACCAGCGCCCTCCCCACCTTCGACCGCGACACGACTGACCTGCAGATGCTCGACCGCCTGCACGCAGGCCTCGTCACCCTCCCCGCCGCCACCTACGACCTCGTCCTGCTCCTGACCGGCGACGACGGCGCACGCCACGCCGAGGCCTCCACTCTGCTTTCACGCGGCGTCTTCGCCTCGCTGGTGGATTCCATGAAGTCCGGTGCCTCGCTCAGGACCCAGGACGCCCGGTTCGACCCTGCCGAGTCCAGGGAGGCGGTTCTCGCGGGCCTGGTGGAGAAGGACGGCGGGTACGAGAAGGTCGAGGAGGAGGAGGTCGTCGTGCCGCTGCGGTTTGGGAAGAACAAGAACACAGCCCTGGCAAACCCAAGTAACGGGAACGGTGGCGTGCACAGTTCGGCCGGCCCGCCCGTGGACAAGGTCACCATCGACGTTGCTGGAAAGCCCGAGACGTTGAGCATGGTGCCCCCCGCAGTCAAGCCAGTTGCCGGCGTTGGCTTCGACTTTGGGGACGATCTTGACGACGATGATGAGTTGATCGACGAGGATGAGCTCATGACCGAGGAGGACCTGAGCCGGCCCGTGCAAATGCGTATGTCCCCCCTGACGTTTAGTTTCCTCTGCCACAGATACACACAAACACACATACCCACCATACTTGGCCCCACATGCTAACTCACATATCCCAACAGCCCCAGAGTGCAAGCCCGAGCCGGGCAAGAAGCGCCGTGCCTGCAAGGACTGCACCTGCGGCCTGGCGGAGCGCCTCGAGGCGCAGGACAAGGCGCGCCGCGCCAAGGCGGACAAGGACCTCAACACGCTCAAGCTCAAGTCCGAGGACCTCAACGAGCTCGACTTCACGGTCCAGGGCAAGACGGGGTCCTGCGGCAGCTGCTCCCTCGGCGACGCGTTCCGCTGCTCCGACTGCCCGTACATCGGCCTCCCACCCTTCAAGCCCGGCGAGGAGGTCACCATCCTGAACAACGTGGCCCAGTTCTGAGCATCTCAAGGCGGGACACATCCCCAAATGTTTTGGGGGTGTTTGGAAAGATGATCTACGAAATCACATATACAATGCATACGCCCGCCCAGTCACGCCGCCTGGGGGTCGGTCAGATGGCGGGCGCCCTTGGCCGTCAAAGACATGGCCGGGCCGCCGTCTATAAAGGACTCCGATGTCAGAGACCGTCAGACCTCGGCATCAGTGCCATGAACCCCACCACCGTGCCAGCGGTCAGGGTGGCAAGCCGCCGCAACGGCAGGGGGCCGCAGCGGACAAGAACACGAGCTTCCAGCTGATGGCTACCTCATAATGTAGCCGAGGGGGTTGTCTGGGAGGGCGCCTTAGCAGGTGGACGGGCTTCGAGGCATGACGTTGGAGAGTGGAGAGAAAACGCGAAGGCAGAGAGAGGCATATTCAGTAGCACCCCACCTGCTTACTTCCACAACATTGAGAATGCAGTTAATTCAAATAATCAGTCCCTGTGACATCAATCGCTGTGCGCCGTAACTACTCCACTAAATCTCCGGGTCCAGCGGCATAGCCCCTCATGCTGGCAATGTATATATGTGTGTGTCTGTTTCTGCTTTGACTCGATTTCCTCACGGACAACACAACGATCGTGTTGTCACCCTTGTCTCATTTTCGGATCCAGCATTAATGCGTCCTCTTCCCGCTGGCCTCCTTCCTTGCCCCACTAGAGCTCTCCTCATCACTGTCACCGCCCAGACTGTACTGCCTCTCAGCCCCGAGGACTCCCTCCTCATGGCCCTCTACTGTCGGCGACTCGACATGCAGGTCGTCCAGTTCCGCCTCATCAAAGTCTGCAGCCTCGAGATCTCTGGCATTCGTCGAACCCCGGCTGCGGAAATCCCGCCTCTGACTGGTCTGCAGGCCGATTGAGCTGCCCTGCGAGAGACCGAGGTATCCCATCCCCTTTCTCTTTCGGCGCTCCTTCCAGACGAAGTATCCCCAGGCTGCCGCCGCCACCGAGACTATAACCAAGAGGATCTCGCCCGACCGTTGGTAAGCAGACCACTTGGCCGCCTCAAGCTTCTCCTTCTCGGCCTCCTGGGCAGCAGTGCTGTTGCCTGCCGTGCCGCCAACAGACGTCTCGGGCAGGCGTTCGCCGTCCAGGTAGGAATCCGTGGGCTTGCCGCCAATGCTACTGATATCCACGCCCATGAAACGGTCCAGCATGTCCCGCGAAGCGCGCGGCACGTCAAAGGGCACCATGTGGGAGCTGTTGTAGAATAGCACGTAGGTCAGGTTTCGGGCCTCCTGCCAGAAGCCGGCAACCTCTCCCTCAAAGGTCCACTCCCTGCGTGGCGCCCAAGTGCCGGGCGACAGCTCGAAGCCTTTCCCGCCGTTCCACTCCATGTTTCCGATGAAGGCCTCGGTACCAAGGTGGTTGCAGATCAGATCCTCTGCGCCGGAGAACAAAAGTACAGGGACCTCCTTTAGGATATCCGGGAGGAATTTGACGGACGGCTGCGATTTGGATGCCTGGAAGTGACTACCCACTGCTCCGCTGCACTCCGACCAGCCCGTGTTCTTGGCCTCGTCGATGTGAAGAGCCTCAACGACGTCCTTCCTGCGCAGGTAAGGGGTTACGTGCACCAGGTCTGGGGGCCAGTTCATGCCGCATGACGGGTAGCTGTCCTTGAGACGGACGTCGTACATGTTGACGCACTGCTGTTTGCCGTCAGACCCGGGGGTGGTTGTGAACTGGAGGATATCCTGCAGGATGTTCTCGCAGGAGGCTTGGTCGACCTTGTTGCTGTCTACGGCGAGATCCTTCTGGCATATCCTATGTTGCACCTCAATCTTCTTTGCCGTGTCGCTGCCCTTCTCGACGATGCCCTTCTCGTATGCGAAATCAAGGTACGCTTCGTATTGTTCTGGCGGCGAGATCCATCCGTTGCCGATCAGGAGACCCTTGAGTGCCCATGTGTGAGCAATTCCGGGCTTTTTGTTTCGTTCAAGCATGTGCTTGGCGATATAGGGGATGTGTTGTCCCGCGTAGGACTCTCCCGCGATGTAGATCTGGGAAAAGTCAGAGTCTGTTGTATGTAGGATTCAGTTCAATTCTCTCGTATTTTCTCACATCATCTTGTTCGTACTCGGGGAAGAGGGCGAACCACTTCTCGAGGAAAGTGACAAACTGGTCGGCCATTTGGTCGAGCTCGGTAACGTAGGAGTCGGTGTCAACATAACTGAACCCGGTGCCGACAGGATTGTCGACAAAGAGCAGGTTCGCGAACTCATGCCACGATCCATCGTTCAGTGTCAAGGTCTTGTCATCTTTCAGGCGGTATGGCCCGATCTCCATCAGGCCGCCATCCTCGGAGCTACAACCCGGGCCTCCATTCAGCCAGATGACGGTACGTTGTCTATTAGCAATGTGTTGGTTCTGGTAGTGCCAGAAGAAAAGGTTTCCGTTATGCTCCGGCGTGACTTCGATGTGTCTTTTGAAGAACGAATATCGGTCAGCGACTTGATGCCCTGGCGGCAGGAGGGCTTGGATGGGGACCCAGTACTTACCCAGCATGCATCTTGATGAAGGGTGACGGGGGAGCGCCGGGCAGCTCGTGGACAAAGTAGTCCGCCGCGGTCTTCTGGGCGCCGACCGTGTCTAGCCATGGCAAGGCGATCGCAGCGAGGAGGGCTGCCACTGTTGGCACCCTCAACTGCCTGAGGAAGGCCATGGTGGCTCTTCCGGGTGGAAGGCTGACCCAAATGGGTCCAAGGGCGAGGATGGGCGACTGGGCTGCTAGGCTTTGTGTGCCGCAGTATTCATTGGCAATGCAGGTGTCACGGCTTCGGCAGGAGGGTTGCGCAACCAAAAATGGCGGGATTCGATGGTTGTTGGTGGCTGAAAGAGTGTATGTTGGGTGGTTTGGAAAGATCAATTACTCGATACAGTCAGACCGGGCTGGACGGCTGTCTGTAGTGACAGATCTCACTCGGGTGTTTGAGCCCCAGAACAGGGGTCGTTCGGGAGGTTGCGTGGCACTACAGGGGGAGATCCACCGGCTAGTGTAAGCCAGTTAGGGGGCGGGGGGACAACTTCTAGACCCCAAACTGCTATTTTGGGTGGAGGGCAGGGCGGGGCGGTTGGCTAGGGACCGTGTAAGCTTTGAACACGGCTTGAAACATGCCGGATGGGATTTTTGACCGAATCCGCCAGGCAGTTGCCACCGAGGAGAATGGATACTTCAACAGTCGAGTCCGGCTTTCAGCCTGACTGGGTGCCTCTTCAAAGCAGGTTCCGTCTGCCTATTCAACCCCAAAAGCAGAGCTCATCCCGCGCGCCCAGAATCCAACCACTGACGACATGATCTCGAACAAGACAGCTGTTTGTCCTATAAATCCTTGATAATCTTTAGGATAACCTGCCCCTGGATTAACGAATGGGAATTCAGGCACTGGCTATGTCCTGTCGGGCAGATATCATCTCTGCTCTGGTGTCCGCTACCAGGCCACGGTATCTCCCCGACCTCCCACAGACTTCCCTCCTATGGCATACCCTCTGGTGGGAGACCTCATAAGCTCCCCATTATGTAGAGTAACCTCCTATAGAATAATGTTCTGTAGAGGACCCATCTACAGAGACAAAGAGGGTAATCACATACATATCTAGGCACCTAGGTAGATGGGAACTCATTCAACTACAGCTATGATATGCTGTCAATTTTGAGGTGCGGTAGTATTACGGTGGTAATATGTGTAGAAAATCAGAGCAACACCAATCCGTCGCCGAAATCTGTGCGCCGGCAGAGTGGGCGAACGTTTCAAGCTTGCAGCAGCCGTGCCTGGTGCCTGCATACTTACCTTGAGCTGTTGGTCTCCGTACATGTACTCCATGCGGCAAGAACCTTGGAATGCCAAGGACGGACGCTAGAGCAGGTGGAGGCTCCAGGGCCAGCCCATCCAGAAGTACAGTCGACAAAATTCCTCTACGCCTTTTCAAGCGTCCTCACAAGATCTTCTAATTGGAGCATCCTGAGTCTCAACTGTGTTCTTTCCTGTCTCAATCTCAACAACATTACAAATTGTCAAAACCCCACTTTGCAAGGGCTGCACTCTCGGTCCAACCAGACAGATTGGTCACGACGGTATCAAAATGGCACCCAACGTCGGCGGCAAGGTCTACATTGTCGAGCATCTTGATCCTGAACTTGGTCCCTGGTCTGAGTTGGAGTACATTGCCATCGCGGAGGAGTCTCAGGGGTCGGGCAGCAGTTTCACGCTCTCGTCCCTACCAGATGGGTTCAAGGTCCCCGAGCCCTTAAAGGCTATTCCCGTCTTCAAGGCCACGCAGAACAGTGTTGAGAACATCTACGCCGCGACCAAGAACACGGTTTGCCTGCTGGACCCAGCAGCAGAGAAGGATCTGTCTCCTGAGGACGCTCAGGAGTTCGGCACCTTCCTCTTCGGCGGGATTCTAGGTGAGATAGAAATCACGACCCTGCAATTCTTCTGACTCGGTTCTAACGACTATGAGCGCAAAAGGCGATGACCCTCCACGAGGTAATGCTCAACCCATGATCTGTCGTGTATGATCTGCCTCAGGAATGTGTATTGAACGTGACCAGATCGCACCTCGGAGCTGAGGAAGAAGGGCTTCCCAGGACGCCGGCTTGGTCCTGTTCAGATGACTACGGACACGGCCGTGCGGGTGACACGAATGGTGATCCAGCAACAAAGTCAGTTCTACGATGTCTTGAACCCCAGCTGAGCGAAGCTGACTTGTCGACAGTCCCCCTGAAGGACATCCCCTACGTCGATCACCCTGAGTTGAAGATCAACGAGCATGAGAGCACTGAGATGCCATTTCGCTACGTAAAGGGAGAGGATGGCGAGCCCATCATGCCCAAGGTATGCTTCAGCATGCATGTATTCTTCTTTTGTGTTCCGCGCACAGTACTGATTGGTTGCCGGCAGGGCATGAGGGAGTTGATCGGAAAGGACGCCGACAAGCCCATAGACGACCTATTTTAGGCGCATTGGGCCCGTTTATTTGCTATGGAAAGACATCTGGAATGAATGGACATCAACTGGCGACGAAAGCAGATGTTAAGTTGACATGGGGCCTTTCAACACACGCCGTCAATGGTGAGACCCTCAGAATCAGTCGAGACTATACCAAGCATTTGCGCCGGACCTCTGAATCCTTATCTTATCATCCCGGGCGCGACCCCGCTGTGACTGACCCTCTACTTCTATCTGTGGACGTAGTTTGTTGCGAGACTGTTGCTGACCCCAAAAAGTCTCCTGGTTGAGAGAAGCTGTCTATCGGTGACAGGCTGGTTTATGACGAGAGCTTGCACAGTATCATCAAGTCACCAGAAGCCATGGCAACCACCTCACCTCCCCGGCTTCAGATAAGCCCGCCCCTGGTCAACTCGGCGAATCCTTGGGCGACTAGTCTCGAGGATCTCAGGGCGCTTTACGAATGCCCCAATACCGGTGCTGTCACTACTCGGACATGCCTCGTCTCTGGCTTTGCACACGATCCGTCGAGGCATCAGTTCACCCTGTTCGACGCTGTCACCCACGAGGCTGAACAGGACCGTGACAAGTTGAAAGGCCATGAGAACGCAAGCCTCAACACACTCGGATACAGCCCACACACCCTGGAGGTTTATCTCGGTTTTATAGGCAAGATAGCAGAGTCGGCTTCTGCTCGGCCAGACAAAGGGTTCATCATCTCAGTTACTGGCAGCCCCGAGGAGGTGGCACAGTGCTACTCCCTTATCGCACACCACCAGAAACAGGTGCCTTTTCCACTTGCCATGGAGATCAACCTCAGCTGCCCAAACATCCCGGACAAGCCACCCCCGGCCTACAATGGCGACTCTCTCAAGTCGTACCTGGCAGCCTTGCAGACGCTTGCATCAGACCCAGGTCTGCCGCGCATCCCATTTGGTCTGAAGACCCCACCCTACACGCATGCGGCCGAATACTCGGAACTCTTCTCCGCCCTCGGGTCTTCAGCGCAGGACCGGGATGGCGTGTCCCCAGTCTCATTCATCACGGCAACCAACACACTCGGGTCATGCTTGGTCCTCGCCGACCCAGGAGCCAACCTGTCCAGCGACCCGGCGCTACCTACGCCAGGCATTGGTGGGATGGCGGGGGCACCACTGCATCCCCTAGCTCTGGGCAACGTAAGGACAATTCGAAGGATGCTCAACGAGGCAGGAATGCCGCTGGCTCACGTTCAGATCATTGGTGTCGGCGGTGTCCTGGATCACAACGGGTTTAATAGGATGCAAGCCGTCGGCGCCGATATCGTCGGCGTTGGGACGGGTCTGGGACTGAGCGGCGTGAGCGTCTTCGACAAGATCCTCAAAAATGTTTGATCATTGTACAAAACTCCCAAATACAAACGGGCTTCTTTCTAATCGATCGGGAGACCAATCAGCACTGATTGCGACCACAGACATAATTGCAGGCGCCTGAAGCAGCTGGCTCGCAGGAGCCCTGGGACGGGCCTGGCAGGAACGTGGGGTACGGAGTACCTAGGTGGTGATTGGCCAGGACGATAGGGGCCCCACCCTGGCCAGGAGACAATGGGTGAGGCTACATTGAATAGCAAGCTTACTTGTGGCCGTCCGCCTACTTTCTTCTTTGCCTCGTCGGTCCTATTGTGAATTTTTGCATCCCAATAGGCTGTCCATTCGGCGAGGTCACCTGAATCACTCCTACCCGGGCCTGATCAATCAGCCCCCCCTCCAACCTTCCTCAGTTGGGCGGCAAACACTACTGATCTCTTTCTTGCCACGCAACTCGACACTCTCAACTCCGACCCCGTGTCCCAACACTGCGACCCAGCGCCTTCACACCGACATACTTTTCGACAGCCCTCGTTCCCCTCAAACTGAACCTCTACCAGCCGCGAAAACCTCTGACGCAGCGAATATGTCTGACTTTGGAGATCCCGATGACATGCTGCTCGCTCTCGCGGGCGGCGGCGATGGATCCTCCGATGAGGCTTCCAATGCCGGCAGCCGTGGTCGCAGCCGTACTCGCAGCCGCAGCCGCAGCCGCAGTCGTGGCCGTAGCCAGTCTCGCACCCAGAGCCGGAGCCGTGGTCCTGAGCGGTCACAGAGCGCACAGCCTGCCGAGCGCTCGTCTCCACGGAGCCCTGCGACCAAGAAGACGCCCGCAAAGAGGACTGGCCGCAAAGCTGAGTCGGAAGATGAGGGTGAAGCGTGAGTTCCCAGCCCTCTCTCGGCTCTCGCCACCACCTGGATCTGAGCTGCAATACTGGATCCCACATGTGACTTCACGTTTACGCAGCGCTAACCCGTCGTCTCCCCTCAGTTCTGACCCCGGTACTCCTCGCTCGCAGTCCTCGGTGCCCATGGACGAATCCGATTCGGATGCCGAGTCGGACGCGGTCCAGGGCAAAGAAGCGGATGATGGAGAGAACAAATACCCGGTCGAGGGGTTGTACAAGAGTTATGAGGAGAAGGAGGAAATCATGGCCATGCGCGAGATCGAGCGAGAGAGGATCCTCGAGGAGAGGCACGCAGAGAGGAACCGAGCGAAGACCCTGGCAACGCTCAGGCAGATGGTGCAGAACACAGAGGGAGAGAAGCACAAGAAGCGAAAGGCTGGCGCCGCCGACCTGGAGGAGGGCGACCACAAGACGTCGCGACCTCGTACGACATCCAAGACCACGAAAGCGGCCACCACGGCGCTCGACAACCTCAAACGTGCGCGGGCAGAGAAGCAGGATCGCCGTCGCAAGGACGAAGAGCGACGCCGAGACCGCCGATCACCCTCTTACCGAAGCGGTTCAAGCCGCAGTCGCAGCCGCCATTCGGACGACAGTGATGTGGAGTGGGCTGGACCATCTAAGAAGCGATCCAAGACTCCAGAGAGGGCTCTGCCGGCCGAACTCCGGGACATCGAGAGATGCCGCCTGAGTCGCACACGCTTTGCTAAGCTGAACTTCTGGCCGGGTTTCGACGAGACTGTGAAGGGCTGCTACATTAGAATTCACATCGGGCCAGATCCCAACACGAGACAGCCCGTGTATCGGATGGCGGTCATCAAGGGTGAGTTGGGAGATTAAGGCGGGTTCCTTTGCTGTTGCTGATAAGTTACAAGGCGTCACCACCGGCCGGCCGTATGCCGTTGAGAATGAGCAGCACAAGACCATTGTCACAGATCAGTACGTGGTCGCCGCGCATGGCAAGGCCGAGAAGGAGTGGCCTTACATTGCCTGCTCCGAGAGCCCCTTCACAGATGTAAGCCAGGCCCCGTCTTGGTTGCGCAAGATGCAGTCTAACCCAGTGACAGGCCGAATGGAACCGCTATCAAATCGTGTGTGGAAAAGACGGCATCACCTTGCCCAAGAAGCCGGAGCTTACACAGAAGGTCGACGACATCAACAAACTCCTCAACCGCAGCTGGACCGACGTGGAGCTGTCAGAGAAGCTTCACCGCCAGAACACGCTGCGGGACAAGTTCAGCGGCGCCGAGCGGGCGAGGCTGGAGCAGGAGGCGGCCGAGGCCCGCCGCCACGGCAACACGGCGCTCGCGGACGAGCTGCAGGAGAAGCTGGACAACATGCCCGCGCCGCGTCTTGCCTTCTCGACGTCGCTCAAGAAGGCGGCGCCGCCCAAGCCCAGCGGGCCGACGCAGCAGGACCGGCTGGCCGAGAAGAACCGGCTCAACCGGCAGCTCAACTCGAAGCAGGTGCGCGAGGCGCAGATAGCGGAGCGGCGCAAGGCGCGGGAGGCGCTCACGGACAAGGGCGGCAGCGGGGCCGACAGCGAGGACCCCAACTCGCGCCGCGCCCTGCTCAGGAAGAAGTTTGCCGTCAGGACGCAGGACTCGGCGGCCGGCAGCGGGGCCAGCACCCCGGCCAACGGCACTCCGAAGCTCGGCCCGGAGGACGCCGTGCCGGCGCACGTGGCGAAGCTGCGGCAGCAGCAGGAGGCCGCCGCCAACGGCAAGGGTGGCGTGCCCAAGATCCACCGGGCGCTGACGGACGATGATATCATTGGTTCCCTGGACCTGGATATTGACGTTGAGATCTGAGGGCGGGGCTCATGTCGCGGGGGGGGGGGGTTCTTATGAGATACGTAGATCAGGGTTACGTGGTCAGCCAGGGACTAGATCAGCAGGCGAGGCGGCTTGACTTTTCTGAGAGAGGTTGGACGATCCAAAAGCATCGAGCTAGATCTGCGGACACGAAAGTATCTCTCGGGTCTAAGACGGAGAACGACGTGCCTAGTCGGTCAGTCCCATGGCGTTGCGTGCATGAAGACAAAATGATCATATTAGCAGCACCGGCGTTGGAAACCCACACAAGGCAGGAGCGGTCGTTGGTTTTAGAGAAAGGGACAGTGCAAAAGAAAGTAGACGCTAGATCTGCTATCAAAATGGACTTGTTGAGTGCGATGAGCGAGCGACTGTGCATGCATTCCAATATGGACTGGCGGGAAAGTGAAGTCACCGAGAAATCCCAAGCGCTCTGGTAAAGGGGGGACGTAGATAGTGATATTGATATTCGTTTCCACGAGCTAATGTAGGGTTGTTCTTGGGCGAGAGGCTCACACACCCCTACAGGACGACGCGCAAAACAGGGCAGGCCCATAGATCGTTTCCAAACAGGTTCCTTGAACGCCATTCATTCTAAACACCCGGCATTCTGGTCCCCTCGTTCTTACTTTTTCTTCAAAGCCCCAGCCCGTGTATCCCAACTGAACCGGTCCCGTAGTGCAAAGTGAGGCAGCCAGGTCTATGTAGTTCATTATCATCCCCTCCTGTCCCTACTCGCGAATTGTGTCGGTTGCAATGCTTCATTTCTGCCATCAAGTTTTAATATCACACCATCCGCTCATGCCCCCACCACTCGACCGGTTTCGCCTACGCAGGCGTCGCGGCGGTGGCCGGAGTGCCGGACGCTGTGCTCTTGCGCCCGCGGGGCTCCTCCTCCGACTCCTCGTCGCTCGGCGGGCGGCTGTCCTCCTGGCGGAGATTCCTCCGGCTCTTGGTCATCTGCCTGTTGTCAGCCCACCAGAACCATGACTAGCCATAGCGAGAAAGCAACAATGGTAGGTGCATTAGGGGTCCGAAGAAAACTAGGCTGTTACTCACCCAGCCACGCACACCACCGATCAGTCCGAGGGTGTACCCGGTGATGAAATCATTCTGCGTCCTGCCGTCGGCACCGGGCGACCGTGGGCCCAGGGTGGACATGGATGGGCTCGAGGGGATGTCGCCACCGTTGGCGGCGGCCGAGGACGATGCGCCGCCCAGGATCTGGGGCGCGGGGCTCTGGGGCCTGCTGGCGGGCCAGAACTGACGGAACTCCTTGCCGAGCTCCTGGCCGGTGGTCGACCAGTTGGAGCGGATGTTATCGCGGAGGTCCTGAACGTGGCGCTTGAGCTCGAGCTCATTCTTCTTGAGCCAGCTCACGTTGAGCTCCTGGCGCGAGGTGCCGCGCTTCAGCTGGCGGGCGATGTACTTTTCGTAGTCCCGGACGATCCTGTTGAGGTGGGGAGGTAACCATTAGCTCCAAAGGTCCCCATGTGATTGTGATGCATGCGTGCGCGAGGGTTTCTTACTTGGTGATGATCCCGGTGGTGCTCACGCCCTCTGTCCGCTGCGTCACCAGGAACTTGCCCTCCTTCTTGATCGGCGCGTAGATATCATCGCCCTCGTCCGCACCGTACGGGAGGTCGTCGTGAGCGACATAGTCGATCTCGTGCTCTGCCAGGAACTCGGGGGTCACGATCCAGGGGCAGTTCTCGACCACCTCGTCCACCCACTTGCAGTGGCGCACAGTCTCGGCGCGCTCCTTGCCCGAAAGCACCGTCAGGCCCTTTCGCTTGTGTGTCTCCTCGTCGCCAGTCACTCCCACGAGGAGGTACACGTCGGGGAAGGCCTTCTTGGCCTGCTCGAGCTGGCGCATGTGCCTACACGTTGGGAACGGTTGTCAGTGAGCCATCGAGTGTTTTCAAAGCTTTGATAGATGGCAATTACACACCCGAGGTGGAACAGGTCAAACACTCCGTCAGCGTAGACCCTCACGGGCCGCCCAGCAGGGGGCGGGTTCGTCCTGTAGCCGACGGGGTGTGTGAGCTTGCCAATAGGCGGGGGTGGCATGCGCTCCTCGGGGGTCTTGGCGGCGGCGTTGTTGGCGGCGGCCTTGCCCCTCAGTGTACTCTTCCTGGAGACGCGGTTCTCGATGTCGACGCTGGCCTCTGTGGTGTCGCTCGGCTCGCCGGGGTCGACGGAGGCGTCGGCGGCCTTGTCGGAGGTATTGTTGCCGCGCTGGCGCTTGCTTGGAGGGTGTTGTGTGCCAGAGTCGGTCTTGCGGTGGCCTTGGGAGGGTGGGCCGGCGGAGGACTCGGGGGCGGTGGTGTCACCCTCCTCGCCGGAAGCGTCGCGGGACTCTGCTTGGAGCTGGGCGTCCATGGCGGACTGTACGCTCTTGGGGTCGGCGAGGTCTGGTGAGGAGGAGGAGGCGGAGGCGGAGGCGGAGGCGGCGGCGGCGGCGGCCCGCTTGCGCTTGCTGCCGCCCTGGGATGCACTGGGTGATGCCATAGTTCTGAGGTGTGGCAGTTGCTGTGGCGGTGGTGTAGGGTGTGGCCCTGGGTATACCTGGGGCGGACTGCTGCAAGCGGACTGGGAGCCGTGCTGTGGAAAGCGGCTTTGTCTATGGCGTGCTGTGATGCTGCTGCATAAATACGGAACCACGCTCCAGGCTCGAGTTGTAGAGGGGCTCGGGAGGACGGGTAGACAGGTCGAGTCGTGAGAGGGGGGTGTGGTCGTTGGATGGATAGGATAGGGTTGATGGACGATTCGGCGTGCTTCTACAACAAGGTTGCAAGTGGGTTGTTTGTACTCCGCGGTGTGGGTCTTTGGGGGTCGCCGTTGAGGGATAACAGATGGTGGCTTTCGATCGAGGCAGCTGAGGCACGATGCCCAAGAGTTTAATGTGTGGGGACCGGGCTCGTCTCAAGGGGTGCCTATTTGCCTGTCAGATGCATTCTTTCTTCTTCTTTTTTTTCCCCTCTGTGTCCAATCCAATGGTGTCACGTACTGTATGTATGTTGCGGCGTGGAGACAGTAACCGGAAAGCGGTGCTGTCACAAGCTTCAACAAAGCTCCAGAACACTTGTGCAGAGGTAATTATTACGGGCTAAATCAGCTCGAGGGACGGGACTAGGTGCACTCTTGGACTGATTATCATCAGTCAACTGAGTATCAATGGATACAAAAAGACAAGTTGGAAATTATTATTTGTGAGAGAGGGAGCCCGTCAGGGGAAAGGGGCAGTTCCTTGTCTTGAGGGTAGGGGAGGATGGAATTTACGATTCAATCTCGATGGCCAGGTTCTCGTTCCAACACGTGTAGCTAAGACTACTGTGTAAGTGATGGGCGGGAGCCGGGCGTGTGGTGCTTGGTGCTTGGTGCTTGGTGCGCTTTGGACGAGAGGTCGCGTTCAAGCGTATCCCTGTCCCAAATTTTAAAGTGCCCAGGTAGGAGAATGAAGATACACGTATCGATTTGCGACATTGGGGCACATTTGGGGCAGCATATGTCATGGGTAGGGTCGCGTCATCCGCCGCCACCCCTTCCCGTCATCCCTGCCCTCCCCTGCCCTCAACCTCCAACAGATCCCCAAAGCTGGAGGATAACCTGAAAAATGTTGGCCTCTGCCTGTCTCACGCCTCCTGGCTGGCAAAGCTGTGCATTGTGGCTTGCTTTTCCGCCTTAGCCGCCTCTGTGATTGGTCTCCCCCACCTCTGTGATCCTGCTCTCCAAAGCTCCGAGGTGGTGCAGCTGTGGCTGCCTCCAGACCTAAAATTTGGTGCGAGGAATGTGGTGCTCGGTGCCCCGGTCGAGGTCGTACAATCCCCCAGAAGCAGGAATTGCCCCTATGCCTGAGACCTCGGGCTGCGCATGGACCGGATTTCCCAGTGCTGTAGAACTGTCTCGGTGTGGTACGAAATGCACGTGAGGCAATTCAGACGACATCGCATGCAGCAAGACGTGGTCTACTCGTCGTCATTGGGAGCCGCCACGTCCCTCAGAGCCCGTCATTCTCAATCGTAGCCTCCTGCCAGCCTTGACGACTTACACACCTGGGGCCGAGGCTAAAAGGGTCTCGCACCGCCTGCCATCCTCGTGTGCCCGTCCATGCGGCACTGCTGTGTTCCCGCCGATTATCTCGGTACTCGGTCACGCAAGAGTTCGATCCCTCCTTTTTATATAAACCATGATACCTTAGGAGGTTTTCTATAAGAGTTCATCCCCCATGAGGTGATCCTAGGGGAGGTGGATCTTCTTAGGAGGCTGTCCTTTAGGAGGCCATCCCACACGAGGTTACTTCAGTATACATCCCATTGGACGTTATCCCATAGGACGTTGAGGAACAGATGCCGAGGCCGCGAAGCGAACAGCAAGGCTGCCCAGGTGGTCTTGCATGTGGGCTCTGACCTGATATCACCCGCACCACATCTCACGACCAGCAAGACAACAGAAACCTAAACATCCTTACCCGCAGGATGCCACACAAGCCAGCTGACCTACGGCTGGGTTCCCGTAAGTACCTTCGCACAGTACGGGTTATAGAAAGTTCGTATCGTATGCAGTGCGTACAACAGATATGCACAATCTATGATGCTGTCTAATGCTGTGTGACTCGTCTCTACTCATCTAGGATGCAGTGCGATCACGATACACCAATTAAATTTCCAGCTCTGTGCCCTCTTCCTTGTGTCATCTCAACTCGTCCTCTCCGAGCAGATCTTATTTTGCATAGCATCATATCCAACCATAACGCCAGAAAGACATTGGTATATTCCCATCTCTGCCTACCACAAGCCCCTAGTCCTTCCTCAGACGGTGCCGCCCGCAGCGGGATGAGTTCCTGGGGTTGCTCATGTAGCAGTGAGCTTTCGCCTCCTCGCCGGGCCTGGGCACGAACTTGTCCCGGACCGAGCAGTACTCGTGCGTCTCCGGCACCCACTCGCGGATGTGCTTGTGGAGCTCGCACCGGCTCACGCCGCACTTCCTGCAGAGACCCTTGCCGTGGACCCGCAGTGACGCGAGGCTGGCCTTGTCGCCCGCGCCCAGCGTGTTGGTCGTCGCCGAGCTGGTGCTGGCGCCGCCGTGGCCGGCGATGGGCCTGCTGGCGAGGTGCCAGGCCCACTCCAGCTCGTTGGGCCCGTCACGCCGCGAGCTCAGCGGCACCGACCCGTGCATGCGCCGGTGGATGGCGTAGAAGTGGCTGTTGGTGAGCCCCAGGCACGCAGAGTCAATTGGGTCCAGGAAGTCAAAGACGGCGTAGTGGAGCTCAGCCGGGATCGTGGACAGCGTCAGGGGGCCCGAGGCGGGACGCTGCTCGGGCGGGACTGGCTCGCAGTCTGTGACCGAGTAGGAGCGGCGCGGGGGGCCCAGCTTCGGCCTACGGGGCTGGGGAGGCCTGCTGCTCTCGAGTGGTGCGACCGAGTCGGCACTCTCGTTCTGCAGACTCTGCGCGTCGGGACTCGGGACAGAGGCGCTCTGAGCCTGTGTCTCCTCCGTGACGGCCCCAGCACCGACTGTGTTGTGGGTCGGAACAGTAGAGGTAGAGGCATACTGCTGAGGTTGGGGCCTCGTGAAAGTCAGGACTTGTGGCCCCAACGGGATGTGCTCGTGGGTGGTTCGTGACCGCTGAGGAAGTCTCCTAGCGGTGTGCGGGTTTCTTGCCAAAACTTGTTCCTCCTTGGTGAAGATTCCAGAGTTTTGCCTGGAGAGCGGCGTGAAGCCCTTGGACATCCCTTGAGTGAGGGTGGGCCCCTGGGAATAATCACTGTCCACCTTCATGTTGACTGACTTGGGTGCTGGGTGATATTCTTGACTTGTTGGTGAGGGTCAATTGTCTTCTGGTGGTTGTTGTGTACTCGAACGGTGGTCGGCTTATAATGTGGAGCGGTCTTGAGTGGTGCTGGCGTCTGACGTAGTGTTTGAGCGGCTTCCTGCTGGCTGGCGGGGACGAGAATCTGGGGTCCCGTTGTGGATATATATGTCAAGGCTTGGCCACACCGGGGCAAGCGAGGGCAGATATCGTATTACGATGTACCGGTATGCAAGTCAGGGGCTAGGCGCACCGACAACGGTTTCCTGGATGTTCGACGGAGGTCTCCTCACTAGCGACACCATGGGGTCTCCGGGGGAGGGCTTCCGAGATAGGAACTGTGTGTTCTTGCTGTGCGGGATTGGTGTGTGCAAGGGGAATGGTACGCTCTAGAGAGTATAATTGTTCTCGTAGGGGACGATAGAGATGATGTAGGTTGATTGGCGAGCCTTGGGTTGGAACAGCAAGGCGATGAAAAGAGATGGAGGGTGGCGTTAGGACAAGGAAAACAGACCACGAGGTTGGATGGTCTGTCGAGTCGTGGTGTGATATCCGCCGCGGATGCTGCAGGAAGATGGGAGAAAGAACGGGAGTGGAGCGGCAAGGGCGACAGGCAGGAGGGACGGCCAACGGAACGGGGCAGCTGGCAGGGCAGCAGGTTCGAGTTGGGCTGGGAAAAGGGACCGAGACCGCGAGGAGGGCGCGAGATTATTCGCGGGGAGGCGAGACTCAAGAGGCAGGGGAGATTGATGATCACTGCTTCTCCGGACGGGCGGTCATCAAGAGTGGGACACTTGTCATGCCTCTCAGGGTTCCGGCTCACGACAAGAAGGAGAGTTGCAGGAGAGATATGAAGAGAGATATGAAGAGCACAGATGCCGTAGCGCAGCGTATCTCGACAAGAAGCTGTGACGAAAGGAAACCGACGGCCTGCACTGATCATCGTGATGAGCAGCCAGTGAGGAAAGACGGTGAGTGGAGGAAAACTGGAGCCTCCCACGGCTGGGGCGAGTCCTCCCGCGCTCGCACCGTTTCCATCCTGGCGGGAACCAGATGAGGCAGTGGAGCGCCTGGAACACACGATCCCGGCGCAGAAAGGCTGGCAGGCGGCCTGGCGGCCAGGCTGGCACTAACAAGTGGCCGACGATAGTCCGGTCGACGTTGCGAGGGCTCAGGGGTAGGCCGGGCAGCCGGGCAGGATGACGAAGAAAATCAAGGGACCGTTCCCCCACGCGGCAGCCGCCAAGCCAATCTGGCATGGTTCCTCATGGTTGTCGGACCAGGCGCTGTGTTCGAGAAGGCAGAGAAGGCAGAGAAGGCAGACGAGGCAAGCAGGCAAGACAAGTCCGGGCCGAGCGCCGTTCGCACGCCTCGGACTTGCGAGCCCTGCGAGCTCGTGCACGCCTCTGGCCTGGTGCTTAGTGCGTTGCGGCTTTCCTGTTTGGGGAGTTTCATCCAGGGCGATGGCGCCATGACTGAGTCGACTCCCATCGTGCTGGGTGATGGCAGACCTTATGCCTTGGGCCTTGCAAGGCGGACGAGCGGTCTGTCTGTTCTGCAGTGACCGTGTCAGGTCTGATGAGCGGTGGCATCACCGTCTCTGGGGCATCTCTGGGTGTCGATGTTCGCATTGTCCATGTCCATGGCGCGCGACTCGCGACCGCCCAGGCCAGCCGTTGACCCAGGGCATGAAAGAGTAATAGTAAGCCCTGTCCGAGCGGCTTCGAGCGGCTTGAACGGCAGAAACGGTCGGTCGGTCGCGTGACTACTCCAGTCACAAGGCCTATATCTTGCAGGCTTATTATTAGAACTCGAGCCAGCAGTTCAGCCGTTCAGGCTATCCCGATATCTGTCAAGCCATGGCATGGCCACTGCGCCGAAATGATCGAGCCCAGTCGGAACCGACCCCACGGAACCGCCGAGGAAGAGGGGTTACATGCCAACACCATCAAGCCCTGCTCAGACACTTGAACTGGCAACAAAGACAGGCAGGCAGGCAGGCAGGCAGGCAGAGCCGCCAACCTTATCTTCTTCGTACGGAACAAGGTTGTCAGCCGAACCACCGAGATCGGGCAGGAATGGCCTGCGTGGGCAGATGAGCCACTGCGGTGGCGAGACAAGGCTGCAGGCAAGTCTTGGTGATGGCCCCTAGGCCACTGACAGCCAGCAGTTGCTTGGTGTTGTGTTTCTGGTGTTGCGACTTTTTACCCCCCCCCCCAACCCCAAATCGCCCCAAGTGACCAGACCCGCTCCCCAGCAGCAGGGCATAGATGGGCCCACCCAGATCGCCCAGTCCCGAGGGGCCCCATTCTGTCCCGCGCCGGCTGCGTCGCCCGATGGGGTCGCAATCCAGCCTGATCCAGAGCATGCGTGGCATGCGTGGCATGCAGGGCTGGCGAATTGGCGAATTATTTGACGATTGGGAATATAAGGTGCCCTTCCGTGATGTCTGCCTTCAGGAAACGTGTCGCGACTTCGGCTGCTTGTCGAATGCACCGAATAAGCGAGCTTTGGCGTGCCTCTTTCTGCGTGCAGTCCCGTCTTTGCCTTTTCAGACGCTGCCGCCTCACACCTCTTGATGCCTGCGACCCGAGTCTCGACACACATCTCCCGCCCAACTCTCCAGGGCCAGGCCAGGAATGGCGTGAGGCAGGCTGGGCAGCTGTCAAATCCACGCTGTGCGACCGTCCCAGATATTATAGCCCCGTAGATCTCCCGGGAGCTTAAGCAATGCAGGTCTCGCAGCACCCAAGCCGTGTCCCGTGGCGGCGCATCTGCAGGCAGGCCCATCAGCGGACCCGAAGTCAAGCTATGGGTGGACCAAGCTTTTTGCTCCGGCATCCGCCAGGCGGCCATAGTCTGTCTATACGGCAGACCACCTGAGTTGCTGAGTAGCAGTCACCACGCAATCTTAGCATCACTTCTTGTAGGATCACCACCTGCGGGAAAAGGTACTGGAGGGGGAGCTACTTGGGGACAGGCTCCTGCTAAAAACTCCCTGTGCAATATCCTCCTTCTGGATAATTATACAGAGGCAAGCAAGCTATGGGAAAGCTGTTTGTGATAGACATACCCCCAGAGGGAGGACTAGGGTGACGACAGTAGAGGCGGCTCCTACCTCCAACTCCCTCCGGCTATTGAAGCCCTGCCAGTGAAAGAAAGTCATCAACCACAGAAAAGGCATATTTGCTTATGACCAATGGCAGTCTGTTTTATGACACACCTGGTCGTGCTAATTCCATGGCCAGCCAGGATGTCTCAACGGGATGGCTGCAACAGTGTCACACGGGATTGGACCATCTAAGCAGCCTTGCCAAAGGATTCAGGCTTGTACCAACGCCGAGACTATGAAGAGACGGTACTTGTACAACAAATAGGTACCCAACGTAGATGTTCAGTTATGACTCCGCGGCAATGCGAATTCTTGTCCAACAGGGGCCAAAATGTCCCAGCCCACATACTTCTGCCTCGGTTGGCGCCCCTTCTTGATCTGTGGAAACTCCCATGCATGCAGTCGCATCTGGACATAATGACCGACCCGCCGCGGCTTCGCCGAATTCCCTGGACCTGTTAGGGAACGTTGCCAGCGGTTTATAAGCCAGGCTCAAATCTGTTGTCGACAGCCAATCCCAGTCAGCACCAGATGGTAGATACTAGTATGTCTGGTAGGCCCCACGCGGCCCAGAGACATAGGTTCAACCCGGCGCTCCTCACAGCGACACCCAGATGAGCATGATGACGACATCCATGCCCTTGGCGTCACCACCCTCGTACTTGTAGCTCCACATGCCGTCCGTCTCCTCGTTCCAGTAGGCGCCGCTCGCCGAGTGCATGCCGCGACGGCCGACGTGGGGCTTGCCGTCCGTGGCGGTCGCGGTGCTTGCAGGCTCAGAGGCAGCCGGCTCCTTGGACTCCTCGGTCGTCGAGGTGCCGGTCGAGGTGGACGTGCCCTGGGCCTTGTTGAGCTGGGACGTGGGCACCAGGTGCTGCACGATGGTGCTGGTCACGGCGAACTTGTACGCGGGCGCGGCGGCCTTGTCGGGGGTAGACTCAGAGATCACGGCGCGGAGGATGTTGTTCTAAAACGGCGGGCGGGCGAGTTTGTCAGAAGTGAGAGCCTTGCAAGGTGGGAGGCCCATGGAGATGGAGGGCCCAGCGGTGACAGCTTACGATGATGGTCGAGTTCCATTCCGGCGTCTTGGAGTGGTCGTAGTACTCTGCGCTTCCGATAGCGCTTTGGCAGGCCTGTGAGAAGCCCGTCAGTCTTGTTGTTGTCTTCAAGGTCAGGCCGTTCAGATGTCCCAGAGGTGTGCAGGACGTACATCGTTGGCGATCTGCTTGAGTCTGTTCAATTGAACGGGCTGTGCCGAGAGCGTGGGGTTAGATAGTGCGTTCCCCCAAGCAAGGCATCATACTGATAACGAACCGGTGTGGCCTGCTTCTTCTCAGACATGTTTGCTGTTTGGCTGTGATCGTGGAAGCTGGAAAAGGGGTAAGTAAGGAGGGGTTCCTGAGAGCAACTGTGGTTAGCATCGTGGGTCCGATAAGGACTGGACTACTACGCAGTAGGTGGTGATGGTGGTGGTGGTGGTGGTAGTGGTGGTAACTGACGGTGTTTCGGTAAGGCTGTGTCTATGGCAAGGCCGTGTTGCGGCTAGAGGTCTGGATGTTGAAGCCGGGGGAGGTGCTGGATATCACAGGTTGGATGAGGCGTGTAGGCGGGCAGGCTCGCAACCACACAGATCAGATGCCAAAAGGAGAGCTCCACTGTTTTGTTTGGATCCCCTCCGCGTTTCCAGACCTCCTCAGAGGGGCCCGTGGGCCCGTGCAGCCCAGCTTTCCATCCCCTGTCGTCAACAAGTTTCGGCTGGCAAAGCAACGGGAGCATGCCCTGCAGCCTGCAGCCTGCAGCCTGTCTCGGCCTTGGTGTGCGTGCATTGCTTACATACGCGTGCACAGAAACCAGAGAACCAAGGCATCCCCCCAGCCCCCCCAGACCCGACGCTGCAGGGACAGGAGCTGGCCGGAGATCCTGGTCTTCAGAACTGAGGCAGGCTGACAGGAGCCAACAGCACGAATCATGCTGCTTGGGCATACCCACGTGCACCCGAACGAGTAGGCGGGACCCCTGCTCCTCTCCCATTCCTGCAGACCTGGGGCTCGATTGAGTCGCATCGCGCAGCTGCTCCAGCTGCTCTGGGCCTGAAGGTGCTTCCTGATGTCGTCTTTGTCTCCATCTCAGAGACTTCGCCCCTACACTTTTGCTCCTGTAATACGTACAAAGCCTCTCGCAAAGCATCTCAGAAACGACCTTTGTCACCTGCGCTGCCTCCAGATCGTCGGTTGACTGTTGTCCATCCAAGGCTTCAATCTCTGCATCAACCGACCTTGTGACGGCACGTCCCGAGCCACTGCAGCCTCTCTCCCGAGGTCTTCGAGCCGCAGTAGAGATTATTATTCCGGTGGATCGACCACAACAACAGTCGACTCTACCCCGCCACAGCTGCCGCCCGGCTTTCGACATTCCAGACAGCCATCGCCATGTCGAGCCAGCCCCTCCTTCAGACCGCGCCAGGTATTTTCATCCGGCCCTGGGAACTGCTTATCTTGAATGCAGCTGACACCACCTTCTCGCAGGCAAGCGCATTGCCCTCCCCACCCGTGTCGAGCCAAAAGTCTACTTCGCCAACGAGCGTACATTCCTGTCATGGCTGAACTTCGCCGTTATCGTCGGCGCCCTCGCCGTCGGCATGCTCAACTTCGGCGACAAGGCCGCCAAGATCTCAGCCTTCTGCTTCACCGGCGTCTCCATCGCAACCCTCATATATGCACTTAGGACCTATCATTGGCGAGCAAAGTCGATCAGGGTGCGCGGTCAGGCCGGATTCGACGACAGGTTCGGGCCCACGGCGCTGGCCATCCTGCTGTTGATCGCCGTGGTGGTCAACTTCGTCCTGAGGATCGTGGATTCCTCCAAGGAGTCTTCCAAGGGCCACTGAGTCGGACCAGGATCTAGTCAATCCGAGGGTGTTTGACATGAGTGTCACAAGAACTGCACACATGCTCGAGAGGCAGCCAATGCCGTGCTTGCCGAAGCTATGCTTGGACATAAGTTCACAATGATCGGGCCGAAGGACTGAGAAAACCATTGGCTACAAATGAAGGGGCACCAAGAGCTGTATGGGATGGGTGTGGCCCCCCAAGGTCATATGAAAACTCGGAAGAAGAATGTTGTCAGACGCAGACTCCGAGTTGCTGCGGAACAAGAGGGTTTCAACCTCTCGGTGCGCGTTGTCGCTTATTGTTCAGGCGAGGGTATTTGTGCGAATAGGTGCAGGCTGGTCGACATGCATTCAACATGGGAGGCACGCATCCGGCGGCGTTTTGATTTCGTAGAGCGCGAAGGGAATGGCACGCAGCACTTGTATTGGACGTGCGGTGGTATAAACCCATTTAATGGTACGGTTCGAGTTATCTGCAACAATTTACGTGACAGATCCGCAGGGGCAATCACTTGATTCTCTCATCTGGCTACAACTCTACCACAGTCTTATATCTGCTCGGCGTCCGGGAAGAAAAGATGCCTGTTTTTGGGTGCGAATACTCGACATGGCGGGCGTGGATTTGCGCCGTCGTTCCCTTGGGACTTCCAGTGCCGCGATCGCCCAACCAACTTGAGCCACAAACTTGAAACTGAATTCTATCCATCCTGCCCGATCTAAGGCGATAACCTCAGCCTCGAGACAGAAATACTGCTGCCCCAACATGGCAGCCGTACTCTATATCACGCTTGATTTAGCGATGTGGAGACCCCTGCCGCCTGGATCTCTAGGGCCGCACCCTCGCTCGCCTTCACGCATGAACTTGATATGGCTCAGCCCATCACCGTGGAGCCCGACGAGGACGTCGATCGACTACATTTTATTCAGCTGGCCCGCCATGGACATCGTGGCGATGTCGATCGCCCTGGTGAGGGCATGGGGAAAGGCCCCGCGGGGCACTGGAAGGAGCTATTCTGCGTCTCTGAGCTCGCGTGTGCCCGGCCAGGTGATTAGGGTGACCTTGATAGCATTGGAGGTGTGGCTATCGACTTGTGGATACACCACGCCATGGCACTGCAATACCCGCCAGGCAAGACCCCCGCCAGGCCTGAGTAGTCGCGGTTTGACACGTCTTGCTGGTTGATCTGTGCCAAGGGGTTACTGTGCCCTGAGAGCGGTATAGCAGCTGTGTTTTCGGATAGGAGAGTATCTACTCTCGTCTTGTACTCCGGGTTAATACCGAGGCCAATCGGCGCTGATCCGGAAAAGAAAGACCACAGGTGTATAGTATAGTGGGCCATCAGGAACGTCCGAGGTCGTCAAGGAGAATGACCTCGCTACTCCTACGCGAGGCCTACACGCTTAAGTTCATGGACATGCCTTCCATGAGGACATCCCAAAAGTTCCCTGCGCGCTCGCACTTGACCAGGACTGTATGGTTGGGCTACTTTGCCTCGTGATCCTCATCTAGCGGTTTCGTTTCTGGTCCCCATACATTAAACGTATCTGCTGGTTTTGCTCCTATTCCATATACCTGGTTTCACTTCTATTCCGTATACGCCCGAAGACATACATGACGCCTTCATACAGTGATAAACGCTCAAGACCCAGCGTTCAAAGGAAGCACAATGTCAACAACAGTGCAGAAAAAACACAATACGTGGGCACGTGGCCTCGGCCGTGTGCCGCACACAACCAATTCTAGTACACCTATTAGGTAGCGGCTCATTCTCAAAGAGCCCATTCGCGCATGTGAAGGCGAACGTTTGGTCCTCTCATTCTAGTATCACGCCCTGCGCAACGATAAACAAGCCGTGGCCATGCTCGTGCTTGTTCTCGTCCTCCTGCGGCCCGAAATAGAAACTGAAGCCATCGCCCGAGCGGGAAAAGCATAATTGCACAGCCCTCACTCGAAGATCACGCAGGTATCCTGCGCTGGCTACGTCGAGACACGCATCTGCTGGGCTCGTTTGGCCGGCACTTCCGCATGATGATCCATTGTCTGATCAGAGGCGTCCTCTGGATATTGTTCTCAGGCTGTTTCGTTGTTGGGGGGTTTTCTAGGTCGTGGGTTTGTGGGGGATGGCCTGTCATGGATGCACAGAAGTGAAAGGGGTTGATACGAGCAAGCCTGGGAAAACCCGTCAGCGCGGGTTTTTGTCACCCCGTCGGTGACTGAATGACAACATCGCGGGACTCATCGTGACTTGACGGCACATCTCGAGGATCCGGCGTTTACGGATATGTTTTATCGAAGATGTTGCGTCGTTGAATGGAAAAGCCGGAAAGGAATGCAGTATGGACAGAGGGCTGTGAGGTCGTGGCTAGTCAGATGGCCCCTGACCCGAGTGCGTGCCTTCGCCCCCGGCTTCATTATCATGAATTCTCAAGGAAATACTTTAATCTCACGGCTCCCGAGAATAAATCGTGAGCATATTAAAGGCCCCTACAATGACCTCGGACTGTGTAAGTCAGACTCTATGCTGAGCGGAAACACTCTATCCAGCCGAAACTGTATGCCTGATCACTGCCCGCAAATGCATAGGTATGTTTCAGAAACTCTTCATCCCTAACGAGGCGACTTTACCAGGACCAAGGGCAAGAGAAACAAACAATCGAGTTGACTCATCCTGCTACACTTGGGTGGGCGAGATGGAGTAGCCCCAGTGGTCTTTCAAACCTCTGCAACAACGACTGCTGTGACATGATCGAATATGGTATTCCACTTCATCAGAAACCAATGGACACAGCGGACCAAGCATTGTACGTGATATATTCAAATACTTCCACATTCGCACCTTGCAGAATATCGACAACGGACAAAGCACAAATCAGTAGACATTCCCAGGGTTACCTGCAGGTCTCTCCCACCTGGGCAGCATCCATGACAGCGACCTGGCAGACACATACTGATCTGGACTGATTCAGTGTATCTAGGTGAACTTCCCATACATTCCTTATGCCAAATCAATCAGAGAGGCCCGTAGCTGTCTGGTCAAAGATAATGTGTATGACTAGTATCTCTCCGTACCGTAGGGCAGCAGGCTTAGGCTCGATTGAAGCGGCTGTGGTCAGTCCTCCATGCCTAGGTATTTTCCTCGAGGTCGAAGTGTACATGCGCAATCCGGTTTGACAAATCTTATCAGGGTGAACTTTGCTGCCTAAGCTAATAACATGATTGTGATGGATCCGACATGGCCCCCCTCTACCCCAGACCAGCCACCCTATACGGAGTCACACGGATGTTTGCCGCTTGGTGTGAAATTAATAAACAGTTGGGGGTTAGGAAGCTTCACTGCCCTGGCGAGGTGTCCTTTCAGGCTACAGTTCTGCGGTAGTTGGTGACGAGAATATTGCGGCAAAGTGCATATGTACCGTGGACTTCACATTCTGTCGTTAGGCGGTTGGTAATTCGTGTGCCTGCGAAGGGAGAAGACCAACCGGGCCGCAGCAATCTTGCGGCAGACTCGGTGAGGGTCTAAGAATGGAAATGCCGTCGGGTTACACAAGACACTCGATACCGATTGGGACTGGCGCCACAAGAACACAAGCAACAACAGGTGCATATGCACAAGCGAGACTCAGGCGGCACACTGATGCCCTGCGATTAATCCAGTTGCCAGATAGCCGTCGTGACACAAGCTAAATATATGTCTTCGCTTTGGGTGGATATGTGGGCCCATATATCCATTGCTATTCTTGGGACGAGAATGCAGGGTCATGCTGAAGGCGCCCCCTTCGTACTGCAGGTATATGGCCGAATGCAGTCTGCGCAAGGCTCAGCAGACGCACCCCAGCACAGCCGCGGCTAGCCCAACACATGAGATCTATGAGTTGGCAGGGGTGTCAGCCACCGTCTTCAGCTAATCATAAGACATGCAACTATACCAGTCCCGATGATGCATCCGGACATTCTGCACGGCGCGGGTCTCCGACGAAGAGCATGGGGGCCGGGGCGACGGAACGATAGGGTCCGCAGAACTTCAAAGAAGTCCATATCCCAGCGGCCCAGTGGTAAATATAGCACCGATCGTGGTTGAAAAGGAGGGAGCCTAGATGGTCATCATCACAGGCTGTCGATCATGGCCCTTGCGGCTCCAGGGTGGCAGGGGCATGCAACCGTCATGTAGGGGCGAGAGGCTGAGGCTATGGAGAGGCTCGGACCCAAGTCTGCACTGCACGCCCCGTAGATCTTCAACATGAAAATAGCAAGCACAGATACCGCGAGCATCAGAGACTACAGAGGGATTGCCTGACCTTAGAGACGCGGTGTGTCGTCCCGTTGAGCCCGTCAAGCCGATTGAGCCCCTTGGCTGAATCTTAAGAGTACACTTGTAGGAGCTGTGCCGTCTTCGTCGTCAGGAGGAACCTTCGAGGGGAGTCTCCAAGCCTCAGCATAGGAGATTCCACACGTAGCAGCCATGGAATCGGCTTGCCCGTTGCCACCTTGACCGTTGTTCCATGAGTGTAGATGTGCCAGATTAGCAATTCAGTCCACAAAAGACATCCAAGAGGCCCCCAGTATGCGAGATACAAGAACAGCTCAAAGGACGTTCCCTTACCTGCATGTATGGGCAAATGTACCTAGGTACTTGGAGCTCCCCAGCCCGGCGGAAGACTAGGCAGTACCTGGGGGTTTCAAACACACTGATTAAAGACAATGTAAGATTACCAAGGTGAGGTATAAGCGATGTTCTCAACCTTCTATTTCACGAACCAAGAAGATTCCAGCTAAGAGTTCAATGGGATCGGTTGTTGGTGATGTGATCGCCCTGAGCTGAGGAAGCACAAACCACTCGGAATTGTTGTGGGGTGCCACCCCTATGAATTTATGGTTTCTGATGACAGTCCACCTGCATTGATGGAATTGAATTTTATGATTGATCGGACTCGGTGTGTCATAAAATGCACAAATTTCCCAGGGTTTGCAAGCGTAGGTGGTGTGTTGCTTTAAGTCTAATCAACATAAACTAGTATACAGTTGAGTCCCTGGGAAGACATAGTATACAAAAAGCCTATGCACTGAGTCTATGTATTCTGCTTGATATCGTATTCGCATCAATTGATAGTGTGGATATATACAACGCTACGGAGTTAATGCTAGGACCCTGGGAGAGGCCCGGCTCGCACGCGCGCACTTCTCTCCGAGATCCACAAACATCCTGGTTTGGGAAAACGAATAGCCTTGAGACTCCCTTTGGATAGATAGAGCTAACTGAAACGATTATTTTATCCGTATCAACCGAAATACTCTCTGGATCCGCGAAAGCCACCCTAGATCTGGCATGTGTAGACAGAGGTCCGAAGCCAAATGCAGCTGCAATGCCCTGGCCAGAACCGTGATCCACAAACCCTTTGTGAATGTAACATAGCTCAGAGTTGGCCGCCAGCTGTTCGTAGCTAGGTGTGGATACGAGAGCATAATGAGGACAGATTAGGCGTAATAATCAGTCCGAGCAACTGCTCTCTCCCGCAAGTATTACGTGTGTTGGCGACAAGGATCGCTGTGCTGCAAGCAGCTTGAGAGCCAATCGGCCCGAGGGTACGAACACGCGGCACTTAGGAGTGCCCGAGACAATGTGAATGTGTGAAGGGACTTTGAGTTTGACTTTAGTGCAATGGACGCTAGGAGGATGCTTCAAGTTGTGTTTTGACAGAATGCCGCCTATGGAAGCAAGTACACAAACGGTGATAGACTAAGTTATTTGCAACGTAAAACAAGTATTAGAATTAACAAGATGCTGTGCACGCCACCCTTGCCACTTTTCCCTGCCGCCTAGAAAGTTTACTTATACATAGAGGTATGTGACCCTCCCTGGTCGATGTCTCCCGCTGCTTCAGATCTAATCTTTATCCACCTCATTTTCTATCCATGTAGAGCAGTATATGCCAGTCGTAAATGAATGTGACCCAATCCATGCAAGTGTAGATGCTATGCCGAATGCCGCTCATATGCGATCAGGATGTTGGTACAAGTTTGTGCTCACCATACTCTTCCGAGCGCCTTCTGCTCGCCATACGTCGTCCATCATTATGCCCATCGTTATATCATGATTGCAGAGACAAGAGAATGCAGAAGGAAGAAGAAAAAGAGAGGGGGAAAAGCAAAACCCGGGTAGCCGAACAGAAGGAAAGGAAATGGGGAATAAGGAAATGGAAGTGACGAGAAACATTGGGCAATCAGAACCATCTCCAATTCACACCTTCCTCCAACTTCTTCAGCACACCGACGGCATCAACGTAGAGTTGGCTTCTCGGTCCGACGCAATCCGCAGCTAGCCTCCTCTTCACCAGCGACACTACGCCGGCGCTAGCCTCCCTCCGGTGCTTCGCCCTGGCGGCCTCTTCAGGCCTCTGGGCGGAAGCAACGGACCGCAACCAGCTGATGGCCTCGTCTTCGGGAAGAGGTGTCTTTTGCGGGGAGGTCGATGAAGATGAGCGAGCGGCTTTGTGGCCGAATGCCCAGATTATTAGGGCACAAACGTACATTCCCCAGTAGTTGCTGATGCAGCCAGCCTGGGGAGTGGTTGGGTCGTCGCCTTCGAGGAAGCCGAGAAGGGCGCGCGAGGCATAGCACGTCGCCTGGGCACACGACATCCCTTCGAGGCCACCGGCCGAGGCGTGTTGTTGGGTGCTAGGCGACTTGGAGGATGGTCTGCCCTCAGCCCAGGCCCGGAGGCGCTTCTGATTTTCGGAAAACGTGGAAGCGCCAAGAACCTTCTGGCTGAAGACCCAGCTGTCGCCGCTGACAGCGAGTAGGTCGTGAAGAGGAGTGTGGTGGAGGGCGAGATAGATGCTTGGCCCCGGGCGGGTCCTTGTCATCGAGAACAGATGTACGAGGCGGTCTTCGGAGTAAGCACCGCTGAAATGCTGGTTGTAAGACGCGGTAGTTGGGGTGCGCAAGTCGTCTGCGGCAAAGCCACTGTGTTCATCAAGGTCGGTTGAAGAGCAATTGTATTGGCGCCGTGGAAGCCTCGATGCTTCAGAATGGAGAAGGATCATCTGGTCAAGGCAGGAGTGTCTGGCTATGTCTTCCGGCGTCAGGGCGTTGGAGGGGGGGACGAAACGGGGCACGTTGGCGCCTGGCGAGCTTTCGAGGATGTTTGCCCACTCGGCTGCCGATGAGGCGGCCCAAAGAGCATCACTGTGGCCCGTGAGGGGGATCGCGGTAGGGTCGATATCGTCTCTTGCGCGCGGCTGTTGATGAAAAAGGGACGTATGGTTGTCCAAGCTGAAGCACACAGCAAGCAAGCGTCGACAGCCCTCCTCATCGATCCATGCTTGCCAACGCTCCTCGTTGCTGCCGCTGATGTCCATAGCACTGTGTCCAAGAGAATTTGAGTTGAACATTGTTTGGGTGGTTTCGAGGACCTGTGGAGAGAAACTGTTTGAGTACGACTGTTCCTGGCCAACTGAAGAGAAAGGATAATAGACATTATTGAATGAAACGGAGTTGTATGCTTGAAACCCGGAGTTGAGAACAAAAGTATCAGGAGAAGAAGAGGTCTGTTGCGGAGAGAAGGAAACGGTAGGTGAAAAGAGCACCGGGTTACTGCCGTGTCTGGTGTGGTCAAACTGGTAAAGTCCATTGCGAGGCGAAGATGCAGAGGCGGGCTCAGAACTCGGTGGTGACCAGGCAGGGAGTGAAGGGGTGAAGACGCCAGCAGAAGAAGACAAGGAAGGGATGGAGGATGAATCACAGCGAGACGCGCAAACAGAAGAACAGCCTTTATCCGAAAAAGAGGACACAAGAGACTCTGATCCACTTACCCTCGAATAGAGGTTTTCGAATAATTTCGAGGGCCGCACCGACGCCTTCCGGCCTCGAAACCGGGAGAAGAGTTCGCAAAGAACAATTGCCTGCTTGACCGGAAGGCTCCATTGCGAATACTGTGAATACTGCGTGTGCTGCGTGGAGATTGAGTTAACGACATCCCTAATGACCTGGCTTGACAGGTGAGTTTCCATCAACTTACGCGCTTCGCCTCCTGCCAAGCATACTCGTGAAGCATATTGCCCCGGATGCGGTCCTCCTTGTTGTCAAGGAACTGTGTCGCTATGGCAGCCATCGCGCATTTCAGAGTATCTTCTCCAAACTCCCCAACGGCACTCCGATGAATGAATGGATACAAAGTGTGGAATTTGTTCCAGTAGACGTTCAGATAGGATGGAATGCTGTTGCGGGCAGGGCGCGAGAGCAGTGTCCCCGCTGTCATTCCACCACTTCCGCAGCCGCCCACACCTGCCAAAGCCGAGCCCGTGAGGATGTCGCCGGGGCTGTTACTAGGCCAGCTTGGACTGCTGCCGTCACCAGTGTAGATACCCACACCACCCATCATGTTGCCACCGCTGATCGGGACCTCCTTCTGTCGACTCACATGAGCCAACGGGGCAGCCCGACTGGGGAGAGCAGCTGGCGCGACTAGAGCGTCAGCCGCGAGGCCTGGCGATGATGGATGGGATGGGCTACGAACTGATGAGGATCGATGGTGGGCGATGTATTGCGAGGTCATGGACGTGTCCAGGAGCGACTGCTGTGTCTGGTCGTCGAATGTGGCCATTAGCGAGGGGTCGAGAAGAGGGCCGTACGTCTGGTAAGGTGCTGGAGCCAGGTGAGGCGGCATGGTGAACGCGGTGCTGCCGAAATGGGAGGTAGTCACTGTATCTAGGCTGCCTGTCCCGTGGACTTCGCGCTGCGTGGAGAACGGTGATAGCATGTCCGCGCTGTGTTGCCAGTCAAAAGAGCCATGTGCGCGGTGCTGGGGCTGCCAATATCTCCGAGGCCGGCCCAAGTCAGCAGGTGGTGGGGTCGAATAGTTGCTCTCGGAAGCAGATGTCCAGGGTGAGCACTCGGCATGTATCAGCTCAGGCGGCTGGTCAAGACTCGTGTGCAGGGCACCCGCCGCGCCAGACTGGGTGTCGGAGGACACGTAGAGCGGCACCGTTCGAGGTACGGGAGAAGGGCTCATGCTTCCCGGCTGGCTGATGATGGGAAGCCTATCCGGGTATATCGAATAACGCGCTCCCGTGTTGGATGATGGGCCGTAGTGTTCACCACTTGGGGGCGACATGGCGGGCCCATTTCCAGGGCTTCCTCCTGTCGCGTAAGTTGTATGGGACATGTTCGGAGTGGTGGGTGGCATCTCGGATGGAGAAGCAGATGCTGGTGGGCCCCCAAAGTTGGAAGGGGAGCCGAAGCCGTGAGGTGGTTGCAAGCCTCCTCCAACCCGAAGCCCAGACATTTGATCGTCCAGAGGGGCTGATCCTGATGCCGTAGAGCCGCGCCGACTGTTCTCCCCCAAGGCCTTGTCTCCCTCTTGCTCACTGTACTTGATGTCAGTACGACCGTGGGCATTGCGAGATGCGCCTGCTAGATATAAAAGAAAACCTTCCAGCCAAACTTACTGTCTTTGTTGGTGCCTTGCAAGAAGATCAGGACGATGAAAGGCTCGTTCGCAACCAGGGTAAGTACACGGATAGCGCGGCGTCTGGTGACTCAATTGATGTCTCCTATGAGAACGTGGTTTAGCAGCAGTTCTCACCAGGAACTATCATGTGAGTCCTAACCTGAGGTGCTCGGCTCTGGTGAAAGTCTGTTGCACTTGTCAGCCATGTCGGTGTCGACGGTGGAGCGATCAGAATGAAAGAAAAAAAAATGGCTTTGGCCATACCTTGGGTGGGTTGCACATGTCGCACGTATGAACAGGAACTCCCTTCTTGGCCCGACTGACCCTGCCCGTGATGGGCGTCAGCCTGATGGGAACCTCGGGGTTTGGGCTGCCCATCGGCCTCCTTGGGTGATTTGGAGGCAGACCTCCGCCGCTGGCCCCGCCCATTGACGACGACGATGCCGCGGACCCGTAACCGTGTTGGTCCATCGAGTCCACGCTGGTATTGCTTTCCCGCCTCGGCTGATCTGGGCGAAACGTCGTCGGTGCTGTAGCTGTAACTGGTGGAATCCTGTCCCGTGAGTCGGCGGCGACGGCACGCCTCTTGTCCTGTCGCACCGCTGAGCTGGAGCTGGAGCCGTGGTCAGCGTGGTGATGGCTGGTACGGGCGACCCTACTACCCTCAGCAGGCTCTGTTGGCGAAGATTGCTGACTGGAACGAATGACGTGACCCGGTGGTATCGAGGTTGATGAAGGATTTTGACTTCGGAAACCGGAAGCGGGTGTTGATGGGTCCTTGTCCTTTTTATCAGTCGAGGATGAGGCGTCATGTTGGTCCTCGTCCACGTTCATGATGGACTGCAGGCTAGACATGGCGGCGGCGGTCGTCCTTGGTCAGGGACGTCACAGTTACAAAGTTAGTAATGTACACAATGTACACAGCCCGGCTGAATGTGCCGAGATCAGAAAAGTGTGCGAGTATAGAAATAAACCATCAAGAATGGGTAAGACTCAAAAGGAGCAAGGGGGGTGTGTCTGCGGGAGAGAGCCTCAGTGGTGTCGGGTCAGTGACTGCAGAAGCAAGGCCTCAGCCTTCTCAGAGTTACAGTCGGATTGGGGCCGAGCCGTAGGTTGAGATGGTCGAGGTGAGAGAAAAGTTCCGAATGCTTGGGACGGGGAAACATTTCGAAAGTAGGGCGACATGCCCTGGAGGGCACTGCTATATTGAGACGCCTCTCGACCCGTGGAGGGCTGGAGAACCGTTCGTGCATACAGTACACTGTTAGGAATGGGTCTAAACACACAAGGTACGGAGTACCTACCGTGCCTTGGTTCCTCTTTGGGAGGAGGCTGTAGTCTAAGTCGCCATGCATCCCTGTCAGCTGGACGACAGGGTTCATCGCATGCCCAGCAGGGAACGCAGACTGCAAGGTACGTATTCCTTCGCTGCACGTTGCACACCAGGGAAAAAGGTGACAGTGCTGTACATTGCTGCTACGCGCCCAGCGCCATGGCCAGCATGGCAGGCCGAGTCCAGCGTCGCCCACAAGCTTCCGAGAATTGCAGCGGGGATCCCAAATCGCATGTTGATCGCTGCAGGACCTGAAATCCATCCACTGACTCGATAATCATCTACAAATGTGATTCGGGGGCCCTTCGATCCCTGATACGCCGCTCGAGTGGGATAAGGTTGACAGACGTGACAAGCAGATGGGTCGGTGACTGAGCGTGACCTTGCCGGTTGTGTGATGGTGTTCTGCCCTAGTTATCCCCGGGGCGCCATATTTAGAAGGGAGAACGTTGTTCGGGGAGCTTCTCTACCAGGATTGGGCAGGCTCCTGCTCCCGAGCGGCCTGGCGTTGGAGCGCTTGTCCACGCACGCAAACTCAATGTACTGTGTGCGCCGAGATGACTGTTCCTCCCCCCACCAAGACAGGGAAGAGAAGGAAGAGCGGTCCAGTTTGTGCCTGCTGAGTCGGGCCCTCTCCTCCCCTCCCACGCCGCCAATTCGCTGCGCTACCTGGAGGTGGGTAGCAAATAATTTGCAGAGAGGAAGGACGGTGTCAGGGGGGACAGTCTGACGGCATGGGGCGCAGTTCCTCTGGCGTATGCAAGTGAGCGGCCCAGTCGCAGGTCCTCACGGAAGCGCGATGTACCGGGGCACACAGCACTGGGCGGCGGATACCAAGTACAAACCTGAGAGCCCTCTCGAGGGCGTGAGGGACCCTGACGGCCAGAAAGGACCGCACATTGGTGGACTCGGGCGGAGAGGCATCGTGATGTCGTACGGGCTAAGCCTGCGGAGGATTGAGTCGCATGAGTTAGGGATGGCGCCTCACGGCTGCCGAGATGATCGGAAAGCTGGAGGAGGTTTCATGCAGATGCTGGGGTTCGCCAAGGCAGGCCTGGTCGCTGAGGCTTTTGTGCCGATGATGGCTAAGACAAGTAAGTCGATGACAGGACGAGAGCAGGTACTGCGTAGATGGACGAAGTGCACCAGATGTGCTGCCCTTGCTGGTGAAGGCTGAGCTGGCAGAAGATGGGCACCAGCACTGGGATGTGATCGCACCGTCCCGTCCTGCTGTTGGCATTTGCCCCGATGTGATCAGATGTCCTGAAGCAGCCAATTCGCAGCGGGAAGGAAGGGCGGATGCTGGTTAGGAATCCTTCAACCGGGATGTCTAATCAACGTGTACATGTGTACTTGGAGCTACATTGTCCCCGCGACCCGTTGTGCGGTCTGTGCCAGGCTGACCGGACCTTGCCCACTTGCCCATGAACAAGGCAGTGCGAACTCCCACGCACCAATCACAGAAGCTGTGGGCTGCTCTCCCACAGGCCTGCAGAGGTACGAAGCCGGCCGGCCAACGGCGACCTCTGTCAGGGTCGGAGGAGATGTGAGACGGATCACAATGATAATAAGGGTCCTGACGGAGGGTGAAAACAGCTGTGCCCATCTGCGGAGCCCCCCGCGGCACCCTCCAACCAGGGCCACCTGCACGGTGTACACCGCACACCCAAGGAGGCTAGACGGTGGAGAGGATGGCCACCATGAGGGGAAGGCTGCAGAGGGTTGCAGAGTGGCTCAGATGCGCCTCAACCCTACAAGGCAAGCAAGGCATCTTGCTGCATCCGGCTGCCAGTCGACGCAGTTGCAGTGAGATGACTATTTTTACGATCTGCCGAGTCGCTGGCTGGGCGCCCTCTGACTGACGCAAAGGGTACAGTGTTCTTGTTCCTCGTGCTGGCGTCTGAGACTGTGGTTCCAGAATAGGAGAGTCAGGTGTCTCTGGTGGCTTCAGGACGAGAGCAGGCAGTGACTGGGTCGTCCAGTGAGAGCTGGGCCGAACGAGGACGTCAGCGCCGTATGGACCGTATGGGCCGTATAAGTCACCTGGAGGGCTGATAGGAAATCCGGGGCAGCGTGGTCGGGTCTGGGGGCGGCCGAGCGAGCACCAGGCGTGCCTGTCGACCCTGGCAACCTGGCCTGGCTGGCGGGCCTTGTCCCTGGGCTGCCCAGGGCTGCCCGGGGCTGCGCAGGTGGGCGAGGGCGGACCGCGGCCGTGTATTGGATGACCTGCATGGGGTTGGCACGGGTTGGCACGCGACAAGGCCGTATCGCTTCGTCCCGCAGGCGTTGCACCTGGCTAGTTGAATGTACGGGAAAGGATATCATGCAGAGTAAGTGGTACATTGGTACAATGCGACACATGCGGGACGCTGGTGGGCGGTACCTTGACAGCTTGACCGTAAGATCGGACGAGAATGATGGGCGAGGATGGGGCGCATACCAGGGCCGCACTGTGGTGGAATGCGATGAGACATGATGGTGTGAGGCCCTGCTGAATAAGTGACGGCGACAGCTGCCGGTGCTGGTGCTGGTGCTGGTGCTGCGAGAGTAAGCAGCCAGCCCTGCCAATCGGCCCTTGTGAGGGCACACATGCGGACCACGGCGGGTGGACGGCATGTCTCTGATGAGAGATTTGGCGATCCCAGGAGGCTGGAGGCGCGGTAATGTGACGGTGGCAGTGAATGATACAATGTTGCACGCCGCGCCGCGCCGGGACGCACTCGCGCTCGACAGGATACAGGATACAGGATACAGGATACAGGACACAAGATAGGGCTGGAGTGGATGGGATGGCCCCCAGGATCAGGCAGTCCCCGGCCCAGAAGCCACACGGTTGTGTCTCGCGCGTACAAGGCAACGCGGTGTCGCACAGCATGGGCGAGCGGGTCACCCAGCAGACCTGCAGACCTGTCGCAGCATCAGTGACGGAAGGGCTCGGCGGATTCGTGCAACACGGGCAGCCGTTACGATCAGGCACCAGCACAGCCAGGGGCACCAAAGAAGCAAGACCCAAGACACAGGACGCAGGATGGGCTGCATATTTGCTGCAAGCGAGACGGTAAGGCTGCTTCTTCGGCACGCGCATCGAGGCTGGCTGAATGGCTGGACGGCTGGACGGCTGGATGGTCGGCCGGTTGGTACCGTGCTCGATATCTATCTAATGAAAGGGCAGCTGCCGGCCGCCTGAGCGGCCAATGGGGCGACCCCACGACGGGTGACGGGGCCATGATTGGTGACAGAGCCGGCCGTTGTCTGCCCGCGCCGTGGACTTGCCTGAGGCACAGCTGGGCGAGGTTGCAGAGTATCGATAGACTATCGGCTCAGCTCGTGGGGCAGAAAACGGCGGCAGCAACGGCGGCAGACGGAGAAGCAGCAGCAGATAGGCGGTGGTGGTGGTGGTGGTGGTGGTGGTGGCTCAGCGTCGGAGAGGGTTGAGAAGAAGAAGGGCAGGACCACAAGGTGTGACAGGTCGGCAGCGGTGTGCGCGGCTGCGGTCGTGTGGGTGTGGGTGTATCTCCTGCGGGAGTGTGGTGTGTGGTAACAGTAATGTATGTGTGTGGTGGGCGTGCTGGGCTTGGTGGGCGGAGAATCGAGGGCACGGGTTCAGACCTGCGTCGCAGTGTTGCATCTGCCCTTTGATGCTATCCACAAATGTCTGCCATGTCCTCCAGCTACATACCATCGCCCGTTTCTGCCTGCCTGCCTACCTGCCTGCCTGCCTGCCTGTCTGCCTTCCCATCTGTGTCCGCCCATTGGATCTTGACAAGCGCGACCTGCAGATGCCGTGCTGGGGTTCCGTCAGTCGTCCGCCCAGGGCCTCTGCCCAGTTCATTTTCTATTGGCTGGTCGGCTACGGAAGGCACGCAGTAGAAGCTGGAAGGAAGCCGCGTAGCTGCATCTGCTGCATCTGCTGCAGTGCTGCAGTGCTACTGCTACTGCAAATCACTCTCAATCTCCCTCTGCGTGTGTCTGTCTCTGTGTTGCAGGCAGGGCAGGCAGGGGTCACTTGACGCGGCTATTTTTAGCCCCCGAGAAAATACCTGTGGTACGTATCCTGCACAGGTGCTGCAGGTGGTCTGCGTGCCTGGGTAGCATTTGGATGTCTGTCGAAGCGAGCTCACACTCGGCAGCATGCCTCATGCCTCCTCACGCCTTGTCTCTCGCTGCCTCTCTGCTGCGGGCCGTCATCCTCGCGTGCCCGGATGATCCATCCTTCGACACCGTCGCATGCCATCCATCCCTCACGCATGCCGTCCCGTTAGGAAGGATTTGTCCCCTTTCGGCTCGGCTCATTCAAGAAGGCCAAGTGCGTTCGTGCGTTCGTGCCTTTGTCAAAGATGATCCTATCTGACCCTCGCAAACACCTCCCCGCACACACCCAGCCAGCCAGCCAGCCAGCCAGCCACCATGCCCGCTGCGCTCTTTCTTCCCTCCCGCAACCGATGCAGCCGGCCACCAGCATCAGCATCAGCATCAGCATCAGCACCAGCACCAGCACCAGCACCCACCCTGCGAACCGTGACGGCAGGCTGCCAGCTGCGCCTTCCATGGCAGCTCACGGTGTTCCATGCCGTCTCTCCTGCATCCTGGGACGGCCCATTTCGGCTCCCAACCGCCCACGTGGTCACCTAGGTCAGATGAACGAGCTGACACTTGGTTACTCACATCACCCGTAAGGCCAGAAGGGTGGTGGTCAGATACCATTCCGTCACTCGATGCCTCGAGTCCGGCCACCCTGCGCGATGCTGTGGTAGATCTGTCTCCCTTGCTCGTAGGGCTGGACTTGCACGAAATCGCCTGCTCCCCTCGCACCCCCCACAACGGGCCCCGGACGGCACTGCCTGTAGCTCTGCGCTCTGCCCAGGATTGTGTCGTTGCCTTCCTGCCAGGTGATTGGATGATGGAAAGGGATAGTCATCCTTGTTGCACCTGGCATTTGCAAAATTTCCGGGTAGCATCCAAGTCTCAGCACTGGAGCCGAGGCATGGGTTTCAAGGTTGGATGCTCGCCGGCTCACCAACACATCTGTCGGCTCAGGCACCCTGAGAAGCATCGAGTGGTGCACGCCCGCTTCGGTGGGGTCCACATGACGCTCCTCGTCCGATGCGGGTCTCTGGGGGATCTCCCGTGCTGTTGCTATGATCGGCAACGTCAACTTCGGTGGCACTTGTCCAGCGGGCAGGAGCCGCAGGCTGCCCACAACCAAGAGGGACACTGTTGCAGGTGGTGGTCTGTGAACCTCGGCGTGGCATGTCAGGGGAAAGGCATCGCCGTCCAAGCGCTGTTGACTCGAATCTCACAGCTGTTCGATCCTACCATGTCCCTTGTCTGCTCGAAATCGGCCCGGAATAAATGTCGTGCCATACTTTTGGACGCCTATGGCTCTGAAGGCTACCTACCACCTGGGCCGGGTCAACAACCGGCGCTAGGGTAGGCATCTTGTTGCAACGGGCCGCAGACCTACCTGGGTTTCTGGCGCAGGGCTTGGCGTTGCGAGTGCCCGCGTACACGGCCGAGAATGATCAGGCGTCGGTGAAGCCATGGTGGTGAACGATTGGGTTCTACCTGGATTACGGAGTATTGAGTATTAAAGTCCATGAAGAGGAAACCATCCAATGTGTCGTCGGCGACTGTTTTCCTCACCGGATGGTTCGGCAGCACGGAGCCACCCATGTCCTTCCTTTCCCAGCAGAATCAAGTAGCATAATGCCCCGGCCCGATTCTGTCAGTCACGTCTCCTTGGTAGCCTGTTCGAGCTCTCTATACCGGGCGTGTATCACTGGCTTAATCCGAGTACCACCCTGCTCATCCCTGTGTGTTTCGATTGCACGTTCAATTAAGGTTCGTCTGTTACCAGGGCCAACCTTCACCTCCGACTGGTGATTGACTCGCGCCCCGAGGCTCGCAGCCGCACGACTCGACCAAAATCATGAAACTGCTATCACGCTGAATGTAGACACGCTTTCGGCGGATCCGGCTGTCCGGGAAGGGCTGTAATGTATGTATGTATGTATGTGTCTGCCAAGTTTGCAGCGGCCCACAAGAGCTTTGCTGCCCAAGGCGTCCAGAAGCTTTCATCGAACTGCAACCTTGCGAGCCGATTGCTCCAGATATGGAAGCCCGCTGCCGCTGCCGCTTGCACCCCATTCGCGCAAGCGAACAATAACAGCCTTTCGCCTGTGCGTTCCCAACTCTCCTTCGACCTCCTCCTCTTGGGGCAGCGATCGAATCAGGTTTTCTTTTGAACATTCTAGATCATTGCTCGCTTCTGCGACTCACCGCACGTCTGGCCAAAGTCGGCTGGCTGGCCTCGGGGAACGTATCTTTCGCCTAACACGATGTCACTCCATGACTTCCTCTCCAGAGCTGTGTCCGAGTCCAACAAAGGGGACCACGACCTTGGAGTCGGCACGACCATCGACACGAGTGACTGTACGTGAAGTGTAGGAGCAGTCTGCTCCCTTCGTGTTCCACACCCAGTATCGGTTACCAGACCGTCCCCCGTGTCCTCCCCCTCCAAAAGCGGCACCCTGTGAAGAGGCTGACACCTCGCTCCTCGTGCTCTTCGGCCAAATGGAAATCACTAATAACTCTCATCACCGGGCAGATGCTGCCGCAAAGAGATATGCTGCTGCGGCCTTGCTGGCCGTTGCAATTTACAATGCCTTCGAGATGATGCCTGTCATATATTTCACCTTTTCGAAATTCTCTGGTCTTTACTTTTGGAGCATGGTAACTGCTGTGACCGGTGTCCTGGTCCATTCCATAGGATTCGGTATGTGGTCCCTCAACGAGCAGCGACGTTGGTTTTACTGGTGGTCGGGTTGGAACTTGAAATCCCGTGCTCGCCATCTATACTGTCTCACCCCCGTGTTGCATGCAACATACCTTTCAAGGACCGTCCATATATTAGCCGTTGGTGCTACTTTGGCTAACCTTTCCTGCTCTTTAGTATTGAACAATTTCCAATTGACGGGCAATGTAAGTCTCAAGCTTCATCCGCTGGTGGTTCTGGATAATGAGCCCCGGTGGAGTACACATAAACTCGCTGTCATGCCACAATCAATTCGATGCTTATGTGTAGTAATGCTGTCTGTTTTCTCTCTTGCCTACAGTTTCGAAGCAGTACCTGCTGACTTTAAATGTTCAACCCTCCAGCAAACCCTCCCGACGATTCTGACGACGTCGTTCTGGATCCCCATGGTATCGGGCCAGAGCATGGTGCTGTATTCTCGCTTGTACCTGATCAACGTCGACAAGCGCTTGCGCCGCTATGCGCTGATTATGATCATTGTCAACGGCCTCGTCCTGCACACAGCGACGGTAGTCACGACTGCCGGGTCGAATAGCCAGGCGTCGCACCTTTTCATCAAACCCTATGCGATTATGGAGCGGATTCAGATTACCGTCTTCTCTGTCCAGGAGTTTATTCTTTCAGGGCTCTACGTATGGAAGGCGTGGAAGTTCCTGTCTGTCTACCGAAGCGGTGGAAGCAAGACGCAGGACAAACTGCGTGCGATGATGCTGCACCTGATCTTGTCGAACATTATAGTGGTTTCGTTGGATATCACGGTAATCGTCCTCGAGTTCTTGGGGCTCTATTACGTACAGGTCAGTCAGTTCCAGCGACTCTGCTGGGGGGGGGGGGGAAACAAGAGACTTGCCGCCATCAAAGCTGACCCTGTGCCTCGTCCTACTTGTAGGTCGCCTACAAGGCCTTTGTCTATAGTGTAAAGCTGAAGTGTGAGGTCGGGATCCTCAACAAGCTGGTCGAGTTTGTCAAACACACAACTGCCAAACGGCAGCGAAAAGCAGAGGATAGCTTCTGCCTGACGTCTCAGATTGAGCGCGAGTGGGAAAAGACGCTGCGGACGACCTTTGGCGTCGCAGCCGACGACGATGACGACGAGGTGGGCCGTCATAATCAGCGCAATCTTCACCACCACCACCACCACCACCAACAGCAGCAGCAGCAGCAGCAGCAGGTGCACCAGAAGGTTCTCGAGCCCATCGACGAGGGGCGCAGCCGTGGCAGCGGGAGCACCCGTGTCGACGGGGCCTCGACGGACGGCGGGTCAAGGCTGATAGTGGCTGGTAGCGGTGCCTCGGGCTTGCGCGAGAGCAGAGGTAGCTTGGAAGGATCTTAGCCAGTCTTTGTAGGAGTACATTCCTTGTTGTAGAAAATTTGTGAAACTATTGCCCCCCACTCCCCCCCTGGCGCTCTAGTGGAATGGGCGAGGAGACATGGATACCGCGTACATTCGCACAGTCTGCCAGGGAACTTCGATGCTCGGGGTCACATGTCGTGATGTCTTGAAGAGCATTTTCTATCGAGACAACGTTATCTAGGACGAACTTCCGCACGGTATCTTTCCATGGGATCCCCTTTTGTGGGATGCTCTCCTACAGGGACACCTTCCTCTTCGAAGCCCTCGTCACCTGAGCATGGTCGGCCGGGAATCTGCGAATGAGGCCGTTTGCCCGCCTCGGTGAATATCCCAAGGTCTTGTGCTGTCAAAATGCCACACCCAGTTGCTAAATCCTCTCTTGGCTCAATTTCATTCGACTAGCTCGGAGACCCGGCAGCTCTAGTGCGATCTGATTTCAAATCATCCATCCGGGCCTGTTTCTTGAGTGGATTCCAAGGTTGCGAAGCCATCAAGCCATGTAGCGAGCAAACAGTGTGTGATACATCCCGCTCCTCTCACAAGGGGAGCTCAGCCTTGTTTCCTAGCTGACGTTACGTGGTAATGGAAAGGTGATTGGTATCCCTGGCTATATCACGCACAAAAAGCGCAACGAGGCCTCCGCGTACATCAGAATCAATTGATGCGGGCCGACCAAAGCAGATGGAAAGACCTACCAGTTGGCGTGATTGCTACGTCGGAAGCTGGTAGTCCACCACAAGATATCGTCATACGGATTAATTCGAATAGATATGTTCCCCCGACTAATAAGCTGGTTTGGAAACCACGGCAAAGCCGATGTGTGCACATGTAACATTCAAATTGCGGGCTCTGGAAGCTACTGCTCGTTACCCTGGTGTGGCTAAGTATTGTTTCTAGCTGTGTTGTGGTTTGCCCTAGATGTCATATGCTGCATGTGGCTTCACAAATTCGGCCAGGCGAAGGACCGGGGAGGCAACATTTGAAGCAAGTGATGGATGGAAGATATATCGCGCATGACTAGGTAGCCTGTACACAAGAAACTAACAGTCTTACCCATGTACGCGCACAGGCTGCTGAATTGCTTTTTTCTCCACCCACGTGCTGTCGAAAGCCGGCCAAGGAGGAGGAGGAGGCCTTGAGCGAGTCTCGTTGTAAGTCCGTGGGCCTGTCTTGCAGTTAGCCAGCCAGCCAGTCCGTCAATCAGTCAGTCAGTAGTCAGCCAGCCAGCCATCACACGAACTGCCCGGGCACCAGCGGTGAAAGGTCCCCCCAGTGCCTCGACATGGTCTTCAATACCGTCCCCCGCCCACTCTTCCCATTGTCCACAGTCCGCCAACCACACTGCTGGAGAGACACCAAGACCCTGAAGAGTGCCGTGACGGTCTTGGGCAGCCAAGCGGCTGTGCATCGCCTAACCCCCCCCCCCGTGCCAGTGTGGTCCCATTACCCACAAAAAAGTCCAAACAAGCCCTTAGGCCTCCCTCGAGGCCGGCAGTGCAAAATTCATGGCAACTGTCTTGCCGAGGCAGGACTGGCAGGAAGCACTTGCGACGACTCGCCCGCCAGGATGGCGGAGATCTCTCTGCGTCTTGTCCAGGCAGGCAGGGGGAGGGAAGAGGGAACAAGCAGATCGAAACGAGTAGGGCCCATCTGACATGTCCCAAAGTTTTTTTCCCCGACGAGGACGATGAACGCAACGGAATTTAGATTAGCACGTGTGTTGCTTTTGAATAGTAAAACCTTCGGATAAAAATGGCCCTTCCGGTGGGTGGGTGGATCTGTCCGCCCGCGCTGCTCTATGGGCAACTTACTCGCTCCCGGCGATTGACCGGCGTTCTGACCGGCGAATGCCCGGCCCAGCTCACCGGGGCGGGATTTGAGGCGGGATCCTGGGCGGGACGCCTAAAATTAGACTGTTATATTCATCATCGACTTCCACATGATCTCGAACTTGGGAGCGATGGCCCTGGGTCATGGCTTGGAGGCATATGATGATAGGGCGTTCATAAATCACAACACACGGATGTTGAACTCGTTTGTACTATAACTTCCGGTGCCAGATATGTAGCAGTACACAGTGGTGGTTTACCCAGACTGACACCTCGGTCTCGCATTGTGCTTGGCCTTTTTTCGGGCTTCACTCGCGTCTACCGGCCCTCGCTTGATTCCCATCATGTTGTGGAGACCGAAGGGTCGTAGTCCGAGACGACGCTAATGAAGTACATTCTCGTCCTCACTTCACAAACGATGGGGGACCCTGGCAGCTCGGATCCTACGGGGGGGGGGCATACTGTGCTGCCGAGGTAGGCATGGGGTGGCCCCTATGTTGCCCAAAAGCACCAATAGATACTACAGAATGGGCACGCCAATAATGCGACGCACTGATTCAAGTACAGGCCTCTAGCCGGGGTTGCTCTTGTACTGTGTGGAAGAGCACATGGTGCGGAGTATTTAGCATACCTGGGTAACAACTGGCATATATAGCAGGTCTGTTGCGTGGTTGACGCTTGATTTACGGCTGGCTCATCTCGAGACAGGCCTCAGCATTGTGAGAGTGGAGGATTCCACGAGCACGACACCCACCTACACTGTGGACACTACGTGAGCGAGTACTTGAAGCATAATCAGGTCACATGTCATATCAGTTCTGTGTTTCTCTTCTTGAAAATGCTGGGCAATCGCCATTGTATGAAGAGACTGCATACACCTTGAGATGTTTACAGATTCACATGTTGAAGATGAAACCACCGCTTGCATGTCACAGAAAAATGGTACGTGCGTATGTTGATGATCATATTGCGAGGGAAAGACTAGGAACATCGGAAACTGAAACAAGACTTAGACTAAACTGCCAACCCCGATCTGTTTGATAGAAGTCAGATTTCACAGGCAAAGAAGACCGACCACCCACTCCAACCTGGCAGAATTTGATTACCCATCGTGTCAACATGAAATGCCGATGCCGATGCCCATAAAACACGTGCATATAAACCTCAATGATCGACCTGATGTCGATCCAAATGCCCACCGGCCACGAGCCGCGGCCCCCTCCCCTTCTTTCTCCACAGTCTCTTTAAGATTAGGGACGTTACTCGACAGGGGGGCGTGTCGATAGGGTGAGTCGGGAATTATGTGTGTTCAGATTCATCAAAAGATCGAGAGTAAGGGAGGTGAGTTCAAGAGGGAAAATTGGGTATTCTGGAGATCCTGTCCCACGCGATCTCGGGGTCTCAACTGGACAGGGAAGTAAGGAAAATTTCATCAACATCGCAGAATGGTATCTCTGATCTCGAGGGAGAAGTGACCGCGACGGGGCCGAACATCGCAATCTCTCCTCTTAAACACCATGAAAGATGGTGAGGGGTGAGCCGGCGCTTATTTGCTGGAGTCCGCGGCGGTCTCCGTCGCAGGCTCCTTTGCGGGCTCCTTTGCGGGTTCCTTTGCAGGCTCCTTGCTGGCGTCAGTGCTGGCGGTCTTGCTGGCGGTCTTGTGGGCGTCCTTGTTTGCAATCTTGGCCTTGATCTTGCCAAAGAATCCGCTGATCCTGTTCTTCCTCTTCTGCTCTGATGTCGCAGAAGTGGGCGTCGAATCCGAGGGCTTCGCGTCCTTGTTCTTGGCCGGGGTCGCTGGTGCCTCGGAACCATTGGCGGTGGTGCCATTGCTAGCCCCATTGCCGGTAGGCTCGCTGACCTTGGGAACCTCCGCGGCCGCCGCAGGCGGCTCCACAACCTTGGGCTCGTCGGCGGTGGTGGCCTTGGGAGCCTCCTCGGTAGCCTTGGGAGCCTCCTCAGCAGCCTTGGCTGGCTCAGACTTGGAGGCCTCTGCGGGCTCAACAGGCTTGACCTCCTTGAGAAGCTCGGCCTCGACGGCCTTCTTCTCCTCCACGGCGGCGGTGTTGGCGGCAGCCTCAGGGCTCTTACCAGCCTCGACAATGGAGTCCTTGACTTCGGACGGGACCTCGGGGGACACCGTCTCGATCGTCTTCTCCGCGCCAGTGGCGTTGATGGTCTCCTGCACGGAGGTGGGCAGCTTCTCCTTGACAGAGTCTGGCAGGTTCTGGGCCGCGACGGGGGCAGCTGTCTCGACGGCCTTGTCCTTGGCGGCGATGGCAGTGGCGACGGCAGCAGCGCTAACACCGGCGGCGGCGGCTGCGGCAGTCTCGAGCAAGGTCTTGTCATTCTCGGACTTCTCAGTCCCCTTGCCGGCGGTGCCCTCGGACGTCGAAGGGGCCTCGGGAACCTTCTCCTTCAGTTCCGCCTCCACCTGCTCCTTCTCCTTGACCTCATCTGCGATGCCGCTGGCCTCGGGGTCGACGCCGGCCTTGTCTTGGCTCTCCTTGACAACCTCAGGAACCTTGGGCTCCTTTGGCACTTCCGCAGCCAGGGCTGCCGTTGTCGAGTCGGCGCTGACAGAGTTGATGTGAGGGTCCGCGGTACCCATCGGCAGGCTCGACTCGGGGATCATGGTGCCAGAGACTGGGGGGACGCTCAGATCTTTGGAGTCGACTCCAGGAAGCGCGTCGCTCTTCTCGTAGGACTCGGCATCCAGCTTGACGTTCGAGTTTACATCGGCAGTCTTGAGGTCATTGGGAACCGGCTCGCCAGGTGCCAGCTTGATGGGGTTGAGGCCACCGGCGGCAGCAGGGAGAGGGTTCACGCCGACAGTCTTGTTAAGCTCATCGGCGGGCGTCTCGGGGAAGGACCCGGGCAGGTCGGATTGCTTCGCGTCTCCGTTCTCTGCCTTGGTCTCGGTGGTCTCGGGCTCAGGCGCAGCGTTGATGTCCTTCTCCAGGGGGACATCCTTGGCCAATTGGGCCGTGGTGGCGTCTGCGCTGACGGAGTTCATGGTGGCGGCAGCGGCGGGCAGAGTTGCTAATAAGGCTTCAGGGGTGAGGACGTTGTTCTCGTTGCCGCTCTCGTCCTTTTCCTTGGGATCTGTTGGGTTGGACGTCCAGGTGCCGTCGACGACGAACTGGAGAGAGGAGTAAATGTCAGTGACTACTCGGTATGATGAGTGAGAGGCGACGTGACACGGTTTGTCTGATATCAAACAAGTAGTGGTACGGAAGAGGCACCAGAGCGCAGGACCGGGCTGTTTTTTTTTATGTTTTTGAAAGGGGGGGGCAAGGCTGATAAGTAACACGATGGTGACAGCGCAGCGTGGTACATGTACAAGGGCACGGCAGGCCGCCCGCAAATGACATTTGCCAGAAGCAAGGGTCGACGTGGGAGATTGCTCCCCACTGGGCCCCAAGAAAACGAGGGGCAGGTCACGGGGACCGCGAAATAACAGGTACTACCGGGGCAGGTAGCTAGCTTGTCTCTTTTGCGCGGCGGCGGCCGGTTTGTGATTTGGCTCCAACCCAGGCATACACCGCTGCGCGAGGCATGTTGTGCGTTCGCCGTGTCGTATCAAGCAGCCCAGGCCTGACGGGCCTGACAGGCCCGAGTACCCATGCGCGGGCCTTCCCAAAAGACGAATGGCATTGCGTCATCGGCCGGCCGGGGCAACGAAGGAATTTGGGGATGGATGGGTGGGTTGGGGCGTGAATGGACCGTTGGATTGCTTGGACGGAGGCTGCACTTGCCAGCTTCCTCTGATCCTTGCTCGCGACAAAGAAAGTGGGTTGGTTTTTTGGTGACAGGGTGGCAGGGCCAAGGGGAGGAAGACATGATTTTGAGCCGCAGGTCACGAGTCCAGCAACGACCGAGGCCTGCGAGCGAATCGACGCCGGCGAGTCGAGCAGGAACCTGACTGACTGGCTGGCTGACTGACTGACTGACAGCCGCGAATTCTCCCAGTGTCCGCTGCCCGCTGCCCGCAGCTAGCCCTGGCCCATGTTCCCCCGTGGGCTGTACATGACCATGTCGATATTGGGGACAAAGTCCCCTTATGCGAAGCTGCAAGCCACAAACAAGCCGCAGAGCTTCTCTCAGCCGGGGACCCGCGAAAAGCGCCCCTCACCGCCCGGGAGCTTGCCTCGACTCGCTGAGCTCTCGGGAAACTGTTGGCATTCTGCACTTGCCAATTGATCGCGGGGCAGTCGGTCCGGTGACATTGTCGCCCGCGTCCTCTTTCGAGGGCAGCGCAGCGTCGCTGACAGCCGTAGCGCGCAACACAGCATCGCATCGCATCGCAGCGCATCGCGGGTGTGCGCCGTAGAACAGGGCCATCGTGTGCGAGGTTGCAAAGGCATACAGGACAGGAAATAACGGGACGAGACTTGGACCGACCTTGTAGTATATCCTCTCGGAGGAATCGGGCAGCTCGACACTCTTCTCGAACTTGTCGCCGACCTTTTCCATCTGCTCGCTCTTGCTCCAGTTGTCAAAGGTCCCTGTGACGTAGACCTCGTCGCCGGGGTGCGGCCTGTGATGCAGAGACACGGGTGAGTTAGCCTAGGCGCTCCAATTGGGTTGCGCAGTGGGCACTGTGAGAATCAGGCCGTGTTGTTGTCTGCCGGGCGCAATTGCCATGGCGATTCGTGCCCTCAGGCGGGAGATGCGCCGGCCCCAGAGGCCATGATCGCCGTCGTCGTGCGTGCCTCTCGGAGCAATGGTCTGGCAGGGGCGCGGCGAGCTTGTGAAAGTGGTGGTGGATGGGTCGGAGCTGGCGCCTGCGCTGGCAGATTATGGAGCCCCAAGAGTGGGGTGCGCTGAGGCATGTTGACGTACCATTTGAAAGTGAAGGAAACCATGCTGGATTGGCGATACTTGATTCGGTCTTGTGCTTGACAGGCGACGGGGAGAGCGATATGCGCTTCGGGAGGCAAAAGATGGGCTCGAGGCTCGAGGTGGGATTCCAGAGTCGAAGAGCCGACAGGTGAGAGAGCACCGGGATACAAAAAGAGGTTGGCAGAGTTGGCTGGGAAGGGTCAATTGGGAATCGGATATTCCCAGAGGGCGATCGATATGACAGTGGTTTGATGATTACTGGGCCTTGGCCGTGGCTGCAACGGGGCGGGGCTGCTGCAATTGCAATTGCACGACGGTACCGGTCGATGCCGTCAACGAGGCAAAGATTTGTGCTGGGGACGACGACCTCGGAAGCAAGAGGGTCGAATTATCGGAGCGGGCAAGCTGGAGAAAGTGTTGAACAGGACAGAGGGAAGCAGGTTTGGAGCTAGGAAGGCCCTTGTTACTTGTCCCTGGTCGGCCCTCGATCATCAAGGCCAGTGAGTGTGAGTGAGCGAGTGACTGACAGCTTGTGGTGAGTGTAGCAGCTCCCAGGCTCCCAGAGCTGGGTACCTGGGTACCTGGGTACCATGCCCTGCAGGGGAGCTATTTCCAGGGCGCGCTCTGGCCGGCGGGCGGCCTTATCTTGGTCTAACTTATAAAACCGGAGGCTGGGTAATGAATGGCATGGCATTGCTGCTCACCCAGGCTGCCAGGTGCAGAAGGTGCAGATGATACGGCCGGTACGTGCAAGGGGGTTGGCTGCTTCCTTTCCAGGTGGGCACGCCAGAAAACAGCTACCCCGGCAGCACATCATTCATTCACTCATTCTACTGCAGTCGATATCTTCTGCGGCAGTCTAGCACGCCCACATTGGACTATTGTACCAAGCCCCATCGCCAGCCAGGGTCGAATTGATGTTTCAAAATTCCCGCACGAGCCGACCGAGACATTCCACCACGAGGCGCATACGCAAGCGGGCAGCCGACCAGTCCGCTGCACCCGGCACACCACAGCACAATACAGGCTGGGCTGGCTGGCCCAACACACGGAGGATCGTCGCCATCAGCTTAGCTTAGCTTCCCTACAGCCCAGGATTGTCTCGGCCTGGGCTCCACCTGCCCTGGCCCGTCCGCTCCGGATCCCACTGCCCGAGGACTCGCTCAGATCGACACATCACTGTAGAGACACGGAGCTTCAGGCAGAAGAGAGGGTGTGCTCTACATCCGCAAGCCCCGTGCTTTTCTCACCATGTACTAGTCCCTGGCTGTCGTCATTTTGAGCCAACAAACCTTCACAAATCAGCACTTTGCCTGTTTGGGCTCACATCGCCCTCAAATATTCCCTCGAGTTCATCCGAAATTGGATTTCGCTGACATTACTTCATCAGAGGTGGTTCATCGCTATGGGGTCGGGCATCCTGCCCGGATTCCAGAACATTCGCCTGGATAAATCCGGAACGCCGCTTTCTTAGAGGTCCATCCCCCGGTCAAGACCTAGACCTATGTTCCCTCATGCCGCGGTCTCGCTGTCCAGGGCCCCGTAGGGCTGCTGGTTGCCAGCGCCGTCCTGGCGCTCGCCGGTCCCGGGCGCACCACGCGTCTGCTTCAGCCGCATCTCCTGCTCTGCCACCCGGGCCGGGTCGTCCTTGGAGCCAGGCTCGACGTCAAACTTCGCAGGACGGCCCGACATGTCCGGATCCTCGGTGATGTTCTTGCCGTGGGGGCCGCCCGAGTCACGGTTGTATTGGTTGTTGACGTACGTGGGCGCCGTGCCGGCGGCAGCCCCAGTGCCCGACGAAGATGTGTTGTCTGAAGAGGGAGTGGTGGTGCTCTGGGCCTTGGTGCCGGTGGTGCCGCCCGAGTTATCCATGTTCTTGTTGTTTGCGAATTCGCCGCCCTTCTGTGCCGACTCTTCTGCGAGGGAGCCCGAGATCTTGCCTGCGCCTTCATGTGTAACAGGGGCTTTGTCACCGAGGGTGACCTGGCTGTGTCAGCTGGTCTGTTCCAACCAGGAGCACTGGACCTCTGTGGATAAATTTGTTCGAAACTAACCTTGGTGCCTTCGCTGGGTGCCTTTCCGACCATTTTGGATATGTCTACGAGCCTGATGGTACTATTTGGTACTGTTTTGATGGCAGTTGGTAACTTGGTCAAGATGAAGTTTTCTCGTGATGCCCGTGTGAAGATGAAGATGATTCAAGAAATAAATCACCTAATCGGCCGAGTGCTTCCTTCACATTCTTAAATACAGCATCAAACGTTTCTCATTGACTGAGGTTCAGCTTTGGTGATCACGTCAGAGGTGATGTAATGAGCCTCCAAGAGCCGTATGTTCTCCTGGTGAGGTCTTCTTGATGTAATTCTGTGGGCCACTTGGGCTACCGTCCTTCTCCAAGCGCGGCTGGCACCCCATGACGGTGGAACAGAACTAACAACAACCAGGTGGCGAGGCCAGATTGCCCATGGTTTGTGTGAGGTATGTATGAAGCAAGTGGAGGCTCCCGAGTGCGGCTTTCTGCATCGGACCGGAGCTTTTGGTCCGTTGTATATCACCCAGTGTTCATCGGGTGTGGTAGCTAACAGGCTGGTCAAGCGGCTCGCTCTGGTCACCCGTTGAGCAGATGGTTCGTAGCGATCACTACCCTAAGCTACCACCTCCTGCATTTAACCTCCGGTGAGAAACTCTTGCAAAATCTCCTCCGGTATCCATCTCCGTGGATCAATATTCTCTGGGTACTCTTCGATGGGACAGCCTAATTTGAGACAGCCTCCCATGACTGAAGCTTCTACAGGACAACCTTCTATAATGTAGCCCACTGTAAGATGTTCTCCCACGTGGTATTAATTCTATGGTTTGATATACTATGGGGTATCTTGTGTATGAGAAGACCCCCTCTTCGGGATGTGCCCCCCATATGAGTGTGTTTCGTGGGTTGATCACACCTGGTCAGGCTCTATATCCATTTGTGTATACCCTGTAAGTTCAGTGTTTTCTTTTTGTTTCCTGAAGCCTCATTACACTCTTGAGTATACCTCACCTGTCTTCAGCTCCAAAATAGAAAGGAAGTAGACTACTAGTTACCAAACTCGGGGAACTTTGCCGTGGGCGCCTAAAATCGAACTTGCAGACCGTCCTCATTGACCCCAATACTAAGTCTAGGTGGTGTAAGATGGATTCATTTCTACAGTTTCAAGAATACCAAGTGATACCTACCGGACGGCATCGAAGAGAAGGAAAAGGCCGCCGACAGGAAGCCCTCGCTATGTCTGTTTCATAGCGTACTACATCTTCTAAGCCAGTACACTCTGTCTATTACCGAGCATGTCTCGCTTTCCAATAGACCAAGACGACGTCTGACTCTAGGCTGTAAAGCCGTGGGCGTGTTCAACTCTTCTCACTCCGAGGAAGGTTTGCCTGACAAGCCATGACCCGCATCCCACTTGATCATCCTTGGTCTCTCCAGGACGGTGATCCGGACGCGCCGCGGTGGAACCTCTTTGGAGCGCGGACTAGTTGCCTCTCTTACCACCAGTGCTCATCAGAGTGATTTTCTGCTTCTGCTTCTTCTTCTTCTTGCCCCCGCTGTTGCCTCCCGAAGCTCCCTCTGGCGTTGCGGGCTCCACACCCAATGCCTCCATCTGAACGGCCAACTCTGCTGCTCCAAGTGAGTCAAGGAATTGGTCGTTCCTGAGCCATCCGTCATCCACATCTACTGGGTCCGTCGGGCCTGATGTGGGGGATGGTGGAATGGCCGGGGTGCCCCATATTGTCCTCTGCGTCGAGGGACTGGTGGACATTGATGCCAGCGGGGTGAAGCCAGGTCGAGGATTTGGAGGAGTCGTGCTTGCTGCGCCAAGTGGTTGAAAATCGTCCATGTTCAGGCGGTCAGAGTTGCCCTCATCGCTATACCGCATGGTGAAACTCTCGTCCGCAGCGCTTAGGATGGTCCTCCCCGGCCCACGACGATATGCAGCAGATTCCAGGCGTTCTGCTTGTTGACGTTCACGCTCTTCCTGTGCATCCTTGTCACGATTACGTTTCCGCCGTCGCTCAATCTCGTCCTTGAAGGTATCCAGAACCTCATTCGGGACGATATCTGTCCAATCGCACTCCAGGAAGGAAATGAGACATCCTCTGGGGATGTGCCCAAGATACTTTGCTCGCTTCCGTAGTGCGTCGTCAAGCGTGTTTCCCGTCGAAATGTGCTCCACTCTTGGCAAGAGTGTTGACGGAAACTGTGAGAAGGAGCCGTACTTTGTCTTGAGGATCCGGATATCCAAGGGCGAGAGGTAAAGGTGTGGGGGTGAGGTGTAAAAGTAGAACTCGTGCTCAGACTCTGCACGCTTGCCAGAGCTCGAATCCTTGGACGCTTCCGCCAAGGCGACCTCAACTTCTCCCAGGTCTTTGACTCTGTCCTTGGAAGCCTCGATCGCCTTGACAGCCCGCTGCGTCCACTCCCCGTCCTCGTTGAAAAGCAGCTCGTCCTCTTTCTCTTGTTTGGTCAATTGCTCAATCTCGTTATTATACTGCTCCGTCATGTAATCGGATGTGCCCCGCATGATGCGGGCATAATCCAGGACATTGGCTGCAAAGTGCCAGGGGATCTCATCCCCGGAACTCAGAACCTCTGCTCCGCCTTCCTTGGGTAATGCGAGTGTCGACTTGTCGTAGCGCATCATGAGACGAAGAACGACATCGTCGCCAGGCCGCGGTAGTGGGCTCTCCTGGCCGGCGTAGAAGCGCACCGGTCGCACTTCAGACACTTGTACGCTGTCATCGCAGATTGGACACTTCTTCCATCTAGATTTCTTCTCATGCGCGCTGGCTTCCTCGCTCGAGGTCGAGTGCATGTACCGAATCAGACACGGCAGGCAGAAAATATGGCCGCATGTTGCCATCCGAGGTGCGACAGGCTCGGACAGGCAGATTGGACAGGACGCGGCCTGCGACTCGGCAGAAGCCAACACCTGGAGCACATCTGCCCAGTCTAGATGCTCGTCCGCATCGACAGCCTGCTTCGAGTAATTGCCCTTGGGCGACACAATGAAACGGTAGTTGGCATGTACATAGCGGGCCTTATCGGCGGTGTGGTAACCTGATCCCGGGCCCCAGGTGGGATTGCGGCGGTAGTTTCGGTTGTAGGGGGTGTGGTGGTTCTCGAAACGGGGCCGCGGCGAGGAGTAATTCAGCAAATGAGTGATGGAGGTCTGGCCACGGCGGCTGGAGGCGTTACGGATGGCCCTTATCTCGTCCATCTCGTCCTCGTCGTCCCTGTATGAGCCAGCTCTTTTCTGGGTTCGGTGTTGCTTGCGTTGGCCCTGTCCCTTCCTGGGCGCGGCGATTGCAATGGACTGGCTGCTCTGGAAGGGACGACGGTTGGAGTCGAAACTCGAGGATGCAGCCGGGGAGAAGGGAGGGGCGGCGTGGGCGGCGGATGGTTGAGTCGATGAGGACTTGCCGCCGATGTTGGATGAATTCGACATGTTCCGGACAAGAACACGACCCAAGTCTTGAAGACGAAACGGAGAGATCAAGCCAATCGCTCAAGAAACAGCTGCCTCGGCCGGCGTGGTGATGACCGTGGGTGCAACTGCTGGCGGTTGGTTGATTGATTTGATCCGAGGGTGCGGACGAGACGGCGAGGGGTGGGGTGACGTAGAACGCGCAGCTTTTGATGCAGTCAGGTTGGTCGTGGGGATTGCAGAACCATCCTATCGGCAGGGCCCAGCAATGAGACTCTCGATCGCAGTTGGAGGCAAGAAGGTCTACCCGAGTAGTAGACCTGACCTTTGGATCCCGCAGGAACCTCGGAGTGGTTAGGAGTGGTTACGGGGTGGAGAGGACGGAACGGTCTGGTTGTTGGAGTCATTCGGCAGGTCGGAGGGGCAAAGTAGATTAGTCATTCCATTCTACCTACGACAGTGTGTGTTAGTAGTAGTCTGTGCTGGCCACGATGCTGGATCCAGAGAGCTGGTAGGCTCCCTCAACAACACCCCCCCCCCAATAGTGTGAGAATCATAAGTGACCCGATGCCGTTGTAAAATCAATTGCCTTCGCAGGAACATGTGCAAGAATTGCTCATGAGATGTCGTGGCCCCTCGGACTCTGAGGATCGAGACTGCCCCGTCCACCGGCAGCCGGGAGCGGGTGGCTCCATTGGAGGGGCCGGGCGTGTCGAGAGTCGAGACTCGAGACGCGCCCACTCGACTGCTGCGGGCCACCTATCCTGCCTGCCTGCCCTGCAAGCTCCTGCATCCACATATTGCACACAAGTAAATAGCCTCAGCCTCCGTTTCCTTCAAAATCTTCGGCATCGTGTGTTTCCGGTGCCAGCCTCGCTGCATCATTGAGCCTTTCATACTTGCTCCAGGGAGCATCAGCAATATCAGACTTCCAACCGTGACCTTCTCGCCATGGACCAGCCCGGCGAACAACAGGCCCTCCTTCCCCGTCAGGGCGAGCTGGACCAGCAGGACAGCTCAGGCGAGGTCAGCGCATACGCTAGGCGAAGGGAAAGATGCCAGGCTCTCCTCCAGTCGAAGCAGAAACACTATCTGATTCTCGCCCTGGTTGCCCTGGATGTCTCATGTCTGCTGGCCGACATCTTCATCACTCTCATCGACTGCGATAGCCGCATCAAGAACGACGCTTGGGTCCCGCCCGTACACAAGGCCCTCGAGGACGCTGGTCTCGTCTTCTCATGTCTCTTTCTGGCCGAATTGATCGCAAGCCTGTGGGCTTTCGGCTTTGAGTGAGCACCGCCATCACACCCTCAAGTGCCCACTACGTCCTGAGTAGGCCTGGCTGATATCCCGCGACAGGTTTTTCCATTCATGGTTTCACGTTTTTGATGCTGCCGTCATCATCGCCAGCTTCCTCGTCGACGTACTTACCCGTGGTGTTGTCGAGGAGGTCGCATCCCTCATCATCATCCTGCGTCTGTGGCGCTTCGTGAAAATTATCGAGGAGCTGAGCGTTGCAAGCTCTGAGCGGATGGAGGACCTCGAGACGAGGATCGAACGGCTCGAGGAGGAGAACTCCAGCCTGAGGGACAAGCTCAGGAAGTTTGCGCCCTCCAGTGAGGGTGAGCCGTGAGCCCCCGGCCTGGTGTGATGAGGGTCTCTGAGTGAGTATGATATGCAAATATTCTCATTAGTGAGTCTCGTCTGACCACCATTGTGGACTTGATGTCTATGTTGTGAGGCTTGACAAGCTGGGTCAACAGTCGACGCATGTCTGGGATAAAGCCTGCTGGTGTCGTGCACGGCACGATGAACTGTCAATCTACATGGAACAAATGGCCTCGCTCAGATAGAACCTGCAGGGATCCAAATGTTTGCCCAGGTAAAGCTGCCGAAGTATCGTCGTGCAGGTTGTCACAGGGATGTGGCTAATTCCGAAAGCCTACAGGTAGATGGCCCGACCCTCAGGTGAACATTCAGCATCAGTAGGTGCAAGTTCTGCCGTAGGAGGATTCCGTACGAAAGCTCGAGAGCTTTGATCTTCAAACTACATACATTCATCATGAGATCTACATGTGTACGGATCCGATGTGTATGGTTTCAGTCTCAAAACTCTGCCAACACACTGGAATATCGAATGTGTTGAGATCCCTGCGGGTTGTCATTGGAAATGCAGCAGGCATGTATAAAACGCGGCATATCACCACACCACCTGAGACCAGACCCGAGTTGAAGACGGTGCAACACGAGCGCGGAGGCAAACTCACATGCACGACGATCTCGTATCCGCGTCTGTTTTGTCCGGCAGCACAGCCGCACACATGCCAGCCATCTGGCGTCGTTTGGGAACAGATCATCCACTTGCAGCCACACCCGTCTCGGACAATGACTATTCTGGGAGCACAATTGGGGAACGAAGATCACAAAATAAGAAAGAAAAAACAATAAACCATATCAAAGCCCTGACAGGCTGACAGGATGGATTGTTCAGTACCAAGGCTCGATCTGGGAAATATTACCTGTCGCGCATGATGAAGTCCCATTGAGCAGGGGTGCTTTCATTACCGCCATTTCCTTTCTGCAGCGGGGGCTACCGACGGTACCACCCTCTATTCTAGACCAACCGGCCCAAGCCTGACCAGCGGCAGCTCCAGAAAAGTCTAAATGGCTCTACGGCGTGCAGGGGTCCTGGAGTCATGCCAGGTATTCCACCACGGCGATAACTCACAAAAACAGGGTACACGGTACACAGTAAATATAACCACCCGGAGTCATTTCTGGAAGACATCGATCCACGAGAGGAGACCCGTGCCACAAGGGAACCTCTTCCCTCCTACAGGACAACCTCCTATGGGACAGCCTCCTATGGGATAACCTCCTATGGGACAATCTCCTCTGGGACGACCTCCTAGTGTGCACAGTAGGAGATGGTCGCAGGTGCTTGCCAGAACCTCGGATATCGGTCAGGTCATGTCCAGGTGTTCTGGATCCTGGCAACCTGGGGAGATGCACGGAGTACACAGTACGGGGAGCCGAGGAGGAACATCCTACCCCGTAGACTTGCCAGTTTGCCCAGCCAACACAACATTGCTTAGTAGGGGTCTAGCTATAGATCGATCTCCCGGGCGCGTCTCCCCCAACGAATCAAGCCCGCTCCCCAACCCGAGAGTGTCGTACAACAACACGCTCGGCTGCACCCCCCCTGGGAGGGGCAAGGAGCCACAGCAGATGAGGCCATCATCAATTTCTGGCAAGCCCCGGCTGCCCGGCCGGCTGGACACCCCAGTCCCCAGAGATAACCCCATGCACTGTGGCTTCATCCCTCCTTGGCCCTTTCTACCTCTGGCCTAGCTCGTATTCCCAGTCCCCGACCGATTGGCCGGTCCGAGTGGATCACTGTAGCGGCCGGGGACTTTTCTCTCCTTCTTTTCCTGCCTGTCCTCCCTCTCCTTCCCCCGGGAGGAACACGACAGGGGTTGATGGGATGGACCGACTCCAGCCCCCCCCCTTGCCCATGCCTGACCTCGAGGAAGCTTCATTCATATTAGAAGCTTCTCGCGTTGACGGCTGTTCCTTCTTCTCTCTTCTTCCCCTTCCCCTCCAGCTGTTTCTCAGTCAACCAAGATCGTGCTTACCGGTATATACAAGAAGCTCCTTTTTTGAGTTTATAACTGTCTCTCGCTTAAACAGTCCCTCGCTTCTCAACAACAACAACATTGACCGTCTTGTCTTGAGTTGTGCAGCATTCTAGCCTCCACCCAGGTTTAATTCTTTGCATTGTACTGCATAATAATTTCAAGTCCTCTTAATCACACAACACAACAGCCAAGATGAAGACCTTCGCCGCCCTCGTCGCCTTCCTGGCCCCCGCTGCCATAATGGCCCAGACCCCCACCACAGCCGCCACCGGCGCCTCGTCCACCTGCGAAGCCGAGTACATCGTCGAGGACTGCCTGAGCAGCACCCGAGCTCGCCAGGAAGAGTGCAGCTACAATGACTACACCTGTCAGTGCCGCGCATATGAGGCCATCGCGACGTGAGTTTATTTACTTCCCATCTTTCCCTTCCTCTTCCTTGTCCCCCGGGAAAACCGGGGATTTGGACCAAGACAAAGAAAACCAGACATCCCGAGCCCTAGACTAACAAGCCCACCAGCTGCTACAACAACTGCCCCAACGACAACCGTGCCCCCATCGCCCAGGGCCAGGTGGACCAGTTCTGCGCCCTGGCCAGCCAGTACGCCTCCACCACCACGGCCACGGCCACCGGCAGCGCCGCCAGCACATCCTCCACCGGCTCGGCCGCCGCGACTGCCACCGACTCCGACTCCGAGTCCAGCAGCACTGCTACTTCCAGCAGCGCCTCCAGCTCCTCCAGCAGCGAGAGCTCGTCTGCCAACTCGGCCGCCGACCTTGCTATCAGCGCCGGCGGCCTCCTGGCTGCTGTTGCCGGTGTCATGGGTGCCCTCCTGTAAGAGGCCCCTTTGACCATCTCCCTCCATCACAACTCCGTCGGGGTTAGATAGTGGGGGGGGAGAGCACATGTCTATGCGTGGTCGTGCGAGCAAGCTTTGAGCTCTTCAGGCACGCACCGGCACTGAGCGGGTTAGGTACGACGTCATGATGGATGATGTGTGATGGGAATGAAGGCGTTGTGAGGGATCGACTTAATAGCGGAGGGATTGGGTAATTGTTGCATCGCACTGTGTGCGTGTGCATTGGCTTCATGTCCGTTCCTTCACAGCTCTGGAAAGGCCCAGTCGTGTGTGTCAGAGAGTGAGAGAGAGAGAGCAAGGGGGACCAGGGCATGCTTAAGACAGGTTGGAGATACTTTCCGGTCATCACATTTACCTGAAGTATATAGCCAGTCTCGCTAGTGTCTAATACAGCCCAACAGACCGAAGCCATGGGCTACGTCTGTCCTTCAAAACGAGCTGCTTTGTTGCTCCTGCGTACGGGATAATTCCAGCCCAAAAACTTACCCTGACCGTACCTCTGTCGAGATAGCTACCGTGCCGCGCACCTAGGGTTTTTGAAAACGGTGTTTTTACTAATACTCTCTAGTAATAGCTATAACTACTAATAGTCCTTCCTTCCTTAGTATACCTTAAGGTAAGAAGGAAGTCTTTAAGAGAGATTAGGTCTTTAAAAGGTATTAGTCTTTAAAATTCCTTAATATTACTCTTTTACTTTAATATAAAGACTAATTAAAAGAGAATTCTCTTTCTATTTTATTTTATAATATTCCCTTCTAGAAGAGACCTTTAGCTAGCCCTCTACTTACTTACTTATTCTTAAAGCCATTTAGTTAACTTCTCTTCCTTAGCGGAAGGAGTATTCTAGGCCTTTAAGGGAAGGTCTTAAGAGGGAAAAGAAGGTCTTAAGAGGGAAGGGAAGGTCTTAAAGGACCCTTTAGTTTTAAATAAAATCTAGTCTTAAAGAAAAATACTAATATACCCTATAGCTATCGCTAGAGAGTATTAGTAAGGAAACGGTTAGGAGGTATCTAAGACTACCTAGGGTATCTTTTTAAAGGTAAAAAGAGATGGTTTAGAGATTGTATTCAGAAACCCCCTAGGGAGTGCTATGGTAGGTACGTGGTGAAGCCGGATGCTAAATCAGCACATGCTAGCTTCCAGCCCGCTCCAAACCTGGCACCGAGAACACTTCAGCTTCTTGCTGGGCCGCTGCTGAGTTTTGAGGACTTGCTTGCGGGACGACATTTTGGTGTGGTATCTCATCTTCAATTCATCTGATCGTGTATGGGGTATGTATGTACAGGGTAATAACAGATATGTATCAAGGACACACTGCTTCAAGGTCTTCCTCTCTCTTTCTTGTCCCCACTGGACGTCCCATGCAGAAGCTCCACCCAGTTTTCCCTGCCAATAAATCTATTCGTGACGAAGCCAGCCCCCTTCAAAACAACATCGTCAATCTGACGACTCGAACAACGGGTGGGCCCGTCGCTGTGTTTTCTCTATGTTGTGACTGTCGCACAATCTGGTTGTACACGGAGACAATTTGCGCCCCGAAAAAAAGTTGCCCTAGTGGGAAAGCCCGAATCCTCACATCAGTGAGAATCGGCCCCGATAGCGAGAGGCGAAGATCTTGGGCTGAGATCAATACGCTCCAGCTTTTGTGCTCGACGGTTTTCGAATCCAAAAAAAAAAGTGAAAACGGCAGCGCTGAAACATCCGACATATTAAAAGTGTAGTCATAACGTGAGCGCTCGTAAAATTCGTAAATCGAGCAGGTTCCGCGCGTGAATTGCTCAAGGCTTGCGTCGCGTAGCGGCTTTGCCAGTCAGGGGCGTGACGAAGGTGACATGCCTACTCTCGTCCTTTGCCCTGGCACCACTGTTACTTCCGTGCTGCGAGAGATCTTGCACGTCGGGATACTCGATATTGACTTCGGTGACCTCGGTCAGAGAGCCGTCATCAGAAGCGTCTGAAGATGAGCCATCGTCGGATTCGTCGTCTCCACCGTCGTCGCTAACTAATGACGGGGCGTTGTTACTGGTCGCAGTGTTCGGGCTGTGGTCAACATCCATCAAGGTGGCATCATCGAAGCTGGAGTCATCTTCGTCTTTGACGGGAACACTTGGGAGAAGCTTTGATGCTGTCGAAGTGAAAGCGAGATGCGGAGACCGCCCCTTGCTGCTAGGTGGGCGTGGCCCAACAGCAGGAGGAGGGACGGCTCGCGCGGGGATACGCACTCCGGACGCGGGAACGCGAGCCCCAGCCGTCGACACCTTGTTCACGGCCGGGTGGTCCACGTTGGAGGACGTACACCGCTCTCCATCGTCAGACTCTTCGTCAGCTGACAAGTAATCATCAACGTCCACTTTGCACTTAGCATCCTCCACATGCTGATTGAGATCGCCCTGGAAGTCTCGTTGTTTGAGTAAATCGGAGAGAAAAGGTGTCCCGGGTGCAGCAGCGAAACTCTTCGATGGCTTCCCTTCTTCCTTCACAGAAGGACTTGAGGACGTGGTACCAAGGGTCTTGGGGGTAGTGCCCTGGCGACAGGACTTGAGTGATTCGTTGATGCGCTTGAGAAGAGCCGCATAGGCATTTTGCTCAGCCGTTGCGTCTGTTCGTGCAAGAGGATGAACAATGCCGGGTGCGGGGGCGCTTGGGGTCTTCTCTTCGGTGGTAGTGGCAGTGGTGGAAGTGGTGGCAGTGTTGTTGGTGTTGATGGTGGCGCTGCTTTCGCTGACGCTGATCGGTTGCCCGCAATCAATAGCAGCCTCCTCATGAGACTTGTACTCCTTCCTATGTGCGATTCGACAATGGTTGATGAAGCCTTGGGTGCTACTAAAATTGTCCCTGTGACACGAGTTGCACACAAGCTTGACAACCACACCGTTGCTCCTCTTGACAATGCAAGGCGCCTTCGGCTTCGGTGGCGGATAAGTGGTAGAAAGCTTCTGGCCGGTCTGTCCACGGGCGACCCTTTTGCCGATGGTTGTAGCCTCAGAAAGACTGTTCCTCGTTGTCCGCCCTTCAACCGTGTTCCTTGGGATAACAGACAAGCCGTGCCACTCGGGCACAACGTCTCCAAACTTGGGATCTGGGATCAGCCACTTGGCATAGTGACGAGCATAGGGACCGTCCGTCACTCCGAAAGGCGGTGCCCACTGTGCAGCAGGCTCTCCAGCCCGACCTTGGACGGCTGAACCCTTGCCCTGCGAGATTTCCAACATCTGTTGTGGGGTGGGACACGAAGTAGGATATGGTATGAGGTGGCACCGACGCAGCTGTTCCAGAGCGACCTGACATTTGGCAAGCTCCTGGTTGATGAAGCGCAACTCCTGATGCTTCAGTAATATCTCTGTACCAAACTGCTGGTTGATAATGTCAACTACTCGATCAGTGTTCGGCGCGACTGCCTGTGGAGACTGCGATGCGAAGTACTCTTGACGTGGCATGGCGGGAGTTTCTGGGGGTGTGGCGACGCTGTAGTCAACCTTTGCCCGTTTTGCGCAAACACCGTCATCATCACTGCCGTCGTGTGCGGGAGACGCCTTTCTTTTGAGTGAGCGTGGGCTCGTCGCCAGGCTTGGCAAGTCTTTGGAGCACATCGTCATGGTCTGGTCGGCCTCAGCGTGCCTGTCATCTGCCTTTGCATCACCACTCCAGAAGCGGAACATTTCACGAATAGTGTTGCGTTTCCGTGGTCACGGTGGTGACGGGGAAACTCCGGGCTAGACTCGACGCGCCGCGATGAACTCGTTGTTTTGTAGTCGCCACGAGAGGCGTCTAGGCAACTGTCGCGCAGGCTGACGTAACAAGGGAGAGGGGGCGCTAGTTGACTAGCGTGGCTCTTGGCTGCAGGCTGGGGTGGGTCCGGCCTGGGATGAGTCGGATGGTCGGAGCCCCAAGCGTCTGCGGTGCGGTCGTTGCGTGCAGGGCGTGGCGGGCGCAGTGACGATGATGTGGCCAGTTGCGAAAAGGACCAACCGGGCCCGATGCGATGCGTTTGCGTCACACCACAACACAGTCGTCGAAGAGCAGAGATGCTGCGGCCTTGAGCGAACAAGGAGAGGAAGAGGGCCCAGCGAGAACTAGTAAAAGCCTCGCGGAATGAGATGAGAGCTTGCGCGACACAGGCACAAGGCTCAAAAGGAGCGTACGAAATGAATGATGCGCAAACGATTTTCGTGCTCTGAAATCGCGATGTCAGTGTTTGACAAGAAGAAATTATTTTTCCCTTGATGCGTGCGGTTGTTTGTGACAGGAATTGTTTTGATTTCGGGGGATTGCGAGGAATGAATGAGAGGATTTGGGGGTTGAATACGGGATCAGTTGGGGGGGTGGCAGGGGGGAGGCCGGGGTGTGTAAGAGAGATTGGGAGAGGCAAAAGGGGGAAGGGGCGAGAGTGAGTGCGAATGAATGCGTGAGTGAATTGGCAACCCGAGCGGCAGGAAGGAGGCGCGGGTGCGGGTGGTGCAGGCTGCGCCTGACGAAAGTGCTTTTGGGGGGGTGGTTGGGAGCTCGGATTTGGCTTGGTCGGGTTGGGGCCAGAGAGACAACCAAGGCGAGGAAGGGGAAGGAGGGAAGGGAGCTGCTCGCCGCACCTGCCTGCAACTGCAACCGCAACCGCAACCGCAACCGCAGGTGCAAATGCAAATACTCGCTCGGGCAGGACCGGGGATCAAGACGGGAATGGGGTGTTTCTGACTGTGCGTCCTACTCACCCAAAGGACTATGTTACGCTGCCAGAGCTCGAGCGGACGACACAAACAGACGGACAACAGAGACCGTGAGGGAGTGGGAGGTGATGAGGCCTCTGATCTTCTAGAAGCACCCAGCAGGACCTCTCTCCCTTTCACGGTGCAGGCGGGACAGGACGGAGGAGGGCAGAGGTCAGGACCAGGGCCCTCTGGGTCTGGGGTGGCCTCGAGGTTGGAAGTGGGCGTGGGCGTGGAGGGAGCGTTTGCAGGCTGGCAGGGTGCAGGAGGAGCAGCAGCAGCGGTGTCGCAAACAGGACTGAGCTGAGCTGGAGTGAGAGCCGGGCCGGGCAGGGTAGAAAACAGGGCAGAACAGGCCTCCCCGTGTGTTTGTCGAGCCTTTTTCTCCGCGCCTTGCTCTGGGTGGGAGCGTCACGGGCAAAAGGGATGACACGTAAGAGGCAAAAGGAGCACCCAGAGTAATACGGGTGTGAAATACAGTTGTTGTTGAATAAAGAAATGGTAGGATTTCACTGCGCAACAAAAACTATTGAAACACTGAGCTTCTAGGTCTCGTTTCTGGGCGAGAAAGTGCTCGAGGATCGAGCGCAAAAGGGCCTGGGGCTGGGGGGGTGTGGGAGGAGGAAAGCTGGGAGATTGGGAGCCGGTGGGATTGGGGGGGAGGGCGCCCGACGATTGCTTTGGCTGGGTGTCTGGGTTGCGTGGGCTCTGGCCAGCAGGATGGGTACCTAGGTAGGGGGGTGGAGGGCGGGCGGGTGCGTGGGTCGTGGGTACCGTACTGGGTCGTGGGTACGGCGATACGTACTCTGGCCAGACTGGGACACCGGCTTACTGACTGGGGGAGCACTGCCTGGCCTCCCTGCCTGCTTGCCCGCCCGTCTACGGAGTACTAGGCCAGAAAGTTGGAAGGATGGGAATGGGATTGAGCGCCGGGTGCGACGCCGATTGCGAGACTGGCTCACGAATGTCACAAATGTTGGAGCAAGAGTGGGCTGGAATGAACGAATGGGTCTCGTCCCGGCGACGGGATTGGCTGTGGCACATGATTAGGTGGATGATGGCTGAGTTGGATCGCTGGCCCCCCTAGTCCACGCCCCCGTTGGCTCGCTGGGCTTGCAGGCTTGCAGGCTTGCAGGCTTGCAGGGCTCGCTGGCTCGACAGCCGGGCTGCATCACGATGGGGTGGTGGTGTGGGACTTGGTCTTACATGGCATAGCATAGGCATGGCAACCAGGCAACCTTGGTCCTTGGCCCCCCTCCAAGGGCCAACCTAACAAGCAGTAACTAAGGTTGGCCGGGAAGGGCGTTCTTCTCGTGGTGGTGGCACGCATCTGCTCACGCACCTCTTTGACGTGCCACGAGTCGGCGCAATGCGTATTACAGGCGATAGTATGTGGACGGGCACCACTAATCAATATCGAGATGCATGGCGGGCGCAGACGCTCGAAGCCAAAGCAGACAGCCAGACAGGCCAGAGAGTCAAGTGGCGCTGTTGTGTGCACTTGGTCTTCTTTCTTCTCCCGCCTCTCGAACGCAGGCCGTCCGCGATTTAGCACCCTGCGTAACCACCAGGCATATACCTGAGATAGCTGGAGCTGAGCCGGGCCATGCAGGTGTGCTTCCTCCACAGCAGTCCACATAATACCTCGAATCATTGTGGTGTGTGCCGACTATATTTAGACAAGAAATGTCATCTCTTGCAACAACTGTCCCCCTTCAAATTGGTCGGCCGCATATCGTTTGGCCCTCCCCACAGCAATGACCTGCAACTGGTGAGTACTGAGTCCAGAGCGCATCAACCGTGCTGCAGGGCCTAGCAACCGAGTGACGGCCGGATACAGAGCCGCGATCCATGTACACCGGGCCATCCAGAAGACAAAGTACATAGTAGCAGCTCTGGAGCTCCATGGTAAGTTTCAGCCGGGCTTACCGGCTAGGGCAGGACCTCCCAGGCATACCTCCCACTCGCACGCATTCGCCTGTGGACCCCGTGGCTACAAGTCCCTCCCTATCAGTCCCAATTGTGTCAGAGACGTTACAACCAGCCACATCCTTGGAGACGAAACAGACATACTGCACGGCATCAGTCCGTGCTTTAAGCTCCCCGGCAAGTCCTCAACCTTGACGTTGTGCATTTGCCGATTACCCAGGCTTGACTATTCAAGCGCAGAACGGCCTTTTGTGGTGACCGTGGGACGAACAAAGAGATGTCGACGTGGCTCCTGAGCGTTGACCGCATCTTGTCTCGTGTCCTGTCCGGCGTGTTCTGCGTGTCTACCCTGACCGCACACTACGGTACAAGTCGAGCTGCAGGCTTCATGCAGTCTGATGTGCGGCTCAGGGGTCCCTGTCATCGTATCTGGGGTAAATGGCCCTCGTGGTGGGCCCAACTGTCTCTCGGCTACAAGGTGAATCTGATAAGAAACATACCATGACACAGGTATCATGGGATTCCAGGGTTAATCGGCTCGTACGGAGAGTGAAGATAAGCGTGTTGATTAGCCCCGACTTGTTGGTCCATGGCCACACCTTCAAAAATGGCAATATGTTATAGCAAGGCCCATGACTGAGATACTGTAGAGTCTACTTCCTAGTTCTCTATGTGGACACTTTCCGTAGGAAACCTTTTCCGTAGGAAGTTCTCCTATAAAGCATTGTCCCATTGGAAGGGTGTCCCACAAGAGGGTGCCGCATAAGAGGTTGGAAACAGATACCGTCACCTCCTAGCAGACACCCGGACTCGTATGAATGAATGCCTACATGTATGTGCCTTCGAGGTACCTCAATACACCCCCTTGACCTGGTCTTGACAATCAGTCCTTGATGACGGGCACTTGCAGCCTTTGTTGCAACCTACAGCTGCAACTCAGAACTACAAGAACAAAGAATTCTGCATGGGTGCACTTCTGGCATGTGATATTGGCAGGGAAGGAGAACACCTGTCGAAGACATCACCTGGATGCTTGTCCTGCAGCTGGCGCACAAACCAGTCCTTTGAATGAGGATACATCCTACCAACTGTTAGAACCCACTAGTGAGCGGACCAAGAGCTCTTTCGTCCACAGCATCTACGTAATCTAGCTACCTACCTACAGAAGTACCTAGGTACCTAGGTAGGTAGTTATGCCTCATCGGATAGCGCGCCCTTCCGGCCAAGGAGCTGCCATCAAGCTGTCGAGTCTCTCTTATCGATAAGCAATTTTCCGGGCACTTTCACTTCTGCGACGCGCCCACCTCGCGTTCGCAGGCACCAGAGACCCAAGAGCTCAACCTCAACCTTAACTCCGGCCAGCCGTCTCAACCAGGCTGGTTGCTTGCCCAACTCTCCGTGGCCTTTGATCACAGCCAGTCAAGACACCTTTGACCATCTAATAAGCCATCTTCCAACCCCAATTAAGAAGCAATTGAATCGCCAAGATGCACTCCACGACAGCTTCCTCCCATAGCACCACCCCCAACACCGCCGCCGGAGGTGATGGAATTGGTGGTGGTGCAAAGAGACCGGCTTCAGAGATCGATGTCCCCGAGACCCAATCCTCTTCATCCGACGCCAATTCCAACAAAAGGCAGCGTGTTGAACGTTCGACCTCGACCATCTCATCCACGCTGCCGATGCACCCCCATGAAGAGCTCCTTCAAGAACTGCAGGGCAAGTACAGCATCGCGACTGCCACGGTCATAAGCTCCTCCAAAATAAACAAGAAGGTCACCCAGGTCCTCTCCCACCTGGGCCATGTCGATCTGTTCTCCCAGACCTCTACCCCGGGCGTGATGATGGTACACGCAAGGGCCAACGATGCGAACAAGATGGTCACAGTCATGGAAATTGCCAAGAGACAGATGAACCACGCGGGTCACCCCTGGTTTCAGTACAACAGGGTGTACGAGGTGGCCGACGGACGTGGCTCGAGAGGCAAATCCAACGGCCGAGGAGCAGACCAGACCATCATTGAGGACACCGTCCTGGGGGTCGAGGACGCGGACGAGGACGACGAGGAAGACGCTTTCGAGCCTTTCAAGACCACTTTTGAGCGCGCGATCCAGGAGAAGCCTTCTGAGGAGCCAAGAACGACCTACATGAGCATCTTCCTCTCCCGGGTACCAATGCCTGAACTCCAGTCCAAGGCATACATCACCCTCCAGACGAACGCGGCCGAGATATGCAAGGCGTCGCGCTGATAAAGGGACCCAGATGCGCGGCGATGGGGACAATTGCATGCTACTACGCACCCAGTGGCAACGGCGTTCACGGTAGACTTGGTTAGGGCTGGTTTTCTTGCCTGCGCATCGGACAGAAGCAGGTGCTCGCGAGACGGTCGCGTGTGCATCCAAAGGGCGTACATCATTGCAAGGGAGGGAACTTAGGCGTCACGGAACGTTGTGCTTTTACGGTCTTGATACCCCGGTTAGAGAGGTAGAGACAATGCCTAATCTACCAGATACAACCACAACAGCCTGTTTTCCCCTTAAAGGTGCCGATCATGAAAACCAAAGCATAGTGTCGCAAGAAACAAGGGGGCCATTGGCATGAATGACCGATGCGTAGGATGTGTCACTCTGCTGAAGCCGCTGCCCACCATTTATGGGCTTCTCATATGGCACGTACATATGGATCTCTCGAATTTACACGGCCAGTTTGGCTCCGGGGAGTGGACACTGGGAGTCTTGCAGTTGTATCAGTGTCCCAACCGTTTTCTCGCAAGTCTTGTATCGCAACTACATGCGCCACAGAGGCGGCTGACAACCAGCCTTGGAAGCTGGAGGGACACAGGAGAGTCCACCCAGAGGAATATAAAGAGCCGGCTGAACAAGTGACTGCAAGACAATCCAACTCAGAAAGACCATCGCTAGTATGTCCGACTTGTTTGTATTTTTGCGCGTGTGATATCAAGTAGTCATGTCCAAAAAGGATCAGAAAACCAAAATATTTCAAGCAGGCTCTGACCTGGTCCAACTTGCTCCGAAGCATCTAAACTCTTATACAGTTCAATTGCTGCACTTGAAGTAAAGCTCTGGTCTTCTTATAAAGACAACCCCATCAGTTATCCCAGAAACTTTGCCGATCACTTGTTCCTTGGTGCCCATAGCAGGTGCTAGATAAAGGTTTGTGAGTTAACCTTTAAACATCAGATGATATGTGAATGGTCTTGAAGGGGTAATCTGGAATTGGCTGATGATGTTGACTCAACCCAAATCCTTGGAATATGTTCCATGAAGATATGAAGGTTCCCTCAACACAGGTAACTACAAAACATGCAAGATCCACGTGGGAAATGCTATGTTCAACTTGAAAGATAACAGTTGCTTGAGATTTGAAGAGAAGTATGTGGACCAACATTAGAAATGGTGTATTCGATCATGTGGTTTGAGCTATCACAGGACCAGGACCAGCCAGGAATGCCTGCTTGAATGTACAATCAAGTTGTCTTTAATATAAAGATCGAATAAGAAAGATTTGCTACCAAGTCACGAGGTATGCAGGGATTCTCAACCGTAATACAGCCTGCCAAGGAAGTGCTATGTCCCATTTTGCTCCTGCATGATGCTATGTTTGATACATGCTGAGGAGCATTCCTAGGTATTTTCCAATGGCACATTCCACAGCTTGCAGCTCTGAGTGAGAGAAGCAATGTCTGTCTTATCTGCTGAATGTATGATCTTGAACTGAAATTTTGGAATATTTAGTCAAAATGCAGAGATGTTTTGTCGTGTATTCCGTGAAGTCCTCAAAGTTTTTAGTGACGACCAGCTCTACCAAAGGGATTGTCACTCCCTCAAACTCCGAGAGCGAAGCAAAGCAAGATTCTTTCGATGCACCCGCCAACTGTCTGAGACAATGTCACCTTACGAAACTGTATAATTCGCGCTGAGTAGCGTTTAAGAACATTGCTATTGAAGTGTCGCTGTCTACCTGAATCCCATACGGGACCTTATAGTCGATGAGGGCCGAATCATCCCGTTTGTCTGCTTTCCGAGGGAGAAACCCCCCTTTCCCAAAGACGCCATGATAATGCGGGACATCAGGGCTTAAAAGTTGCGGGGTCTCTGCCCGCCTCGGTCCTATCGAATTCCTTCCCGGCCCATTAATGGCAGACCAATGCGCGCCGACATTACCTCTACCTGTATTCCTTCCCAAAGCTCGCAGGACGATGCTAGTTCATAAGTTTCCGGGTATCGTTGGTAATGCGTGTCTTTCCTGCGCCCAGTGCTTCAATCCCAATACTCCCAGCCGTCGTGATCGATTCCAGAGTGTCCCAGGTCAAAAAACAAAGTCGAAAAATTGTGGTGCCAATGGCCTGTTCCCTTCAGAGGTGCCTGCTCTTCTTGGCACCAGATCCCCCGAAATAGTCCTTTGATTGGCCGAGGTTGCCCAGGTCAAAAAACTCGCCCAGGTTGACTTTCCGCTTGGTGCCGGCGCCGTGTCCGAGCCGGCTTGCTGCGCGAGGTCCGTTGCGTCCTCCGCTGCCGCCATGCCGTGTTGCTCGGGCGGGATGGCGCGAGACGGATATAGAGGGCGGTGCCGAGTTTGACGACGACATCGAGTGGTCGTGGCCCCGGGCGTCAGAGAGGCGCAGGTTGGCTAGGTTTAGGGGCGATGGGGCGTCCTGAGGATAGGGGTAAGATGAGCGAAAGTCGAACGTCTCCTGCGTAGGGACTACAATCTCGGGCTCGTCAACCGTGATCTCCTGGACCAGAGGCGTGTCGGGTTCCGCCTGTTGTTGTGTGTCGACACGTGGGGTTGGGGGTTGTTGATGTGGTGCTGTTGATGTGTTGCTGGATCGCTGGATCTCGGGGGACATGGGTTCTGGCTTTTCTGCGTCATCGTCACTCTCGATGACCTGGGGCGAAGTATCTGTCGTGTCTAATCGCTCGTTCGCCCACGCCCTGATCTTCCAGCCCTCGCCGTCTCCGAGGCCGAGGTGTTCTTTGTCCAGAAACTGTAGCAGGTCGTCAAGACATTCCTGGTAGCCGTCTGAGCGGGCCTTCGCTTGTGCCGTTATCGATGACTTGTACAGCTTTGTGACGGACAGGGCAGCGGTCCGAAAAACATCAAGCATCTGCTCGGGAGCTTCGTTGGCCATGGCTGATTTCGGGTTCCGAGTGATGAAAGCCGTGCACGATGCAGAAGACTGTTTGTGTGTCGCTGGAGGTTGATGCGAGCGTGTGTACGAGGACAAAGTTGAGGAGCAGGCCTATGTATGAGGGTTCGAAGGAAGGCGGGGCATTACTAGAAGAGCAGGCGTTGATGATGTGGGTCGTCGTGGTTGGCAGGGTGGTAGTGGGACCAGCCTAGGGGAGTTCTGGAAACACCCTTACAATTCTGCGGTGGAGTCACCAATCTGACGTTCAATCTCGACTGCTATCCAGCGAGTGAGTGGCTTCGTTAGGTAGGAATCGAGATTGACAGGTGAAAGGTCCAGGGGTATGTACACGAAAAGGACGAGTGAATTGGAGACAAACGGATGTCAGGTGAGCCGATCGTCGACGGCCTTGTCTGTGGCTCTCGGCTTTAAGTTGGGATGGAGGGCACCACGGAACCGGAATGCAGGGTGCACCCAGCGTTCCCACCAGCAGCAGTGAGCGAGTGTGCTTATTTCCTCACGTGGAGTCTCCTGCCGGCCGGGTCCGACTAAGGACACCCAAAGGACTACCAGCAGCTGGGCCCGGCTGGGCTGGCAAGTCCCAGACAAAATAGTTGGCACCACATTAAGGCTCTACCCACACCAACCCCCTTATTTTATCTCACCCTCTATTATACCTACCTAACTTTATTACTATATAACTTAACAACTAATTAACTTAAGAAGATAAAAGTTATACTAAACAATATACTAAAAAAAAATAGATTAATTAGTATAATTAAATTAATAAAAATACTATAAGAGCACTTATTATATAATAATATATTTAAGGCTTTAAATTTTAATTAAAGATTAAGTTAAAAGACCCTATAGGTAACTAAAACTAACCTAACCTAATACACATTTTATAACACCTTTTAAGAGATATATAAAAGGAAGAAACTTCTCTCTAATAATAACCTTACTATCTTTAAGTAATTTATTAAGTTAAAAGGCTTTAATATTTATATAATATTATAGAAAGTTATACCTATTACTATTAGCCTTAACCTAAACCCTTCTCCTTCTAGATAGACTATTTAATAAGTAATAAAGACTTATAAATTTCACTTCTATCTAACTTATAAAAAGAAATAGATTTCCTTTAAACTTACTACTAATTATAAAGAATATTATAAATAAACTTTTAAATAGTACTCTCTAAAGGAGAATTAGTATAACTTCTACTTTACTAATAAGATATACTTTAATTATAATTTAAAAGAATAAATCTATATCTATAAACACCTTTAAAAGTATACCTACCTAAATTATATAATTATAAAATAATAACCTAAGAAAACTCTTAACTAAAAGTAAAAATAATTCCACACCTAAATTGCTATAGGGTATAATAGCTTTAAGAATAGTCTATATTAATATAATATATTTAATAATAAAAATAAGAAGATAAACTTATAGATCTATTATAATAAAGTTCTCTAGCTAATTATAGGTTAATAAATTACTTAAGGTAAGCGGTTTATATTAAAAAAAGATAATAACTTTAACTATAGTAGGTAAAATAGAAGGATAAATATTATATAAAAATAAAAGGAAGCTAATAAAATAGAAAACTTCTTTAACTACCTATAATTACTAAACCTTATTACTAACTTTATAGAGAAGTCCTTTTATAAGTTAAAGGAATATATATAGTAACAACCTTATTAAAATAAAGAAACACTTAAAACTATAACTTAATAAGGTTTTAATTTACTTAAGCTAATAACTATTAATATATAAATTAATAAAATATTAGAGATACTATAAGATTATATTAATAATAAAGGAGGATTTATAGGTTATTAACTTTATATAGCTTTATAATAGAGAAGAAATAAAGGGGTGGTCCTCTTAGGTTATATAGGTAACCTTAATATAGTGCTAACTATTTTGTTTGGGATTTGGCTGGGTATAGGCTGGCTCTCTCTTGTAACCCAGATACCGCTAACGTCATTGCGATCCGGCCGCTGATTGGCCCTTCCACCCTCTGGTTCCTGTAAGCAAGCTCTCTTTTTCCGCAGGAAAGGGTGGGGCCGATTTTGAAAGAGCCTTATCGGACCTCAACCCCACCAAATCTGCAATGTGCACCTGGGCACCGCGTACCTAGGTACCTTGACTTGCCCAACGGCAGCCGTGAGTCTTGTCCACACTGACAAATATCATAGGCCGAGATACTGTGACCATCCCTCTCGCCAACAACACTCAGTCCATAGGCAAGATACCCTAGAGGCTGGAATAGCTTGCCTGGGTAGTATTCCGGTCCATGTACTATGAATGCCTGGGTACACGGCCAAAGACCCCAGCTGCATTTTTGGTTGACATTGCAGAAAGCTATAGGATGACCTCGTATGGGACAATCCGCCTCGGGATGAACGTAAATTCGGATAACCTCAGTCTGCATTCGTGACGTTACTGAGCCACCAGCAGCTTCTAATAAGAGCCATGTCGCATATAATTATTAAGAAGTATGATAGCTACCCAGTAACGGTCGTGCCAGAAAGTAGATGGGACGATGTTCGATTGCTTGTTGGCCCTGGATTGCTTCGATAAATTTGAATTATTACCTAGACCTATGTGCTCATCCACTGCAATGTCAGGTACCATAAGCTCCCCAGAGGTCTCTAGCTACCCTAGGGTAAGGAGATCACTTGAATCGAATCTTGAGCGTCACTGACCTCGTCCGTGGCACAACTCGGCATACATATCCACAGCACCGTCCCCTCCTCTGATCTGCATTATTGGACAATACACATGTTCCGTAGACCAGACGTGCAGGAAGGGAGGAAGGGACAAGAAGGAAATAATCATCCATGAGAACCCGTTGGTCGGCATTGTGTCTGGGGCAGACCAAGCATCCTGAGAACTCTAGACCAAGTCAAGAGTGCAGCCGCGCTTTGATTGGCGTTCGGGGTGGCCCTTTTTAACGAACCCCTGTCCCTCGACTCGCTTTTGGGGGGGTGCGTTTCTTCTCACCTCAACTCTTCCCAACTTTCTACTGCCTACCTCCCTCCCAAAGAGACAAGCCTGCTTGATCAGAACCAGCCTCCAAGTCCACGCATCGGCCCCATTCATTACGGCAGCAGTCTCGATCATCAAAAAGGACTCCTGAGAACCCCTGCTATACTTTTTGGCGCGTCGAAGCGCGTAATTCGGTGCACATCCCGCGTCGTCTCTGCATATTCACCATGGCGCGACCTCGAGCAGCGCTGGCGAGCGCAAACGACACCGACGCGTCAATGCACAACGCATCTGATGACGGGAGGAACGGAAATGACTCCATGGTGTGTTCTTTTTTACCAATATGTCTTGGTAGTCCTACTTGGCCGCGCCCCATGCATGCGTCATCAACGCGCCGGCTGCCATCTTCCTTTTTCAGCTAACAAGTTTCAGGACGTCGACGAGACTCCAGATTACACAGACTCCGAGGACCCAAACACGACGGCAAGCAGCGTGGTGGGCGAGCCGACAGTAGACGGGAGGAGGCGACGTGCCGAGGCGAACCAACTGCGACGAAGCATATTTGGCAAGAAGCACGACAAGCTGGGTGAATCACAGGTACGAGAACCGGACACCCAATGCAGGGCGCACTGAGATATATCGCCGCGGCTTCTAACTTTCATGACAGGAAGATGATTCTGTCCGTCGATTCCGCTATTTGCTCGGCCTCACCGACCTGTTCCGCCACTTCATCGAGACAAACCCCAACCCCAAGATCAAGGGAATCATGGAGGAAATCGACCGACAGAACGCGGAAGAGCAAAAGGCGAAGAAGGGCGGCAAGCGACAGGGTGGCGCCGGAGCGGAGAGGCGCCGCCGAACCGAAGCTGAGGAGGATGCTGAGCTGCTCAAGGATGAGAAGCACGGCGGGTCTGCCGAAACAGTCTTTCGCGAGTCGCCGTCCTTCGTACACGGCGAGATGCGAGACTACCAGATTGCCGGTCTGAACTGGCTCATATCACTTCATGAGAATGGTATTTCCGGTATCTTGGCCGACGAAATGGGTCTCGGAAAGACCCTGCAAACGATCTCGTTCCTTGGTTACCTGCGGCACATCATGGGAATAACAGGCCCACACTTGATCACCGTCCCCAAGTCCACCTTGGACAACTGGAAGCGAGAGTTTGCCAAGTGGACACCGGAGGTCAACGTTCTGGTTCTACAAGGTGCCAAGGAGGAACGACAGCAACTCATAGCAGATCGTCTTGAGAGCGAGGACTTTGATGTTTGCATCACGAGTTACGAAATGATCTTGCGGGAGAAGTCCCACTTGAAGAAATTCGCGTGGGAGTACATCATTATTGACGAGGCCCACCGTATCAAGAACGAAGAGTCCTCCCTTGCCCAAGTCATCCGGCTTTTCAACTCACGGAACCGTCTTCTCATCACCGGAACCCCACTACAGAACAACCTCCACGAGCTTTGGGCGCTGCTCAATTTCCTCCTTCCTGACGTTTTTGGGGATTCCGACGCCTTCGATCAATGGTTCTCCGCGCAAGATCGGGACCAGGACACCGTCGTCCAACAACTGCATCGAGTACTGCGCCCGTTCCTGCTTCGACGTGTCAAAGCAGATGTTGAGAAGAGCCTGCTTCCCAAGAAGGAGGTCAACCTCTACGTCGGCATGGCGGATATGCAGGTTAAGTGGTACCAGAAGATTCTGGAAAAGGATATCGACGCTGTGAACGGTGCTGGCGGCAAGAAGGAATCCAAGACGCGGCTGTTAAACATCGTTATGCAGCTCCGCAAGTGCTGCAACCATCCTTACCTCTTCGAAGGAGCGGAGCCCGGCCCGCCTTACACCACGGACGAGCACCTCGTCTACAATGCTGGGAAGATGTTGGTCCTGGACAAGCTCCTGAAGCGGATGAAAGCGCAGGGCAGCCGTGTTCTGATATTCTCTCAAATGAGTCGACTACTCGACATTCTCGAGGACTATTGCGTTTTCCGAGAATACAAGTACTGCCGAATTGACGGCAGCACAGCACACGAGGACCGTATTGCTGCCATTGACGAATACAACAAGCCTGACTCCGAGAAGTTCGTCTTCCTTCTGACCACTCGTGCAGGAGGTCTTGGTATCAATTTGACGAGCGCCGATATCGTTGTGCTTTACGACAGCGACTGGAACCCACAGGCTGATTTGCAGGCCATGGACCGAGCCCACCGTATCGGACAGACCAAGCAGGTCGTGGTCTACAGATTTGTAACGGACAACGCAATTGAAGAGAAGGTCCTCGAGCGTGCTGCGCAGAAATTGCGCCTCGATCAACTGGTCATTCAGCAGGGGCGTGCCCAAATTGCAGCCAAAGCAGCAGCCAACAAGGATGAGCTCCTGTCGATGATTCAGCACGGTGCGGAGAACATCTTCCAGTCCAAGAAGACCGGTGCCGCCCAGGCTGATGCAGCTGATGGCATGACTGACGTCGACATCGACGCCATTCTATCTGCCGGAGAAGACAGGACGAAACAACTCAATGCAAAATACGAGAAGCTTGGTCTGGATGATTTACAGAAGTTTACGTCAGAGTCTGCTTACGAGTGGAACGGAAAAGACTTCACCAGCACGAAGAAGGATATTGGCATCAACTGGATCAACCCAGCGAAGCGAGAGAGGAAGGAGCAGATCTACTCGATAGACAAGTACTACAAGCAAGCACTGCAGACCGGCGGTCGTACTGCGGATACGAAGCCCAAGGCACCCCGCGCCCCGAGGCAACTATCGATTCAGGACTACCAGTTCTATCCCGAGAGGTTGAAGGAGCTGCAAGACCGCGAGACAGCCTTCTACCGCAAGGAGATAGGCTACAAGGTTCCCCTCGCTGACGGCGACGAGGACAACCTGGCAGAGCGTGAAGCCGAGCGAGAGGCGGAGCAGCGCATCATTGACGAGGCCGTGCCCCTGACCGAGGAAGAACAAGCAGAAAAGGCGGAGTTGGCCAAGGACGGCTTCGAGGAGTGGAACCGCCGCGATTTCCAGCAATTCATCAACGGCTCGAACTTGTATGGCCGCAACAACTATGAAGGCATTGCCACACACTGCCAGAACAAGAACGCCGCCGAGATCAAGCAGTACGCGAAGGTGTTCTGGCAGCGGTATGAGGAGATTGCGGATTGGCAAAAACACCTCAAACATATTGAAGAAGGCGAGGAGAAGCTCCGCAAGATCGAGCACCAGCGCAAGATGCTGCGCAAGAAGATGTCAATGTACCGTGTTCCTCTTCAGCAGCTCAAGATCAACTACTCTGTCAGCACCACGAACAAGAAGGTGTACAGCGAGGAGGAGGACCGTTTCCTGCTGGTCCAGCTCGACAAGCATGGAGTCGACTCCGAGGGCATCTACGAAAAGATCCGGGACGAGATCCGGGACAGTCCCTTGTTCCGATTCGACTGGTTCTTCCTCAGCCGCACATCGCAGGAGCTAGGCCGTCGCTGCAACACGCTCCTCGCGACAATAGTCAAGGAATTCGAGGATGTGCAGCCCAGCCACAAGGGCGCGAACGGGGTCAACGGCAAGCAGAAGAGGGAGGTGGAAGACGAGGAGAACGATGACGACAGCGTCTCCGGCATGGCCCCTGCTAAGAAGAAGTCGAAGACGAACGGTGTCAAGGTAAGTCTATCCGCCATGTATCATTCAAAACGGCCCCCTAGCTAACCCCATGATGTGCCCACAGAACAAGGCATTGGACAACGTCAAGTCCAAGGCCAACTCTGCGGCACCGTCCCGTGCGTCAAGCGTTGCTTCCACCAACTCGAACGCTGCTTCGAAAGGCAAGGCCAAAGGTAAAAAGAAGTGAGCAACTGTTCGGGACAGGTGACCTTAAGCATGTCATTTGTAACCCTACTGGTGTCAATGGACCCCGCAGCTTTCCACAGAGAAGGTCTTGCTTGGGTCCCAGGAGTTTAGGAGTTTCTGATGTGTGGCTGATGATACGTCTTGAGTTGGGGTTTTGGGAGAGGAAGAGACGAAAAGTACGACAGCCGAGACAGGCTGGTGCGGCGTTTGGTCTGTCATTGATCACCTCTTGTCGAGTGGCTGGATCATCAACGTTCTGGTATTCGGCCGGGCCATGAATTGTGAGATAGATGACTAGGCATTACTACATAGAACTTGTGTGTGCACTGCTCAGAGACGGATGGATGCAAAGAAAAAGAATGCGACGAATGACTGTTTCATGAAGTCTTCGATTCCATTTTCACTCCACTCATAGTGTTATGGACAATGTATCTCTCTGCTCTCTTAACCTTCCGGGCGTCGCCTGGGTGGATCGCCCTTCAAGTATACCTTACCGGGGCCCTGGCCACCTCGGGGATACCGTGTGCCTTTTCATTCAAGAAATGCCCCCCTTGTCAGCCCATGCTTCACCGACCGCCCTGGGTATTCAATCGCAGGATGCTGTTCGTAAGGGTGGAATTCTTCGCAAGACCAACTCCATACGGTCTTCAGAAGAAAATCACACCTAAGCAGAACGCATCCAAGAAATAAACCCCGCAAAAAAAGCATTTTCTTTTGCCAGAAACGCCTGCCTGCCTGCCTGCCTGCCTGCCTGCCTGTCTATGCTCCACGAGAAGACTTTTGTTTTCGACAAAAACACAACTCTCCCGCGTCCGCCTCATCAACCTCTCTGTGTGTGTCTCGAGTTCAGCCCGACGCGCAGCAATGCATATTGCCGGTGAATCACGATTGTCTGTTGAGCTGCTCCCTCTCGACCTCGTACAGGAAGTCGAAGTAGCCCTTGTCGAAGTGGTGCACACGGACGTAACCGTCCTCTCCTCCGGACGCGTAGCTCTTGCCGGTGGGGTCCGCAGCGACAGTGTTCTGATACCACAGGTCAGCATTCAAGGAAGCACAAGCACAGTAGCAGCGGCCTCGCCGCAGGAGGGAGAACCTACCAGGGGACCGAAATGGCCACGGACACGGCCGACCTCCTCCTCGAAGATCTTGTGGTAGAACCTCGCTTCGAACTTACCCTGGCGGGCAGCGGTGGTGGTGACGTCCATAGCGGCCTGGCCACCACCGAGGATGACGAAGTCCTTCTTGGGGGTGATGGTGGCGCTGTTGAGAGGGGTGTCTGAGACGTATGTCTTGAGCAGCTCGAGGTCGCGGGCCGAGATGAGCTTTGCGGTCTTGTCCTTGGAGGCGGTGATGAAATAGGTGCGGTCCTGGCTCCACTGCAGGTCGGTGACCTGGGCGCCGAGGTCGTGCGGGGTGATCTTGTAGATGATGTCGCCGGTCTTGCCGTCGTACTGGGAGACGGAGCCGTCCTCGTGGCCGGCGATGATGTACTTTGACAGGTAGCTCCAGCCGGCGACGGTGGCCTTGCTCTCGTCGCAGACGATGGTCAGGACCTTTTCCGGGTTCTGCTCGGCGTTGACGTCCAGCTTGATGTCGAGCACGACGATGGTACCCAGGTGGCCCATGCGCTTCTCTGTGACGCCCAGCAGCTGGGTGCCGTCCTCGTTGAACTCGACGCGCTTCACGGCGGTGGGGAACTCCCATGTCATCAGGCACTTGCCGGTCTTGACCTCCCACAGCTTGATGGTGTTATCAGCGGCGCCGGAGGCGATGATTGTGCTGGTGGGGTCGACGTCGACGGTCCAGATGGCACCCTGGTGACCATGGTAGGTGCCGAATCGCTCGCCGTTGTGGGAGAACCAGGCCGAGATGTGCTGGTCCTTTGCTACGGAGAAGATGATGTCGCCATCGCGGTTGTATCTGCGGGTTGGGTTGGAGAGGTCAGCAGGACGTCCTCGACCACAATGAGGGCCCGGCCTAGGGCGCCTCAGAGCCAGCCAGGCCAACATTCATGATTGCGATTCGCGACTCGGGATGGAGATGGTGATGGAGGCGTACTTGATTTGGGTCAGGGCTCTTTCGTGGCCCGCCAGAAGAATGGGTCTCATGTTGGCGGTTTTCTGGGTGTGACGTGCTGGACCGAGTGGGGAAAAGGAAACTCGATAAAGTCGTGGCCGAGGGGAGATGTCGTTGGGCGGCGGAGAGGAGGTCGGTCTATTATGGATTATTCGAGGGGTGGTTGTTGTTTGATTTAGTTACAGGCAGAAGAGCAACGGCGTGTTGGCCCCACACTGTCGAATTATTTCTGTGCCCAGTCACCACCACCAGTCAGACGCTTGGGAGGACCGCTGCGTTTGGTACGGAGTACTTCCTGGCGGGGCACAAGGGTCGTAGCCCCCCCCCCCCGTGAAAATTGCCCTAACCCCAGGTCGAGCCAGACTTGGAAACCCCCCCTTGCCCCTAGGACGACAACCTGCATCTCCTACGGCACAGTCATCCCGCCATCTGAAGGCAGCGGCGAACCAGGTACGGAGCAGGTCGAGGCTTTCCGATTTGGTGGGTGTAAATTGGCATGGTATCGAGTAGTCATGGCTGCTGTCTGAGCGCGATGCATCCACCTCACCGTGCATCTTGGACATCTTGGACATCTCGTAATAGGGTTTTCAACAACCCAATCGGTCCGTGTCGCAAGCTCAGGATGAGGCTGGCCGCGTCTGAAAGCTGCCGTTTCCCTCTGCTGCTGCTACTATTCTTGTTGACGCTGTGACATAATGTTATTAACCTCCAGGCTGTGTTGTGGTTGACCTGGCGGATATTTGACAAGACGCGACGCCAGCTTGGTCCCATCCTCTCCTCCCCTTCTCTCCCAGGTCCAGGTGTGCTATTGTCGTCTATGTCTGTCTGCCCACCTAGTTTGCCCTACCAACCTGGATTTGGTAGTCACGCCAACATCGTCGAGTCACCATCGACACACTGCTGCTAGCTCTGAGTCACCACAATTCGAGAGACAATTCGAGATACGAAGCAGGTAGAAGAGCTAGCCCACCAACGGACGGCCGTCATCACACTCCCACACTCCCACAATCCCACAATCATGGCGTCCATCTTGTCTCGCGCCAGCAGCGGCCGGGACCTTGCAAGGCAGAGGCTCCAACAGGCGCCTTCGCGTAGAGGCGGTCTATGCACGAGTCGTCCCTGGCATATTTTTCCTATCAGCTGCAGGTGCACTCATCAGGGTCCCTTGGCGACCATTTCGGGCCCCGACTCCGCCTGTGTCCTTGATAGACACCGAGCCTCAGCCGATCCTGACCAGTCCTCCGCCCGCCCACCTGTCACCCCAGCGCCCCCGGCTGCCCGAACCCCGCGGTTTTGCCCGCCTGCGCCGATTCGGAATACCACCACTTTATTTTCTGCCGGTCCTTTCGCCCCTCCATGCTTTTTGACTTCGACCGCGTCCCCGAACTGCTCCCCGTTCGCCTCCTCTTCCTTTTACTCGGCCTCGACCTCGACCTCGACCTTCCCACTCGCCCTGAAAAGCAGAAGGATCACCCCCGCCTCGTGCATCCTCCGGCCTCTTCCTGTTGGCAGTGACTCACTTAACCCTGGAAAGGCGTCCTTTTCTACGTCCAGCCCAGTCATGACCGCCCAGAAGATCGATGGCACTGCCATCGCGAAGAGTATCCGTGCGAGGTTGCACTCTGAGATCCAGGAGAGGAAGAGGGCAAACCCAAAGTACATCCCTTCGCTCAAGATCATCCAGGGTATGCCCTCACATCCAGAAGTGCACAGACTGCTTGAATTGGCCCACGACCGCATACTGACTATTTTGTCCTCCATCTCAAGTGGGCGACCGAAGTGACTCTTGTAAGTCTTGCTCACACAAGCCCCCCGACCAAACCTCTGTGTCACATGCCAGCCAGGCGCTAACTCTTCTCCAGCCACGTATGTGCGCATGAAGCTCAAGGCGGCCGAGGAGGTAAGCTAAAGCCAGCCCATCATCGCACTGCCGCAGGACCACCGCTCACGCGACTGCGCACACAGGCCGGCATCTCATGTGAACTGACTCATCTGCCCACCGACATCTCCGAGGCAGAGCTCCTCCAGGAGATCTACAAGCTCAACAACGACACTTCTGTCCACGGCATTCTGGTCCAGCTCCCAGTCCCGGACCACATTTCCGAGTATGCTGTCACCTCTGCCGTCAGTGCTGAGAAGGATGTCGACGGCTTCGGCCCCGAGAACATCGGTGAGCTTGCAAAGCGCACCGGCCATCCTCTCTTCACCCCATGTACCCCCAAGGGTGTCATGGTCCTGCTGCGGGAGTCAGGAGTGGACCTGAAGGGCAAGAATGCCGTTGTCGTTGGCCGAAGTGATATAGTGGGGGCCCCTGTCAGCTACCTTCTCAGACATGCTGATGCCACCGTGACCGTCTGCCACTCCAAGAGCCAGCACCTGGAGGCTCATCTCAAGCAAGCTGATGTCGTCGTCGCCGCTCTTGGCAAGCCGGCCTTTATCAAGGGATCTTCATTGAAGCCCGGTGTCGTCGTCATCGATGTCGGAACCAACTACATACCTGACTCCACCAAGAAGTCGGGCCAACGACTCACCGGCGATGTCGAGTTTGAGTCAGCATCTGAGGTGGCCTCCTTCATCACGCCTGTGCCCGGCGGTGTGGGCCCCATGACCGTTGCCATGCTGTTGGAGAACGTCGTCGAGTCTTGCACACACTATTTCGAGAAGCAGAAGAACAGGAAGATCGTGGCCTTGCCACTGAAGCTTAAGGAGCCTGTTCCCTCAGACATCGCTGTGTCTCGAGCCCAGACGCCGAAGCAGATCACCCGCGTGGCTGGCGAGATCGGAATCGCGCCCGGGGAGCTTGAGCCTTACGGCGCATACAAGGCCAAGGTCGATCTCTCCTTACTCAAGCGCCTTGACCATCGCCGAAACGGCAAATATGTGGTTGTCACTGGTATCACACCAACGCCGCTCGGCGAGGGCAAGTCGACCACGACCATGGGTCTTGCGCAGGCTCTTGGCGCTCACGTCGGCAGACTCACATTTGCCAACGTGCGCCAGCCCAGCCAGGGTCCAACATTCGGTATCAAGGGTGGTGCCGCTGGTGGCGGCTACAGCCAAGTCATCCCCATGGACGAGTTCAACATGCATCTGACTGGAGACATCCACGCCATCACGGCAGCAAACAACCTCCTGGCAGCTGCTATCGAGACTCGTATTTTCCACGAGAATACCCAGAAGGATGGCCCTCTGTATAAGCGTCTTGTTCCGGCAAAGAACGGAAAGCGGGTCTTCGCCCCCGTCATGTTCCGCCGTTTGAAGAAGCTCGGCATTGACAAGACCAACCCCGACGAACTCACAGAGGACGAAATTCACAGATTTGCCCGCTTGGATATTGACCCGGAGACGATCACCTGGCGACGTGTGCTCGATGTGAATGACCGTCATCTGCGAGGCATCACCGTGGGAACCGCGTCAACTGAGAAGGGGCAGACTCGTGAGACGGGCTTCGATATCTCTGTAGCCAGTGAGTGCATGGCCATCTTGGCCCTCAGCACCGACCTCAGGGATATGCGGGAGAGACTTGGACGCATGGTCATTGCCACTTCAAGGAATGGTGACCCAGTGACCTGCGACGACATTGGTGCGGGTGGAGCTTTGACTGCCTTGATGAAGGACGCCATCAAGCCCAACCTCATGCAGTCGCTGGAAGGGACGCCAGTCTTCGTCCATGCTGGGCCATTCGCCAACATCAGCATTGGCAACAGCTCTATCCTTGCTGACAAGATGGCGCTCAAGCTCGTGGGCACAGAACCTGACGAGGAGCACGAGTCCAAGGCCGGCTTTGTCGTCACTGAGGCTGGATTCGACTTCACCATGGGCGGCGAGCGGTTCTTCAACATCAAGTGCCGGACATCTGGCCTCGTCCCCGACGTGGTCGTCGTGGTCGCCACTGTCCGTGCCCTGAAGGTGCACGGCGGTGGCCCACCCATCTCCCCAGGAGCAGCTCTGCCCCAGGTGTATAGGGAAGAGAACGTCGAGGTCCTGCGAAAGGGTTGTGTGAACCTCAAGAAGCACATTGCGAATGCCCGTGCTTACGGTGTTCCCGTGGTTGTCGCCATCAACAAGTTCGTCACGGACACGGACGCGGAAATCGCTGTCATCCGCGAGGAGGCCATCGCTGCCGGTGCCGAGGACGCGATCCTGTCCAACCACTGGGCTGAGGGCGGAAAGGGTGCCATACAACTGGCCGAAGGTGTTATTGCTGCGTCGCAGAAACCGAAGGACTACAAGCTTCTGTACGAGCTCGAGGGCAACACTGTCCAGGACCGCATTGAGGCTATCGCCAAGAAGATGTACGGCGCGGACGCGGTGGAGTTCAGCGAGCTTGCACAAAAGAAGGTCGACACGTACACCAAGCAGGGCTTCGGCAACCTGCCAATTTGCGTTGCCAAGACGCAGTACTCGCTCTCGCATGACCCAGATCTGAAGGGCGCTCCGACCGGGTTCACTGTGCCCATCCGGGATGTCAGAATGGCAGCTGGCGCTGGGTACCTGTAAGTTCATTTCCTCGTTTGTCAGTACATGGCTCCATGCTAACGTTGTGCCGTAGGTATGCCCTTGCTGCTGACATCCAGACCATCCCTGGTCTGCCGACCGCTCCCGGCTACCTCAACGTCGACGTCGACTTGGAGACGGGCGAGATCGACGGTCTGTTCTAGACTGGCGAAGCGTGCCAACAGCACACCTATTTTGTATTCTGGTAGACGAGATTATACGTCGTGTATCACTCAACGTGACATTGCTGGCGAATTGGGACAAGGGCGATTGGGATATAGAGACATGGCATCTTTCAACACACTGGCGCTGCACGGCGGAAGGGAGACGGATTAAAAGACGCAAGACAAGCTTGTGATGATACCTCAACTGCATGACAGCATATTGTTAATACCAATAAAACAAGTTCAACACCAAGTCAATGCTCAAGTCTTGTGTTTGGTGCTCTTGATATAACATGATACGTAACATATGCATCGTTTGGCAGGCTACTCGATGACTGGTCGCCATAGAAGGTGCTATTGTAGGTGACCTCCCGAATATCCGGTCTCAATAATGTGGAAGATGACAAGGAACTCACACGAGACAGACCCATTCTCCAATCGCTAGGGAGCCAAACAGGGTCTGCGATCCAAGACTACTACTAGAGTACATGTCTACCAAGAGCAGCTGTTCAGAACACTGCTTTGGTATGGGAGCTGTGAAGATTTTACGAGTCCCCTCTTCTGCACCCAGCCTGGTTTAAAGGTTGAGGGATTGCACCCCGAGGCGGAGACTACAAGAATCTTGAGTTTCAGCCATCTGATATCTATCTCATCATCATGTTCAAATTTCGGACTCCTGTGGGTTGCCCCGTCGTAATATGTGGGAGCATTCTACATTGCCTAGACACCACAGTAAGAGACGTAGGCTAGCATTATCTGCGAGCTCTAGGTGCTTTCCAGCAGCACAGCAAGCCGCAGGAATCCGCATCGACAGACCCAGTATCAGGAGCTATCCTCAGGGCCACCGCAACAGCGGCTGCCTCTCGCCGATCGCACCGCGCCGTCTCTCGAGGGTATGCGAGAGCCGGTAAGCGACATGTGTCAGCACGCCGGCGATGAACCCCACAGCGTCGTTCCTGAACGCCAGTATACCAGCGGTCGTAATGAGCATCACAGTCCACCTCTCCTGCCTCTCCTCGTCCGAGATGTCCCGATGCCTCTTCACCACGCGGCCGAGACCGCTACCGTCCCCATCCGCACTTGCCGAGATGCTATCCTCCCACAGGTCCGAGGCCCCGTGGTTGAGACTCTGGCCCACGCGCGCCAGCTCCAGCCCCGCGGCGGCGACCATGATGCCCAGGATGGACTTGGGGAACGAGCCCAGCAGGTCCAGCAGGGTGGCGCCGAGGAACAGGCCGAGGAACAGCTTCAGCGAGCCCAGGAGGATGATGCTCGCGCCGCTGCGGGCCCCGAACCGGTGCTGTGCCGCCAGCCCGCCGGCGCCGTGGCACACGGGCATGGCGCCGAACCAGCAGCCCACGAGGTTCATGGCCGCCACGGACAGGCCCAGCTCGGTGACGGTGGGGGTGGACCCTGGGAAGCTGGGGCCCATCAGGTCGGACGCCAGGGCGGCGGCGGCGATGACCGAGTTCAGGGTCGTGAGCGGCAGCTGTGCGATGGCCATGGACCAGGCCTCGGCGCTTGCAAACCCCGGGATGATGGCATACGGGTGCCAGACCTGCCAGCCGGGCAGTTGGCTGTGTCCGCCGGCGGTGGTGGCGACCGCCGCGATGGCCAGGACGAGGCCGACGGTGAAGACGACCAGCGCATATGGGAACCTCGGGGCACGGGCAGTGAGGATGAGCAGCGGGAAGGCGGCGATGGCCCAGATGCGGTTGTCGAGTGGGTCGTGGGCGCCCCAGCCTAGGCGGCCCAGCATCCCGGAGCCGGCGGACAGGACGAGTGAGAGGCCGGCGCCGAACTGGATGCCCTTCACCACGGGGACGGGCGTCCAGACGGCCAGGCGCCGCAGGAGACCCGTCACGCTGAGCAGCAGGACGGCAGCGCCGACGAGGGCGCCTGCTGCGAGGGTGTCGCGCTGGCTGGCGTGGGATGCCAGGGCTGCGGCCGCGATGGCCTTCACTACACCTGGCGTCAGCTGCCGAGTTCACCGAGGGAGATGTTTATTTCATGGGATTGGGTTGGCTGCTTACTCGGCTGGACCGGGAGTGGCAGACCGAAGGCGGCGCCGGTGGCGATGTTGAAGATTCCTGAGAAGACTAGGGTTGTTGACAACGAGATGGAGCCCTGAAGGGCGAGGGCGATCATCAGCGGGAGGAGAGTGCCGAGATCGCCCAGTGCGCCCGAGATCTCGGACAGAGGTGCATGACGGAGGGTTCTGAGGTTGTGCTTTGTGAATTTGGGGATGTCTCTCAAGGCCATTCTGGGTGGGGTCGGGGGAGGATTATTACGTATATTGATTGGTGCTTGGTCATGGGACCATGAAACAAATTCTATCACTGCTATGCAAAAGGAAGAAATAGGGTATCTAGGTGCTCATGATGTGAGGTTGAAGACGGCCAGAGCCGGTTGCCGGAAGGAGATGTACGGAGATGTCATCGGTCCCCAGTGCTGTCAGCGCGCTTGCCGCTCGCAGCCCCGTGACGGCTGCCCTACCACCCTGGCCGCTATCTCGGAAAAACGAGAGTTAGCCCCCCCCCTATAAAATACCCCCTATTCCTCAGCTAAACCAAAACTTCACTAATAGGGCGGAAAACCTAATATTTTTAATAGAATACTATATTTAATACTATCTATACCCTAAAAGAGGAAAAAAAGAGGCTAATAATAGTAAGCTATTACCTATTAAGCTATAAACTCTAATAGTTAAAGTTTTATTTATATTTTAATTTATTCCTATTAAATAAATAGCTATAAGCTAAATTTTAAATTAATTATATTATAATTTAAAAATATTATTAAAAGGTTACTATTATTTATATAATTACTTTAAATATATTATTATTATTATTATTAAATATAATTAAATTAAAGTAATAAATTTTAAAAGTTTATTAATTTATTTTTATAATAAATTTATAAAATTTAATTAATATATAAATTATATAAATTAAAAGTTAAAAGATTTTCTATTTAATAAGTTAAATTTATACCTTAATAAAATATAATACTTTTTATTAAATAGTTTTAAATTAATATTATTATAAAATAATAAATAATATTTTATAATATTATAATATAAAAATAATTAAAGTAATAAATTTTAAAAGTTTATTAATTTATTTTTATAATAAATTTATAAAATTTAATTAATATATAAATTATATAAATTAAAAGTTAAAAGATTTTCTATTTAATAAGTTAAATTTATACCTTAATAAAATATAATACTTTTTATTAAATAGTTTTAAATTAATATTATTATAAAATAATAAATAAATATATATACTAATTTATTAATATAATAAAAGCTTTATAATTATTATTTTTAATAAATATATTAGTTAAATTATATAATAAAATATTTATTTTTATATTTTTTTATAATTATATTTAATAACTTATTTATTATTATAATATATAAAAGTTATATAATAAAAGAGTATTTTTATAATAGTTAATAAAAGTATTTTATTAAAATAAATTTATATTTAGGTTTAAAATTAATTTTTATAATAAATAATATTTTATAATATTATAATATAAAAATAATTAAAGTAATAAATATAAAAGATATAAAATATAAATATTTATTTTTATATTTTTAATTTTAATTTTATTAAAATATATTTTAATAATTTAAAGTATTATTTATATTATTAATATTAATATAAATTATTAAATTATAATTTAAATAAAATTTTACTTAATTTTTATTTTTATATTTAAAAGGTTAAATTTAAAATTAAAGTTATTTAAAAATATTTTTATTATATATAAGTATTAAAAAAGTATAAAATAAAGTAAATATAATAATATTAATTAAAAGTTATAAGAATTAAAATTAATAAAGTTTTAGTTAAATATAATTATATAAGTAAAAAGTATTATTTATAAGTTAAGTAATTAGGTTAATAATTAGAATTAAAATAAATAAATTAGCTATAAATAAATTTATTTAATTAATTAATTATTTAATATTAAATATTTAATTTATTTTATTTATTTAAAATAATTAACTTTTCTTTTAACTACTTTTATTATTAATTATATTTTTATATATTTAATTATTACTTTTTTATTTAAAAGTTTTTAAAATTTATTATATAACTTTTTACCTTATTAAATATAAAAATTACTTTAATAAGCTTTTAACCCTCTTATTAAATAGCTAATCTAATTATAAAATTTAATATTAAATAAAGCTAATTAATTAATTAAATAACTTTTATAAATTTTATAAAATATATATTTTTAATATTTATTTAATAATTTATTAAATAATTATTTAATAACTTTTATTATAATAATAAGTCCTTTTATTATTATTATTATTAAAAAATTAATAAAGTTCTTTTTTTTAAATATAATTTAATTAATATTTTAATTAATAAAATAATTTTTAAATTATACTTATTAAATTAAATATTTTTTTATAAAGTTTATAAAAGTTAAATCCTTTATACTTTATAACTTTTATAAATTATTTAAATTAAGCTTTTTTAATAAATTTTAAAATATTTTTAAAATACTTTTATAATAAACTTTTAATATAAAACTATTTTATTTTTTTATTTATAATAGTAATAATAAAAGGATAACTAGTAGTTTTTACTTTTATAATAAATTTTTAAATATTATTATTATTACTATTAATAGTAATAAAACTTTATTAAATTTATAAAAAAGCTAATAGTAATAATAATAATAATAGCTTTATTAAAGTTATTTAATTATATTTAACTTTAAATAAATTAATATTAAATAATAAATTAATAATTATATTAATATTATTTTTTTATTTTTATTTTTTATTTTTTAAAAGATAAAGTTAATTTTATTATTATTAAACTTCTTTTATTAAGCTTTATTTAAATTATTTAATAATTAAAAACTTTTAATAAATATTTAATTATAATATTATTTATTATAATTATATTAAATTAATTCTTTAAGTTTTTATTAAATAAATTAATATATATATTATTTTACTTAATAAAATATTATTATTATAAAAATCCCTTTATTTTAATAATAATAATTAATTTTATAATAATTATTTAAAAATATAATTATATTTTTATTAATTATTTATACTTTTTTATATAAAGTTTATTTTTATTTTTATTTTAATCTTTTATTTAATAGTTATTAATATAAATTAAAAATTTTAAAGTTTAAATTTTTATTAAATATATTTAAGTTTATTATTTATTTAACTATTAATAAATTATTTTTAAAATAACTATTTACTAAATAATTAGTAATAATTAAAAACCTTAATTAGTAAATATTTAGTTAAATAATTACCTTATAATATAAGTATTTATAATTTTTATATTAATAATATAACCTTATAATTATATAAAATTAAAAAAGGGTTTTAAAATTTAAAAATATATTTATAATATTATTATAGTTAAATATTTTAATCCTTTTATTAATATTTTTTATAATTTTTAATTATAAAGTTAAAAATTTTTAATTTATAAATTAATTAATTTTAATAAAAATATTTTTAATTTAATAATTATATTTAAATAATTTTTATACTTCCTTTTAATTAAATTTTAAATAAGTTAATATAATTTAATAAAAGCCCTAAATTCTTTAACCTTTATTTTTTCTTTTAATATAATAGTTTATTTTTAAATTATATAATAAAAGTAATATTAGTTTTAAATTATAAATTTTAATAAATAAAATTAAAGTTAATTTATTTAAATATATTTATATTAAAAAGTTAATTAAATAACTTTTAAAATATTTAATATTATTACTATTATTATTTATTAAAACTTTACTTTATTAGTAAAAGGTTCTTATTATTAGTACCTTTTAAAGCCTTTTTTATTATTAAATATATTTTTTATTATTAATTTTAATAATATTCTTTTATACCTTTTAAACTATTTAATTTATTATAATAGCTTTATTTTAAGTAATTTTAAAGGTATTTATAAATACTTTTAAGTAATTTATTAAACCTTAATTACTTTAATAATTAGCTTTTAAATATATAATTATTTAAATAATATAATATTTTATTAATAAATTATATAATTTAATTTTTAAATAAGTTTTATATAATAAGTATTAAATAGTTTAAATTTAATAGGTTAATTAAAGTATATTATTTATAATATTAACTAAATTAATATTACCTTATATTAAGGTAAATAGGTTATATATATTTTTATAAATTAAATTTAAATTAATTATATAAAATTAATATAATATTATTTTTATTTAATTAAGTAATAAAGATAATTTATTACTAATATTAATAAGGTTAATATAAGTATTTTAGTAAGAATATTAGGTTTTCCACTCTATTAGTAAAGTTTTAGTTTAGCCAAGGAATAGGGGGTATTTTATAGGGGGGGGGCCAACTCTCATTTTTCCAAGATAGCGGCATCTGGCTTGTGGATACGTGTGACGGACGACATCACACCACTGTCTTTCAAACAAGCGCCGCTCCTTGCCACAGAATTTCGCTCCTTGCTTTGCACGATAAAGACTCTTGCTTACTTGGGCCCAGTTTAGTTGGGCTCAGTGACATGCCACCAATGCCATACTAGTATTTCAAACACCTGGGCACCCGCTTTACCTCTGTCTGGATAGCTAAAACCTTACAAGGTTCTTGTTTAATAGATAAGTTGCTGTAAATGTATGGTCTTGAATAGGGTATGAAATGAAAGAAGCAAATAGGATCAACATATCCCCGGAATTTAACGTATCCCACCTATTTTAAATGTTAGGCTTCAACCACATCATATTTTTCCTTTATACTATTGCACAATCAATTGCACTGGTGTCACTGCAACCAAGTCTGCTATATGGCTGCCACTGCAGTTAGACTACCATTACATTGTTGATAATTGCTATAGATCTCAGAGACTTTAAGTTTCAACTAACTAGTTTGCTGCACTTCACCACATGAGTCCCAGAACTATCTATCTATTGTTCACACCACCACACCCATCTGCTCACTATCCACCAAAATGCAGAGTCTCAAACAAAGTACAAATGTTCCCCCCTGCCTGCTACACCTTCCTTTGTAAGTGGTAATGCTCATTCAGATTCTGACCAGGGTTCTTTCAGTCATACACGATAACCCAGCCATTCTTGTCCGACTGCGCGCCGCATGTTGCACGCCCTTTTCTTCCCCGTTGACATGGACTAACACCTAAGACGGCGTGCGCCTGCCAGTCCTGGTTCTCCACCTCCCTTGCCGGTGTTGGCAGACTGCAGGCCAGTCAGTCTGCTGTGTTGGTCGACCAGCGGACCCGCCTCGGCTCACTTCCAAATTTCAGGCCTGGCCTAGGCAGCACACCTCGCTTGCCCTCTGCACATAAATTATGACCTTATAAGCTCGACTCGAGCGAACCAAATGTTTCTTCAGACACCAACTCATTTCTACCTACCTCTGCTATGTCTTCTTCCGTATACTCCATTGTAGATGATCGGCGGTCGTGCCAGCGCCAGGCTGCGCTGGCCTGCACTGAGGACGACATTTGGAACGCATCACAGACACAAGAAAAACCACCTTATGGAAACGTCAAAGGCTTTGTGTATCCAATAGACAGTCAGAATCCTGAGTTTTTTGTCAAGTACACGATGGCAGGGAGCAAGTGGCTGCTCGAACCCGAAATGCGCAACCACGAGTTCGCGTTCAATGCCTTGCGTGCCCGGCAGCAGCAGGCCGCTCAAGAGGGACTCGTTGTCTGCGTGCCAGAGATATTCAGGAATTTTGAGCATCGCGGTTTCTACTTCCTGGTCATGGAGTTCGTTCCGGGAAAGACACTGCGACAAATCCTCAAAGATGACAAGGATTTGGGGGCAGGGCAGGTGGACCACTCCATGCTCTTCAAGCACATTGCTGAAGGAATCCGCCTTCTAATATGTGTCAAAGCGCCACCAGGGTCCAAGCCTGGTCCGGTTGGAGGTGGCTTCATACGACATCCTTTTTTCAGAGACCTTGAGGCGCCTACTCCTTATCGTGATATCGAGATGATGGAGACGCACTTGAACAAGGTGAGCACGGGAACTACTCATCCTCTCTACCTAGGTACGGGCTTGGGTGCTGACGCAAATGGGGCCACAGATCTTGAAACACAGAACACGTCGGAGCCCTAAGCCGACGCCAACCATATCTCTGGGAACTGAACTTCAGTTTTACTACTCGGACCTCTGTGTTGCAAATTTCATCTTTACCACCGTGGCTGATCACACTGTGCTCTACATTATCGACTTCGGCGAGGCCGGCTTTCTGCCACCCATCTTCATGGACTTTGTGATACAAGATAGCTCAACCAGACCGTGGTCTACCACGGTCGCTGATGGAATCGTCAAATACTTCCAACCTAGGGACGAAAAGAATCTCCAGGTCATGGGAACAGCGTGCTATTTTGTACTGAGCTCAAGCTGGTATTTTGGTCAGTCCAGCCCAGCCTCAGCCTCTCCCCTGCTATTATTGTCTCAGGATCGAAAAGTTGACACGGATTATTTTGGCCCAAGGTCTCCCTTTAGAAGGCTATCCAGAGACAGAGCTGGCCAAAATTAGACGTCTGCGTTCCGAGAGATGAAGTTCACAGCCCGGTGCATTAGTGCAATAATATCAGGCTCTTATATGAGGGCGCCGTCAAGACGGTGCCCCCTTAGCCTTGTCTGGGCGTCGCAAGGCTGAGACCACAAGGACCCATCGTATTTTATCTATAGTTATCGGCATCGTATTTTTTTTTTTAAAGCGCTGTCTTGAGCGTTTACCACTGTATGAAGGCGCCACATATGTTTTATATGTATGGGGATTAGTAACAAAACCACTTGGCTTCGTTGTTCAAAATATTGCCAGCGGGGTAGAAAATGAAAAAGAACCCAGGGGAAAAAGACGGCGGAGGAAAACCAGGCGAGCTTGCGCCGTGCGTCCAGAGGATCACAAGCGACTCAGAGATAATTCAGGACTTGCACACGCTCAAAGCCGCCATAAATTTACTGGGACTGGATCTCCGAGAGGCCGAGGTCCTTGAAGCTCAAGAGCATCCGGGAAAGACTGATGACAACACCAATATTCCCCAGCCGGTGTCGCTGCTGGACACATGTTTGCAGCAAGCCGAGCCGACCTCGAGCGCCTCCTAGGGCAGGCATGTGGGTTTGGAGTGCAATGACGGAAAGGCGTTGTGCTTGCTGCGATGCAATTATTCAACCGGGTCTGAGTTGGTTACGGGTTGCGCATCACGATTGGCGAAGGAACAATTCTTATGAGGTCGACAACATGTACATGGTTGTCGGACCGCTTGAGAGCAACGAGTATTGTAAATCGCAGATGGTATATAGCATGAACTGCTAAACGGAAATACAGTAGAGGTATCATATGTAGGTACACAAAGTGATGCAAAGGCGCTCTTCCCCGTGAACGCCAGTTGGAGTATATCTTCTCTTCCGTCCCGTCCTGTTCCGTCCCATATCTCCCCATCGCACCCGTCATAGGATGTTGCAGTCATCACCCTCCCATTAATTCATTACCATTACTCCCTTTCAGGACTGACACCCGATCCTCCACCGACCGCTTAGAACCACCTGCGCCTGCGGCGGGTGGTCGCCGGGGTGCCATAGTCGTTCTTGGGGACTGTGGAGTGTCGGTTCCTGCGCTTGTGCAGGCGGGCCGAGCAGCAGGTGAAGAAGACGATGATGGCGCCGAGCAGCGAGGCGATGCCCGCGACGAGGACGGTCCAGATGCCGACGCTGTAGTAGGCGTGGGCTTCGTTGTTCTGGTCGTTGACGTTGTCGCGGATGAGGGCGAAGAGGACAAAGTCGCAGATGAGTGCGACGACGGTGACCACGAACGCGACGAGCGAGGTGAAGGCGGCGAGCAGAGAGCCGAAGAAACCGGAGCCCAGGGCCATCAGGAAGGCGAGGAAGGCGATCCCTGCGGCGATGGGGTGCAGGATCATGACCTTGGTGAGGCCATCTGGGATGGGTTAGTAAGCTATTCCAGGGTACCGAGCGGAATACTGCTGTTTGGAAGATGACAACGTACGAGTAACCTTGCGGCTGTAGTCCGAGTAGGAGGTTTGCTCGACCTCGGTCATCACGTCGGCGGGCTTGTAGCCAATGTGGCTGCCAGTGCAGACATCGCGCGAGTCATCGCTGAGGGGAGCATGTTAGCAAGATTCGCCCTGGAGAGATGGAGAGATGGCTAGAAGGATCAAACATACGCAGTGTTTAGGACACAGTAGCCGAATGTACCAAACGACACCTCCGAGTAGTGGTCATTTGTGGCATTGCTCAGCGAGACTTTCATCATGCCGAGGTCATTCACGACAGGCGCCGTGATTGACGTTATGATGAGCAGGACAGCTGCCACAAACAGCAAGAAGGTGCCGATGTGGTGGAAAAAGCCGGTGACCGCCATGTTGTCGACGGGTGTCTTGTCTCAGACGCTGGGCTGTTTGTGTTGTTTCAATGGCGACGGTACCGCTGAACCGAGAGATTTAGAGTTGTTCGGGATGGCCTTGGAGAGCAGTGGTTCGTCCGGGAGCTCAGGAGAGCCGGGCCATGATATATGCCAGATATGGCGGCAGCATGGTCGACGAGGCAGGGGTTCTGAGACCCTGTGAAATCAGGATCTGGGGTAACCGGCACGGAAGCGACAGGGAGCAGGATTGGCTGCGACGTCATCGTTCAGATTGTCACCTCTGAGGTCGCACCCAATTGTGCCGCGTCGCACAGAGGCGCTGGGGAGGCGCTGGGGAGATTTGCTGATCTAGACCAGTCTCGTGACGTTGTGTCGTGAAGGCTGGAAGGCAGGGAAGGGTGTGAGCCCACGGGCCTTGAGCTGAGTCCTGTTTTGATCCCCTGTCGGTCGCCTTGCTGGGTGACGTAGGAGGGTAGCGTTTGGCGCGGCCTGGTTGGTCTGGGCCCCCCTGCAAAGGCACATGGGCTCCCTTGGGGTGTCGGTGCCCTGATTTCAGGTACCGAATGACGGCGGGCTACCTAATCCCACCTTAGACCTTTCTCTCTTTTTCTAATGTCGCCGTGTTCCCGTCCCGAAGATCCAAGAGATCCAAGAGATAGTCGGCGATCCACGGTGACAATTGGCTTCCCACCTAGCACGCGAGTTTTGTCTCGTGGCTGACGTAGAGTCTAATTGGTCCTGGAGCCACTGCCCTAGTAGTGATAAGGCGTGGCTTATGAACATGGTCGAACGGCCCTCGCAGCCGATGGTCAAGACACCTCATGTCTTGCCCTCCCCCAGGACCGACCTCCAATGCACCGGTCCCCCAATAATGCCCTCCTTTTTGATCCTGTCGCCATGTGTCCGGTCTGCCAGCGGATTCGACTTGAACTGCTGGCGCCGGATCCAAGCCGGTGATTTGAGCGGAGAGGCCAGTGATTTGGGCGGAGGGGCCGGTGGCCCGGTCCTTGGGGTCGGATCCGCGTCGGACCCGTTCTGAACGTCGGCCGGCTGCGCCTGTTGCTGGGCTCGGTTTGCAGATCCGCACAGCGCATCCAGGCTCGTGATGGATGTGAGATCGCCGCCCATCTGGGCCTGCATGCCCTTGCCCATGTCCTTGTTCTTCCTGCGCTGCTGGCGCTCCCTGATGTGCCAAAGCCTGGCGTCCGCCGCCTGGGCCCTGAGCGACACGGGCTCCCCGGACAGCTGGCCCCCAGTGTACCAGTCGCAGAGCCCCGGGCGGGCGATGGTGTCTGGCACGGCGTTCGTGAGGGCCAGGTACACAAAGTCGCGGTCCTCGCGGCGGGTCTGGGGCGAGTCGGCCTTGGGCCAGGGCCCATGGGTCGGCGACAGCCTGATGTTCTTCTTGTGCTCGTAGTAGCTCTGGCTCGGCTTGATTTGCATCGTGAAGGTCCTGACCAGGTCTGATCTCTGCGGCTGGGCTGCTTTCGCAACGTCGTTGCCAGCGCCAGTGCCCTTGGCCCCCTCCTCTTGTACCTTGATTGGCGACGCCACGCCAATGGCGCGCGTCCCGGGCTTGATCTCCTCCTCGAGTGACTCGAACGTCTCCGAGACGAACTTGAAGGTCAGGGGGCTCCGCTGAACCAGCCCCGTCGCGACCTCGGTCCTGGCCGGGGCGCAGACAAAGGTCTCGGGGCTCTGTAGGAAGAGAAGGTCAGCGGCGATGGCGGGGGACGGGGGACGCGGGACGCGGGATGGGCGAGGTCAACTGACGGGAAGCCTCTTGAAGACCTCGATCTGGCCGTGGCGCCTGAGGGCGTGCAGCACGGCGCGGCGTTCGGACAGGCTCGTCGGGGCGGGCGAGACGTTGATGAAGAGCGACCGAGCGCTGATGAGCTCGACCGCCTTCTTGCCAAACCAGCCCGAGGCCATTGCGCCACCGTGGAAATGGGAATGGGCAGCGGTTGCAATGGAGGGCGTGGAGGTGGAGATTTACTGGCGGGATGCGGCTGCAGAGCGAAAGCTTGTGTGTGAACCAAAGCTTGGGCGGGAGCTTTCCAAATTCATGCACCTGGTAGTGTGGTAGAGCTTGCGGCTGCGGGGCCGACCAGAGCTACCGGGCCCCGGGGCCCACTACGGGCCGGTTGACAGGGGTCTCAAGGCCGACACAGCGGGACTGAAACTGTACGCAGCTTGGTGTATGGAACATGTTCTGAGGCATATACTCCCAAATGAAAACTGCCAAGAAAAATTAGTAAATAAAGAGACAACGTGCTCTGCCAAAGTATGCGCTATGCACCCGCACGAATACACGTATTGACAGCCCCTCACAGCAAAAATATTATGTCAAGGTTTTACTTGGACAACATAAATGTGAGCCAAGCTATAGTGGACACAGTAGTGATATGTGATGATGGCCGAAGACGTGGTGTTGCTTATTGAACATGCCTGTGTGCTCGATGGAAAAGAAGAGAAAAAAAATCATGCTTGAATTCAATGCTGGTATTGTTCCTTTACTCCGTACCCGCTAGCATGCCCCTTGCTTCTTCATTACCCACCCCTGATCCGCAGCGCTTCATTCGTCTTGTCTCGTCTCGCTCATCTCACGTGTCGCTCATGCAGTCGCTTACACAACTCAGCCCAACACCAAAACCCAACACCCAACGAAGGACCATCAACCCTCGACCAACAACCAGACCTTCTTTGTTTAACCCACCCAGACACCAGGAGAAAAATCTAAAAAGGGAGAAACACCCCCCCCAACCCCAGGGAGGGACGACAAGAAGAGACAATCCCAATCGATTATACAAACAAACAAATGCTTCAGATGACAATGCCCTCCTGCTTCAGCCGGTCAACATCAACCCCAGCCTCAGCCATGGTCTTGACCATCGCCTCGCTGAGCTTCCTCTGCCTCTCGAGCGCCTCCTTCTCCCTCCTGGCCTTGGTCTTGGAGCTCCCGCTGGGCGCCACCCCCGTCATGAGCACCCCGTGGTCGTTGGGCGTGTAGTTCACAAACCCAACTCCACCACCGCCGCCGCCGCCGCCGCCCCCTAGCCCTCCGACGCCGGCCCCGAGCGACCCGCCAGACCCGTCCCCCACCGACGACGACGCGGATGTGGTCCGCTTCTGCCGGCTCCACGACGACGTGCTGCGCCGCTTGCGCACCGCGTGCGTCTGCGCGTCCGTCGCCGGCACCGTCATGATGTCGCTCGCCGACGCCCGGTGGTGCAGGCTCCCCGCCCGCCGCCCGCCCGGCCCCGCCGCCGCCGCCCGCGCCTGCCTGCCCCCCGGCGTCGGGCTGGGCGACGACGACGAGCAGCTCGCCTGCCGCGTCTTGCGCGGCGAGATGGACGACGGGCCCGGCGCGCCCCCGGGCCCGGCACCCATGTAGTGGTGCCTGGCGCCGCTCGACGGCGCTCGGGGCTTGGGCCGCCGCTGCTGCGTCCCGCCGTAGTGCCCGTGGTCCGTGTACGGGCCCCGGAAGGCGTGCATGTTGTTGTTGTTGTTGTGCTGTGGCGTCGTCTGCTCGGGGAAGGGGTACTGCGGCATGTTGTTGGGTGGGTGCATCGGCCCCACGGTCGAGGACAGCAGCGGCGCCGTGCCCGGAGTCCGCGGCTGCGGCATGTGGATCATCAGGCCGCTGGTGGCAAGGTCGTCGGATAGCGGGGTGTGGTGGTGGTGGCGGTTGTCCTGCACGTACGGCGGCACCTGGATGGTGAGGTTGTGGAGGTTCCGCGTCGCGTTGTGGGCACTGTCCGTGGGCGCCGCCCAGTCGAAGTTGCTGCCGCTGTCTGATGACGGGTCGAAGCCCCATGTGTCCACGTTCATGCTGTCTGCAGAGAGGAACGGCGTGGTGTCGATGCCTGTCGTCGTGGCGAAGCTACCGTCCAGGTTCCACGTGTCGCTGGCGTTGAAGTACTTTGCAAGGTCGTCATCCATCACGTGTTCCGTCTTCATGTCGGGTGTGTGCGACGGTGTGTTGGGGATATTGCAGCTCTGAATATTGCCTTTGCCGCCGATCTGCGCAGGGGGTGCGAGTCCCATCGAGTGGTTGAAGGACGCTGCAGGGTCGAAGAAGGGGTCGTCGAGATATCCGTTTCCAAATGTTGCCGCGTCGCCAGGCTGGATATTGCTCAAATCTGTCAGCGGCGGCGAGATTGGGAGGCAATCCCAGCTGACAGAAGCTGGATGGCTCTCCGAATTCAGCCTCCTCGTCGCCTTCTTGGCCGACTCGACATGGGATGGCGTCATCGTCTGAGGGATAGGGGCTGTGTTTGGGTGTTGTTGTTGCTGTTGTTGCTGCTGTTGTTGTTGTTGCTGTTGCTGCTGCTGCTGCTGAGGCACTCGCCCTCGGGAGTGCCCTCCAACTGCCCTCCTTATCGTTGAGTATATCGTCTCAAACCGCTTCGACTTGTGATTACGGGTTCTCTGTGCCAATTGGTCAAGGTTGACGTCCTCGGTGATTCCAGCGATGTTGTGGGCCGTCGTGGTTGGGGCACAGTCCTTCGGCGGCGGCGGCGGCGTGGGCGGGACGGCAGGACCAGATGTCTGCTGAGCTACGACGCCATGGGGCGAGTTCACCGACAGACCCTCGATCTGCAGCAGCTCCGAGTCTGTAATCGAGCCACCCGCGGCCTGGTCCTGCCCGCGCCGACCACTGAGGAGCCGCCGTCTTTGTTCGAGAGCGTCGGGGTTAAGCTGCCCTAGCACGACGTGGTGTGCGGCCTCGCTGTGGCTGCCGCTGGGTCGCTCGGGGAATCTGCCGCGGAGCGGCTGGTGGTGTGCACCCTCTGCTAACGAGATGGCTTTTAGCGTGTCCTCGACCGAGAAGTTCGATGTTGGGTGCGGCACATCTGGTGCAGACCCGTTGGTGGAGGACGCGCTGGTGACGCCCTCTGTGACGGACGACGTGGGTGGCGAGAACTCATCTTCGCCTTGTCCACCACCCTGCAGCGGCATGAAGAAGCTCGCACCCAGACCGCCTGGGTCTGTCCCTTCCATGACCACATACTGGTCAAAGAAATCGCTTGGGGAGCGCGGGTCCTCGGCGAAGTTTCCCGGGGCTCCTGGCCCAGTAGCGCACGAGATCTGCCAGAACTCGTCTTTGTCTATGGAGTAATCCATAGCTCTAGCAAAAGCCGCGTCAGGCTCGGGAGCCAATGTCATGCCCCGCGGTCCCTCGGAGGTGATGTGTCGAGGCTGGGTTAAGCAATAGCTCTTTGGGCTTTTGGAGCTGTCCGGGCCCCTGGTTGTGATCAATTTGGCTGCGAATGTCTCGAGTTGATGTTGGTATTTAATGTCAAGGATATTCGCCCGGGTCTGTTCCCATGGAGCACCGACGCCGTGGGAAGGAAGCGTTTGGAAGGAAGAATAGCCGCTCAGTAAAGAATATGTTGTGCTGAAAAAGAAACTTTTAATCGAGTATAAGGACAATCTATTTGGATGGGTAAATAGATGCAGGTCTGCTATATGCCATAGCAACCAAAGATATGCATGGCTGATCTTATGTCGGTTGCTGTACGAATGCGTGGATGGCAACAGCTGGAATGCAGCCCATGCACATGAGCCTCAACTGGTGAGCACTGCATCTAACGAAGGTTCCTCGGGCTTCCCCAGATAGATCTACTTTTTCGATTGCCCCTCGGATGCAGTCTAGGAACGTCCCAAAGTCCCTCCCTTGGCTCACCCGACATGAGGGAGTCACGGATTTGAGCACCATGTTCGAATGCACAAAGAGGCGAGCACAAAGGCTGGAGATTTTCCTTTGTGGATGACTTGGAATCTCCATCTTTTTCGGGCCCAGGAGGCGTTATTCGAAGGCGAGCGTACCTTGCCGAAAAGCAGGCGGAAACCCTCCGACCACTGTACTTTCGTCCGATGCATGGAATGGGCGTCAATTTGGGGTCCCTATGGACAACACCGAAAGGTTGAAACATGGCCTATGATATTGTACCACCGCCCCGTTGACGAATCCCGGCCCCGCCACTGTACCTGCAGACGCAGAGCGCGGTCTCGAGCCCGTGGCGCCCCCAATCGTCCCGGGGCTGCAAGGCTGCGATCCTTTTGACTAGTGTCACTATTTGGGAACATGTCAGCCAGATCAGTAACCACCCCTGGACAAGAGGGTGTAGCTTATTTGGTGGAGAACTCGTACGGCGGGCTGTCTCGAAGCCAACAAGTGCAGGAGCTGTTGCCCAGCCGTCAGCCCTGCGGCCAGGCCCAGAAGATCGAGTTATGCTGCCAAAAGTGCCTCTTTGTGGCTGGACGCTGCACGGTCATGAACTGGAGCACTGGTGATTTTGCAGCCGAGGGCACAAGAGATAATCGTATTTTCGAGCACAAAGCCTCGCTGGCATGCAAGCCTTTGTGCAGGTACTCTCTGGCTCTGCTGGCCCGATGGGAGCCGTCATTGTCCCTAGAATATTGTACCCATGCCCTCGACGGGTACCGCCAAATATCTCCCTCCTATGTTCACCGAGGCCGAAAATGGCAATGGCAGCGAAGTCGCAGCCCTGTGCAATCAAAATCCCCCTAACGCCATGACGTTGCCGTCGTTTTGAGTCTCCCATACGATCCAGTGTGCCGAGTGCGATACTGTTACAAATTCCCGATGCCGCAGACTGACCTGTTGTCCGGACGCGGAACGCCATGACCATTCCAGAGAACCAAAGAAAGGGTATATCCCACTGTATGAAGCCCGAAATCCTGATAGAAAAGAGAATAGAAAATGACCAGGTGGCAAGATGAGAAGCATTCAGATCATGGGGAGGGCCGAGAAGAGCTTGCCTGGCGGTGTGAATCCCAGGGAATTCTCTCATGGTTGCGATCCCTCCCCAGCAGTTGTAGATAGGCTCGTGTTTGGCTTGACTTTACGACGTCTCATCCTTGGCTTGTTTCTAACAAGATTCTGGCAGCGGAGGGCGGTATCTGTCGATGATCGGTAAAGCGGGAATCCGCTCTTCCTGATTCCAAGTGTACCGCTTGCACGACGCAACGTCAAGAGCCTGTCTATGAGGGCAAGTTCGGACTCATCGTCACCGCCGGGATTATCGTCGACTTCCAGTATGGTCCCTACCACCTCGTGGCTCGTGACGTTGTCATCGGCCTCGATGGGCACAACTGGTACCAAGGACGGAGTGTACACGTTACACTGAGTGCTTGTAGATATCATTTCCTCCACTCGCGATTGGATGGCACTGATGGCGGCCGCCTCTTTGAGACAGCGCGACGAGGGCTTGTGACGTAAGCGCCTGGCGTCTTGCTTGTTATTGTGTGAATGTCTAGTGAGATCAGACTCGGTGGTTGATGCTATTGACGAGGGTGTAGCATGTCGGCCGGGCAGTTCTGATGAGGACCCGGGGCAGCAAGCGGCCACTTCCAGGAAGGGCTCAGGCGGCGGGCCAAAGGAGGCCACAGAGGAACAGGCAGAAGCCGGGTAACAGGACAAAGGCGCCGGGATGCCGTTGTCTAGACGCAGATGGGAACTGCTCAACTTGTGGGTGAGGATGTCCATGCTCGCTATCCCTTGAGGTTGCGGTTGAGCATGTCCTCCACTTGTGACGTCCTCAGCAGCGTAGTCGCGGACATGCCATGGCCGTTGGTGTCGGACCTGTGATGCCGGATGTGCAGGCGTGATCGGGGTGGCGAGACCATGCTCCGTGCCCGCTCGGCCATTCTCATCATCTGGTGCCTGGGACCTCGACTGGGTCCCAGCAAAGTGGCCTAACATGGCCAGCCCCCTTTCCAGCTCGTGGGCGCAGGGATCCCTACCATCAGGCCCAGGGCTTGAGCAACATGAAAGACGGGATCGCCGAAGAGACGAAGAGACGGGCGGCAGAAGGCGGGCAGGAGGCGTCAACGACTGCTTGCAGAGGGCGGCAGGGAAGGGGTACAAAGAAAGGCACGATATTGGCGTGTTTGCATCCGACCGGCACGGTATCGCGAGGATGTCGGGCAGTCCGCAAGGGGTTCTGTGGCTGTCGTCAAGATGGGCTGGCTAGGTATTTGGCTGACGGGTTGGTTGGTTGGTTGGCCGGTAGCACAAGAGGAGACGGGAGGGAGGTGATAGTCCAGGTGTGTACTTGTGTGAGAGGTGTAAGCTTGGAGCAAGGCCTGGATTTCGGCGTTCCCCGGTGATGGCCAAGACGTGTCTGCGTGGAATATATCTTGATAACGAGCAACAAAGATGTATTGTGGTGTGGTATGTTGGCAATTCTGCCTGCTATGTGGAGTCGTCCATGTCTGGAAGAGAAGTCATATGTGGGGGATATGGCGGAGTGGTATGGTGTCGTCAGGTCCTCTCGGTATAGGTGAGAAAAGAGTGAAGCCTTGTTGTGTGCTAGAGTGGGGTTGCTCCCGAGGAACTGTGAGAGATGGGCGTTGCTGGTATGTGAAGAGTGTCAGAGACAGTAGGGACTAGGAAACAGGGAAGCTGGCTGAGGGGGCGAGGCGATCGAGTTTTGAGAAAGCTGCGATTTGGCAAGTCAAGCTCGTTCTGTAGTAGGTAGACTGACTACTAGGTACCGCGTACAGTATTATTAGTCTTGCACGCACCACCACGCAAGAAGAGCAAGGAACAGGGGGTGCGATGGGGCATGGGGGTATGGGGCATGGAGCATGGAGCATGGGGCATGGGGCCTGGGGCCTGGGGCACGGGGATAGATAGTTGGGAATAGATCGAGAAGCACACCTTGCTACACTACATGAGATAGCTGCTACCTACCTGGACGCCGGGTGCTGCTGGGGTGCCGTGCTAGAGCGGGCAAGCACATGGAATGTGCAATAACGTCTTCACGTGTGTGTGTGTGCTAATAAGGGCCAAGGGCCGTGGGACGAGACGGCTGCACCCAGACTGTAGGGATGACACGACAGGGCAAGGGTACTTACCTTCCTAGGCACCTAGGGTCAGTCCCCAGGAGCCAGGCCCCTTAGGCCCTGGGGATCTTGGAAGTCTGCCTCGGTGCGTGGGTGCGTGGGTGCGTGGGTGCGTGGGTGCGTGGGCTCGGGCTGTGACGCGATATGACAGGTTAAGAAGCTAGTTGAGTGACCACAGGCTGCAGATGGGTTGCCATGGGGCCCAGCTGCCTGCAGTGGGAGCGAAACGGTTGAATCTTGGCTTCCTCGATGGGGCTAAGCGGTGGAATCTTTGCTCCACACTCGGAAACCGCCTTCCTGGGCCTTGGGATGCTGCAGGCTGATGCAGATACTCCGTACCAAAGTACGGAAAGTGGTGGGAGTGCGCGATAAGACAAAGTGAACAAGACAAGGGCGGCCTGGGCGGCAGGAAGGGCGGTTCCTTCCCTTCCCCTGGACTTGCACACTCACCCACTCGAGTTGATTGACTGATTCCCCGGCGGGCCTGTGGGCGTGGGGCCACCCTGCCGCCCTGCTACCTTGGACCTCAGAGACCCAGAGACCCAGAGAGCCCATTCCGACACCATGGAACTGGGCTTGTCAGTTCGGGCAGGAAAAGGAAGGAGCAGCCCCACCACAGGTGGTAACAACAACATCTGAGTGGCTGGACCTTTGCAAGGGTGTGGGGCAGGGACAAGGGGGCGCACAACGCCTGGCAGCGTAGCATTCATCCGCCGGATGACTGAGGAGAAGAAGGCCATCACTCTCACCCACCCACCCCCTCGGCTCTCCTTCGCCCTCGTCTTCGTCCTGCCGACCTCTGAGCAGCTGCTGGAGTATGTAACAGTACTGTGTATGGGTGGATCATGGCCAGCCACACACGCACCTGCCCTCTCTGCCTCTGCACTGTGCTCGTCGCAGCTGGGCAGCTGGGCAGCTGAGCAGCTGCCGCTCGCAGTGACACAGCCGACCGTTGGCTGTTGCTATTTGCGATAGACGCGCGTCAAAAATCTCCCTGTCGCCTGCTGCACTGGTGCACTCGACTCTTGGTCAGCAGCCCTCGCCCGGGGCTGTCACGTCAGCTTCACTGTGACTGTGACTTCACCTCGCCCCGCCCGACGCCTCGGGTTTCGGAGAAAGGTTGAGGGGTTCCCAGCACGGCGGTCTCCCATCGAGTCCCTCCTCTCGAGACGTCCGAGCTCACCATCCAGCCCATCTCAACACTGGCTGGCTGGCTGACTGACTCACTGACGGATCTCGGGTGCGTCATCGTCCCAAGAATCATATACATCCATCGCCACGTCCAAACCTTCTCTCGCCCCGGGCCTAACAGGACTAACAATGCCATTATCGACATGGGGCGGGGAAGCTGCCAAGGTCCGCACCACTTCTAGCGCCACCACCGAGCACCTAATCAGCTGCAATACAACACAAACGGGTCTGCACGACCGGCCGCCTGGTGGTGCTGTGGGCTGGGAAACATACAGTACTGTCTGTCGACATCCGACCGAGGCCAGCTGTCGAGTATAGAGCTTCTCGCCACGGATCACGATATGAATAGAAAACCTCCGAGCCGGTTGCCGCCCCGGGCCCTCCCTGATCTCGGAAATTTACAGCAATCTAAGCCACCGATGCGATGATCGTATTGCTTTGTTTTCATTCATCCCCCCTACGGCGGGCTGGGCGGTCGGTAACTCCACAAGCGTCACAAGCTACCAGCGCGGCGGTATCCTCCCCCCAAGTTTCACGCCCTTGGGACAAATTAGCCATCAGGGGACCTCCCAGCACCCTTCACCTTGTCCGTCGCGGACTCGCAGCCCTGAGCCTGTCAAGCCTGTGTAGTACGGGACGCTTCATGAGCCCCCCCCCCTTTGGCCAATCTCTTGTCAACAGACCGAGCGCCCATTTTTCTTCTCAGCCAGAACTTGGTCTCACCACGATCTGCTCGGCTCAACCGTCGTGCATCGCAAGAAATAACCTGCCTTGTGCCTGTGGCGACGGCCTGAGGTATTGCAAAATGCAATGCGACTTGGCGATTCCTGCATGTAACGCCGTCCAACGTCCAGATGTCATCGGCTTTGGAGCGTACGGTGTGGGTCACAGGTGGGAGGCGCCTGCGGCAATGTGCAGCAATGATCCTCGCCTTTCCTTACACCGTACACCGGCAGAAAGCAGAACCACTGGCGCTCAACGTGACGCTCAACGGCTCGCCCCCAACTGCCAATCTCTTGCATGCACCGCTCGCAAAGCCTAGTCCGCAGGTCTGACTCTTCCTGGCACTCAAGTCATACAACAGGAGTTGCCAATCCGAGCATCATCGTACAAGCCTCGGACCATCATTGGGCAGACCCCTCTGCTGTAACCCCTGCGACCTGCTCACCGAACTCAATGGTTAACGGCCGGCTATGCAGAACAGGTCTTGCCGCAGCCGCAGGCAACACCGTGCACCGGCAAGCTTGAAATGCGTGGCTTGGGCCTGCGCAGAAGTCACCCAGTCACCCAGTCACTCTGGAAGCCTACCAAGAAGCTGATCATCATGACAACGTGGCCACCCGGTGTCTGAGACCCTCGCAGGATGCGGCATCGGTCAGGCGCTTTCCTGGAAGCTTGGGAGGACGACATGAGAGCTACTCGGTCAGTCGGTCCTGTTGGCTCTCACCACTGACTTGCGAGACCGGGGGTATGTGCATAGGTCCCTGGCATGCCCTCAAGCCCCGCCACCCTGCGGTTTCCCTACCAACTTCGCCGCGGCTACAGCGAACACAGGATCACGGCTGTGGATGTCCCGCCATCTCAGTCACAATGTCAAACACCTTTGGCGAACCTACCCGTCCTTGTCACCTCGTAGGTGACAAATACGCCTGCCAGTTTCGCACTCGCACTGATCGTCTCAATGCGGCAATCCGGCAGCTAAGTAGGAAACACAGACGAGAAACGTATGCGGGCTTGATACGCCTTACCAAGCTTTGTTTCACCTGGGCGAATGAGATGGATTTGGCCCAGAGCAAGTGTGTCCAAGGATATGCACGCACAGGTCTTTTTATAGCGAACCTACGCGCCCGTTTCAGCATAGGTGTGTGCGACTTGCGTGCCCGAGAGCTTGGGTCTGTCTTGGTGGCGGGGACATGTCAGAAAACCTTCACCAACACCCGCTCCTGGGGCCGCATACACAGGCCGACGACCCCACCACACAGCCCCGCGAGGCAGTGGGGGCCAGATTCTGTTGGTTGTCGATGTGATTGATTTTGTTGCAAGAGTGAGCACATGACACGCTGAGCTGGAGTGCTGCCACTCTAAATATGGTTCAGTTTGGGTTTCGAGACAGTGCGAGTCGATGCCTGCGGTATGGATCAACATCTGCTGCTTCTGCAAACAAGTGTCACGCAGTAGACAGAAAGGATGCGGAAAGGACCTGGTGCCCCGGGTCGACCGGATGGCACTGATAATGTTCACACCGTTGGTGACCGCCCGGGCAGCTGCGTCAAGTGGCGCCATTTGAAATCACGGCCGCGGCGAGGAACCGTATGTTTCTGTTACCCTCGAACCCATACACTTGCCATCGAGTATCAAAGACTCATTGTTTACATTCCGTTCATGGCTGGCTGCCTAGCGACGTGGTGAATGAAGCGGAACGATTACGGCACACTTCGAGCGGAGTAGGAAGCATTGGTCGTAGCCAGGTTCGTGGGACTGCTTCTCTCACGGCGATACGCCTGGTTTTGTTCAATTTACGACCCAAGGTTCTCACATGTCTATGAATCCCAGCCCCTTTCATCAGGCATACTACCTGAACCTGGTGCCAAGTTCCAGACCGGATGCCGGGTAAACTTCGAAGGGCGGAGATGAGTACCTGAATGTGTTCCAATATGCCACCACAACACCTCAAGCTCCGAAAAGCCGAGTTGATATCCGCAATCTTCTTCAAGTCGATGCACGTTTGAACGCTGGTATGGTGAAGGATCGGCTTCGGCAAGGCGGGCAAGCCGGCAGGGCGAACGTGAGGTGGAGAGAAGAGGGTCCAAACGCCAAGTATGGCCTTCATAGCGCTTCATTCCATATCGGCCGGTGTAAACTGGACGTTGGGACCGCAACTATCTGGTTGAGGACAGTGCGGATCTGAGAGACAAGGCAGAACTGTGTCACAGCTGAAGCAGCTCGCTCAGTGGGCTCCACTATTCCCGAGCTCACCTTGAAACTTTCCAAGGTTGCCCAGGGCGTATTTGGAAGGATGTGACTGTGACAAAGGGTCACATATTTTTTTTATTTGCCATCACCGGCCATACCGTACCGCTGTATATTTTGGAGGTAACTTGCACACCTCATCAGCCAAGGCGGCCGGGGATGTTGCCACTCGGCCGACGGCACACCCCTTCCGGCCTTCCGGAAGAAGTGGGGATATCTGTGCAGTACTTGTGATGAGGGATTGATACATTACACAGTGTAAGCTCTGAGAACAAGACTTGCTGAAAGGTCGTTGCTGTCGTCAAGGAAACACTCTTGCATTTCGAGACTGGAAACACATGTGAACAGGCTTTCTTGCGGTAACTTCCACCTGGGAATCTTGTACAACGTACCGAGGTGTGTTGATGGAATGGTTACATCTGGCGGATATGATCTGTTCCCTTACGCCTCGGCATGCCTCAATGGCGAGGAAAATTCAACAGAGGGAACCTGTACGTGCGTGCCCTACTTAGTGGAAGGGCCCGAGATGAGAAGTGTGCGCGTTCTACCTCTCATGAATGAATAACTAGAGCGCACTTGAGACAAGCCGATACTCAGGACTGCCCCACGAGCAAAGCCAGCCCCATGCTGGTGCTTACCAACAAGATGCAAGGAACTCGATGTTTGGAGGAAGCCCTGCCAGAGGGACACCCCGTAGTCATTGAAAGGCGCAAGGATGTCTGGTGAGGTTCGTCCCAAGAGAATCGCTAGGGGGGGGGGGGGCACGGATTTCCTGTAGGCTTCCCTGTGAAACCAATCTGGGATATCAGGATTGAGCGCCCGAGTTCTAGAATCAACACAGGAAGAAAACGAGGCCAGGGGATTGCCGTCGGGCTTGTGCAAAGTTATCTTCAAGGGCCATCGCAGGCAAGTCGAGGCGGGAATTGTTTGGTAGGCGCGTGTGTGCGGCTTTATTTTCGGTGATATGGATTCCGAAGGGGTTTATAGATATGTGGGTTCGCCAGTGAATATCGAATGGCTTTGACAGCGCACAGGGGCCCTAACTGCACGAGATGGAGACTGATTACGTCGTCCATGGGGACCTCGGCGGAAGGAAGCTCACTTCTGACACTATAGGGGTGTAGGCTTGCGTATTGCACATGCAGTTCAGCAGAGTCCACACCAAAAGCCCAGTAACGGTGTCGTAGAGGGATATGTTATCTCGTACCCGCCTTTCATAGCACTGTTTCCTAGTAGGAGTCTGTCTCTCTTGTCTCCATCATCCTCAGCAAGTGAAGGAGAAGGTTCATGTTAGGACATTGGCCTTTGAGACATTGATACTGATCAGTAAAACTGGAGCGGAACGCTGCCGATCGAGGCGAGAAAGAGTTCCACGCATACGGCACATGACGAAACAGTGGTCATAGCACCATTTGCCGGTCCGAAACGGGCCTTGCGAGTCTACCTAGGTATGCGAAGACGACGTCCACGAACCGAGCTGCGATCGAGAGAACAAGGCAACTTCCGAGTTCTCTCCCCGTGACCAGCAACATTTCACTCCCTCCCTCCCTCCCTTCTTCCCTTCCTCCCTTCCTCCCTCGAGGCTCAACACCAGTCCCCACCTTTGATCCCAACAATCACATTCCACCCGCCATCATCAAAGGCCTGCCCCAGGACCACGTGGCCCGACGACGGCCTCCAGACACACCTGTCCTGTTGCGTGATGCTCTCCGCCATGTCGGCGACGGCCGACAGGCTCACCCGCACGTCCGCGCCCTCGTCGTCGTTGCACACGTAGATGGCCGAGCTGTACTCGCACGCCACGCGCGAGCAGCAGCCCCCGCCCGGCTGGTGGCAGACCCAGCGGTCCTGTGGGTCGTGGGCTCGCAGGTATTCGATGCCATCCCTGATGGTGCCCAGGTTGGCGTGCTTGTAGAAGGTGATGTCGCGGCAGAGGATGTGGTCCTTGGGAGGAGGTGTTTGGGTTAGTCTGGTGTTTCTGGGGATATCGTTGTCACGGGGATCTTCAGGTGGTAGTATCTTTTTTTTGGGGGGGGGATATGAGAAGGGCCGCCGGGGGCTCTCTCGACGTACGAGGTTGCGATCGGTGAGATTGCTTGCCATGCTGCCTGCGCCGAGACCCAGGTGGGCGAGGAGGAGGAATCCCAGTATGAATATGCCCATCGTGAGGTGAGGCTTTGTCGTCTCTTACGATGGCTGGATTCAGTCGCTTGCGATGTTGTGGTCGAAATTGCTGTTGGCGGGAGTGTGGCCCTGAGAAAGATGGATTCCAATGCAGCAGCGAGTGACTCGAGGCATAAGTCCAGCCAGTCACTCAAACTTGACGTCCTACCCACCAGCCACACCGCTGATGAGGCAGGCCTTTCATTAAGCTGAGATGGCAGGTTGGCTGTGAATGAGCCTTCGTATTTGATGGGCCGGATCTTGACGCCAGGGGAGGCTGGGTCCTTCCCAAACAGCAGGCTGGACTACCTTGCTTGCGTCGCAGAGCAGCTCTCACAACAAACGTGTGAAAAATGTAGAAAGACCAACCATCACTTTCATCATGACCAACGCTTCTCATATTGCATCAGGACCGACTGGCCTGGCGCAGCACCCTAATCTAAGATATGCCCGGCCCCCCAAACGCCCAAGCTTCCCTTATGCTCATGCCTATCTCGAAGTTCCTCAAACGTACACTTAAAATCACGATCTCTCACCACTTAAATGAAACCTGCAACGACAATGCGTTGTGCAACCCCCACCGGTCTTTGAAGGCTTTCGTATCAGGGAGACAGAGCCTCTCCTCAAGTCCCTCCACTGCCAGACGCGCCATGTTGTTGTTCAAAAATAAACGACGTATTGCCCACGGGCACCCTCACGTCAGGTAAATGTAAGATACAGTTCCAAAAGAAGAGAGATTAACGAAGGGGTATATGGGTAGTAGTAGAAAAGGGGGGTATCCGGGGTGAGGTCTCAGTTGGACCGATGTGAAGAAAGGTTAAAAAGAGAAGTTTGCCCGGGACCAGTCATCAAACCGTCATATTCTTTGTTCTTTTTGTGCCTCATCACCTTGCTCCACCTACGCACTCTGCGGCAAGTTCGCCGGCGAGACCTCTCCGTTTCCAATAAAAGGGAACGCTCTCCGGCTCCCGACGCTCTCCACCTTAGAGAGACCAAGCTTTTCTAACCCAGCCACTGCACTGTCCTCCCCGTTGCCATTTCCATTGTAGATGCCCAGACCACCGCCATCTATACCCTTGCTGGGATCTGGCGACTCATCGCCACCGGCCTCCATCTTTTCGTCCAAGTTCATCAGTGCAGGCGGCCTGTGGCGCATCTGGCGTGCCTTTGCGAGTGATATGGTCTTTTGTTGGTAACTCGTGACAATCGGCTGGTTATCATCTCTGTCAATGGTGGCTTTCATAAGAGCTGCCATCCAAAGCCGGCCTTGCTTGATGTTGGGTACGGCGAAGTAATGGACGGTGGGTTTCGTGAAATTGACAGCACGGGACAGGCCGGCCCTGGGTGGAACCAGTTTAAAAATGAATATCGAATCGGACGCAGCCGTTGGATCCGCATCAGCTTCTGTGGCGGCTATTGTGCGCATGTTGCTGTTGACAGGCACTGCAGGCGAGTTCGACGCTCCAGTGAGTGTTGCATGAAGCCCCGTCAGCCTCTCGTTGTCAGCTGGCAGGACCCTGTGGAAGGATATATCGATAAGGCCCTTCTCCTGCTCGTCATCCTCTGAGTAGTAGTAGGCGAGACGCCTGCCTTTGAGAACGAACAATCGCGGCTTCCATGTTGTCATGAGGCCGTTGCTCTTTTTCTTCATCCAGCCGCTGTAATCTGCGTCCACCATCGCATCGCGCGGGCTAACCTTGAGCAATCCACGCGTGTATGCGCTTGTATCTTTCTTCCCCTTCTTCTTGTTACCGCGGCTGCCTACTGAGGTCATAGTGCCTGGACTCTTAGAGATGTCAGGAGAGTCTAGCTCGAAGCTCGGCCCAACTGAGGGCGTGCTGGACCCTGTTCTAGATGGAGACTGCATTGGCGAGTCCCTCAGCGGCGAGTCGAGAGCTGGTGCAATCTTGGCGCGTTCCTGGCCCGTCACCGCGTCCGATATGGCTCTCACCCCGGGTGCCTTCGGGGGCTTCTGCATGAGCTCGTTGGCCAGGGCCTGGCGGTGGGCTGGTGATACAGGCAGAGACGGCGAGGGGCGTAGGTTGTCAACAGATGCAGTATCCAGTTTCGTAACTGTCGGAGGGCTGTCTTTGGCTGGCACCGCAGGCCGCAAAGACTCGGTCGTGTTCGTCGAAAGGGTCCTCCTATGGCTCCCATTCGCAGCCGGCGCCGGCGCGCCGTAGTATTTCTGAGCTGCAACCGACAGGGGCTCGCCCCGTATCGAGCCGATGCTACCAAACCGGGAGTGGCGAGCCATGGTCGTCGCACTCCTGACCCTCTGCTCTTCGGTGTAGCTAGTATTGCGTGAGTGTGAAGCAGTGCTGTCGCGCTTCTTAAGCACGTTTCTGTTCCTGCTGCTGCCTTCTGCACTCGAGAAGTAGCCGCGGTCGAGGTCCACAGCAGAATCCTGCAGCTCGCTCTCGGGAGAGAGGAAGTTAGAGCCAGAGACCGGCCTGGTGACCGAAGCGCCTCCCAGCGTCCAGTTCCGGTCAAAGGACGGCTGTTTCTTATGTGTCGTCTCCTGCACAGGGAAAGTCCCGCTCGGCATCAATTTTGGCACAGGGCTAGCACTGCTGATGCTCATCCCTGGCAGCCGGAAATCCGTCGAGGAATGTCTCCTAGAGTGATGCAAATCGCGGATTGACGCAGCCGAGGGGCGCTTCTCATGGTTTGGGCGGGACGGGCTATCAAGGAGTGTTCTCGGTGACACGGGTGACCCTGGCATGCCCGCAGGCTCGAGCTTGGGCGTCGTTGCAACTGACCTTCGTTTTTGTTGCGACATGGGCCGGTCGTCGATCGGGGGAAGCCTGCTTATAGAGGTGATGGTGTTGTTGCGACTCCTAGTCCGCCTGCCAACATCTGACCCTGCGTCACTGCCGTAGGTCTGGGTGGTTGGGCGTGTGAAGATGCCATTGACCTCGTCCTGCAGCGCCTTGACCTTCTGCCAGGTCTTCAGCCTCCGACCGACGGAGCCGAGGTCGAAGGCCTTGATGAAGAGCGACGTTTGATCCATACCCAAAAGCACCTCTCCAGTGATCTCCTGGTCCCGGAATACCTCGCAGTGGTGTTTCTCGACACCCGAGGTGAAGAGATACTCCGCAACCTCGTCCGGTGTCCAGGACTCGACCTCGGAGCGAGAGTGTGCACCTTCCTCCTCCTCGTCTGTCTCCTCACCTGCTATGTAAGAGAGACGATGGTCTATATTCGAGCTGTATTCGCTTCCAGAGTCGTTGGCGTGCCGCGAGACACTGCCATGTCTTGGGGTGGATCGGAGGTCGTCGATATGCTCGTCAATGACGTTGAGGGTCTCGTGCAGCACGCGGTTGTCCTGGCTCTGATTAAGGCGCGTGAACGATCCTATACCGGCCGAGACTGGGGGGCTCTTGGACGGGATGGCGGCTGTGTTGGGCGCACTGTAGGAAGCCAACGGCAGCGTCACCGGAGTGCTCTCGGGCCTCAGCTCAGGCGGCGGCGATAGTACAGACTGTGCTGGCTCGACTGCTGGGGCAGCTGGCTGGGGCGGCGATTTGACCTGCACCGGAGTAGGGGCCTCGACAGGCTCAGCAGGCGGGTCCTGTGGTTGTGAGGCAGGCGTCGCAGCCGGGCTTGCAGCGGGCTTGAGGGCGGCGGTGCTATTACTGGGGGCCGGACGAGTGTATACTGGAGCAGGCCCCGGTGGTCAGCAACAGCCAACAATGGGGCGATAAGCAGCAACAGCGAACGGTGAGCGATGCGGGGCCAGGTGATATGGGCAAGGACACTGTTGACGGTGACCAACAGCAGCAACCCGCACCCATGTCTTCCTTGCCCAGGCAGGGCAAGGGAAGGGGCGGCGCGACCAAGGCAGAAGGGCCGAACGTACCTTCTGGGAACAGACCACTGTTGCCGTTGACCAGGTGTTTGCCCAGGAACCAGCCATCGCCAAACTCGTCGTCCCTCTCTACCAGTTCGACGCGGTCACCCTTTGCCAGGGTCAGCTCATCGGAGCTTCGGGCAGTGAAGTCATCTGCAAGCGGTGCGCATCAGATAAGTTAGCCCACGGAAATTGAGCCGTCCTGTCAATCAGTCGCGCAGCCCGGGTGGCGGTAGGCGAGACGAGGGGGGAAGTCGACCGAGGTCGAGGGGGCAGGGCGCGCCTCGCGTGGGCTCGCTTGGTGCGCTTGGTGCGCGCGGGCAATTCCCGGTGGGCAACACTGACCAAGGCCCCCTCTCTCGACCCCAGAGCCGAAACCCACAGCTCATCTCATGACAGATTGGGATGGTTTGTTGGGGACAAGATGGTCAGAGGGTCAGAGGGGCCAGCACTTACGGATGACGAGCAGGATATCGCCCACCTCGGGCCTTGCCGCCGATGTCGCCATCGTGGATGCGCAGCGCGTTGTCGGGCCCTCTGAAGGGGATTCGCCTCAGCCTCCCTGGGTCAAGTCGTCGTCGGGGGCTCGCGCTGGCGCTCTGGAACAGGGGGTTGCGGATCAAGGGTCCGTGGCCACTCGAAGGCGTCAGTGGCGGCAAGACATAGGGGTATTGTTGTTTGTTGTGTTGGTTGAAGATTGTTTGGAAACGAGGGGCGGGAACGAAGAGGGGTGGGAACGAGAGGGACGCGACGGCTGTGGCTGTGGCTGGAAAAGGGTTGTTCGGCGCCGGGGGGTTGAGGGAAGAAATGGGGCGGGACGGAGGTTGATGATGTGATGCGATGATGGGATGGGCTCGGCTTGGAGTTTGGGGGTCAGTCGTCGAGGTCAGGTCGTCCGAAGACCAGGCCACAGGGGTGGCTTGGTTACTAGCGGGCAGAACGGATGGGTAGGTATGTCTGTCTGTCTGTCTTTCTGTCTTTCTGCTGGCGACAAAAAAGTAGTGGAGGGAATCGGTGGCCAAGGGGGAAAGAGGCACGAGCCTGGCTGGCTGGCTAGCTGGCTGGCTGGCTGGCTGGTGGCTTTGACGGTAGACCAGGCCGTAATAATCTCAGAGAGATTGGGATCCCTGAAAATGGGGATCTTCGACTTGGAGTCTAGCTGCAGCTGCAGTTGCAGTCGCAGGTGCAGTTGCAGCGGCAGCGGTTGGGGGCGAGCCGACTCAAGCCCGAAAGTTGAGGACCTCGCCAGGAATGGAGTCTTGCCTGGCGAGGGCAGAAATAGAATAACAGAATGCCACAAGAGGAACAGAGGAGACGAAAAGAAGAAGAAAAAAAAGGGCCGTGATGAGCTAGGACGAGCAGAGGCCAAGCTTGGCCCCCCTTTGAGTGCAAGAATAGGAGCAGCAGGAGGATGGATTCGCGTGCCGCAGCTCAGACCAGACAGACGGGTGATTATCCCATGGGGCTGTTGACGGCCCAGGCGGGATGCTATGCGGCAGCGGTGCGGGTACTGGGTACGCAACGCAATTCTTGACGCTGGGACAACAAAAGTTCCCACTCTTTTTCTTTTCTCTTCCAGGCCTTTCCTTTACTACTACTACCAGTCACACAAGCACACGCACGCACACGTCAAGTCGGTCAGTCTGCTGCCCGCCTGTCTGTATACGCACATGCACTACGCCTTCGTCCGAACTTTGTCTCTATCCCCGCCCCCTGTAAATTGCGGCTGGTCCACCGGCTCTGGCTGTCCAACAGCACAGTCATCCTAACAGCCTGACAGCCTGACTGACCGACCGACTGACGGACTGACGGAGACAAGACGGCCGCACGCCTGCAATCGCCACCCGCCCCGCCCGGCAGCGCAGACCACACCAGACCAGAAGAGACCAGGCGGACCAGGGTGGCACCTGGACTGCCTGAACTGCCTACCAGATCGAGGTAGTCGATCCACCGAGTCGGTGTTCACTGACAGCCTACTGGCAGACCACCCAGGCAGTACATGCAGCTTGGTGGTAAGAATGCAGGCAATGCTCCGCTGGACGGAACGAGCAATCCGTCTTGACTGAGGGAGCACGAGGGAGCCGTTATTTTAGGCGAGGTCGGCATTAGCGTGTCCCCTTCTCGATGCATGTGAGGCGGGCCTTGCAGGGTCCCAAGGGTCTTCTGAGATGGCAGTTGGACGCATTCGTCAATCAATAGTGCTTTACCCGTCGTATTAATTGGGATGGGCCAAGGTAACCTGGTGGTAATGCTATCGCTGTGTGTGATGTGCTTCTATCTGAGACCAGCGTGACACCTCTCACAGATGCACCGTTTCTTGTCGGACCTCACCCGAGGCTGGCTGATATTTCTACCTCTCTGCCTCTCGATACGTGATCGGGACCAGAGAATCAGATCAACAAGGCCTAGATCGGACAGCTAGCACGCTCCCGGCAGCCCCAGCAGCCGCCCAGCAAGGATGAAGGAGTGCATCTGGCTGGGGAGACCCTGACCTTTATTTAGAAAGAGGAAACCAGATGGCAGGGCCCAGAGCATGGGCCCCAGCGATCCTACGGGTACAGCTTCAACGCTGCACTCACCCTCACTCATCAACCTGAGGGCTGCGCAATCACAACAAATAAGAAAGGGGCACTAATGTCGTACCCAGCGCAGCAGGGTGCCGGATGCCCCCCAGGGTTGTCAAGTGAGATGAGGTAGATGCTGTGTCACCCGCCCACGGGAGCACGGCAGCGACCTGGATGCTTTGGCGAGCAAAAAGTAAATTTCTCTAGCGACTCGGTGAACTGACATCACCGCCAAGTGCTCACGGGTTCTCTCACGGGCTGACGGGCTGGCGGGCTCCAGGGAGGGTTGCAGCCCGGACCGGCTCGAAGATTTCAATACTCGGCGTCTTGTGTGTCCTGTGTCCTGGGCAGTGGCGCTGGCTAGGGCTCAGAGACGATATCTACCATACTATCTTATTAATGCATAATGTAAATACGCCAAACAACCAACTCGCACCAAACCACCAGTCGACTTCTTAGGTCTGTGTAGGTGGATGGTGGCCTATGATGGACGAGGAACCTTGTTGATGCCTGCACTTGACCCCAGAGTCTTGGCAGCACCCTCTCCAAAAGATGCCGAGGCATCTCTGATAGCCGCAGCGCGAACACGACTCCAACCCGAGAACCCACCAACGTGCTTCACGCCTCCAAACAGCTCTGAACATGGACAATCTATAAGCCAACGGAGCTCACTCACAGACCAGTAGCCTCTTACAACCCACACGCAGATACTCAGTCCTGAAACTAGCCGCACACGGCACACGGCACACGGCACACGCCGCACGACACACAGCATCGCAGCCATGGCCGGCCAGCAAGCCAAGCCCCTGGAGGGCTACAGCAAGTATGAACACTTCAACATAACGAGCCCGGCCGCCTTTGTCGCCCACGTCGAGATCAACCGCCCGCGCAAGCTCAACTCGTTCATCGAGGCCATGTGGCTCGAGCTGCGCTCCATCTTCAACCAGCTGTCCGTCGACCCCGAGGTCCGCGCCATCCTGCTCACCGGCGCCGGCGACCGTGCCTTTACCTCGGGCCTGGACGTCCAGGCCGCTTCCGAGAGCGACTCAGCCCTCCAGGGCGCCAACAGCGGGGTCGATGGCGCCAGGGCCGCCACCAAGATGCGCCGCCACATCTACGAGTTCCAGGAGTGCATCACCGCCGTGGAGAAGTGCGAGAAGCGTGAGTCTACTACGAAATGCCCAGATATCGGGACAAGAAAGCAAAAGGCTGAGCCGCACCGCACCCCTAGCTGTAATCTGCGTCCTCCACGGCATATCGATCGGCCTGGCCATCGACCTGTCCTGCTGCGCCGACGTGCGGCTCTGCGCCGCCGACACGCGCCTGGCCGTCAAGGAGGTCGACATCGGGCTGGCGGCGGACATTGGCACGCTGTCGAGGCTGCCCAAGGCGGTGGGGTCCATCTCGTGGGTCAAGGACGTGTGCCTGTCGGCGCGCTTCTTCGACGCCGCCGAGGCGCTGCGGGTCGGCTACGTGAGCGAGGTCCACGAGAACAAGGCCAAGGCCGTCGCCGCGGGCCTGGAGAGGGCCGTCCTCATCGCCGGGAAGAGCCCGGTCGCCGTGCAGGGCACAAAGGAGCTGCTCAATCACGCCCGGGATCACACTGTGGAAGACAGTAGGTTCTATTCTTGCTTGCCCCCCTAGCCCCTGCCCTGTTCTGCTTTGGACAGGTCCAACTGACGTCTTGCTTTTGCAGGTCTGCGGCATACCGCTGTCTGGAACTCGGCTATGCTCCAGTCGAGCGACGTCTCCTCGGCGCTCCTGTCTGGGATACAGAAGAGGAGGCCGACGTTCGAGAAGCTATAGACATAGACCCTTGCAGGTCGGTCCCCCGAGGACTTGTAAATACCTCCATGGGCCTGACTCCTGACTATTGTGCCAGCGTGCCCTCGTGAACGTCTTGTGCTCAGCCATCAATACCATGCCAGATAGATAGCGCAGGCAGCGCGTGAGTTGCAGGCCAAGTGTGTCTGCCCATAGGTACTCGTACAGTGTTAATCAGGCGCTGGATGCATTCAGCAGGAAAAGGGCGTGGTGTTGTAATCCGCAAGCCGACCGCGTGGGAGCGCATCACTCGGAGCCAGACTCGTCGCCTCCATGCTGCTGGGTCGTCTCCCTCAGGCGGTCCTCGAGCGCCTGCTTGAGCTTCTGCAACATCGTCTCCTTGATCACCACATGCTCGTCATCGAGGTCATCAATAATGTACTCGTGGCCGCTCTTGGTGTCAATGTTGACGATGATGGACTTGATCGACGGGTCGCACTCGACCAGGACACCTGTAGAAGGGGGCGCGTCAGCTTCATCTCTTGTCTCGTTTTGGGGCGGCGGGAGGTGCCAGGGAAACTTGCCTCTAATGGCCCGTGCCGGCATGGCTGTGATTTGTCAATGGCCACCGAAACAATTCTTGTGCGATCGGAAGTTCAGGATGTCGTGGCGGGTGCGAGTTACTGGGAGCTCAGTCGGGCTTCTTTGATGACGCCGAGGTTGGCTCTGATTAGATTGAATCCACGTTAGAGCGACTCGGTTAAAGGGATCTGCTCCTAGGGCCGTGGACCCCTGCAGGCTGTGGCCTGTGCGCCCCAGGGCACTGTGCAGGGGCCAGAAGCTTATTTGGTGGGCTGCGTTTTTGACGACCGCATTCAACTCGGGTCGACTCTTTTTCTCAACTGCGTCCTTGGTCAAAATCAGGGTACTTTTGCGTACCCAAAGCCCTGACATATGCCTTTCCTTAATTCTAAAATATTGGGTTCACATTTTCAACCCATTAAAATCTGGAGTCTTCAGGTTTAGAGGCCTTACTTAGGTGTCTGCTTATTGTAGCGTACCACGCAGGTACCTGGTATTTAGGTATTGTAATTGCCTTCCATGAAATTACCCCATTTCGAAATTGTTCCTAGGGTACAATGAGATTGGTAGAATCTTATGGAAAAACCTCCTATGTCACAGCTTCCTATGGTAAAAGGAGAGGTGAAGAGTGAAACGCCTGATGAGATGATCTGCGGGTGATAGAGTCTGGTTCATGACCCTTTTGAGCCTACATTACACGACTTTAAGCCATCGGCCAATGACAAATTTACATTTGGTATGGTTACAAATACTGCTGTCGCATGATGCGGCTGGTAACGGCGGTACTTGACTCTATAATCTTCAATGGATGCTTCAGGTCACGAACCAAGTTTATCTACTCCTCGAAATCGCCTGCTATGTGCTTCATCCATCTCCTTCTTGCCTTGGTGTCCCCCCACTTCGGGCTCCCTTGCTGCTGCTGGGCACCGTCCACTGTAGCAAAACTTTTGCTGCGCAAAGACAGGGATCGAACCCAAGGCTTCGAGCCCCATACCTCTCCTTACAGGGGTCAAAAGAAAAGGCAATTCCAAGTACTCGTAGTGTAAGTAAACACGGCCGCACTCTGCGACACGTTCTGCTCGGACAAAATACCACCGTACTAGCGTAAGGAACAGAGTCGCGGACACTTCAGGTTCGAGCCACTATAGTGTCGTCTCCCTGGCATGTACTTCTTTTTTTGTTTCCCCCTTCCTGGCATTCTTGCCGCATTTCTTCGTGTCAGGCCCTGCTTGGCACGTACGTGCTGGAAGTGAGCCTTCCCGTGTGAATCTCATCTTATGGATTGTAAGTCATAAGATCTTGATTTGTATCCTTCTATGCGGGCCGGCCTTGAGATAGCATAGCCCCCCACCCCCCGCGTGAAAATGAAGCTCACCACCCTCATCGCCACCTTCCACAACCTCTGCCCTCACAATGCCTCTTCCTGACGGCACATATGGTCGTGTCAATCTCCGAGGTTTTCTGCCGCCAACTGACCCGTACTGGTTGACACTTCCGACTGCAATGTACCATGGGGCTGCTACAAGCGGGACGTCGATGCTACGGACTGCAGTTATTAGAGGACCTGTTGGCCGCCTGGAGAATTATCTGGCCATGTGATGGAGGTGAGGATACTCTGGACGTCATTCATGGCTGAAGCAGACTGGCCAAAAGCACGCGAGGCTCCTGAAGGAAAAGACTTATAACATGACTGTAGCTTATAGCCTGTCAATGTATTGGAATAGTATACTGTCATGGGTCTTCTCTCAGTACAAAATAGAGGCCATTCCTCACTTGGGCAGCTCAGGGCTGTCACCAAAGCATTTGGCCAGCAAGAAAGGTGGGTACCGCTCGCCCTTGCCACCACCAACCTTCTCGATCTCAGCTCTGATCTCAGCCACCTCCTCCGGGGTCAGCTTGACATCAATAGCCCCTGCGTTCTCCTCGAGGTACTTGACGCGCTTCGTGCCCGGGATGGGGATGAAATCCTCACCCTGCGCCAGCACCCACGCCAGCGACAGCTGGCCCGGCGTGACGCCCTTCGCCTTCGCGATCCCGGCCAGCGTCTCCACCAGCTTGAGGTTCTCGGGGAAGTTCGTCTCGGAGAACCGCGGGTGGTTCCAGCGCGAGTCGGTCTCTTCGATGTCTTTGCGGCTCTTGATGGTCCCCGTCAGGAAGCCGCGGCCCAGGGGCGAGTAGGCGACGATCTTGACGCCGAGCTCGCGCGCGGTGCGCAGGAAGTCGGTCTGCTCCGACTCGATCTCCAGGGCGAAGGGCGAGTACTCCATCTGCACTGCGGCGATGGGGTGCACGGCGTGGGCACGGCGCAGCGTCCGGGCGGAGCACTCCGACAGGCCCAGGTACCTGATCTTGCCCTCGGCCTTGAGCTCTGCCATCGCCTTGACTGTCTCCTCGATGGGCGTCTTATCATCCACACGGTGCTGATCTGGTCGGCTGTTAGCTTACATGCCGTAATGGAATGCCCTATAGTGGGTGGGGACAGAGCTAGTGATGACTCACAGTAAAGATCAATCTGGTCAACACCCAGGCGCTCGAGGGATGCCGCGCACGCCTCCTTCACGTAGGGGGCGTCACCGCGCACCACAAAGGTGCCGCTCGGGTCTATGTAGTTGGCGAACTTGGTGGCCAGGAAGATCTCCTTGCGCCGTCCCGTCTCCTTGAACCACTTGCCGAGTAGCTTCTCGTTGGTGTGGGGCCCGTAGACATCGCTCGTGTCCCAGAAGGTCAGACCGAGGTCAGCAGAGCGAGTGAGCACGTTCAGAGACTCCTTGTCGTCGTAGCCGCCGAAGGAGGTGTACCCGAATGACATTCCCATACAGCCTAGGCCAATGGCCGAGACATCATCGTCCCCAATCTTGCGGGTTGGGAAGGGCATGTTGGCGGGATGGATCTTGTCTTATTATTTCTATGAGGTCAAGTTGAGATTGGACTTGGTGAGAGACGTTTGCCAAGAGCTAGTGTGGTTGTTTATATAATTTTCGAATCTACACATCCCCTCTAGCGATGGCGTGGGCGCTGATCCTTGAAGAGGGCCTTTGGCGGAGTTACCAGTTGACAGGGACCTTACTGCCGAAAGGGCGCGGGGATAGTTGCAATCCATGGTTGTACACCTATACCTAAAACCGGCACATGAATCTTATCGCCGGAGAGCCCTAACCCTGCTGGTAGATACGGAACCAGATCAGGAGGACTCAGAAAGTGATAAGCAGTGTGATGTTTATGACAGAAGTTTGACGATGGTGTGCTTTGGTCGGGGTGTCATGTTGCCAGGCAAGGGGTGGGCCGTCTCTCACTCAAAACGCCAGGCAAAAGCGGGATGGCCTCACAGTGTCCTGGCACTGTCCAAGGATACGGTAGCCTAGCATGGTGAAAGGCGGTTTGGCAGAGGCAAATGATTCTGATTAGAGACGAAGGCAGGATATCTAGGTAATGCTCTCGAGGGCTCCGCTCGCGATAAGGACTTGAAAGAAAAAGAAAAAGGACGGCCAGACAGCCTTCCTATGAGAAAACCACAGTCGGGAAGCAGATCTCCCTCGTCGTCGCCTTGTGTGTTCCGGCGTGGTCCTCAAGTTGCCTGGGGTTGTCCTTGACCATCTCCTTGCGGCAATTGGTGCACTGCCACGAAACATTAGCTGTCGGTCGATGCGGCGCGAGTGAGAGGGTGGGAGGGGGCCAAGAGCCCGCTCTCAACGCACAATGACAGTCTCCTTCTTCGGCTTGACGGGGAGACCATTGGCCTTGACCGGGGCACGAGTACCGGCGAGTTCGGCCTTCTTGTGCTCGCGTTGGATCTGCAAAGGTCAGCCTTGGGGCGCCGGGGGAGAGCACAAGCAGCAGCGAGGCTGGTTTCAGGAAGGTGTATGAACCTTCATCTTCTTGGAGACAGGCATGGTGAGATCGGGTTGCCTAACGGGCTCGAATTGACTGATGACTGAGTGGCCTTGGGTTTTGGTCGTCGAGCTGTGATGTGAAGAGAGTGTAGATTGCGAATAGTGAACAAGAGGCTGAGGTGATGAGGGGACGAGGAAAGGGTGTATGAGGGATTGTTTTAAGGGTCCAGTTCGGCGCGTCTCGTCACGCGAGATAGAAGAAAAAATCACTTTACAAGCCGCAGAGGGAAGGCGGTGTGCCGCGACTTAGACTACACAGTACACAGGACCTCCTCGTTCTGGAAGGCCGACCCGCTTTTTAATGGAACCGCTCTGGGAAAGGGTCTGGAGAACTATCGTCTCCTTCCAACATCTTCACTCGTTCTGTATGCTCACCTTGCGATTAATATTCCTGCCCGCATCCTGCCCGCATGGGCTGTTTTAATCTCAATATTCTTTATTCAATCCAACGGACAACGCTACCTTCGAGCTGTAGATTGGTATCTCTGCCTTTGCACCACCAAAATTACTCCCGCGAACCTCATGTCATGTATGTAAGTATACACCCTTAACAAAGATGAGCCAAACATTTACTCGGGCATGCCCTCGAAAGGCTTGGCCAGCGACTCCGTCATGAACGGCAGCTTGGACTTGGTCCAGATCTCCGTGTCCGGCTTCAGCGTCTTCTTGATCTCAGTGTCGAGGGTGCCCGCCTTGAGGGCGATGATTTCGGGCGCCGCATCGGGGTCGTGGGCGATTGGAGAGCCGCACTCGGAGCAGAAGATGCGGTGCACGTCCTTGCCAGACGAACCCTTACCGGCCCATGACTTGGTCGGCCCGTTGATCGTGAGCTTGTCCTTGGGGACAACGGCGACTAGGGCTACGAGAGAGAAATTGCCCGTTAGCATCAGAACTGATCTCGCCATGTTCTGCTCAAGCCATGCCCGGCGATCAAGCACCAGCAGTGCTCATTCCCACACTGCGGTCCTTCCCCATGTCGCTGGCCCCTCGACTGTTGAGGGGCCCGCACGGTGGGTCCATGACCCTAGGGCGGGGCTTCCGCCTAAGCGCAGGGGTCGCGTGAGAGCTTTGCCGCCATCCGCAGCGTTGAGACTTGCGGGGGTGGGGGCCACCCCGATTCCCGCCCCGCGATGACGACGACCAAGACTCACAAGCTCCCGTTGCCGGATCTCGCCAGGTCAAGGGCCTCCAGGGTGTCGCAGAAGTACTGTATGATCGGACGTGAAGGTGCACACTTACAATAAGTCGAGCCAGATTGTCTTTGGCAGTCGTCGCAGTGGTCGTAACCAGTGATCAGGGGCTGGTCAATGTCGACCGTGTAGGTGACGGCCTTGCAGAGACAGTGACCCTTGAGAACCATGTTGATAAGATGTGCTGTCTGGCAAAAGATTACTGGTAGAAGTGTACAGAAGCTGGGTATGAGGTAGATTGATAGCAGGGGGCTTGCGGAGAACTCAATTATGGTGAAAGACAATGAACATATTCTAACCTCAAGGACGTGGGAAGCTTCCTCGCTATATATGCCCTTCTCACCCTCGGGTTCGTAGAGAGAGCTGTGGCAGGCGACCCGAATCGGAGGGGTTTTGTCAGTAGTAGTTTGACGCAAGAACCTTGCCGCTGTCACCCGGGCCTGAGGATACGCTATACCTGTTGGCCGACGCTATGATGAAAGCACTTCGCAGTAATGTGGGCCGGCGCGTTTCTGATTTGCATTTCCCATCCTCTGCCCAGTTAGGCAGGCTGGCAGGCTGGCAGGCAGACAGGGAGGGAAGCTGAGCATGCCTTTCGCTAAAGGGCCTTGATACATGCACCGTGGTTCACCGAAGCGGCGACAATTTGATAATTCTTGTGAACCCCCCACCCCGCCAGGACCGGCCCAGCTTGGGCCTTGCATGCGCATCGAGTGGGAGGAGATTAGCCACCACCCTGTGCTGCCATCCCGCAGAAACATTTTGGGCTGATGGCACCCAGTATGACGAGGAACTCTGTCTGCAACCCCGTCTGATATGCCCTGGGTCGGAGGAGGGGGGAGGAGGGGCGGGCGCCCAGCGCCGCATTAGCTTCTGCCCGCCAAGCCCATCGTCTCGCAGCAGCTTTGTTCTGCAGCACTTGGTTTTGCAGGTTGGATCCTGGTCTTAACAGATTGGATGCACTGCGGATCACACCTAGATCACAAGGGCGGGCCGTGGAGCCATGGCAGGGCCCAATGTTGTTTCGCCCTATCTTTGAGCGCCTGAACTGAGATGTCGACTGGACTGCCGGGAAGGTGCTGCTGGCCCGGCTCTATTTGTCAGGTAATTCGACCTGTAAACAAATCCTGGAGGAATGCGACTGCGAAAGCCTGGTCCGATACGCACCCTGGCTGCGAAGCTAAGATAGGTAGGATGCGGGCTGACCCACTGTCTGCAATGGATATTTGGAATTGGGATATTTGATAGTATCGGCTGTCAGAACTGATTAGGTGGGGAAACTTTCCGAATCAAGCTTTTATTCCTTTTGCTCACAAACTCAACGCCCAGCGAATGAGGGCTGTGCAGTCTTTCCTGTTTGGGCATCTGAGTTGCCACAACACCTGCAGACAACCATCTCGTCGAATCTGTTTTAACGTCATCCCCTAGTGAGGCTGCCCTGACCGGTGGCTTCACGACGTGTAGTCTGTCTGACAAAGCAGGTGCAAGCTCATATGTAGTCGCTGATTTGAGACACTGCGCGCTGCTAGGAACTGCAATGTAGATCGCACGGGCAGCTTTTGGCGATCCCAGTCGTGCAACACGACATGCACCCAGCATCTAGGAGACTGGCAAGGCGTAAGGAGATAGTCGGGAGTCTTGGGTGCGCTCCGCCAGTCCCGGGCATCCCGGGTTCGATAAATAACAGGTGTCTCTGCGCCTGCGTCACCTCGCCTATTCATACCCACATATCCACAGCGCCGCGGCGAACCCAAACATGCGTGTCTTGTCCTCCAGTGCGAAGGTCGCAGTCCAGGCCAGCCACGTCCTCAGCACAATCAGAGCCGCGTCGATAAGCAACATGCTCCCGAAGGTCAACCGGTGAGCCACGAAAATCTTGAGTACTAGATTTCTGTACCGTTTTCGCATGTCCGTGTCCTCTTGCTGAAGAATAAAGGCGTCCATAGACGAGATCCGAAAGTCGCGTATGTCCACCGCAGTAGTAGGCGGGGATTCTCGCAGGTTTTGGCTTGATGTCAATGGCCGGACAATCGTTTCCGGTCGTTGCCTCAAGTACCGAATGGCCTCGAAAAGGGCGTAGTCTATAGGGCCCCTCGCCTCCAGCACCGGAGCAGGCTTCTTAAACAATATTTTCGGCAGGATTTCCGGGCGTGACACCCAGATTGTGCAGCTCTCGCGCAGTTCGGAGAAGAGGGCCTCCAGGTCGTGTGCGTAAAACACGAATCTAGTGTAGAATACAGGCGTCAGGACTTTGAATTCCACCTCGTCAATATCTGCGTCCGTTTTGTCTTTGGCGGCAGGGGAGAGCATCAGCTCCCTGCCAGACTCGCCCAGCCCACCTGGGACATATTTGAGGGCGACAGGAGCTTGACACTGCTCGACGAGGCTCCGTAGGTATTTCCGAAACATGAGCTCCAGCTTCTGTTCGGCAAAGTCCGCGTTGCGTCCCATGCTCTCTCTCAAGGGCTCAGGCCTATACCATACGTGGAGCTTCCTCTGGAACCAGAGACGGCCGGCTTCCCTCACAATCCTGGGGAAGGTGACAAATCCCACCCACCACCAAGACAGTAGGAAGCGCCATTTTTGTGTGATGGTCATAGTCGAAGGATCAATTGGCTGGCCATTTGAGACAAGTCGTGCAACGATCTTTCCGTGGCTCTTGGACGACTTCAAAGTTATGGTGTTATCAAGCAACTCTCGGCCTTCCGCCACGGACCTGAGGGGGTCAAATGCCTGAAGGCTGTAAGAGCCTTTTCTCGAGTTGAAAGGGGACACGTGGAAGTCCTTCGGCCACTCCTGCTTGAACACCGCAGGTATGCTCGGGTTCCGGGAATCTGCACGAGCAGACTCCGGCGAGCCTTCAACTTGGTTGCCTGTGTCTGCTTCTGTCGGCGTCAGAAAGTACATGCGCCGCTCATCGAAGGTGTTGTTGACTTCTATGACCAACGCCGCAAGTGACAAGTCCTCAGAGTACAGATACCAGAAGGAGGCTGGATTGAAGTGATATCCCAGGAACCTGGCAGCTGTTACGAGGTACGCATGGGGATAGGCCGATGGGTCGGCCCCCTGGAGGACCACGTCAATCATAAGTCGGGCAGGTTGCCTGGTTCATCGTAGGGAGCACCTACTTGTGTCCTGAGGTAGGCATCCAACTTGCCTCGCAAACCCAATTGCCTGTCTCCACGGTGAAGATAATCAGCGGGATCAACATGGAACCAGCCCCTCTGTAGTCTCGAAAACCACGACTGATCTGAAGAAGACACGGAGACCATCCCTCCCGAGACTCCTTCCCAGCCAACGGGAATGCCAACGACCAGGTAAGAGTAGACGAAGGAATGATGCTTTGGGAAGAGCCTTGAGTGGGTAGTTTTACCGGGGAAGAGCAGAACTCTTCCATGGCCATTCCATTTCGCAGGAGTGCTCGTGGCAAGCAGGCGCCGGGCCAGATGAAAGATGACAAGCGTGCTCAAGGCATAACGGATGGCAGTTCGGGCCAGACCGAGCAGCCAGGCCTGCGAGTTATCTGGCAACCATTCGAACGCGACGAAGAGGGTGAACAAGACCTGTTTGGTACGTTGTGAGTCCCACCCGAGGGCATGGACGAGAGCGGTGGCAGCGGCACATGAGAGCCACTGCGGTAGACCGCGACTCATGTCCAGGTCCAGACGAGAGGCAGGTCACGAGACGGGAAAGCACCGATGGGATTACCAATGCATCGAACTCAATCGCAGAACCAACAGTATGCAGAAAGTGAGATGCAGGCTGGAAAGCTTGGCCGCGGGATGCCCGAGTGGTGGTGAAGGTGGGTGGCAGGCTTGTGAGTGAGTGACGAATTACACGTTGACTTTGGTCAACAAACCGCTGTCTCAGAAAAACAAAGCAGAGCCCCCCCCTGGTTAAATGACCCCTGTCCCTCAGTTAAACCTCTCTTTTAAAAATAATCTTTTTTTATATAACTTTCTTAATACTTAACTTAAAAATATATAAAAAATATATTTATAATCCTTATTAAAATCTCTATATAGTAATATTTTTAGAATATTTATTATTAAGTTTTTATTATAAGAAGTATAAAGACTATTTAGGTTAATAAGATAAGGAAATATATAAACCTTTTATAAATAATTAGCCTTTATACTTTCTATAATAAAAGCTTAATAATAAATATTCTAAAAATATTATTATATAAAGATTTTAATAAGGATTATAAATATATTTTTTATATATTTTTAAGTTAAGTATTAAGAAAGTTATATAAAAAAAGACTATTTTTAAAAGAGAGGTTTAACTGAGGGACAGGGGTCATTTAACCAGGGGGGGGCTCTGCTTCGTTTTTCTGAGACAGCGGCAGGTCCGAACTGCTGAGACTCGGCCGATGTCTTACCGGGATTTCTTGCCACACAAAGGCCACCACCTACGAGTCCCACGGTTGGCAGGGACGTATTCTGGTCTGGTCTTGCTGGTGGCCTTCACCGTCAACGCCTTTGTTAGGGAGACTACTGTGTACGCCATCCAGTGGCTTGTGATCTATGACCTCGTAGGCCAGACCAATGCCCATGCTAAGCTGTGATGGGGAAATTATGTCCCATTCCAACCGTGCGAGCTTGGCTCGGGTGTCCGCTACCAACAAGCCACGCAGCCTACTGCCTTCCCACCGCCTGCGGGACAACCTCCAAAATAACATTTGAAGGGACAGCAACCTCCTAAGCAAGCATAGGACAAACCCTAGAACAGGGGCTCTAGTATGACATGATACAACTTTTTGTCGGGTTGGTAGTATCAGGGTAATATCATGTGATAGAGAGCATAGATGAGGATAGTTGGGCAAAATAATGTGAAGGTGCCTGCCTGCCTGCCTGGCCAAATGCACACAGCCGCAGCCGGGAGGTCGGGCTGTCGGGAGGTTGGGGCCCACACATCGCTCAGCTACTGCTACTACACTAACACTTGCATGAGGCTACAGAGCGGTTGTTCGTTAGTACGCCGTAACTCCCCCTGCCTCCGCAGTTGGTGCTAGTCGAGAGGGCTGAGAGGCCAACGCTACAAAGGGCCCATTTATCAGTCGCCGGGCTGACTGCTTCGCCGGTAATGACTGCATCTTCTGTCATCCATGGTGTTCCATTGCCAAATATTTAACCTCAATCACTTCACTTACCGCAAAACAACCACCCACCCAACCCTCTGGTAACATCACAACGTCATCAACACTCCTTTACCTCTCCACTTCACCGACACAAACATTACCCCACGAATCCCACTCCTAACCCTCTTGACAAATTCACTTTGTGCCTGACGACAGCCCAACCGCCTGTCTGATATCATAACCCCGCCAATCCCCTACCAGGCAGCGGCGAGAGACTACACGCGACAGCGAACGCATCAATACGTCGGCAACCGCAACAGCCACATCAACAACAACAACAACCGTCAAGATGTCTGACTGGGACCAAGTCACCAAGATCGGCCGTTCCGTCCGTGGCGGCGTCGGCGAGCGCGAGACCGTCGTCAAGGGCAAAAGTGCCCTCAACGCCGCCATGCGCAGCGGAGCCGTCATCGGCAGCGAGAAGAAGTACGCCATCGGCAACGCAGTAAGTCCTCCCTTGTCTTCCCCTTCCCCCCCTCTTCCTGCCGGCCCTGCACATCCATCTATCTTGTCTCCGGGTCACATCCCCCCAGATCACGACGGGCAAGTTCTTCCTCTCTAACACGCACACGCTTGCAGGCCAAGTCAGGCGGCGAGGGCCAGCGCCTGACCAAGGTCGACCGCAGCGACGACATCGTCAAGCCCAAGACGGTGGGCCCCAAGGTCGCCGAGGCCATCAAGGCGGCGCGCAACGCCCAGACGCCCACCTTGACGCAGAAGGAGCTCGCCACCAAGTGCAACACGACCCCCACCGTCATCGCCGACTTCGAGCGGGGCACCGCCACCCCCGACCAGAAGGTCCTGGGTAACCTCGAGAGGGTCCTCAACGTCAAGCTGAGGGGCAGCGACATCGGGCAGCCCAAGTTCCCCAAGAAGGATGCCGCTAAGAAATAAATGTGGCAGTCGAAGGGGGTTTGCTTACGGGTTTGCCTAATCCATGTGGGGAGGCAGAGAAAAAAAAGCCTCACCGAAAACAAAGGACAGCGTTGATTAACAAAGTGGGAAAACATTGAGATACTGGAGGAGTGCCACCATTAAAGGCCGTTTTCTGGGTTGTCAGGCCGCTTGGCCAGGGACTGCCACGTCTTCATGTTGATGACAAAAAGTTCGGGGAGCTGGTCGGTTGCCTCTGATTTGGGGCCGGCCGGAGGGGCGTCGGGCCACCGATCGAGGACCAGGTCGCCCGTTCCTTGCACCCAATTTCCTATCCAACAGTGACACATTTAGAGTCGTCTATAGAGTCTGGGAATAGAATTTGATCGACATCAATTACTCGTTCTCGAGTATCTCTTGTGGCTCCCTACTGCCATTTGGAGAAGTTTGTACATGCAACCATGCCAATGTCCAACGAGCGACCATGTCCTATATCCAGCGGTGGACTCCCCGCAATGATTCCAGGCTTTGAATAACAATGCTGATTCCGATCAACTGACATACCCAACTCCTGATGCTTCCTTGAAATGAAACTCCCCTCAATGCCTAGAGTAGGCAAGCCAAAAAAGAAAAGCCCAGCAGATACAGTCCATTTTTCGGACGAGAAAAGAGCGCCCCAGCAACGCATGTAAACCACACATCGCACACCTCTCAGTTAGACAGCTTCTTGACTCTCTCCACCACCTCTCCAGAGCTCGGCGCCCGTCCCATCTGGACAACAACATTCTCCTTGCCGGCTATGACAACAATCTTTAGCCACTCGGGTGCGACCTCGCCCGCAAGAAGCCGGATACAAGCCGCGCCCTCCTCCTTCGAGATTGGCAGCCTCAGCGAGTCCTTCAACTTTTGTAGTAGCGTCACCATCCTGAAGGATACGCGCCCGCCCATGCCCATGCCTCCTGACGCCTTGGCCAGCATGGCAACCACGGCCGCAACGTCGTCGGCGCGCTGCAGCGCGGCACGGCGCTCAAGCTCGGCAGCGCTGGGTCCAGTGGCCGCAAGCTTGGCAAGGTGGGCTTCCTTGAGGCGGAGGCGGTCGATTAGGGACAGCTGTGGGGTGCCGGATGTGCCCTCTCCCTCTGCAGACTGCAGGACAATAGGCATCTTGCTGGCCGCCTTCTCTTCCTTCCTAGCCGCGATGCCGGCCTTCAGCTCCTGCATGTTGCGTTGCCCCTTGGCCAGCAAGGACGAGGCTTTTGTCAGGGCCTCGCAGCTTGTGACGGGGGCCTTTGGTAAGCCCAGGACAAATGCGTTCATGTCAGGGTTCGCCGAGTTCCCGAGTTTCGTCCACATCATCCGTAGGTTGTGCTCAAACGCGTGCACCAGACTGCCTTCGTCCAACGGCTGCCCGCGGTGCGCGTCCCGCAGCTCGACACAAATCTTCTTATTTCCGTAGTCGGCGAGGTAGAACGGCGACTTGATAGTGCTGGAATCGACATCCATTACGCCAACGCACCGACGGATATCAGCCAGAGAAATGCGTCTCTTGCCCCATGCCAGGCTGACAGGCTGGCTGATCTGGCGGAGGTCGACAGGCGTATTGGTGCCATTGTGCGCGTAGTGCACCACAATAGTCTTGAGGAACGCCGTGTAGAGCGAGACAATGTCAAAGAGCTCCTGGGGCAGAGCCTGCTCGGGCTCGGGCTCGGGCGTGGTAGCGGCGGTCGCATGGTCGCTGTTCTCGTCTTCTGTGTCTGGGATGACAGACGTCGCGGGCGTGCAAGCCTGGGTGATCAGGGGCGAGGACAGGCGAAAGACGCTCCTGGATGGAGAGGCCTGGATGCGCAGACGTTTGAAGAGGTTGCCTGCCTCCTTAGTGCGAGGGGACTCGATCTCGGGCGACAAGGCCCGCTTCTTGTTGCGGCGCGGAGTCGATGGGACCTGCTCTGGTTCTTGGTGACGAGCCTTCTTGGCAGATTTGCTGGTCGTGTTCAGGATCTGGCGCTGAGCCACTGGTGTCGTGGCTTCCTCTGGCTCGGGAGAACGGGCTGCCTTCCTCTTGCGCGTAGAGGGGGTGGCTGGCGTGCTCTGACTGATCTCAACAGTCTTGCTGACCGTCTTGCCGCCGAGCTCTTTCCCAATGGGCGCTGTAAGCTTCGACACGCGGGTGAAGGTGCCGATGGTAGCTGAGTCCGCCGGCGCGGGGGCAGCCACCTTGCGAGGTCGACCTCGAGGTCTTCCGGAAGTCGCTCCTGGCATTGTGACTGTGGGGTGTTGGCAATTTGCGCGCACAGGAGTATGGAGAAGGCAGGTGCGGATGACAGTCGTGATATCAGTGGGGTCAGACAAATGCAGTAATGTATCTCTCTCAATGGGAAGTTGCGAACAATTGGAAGGCACCTGGGTGAAGGTGGAAAGTCAACAAACATGAGCAATGGCAGTTGCATCTGGAGCTAGGGTAGGTATTTTGAGCGGGTACCTGCCCGCAGGTGGGCCGCGACGCGTCCTGGAGCCCACCTCAGACGCGCCACCACCGCGTTTGGCTAAATTGAATTTCAACTCAGGCTCAGACCACTTTGGCGCGACCGCCGACGCTAAAGTTTTCATTTACGGCTGGGATATCAATGGATGGACACCGCTCACCCGCCTCGGCCCGCCAGCGATCACAGGCAACGACAGCTTATAAGTCATTGCAACAAAAACCCGTGTCATAATCCATGCATGCTCAATCGGGATCTCTAAAAGCCATGAGCACCACACACATCTCTGTGGCTCAAGTCAAGATTGGTCGGGTGTCCCCTGCACGCTCACAAGTATCTTCCGCCACCCAAGCCCTCCCCCCCCCCAAAAACCGAATTTCCCAATGAGCAACCTCCCATGGGACAACCTCCTAGAGGATGACCTTTCATAAGACAACACACCAGAATGTATTTTTTATCTCTTGTTGAAGACGGAGTGGTGTTGTTTCCAGGTGTGATATTCTCTGGAGGGTCTGCCAAGAAGGGTCCTATTGTATGCAGGGCCCATCGCCTTGAATGCCCTACTCGGAATGGAAAGTCGTACTTGAATGACATTTCCCCGGTTATTTCACATGTACCCACACACATCCCTTCCGCGCCGACACACATGCATAACTTGAACTACCGTACCTATGGGGACTCCACGTCGTAGCACACGACACATCATCGCTGCTCGCACGACTCCTTCGGTCCAACGGCGGATGCTCGGTATGTCCCTGGACCTCGGAAGAGAGGCAAAGACGAGTGAGGGAAGCACCTGGGCATGGGGAAGCATGGGGGAGCAACGCATGGTCGCAAACGAGTAGCCCGCCCCAGGGAGTCAGCCCCCGTCCCTAATAATTCCGCACCTCGGGCGGTCGCGCCGCCCGGTTGGTTGCTCTCGGCCGGAGGCCCTGCCATGAACAAGCAAGCATGTGTGGTCGGCCCTTCCTGCGGTTTCAGGCGTCGCCTTATAACAGACCCCAGAGTCACTCACCACCTGGGCACCGCTGCCCACGTAAGGCACCACAGCCTGCCAGCATCCGGGTATCTCCCCTCCACTCGGCTGCTGGCTGCTGGCTGCCCACTTACCGCAGCATCCGTGTTACCGGCCTCCGCAGCCAAGAGGAGAGAGAGACGCGAGGGCACAAGGCAAACACTTCGTCTCTGCCAGCAGAGAACTTCGGTGGATCATGGATCACTTTTCGTGGGGGGGAGCAGGCCACTCCGGGCCCACGGGTGCTCCACAGCGGACCAGGGGACCCGGTGTAATTGTTCTGGACATTTTATCCATTTTCGTATCGACGGGACCCCAACTGTCCTGTCGTAAGCTCGCAACGCCTCGTGCGGCTTTGTCTGCTGTCTATAGTCTATGGACAGGCCTCTTCCAAGAGTCTCCGCCAGTGCCGCGATCGTGCAAGGGCTGTTGGTCCGTGGTCAGGAACATGAACCGTGGCACAGCCCTCGTCCCCCTTTCTCTCTGAACCGTAGCCGTAACCCTGATCGTCAACCCTTCTTCAATAAATCCACGAATGATTGACTGGCTGGCTCCCTTGTTGTCTCGTCATAATAAAAATACAGTCCGTCGAAATTGTCAATCCCTTCTTTTCCGTCCATGCCGTATTACGCCGAAACCCTCACCCCCTCGGGAGGAGAAAATGAAGAAAGACCAAATGAAGTAAACCCTTGACACGAATGCTGCTGGCCCATTGCTGCTCCTCCTTTTTGTTGCCGTGTGAAAGAGAAAGAGAAGGAGAAAATGTGAACCTCGAGAACTCCCGTCGAAATGAAGTAAAAAGACTTTGCACAGGAAAAGGGGTGGCCGAGGGTATGAGTGAACCACTTTTGCTGGATGTAGTACAGGGCAAGAGACAAGGCCTCTGGCAATCAGCGACGGGAGCTGGGCTTCTCATGGCGGAAGCTGACGGGGCTCGGCGGCGGAGGGGCGGGGACGTCCCACTCGCGCGGCGAGTAGTCGTAGCTTGGGGTAGGCGACGACTGGAGGTCCTTGGAAGACAGTGTCTTGGTCAGGCTGGCAAAGTCTTGGGAGGTGATGAGCTGGAGCCTCTCGCGCGAGGGCGAGACGGCAAGCGGCGAGGCGATGTGGCTAGGCATCTTGGTTGTGGGTTCTGATTTCCCGGGAATAGACTCTGGCTCAGATGTTGGAGGCGAGCGAGTATGTTTTTTTTGTTTCCTGTGAGGCAACAGATTAGCTACGGCCCGTTTTTATGCATCGCAAGTAATGGGGAGCGGGCTTACACTTTGGTAGTGAGTGAGTAAGTGACTGATACGATATGATGAATGTGTTTGGCGTCGGTGTGTGGGTGGTGACTGAAGGTGTCTAGATGGCTGGTGGGATGGATATGACCGTTTGACTGACTGTCTTTGTCTGGGACGGCCAAAGGTTGTCTGTTTTGTTCTTGACGGGACCAGGAAGGTTTGGGTTAGGAAACTAGAATCTGGGGAAGTGGGAGGAGGGCGAGGGAAGGGACGGGGTGAGGATTAAATAAATGCGGCAGCCACCGACTGACAGTAGTAGGTGCACCTCTGGGTATAATAGCGCCGGAAGTGAACGAGAAAAAAAAAATAAGGTACAGGGGTCTAGCGAGGTACCCAAGTAGAATTGCGCACTCCGTCCTCACGGAAGCACGTTGTCACTGCTTTCGGCTACGCAGCCTTGACAACTCGATGGGGGTGTGTGTGTGGTGCTGTGTGGGGGAAGGTACGGTGTTGGAGTATACCCCAGTCGGTACCTCTGGTACCTTGCCTCGCACCGAGGTGGCCGAGTGGTACCACCACGCCGGGCCTTCAACCTAGGCCACCATCCCACCCCCTTCTTCCTCTCCTTGTCATGACAGTTGGACAGGAACAGGATGTGCTATTCAAGGATTTCACTACAGCAGAAACAGCTGGGGAGAGGGAGAGACAAGGGGGCGAGTGGCAGGCTGCGTTGTCGGAGTGTGGGGGGGTCTCACACAGGCAACCGTCTGTCTTGTATTTTTTTTGTGGTCTGCCAGCAGTCTACAAGCCTACCAGCCTACCAGTCAGGTAGGCGATCCGGTTGGTGCTGGCTTGTTGGTCCAGTTCAATGCATGGAATGTTGTCGAGAGCGCCTGGAATCCACAAAGCATGAGACGGTTCCACATTAACATCGCACAGAACTACCGAGTGGAAGGTGCATGCATCGCCGCTTTGGGTGGAGAAATAGCCAGCCAGCCAGCCAGCCAGACAGCGAGTTGTCGGGAGATGGAAACACGCAGCTGGCCACACAAGGTGAGATTGGCATCCCTCGGTGCCCGGTGAAGCACTCGACATGCGTGCTACGGGGGCTTGGTTGAGAGGCAAGGGGAGCCCGTTCTGCCGTTCTGCCCGTGAGTGATACCAGGCCGAGGTGAGTGAAATCCTGCGCGCGCCCGGGCTTGCTCGGAGATTCTCTGATCTGCGCCTTCTCGTCCCTAGAATTCCAGGCCTCGGGTCACGGCAAGGGTGCCTGAGACCTGGGGAACTGTTTCGGTGTGGCCCAGGGCAAGCTGGCTGGCTGGCAAGGAAGAAAGTCCGTTGCGCAATCAATGCCATGCACGGCTGCACGGTACTGTGCATACACTCGGGCAATAATACCACCAGGCCCCAAAATTACGACAGGCGGCCGCATATGGACTGACTGGCAGGCTGGGCGAGGGAGTGGAAGGAGCCGGTTGGGTGCCGAAGGGGGAGGGAGGAAAAGGAGCAAGTGGCCCACGGATCAGGTCTCTCTGAGCCTCCTTGCTCCATTGGCCAACCAGCCAGCCCTGCCTGCCTGCCTATCCTGATGTTTTCTGTTTCTGTTTCTATCTATATTGCACACTGCATCTTGGCCCCCTTCCTCCCCCCCCCACCCAAGCTGACTTGATACTTGATCTATTTGTCTGCCCCCAATTTTAGCAGCCATGCAATCACCCCATCTGAGGTATATTCGTTTTGTTCCTTTTTTTTCCCTTTGTTCCGATGCGTCGACTCGGTGTAGGGAACACGTCACGGCCTGCCTGTAACTCTGCCGCGTAAAACGTGTGTTGGGATTCAGGCGCTCCAGATGCCAACCGGGGAGTCGCCCGGATCTTCCACCCGGCATTGACAGCGCCTTGCAATCTGGGACGAACCTTGGATCAGAAATGCCCACGCAGCCACGATGCCCGGGAGCAGCCTGCCCCCCTACCCTGTCCTGGCAACAACAGCCCGCCCGCCATTCCGACCGACCGCCCGACCGCCCTGTTTATTATTATTGGCGTGTGCGTTCCCTCTGGCTCTGCTAGCCAGCTACCACCTACACGAGTAGTGTGTAAAATCACACCCTTTCCAGCTTGATAGCTGATGTTCGTGAGCATTGGCGGGTCTGGGCGCGAGTCTGGGCGCAGGTCTGGGTTTTCCCGTACTACTACAGCTGCCAGACTGCCAGACTGCCAGACTGCCATACTGCAAGACTGCTCGTGGACGGTAACAGGGTAGCCGCTGCAGCTGTAACCCCCGGAATTTGCTCCCCTGCAAGCTGCAGGCCCGCGAGGGAAAGTGTGGAGGTTGCAGGGTCCCGCCCGCCTGCAGCTGAGACTTGTGGGGGGCGGCAGGGGCGGTTTGCTTTGTGTGGGGACTGACTCTGCGCTTCGGTCACTCTGCTGTTGCAACATGCAGGTGCTCAATGTTCCACTCCTTCCAGACCAGCATCTCAGGCTTCTCCCGCATTTGCTTCCACCCCTTCTGCCCTTGTGTCCTTGTAACCCCCCTTCTTTCCATCCACCCCTTCGCAACCCTAGTGTACAATCGGATCCAATCCGTCAACTAATACCCTGACTGCCTGACTGCCTGACTGACTGACTAACTGACTAACTGACTAACTGACTAACTGACTAACTTGGGTGCCCGTCGGACAACTCTGCCTCTCCCCAATCTTTTTTCTTTTCCCGTGCTCACGAATCAGAGATGCAGCTTCAGGGGGCAGCCACTTGGGATCTCACCCGGTTATATTGGCCCGGTGCGACCTCAGACTTGTGTCGGTGAGCGACCAACTTCTGCCAACTTTCAGTCTTTTCCGGGAGCCTTTTTTCTTTGTCCTCCTCTCACAATCGTCCTCTCACAACCCCTTCCCGGTCCAGCCTTGCTTGGTCTGCCCCAAGGAGGCCCGGCCCTGTGTTGGTTGGTTGGATCAACACGGAGCCAGAGCAGAAGGCCATGTTGGAGCTTCACCGTGCCACTCGATGCCCCCCCCAAGCGTGTCATCCTGTTGCCAACGACCACAGAGACAGTGCCTTCCCCAACTCCTGTCGGGGTAGGCAGTCTATTTGGGGCACGTCTTTGCCGCGCAACTCTCCGGGTCTCTGGGGGGGGATTTTCTCTGAAATCCGGGGAAGGGCTGCTGCGCCCGCGAGCTTAATCCAGGCATGTCCATCCCCAATCTCATCTCAGCCTGGAGCCGGGGGCCTGAACTGAGCTGAGGACGTGAGCTGAGCTGAGCTTTTTCGCCCGCCGTTGCATCCCCCCTCCCTACCAGCCAGCCCAACCTGCCTGCCAGCCTGCCACGCCCGCATCTTTTTCCGAGCGTGGGGGTTTGAGCTTTGCTAACAGCGCCACCTCCTGGGGAGCACCGAGACACTCAATCTCACCACCCCATTCCTCCTGGAGCCGAGCTGGCATGACAGCATGACCAACACCTTCCAAGCCCGACCAGCTTCAGATTGCGAACAAACACCCCTCGGTATCGGCATTCTGGCCCCTCTTGCCAGTCACTGTGGGAGCCTCCAAGAGTCATGGCCCGTGGTCCAGGCCGGACAGACCGTTACCTTCGTCAACATGTGTGTCTGAGGTCGCTGGTACACATCATAGAGCTGTCAGCCTAGGCATCCGGGGCCTCGCAATCCCAAGAGCCCGATGCCCCAGCACCACCTCCGATTCGTGTCACGTTTTTCCATTCCTCCTCCTTGTCTCACTTCCCCGGCCTGCCAAATGTGACGTTGTACAAGGCGAAAACATGAAAGGCACAAACAAGGACCCCAAAAGTCGGCAAAGTGGCTGCCGCGTTGCTTCTTGTTACCAAATACTTCCTGCAATGGGAGGACATGGGCCTCCCCGTTTGGGGATTCGTTGCACTTGCGCTAACCCCGTGGTTCATGGCTACTTGGGATATGTTTTGCGGCTCCGTGAGGAGGGAAAAATTGCGGCAGTCTCCCGGAAAGAATTTGGTCCAACCTGACTTCGCACCTGGGCGAGTCTGAATACCTGCCATGGTCTGTCAGGGCTCCATTTTCTCTTCAAACTCGCACAGAAAGACAGGGCGCTAGCAGGGCTTGGTCAACCTTGCAGCCAAAACCCGCAAGACTCTGGACGCCGCGATGAACTGAGACCGTACCCAGCTGTTCCTCGGGGAGAGCGGCGCCATACACTTGCTTCTCTTCCTTAGTATCTGACTTGGCCGGTCGTAACTTGGCCACCTCCTGCCCTACCATCAGAGGGATCACCCGCGCAGGGCTTACACTTCATCGGTGGCGGAGAACAGTCATACCGAGCAGGCACTCATCGCTCGTTGGCAGCTGCTTGTGCGACCATGAGCCATCAGACTCATTTCCTTTGCGGGGACGCAAGTCTTGTCGGTACCCGTGATCCAACCGTCGTCAGCAGCTGCCTGAGATTTGAAAGCCATGGGCAATAGAGATCTTGAAGAATTCCACACGATCCCGGTTTCTGTGCTCCCAACCCCAGGCTGTGACGTCTTCGAGACCTGGTTCTGATCTGACACTGAGGAATCGAGATTGGGTCCCATCCCTTCTTTTCCGTGGTTCACCAGCACCTCAGGGAAATGGCCGAGACTGACGCGCCGGAGCCCAGCGCATAGATGAGCTGGGCCAAAACATCACAAGCGGGCACGAGAGGGTTCCATCCTCTGGAAGACTCAAGCGATCCAGGCGAGAGAATGCCCTCAATTTGTCAGTCTGAGAGCATTTCAGATGGCGGCACAGCTCGGTGTTTGAGCATAGAAAGAAACTCGGATCCACGAAAGTCCTCATGCTTGACTTGCTTCATAGCTTGCCGTCTTTTCCCTTTGATTACTACGAGCTCGGTTCGGCTGCCTGGTGGCCACAGTATCTACACAGTGGACCAGGACCACCTGGGCGATTCTTACTGCTCAAACTGCTGTGAAATCAAATTGTTATGAATAAAGGTCCGGTGAATTAAGCCCCTGTTGGAGGGTCTCCTCTAGGAATGCCAGGTAGACGGTGATCGAGCCATAGAGGCTCCGACATAACGTTTTCATCATTTCTAAGAACCTGTCAGCCAGTGATGCTGTTTTTACGTGTGTGACTTTCGCCGCCGTGTGAAAAAAATTTCTCAAAGAGGGAATAATTACACATCAGACTACCGAATTTTGACTGACAACCGGTATTAGTTTCTCAAGAAAACCACCAGGATGCTTCACACGCCGCACGCATGTAATATAAGCTTCTTGGAAAGTGACGTCCCGTCTTGGTCCGGGCTGTCCGGTGCCTGGGCGCCAAGCATTCTGGGGTGAGATCTCGGGACGGGGCGCTGCGCGACGTCTACTATTGAGCAAACGACAAGCCGTCGCCCTGTCGATCAGGTGCTTGTTGGTAAAGAGCGCAGGCACACTCGTCGGCCTGTGCTGTCGATCTTCATCGTGTTCCTGCATGAAATTAATGACAAGTGAACAGATTCAAATTGATTAGGAGGTATCGTTTCCCGTCCGGCGACACGAGCACTGGAGGCAAGCCAGACAGCTCCGCGGGTTTCAATACATCCTTCCTCAACTTATTTCCTCCTCAGCGCCCCAAACAAAATCTCTGCCTGTTTCTGCCATGCCCAGGTGTCTGATAACATGAGACCCAAATCGATACGAAGTACAGACACGCTCTGTCAATAAGCAGTTCTTTGAGCCTGCCCACTGTTCTACCAAGGTCTTTCCCAAAGAGCCTCTCTTCCCCCCTCTCTTTCTGTCTCTGCGACACGCATTAGTTAGACTCCGATCTACCACGCCTTAGCGCCGTTGTCCAAACTGTCGGAACCGGGCCCGTGTGGTTCACCAATGGCTTAGGATGGAATCGACGCAACGTCGCTTCGAAACGGTCTCGCCCATGCTGCCATGGGAAAATCCCCCCGTGTCGATTTTCCACACAGAAATGTCCTTCTCCGCACTTCACATCCCCCCCTAATCTTTCCGCACCAACTTGCCCCATTGCCCGTCTCCATTATTTTGCTGGAGATAAGCAAGTTAAGCTTTATTATGTCTGCACGATGTTGCGTGACATTCGCCTCCCGATCTGGCCATGAGCCCCGATCCCCGTCCGGTGATATCCCGGCAAGCCCCCTCTAAACCGCCCTAGAAGTTTGGGTGGTTGCTCTTTTGGTGCGAAAAGGACGATAGCCACCTCGTGCGTGAAGGCACACAAAGATAGGTGGGGCGGTCTTATCATAGGCTCATTTCGACATGGTGCTGGGTTGGTTGGTATCTACTGAAGCTCGTAGTGCGGGACTCAGATCATTTCTGCTATGGTCCTGGCCTTCTTTGTAGGGACTGCGACGTTCCTTCTGCCTATGCCTTTTAACGTGTGCATAACCAGTCTTTCTGCTCCTGCATCTGACGGAGTCTTTGCTTGAATGCGAAGCTAGCCAAACCGTCGCCAAGGTCACACACACTATCGGAAGCCTCAGCTCTTCCTGCGCTACGGCACATACGCGTCCTTTCCAAGGTTCTACTGCCAAGCAGTCGGGCGCGCCAGGGACAAGGTGCAAGACGAAGAGAAATCCATAGCTGAGCCCAAGATCGTCGCCGGAGCTAGCGATAAATCCTCGGCCAGTGTCGAAGACGAGGTGCCTCCGTATTTGCGAAATGCCAGCAACACTGGTATTCTGGCAAAGCTGCGCGGCTGGGAGGAGGCGTTGGACCGGAAGATCGGCGTCGAGACCCATGGCATATCACGGCGGCGCCCCGAGGATAGGGATCCTGCGTTTGCCTCATGGAGTAACCAGGCTGTGATGTTCTTGGTGAGTGGACGCCCTAAAAACCTTCGGCCTAGTTGAGCTGCAAGGCATGACTTCGGGAGGAGCGAAAGTCGTGAGACAAATTGAGTCAACATATTCGATTGCTCTGTCGGTCCCTAATCAGGAGAAATCTACTAAATAACATTTGAAATCTCAGATGTGGATGTCTGCAACAATGAACCTGAGCTGCTTCGCGACGGGGTTTCTTGGGTGGGAGTTAGGCCTCGACTTGTCCAGGACTATTGCAATCACAATATTCAGCACCCTGCTTGGCAGTGCGGTAACTGTAAGTAAACCACATATCCCGCAAGGAAGGGAGTCCCGTAAATGTAGCACAGACCAACTAACTCATACATCACACAGGGATGGTGCGCGACAATGGGACCGGGAACCGGCCTCCGGCAGGTCTCGATCTCGAGGTACTCGATGGGATGGTGGCCGAGCAAGCTCATAGCGGCGCTCAACGTTGTCGAGCAGATCGGTTGGTCGTCGGTGGGCTGCATCACGGGCGGACAAGCCCTGGCTGCCGTGTCGGACGGACGACTGGGCTCGGAGCTGGGCGTTATCATCGCGGCCGTGGGTGCCTTTGTCGTGTCCTTTGTCGGCCTCAAGGCCGTATTCACCTATGAGAAGTTCGCCGGGCTAGTGCTCGCCGTGGTCTTCCTCATCATGTATGGATTTGCAGGTCCGTCTGCAGACCTCGCTACACCTACTGCCCTGACGGGCCCGACTCTCTCCGGGACTGCCCTGACGCTCTTCGCCGTGCTGTACGGCTCTTCCGCGTCGTGGTGCTCCATCGTCAGCGATTACTACGTCGAGTACCCGGTCGACACGAGCAAGTGGAAGGTCTTCCTCCTCACCACGCTGGGAAACAGCATACCGACATGCCTGGGCATGATCCTCGGCTGCATCTGCGGCTCGGCCCTGAACAACAAGACCGACTGGCTCGAGAGCTACGACTCGGGTATCGGGTACCTGATCCAGACGATGGTCCGCCCGGTCGGCTTCGCCAAGTTCCTCCTCGTCATCCTCGCCTTCTCGGGCATCGCCATGACCGCCATCGCGATGTACTCGGCGGGACTGTCGGTACAGCAGTTCGCGCGGCCCCTGGGCGTCGTGCCCCGCTTCATCTGGACCTCCATCATGTTCGTCGCCATCATCCTGCTGGCGCTGGTCGGCCGCGACCAGCTGCTCGTCTTCCTGCAGAACTTCCTCTCGCTGCTCGGCTACTGGAACACCAGCTTCTTTGTCATCCTGGCCGGGGAGCACTACCTGTACCGCGGCGGGCTGCGCCGTGGGTTCAAGGGGTACGACCTCGACGGCTGGAATAACCCGAGCGTCCTCCCCTTTGGCTGGGCCGGTGGTCTTGCGTTTGCCGCGGGTGTCGCGGGCGCCGTGGTCGGCATGAGCGAGACGTTCTATGTGGGCGTGCTGGCGGCCAAGATTGGGGAGTCGAGTGGGGATATCGGAAACCAGCTGTCCTTTTTGTTCACGCTCGCTATGTACGTGCCCGCGCGTTGGGCGGAGAGGAAGTTCACTGGGAGGTAGGTCACATCTACTCCCAGTGTCGGGGGAAAGGAATGGGCAAGCCACGTTGCGGCTAAAAGGCCAATGCAAAAGAGACTCGAATACAGTCCGACAGAAATTCCTGGATAGTCATAGACGCTAGCCTGAGGTCTAGAACAAGCTCAACATAGCACTTACGTACTCAGAAAGAATATTTTGATAATATTTTGGATTCCCAACTACTAGATACCGAAGTAGCGAAATTAACCTGAACCGTGTCAAGAGAGAATCAAAGAGAGATGAGGAAAGATTACCTATTTGGACCTTGATAGTTCCTCATGTACCGTAAGAGTCCACGGGATAATTCACGTACTTCAAGTTGCTTCTGAGAACGTCTCGATCTTGTCTGTAATTAACTGTTCTTTCTGCCAGGGCTTTGAAAATGGTCCCAGTTGAAGACTTTTGTTTTCAGCTTATTACCGCTTAAACCCTCTGAGCTTCTTTGTACCGTGAGACTGTCGAAAGAAAGTATGTCATGGGGCTTCCGAGGCTGGAAAATGAGGCTCAATTGTTTCCACCACTTCATCGGATGTTTCGAGCACGTTCCCTCAGATTTCATTTTGTGTTGGCCATATTGCTTACATGGGCACCTGGGCAGTACGGTCGCAGCCTCCACCCTGTCTTGAGAGTCAGTCTACCTGGAAGTAGCATATTTTGTATGCTATTGTTTTGTTGCCCCGGTGCTCAGCCATAAGCCTTCCTGAAAGTACAAGTTCACTGTTATCAACCGGTAACGGGTCATGATATGATACATGGTGCTGGTAAGCATGTGCACTTCCGTTGTTATTGATCATTGGCGTATTCGCACTTTGTCCTTGTGTCAGAATCCAATGACGACCATATTGGCAAAGATTAATAGTTCTTACGTTTGCCGATGTCAGAGTCGACGATCTTACTATAAAAGTACTGCTCGAGCCTACACTCACTTGGTGGGGCTGCGCTTAGGAAGTGCTACGTACCTAGTGTGGTTCCATGCCGAGGCACGTTGCAACCGCCCGCCCGCGCTTGACGAGGTCCGGCCTGGGACCACGGGACCCCTTTGATAGAAAAGGCTACGGCTTACCCGTTGTCACATTGTAGTGATTTATTCCTCATGTCTGCTTCTTCTTAGTTCGGCGAACAGTAAGCAGCTCAGAATGTCCTCAGAGCATCCAATTATCCTATACCACTATCCGTTCTCGCCATACGCGAGGCGGATAGTATGGTACCTCCAACTACGCGGCATTCCGTACAAACAATGCGTAAGACCACCCTAATTCGAGTGCACTTCAACATGTGTAGCTGAAGCGTTAGAACAGATGCAACCTCCAATCATGCCGCGGCCGGACGTATCCAAGCTAGGAATCAAGTACCGTCGCATCCCACTTATGTCCATTGGCCGGGATGTATATCTGGACACGCGCCTCATCCTGCAGAAGCTTGAGTCCTACCCGGCCAGCAGTCCAAAGCTGGGCGCCGCGGAGAACACAGAGCAGCGAGCCATAGAGCGCCTCCTGGAGGTGCTGAGCGTTGACGGCGGAGTCTTCGTCTGGGCGGCGTCCCTGCTTCCGCGCAAGCTGCCCATCATGAAGGACCCCGACTTCCTCAAGGACCGCGCCGATTTTGCGAATGGAAAGGCCATGCTTGCTTCAAAATCACCAACGGTCAGGCCCGAGGCCCTGAACGACCTTCGTAATGTTTTTGAACTTCTTGAGACGACACTGCTTGCCGACGGGAGGGACTGGGTTCTCAAAACCGAGCGGCCGACTCTGGCTGACATCGAGGCCGTCTGGCCGCTTCACTGGCTGAACGGCCTGCCAGGGGCGCTGCCGGCCGACCAAATCTCGAAGACGCAGTTCCCAAAGGTGTTCGCGTGGATCGAACGATTTGACAAGACTGTCAATGCCGCGGACCAGAAACTGGGCAAGGTACCTATCGTGTCTGGGGAGCAGGCAGCGCAAGCCATTGTGCAGGCCTCGTATTTCGAGGACAGCGCTACCGATGTTGTGCAGAGCGAGCCGCTTGTGAAAGCCCTAGGCCTGAAGAGGAGCGACAGTGTGGTGGTATTCCCACTTGATACTGGCTCGTTACATAAAGACTCGGGCGCGCTCTTTAGGCTGGACAGCAGAGAAGTCGTGTTGGAAACGAGGACCGAGCTCCTAGGATCCCCAGAGGTTCGGGTTCACGCGCCTCGACACGGGTTCCGCATAGCTCGTAAAGACCAGGCCTCGCAGCTCTGAGATGGCGACGGCAGTTAATTCTGCCCAGGCGATAACTGAGATTTATCATTGGGGTAGCCAACGCCTCACCTGCTGCTACGTGGCGTGGCCGTGTGAACAGTAGGATTATATCCCACACACTGGAAACTTAAACAAATGATAGCTACTCCCAGTTGCGAGTATGCGAGAGCCGAATCTCAGGCGCAAGATACCCCCATCGAATATTCGGCAGAGGTTTTCGAGATAACCTTGGAAGTCGCCCGTTTTTTTTATCACAGACAGAAGCGTAACAGTCATTTATCTGATCTTAGATGCATGCAGCATGTAGCATGTTTGGACCGGGCGTGACCCAGGGCCACAAGGCGGACCGACAATCCCGACTTATTATTAGAAGAGACGGGATCTCAGAGTGCAAGACGGAAAGACATGCGGAGCCGCATGTGGCAATGACGTCTTGTAGCTGCTGGGGTGGGCGATCAGATCTGTGCTCGCCTATCACGACACGTGGGTTGGTCTTCTAAAAATGCGCCAGCAGTCTCCGAAGGCTGCTTGATACGAAGTTGTCTGTCTGCAACGCCGAGTGCTTTGCCCTCGTACTGTAGAAACTGATACTCAACTCTTGAGGTCTGATAGGCACAGACGCGTGAAACGGATGTTGATGGGCCAAGTCAAGATCTTAACCTTGTGTCGCCAAGAAAGTGTCCTCGAAACTTTCCTCGAAACTTAGTTTGTGCCACGCTCGCGAGGCAAAACCAAACCCGGGGCCAGCACAGAGGCAGCCGGGGAGTGGCCTGAGAAAGAATTGGGATCTTCCCTTTATCATCACGATAACCCAACAGTTTCGTCAAACTCACCAGACGACAGCACCGCTGTCTGTGCCCGACCGTGTGGGCAGAAATAAAGTTTGGCGCATACCAGCTGGCAGTTCAAACAGTACAACCCCGCCCGGGTTCGAGGGTTAGCCATACCGCCAGGCTGTCTGCCTGTCAGGCGCAGTGGCCGTCCGTCCATGGGAACGGACAGGGAAGGTAGAAGAGAAGCTCAGCGAATCTCGTCCTAGCTTCCGGACCAGTAGATCCCAGGCTCTGAGGAGTGTTTCTCTGTCGGTGGTGTGGACGTGCTGCAAGTTCCGGCATCCTATCCTCTCGCGCCCTAACCTGATTGGGCGGGGGCGCATGCGACAAAGGTGAGTTCCACGCAAAGGGATGCCCGTCTTGCGTCATAGGTCGGGATGATGTGAGGGTGACGGCTTGTAAATGTACAGTGCCCCATCACGGTGTGTGGCAGCCCCCATGGCGGCGAGGGCGCGCGAAGACCCAGTGAGCGGCACGAGACAAAGAAGGACTCAGCCAGCCCTCACCACGAACGTGTGGTGCCGATTCATGCTCGATCAGAGGGCGAGGTCTTGATCGCAGTCGACACCGACATGCTGTTGTGAGGAGGCCTGCTGGCCAGCTGGCGTGCTGCGGAGGCACACCTCTGTGATTGACAACCATCATGATCCCTGGTGCCGGAGACGCACGCAGTGTTTCCGCTCTACGCAATTTCAGGGCCTGGCTGCAGACAGGGCCCCGGATTGGTAGAGGCTGAAGTGGGGGGGTTTTTCAGTTTCTTTTGTCACCCAGGATGCCACTGTGCGCCAAGTCTGAGTGCTGTGATGATCTTGAGGATTCCCACTTCACCGACGCGCCTGGAATTCCGTGAAGGCAAACCAAGGGCCTAGATGCGACTGGAGACTCTGAAATCCTGCTGGCACTGGGAGCCCAGGAGCATCTCGCCCGTGTTTCCCGCCCGGTGGCTCGGCCGGCTGGGCCGGTCACGAGTGAGCCAAGCTGGATTCGCACGCAGTCGTCGAGAGATCGAGATGCGATCCCAAGGCAGCGAGTGGCTTCCCGCCTTCGTCCTTGTGCTCGTGCCCGTCCGTCTGCCACACCCGCCGCCGACGAAACGCACCGACTTGCGCTAGGGACATCGTTTAGAACGGACGGATAGCAGCGTTGAGAGCGATATTGGGCTGGGAGTGGTGATGTGCACCGGCGCCGTCATGTCCTAAAAGATCAGATCCATAGGGCATTGTGCCGTAGTCGGTGATCTACTCAGGGAAATTTATAAATTGGATGATATTTTCCTCAGAACGCGGCTGGAGCTAAGTGCGGGATCGGAATCCACACGGTGCCAGTACAACGGGTGAAAAGGGGGTTGCACTTGCGACAAGCTTGTACCGTTACTTAACGGTAAGCAAGTACACACACTAGCAGACAACCGCGGCAACAAGCTCGGTGCGGAGCACGACATTTGCAACAGTGAGCACAGGCGCTTGAGGAGCACGTTCAATACTGTGGGGACCTGGTTCGGCCGAAATGGCACGGGCAGAGGTGAGAATACTTCATTTCAGATCTTGCTAGATTGCGGCCAGATCAGGCAGAGGCGGAGATGGTGAGATAGTGACCTGCAGTGGGTGTGTGTGAAGCGGGCGACAGCTGGAGAGGAGGAGGAGGAGGTTGCAGACATCGGTAATAATGCGAGACTTGGAGCCCCCCACAGGGATTACATTGCTCCAGTACGGTCTGAGTGCTTTGTAATGTGGAAACGACAACTTTTGCCTCCCGTTTTCTCGAAGGCGTGGAGCACGGCACTTTGTACTGTACCTGGCTTGCGGCCCGCAGCCTCTGGTGGAAAAAAAAAAGTACCTTCCCTGCCCCATGTTGCAGTCTTCTGCTAGGCCCTTGTTAGAAGGGCTAGTGCCAGGCCCCATTTCAATCTCTCGAGTGGCAGGATACCACAGTAGGAAGGCGACGAGGAGCAGGTCTGGTTGGGCAACAGGGCGAGCCGGAGGCAGGGAGGGAGGGCAGAACGGCAGGAGCAGAACGGGGGTGGGCACCGGGCCCGTTCCTTGCCATTTATTACTGAGCCCACTGCCCACACCACGTCATCGCCCCAAATCCGTGACGTCTTGTTTTTTTCTCTTCCCTCAACTCTTTTTTGCTACGCAACCAGGCAAATCGATCGCACGCCCACGCCCACGCCCACGCAGCGCCCGCACCCACAATTCAACCACCAAACCGGGACCTGGCCTTGTGCTGCACGTATTCTGCACGGCCAACTCGCCCGCCTGCCCACCCGGTCGGTATTCTGTCCAGTCTGTCCAGTCTATCCAGGACGTGGTATCGTCGTCACTGCCACGTCGTTCCACCACAATAACCACCCTGCCCACCAAGAGGTTTGTGAGACAGGCTGCACGCGTTAAGGACCCACGGGCCAAGGGGGGAAAATAAGAGGAACTGTGAACAACTCTCGGACCCAGCGAGCTGAGCCCGTCGCACCTGTCCGTTGTTCTGTCTATCGCCTGTCATTCAATCGATCGGCCCGTCTCTTTAGTTAGCCAGCCAGCCAGCACCCAGCCGGACTAACAGCCCCGGCCCCCAGTCGCTCCCATTCCCTCGGCCTGTGTCACCTTACTCCTCCCGAGAGGAGTGACCTCATGAGGACATTTTAACTTTCTTCCCTCTAACCCACCTACCTCCTCTTTGCGACGCTCCTTCTTGTCCCATTTCGTCATCGCCCTCGCCCGCCCTCATTCGTGCCAGATCAACCACTTCCTCCACCACAACAATGGCTGGCGATAGCGACTCCAAGTCGCCCAAAACAACCAATGCTACCACAAACCGCCCAGGTTAGTCTGCTGCAGCCCCCTCCACCCTTTCTTTGTCTGCTCCAATCACCGTCATAACCTCCGTCGTCATCGTCTCTGTCTATCACCGGCCGTTTACCCGCGGACCGCCACAACCACTCCACCGCCGCCCATCAACCACCATCACAATCACCGTGCACCCGAGTACCCCCCTTATTCAATTAGAACACCATGCCGACCATTACTTTTTCCACTTATAGATGCCGCGGCCGACTCCAAGCCCTCAGAGATCGTAGCGAAGACGGAACCGACCAACGGCGAACCTGCTAAGCCGCTCGCGCCACCTCCGCGTCCCAACCCGGCGGCGGCAAAGGGGAATACGCCAGATTATTTCGGCTTATCAGGCCCTGGAGGCTCGTTGAACCAGGAGCCCAACCCCTTCGAGAGGTCATTCGGTGGTGACCCTACACTCGGCGCCAACGGTGGTCCTCCCGAGACCCCAGGAGGCACCAAGCTGCCTCCTGTTGCTGCCATCACCTCGCCGTCGTCGCTGCTGCCCGGTACTGGGTCGACGCCATTCAACTGGGGCGGTGGATCGCTACGAACTGGGCCGCTCAGCCCAGCCATGCTGTCAGGCCCTCAGACCGACTACTTTGGCGACCAATTCCGCGGTGGCTTTCCTACGCCAAATGAGTCCTCCCTCCGGACTGGTTTGACCCCTGGCGGGAGTGGATCTATGTTCCCTGTGGTCGGCAGCCCTAACACGGCTGCTATATTCAACCTGGCTGGTGGTGGTGCCACCCCTAGCACTGTTGACTTCCACCGCACCGCGATGAGGGCAGCTGCCGCTGAGAGAGAACAACAAGCCCAACAGCCGTTACCTGCGACGTCACAGCCACAGGAGCTTAGCAACGGTGCACCCGCTGTAAAGTCCGAGGCCAAGCCTGCTGGACCTTTTGATAACCACGACAACGACGCCGCCAACGGCCTCTTTATGTTGGCGCAAGGCAGGAACGGCGCCCAGCAACAGAGCCAGTACCCCTTACCGCCTCAGCCAGCAGATCACGGCCACCCGGCTCCTGCTGTCCAGCACCCCAACTCCAACATGAATGGAAATTCCACTCATAATGGCCGAGGGTCTCGTGGTGTTAGTGAAGCCGCAAGCGCGCAGTCAGATGAGAGCGAGCATGCCCGGCCAAACACCAGGGGCAAAGGAAAACGCAACTCGAGCTCTGGAGCTGCCACGACAAATGGCAGGCGAAAGGCGGATGAGGCCCCTGCCAAGGCCCCTGCAAGTAAGAAGGCGAAGACTAACAGCGTCGACGCGCCGCCGTCTGTCAACTCTGACGAGCAAGGGGAGGATGACTCTGACCATGATGATATTGGTGGAGACAACAAGCCAAAGCACAAGATGACTGAGGAAGAGAAAAGGAAGAACTTCCTTGAGCGTAACCGGTGAGTAGAAAAAAAAACCCCTTGGCCTGATGTGTTTTTACAAGGCTGGTTGCTAACGAATTGCAGTGTGGCCGCCCTCAAATGTCGTCAGCGCAAGAAGCAGTGGCTGGCAAACCTCCAAAACAAGGTCGATCTCTACCAGACAGAGAACGACCAACTGACACAGCAGATTGCTGCTCTCAGGGAGGAGGTTGTCAACTTGAAAACGCTGCTGCTGGCACATAAAGACTGCCCTGTGACGCAACAACAGGGACTCCAAGGTGCCTATATGGCGGGGATGGAGCCATACAACGCCCAGATGAACCCGTACGGGATGGCTGCACCAATGCCAAATCACCAGATGATGCCTGCGCAAGCAGGTCAGCGCCGCTTCTCATAGCCGAGGGTTCGCCTGGCGGGATGCAAGTCCCCTACGCTGTGTGCAAGGAAAGGCTCGCGATTCGGATGTAACATATTTATTTCTTCACGGTGACATTCCCTGGCTTAGCGGGCATTGGCTGTAAAAAGTATACGGAGCAGTCCACCACAAGGGGACAAAGGGGGAAGGAACCAAGGTGTCTCTGTTTCACGGTTCAAGGGCATACATACGGAAAAGGGGGCGTTCTCGGTGTGGTCTGCACAGTCTATTTGTGGCGTTATGGGCGGTGTTCGAGATGGTCTGGATTCTCAGGCCTAGGTTTATGATATTGCACGCAGGTGTCGGCTGCGGCTACTGTCGTCTGTCGCGAGAATTCTGTGCCTGGCCTCGAGAACTCGATAGCAGCATATGGCAAGTCAAGGTCAACGGGACCCGAGATTTTTGAGTTCTACGAAGCAACAGCAACACGTGTCTTTCCTCTAGCGCTATATAATGGATTTCAGTTATTGTCTGCGATGGCCTCTGTAGGAACCTGAGATGTTGGGGGAATGAATCAAGGATTTTATCTTTGCCTTTGTCTTTTCATGAGTTTTGGCGGCTTTGGAAAAGAGCAGTCCTGTAAGCGATTCCAATGAACAAATGAAATGGTGGGTGTCCCGAGGTCGAAAGTGAGTGAGTGTTCCTCGCTCCTGCAGGTCAGTGCTGTCCAGTGGGTCTTGTTGCGCCCGTTTTGGTTTAGCGCCAGTCGCCTGCGCTATACGGTAGTAAACAGTCGGTCGGTCTTTGCAAGTTGTGGGGGGGGGGGGCGCAACGTCTTCTAGATGGGGGCAGCCCGTTCCCGCGGCATATCGATGGACCCAAAACCACTACTGACTGACCTTGCAAAAGCACAAAAGAGCCTGCGTCGCGAGCGCCCAGCATCGATTAGAAGCGCGCAGAAATCCTGGCATCTGATGTGCAGCACCGAAACACACGACATTTCTTGAATCAATTCACGGTTTCGACGCGTCGTGCAGCGCTGGGGGAGCAGTCGCGAGGGGCACACCACCACCGCCTCTGGCCCTGACCCGCGTGCCTGCAGCGACCAGGCCTGCAACCATAACACGCGACGCCGACGACGACACACCGCCGCCACTCCCCCGAGCACCATAATTTGAATGCGCCCACTACTGAGATCTCATCAATGACGACCGTCGTGCGGACCCGGCACCCTCTGGAAGCATTGAGCATGAGCAATCAAGCTAGGCCGACCCGGTCAACCGCCAAGCGCCTCGCGGGTATGTACAGCTCCAGCTGACGGCCGGCGACCCAAGATGGACGGGTTACTAACGAGGCAACTTGTGCGGCAGCAGCATACGATGAACAAGATGGCGATTTCCTCTTCACGCGCGGATCAAAGCGACAAAAGACGGTGTCGTCCCCGGCGTCCCCGCCTGCTCCAGAACCCAAACCGGTAGCAAAGGCTGCAGCGAAGAAAGGACCAGGAAGGCCTCGCAACGGCACAAAACGCGCTGCATCATCATCGCCCCCGCCGCCAAGTCAGGAGGAAACGTTACCGCTGAGGACCACTAAGCGGCAGACACGGAGCAAACGCGATTCCTCGCCAATAGTGCCAGATAAGCCACTGGTGGTGCCAAAGAAGCGTGGCCCGCGGAGGACAAAGTCTCCGCCTGCTGAAGCCATTGACGAGGAGGAGCCCAGGCCGGAGCCTGCGCCTGCGCCTGCGCCTGCGCTGACATCTGCGAGACGAACGAACGGGGCTGGGCCGGCATCTAAGGATGATGGCACGAGGAAGAGCGCCCGTAAAAAGTCACGCAAGGAAGAGGCGCCACCCGTCGAACATGAGCCGCAAGCGACGCCTGAGCAGGTCGACAAGTCCCTCGAGAGAGACCCGAACGCGCAGAAAATAGCACTGCCATTCAGCGACACACCCATCAACGCGCGCAACGCAGAATTTCGCAAGAAAGGTGGCAAAGGCGCAGGTGGCGGGCGGCGGAGCAGCGTGGGCCTGCGAGGCAAGCGGGCCAGCTCACTGATCGAGAGCGGCCACAGCGCAATCCCTCACCGGGAGGTCAGCACGTCGGAATTCTTCAAGCACATCGAGTCCGAGGGGCTCAGTGAACCGCGGAGGATGAAGCAACTTCTGACATGGTGTGGGGAGAGGGCCTTGAGTGAAAAGCCGAAGCACGGAACGGCTGGGGCGCCCGCGGTGCTGGGTGCCCGCGCGATACAGGATGCGCTGCTGAAGGATTTTGGGTCAAAGTCAGAATTCTCAGACTGGTTTAGCAGGGAGGACGAGCCGTCCGCTGCTCCAAAGAGGCCTGTGGTCATCAAGCCGAACCCGGTCAATGTCGAGCACGAGGAGAAGATTGCTGCGTTGGAAGCGCGCATAAAACGGTGAGTGCTTTTAATCCGAGCCGCGGCCATGCGCGCGTACTGATCAGACAAAACAGATTAAAGGAGACGCGGAAATCATGGCGTGCCTTGCAGGCACCTCTACCGCAAGTCTCACCTCTGTACCCCCCAGAAGACGGCGGCTTCGAGAAGGCGCCACTACCAGACACGACGCTTCTGGATGCAGGGGAGGTTACAATGCTCGAATCCCTAACAGGCCCGTCCTCGTCATTCGCACATCTAAAATCAACGACAAGATCACGGCTGCAAACTATCCAGTCGGGGGTGGAGTATAAGGTCGACCGCCTCGCGGATAGCGTGCACAAGATGGATCTGAGAGTAGTGACAGCGGGCCGACAGGCGGACAAGGTCCTCGCGTTGAGCTCGGAGAGGTTAAAGGAACGAGAAGAGAAGGAGCGGCAGGCGGCGGGCACGAAAGCACTGCCGACGATGGAAGTGCTGAGGAGTCTGAGCAGGATATTGCCGGAAAATGGAGGATAGGCTCGACCACTGGCTGTGAAGACGGACCGGAAACTTCCAAGGTCTCAGAAGAGAAACGACACGGATGGCTCAGAGCCACATGCTGCTTGATCATAAGCACTATCAAAGCAGGCCGGCCACGGTGCATAGCTGCAGCGAATTGTCTTTTTTTTTGCCCTTGGGGGCAGTTTCACATGACGGGACGACGGTTTATGAAAGGAGGACGCTAGAGGTCCTGTTGGATGTGCTGGGCAGAAATCGAGATGCAGAAACCCCTCGAACCAGATGAACTGGTGGTTGCAAGGCTGATGAACCACCCTACCTACATTGTACATACTGCCCCTCCCATATACCCACATGCGAATGGCAAAGCCTACACAACGGCATGACAGTGCTTCTGAGCATCTACTACTACCTATGAACCCTTTCCTTTGCTACATGGCCCGTCTTGCCGTCCGCGAGGCCCCGTCACTTCCTCTCACCCAGCGCAGGCATGAAGGCCATGCCCTCGGCCTTATCCCTGTCGCTGTTGCCCAGCACACCAGCCGCGCTCCTCTCCTTGACGTGCCGCCTCAGCAGGCCGAGGATCTCGGTGCCCTTCCACCGCTGCGGCACGGGCCGGAACGCGGGCTTGAAGGTCCCGATGGTCTGCGCCCACTCGCCCTTGGCCGGGCTGGCCGGCTCCAGCTTCTTGTGCTTCTGGCTGCTGGTGGTGGCGGCGGCGCCGCCCTGGTCGCTCAGGTAGGGCTCCGAGTTCTGCAGGCCGGCGGCCGGGGTGTTGGTGGTGGGTGGTGTTGTGGTGGTGTCCTCGGCCTGGGTGGCCCAGTAGTAGATGTCCCAGTCGTTCTCGTCCAGGAAGCGGTCGTACTGCTGCATCTGCTCGGGGGTCATGCGCGGCAGGTAGGCGGCGGCGAAGGTGCTCAGGAGGAGGTCGGACTCGAGGGTGCCGCGCTTGCGGGACTGGTCTGTTGTTTGGGTGTCATGCATTTGTTAGCAGGTTCTCTCGGCCCTCCCGCTCTCTCGCTCGGTAAGAGAAACGTACAGGTTAGCCTGGCGCGCATGGTCTCTGGGTCCTCGCCGGTCCGCCGCAGGGGCTCGATCCTGAACTTGGCGCCCTCGAGCTCGCCGACGGCCATCTCGCGGCCCGGGACGGGGTCGAAGGGGCCGCTGTTGCTGGACTGCCACCGTGCCGGCACGGCGATGGCTGCGACGGGGCGGGCGCTCAGGATGCGCCGCGAGGCCGGGCGGAGGGCGCGGGGGATGGGCATCATCGTGATGATGGTGGTGGTGGGGTGAGTCGTATATTTATATTCGAGGTGTGGTGGTTAGGGTAGTTGGTGCCTTGGTGAATGAATGACTGAAATCCACAGCCAATGTAATGGGAGGAATTACGAGAGTTTGAGTACGGCCGCCAAAAATAATGCAAAAGGTAGATAGAAACCAGGGTCCAGTGCCGTCATAGATTATTCACAGAAGTACACAAGTACCGAGGCCTGCCGTGATCCCGCCCGGCGCCTTCTGAATCTCGGCATCGGCGCCCAGACGTAGGCAGGGATCATCCGACTGCGGGTGCTTAAATCCCCATCGGAACAGCCTGCACGGACCGGTCTCGTGAGAGGCGCTAGGTATGCTATTGTTCTGGGCCGTATGTACACTGCAATTAGCAGAACAGACCATAGGCCAAATACAGCCTAAGCTACTGTGCTGTCTCCCGCACGCGATTCTTGTTTTCAACATTGCTCAGTCAGTTCGAACGGGACATGCACGCCCAACATCACACGGCATTTCACGGTCTTCTGAATAAGCACTGAGGAGTCCAAGGTTGCCAGACCATGACCCATTCGTCTCGTAGCTATCCACCACTGCATGCGTCTGCCGACTCGAGTGTACATACATCTTGCCAACTCCCGTATGATAACCGTGGCCCACCGCTTTTGCCCAAACCATATAGTTCATAAACTCCGGGAATCATAAGCCATCGTGTCCGAAGGGTTTCTCTCTTTAGATAAGGTGCTTGGACCTGCAGCATAACAGTCAGTACCGGGTCCTGAAGCACAAGGACAGGAGGATGCAGAGGCACGGACCGGAAGTACGCCCGCAGGTACAGGATCTGCCAGACCCAGAGGACGATGAGGATGAAGGTGGTGCAGAAGCCGAACCACTTGACGCGGTTGTTGGTGCTCTCGTTGGTGTCGCGCAGCTTCTGCTCGCGCGTGCGCAGGTAGTCCATCTCGCCCACAATCTCGGAGACCATCTCCTCCATACGGCGAAGGTCCGCCTCGACCGGCTTGAGCTTCTCGGTGGCCTGGATCGCCGACCAGTCCTTGGCGTCGGCGCCGATGTCGACGTCGAGCTCGACGTGGCGGGTCGCGTCCTGGATGTTTCGGGCTGTTGTGGGCTTGCATGTCAGTGATATGTTCCATGACCCTCTCTCATGCTGGTGGCAAGGGCAATCGTCGCCGTTGGCTATGCTTGTTTGTTTGTGGTGTTTGTGGTGGAGGGTATTGCGTACATCCTGTCAACAGGTTCTCGAAGCAGACGTCGAAAGCAGCATCCGCGTGGGACGTGAAGACGGTCCTTTGCTCGCCGGCGACGTCTTGCGGCCGGCCATACTCGTTTCCTACCGCATCACGGATCTATGCACCGGCGACAACAGCTGTCAGCATCGGTCCTCCTGGCAGGACAGCAGAGCGGGCGATGGCTAGGGCGACTCACGTGCATGTTCACCCGCATGCCATCTCCTTTGGCCCCGCTGACGATCGCCGTCACAACCACCAGAGTGTCCCTGGCGACGAAATTCCGTATGCATCGTTCCTTCTTGCTGTCGTGTGATTGTGACGTTGCCTGCAGGTCGAACTTCAGTGCATTGGCGCAGGCGATGAAGAGGACCAGGCTGCAGATGTACTGCAGCAGCGATCGTGGGAGCGCCATGGTTGTTGTGGGTTGACGCTGTTTGTGTGTGGCGGGAGGGAGCTGTCTCTTGGGGGACAGTTACATACAGCCTGGCTTTCTCAACAGGTACTGGAAAGGTGTCGCGTTCACTTACGGCTTAGCTCGGTGCCAGGGGTAGCTCTACCTCGCCCGGCCAATCAAGGCTGGTCCAATCGACTTTAATATGGGGCCGCCTGCCCCTCGAGCCTTGCCCGACTTCAGCCTTGCCTGCCCATGCTCCAGTTCTTTGTTGCTGCTACCTGCTACCTGCTACCTGCCACTGACTGCTGCGCTCCTCCACACGCGACACGACCAGGGCTTCGGACACAGCTCAACACAACAACCACACCAGTGAGGCCAGAGAAGCGCATTCAAGATGCCGAAGTGTAAGTGATCCCCCATTGACTGACATGTCTTCACGAACCGTCAACTAACACCAGAGTCCAAACCCCACAGTCTTCTGCGACTACTGCGATGTCTACCTCACCCACGACTCGATGAGCGTGCGCAAAGCACACAACAGCGGTCGCAACCACCTGCGCAATGTCATAGACTACTACCAACGTTCGTACCCCCTCCCCCGCATATTCGTGTCCCAAGTGTCCTTCCTGCCAGCGCGCTGACAGCCATGGTCTTCTGCAGAGATCGGCCACGAGAAAGCCCAGTCCGTCATCGACTCCATCACCTCCTCCTACGCCGCCGAGGGCCAGGCCCACAACAACCCCATGCTGCCCCAGAACCAGCCAGGCGGCGGCGCCTTCCCGCCCGCCGGCATGCCCTTCCCCCCGCCGTTCCCAGGGGGCATCCCGCCGCCCGGGTTCCCGGCCCTGCCAGGCGTCGGCGGTCCCGGCGGGCCCTCCGCGCCCGGCGCCCCGCCAGGCAGCTTCCCCTTCCCGCCGCCCGTCCGCCCGGGCTCCAACAGCGCCTTCCCGCCCTTCCCTCCGCCTCCGGGTGGTGCTGCTGGCGGGCCCGGCGCCCCCAACATGCCGCCTCTGCCGATCCCCCCGCCTGGTGCAGCCGGCGGCCTGCCGTTCCCGCCCCCCGGTGGCCTGCCGTTTCCTCCTCCTGGTGCTGGCGGTGCTGGTGCGCCGCCCAACTTCCCGTTCCCGCCTCCTGGTGGGTTTCCTGGGGGCGTGCCGCCTTTCAATCCTGCTGGGGGACCGCCTCCTCACCTGGGGCCTCCTGGAGGGGAGGGAAGATGATGACGCGGCGCTGGCCCAGGGTCCAGTTGTCAACGGAGCAGCGAGATCGTCGGTCGGGGCTCGCACTGAGAGCTCCGTGTATTGAAGCATTCCTTTCGTGCGCCGATGGCGGATTGAGATACATGCCGAGAAAGCATGGCTAGGGAGAATGGCGTTTGGCGTTGGTCGCTTGCAGGAGCACAAGGTCTAGGCAAAATCGAAAAGAGAGGCATCGAAATTGCTGGCACGTTCGAGTCGAAAGATCACCGAGGTGTTCTATCAAATGGTGGCCATTGACTATGCCAGACAGCACATGCTTGAGGTGCGGACAGCCGTCCTCGACGAACAACGCATGGTTGAAGAGGACGGCGTTGGGATAAAAGATAAGCCTATCCATGCTTGTTTTCGCTCCGTTTTCCGCGCAGTAAAAACTTGTTCTCGGCTTTCCAGTTTGTATGAAGCGCGTGGACCAAATTCTGGCAGACAGGGTGTCACGAGCAGGGGCCTAGAGCAAGGCCGTCGAGAAAAAGCGCAAACTCACTGCACGCAGCCCAGCCCAGTGTGGCTTCAGATAAAATTGTTCGTCAAAAGGCCGTTAGGTATCATTCATCAGCTGCCAGTCAGATAGATACATGGAAAGGCTATCTATAGTGTACAGCGGGAAAAGGATCAAGTCGTTCCATCATCCAAGTCGTCCATCCGTGCTACCCTGACGTGCTCAAAAGCTAAAGCGAAGAGAAGAACGGTAGCAAAGACAAATAATTCCAAATCGCTCTGTGCTCTCCTCCATAGCTTTTCAGTGCTGCGCAATATGCAAAAACAGGGGAAAACACATAGAAATGATTCTTTTCTGTATCCTGTCCTCTCTCTGTGTGGAACATCGCGAAAGAGGGCCCAATGAGGAAAGCTGTCAGTCGTACCGCCTTGCCGTGCGCGTGTCATTGAAATCGCCATGCTCGTCAAAATCCAACGCCAAAGTTAAGTTGCCACCCAGCCCCCGAACTTGCCCTCCCAGTAAACATTTGTACATCCTGTCGTCATGTAATGGCACGGAGCGTATAGGTGCGGGCAATCAAAGAAAGCAGAAGTCCGCTCCGTACAAGATATGTCAGTCCGTCATGAAAAGTAAATCGCATAAATTCGTAAAATGGTGGCTCGTGGGGTGGGCGTTTGGCCATTACTGGCTGGCTTTTGTGCTCAATGCAACTCCGGTGTGACAAGCCAATCGAGACGGCAGTATGCTGCGAGAGGCTGTTGCGGCTCTAAGTGTCTGGCCTGGACGCTACCGCATTCCGTGGTTCAGCTCCCGTCAATCCGTTGGGGCATTCTCCGTGGCTGGGACAAGGCCGGCCGATAGCCATCTTGCCGAATGACATCTACCACGCCATCACGAACCTCACGGGGGCCACTGATCTTCTTCCGTAACTCGTTGCTGCGTTTCTCGCGTCTCTTATCGCTTAAGCGCCGTGTCAGGGCACCCAAGTTCTGAGACATGGACCATCTCCTGGTCTCAGAAGTCCGCGGAGGTGTCGCCCGATCTGCAGTACCGTTTGCATTGGCACTGGCATGTGAGCCTCTGATACTGCTGAGGCTGTTGGATCGGGACCAAAACAACCGGCGGCGTCCGTCTCCATCAGGCGCGGTCGAGGGGCGTTCCGCTCTGCTCGCCTTGTTGCGGAGGGAGCCCACGCTTCCACGATGCTTGACTACCCTCAAGTTTCCACTGGGGGTCCGCCTGATTGTCCTTTTGTCCGGACCGCTAATGAAGGCATCCTCGTCTTGGAGAGGCATGATGGCAAAAGTCCGCTTCATACGCTCACTAAGACTTCTCTTCGGTGGAGGAGGTCGGTTGTCAATAGACGGATACCGCATGACCTCTTCTTCATCCTCGCCCTCCATGTCATAAATCCCATCATCATCGTAGTGACTTGGGTAATACGATGGCCGCCAGTCAGGGTGAAGTCGGGTCTCGTCCATAGGCTGCTCATGTGGCAGCGATTCGCCGTGTGGCTGGTCCACCTCCGGGTCGTCCATGGTGCCTTTTCGCGTGTTCTTACCCAGGGACAAGGTCCTCGCTAGGAGGCCGGGACGAGTGTCACGGTTTGGAGAAGGCCCATAGGATGCATACGAATGCCGTCTTTTGCTCAGTGCCCGACGAACCAGGGAAGGCGCCTTCTTAGGTTTCTCGTCTAGGTCATCGTAGAAGTTTCCCAGCATTTTGGTCTTCTCCTCTGCTGGTGTTAAGCCCGAGGGAGTTGCAGGAATAAACTTGATGGCAGGAGGTTCTGGGGGTTCTCGGGGGTTCCGCAACGGAGAGTCCACGCTGTCCAGAGTGAAAGTTGGCTGCGCCAAAGGTGTAGAAGGCTCATCCACAGAGATGCCATCAACCTCCGTGGTCGTGATGGTAGGCCGGTTCGGCCTCTCTGTGGACTGGCTCCCGGGATCGCCATCCGAGCTTTCAGACGGCCTGTGGTCAACCACAAGGATAGACCTGTTCTGGTGAGGAAACATGCTGATGGCCCTGGCTTCCCCGATGTCCGCCGCCGACGTCCCGTTCGTTTCTACAGAAGCCTGTGAGAATGGTGTAGCCTTGGCCGAGAGCAGCAATTCTCCTATCCTTGACGCCGACTGCCGTGGTTGATGGGCCTCGAGTCTATCCTGTTCGCCTCTCGGTTTGAAGTGCTCCAGAGACGGCACGGGATTAACGGTGACCGCCGGCGGGTGTACCTGTTCGCTGTAACCCGACGGCTGAACGACGTTCCGTTCTGCCGCTGCAGGCGCAGGCTTGGTGGGATATCCGTTCGCTTGCATAGCATTGTGAGCTCTGAGGCTATCCGCAGTCAGTGATCCGGCCCGCGAACCATTCCGCGATGCGTCTCTTGATTGACTTCGACTGCCAGGTTGACTCGTCGGTGCGGATAAAGAGGACGCTCTTTGGGGGACAACAGGAGGAAAGTCCATGGTGCGCTGCTGATCTCCAGGCGTCGAGCCATCCGACTCTGATATCGACCGGCCACGTCTGGGTGGGCGGTCAAAATAGGGAGTCAAATCTTGGCCATTTGGCAGCTTGTCCAGAGGCACGGAGCCAAGGCTCTGGCTCTTTGATCTCCTGCTGTCGGCTGACCGCAAAGAGCGCTCTCGACTGCTGGACCTATTTGATGATTGGCGATCGGGTACCACAACTACCGGAATGCCGCCGTTCTTCCACACATCACGACGAGCCTTTCGGCTGCCCACAGAGTTGACTGTCGAGTTAGACGCATAGCTCTCGCGCAGTACATCCTTGGCCTGGTCTGCAGATTGCCGCCTGGATGTTAGACTGTTCAGAGTCGTTGCTGAGCTCACAAGCGACGGCTGCCAAATTGAATCGCGCAATGCATCCACTCGCTTGACGTGGCGCAATGTTCTTTGGCGGCGCGGAGGGGTTCCGACCAGGATTGCTTCTACGACCGTTGAAGCAGCCGACTTGGAGGACATTCCCGAAAGCCTCCTGCTATCCGCACTTGTGACTGCATCCGTATTTGCTCTCTCCGGGGCTGTGAAGCTTCTTGAGGGGTCGGTAGAATCGTAGGTAAGAATTCTGCCCTTCAGCGGGAAGGCGCGCACAGCTCTTGTGGCATTTGTAGGTGAGACAGTGAAATCATCTACAACCTCGTGTTGCCTTCCATTGTTATGCGCACTAGGCCGCCTCTTTCGCACGGTCACATTCCTCATGAGGTTGTCATCCCATTCCTGTTCGACGTCGTTGGGCGAGCTCCCGAAATCGCCGTCAAATGCGGTGAAGTCGCCTTTGGCCTTGGGCGTCAGGCTGTTGTCGTCGGCCAAGCTGGGTCCCAAACCTAGCCCAGAGCCTGAATGGTTTTTCGGGGTGTGCCTTTCGCTACCATTGGTTTGGCCTTTGGCAAGTCGGACTGTGACCTCTGATGTTCTCGCAGACTGCGCGGCTGGACGCAGCGTCGACCGGCCATCCTCCTCATCCGAAGGCTCGGGGCTCTCCCTTGCAGTCTTGAAAGATTCGGTGCGTGACTCAGTAGTGGCCTTGGACGGTACTCGATCGGTGAGAGCCGGCCGCAATATCAGAGGTCTAGGCCGGATGGCGCTTTGTGGAGGCGTCACGTCGGGAGTGGGAGGGCTCCGTTGATTCGGCGGGGTGCTCGGACTGGCCTTGGAGGGCACGTCCTCGGAGCTCTGGGCTGGCGTCTGAAGGGGGCTTAAGCCCGAGAGGGGGATAGAGTGGCTGCTCGAAGACGTTCTGGAATGCGCTGGTGGAGTCGGCGGCAGGTCCCCACCACTTATCCTGCGGCGTTGATGTCGCAATGTATGGCTGCTTGCCACGAGTGAGCGGGGCTCAACGTGCGAAAGGGCATGCATAAGTGGTAGCGTCATCTTACCTCTGAGAGACCGTGCTGGGAGTTCTTGCAGAGTCGGAGCCGTTAGAGAAGCTCCCATTTGCGCTCCTGGGGTGTGGAAGGACCTTGTGCCTTTTGAAGGTCCTCTGGCTTCTCTGGCTCTCAGGGCTCGCGTCAACGTCATGCTCCTCGGGCGGCACAATATACTCTACCCCAGGGATTGCCATGGTGCTCGAAGTTGAAGAATACGGTGACCCAGCCATGCTGATGGTCATGTTCAGGTTTGGGTACTTGTGCGGGCAGGACGTGCCGCGACAAGGCCCGTGGCTCTTGTGGTCGTTGTTCTATGATGCGGCTCGACGGATGATATTTCGATGCTTTGGTAGCATTGTGGTGAATAATTAGATGATGATACTTTGTCGTTGGTTATGAATATGCCCCCATGTGAAGCAAGCTTGGTGGGGATCGAGCCGCGTGCTGTCTACGGAAGATGCAGCCTGCCTGCCTGCCTGCCTGCCTGCGTGGGCCAAAAAAGAGGGACGAAACACAAGCGCTGGAGGACGTGTCTTTCCCTTGATGAAGTCGTAATGAGTCGTACCAGGCGGGCAACAATGGCGAAGGGTCTCGCAGAGCTGCCGTGGGGTATCCTGGGTGCGAGAACTCGAGGAGGGTGCGGTGGGAAATTTATGTCATGCGTTGTGAGCACAGAAAGGGGAGGAGAGAAGAGAAGGATGGAGTCGGAGAGGCTATTCGCTAATCGTGCATCCGTCAAAGTCGAGGCGCAGACCAATAAAAGGAGTAGGTAGGGTCGAAGAAGTTGTGCATGGCTGACGAAGGAAACGCCAAAGCTGGAAAGGAATGGCTGACGTCTTGGAAGATGGGAGTGGCCTGTCTCTGTAGGGGCGGGAAAAGGATGCGAGCTCGCCCCAGCAAAATACCCAAACGTTGCCCGCTGCAGCCGGCGATGACACGAGACTTGGGGGAAGCCCGAGATGGGGGACGATGAGAGGAGAGAGGTGGGAGCGTGGGAGCGTGTGAGCGTGGGAACGTGCGAAGGTGCCCAGGTTTGGAGGTGACGACCAACTGCGATGCGGATGTGCACGTCAGGTCAGGCGGGGAGGGAGGGCCCAGGGGACTTGACGGGACTTGAGGCCACTCCCACAGCCAGTCCGTCATGTCAGTCAAGCAGCAAGCTGGCAAGTCATGGACGACGACCAATTCTGCGCGCTGCAGTGCAGGCAACTCGAGCACTCGGTCAAAACAGGGAACTTGGGCTTGCCAAAACGAGGGGCTGGGGGACCGGTGGGCTTGGAGGGGGGAACCTGGGGGAACCTCCGTCCTCCTGGTCGAATGGGCGAGGCCGGGCCGAGCAGGCAAGTGGCCTTGGGCATGCGCTCATTATGCTACGCTGCTTGCCTGAAAAGTGCACGCCTGTTGGATGCTCCAGGAATGCGTATTTTTGTCTGCTGCGAAAGCTTGAATGTCGAGCGGGCAGAAGCTCAGACCTGGATACAATCTATTGCGGGATCCAAGCGTTAAGAAGAGGTCCCGGATGAGAAAGGGCAAGATCGCCGCCTCGCGGTGGGAGCTTGGGCCAGGTGCGGATGACAACCTGACAATTTGGACAAAGCAATTGTTCGCCATTATTTTTTAAGTTACAGCCTGCTGGCAGACATGCTGCTGAGACCTGAGACCTGAGACCTGAGACCTGAGACCTGGGGTCACGGCTTCGGCAGCTTCCAAAGAATACGGCAGATGGAAGCCACCGCGGTAACACATATATGTGCCGCCCACCATCACGATGCGACCCGAGGATGGTGTTTGGCCGCAACATCCATCGCAGTCTCCCCCGTCTCGCCCGCCTCGCCCACCACCCACCCACGCGTCTGCAAATCATCGAGCCAACACCACCGTCCGTACGGCCATGTACTTCGGTACACACTCGCCTGCTCTTGGGGATTGCTACCATCCGAATGCAGTGGCCCACCCGGCACGAACCCCATCAGGCAAGTCAAATGCCACCACACGCCAGGCTCACCCACTCATTCGTTCGAGACCTGCATGCCGGCTTGGATGCCTTGCAGCCAACCAGAGACGCATGGCTTCACCCGCGCGCACCCTTCCTGCCTTTCCACCGCGCACCTCCAGACGGGGCGTGTTCCGGTGACATGACATCTCAGACCTCAACAGAGGCCCCAGCGGACTCGATCTCTCTTGATTGTTGGGAGCTGCCCAGCATTCAATCCGATCGCCTTTGCCGTCTCAGAGACCTGGTCACGATGGTCGAAGCCCCATGAGCAACCTTGGGTCGTGCTCGTTTCTGTCTACGGGGCATCTGCCGGTGAGCCAACAAGTCGCTCAAGCATTGTCAACGTGGACGTCGTCGCGTCGACTCGACTCGACTCGACATCTTGGCAACTTTGAACCGAAACCTCAACCATAACCTTCTCCGCCCGGCTCACGTGGTAGCAACCATGGGGAGGAGACAAACTTTTGATTTCCCCCCGATCCCAAAGTCATCGGACGGCTGGGTCCCTTGATGGCACTGTCTCCTCCATAAAACGCGCGGCTAGGCGCCTTTTATTTGCCCAGTGGTCCATTATCTTCACCCTCTGGCCGCCAAAGGTTACACAGCAGCTCTAACTCGTCTTCGCGGCGCGGGCCTTCCCTCCGGCTAATGAGGTTGCTTATTACGATTCTTTTGTTACCACAGCATAACAGATCACTGCCTAGAACCAGGTTTTCCGTACGGGGTTCTCTATCGGCCACACTGACTTTCTCAGATTGACTGAGCAGTGTAAACAAACGCCAGAGAAAGTCCTTCCGGCGTGTTGTCCATCCAGGTGAGCTCAGATGTCATCATATGGATACCCTTTCACAAGATTTTCTTTTACAGGAGCTCAGGCCTAAGTTGGGCATGTCCACTCGGGATCCATTCTGGAGGAAGCCGGCCCGCGCAAGGATATTCCTGCACTGCACATTCTGACCTGTAGTCGGGTCGGTTCTGGTGCATGTCTCGATGGCCAAGAAGTCAACCTGGGTTTCCCTTCCCAAGTCTGCTACTTTGATCCTCTTAATCGTGCTTTCTTTGCGACGTCCTTCATTTTGGTCTGAGTCCGAAGCTCATTCACAACCTCGCATCATCTGCTACACGGAGTTGACTCAAACGGAGTGGGCATGGCTTGCTTGGGTGGAGCTCTCGTTCCGAACCACGGGCAGTCCCGAATCGGGCCCGAGCGACCTGTTCCCCGGAGCGGCCCACAGTCTTGAGTTGATCCGCTGACGGCCGTTGACGCTTGTTTCAATTGAGCGTCAATTGACAATGGTGCAAGAATCTGTCTGCTATGTCGATAGACAGCATCACTGTTCATGAGGAACTCCGAAGCATTCGACCTCCAGAACCACCGATGAGAGAATCTCGTCGTCGATAAGCATCCTGTCTGTTGGCCAAGCGGCGTCTTATCTTTGCTTCCCCCAAACCCCACACCCGACGCCGTTGAAGATAACCAAAGAAACCCCGCCAGAACTACGGCTCTGCCACACGTCATACATCGCTGCTAGCTCAACGTTGCGGCTGGCCGGACCAGGGGCTAGAGGGATGGTTTGTCGGTTCCTGGTCTGCAAGTCAGACGTGCCTACAGTTTCCATTAGGTTTGGAAACATCTCTCACGCGCAGCATGGCCCGTGGCTCACATCCTTGGGGGCATACAGCTGGCTACAGCCATTGGGCAATGCTGGCCTGTGGAGGTGATGCCCTGCCTCCACAGCTGGCAGACCACTGACGCAGGCCATCTCCATCACGATGTGCAGTTACTATCTCGATGCCCCGCACTCCGGGCGGCACTCACGCTACCCGGCCTCGGTATCTCCTGGGAGGAGCTATATGTGCCAATGGACAAGACGCTGCTGGACAGGGCTGGCAGGTCAGCCACTTGCCCGGCAGCTTGGGCAAACCCATGAGGAGTCCCTTGCCCGCATTACTACGTCGATTGACTAGTCGATTGGTCCGGCCACATGAATTGGCAATGCTGAATGGCCAGCCTGGAAAGCATGATGTTGATAAGCTACGGGGCAAGGTGCTCGGTCTTGACCGCAAGAGCCCACCCATTGGGATTGTGGGAGCAAGCTTGATCATAGCTCGAGAACAATAAAAACAGGCCGAAGCCCCTCTGAGCATCCTTTACCTTCCTATCCTGTGATCTCCTTGCTTGAACTGCTTCTCCCATACGCCCCACTATGCTGTCCAAGACCTCACTTGCCCTGGTTGGGGCTGCTGTTGTGACTGCTCACAGCAGCCATGGGCCACAGAGTCCGATCTCGGGACCCCATCAATCTCTGTGGTATAATGTCATCCCTGGTGATGGAGGCACACAGGTACGTCATGACAGACGACGAGGATTCAGCGGTCTTGTACTGACCACTCCACAACAGGCCGACTCTGTCTTCTCCGGAATCTCAACCTTTGGACGCTTGCCATACGCTCAGTGCCTGTCCCCTCAGAGCGACGTGAAATATGATATAGCCTTCATCGGTATGTCGTTCGCAGGTTTAACCAACTGGAGGCACCAATAACAGCCAAGACTAACGTGCTACTCTGCTGAAGGTGCACCTTTCGATACCGGCACTTCATACCGCCCGGGAGCCCGTTTCGGCCCTTCTGGTATAAGGCAGGGGTCACGAAGGTTGAACCTTTAGTATGTACTGCCCTGTCAATCCAGAACAGTAACGTAACAATTTATGATATCTGACTAGAGTCGGCTTCAGCGGAGGATATAATGTTCCTCTTGACACGAACCCATTCAACAGCTGGGCTACTGTCCTCGACTGCGGTGATATTCCCGTAACCTCGTAAGGATCAAAAAGACCGTTAGATGCATGTACTCTCTCGGACTGACAGGCTCACCTTCCAGATATGACAACACATGGGCTCTTCACCAGATCGAAGAGGGCCACCACACCATCCTCACCCGCGACCCGGCCACGGATGCTGACAAGCTCGGTCCGGCCAAGAAGGGCAAGACCCTGCCCAGGGTGATCACGCTCGGTGGAGACCACACTATCACGCTGCCCCTGCTGCGGTCTATCAACCGGGCTTATGGGCCTGTGTCTGTGATCCATTTTGACTCCCACCTCGACACTTGGCGCCCCAAGGTCTTCGGTGGCTCGCCGTCCGAAGTGGCTAGCATCAACCATGGTACCTACTTTTACCACGCCTCGCAGGAGGGCCTGCTGAAGAACGACACCAACATCCACGCTGGCATCCGGACAACGTTGAGTGGGCCCTCGGACTATGACAATGACGGCTACTGTGGCTTCCAGATTGTGGAGGCCCGGGAGATTGACACGATTGGCATTGACGGTATCATCAAGAAGATCAGTGCGTCAAAGCCATTCACCCTTGAAGTAATTCGTACCAGTATCAAGTTACTGACATCCTATCAGGGGAGAGAGTCGGAACCACAAACCCGGTGTACCTGAGCATTGACATCGACACCCTGGATCCTGCGTGTAAGTTTTGCTTGATCTCGTTCAGAATCAAACGACAGGGGGACAATGCTGACGCGCGAGCAAATACAGTCGCCCCTGCCACTGGCACCCCGGAGACCGGAGGGTGGTCGACGCGCGAGCTCCGGACCATCCTGCGCGGCCTGGACGGCATCAACCTCATTGCTGCCGACATTGTCGAGGTTGCCCCCGCGTACGACACGAATGCGGAGCACACGACCATGGCTGCGGCCGACGCCCTGTACGAGGTCATGTCTATCATGGTCAAGAAGGGCCCTCTGAGCAAGACCGTGGACCAGGGTAAGGAGCCGGAGCTGTAGATATGGATGGATCGAGTGAGGAGTTGGCGGCCGGCATGAGGCGAAAAGTTGGCGTTTCTGGCGGTGAACCAGGGGAAGAAGAAGGCGATGGATGCATTGGAATCATGAAGCTGTTCAAATTTCTTTTCTATAGCGAGGCAGATAAGTCGTGGCTGCGGTCATGCAATATGATGGATGGCGGTTTGAGGATAAGAAGCGTGCCTTGCTATGTGCCCCCATTTCAAAAAATCTTAAGGCCCGGAGAAGCTGAGGCTCGTCGTCCAACGTGTCTAGCTGTTCATGACCTAGGGTACGGCCGCTGCACCATGTGGTACTTGGTGTCTTTTAAGGGTGGCATGGTGAGCTGCGTACCCGGCTACGGTATGTCTTCCAACCTCCAGAGGATAACCGAAAGGGGTTTCTTGCCATGTTAAGAATACCTCCGCCGCCGTCTTCTTTTTCGTACAGACAGTCTAATGGGGGCGTCAAGCTGGTCCGGACACTCGAGTCCTGTGTGCACAAGCATTCAACATCACGCTATAAATTAATCCATAGACAATTATTGGATGGGATTCCAGCCTTGTTTGATGTTGCAATTATGATGGTGTGCCATTAACTGCAACGGAGGAGGATGTTGGGGTGCTCAACTGCAGTGGAAATCGACGTGGGGGCCTCTCCACTAACATTTCCGCCTGCGCTTATGTATGCTGTGCTGTGGCAGGTCAGCCCCTTCCCTACCTAGGTGCTGTTGCCCCAAGCCAGAGAATTTCGATTATTCCCGAACCAAGTCAAGGTGCAATCCTCAAACATCCATACCTCAGTACGTACTTGACTGTCAAAGGTCGCATATCCTTGGTTCACAGTCCTGTCTGAAGCCCAACGCACGACCTCGGGGGTTTTTAGCGCTGGGTGCACTGCGTTACAAGGCCACTCCTGAGCACACGCGCAGACCGCGTCACCTCCTTCAGCGCAGCTGGTTCCGTGCGATCCATCCAGCAATGCTTCTCAGGCTCCCGGCAGAGCTACAGCGCATGGTGGTCGAAGAGCTCCGACTGCCTCGCCTGCCTGTTGGAACCCCGCGGTCCCTAAACCCGGACTTCATCGACGCCCGCTCGGCACTCGTCAGGCTGTGCCTCACATCGCGCCGCTTCTTTGGGCTGGCCGAGCCCTTGCTATATGAGAGCATCGCTCTTACTCATGACAAGCAGTTTGTGCATCTTTTGCACGCCCTGCTGGTCAAACGGGACAGGAGATCATGGATACGCTCTATGGCTTGCCCCATGAGCATCATGTCTGAGACGGATCATTTGCAGGCTCTGCCTATATGGAATCGACTGATTGCGCCGTGCAAGGAAACGGGCCTGGACCCACGGGAAAAGTCAGCACTGCTTTTCTGTGGATTGGAAGTTGGCCGCGTCCTACGAGAGGACCGATGGGACGATGGCGAATTTCTATGGGATGGTCCGTTCCAATTTTTCGATGAGTTGCTGGCTGTTATCTTATGCTTGACGACGCATTTGGAGGACCTTCTCTTGCAGATACCGACCGACCAAGAGCCTCACCTGGACGACCATCTCCTACACCTCGCAAACGCTCTCAGCTTAGGTCGGAGTATACATCCATCCGGTGTGCTCAAATCGCTAAGGAGTGTTCGGGCCCAGCCAACGCGTCTCGTGGAATGCAAGTCTCACAAGTCAGGATACAGGGAGATAAGGCCACGCAACGTCGTGCCCGGGCGTTACGACCCAGCTTTTGGGATAGATCCTTTATGCCTGCGTGCTTTTGAGATGGACACCGTCGAGGCAGTAGAATGTTGCGGCGACAACGGCATCTGGTTCAAACTCCTCAAGCCCGATCATGGCCCGTGGACAGATGAGGAACTACCCCTGGACTTGAAGGGATTCCGCTCCCTCAAGAGCCTGAAGCTCTACGAGAGCAGGACAACCCCTTCGTACTTGCGACATCTTCTGGAGCAGGCCCACAGCCTTGAGGTATTTCATTACACTACGAGGCAACAAGAATGGAGGCAGGACTATTCGGAACCCCGATATACCGAGTATGCCTTTATGCCTCGTGATTTCTTCTCTATGAATGAGGCACTGGAACCAATCAAGGATACTGTAAAGGAACTGACCCTGGGGAACGTTCAACGGTCCTGGGACAACGGCGACCAGGAATATCGCGACCTCGAGCTGATCGTGGTTCTGGGCTCGTTCGAGAGACTCACCCATCTGTCGATCGACATCAGATGGCTCATTCCCATCTCGCTGGACATGGACGAGGAGGTGGCCATAGTCCCTCTCTGCAAGAGACTGCCTCGGTCTATCGAAGTGATCAGACTCACTGAGACGTGGACAAGAAGGGACCTTCGAGCGCTATCTAGCAGTTCACGACTCGAGAGGCAGGCAATGGCCTGGGTGCAGGCAGCCCTCTGGACTCTTTTGGTCGTCGACGACGAATCTGGAGGGAAGGAGATGAAGCTTTGTCACCTGAGAAAGGTGACTCTCGCAGCAGTGCCGACCTTCCATTCGTTTGGGGCACGGGGAATAGAGTCAGATGATGAAGACGATGATGGGGATTTCGACTGCGCACCTCTCAAGACCGACCAGGGAATAGAAGAGATGAAGAGCGCATTTTCAATACACGGTGTCGAATTCAATGTTGAGTGGATTTGTGATCATCTATTCTTCTCGCCGTCTGCTGGGGATTCTGAGGATGATGACGAATCATACGAGTACGAATATGACCTTTACAGCGTTTGAGTACTTATTTCATACTTAAGTATCATTGTGTTGGATTCTCAAGTCCACATTTTTTGCCATAATGCGATGTATACCGCATCGTCAGATGAGACTTTCGCATCGGTATGATTTTCAAACGCCATGTGCAGACTGGGGTGTGAGAGAGTCAAGTCTCCTTTGCGCCCCAGGCCTCCAGGTCTGCCATCGCCTCGTCCAAATACTTTCGTTCATCATCCTGATACTTCAAATACTGGCTCTGCTTCTCCCCCATAGCATCAATGACCAGTCTCGTCTCCTCTGCCAGCCTCTTCGCCTCATCGGGCTTCCCGGCCTTCCAAATACAGCTGATAAGGTTTCTCCTAGCCCCTTGTGAGGGGGGACTGTCGGCCCCCATCATCTCATCAAAGACAGGCACCACCTTCCTGGAGAGCTCTTCCGCTTCAGCAAAGAGGCCCTGCTCCTCCTTGAGAGCTGCCATCATGTTGACGGCTGAGATGTTGACCACGCCCGGTTTGGCCGGGTTCGGGGTATCCATCATGGCTTGGATGGCGGCCTCTTGCTCGGTCTGCATGCCCAGTTCGGACAGGACAGTCATGCGGGCCAATGTCAATTTCATCCACTGGGGATAGTCCGTGATAGCTAGGCCTCTTGGCCCAGCTGCCGCGTCACGGCTGGAAAATTTACCTCTGAGCTTTTCGAGGAGGAACCGTAGCTTGTCTTGCTTCACTGCAGAGCCCATGCCGTCGAAGTCGGGGTCCATTGCCATGATTTCTCCTTCGTTGTAGCATTGGAGAAAGTTGCGACCAGTTGTGTATTTCAAGTCTGACCTGTCATTCTGTAAGCATAATGGCGAGATGATTTGAGAATTGCGCAACAATACCAGAAAGGAATCTCAGGAACATCATAGTCCCAACTGAATTTCGGGGCGGAAGGGTTCTTCACCCCGGCTGGTGTTTCGAGTGACATTTTTTTATCAATGCGGCAACGAGTTACCCAGAAATGAGTCGAGATAAACTGCACCGTTCGGTGTCCGTTCAGGGGTTTTATTTGGGATCGAGGAAGGTTAGATAGATGATGGTTGAGTTATTGCTCATGAACCCGCTCAGATATCACATTCCAATTGAAGAGGGGTTTAGGCTGAAGCCGGACCAACATCCTCCCGGCTGTCTTTCACTTATCTCTGCTTTCACCAACTGAAAATGATTGATCCAAAAAAGCTCATGGCACTAAATCTACTCAGAGCGAATTTCAAAAACATAATCATTACATGGCGTTTAAGACTGAATAAGTTGTAGACCAGGCGCCTTACCTACTACATATGTACCTAGGTAGGCAGCTTCAATTTAGGAATTACGTCGTGTTTTGTGCTATCCGTCGATCGGAGCATTTTTCACTCACACATTCGTGAAATAGTGCTGCAGATTGAAGCAGTTCTGTATTTAAGTGATAAGAGATTCGTACCTCTATAGGTATTGGACGGACAATGACACCCGCAAACGGCCAGACGACCACAACATCCACTTGCCCGCGTCCATGCACAGTCGATGCTCGAATGCGAAATTCGTTTGCTGTTCTATCGGAACCGGCCCACACGACCTTGGCCCAACACTCGGTACATCATGCACTTGCAAGCCATCAATGTTGAACGTGGTGCCATATGGTGAAAGCATTCAATTGATGCCTTCCCCCAGAATTGCATCTTCGATATTGTCCGCCATATTCTTCACAAAGAACAGGTGATCGTGTTTCAAGAAGGATACATGGATTTAATAGAAGTACCAATTCTCATCCTCTGCATCAAAAATATTATGTGGGTTCGTGACAAAAACTACTGCGTATGTTCAACTACCCAAGTATACGATATTGGCCTATTTCATGCCCACATGCAGCGAGCTTGAGCCAAGCCAGTGGTACAAGCACAATCTGCTCCACAATTGCTCAAGTGTGGCTTTTGACAGTTTGCCGTTGAAGGAAGTCCATCTGGGCATGTGGCCGATTCGGGTTGCCTTGGACTGATACTTGGCCTCCGAGTCAGGGCTGCATGTGGTGCGCCAAAGTAAGAAATATACTTCTATGCCAACCACACAAGCGCTCGCTCGATGCCTTTGATCACTGCCACAAACGCTAATATGGGGCTTGAAAAGGGGCTCGCTGAGTCAGCTCAGGGGATTTTGGGCCGAGTGAAGAGATTACCGATCCTTCCGCCGCCAACGCCATCTTGAAATAATGCTACAAGTATATGCTCATACAGCTTGAGACTTTCCTCTTCTCCAAACGGTTACACATCAGGTGCTAGTGCTCATTTTATCATATATCATAAGCAAATTACAGTGTGGTTTCTCTTCTTGGAATCAGCCACGTCTCTGCTCTATCTTGGATTTGGCTCGGCTGTACTGCTAACTACCCTAGACCTGGGGAGTCCAGCTAGAGCTACATACCCAGGTACCCAAGTAGGTATATGCCCGCAAAACGCGAAAGCCGAAAGTTCGACGACGAGGATCTACCAGAGTTTCTAGAGAACTCGCCCTTCTTACCCGTCTGGAATGAGAGCGCAGCTAGGAAGGCAGCCGCGCCTAGGGCTGCCAGCAACACAGAGTTACTGAGATCAAAGCCTGCGCGGCTGGCATACGGTGTGCTCCTGTTGACATGTATACTCCTATGGCTTCGGAGTGTACATATTTATGACCGCTTGACGGGGCCATCATGCTATTTTCGAACACCAGTGGCACCAGATGATGACTGGAGGGCAACAAGAGACTGGAGCAAGTATGCATATTCTCTGTATGCCACAGACAAGGAGTACCTTTGCAATGCCGTTATGATATTTGACGATCTAAGTCAATATGGAAGTAAGGCAGAGAGGCTACTATTATACGCGGATACTATGGACGCCAATGATGGCGACTCTCCCGAAGGAAGGCTGCTTGCCAAAGCAAGAGACGAGCTTGGGGTAAAGCTGCAACCGGTTAAAGTCTTACACCAGGAAAGCGCTGCCTGTAAGTTCTTTGTATTGCGAACTTCGCGCGGTGCCCCTTCCTGACACGCGACCATGACAACAGACTCGGGGCCTAACTGGGCCGACTCATACACAAAGCTCCTGGCGTTCAAGCAAACCCAATATGACAGGCTGATAACCTTGGACTCCGACTCTCTGCTGCTTGGATCGCTGGACGAGCTCTTCTTCGTACCATCAGCTCCAGCAGTCATGCCGCGTGCCTATTGGTTGAGCAAACCAACGATGTCATCGCATATCATGGTGCTGACTCCAACCGAAGACGCATTCCGAAAGGTGGAGGATATTATTGAACGAAGGGCTGGCAAGGGTTTTTATGATATGGAGATCATGAACTCCTTGTTTGGCGGCACCTGTGAGGTCCTCCCACACGAGCCTTATGCCCTTCTCACAGGCGAGTTTCGAAGAAAAGACCACTCCGCTTTTCTCAGCTCCCAGTCTGGTGGGGCCTGGGTCCCCAAGGACGTGTTGAAGCAGGCCAAAATGGTGCACTTTAGCGACAACCCATTACCAAAACCCTGGGTTGCCAAAGACGAGAGGATTCTGGCCGCGAAACCCGACTGTTTGTTCGACGCCGAGGCCGGGGAAGAGTGCCGAGGTCAGGAAATCTGGTTAGAGTTCTATAGGAGATTCCGTGAAAGGAGAAATGTAAGTGAACTCCCCACGGGCAGCAGTGGATAGCTCTGCAGGAAAAGCCACCTGGCTGACACAGGCGTGATACAGAACATATGTGTTTGAAACAGCGCTCCAGACCGCAATACATGCTACTGTATCTATTGTAGAACCTGCAAACTGAGGGTGATGCCCCTGGATAATCTCAACACCTCCACTGTGTTACGCACTTCTAGAGCACGACAGGCTCAAACAAACATTGAATGGATCGAGAATGAGAGCGGGCTGTTTCCTCCCCGTTGCGGAAAGGCCACGGAACAAGTGCTCGTAAGGAGTCCAATTCTGTTTGTGGTCAGACAGGCTTTCGGAAGGTTGGCGAGCATCTCTGTGGTTCCATGGCCGGTGGACGCTAAGACTCACCAGTCGTTTGCGACGTCGCGTTCCCGGTCCCTCATTGATCAAAACCCCAGATTGCAACTCGCCCCAGGAGGTCAGGGGTGCAACACGCTACAGTTGGCGAGCGATGAGTGGCTATGATGTCTCAGCGTTTGCCCAGGGTGCTGTCCCAGATCATTTTCAATTTCTATGCAGTTACATACTCCGAGTCACCCTCATCTCCTTTGCCTTACAACGGCCCAGTCTGGTTTCTATGGGCTACATTGGTAATGTGACCAGCCCAGCAAGGTTGATGAGTAGCAAACCGACAGGATCCGGTGGTTGTGCTTCTTATTTCAGGCGGATCGGCCCTTGCGATGTTTTGATTTTGGTTGCATCGTGTGTTTTGCACACTCAACTTGTCTCTGTGGCACAAGGACCACAGCGCTCGTACTCTGCCACAAGCTACATCCTTGAATCCCAACATGTTATAAATGAATGGAGAGTGTCGCTCCTTCATTCGAAATCAGAAAAAAGCCGACCAATATTCATTACTCAATTACTTCTGCCGTCAAAATGAAAGCCGTCGTGGTAGTCGCCGTAGGCGCAGGCCTGGTTGCAGCTCAAGTCAATTACACGAATGGGCATTATGAATGCGCTTTACCACACCAGGTGTACTGCCTGGGAGAGTCGCTGGCCACCAATGTCATCGTGCGGTGCGACGAGTCCGCCATTGGGCAGGTTGGTAATTGCAACGACGTGAGTTTGATCCAGATGCCCCTCGTCTTCATCCCTGTGTCTGCGGTGGGCGCGCCAAAGACAGCACTGGGACTAATCAGTAAATCAGAACGTTTCCGGGGAGCCTCCCTTGGGAAATACCTATTCTCCATGCTGGCAGACATCCAATATCACGGGTGACGCGGCCTGCAGCAAGAATTGCGTCGTGTATGGCAGCTCCGGCAACGCCAACGGCACATTCACCCTGCCAGCTGAGGTCTGCACGCCTACCTATACGGCAACCCCATCTCTCGCAACGATATCTTCGACTTCGACACAAAGCTTGACAGTCTCACCATCTTCGGACTCAGATTCCACCCAAACCGACATTAGCACGGTTACCACGACCGTGTGCACGGAGAGCGAGAGCAGCACTACTTCCGCGGGAATTGTGACGGATCCATCGCCGCCCTCACTTACCACCTCTACTACCTCTGCTACTGATACGACTACCATCATACCGCCGACGTTTTCAACTAGCTCCGAGGGTGGTGGTACGACTCCGACAGCCGGCAGCACGGTCTCTGAACCAAGCAGTGGTGGGCCTGGTTCTGTGGTGACTTCTACTTCCTCTGTTGCTGCAGTCTCGACTACTTCTTTCCCCACTGCGGGTGCAGTGGCCAACCATGTTGGTGTTGGGCTTGGTGTGATGGGGTTGTTGGTTGGTGCTATTCTCTGAGCCAGCTAAATATAATGCTTGAGCAGGACCTGAACGGGGATGGGAATTTTGGAACACAGATCATGACGCTGGCTTCGCTTGCTTCCATGCACGCCATCCACAATTCCATTCTAGGTTGTTATTACCTTAAATTCTGGAATATAAGCTAGTGTATTGAGAATCAGAACCACAATATACATTATCCCCCCAGTGCTTATAAATAAAAGGTACCATAGGGTAAGTAGGACGGGCAATGCTGGAAAGCGACAGCCCTTGAGCCGTGGCCCTTCATCGATGACAGACCTCGGAAGTATGTATTGGTCCTTCTTTTCATCTTAAAACTTATTTCCGACCAGATGTATGGCATCTTATAGGAGCAAATAATAGGATGTGTGTGATCTCTGCTCTTCTAGTAGTAGGATAGGACACGCAAAGACCTCGGGACGCCACCTGGGCAAGATTCAATCACCATTTAAGCAGGTGACAGCATATAGGAACAAAGCCCATTTTGGTGCTGTGAATTCACCGGGATGAAATGGCAATGCCAAAGTCATTATACCAGGCATACTCCGTTTTCACCTCCAGAACAACACTGAACCCTCCCAAAAGGCTTGCCGAAGAGATCAAGATTAGTACCCTACAGGACCTGCGAGCCTCACAAAAGCAACAGAGATCTCCGGCGGGGCGCGAATAGCCCGTAGAGAACTTCCCTGGATTTCACCGGTGGAAATTCAATACCCAAGGGCACAAGCCGTGTTTGCGTATCGCAAGTCCCGAGCAGCACTGCTCGCAATCAAAAACAACATGGCACCAGAACACGAGCTCTGCCAATCTAGGCGCTGGAAAATAAGCGAGGGACCACGACTCTCCCACACACACAAGGGCAAGACAAGGTCGGCGTTGGGTAACGTGGTCTCTGTCTTACGCGAACACGTGTTATGTTCATATTCGAAATTGAACGAACACCTTGTAACATCATCGTATCCTGAGATCTCACAAGCCCAGGACTTCGAGTCAGCATAAACATCCATCGAGCACAAGGCCGTCCTCCGAATGTATCGTTCATTTGCGAGACGCACTTTTCCCAAGTACACATACGCCCAAGCGCACTTCGCCGACAACGAGATCGGACACTAGGACCATGCCATCACCCGGTCTTGCTGATTGCTGTGAGACCCTCCGTTGGCCGTACTACCGACACCTGCACCCGCAGCCCGCCAGCCGGTCAAGGTCGCACGGCAGCGATTGAAAGAAAACGGACCCGAACTCTGTCTCACAATCCGTGCCGGACGAGAACCCAGTTGAGCCGTGCGCCTGCAGTTTGAGCTGCGCTTTGACGTCGGTAGCCACCGAGAAGAACACCTGTGGCGCGAGGGAAGGAGGGTCGGATGCCTGTCAACTTGGATGTTGAAAGAGTCGTGAGATAATTTTTGCGGTCGAGAGTCCAACTGCCTACATACAGTCTCTCATGCGGCAATGGATATTTCATGCTCCTACTTGTCTAGTACCATCGGCAAAGTGGATGGATGTACAATGTTGTAGAATCTAGGGGAAGTGAATACATTTGAGCAGTCACACCACGCTCTTGGGGATGGAAACGCCAAGGCAGTACGTATCGAGCAAACTTTTTAAATATACAAGAGCTCAAGTGATGATATCTTGTTTGGTCATGATTTTCGTCTAGTTTGTAGCTTTGCCTCGCCGGGCAGTCTCATCACTTGCCCCGAACCTCTGCGCCGAATATTGGTTACCTACAGTCCAAGGAAACAAGAAAAAACATTGGAAAGTTGCCGCATAACTTAGAAAGAGAATGAGCACAAGCACCAGCCTTACTCCGACAGCTTGAAATCCAAAATCCCGCGGCTCATGCCAGTGTGTGTCCTTGCTCCAGCAACTCGCGAAGAAATAATGACCATGAATGTAAAAATGCCACACCAACCCAGCTCCTGCAGTCCTCCCGCTCATAAACAACTCAACTCACCCATCCCGACCATACCCTCCTCTTCCCTCCACCAATCCCTAAACGTTCTCAACCTCCGACTCCTCTCCTTAGCCAGCCTCCTGCCCACCTCAGTCTTCATCATTTCGCCCACCCGTAACAGCCTCGTCTCAACCTGCCCCATCGCCTCCTCCATGCTCGAACTATCCGTCCTCGCCCCGCTGAACGTGAAACACCTCCCCACGCCGATGGCCCCGATCGAATCCAGCCGGTCTGCATCCTGCACCACCGCCAGCTCCGGGTGCAGACGAATCAGCCGCAGCGTGCGGTCCGGGTCTGCCACCTCGGAACTATATGACACTCCCAGGCAAATGGCCTGCACGCGCGCCGCGAGGTCGTCGGGCGCGCCGAGGGTCCGGAGCAGTGTGTAGACCATCGTGAAGGGGTCCTCGCCCGACTTGAGATATTTTCTGTCGCCGACGTCGTGGAGGAGGGCCGAGAGGGTGATGAGCCTGATGTCGAGGTGTTGGCGCAGGCGCTCTGCCGAGTGTGTGTAGATGTACTGGGAGAGATTGACCACGCGCTGGATGTGTTCGAAGTTGTGCGAGGCGTCATTTTGTGACATGTACTGCCGTACGAAACACACTACTGAACGTAGCAGAGGGTCTGAGTCGAGGAGGACGGTGACTGCCATGCTGGAGGACAACTATCAGGAGATGCGGACACGGATGCTCGGTTTAGTCTCATAGAGTAGTTTGTTCTTGCTAGATATAACTGGGAATGTGTGTGTTGACCATGGACTCTAGACTTTTGAAGGTCGTCTTGCTATTGTCCCTTCAAGCGAGCCCGACAACGCCTATCTTATAAGCCGAGCCGGCCATGTGGCCGAATCCTGCAGTCCAATTTGAAGCAGGCCGGCAGCATGGAAACCTGTGCCGCCAAAACTGAAACCATGGCCGCGGAACGGGCGACGACAATCTACGACCAGTAAACATGGCTTGTTTTCGGCGTGTGCCTCCGCCGAAGCGTTCAAGCTGCCATGTGCAAGTTCGCGGGACAGCATCTCGGTGCGACCAGCACCAGGTCAAAAGGGGGTTTCTTAGGCTCAGATTGCGCATGGCTTGATAGGATCGAGTCTCACCAGATCTAGCAGGCAGAGGATCCACTAGCCATCTCACAACCTTGCAAGTGACGAACAAGAGAGCACCTGGCCAGTCGGAGCGGCCCGGTCAGTTGGTGCCCATGTGAAGCCACCCCCAGCACCCAGGTCTGAAAGGCTGACCACAACCCGAGACCATGCGCTTCAAACCTCAAGGGCCCGAAAATTTGCCCCAAGTATGTTTCAACGGAGACCGGAGAATGTCCTGCTCAACCCCCCCAGAATGCAAAGTGCCGAGACTTATCTTACGGAAATCCATTTATGTAGATTTCAAACTATTCCGAGGCGATCACTACTTCCGACTGAGGACAGAGAGAAGTCCCCTCATCCCTTTTCTCTGCTACATTGGCAGAGCCACTGTATGCACGGAGCTGACAAGCCGAGCGCTTGCCCAATCGTACGCGCGAGCTTGGAAGCTGCCGAACCTTGTGATGGCAGCTTCTGTAGCCACTGAAGATGGAGAGGAACCAAACAATAAGGTGTGAAGAGTACCGACCGAGACACGATTAGTTTGTGGACCTGACCGACCGCTCGGACAGAACATGAACGTCCTAGACGCGGGCTTTCTGCATGGCCTTGTGCGACGAGCCAATCGACCCCGAGACTCAGATGCATCACATACGCCATTGCTGTCACGCTTGTAGTTCACCTTGAGCTACGGTGGAGCGTTGTAGCAGGAGACTTCCTAGGCATTAGACCCTCTCCACACCCACGCCGACGCTCGTCAGCAAAGCTGCTCGTGATCAGCTACAGTAGTGTGCCTACTACCCGCCGGGGCTAGTGAAAGTTCATGCATAATGTAGGGTGGAAAGGCATATAAGCTCGTGGAGGTAGGGTCTCAGTGACTGTGGGTTATGGAGTTATCTGTTATGTGATGGATATAGTCGTGGAATGGATCTGGTGAGGACAAAGGCGGCTATAGGAATAAAGAGCCGCCCGGACGCGCGGAGGGGTGTACGAATGCCTCCACATTGATGCATCGAACTCGGACTCGCGGAGACTTGCGAGTCCAAGCATCTGGCAGAGATAAGAGGTGAAGGCAGAGTGAAGCCTGATTGCCCCATTCGCTGAGGAATCCACTGCAGAGGCCCTCGATAGATACGCACAAGTCTCTCTTGGTAAGACATGAGCTGCAACTAGCCCATGGAAAGCGATGGCTTCGCCTACCGCAGCCACCTCCTGGACTGTAGAGCCATATCGGAGACAGTGATTGATTGTCCGGCAGCAGCCAAAGAGTTGGGTGCATACGCCACAGCCTGTCAAGTTGCTCCCGGGAGAGACCACAGGATATCAGGTTGGAAGGGCCCCGCCTCGAGTATGTGTCTTCCCGAATGACCGACTCAAGAGACCGATGTCATTGAAGTCACACGCAAGTGGGGAGGAGGGGCTCTGGCATGCGCTTCGGTCTTTCGAGCACCAGTCAAGTCAGTTGTCCGCTGGTGGGGAACTGTTGCACGCGGGTGCTATTTCGGTGCCTCGAATAGTCGGCAGGCATGTGTCGAGGAGGCTCCAATTATTAGACGCAGTAATCGCGAGTTTGTGAAGAGTGGGTACAGGACGGGTAGTACTCCGTACTCCGGACTCGGCACTATACAGTAGTGCGGTAGCAATAGTCCACCCAGGCGGGCGGCCAGGTCAGTCTTGTGCGCCCGTTTGTTTCTCAACCCACCGATCGAGTGAAGTGCGGCATAAGACCAGATCGTCGTCGGCAGGTCACGATGGAATGCATGGCTGGCTCGTCATTCGAGCGATGATCGAACCTTGGGACACCGGGAATTATCCGCATGCGCCGTGGCCTTGCCCCAATGGGAAGCTCAGCGGAGGAGTTTGCAGGTTGCAGCTTGCTTTTGCACAGGTGCCTTGGTGGAGATGCACATCCTGCATGCATGCAGAGGGCTGCATGTCGGTCGCTTGGAGGGCAGGGAGGGGCAGCGTCGAGCGGCCGTCACCCTTGTCTCGCCTCGTGGGTGCCGGTCGGACGAGGGAAAAGAAGTGGCTCTGCCCCATGGCCCCCGTCCGCTTGCCAGGGCTGTTTACCACAGTATTAACAAATGTATCACATCCATCATGTCTTTCTTGGTGGTAACGGGACGGACGTCAGAGCCGCGCTGATCTGATCTGTTCCGATCTGGGCCGGACCAACTCGATTCGATTTGACCCAATGTCTCGTCCACGGTGAGTCGTAGGCCACTTGGCTGGTCTGCTGGTCTGCCCGTGCAACAAACAGGATGGCGTTGGAAAATATGCCCTGCCTGCCTGCCCAGCCAGCCAGCCCGCCCAACCAGTTCGGGCCCGAGGCTCGTCCATTACACAGTGTTGACCTGTGAGGAAGGAGTGCAGGAACGGAGTGCCACCGCGCAGTAGAACGGCACTTGTCCAGACTGTGGCATTCGAGAAGGGGCCGGCTTGTTACTGGTGGGCACACAAGCCTAGGACGAACAATCACGATGGTGGATGGGGTGACTTGTCAGTGGCTCCGGCTCCACTGCGGACTCTAGACTTCCTGTCCTCTCTCGCATGGCACCTCATGCAGCCACTGTCGACGACCAGAAGGATGCGATGTATGTCGTGATTGGGCGAGGCCAGAGCAGCCAACAGGGGCAGAATTGACGCCGAGGGTAGTGTACTGTGCACACTAGAGATCGAGGAAGAAGTGGTGTGGAGCCCCTGGCGGAGGTGGGAGGGGCGTGATCTTTTTTGTCATGTCAAAAGACGGGAGCCAAAAAAGGTTGTTGAGAGGGTGCGGAGTACCTAGGTACCACAGTAGTCCTCAAGTCACCGCAGTGGCCGCCAATTGGCCGGTGCTGGCAGGGATTTAGACGCCGGCCAGGGTAGCACCAGCAAACAGCCGACCATCCAGAGCTCGACCTCCCCCTCTGCTCGCAGCAGCCGGCCCAGCCTCTCCTCTTTTTTCGCAGCTTGCCCTGCTCACTCACATGTTGGCCGGCCATTCACCTGCATAACCGCCCAGCATGCAGTAGTGCCATCATCTCCCCCATCTCCCCCATCGACAAGTAATGTCCCGCATACCGCCGCCAGAGTGACACTGGCTTGACTGGCTGCCTCTGCAGGCCCTGCAGGCCCTGCTAACACCCGGCAGCGTTGCAGTGTCAGCAGCCACGGGAGGGCATACCGCAGAATGGGACGAGCGACGAGATGGCATCGGTCATGGGTCCGTCCCAGTCCCCTCTTGCCTGCCTTGCCTGCCTCCCGCTAGAGCTGTGATATCGACGTCCCGGCTCCCCACTATGGGGACCAGCACACCTGCTAGTCCTGGTCGCCGCCGTCCTCATTGGCCTCATGGCCGCATCAAGCGATGTGGGTGGGTGATCCGAGATCTCCATGACGGCTGGTACTCTGTAGTATGGCTCAATACGTACATGCACGGTACCATGTACTCCGTACTGGTGGGCATGCTCATGCATGCGAGCCAACGGGGCACAATTGAGCGGCATGGATCATGATTGCAGAGCACTGCAGGGAAGACGTGAGCGAAGCATAGGAAACCACCCGACAAGGCTCCGCCAAAGCTGTCCAACAATCCGTGCGGGCCGTCGTTGTTGGCCTCGACATATAATGCTTCGTCCCCTCCTCCCAAACTTTGTCGTTTCTCTTCTTTCCTCTCTTCAGCAAGCCCTCAATTCCCAAACCAGTTCTTCGTTTTTCGTGTCGTTTCTTCCCCCCTTGTTCTTTTTGTTTCCAATCATAGAGCTGTGCTCTATTGATCTTGTTCGCTAATCACAATCCCAAATAATCAATCCAAAAAATCAACCCCAGAGTTAACACACAAGCATCAGTTGCCGGTCAACTAACCCTCTAATACCCAATCCACGGTCACGACTGTTCCTAATAAAACAATTTCTGGTTTACTTGCTCGCATCGACATCACTATCGTTTCAGAGAGACGAATCCCAAAGTTCAATCCGGAGCAGCAGCATTAATATTCAATCCACTAGCAACTAGCACATCAAAATGTCGTCAACACAGCTGTCTTTCTCCCTCCGTGTCTCTTCTGGTGTCAAGACTGTCCACCTTCTCGGTTCTTGGGACAACTACGTCGGACAGCTCCCCCTGTCCAAGGACAAGAGCTCCTCAAAGGGCACGTGGAAGGGCACCTTTCGCTTCCAGAGCGCCACCCTCGCCCCTGGCCAGCGATACTGGTACTACTACATCATCGATGGTTACCATGTCTCGCACAACCCCAGCGAGCCCTCCACCAAGGAGCCCACCACCGGACGTGAGCTGAACATCCTGGACGTCCCTAAGTCCAAGTCTTCATCCTCGTCCTCGTCCTCGTCCCACCACTCCTCTTCCAAGTCCTCCAGCAGCTCCAAGCACCACTCATCCTCATCCTCGTCCCGCCACCACTCCTCGTCCAGCCGCGAGAAGTCCCACCGCTCATCGCGCGCTTCCCTGTCCGTCGACGTGCCAAAGGGTCGCCCTCTGTCCATCTCCCAGATCCAGGCCCCAAAGCCCATGTCGCCACGAGGACACCAGCACATCCTGAACAAGGACTTCTCGGATGAGTCCATCGACGAGCTCGCCGAGCGCTTTGGCTCCGCCGGGCTCGAGGACTACCCCTACGACTCCGAGTACATCACCACCGACTTCGGCAACATGTCCGAGTCGCCCGTGTCTTCCAGCAGCGGCTCGTCCCTGTCGTACCGCTCAGACAGCTCCAGCCCCAACAGCAGCATGTCCGGCTACAGCACCCCTGGGTCAGACTGCTCCAGCTGCACGTGCGAGCGCTACGGTATCACCCGCAAGGGCGAGCGCGTGCGTCTCGACTGCGGTGGGTCCCGCTGCGGCTATGGTGATGACAGCAGCGACTGCTCCTCCGAGGATGGCGAGTACAGGAGCTCCTCGCGCCGGAACGGCATCGTCGTCCGCCACTAGATGGGTTCGGCGACGGAGCTTGAGGAAAGTAATGAGGATGATCATGGTCACCTGAGAAGGGAAACAAAAGAAATGACACCAGGCCACGGAGAAGAAAAGGCCGTTTCATTCATTTTCGAGCAGGAGACATCTCCCACACCAGTTGTGGTCCGACGAAGTCCAACCTGTCTCGAGTGTACTTGTTGCTACACGCGCGCACCATCGACATTGGTGCTCTGGGCACAGTGGGCTGGCTCGCAGGCGGGACTGGTTGCAGACTGGTTCTCAACTGGTTCTCGTCCTGGCGGGTCAATCACCCCTTGTCCGTGTGAGCTCTTCGATGCGTCGCGGTACCGCGTACAACCCCCAACCAGCTGGGTCGATGCTGCGATCCCATACGGCTGAGTCTATCCCTCCGCGCCGAGGGTATGGAGGGCCGTATGAAACTTAATTTTCGTTTTGTCTTGGAATGATCCAATTGTTTCGGACAATGAATCTGGAGGCACTGTTTTCACCCATCCTGATCTGTGATCAGCCGATGGGAGATGGCAGACCGGCTTCCTGGCAATTTATGGTACTCGGTATCTGGCTATATGTATGAAGATACCAAGCATGCCACTGTTCTGGCGGTTGTTGCAAGGGGTGACGGACTGATGCAAGGCACTGGCCCTCTGCAAGATCAGGCAAAGCAATGTTTAGATGACTGTTGAATCTATACATTGGACATGTTCAAGCTCTTTAGTGCCTGTGACCACCGTGATTGTCTTCTTATTGTGACATCGAAGCTCCCGCCTTCCCGAGACAAGACCTGCTAGGCTGTGATATCAGATGAACTCAAAAGCAGGCCCACCCGACGGGTATTTCCCATTATTCTCTAGCTTATCCGCCGTCTTCCTCGGGGCAATGCTTCCCCTGAGTCGGTGGAGTTCTCGAGTGCCCACAGCGGGGTACAGCTACATGTGTATTGGAGATGTGCTGTACCTAGGTGGCCCCGCATCGTGACGTCCAACTCCTGAGCTCTACCGTGTAGGTATTTACCAGGTCAATCCTCTGCTTCCAGGCTATCGGTTCCCTCCTCTTTCTTTGGGATTCTTTGTTTTAGAGAGTGGCATCTGGACCTTAACTTCCCAACTGAAATCATTGGCACACTACGCTGCACAATTGACCACTCCGTACCACCACCCTGACAGGCCATCCACAACCACCACACACCCACGGCGACGTACGGACCCAGCTCTCTCCTACTTATACCACCTTGGCTCACATCTCGTCCCATATTGACAAAAGGACTCACACACAAAGGCCCCCCCCTCGCCAAACCAGCAGCCCAAAATGACGACCCCAGTCCCCATAATCGACTCCCACATCCACCTCTTCCCCAAGAGCGAGCTCGACACCCTCGCCTGGGCCGAGCCCGGGGGCGCCCTCTACAAGCAGCACTCCATCGCAGAGTACAGGCGCGCGACGGCGGCCCAGCACGACATCCTGTCGGGTTTCGTCTTCCTCGAGACAGACCGCAAGAACGACGAGTCCGACCCGACCCCCGAGGGCGGCTGGAAACACGCGCTGGCCGAGGTGTCCTGGCTGGCGCGGATCGCGGGCGGGCGGCCCCGCGAGGGCGAGGGCCACGAGGACAAGGACGCCTCGCTGTGCCTGGGGATAGTCCCCTGGGTGCCCGTGCCGGCCGGGCCCGAGGCGCTGGAGAGGTATATCGACGCCGTGCGGGAGGTGTGTGACAGGGACGGCGGGGACGGGGTCTGGGACAAGATCAAGGGGTTCCGGTACCTGTTGCAGGACAAGCCCAATGGCACGATGCTGGAGCCCAACTTCATCGAGGGCCTGAAGCTGCTCGGGCGCAAGGGGTTCGTCTTCGACGTCGGCGTGGACCAGCACCGCCGCGGCAGGGCGCAGCTCGAGGAGACTGTCGCGATGGTCGAGAAGGCACATGACGGTGTGCCTGATAATGAGAAGGTCACATTTGTACTGAGTGAGTCTTCTTTTGCCCCCCTGTTGCCTGTCTCCTGTTTCTCCCCGCTCTGTATGTTTTCTATGGATAAAAGAAAATACTTATTAACCGCCGCGCAATCATCCTATAGACCACCTCTGCAAGCCCGACCTGACAACCCTCCACCCAGCCGACCCAGCCTTCATATCCTGGCGCACGGCAATCTACACCCTCTCCAAGGCCGACAACGTCTACATGAAGGTGTCGGGCGCCTTCTCCGAGATGTCGGACGCCCTGCGGCGGCAGCCCGCCAACGACATCTTCGAGTCCATCATGCCCTGGCTGGCCGTCGTGGTCGCCGCCTTCGGGCCGGACCGCCTCATGTTCGGCAGCGACTGGCCCGTCAGCACCATCGGCGTTGACGGTGGGGAGGGTGAGGAGAAAGAGGGCGCTGAAGCCAAGGAGGAGGAGGAGGAGGAGGGCGCGTGGGAGAAGTGGAGGAAGGTTGTTGACAGGCTCTGCTTCATGAGTAGCTTCAGTGACGACGAGAAGGCGCAGGTGTTTGCGCGCACGGCGAGGCGGGCGTACAAGCTTGATTGAGCCGCCATCGCTTGACGTGCGTCTTGGAAACAATTACAGGCCACGATGACGGTGACTCTACAGGACTGGCCCGGTCCACTCAGTTCAAGATGATGCATTCGCCGCCCTCCCCCCCGGATCCATCCACCCACAACACACACACACACACCAGCCAAGAAGCATGTATGACTTGCCATGATACAGGTGGTCCGGGTTAAAAGCAGCCAAAGACATCAGGATCACCGCGCGCCAGCATACAAGTAACACCCCAGTGAAGGAGGGGACAGTGCAAGCAAGCTCAGAAGAGCATAGTCTTTTACTATTAACACTGATTCTCGGCGTGGCCGAGTCGAAAGCTACCTATATAATGATACCCAACCCGCGAAGATGCCCTGATTTACAAGTGCACACGCATGCTGAGGGCGTCTAGTAGTCTAATGAAACCCAGAATCTAACCTGTAACGCCTCGCCAAAATTCGCAGGGTCGCTGAGTCGCTGAGTCGCTGATTCGCAGCCAGCGACCGTCCGTACCGGATTGTATAGAAATGATGACTATTGTTGTCATGTGAAAAAGGCCTAGACCTGCTCCGTAGATGGGCCTCCCACCGAAAAGACTTCGGCAGTCTGATTCGGGGACTCCACCTGGTCTCGAGAAGGTCCATCAACCTGCCCTAGAGGCCCGCATTCACACTAGGAACTCGTGCCTCGTGTGCCCATTGCTCCTTGCTTCTCGTTGACGGCCGTCTTGTCAGACTCGTACGAAGGCGGTCGTTCATCTTGGAACCTGATGGACCGCAGTGTACCGGACCTGCTCCTGCCCGCTTGCTGTGGCTTTGTGACGGAGCCGACGGTATTGGACCGGCTGACCTGTCCGTTGTTACCGCGCAGCGTGTTGGATCGGCTAACATCGCCGCCGTTGCTCGTATTCAAAGAGTTGGACCGGCTGACTCCGTTCTCATCGTGCGTTGAGAGCACCGTGCCATTCCTGCTATGCCCGCCAGCTTGCTGGTCGAAGGAGAAAGCGGTGTTGCTCCTATTCCGCCCTTGAGCTTGTTGTTGACTGGCCGCCGAGGTGTCTCGAGAATGGGATACCTGAGACATCTGAGACCGCTTTGACTGCGCCCTCTTCATGCTCGAGTGCCGCATCGGCTTCCTGCCGCTCTTGAGGTCTCGCCGGCTGGTGCAGCAGCATCCCATGCCGGCATGGAGGACGAACGCGATAAATGCGAACCCGGTGGAGACCCACATGAAGACAAACATGCGGGTTCCCACGTATGCGTTGATATTAAGTGACGCTTGCGCGGTGGCGGCATATTTGAAGACGAAACTGATCACCGATGCGATGACACTTCCAACCAGAATTATCAGGAAGGTCAGGAAAGAGATCAGGGACATGGGCAAAGCCCACCACCGGGAGAAGATGGCTATGGGGGAAAGAAAGACCATGATGAAGGAGACGATGGTGCCAGCAAGGAAAAAGGCAAACATGATGTTGGAGCAGATCTTGAGGATACCAAGGATCTGAGTGATTTCGGCGGGCAATGCTATGGTGGACCCGGAAAGAAGCTCATTCAAGATGATCTCGACTGGGTTGAACCAGTAGTAGCTCTTGGGGCTGGAGCAGGCTGTGATGCCTCTGCAAAGAGTTGGTTAGTATCTGACAGCACATAGACCAGGGGTAGGCTTAGGATACTTACTCATCGTTGTAGCCCTCACAGTAGTTCCACAGGCCAGGTTGGTAGAAGTCGTGGAGGCCGATGCCACGGGCGATTGAGTTGATGAGCTGGGCGTTCTCAATAGAGGTAGGGATGATGTCGGCAAGTGATAGCCTGAAGAAGTAGATTTCACCAAGTATCCTGCTGCCTTTTCGAGTTTGGCCAAGCTCGATCTGATCACAAGTGGTCAGCCAACAGTCAATGATGGAAGGACAGTCGATTGAACTCACCAGCATGAGGAAAATCCAGGATAGAAGGTATAGAAGGGAAGCAAGCCCAGCGAAAACCGAGCGGGCCCTGGTGTTCCTGCGCAGGTCAAGCTTGTACCAGTAGCCGTCATCCTCCCATATTGTCGAGTTTGCGTCGAAAGAGCCGGCCGAGCCCTTGGTTGTGCGCCGCCTGTGTAAGCTCTGCAAGGGGGTGGGAATGGCCATGATGCTGTGTGGGCGGTACAATCAGCTCAGTGGGCCTTTCTGCGCGAGAGCCAGCGAGGGATGTAGGCCGTGTTGGACGCCAGCAAGTACGAAGCGAGTAGTGGGGGTGGCGACAGCGATGGCGATGGTGAAGTTCAAGATGCGACTTGCAGATGCCAGAGACAAGGAACAGAGCTTAATGCGTTATGTCCGAACAAACAATGAATGAGTCCTGTAATTGTGAGGTCGGCAGGGACCCGGATGTGGATATGGAGCTGGACAGCCTGTCTGGTCCAGGGCAGCGTGGTGATGGTGAGTACACACGCGCGGTTGAAAAACAGGCGATGGATGAGTCGGAGGCGCCCAGCAACCGCCGAGCAGGAACCCGAATGTTTAACAGGCGGGGCTTGCTGGCCAGGAAAGAGGCTGTGTGAGTGTATATGCCCGAGTGTCCTTTCGTGTTACTGTGCCTGCGTTGTACCTGGCGTGGATGGGGCTTGTTGACCGTAACTCCTTCCCTTCTCTTGTCGGCGCCAGGGTGACGACATGCACGTACGTAGCCTGGTCGAACCTGGACTACTCCGTACACACCTGGGCAGCAAGTACTGTGTATGTTTTGTGCGTCCACCTCGTCGAGTCGCACCCCGGAGAGCTGGAGCTTGAGCTGGTCTGGAGCTCGCGATCGCACACGGGCGGGAACTGGAGAAGGAGAGGCCTGGGATCAAAAAAGAAAACCAGACTGGAGACTGGAGACTGGCGCCACGACCCATCTGGCCATGGCACATGCAGTCGGGCAGTTGGGGAGTGGGTCAGCCCCCCGGGCCCTGTGAACGAGTGGTCTGGATTGCACGTTCACCTGTCCCGCGCCGTACAGTCAGGCGGGCTGGCGGGCTGGTGGGCGGCCAGCACGCTGCACAAGTGTGGCATTGCACATTACATAGTAGTCTATGCTCCAGGCTGGTGGGATCAATTAGAAAGGGACATGGACCCCTGAGGCGACCCGGCGATCGTGGGTCCCCCAAGCCAGAATCCTGGCCATGGGTGGCAGCTTGGCGGCAAGGGCAGGGGGCTGAACTGGACTCAATGAATCAAAGGAAAACGAGACGAGACCCGAGCGAGGTAAGCACGCTGGTAAGCACGCCTGCCTGGCCTGCTGGCCTGTGGCGCGGTAAGGCAGAGACTGAGAGGGCGGCTCTGCCAGTTTGCCAGCCTGCCAGCCAGCAAAAGCTTTTGTTGGCCCCAGTCCCCCCTGTTCGTCCCCTGTTCGCCCCCCGTTCGTTTCGAGTAGTCTCCCCGGAAGCTCCTTTTGATTCTTGTTGTCTGGCCGTGAGCCCACTTTCAAGTGGGGTCTACCATGTGTCCGAGTCGACGATGGATTTGGAGACGATCAATTCGACAGCAGATTGTCATGTCTGGCCTGTGACAGAAGTTCACAGCACAGGCTGGTACATCAGAAATTCGCTCACGAGCGGTGAATACGAAGGGACAGAGAGACACAACAGTCAAAGGATCGGGGTAATTGCGTATGCTGCCATGGCTGAGCAGCTATGGTGGCCGTAGAGCCAATCGAAATACCGCATCTTTCAAGTTTTGATGCGGTCTGGAGAAGGCTGACTGGGTGGACTGAATGCCGAGCCGGGCAACCAGGCTGCCAGGCGAGTCCAAGACCCCCGGCGGAGCAGGACTCCACGCCGTCACGCCGTCACGCCGTCCAGCTCATCATCGAGTGATCATCGTCGTCGTGCGCAGCCAGCCCCGCATATTGCCAGCCATTCACTTAGTTTGGCCATTATGATAGTAGGTGTGTGAGGACCTGTGCTAGACAGTCAGGCAGTGAGGACGTTTCCCCCGTTGAGCGTTGTTCGGCGTGACGTCAGTTTGAACCTACGCTGCTTACGGCAGTCGCTCAGTCCAAGGGTCTTCCCGTCGCACTTGGAGCCTCGACCGTGGCCGACCACTGAATACCTAGGTAGTCATCACTTGGGTAGTATGGTGTGTGGTTAGGTTTGTGATGTAGTGCATTTTGAGTGCGAGGGTGCCGATTGCCGGGAAGATGAAAGCTTGGCAACCCTTATTTGGGGTAAAATTGTATTACGAGCAAGCGAGACGAGCGCATATAGTGATGGGCCAGCAATAGCTACTGGGCAGGAGAGGCCTGTCGCGCTGTTGCCGTACACGGCCAGAGAGGGCCAAAGAGGGCACCTGAGCCCAATCAACCGAGAATGAGATCTTGGTGCTGCGCCCCCCGTCACGGTACCCCGTCAGCCCCCATGGAACCCCCCTGTCGTCCATCACGCACGCTGTCGCAAGCGCTTGCCCTCCAGTCCTGACATGTCCACATTTTTCCATGGGACCTACCTCCACGGCGCTCCAGCCCCTGGCCATCCAAACCTCTGATGGACCAAACCTCTGGCTGTTTGCTGGCTGACAACTGATACTGTGTATCAACCTTGGGAGTGGTCGGAGAAAAGGAAGCAAGGAAGGAAAGAGCCACGCCTGCCCCAGTACTTTGCTGTACAGTGTCTTGTTCAACGGTACTGCCACACTTCAGACCACTCGGTATCCACCGACCAACAGCTACGCGGTCTGGAACTTTCACTGCTGTCCTGGACCCTCTCAAATTCTCCCATCAGCTGGCCAGCATCGTCAACATTGTCATCCACGGGACACAGGGCATTGAACGGGTGTCAGCCCCCGAGCACCCGCCATTTTGCTACCACCAGCATAGCTCCTCAGATTTATACCACGAGAGATAGCAGTACCAGCCCGTCGTCCCCCTTCCAGTCCTACCACGACAGGCTCAGGGGCTGAAGCCCAAAGATCGGGGACCTGTTTGATACTCTCGCGCTCCACATTCGCCTGCTGTCAACTGGTGTTCAGCCAAAACACAACCCAAACCCAACCATGGCGGCGCCCTTGAGGGTCTGGGGGCTGCTTCTTCTCACCCTCGGGTCCTTCGCCCGTGCTGCGGATGGGGACGAGGACGCAACCTCGTCTGGCTCCTCGTCCTCCACTTCCGAAGAGTCTGGCATCATCATCCTCACGGGCACTCACACTACACCTCCGGACAGGCCCACCTTCACCCAGGCCTCGACCATCACTCTCGCCACAACCACCCTCACTGGGTCCGACCTAGAGACCGCCACTGAGAATGCCACAGGGTCAGAGACTGGCTCGGGGACCGTCACCTTTCTCACCGGATCTATCACCGGCACGGCTACGGGCACTGCAACGCTCCCCGGCAACTTCTCCGTCACCCCGTCATCAACTTCCACGGCCCCGACCGTAGTGAACACCCAGCCTTGCAACAACTATGTCGAGTTGTGCGACCGCAAGTACAGCAACATCACCATGGTTGGATGCCATAACTCGCCCTTCGTGAGGCCTGGGAACCTCGCCTCCAACCAGGCCTTGGATGTGACGCAGCAGCTCAACGACGGCGTGAGGTTTCTCCAGGGTCAGATGCACTGGAATGCCAACGACACCGTCCCTCACTTCTGCCACACCACCTGCGACATCTTTGACGGCGGTCGCATCACAGAATGGCTCACAGAAGTCAAGAACTGGGTTGCCGCCAACCGCTTCGAAGTCGTCACCATCCTGCTCGAGAATGGCAACTACTCCACCCCGGACCATTACGTGGACTACATTAACGAGACGGGCATCCTGGACTATGTTTACACGCCGCCCTATCAACCTATGAACTTGACCACATGGCCTACCCTGGCCGAGATGATCATCTACAACACTCGCGTGGTTCTCATGTTGGACTACATGGCCAACCAGACCGCCTACCCATGGTGGATCGATCAGTTCAGTAACATGTGGGAGACACCGTTCGACCCGACGGACCAGAACTTCCCCTGCGTCGTTGAGCGCCCTGACCCAAACATGCCCATCGAGCAACTCAAGAACATGATGTACCTCACCAACCACAACCTCAACGCCGAGGTCTCCATTCTGGGCCAATCCATCCTTGTTCCAGACGTGTCTCAGCTCAATCTGACCAACAACTATACTGGCTTCGGCAGTCTCGGCCTTGCCGCCAACAACTGCCGCGCCACGTACGATCGGCCGCCCACCGTCCTGAACGTGGATTACTACAACTTTGGCGGCTCAGAGGACTCCGGCGCCGTCTTCATGGTCGCAGCGGCCATGAACAACGTCACATACCGCGGCGGGTGCTGCGGCAAGGCCTCTACGAGCGACTCGCCGCAGGGCCCAAGCCCCATGTTCTGGTACGAGGGGAGGAAGAACGACCGGCGGGCCGTGGCCGTGTTCATGCTCGCCTGGGTCACCTGGATTCTTTTGGTCTAGTAGCGCCTAGGACAGACGAGGAACCGGGGGGACTATTGTGATTTGATGCCGCGGAGGGATTGGTGGTGACCCCTGGCCTTCGTACTTGGGCTTGAGAAGGCATTTGAATTTCCTAGAATACTCTTTCATTGCAAGGCGTTATGGTCGATGTTGGGATTATAGACCCTTTGTGGGACTGAGCATTGAGGTTGCGGACGTAAGTAGAATCACTCCTTCCGGAGAGTTGCAAGGCATGGAAAGATGCATATTGAAGACAGGTATGATTGATTGGAAACGGCCCCAGCCAGAAGCCTGCTCTTGTAAACGTTTAATTCATTGACTCTATGAGACCGTCTCTTCTCTATGGTGAGTGTAAGCAAACCACCAGCGATGAGTCTGACTGTGCTAGTGATGCCATCGGGATCCGATTATTCCATTCCCAAGCGAGCCCGCTACGCGCACAAGTGCGTGTTGCTTCGTCTTTTATCCATATCATACGCAATTTCATATCTCGCTCACTCGAAAAACTCCAATCTTGCATCTCATCGTCGGCAGATGTCTTCCAATGTCTCCGCTGCTCCTTGCCCAGCTGTAATATTGGCCCATCTCACCCTCACGACGACCATCTTCCACGCTTCGCTGCCCTCGTCCGTTTTCTGGGCGGGTCCACGACGACACTTTCCTCGGACTCGTCACTGATGTAGTCGCTCATAGAAGGGCTGTCCTCGGAGGACGTGGCTCTCCATCTGCGTCTGCGGCTCTCCTTGGGCCGTGTCGCGGCAGAATCGCCGTAATCCGAGTCTCTGTCGCCTCGGCTGTCATGGCCAACCACAAAGCTGCTGTCACTTGCACTCTCTGACGACTGTGTTGATCTGTCCCAGCCCTTTTCGATGGCTGCCTTCGCCTGCTGTTTGTTCTCGACCACGTCGAAAATCACTGGTCTGTGCTGGCTTGTCCTGCGGATGAGATCTCTCACCTTCCCCCATCTCAAAGTCGGGAGCTCATTGCCCTTGAGGGCCCGGCAGCCGCGAGCGGGAAGTGGTTGCCATTCTTTGATGTTGTCAACCAGCTTGGCGATGGTGAAATTGTAGTGGCTCCCAAAGCCTAGCAGCGATTTCTTGTCGCTGGGTAGTCCGACTGGGGTGTAGTTGTCCTTGAATATCCAGAGGGGCTTGTAAGCAGACTCGACTCCCATCACGACGATGTACGGCGTGGCAATGACTTCCTCGCCACCCGCCTTGCGAGCGACACCCAGCCTGCCCAGCGGTAGAAAGAATGTAGGGCTATCTGTGTGCCGGGCCCCAGCCTTGAGTCCGTTGGCTCCTTCATCAATTGCGCATCTGGTAGCAGAATCACTGTCGTGTTCATCAGCGTAGATGATCCGACGGATCTGTGTCTCAGAGTTCTGGCCGAGGGGTGGCTCCGCAGGGATCTCATCCATCCGGTGATAAATATTGTTCCTGATCTTCGTTGCCGCCGTGACGATCGACCGATTGCGGTCCCCGTTATACGTACGGGCATTCTCCTCGAGAAGGTCGACATGTCTCCAAAAGCCCCCCATTGTCGCATACCTGTTGTGATAAAGCCAATGTTGCATAGTTTCGATGTCGATGGGTTCCGCGATCAGGGCCTTGTAGTTGTCCCAGATGTCGGGGTGGCAGACCATGACTGGCTTCCGGAACTCGACAGCGTCTTCGGAGGCATAGACCGCATCTAGTATTTCCTTGAGTGCGTCTCTCTGATACTTTGTGATCTTTTCATCAGCGAGGGCGGGATCGCTGAGCTTGGGTGTGCATATGGAGACAGGCGAGAACTCCATGGGGTACTGCCCAGCCCAGTCGCTGTAGGCCTCCGAAGCAGTGAGGATGGAGTACTCCCGTCCGTCCTTCGCGACGACCAGTAGAATCTTGCTCTTGCTCTTTTGAGCAGCACTTAGCTCACTGAGAGCCTCTGGCTCAGAATTCGTCAAGATTTTCTCCAGTGTGTCGTCGTCGTTGTTCAACCAAAGGTCTTGGAGTTGCTTGACCATGGCGCGACTGTCGCAAGGCTCAGCGGTGTTCGTGGCTATGCAACTGTCAGGTTATCTTCAGTTCAGTGGCTGGATATGAGTTCGCTTCTCACCATTTCTGGGTGGGATAGCCATAATTCGGTTTTGATTCGCCTTCCAGCACTCAAGTATCGACTGGTGTTGTGGAAGGTGACGATCTTGCTCTTCGGAGCGGGCCACCCTTTTGAAGGGCCTGTCAGGTTGACCTTCCTATTCTTGAGGTTATCGTCAGGTGTGTAATTTTGGCCAACTGTCTTTCCAACCGATGGATGCTGTGAGATGGAAGCAGCTTGAAGGGAAGGTAGATGGGGGTAGGGGACCAAGAATTTGTACTTGAGACACAAGATTGTGCTTAGAAAATTGAGAATGGGGGAGCTGAGGAAAGAAAAAGTCTCATGATATGAAGACTAAAAAGAGCGATTGGTGAACAAGCAGTGTCTGGCCAACCTGACCACCGTCAAGTCGCTTGATTAGCTGGTGAGTTTTCGAGTATTATCAGTGAGAGGCAGCAGCTTAAATGCTACGAAGCAGGAACGCGATAGGCAGGCAAGAGGCGGAGACGTGACGGCCCAGATGGGGTCTTGGAATTTATGGCCTGGCACGAAGACCCAGGCGGAGTCGAGATGTTGAATACGTACATCTGCTCTCTACCTTGATGTGTGGCCGAAGTGGCCCAGGCTGGTCAGTTGTGATGCGGTAGGACTGTTACGTGCTAATCGATAGATGTTGTTCCTTTTGTTTGTTTTCATATACCCGGGCAGGTGCAACGAATGAAGTGCTAGCTTTTTTTCTTTTCTCTTTTGCTGTGTTGAATGGGGCTCAACACCAACGTCGAAATACTTGAGCATATAGAGAGCACTTCAAATGTAAGGCCACTAGGCAACAAGCACGAAAGAAGACACGCTTACGAAGCCTTCAGCAAGCGAACTGGTGTGTGAGGATATTATGAATCCCAGTTAGATTCCCAAGCTTCAGACACTTGGGCATTATTGTCTTGCTGTAGGGGAAGATCTTGTGAAGGATAGCCTGAGCATTAGCAACCGTCTTCAACCCGGGAACATACCTCCCTGCCCAGCAACTGCTGCCCCCGTACAGGCGGTATTAACCCAATACACATGCAGGCACGATCCCGCGACCTTCATCACCACGCCCCTCACCTCCTGAAAATCGACGCGGTCAAGCTTGCCTTCAACGCAATCCATCTCCGCCTTACCGAGCCCGCCATGGTGCCGCTTCCATCTGTATGCCCGTCATCATCAGTATCGTCCCCGTCATGGTCAAAATTAGAAATGTCCCATCCAGACAACCCACCAGATCCTTGCGCCGACAGTAAGTACTTCTGCGAAGACGATGCCTGCCTCTCCCTCCGGCTCTTGAGCACCTCACGGCCCAGAGACGGGAAGATGGCCCCGACCTGCTCGCCCGTGCGAGCTGACACCTCCATGAAGCCCACGCTGGCACCCGCGGCGATCCCCGAGGGCCCAAAAAACTCCTCTGCGGCTATCTGTCCCTCGAGCCAGGTCACCTCACGGAGCGGGTCGGACACGTCTCGCTTTGCGCCGATGAGTAGGAAGTGGTATGGTTTCGAAGTTCGAGTCACGTCGCAGGTGTCTCTTCTGGTAGGCGAGCCGGGGAGATGGAATCCGCCTTTCTTCTTGGTCGGGGTGGTTGCGGTGCTGCCTGGGTGGATCGAGGTGTAGATGTTGTTTGCGAGTGACTTGAGGTAAGTGAGCGAGGCCGGCTCTGTGATGTCATATACCAGAACTGCGGCGTCTGTGATGGCCAGGGCCTGGGAGAGATGTTCTGGCGAGGAGAGGTGCTCGATGGGCAGCTCGAGGGCGTCGACGGTATACAGATTTGACTCGACCTGTTTGCCCTCATTTGACTCGATGGTGATGTTACGTCGGCACCCATTGATGTTGCCTGATGTGGCCAGACTCGACGGATCGGGAAAAACACCCGTGCAGAACTACCGCGACACAGTATGAGCCGAGATTTCCAACAATTTGGCTCAAACATTGACTTACTTTCTTCAGAATGGACGTCTTGCCCACACCCTTGGCCCCGATCACCAACACGCGAAACTCGCCGACAGGCTTTTTCTCTGGCATGCGCAGGCCTAAGAACCAACTTGCACGCTTGTCGTCGGGTGGCTTCTCCTGCCACTTGAGGACCGCCCGAAGGTACTTGGCCTCCTCATCTGAGAAGATCATTGAAGCCATTTGGTATGAAAAAGACGAGTCTAGCACAATGAATGGGATTCGGAAAGGTTCGTGAGATGGTGGTCGAAGTTTTTAAAGTCGAATCGTTGAGTCGAGTTGGTGCGGGAAACGAAGGGAAACAAACGGCAGGCTTCGACCCAAAGGGATTCAGATCAAAGTGAGCACCTCAGGTCCCAACATCGTGGAGTGAATCCCGAGAGCTTCACTGACCAATTCAGCAGACTAGTAAATTGACCAGCACCAGTACACAACCGTCTTGGTCGCAGGGGCACTCCTGTGTAGACATAGCGCACATTCGGACTAGTTCCGCTGTATCTCAGGTCGCCTCGTCCCGAGCTACGATATCATACACAAAATATACCTAGGTACGGATATCATCTTGAATGGAGCACGCTCAAGTACCGAAGGTCACACACCCACCTGCAGGAAATGGCATGGGCTCTGTACTGCAGGAGCTGACTGAGAAAAGTATGCAAGGCATGGAGCAAGATAAATTGGATCTTCTTGCTGGTCCGACAAGTACCACAGGACAATTTACGCCAGTGTCAGGGAAACAAAACCGGGAACCTTAACAACTGGACGACCTCATGACACGCTTGGTTCTGCACACAGTGCCACAACATTGAACATCGACACCGCGTCATACCTCCGTCCGTATATCTGATACGAACTGAGCCGCCGGGCCTCGAGGCAGGGGATGGGGGTGTGGGTGAAGTTTTGTTCAAAATTGAACTCTGTTGACCGAAACAGCGTATGCCCTGGCCCAGGAGATGAGGAGTGCTGTGAAAAGGCCATGTGCAAATGGATTGAGGTGGAATTAATGTTTCATGTTGAGAGGACCTTTCATGAGCTGGCAAAGTATGACAAGATGTCCAGGTGGGGGAGAGGAGCTAAGCAACAGGGACCCGTCTCTTCGTCGCTTGAAAGAGTGTGTTCTCTGGCGGACGCAAGATTTATTTCCGTTCCCACGGCGAAACATACCGGGCCAGGATCTCTTGTCCAATGACAGACACCAATATTCTTAACTTGCAGTGGTTGCATACGCCGTCCTGAATAAGTTCCACACCCCGGGATCGTGGCCTGGGAATTGAGAGCCGTGGATTTCTGCAGGTGCAGTTCACCTGGTCTCCCGGTTGGCCGCTGACGGCACCTGGGCTGGTAGTGGGCGAACCTCGAATGGTTCGCATAGGCAGTACCTAGGCAAGGGCGTGTGTGCCACTTGGCGCCTGCTGACACCCTTTGCAGACACCCGCCTCAGATTCGCCTTGCCTGTTCGCCCACGGTACCTGAGATGTGACTCTTCAATATCCCCACAGGCGATGTTGATCACTCGCCAGGCTTCCAACGTTCCTTTGTCTTGAAGAGCGGCTGAAATGCTTCTAGGCCCCATGTAATCTCTTGTCTCGACTCCTCATCATGTCGTGTCCACGGCCACCAAGCCAGGGCCATGGAACACCTGGGCAGTCGCCTTGAGGGCGATCAATCGCATAGAGAACTGCACATTTCACCACCTTCCAAGAGCAGACTTGACCAACGCCTACCCGGGCGTATTCCCCTTGCGAGCCTGTCCGAACCCACCATAGACACGTCCTCATTTGGCCTAGCACCTGCACGGGAGCCTCTGCTGGTGTAACGACATTTGTGTATAACGGGCAAAATACACCAGCCACCTTGTGGTTCCAGGTTTGACTCTGGCTGATGATGGCCTATGGATCAATTGCATGGAACGGCACGCCTCTATGCTGAACTGGGAGGGCGAGCGTGTTTGCCTTTCGGCGGAGGCTGCAGAATCCTTCACTGGCTGGTCCAGCCAACTTCGGAACTCAACATTCGAGCATGTGCCTCATTCTTGCCCGCCACTCTTCTTTCTCTGCTTCACTCATGTTCGCCGGATACGTTGCAGACTGCTCTAGAATCCGAGATCCGCTTGTCGACAACGTGGCGCCATCAGCTGAGACCCATTCGACGAGCGATATTCTTTTGCCGTCACACCTAGCCAGTCTAGCGCGTGTCCGGGTTCATGACGGAGTTCAGCCGCATCGGAGCCTGTCAGTATATACGGTCTCAACCCCCGGTCTTGCTTCTTCTCCAGTGTTATTTTCTTTGTTGGAAACATTTCTCACATTCCACTCACTTTGAAGTTTCTCGCCTTCTCTGACCATTGTGATAACCTTTTTCTTATAATGTCGCCCTCTCCTGTCCTCGTTTCCCCTCGTCTGAGTACTGAACGATGACAGCAAGACATATCCCATTTTGCTCGATATTCCACTCACTGAGGGGCGTCGAACTTATAGATAAGCACTCCTTGAATGTCCGCCGTTGACATCATGGCTCAGCCCGGGCACCGTTCAACTCGGCATCGGCATTCGAACCCAGAAGACGACGACCTCGGTTCTCCAGACCTGAGATTCAGCTCCCGTATAGAAAGCTTCAGCGACGTCGCCGAGCTGGAATTCGGTGGCTACTATCAGGGTGGAGCCACTCCTTCAAGAAGCTCTAGCCTGTCCTCATCACCCTCACTTCGAGGGCGGGAATCCCTGGTTTCGTTATCGACGCAGCAGTCTGGGACCGTCACAGGTACACCGAGATCACACTACAAACCCTGCAACCCGACATATGGAAGGACTGCGTACCAAGAGCTCGAAGAATTTAGGCACTCTCCTTTGGAGCCCTCCCCAAGTACGCAGAGCAGGGACTCGAGGCAACATGCCGCTTCCAACAACTCCATGTCCTGGGATATCGCGGGGGAGAGGGAGAGCACGGATATCGCCCTGATTCCTGCGGCGGCGGCTATAGATGGATCAGGACCGCCAGTATCAACGCCAACGTACACAGACCTCGAAATGTCCACATGGAGGGAGCAAGAGAAGGCAGGGAAACTATCTAATGGCCTAGGCGTGGGACTGAGACCACCTACGACGATTCGAGAGACGGAATTATTGCTCACTGGACCAGTTGACGACCAAATTCTTTCGCCCACGTTGTTATTCTACCGAAAGTCATTTTTGAGTCGTGCTGCTACTCGAAAGGCACTTGCGCAGAGCGCGGCAGATCGAGCCGGTCAAGCCGTCCAGGTCATTATTGAAGACCCGGATTCTGACAACCATGAAGACGAGAATCTCTGCCCTCCCGAGATGGATGCCAGCTCGGACCCAACGAATAGAGAAGCGATTGAGTCCGAGGAGCTGGCCGAGCTAAAAGCTGTCAGGACGGGTAGGGTGTTCCAGCGCAAGGCCAAGCGGACGGAGACGTTCTATCCGCATCCAGACTGGAAGCCAGTCTCGATGCGTTGGCCGTATCTCTCCACGTTGATCCTGATCTCAGTGACCCTTGGAGGCTTGACGGAATCCCTGTACCAGTCATCAACCAAGAGACCTCTGGTGTCATTCAACACGCCGCAGGAGATCAAACCCGGCATGTACTTTGTGGTCAAGTTCCTTCCAACAATTCTGGCAGTGCTGTTTGGTGTTCTGTGGCAGATCACCGACTTGGAGGTCAGGAGGTTGGAAGCTTACTACCAGCTGTCCAAGGAAGGGGGCGCCACCGCCGCAGAGACACTGAACGTTGACTACATCACCGACCTCAGTCTTCTCAGGCCACTTTACGCATATCAGCTGCGCCATTACGCGGTGATGGTTTCCTCCATGGCTTCTCTGCTCGCCGTGTCGGCAGTACCCACTCTGACCTCAGCCTGCATCATTCTCACCCCAGACCGCGAAACCAGAACCCAGAACCCAGACGCATTAAAAGAGATTTTAATAGATCCGACGTGGTCAAGGGTACTTGAAGTGGTATTTTACTCCATCGCAGTGATGGGTGCTGTGCTCTTCTACCAGCTCCAATCACGTCGTTCTGGCCTCCTTGCCGACGTTAGGGGAATAGCTGGCCTAGCAGCGATGGCGAACGTCTCTCACATTCTCATGTAAGTTCAGAATTACGCGTGCTGAGGTGGACAATCCGCCTACACGATTATCTCCAGTGACCATGACTTGGCAGGACACCGCTAACAAAGAGTAGGGACTTCAAGGACATGGATGTAGCCACACACGAGGACATCCACAAGAGGCTGGCTGACAAGCGATATGTGCTTCGGAACTCAGCTCTCGCACCCTTACCAGTCGAGGACGGTTACTCTGCCCGCATGGCTACCGGCCAGGACGCCAACAGCCCGAGAAGAGGCAGTTTCGAGCACAGCTTCCACCTCTCGCTCAACCCGCATCCACTCATCCTTCGAGCGACGGGCTGCGTGCCTTTTATCACAGGCATCCTCCTATTCACCGCCCTGCTCCCCATCTTCCTCTTCACACCCGCAGGGTACCTGACCGACAAGGCACCGTGGGTGGCGACTGCGCTGGCAGTCTGCATCAAGCTCGCATGGGGCGCCCTCGACACAAACGTGAGGATGATGGAGCCCTTCTTCATCCTGTACAAGCGGCACGCCGCGCCCAAGACGCTGACGCTTGACTATACCGCCATGCCGTTCGGGTGGGTAGCCCTCCGGGCGCTGGCGAACGGGCACTGGCTCGTCTTCGCCGTGGGGTTCGGCAGCGTCATGACCGAGGTGCTGACCGTGCTCGTGACGAGCCTCGCGGCGGTGGAGGGCAAAGGTTTCGCAGCGATGGTCAAGAACCATACGGTCCACGGCGGTGACAACATCAGCGCGGGCCAGGAGACGGCGGATTCCTTCTGGATGTCCCTCAGCCTGGCCACTTTTATTCTGCTATATATGGGCACCGCCGCGGCGGTGGTCTTTGTGCGGCGGCGGAAACCGTTCCTCCCGCGCCAGCCCAACACCATCGCCAGCGTCCTGGCTTTCATCCATCAGAGCAAGATGCTGTGGAATTTTGTAGGGACAGAGAAGCTGGGCAACCGGGAGATTGTTGATTTCCTCGAGGGTGTAGGCCAGACTTATGGGCTGGGCTGGTTCGAGGGGCGAGATGGTAAGGAGCACTGTGGGATTGATCACGAGGAGCTCAAGACTTCTTACCGGCACGGGCTGGACTACAGCCGGAGTAACAAACCTTGGATCGAGAGCTTCAGTGAGTGGCTGTAGTGTGCCTATGCGTCGGCAGGAGCCCGGGTCGCCTGTGATACCTTACCAATACTGAATACAATTGCACGACACGACAGTGGCCTAATTCACACCCCATTATTCTATAGGGGGTGGTCCCACGAGAGGTTGTCTTACGGGCTGTTTTAACACGAAAAGTACCGAATCCCCTGTGGGACCAATCCCCTATGGGACAGCCTCCTATTGGAAAACCTACCATTGGGTGAAGTCCTCTGGGATAACATACGATTTGATAGCCCAAGGTGGGATGGTATCGTCTAGCGTGCTATTCTGCTGCTGGATTGTTTCCCACAAGACTTTATTCAATGCGAGGTTACAACGTGGGTGATTGTCTCATAATAACTGCTTCCCGTGAAGATCTGGGCAGTGGGGAAGTCTCGGGCGGATCACAATGTGATGGATACTGTGGGCACCAGGCGCCGCGCAGAACCCGTGCTGGCTTGATCGTGAAAACGGCTTCGAGAGACACGGGGGCCGGAACCCATGCAGCTAAGCTTTTCGCGCACAGCCAGTAGCGGTGTGTCAGCTGCCATCCTCGCGAAGCCGTTGATTCCAGATCGCCCGGCGGCGCCTGGCGGGTGGGGTGGAGGCCCCCCGGGGCGGACGGGACGGAGAGGATGTGTGACGGGAGCGTGCCGCAGGCCAAGGGTCGAACAGGGGCCTATGTGCGAGTTGATGCAGTTGGCGTCGGACGGAGAGGGAGAGCCGAAGAAACCAGGTGCGCGCGCACATGGGCGTCCGTGTTCGACGTCCGGTGACAGCGACTTGTCCAAGAGATGGTGCAGTCTGGCAGTGCAGTGTGCTGTGGCAGGGCGATCGATCGGCGCGTCACATTAATGAAAGGGTCGTCCACAAACCTTGGAATTCGCCGAAGAAAGAGTTGGGATTTGCCGCGTATACGTACAGGCGCTATTTGTGACACGAGTGGTGTGCCTGTGAAGAGAGAGCCGGAGGGCTGTGTCTGGATGCATTGATCGGTTCTGGGGTATCACTGAATCTCGGGGCCCAGGGTTTTAGATGGGCCAGGGAGGGAATGCACGCAGTAGGGCGTGTGTGAAGTTAAGCTGTGGGTCGAAGCGATGGTGTTTGGCGTTAGGCTCCACCGGGTGCCAGCGGCCGGCGGGTTGAGTTCTGAAAATAAATCCAGAGATTGGATCTTCAAGGAGAGAGCCCCGGATTCCACAGCAAGGAGAAATTGATAAACAGGAGATGAGCCTTGACAGCAACGAAACCTTGACGGCGGCGAAACCTTGCCGTGCACTGAGAATCCTCTTGCCCCGCGAAGACGCACCGCCGTTCAGAACTTTGGAATCAAGGTTTCCCAGCTGAAAAGCAGCGGTCGCCGTCTGGCAAGTGTTGCACCGGCACCGGGCTGGGTTTCCTGAGACTGGGCGGCGTCGCAGAGTGGTGGCCCACGAGTCGGAAAATATCGCCCAGGCCCACATGAGCCAGGACGCACACCATCATGAGCGAACCCGTGAGCAGAGAGCCCGACGGTCGTTGGCCACTCTGCCACTTCGACCCAACGCACCAACGCACGCAATCAATCAACCCACGCATCACGAGGATCTGCCAGCCGTCGAAACAGCCTGCTGATCCGGATCCAGATCCTGTAGAACTATGACGACACGTTGTGCGTAGAGTGGTAGGTGAGGCATGCGTGCAGCGTGCTGGCATGCGGGCCCGGCAAGTGAGAGAGGTGCAACCTGCACTCCCTGTCTGCCTGTACGGAATACTGCTTGTGTCAAAGATCTGAGCGCACAGCTGGCGCGGAGATCCAGGAGATCTAGCGTGCGCAAACCTTGAGAGTTAGGATTCGAGATTGATGGAGCCCGAGCTTGTGTCGGATGAAGATCCCCCAGGCTTAAGCGCAAGGGGGTTTGACTATCCCCGCCTCAGTCATGTTGGACCGTTATTTGCTGGCGCGTATTGCTATGAGGAGAGTCATGAGGTTGCCCGAAGCCCGCCTTCCCCAAGGGATTGGCAGGACGGGAGCAATAGCACGGCACGACGGCAGCGGTTTTGGCGGCTGGGCCGAGGGTGGCTGTGCAGGTTGGCCGCAATGAAATCCAAGACACGGAGTGCGTCAGGCCAAGGAACACGCGGGTCTGGCTGTTCTGCGACACCAGGGAGCGCTGCGAAGGAGGCGAGACGTGGCCGTCGACGTAGCATGCGTTCGCAACGGTTGCTGGCTGGGCATCTCATTGGCGCCGAGGGCGTGGCGCTGTCGACGAGGGCTGCGAGGCTACCAGGGTCTCTTTGGCTGTGGTGGCCTGCCAGTCAGCCAGTCAGCCAGTCGCCAGTCTGCCGGGCGCTGCCAGGTTTGGGGAAAGCAGGCCGAGAGTATGGGCAGGCTCGAGTTATTATTATCCTGCCCGTCTGGTCTCTGCGGTCGAGACGGTTTGGGCTGGGCCGTGGCCTTGCCACGTTGGGTACTACACTAGATGACGACGGCGTAGGGTTTTAAAGCAGGAGGGACGAACCAGTTGTTGGACTTGGTTTGCGGCTTGCGGTTGGCGGCTTGCGTGGTTACAGTTGCGGACGGCCCAACTTAATCCAGGTGGTCAAGAGCCTTGGGGAGGCAAAACGACTTCTGGGCCTTGTGGCTCATCAGTAACTAGCAGCCAGTTTTTTTAGTTTTGTCTTTTTTCTCTCTCTCTCCGTATTCGGGAACTACTTGAAATACGGTCAAGATACGAGGGACCGTTGTGAGACGGGGGAAGGAACGTGAGCACTGAGGGAGCAACAAGCCAGTGGCACCAGCCAGAGCCCAGAGGCCCCCGGTACCTGAAAACACATACAGGCCAGCGGGCCGGCCAATCTAGTTAGTGTATTTGCACCAGTTCCTCCTCCAATGCCGGCCTTGTTTGTGCCTACCCTACTGTATGGGAGGCCCTGCTTGGCCCGGTTCATGCGAGCAGAAATGGAAAAGAGTCGGACGTCATTTTCGACGGCGCGTCCGTGTCGTGCACCTGCACACCTGCACCTGGCTTCGATGGAATAATGGGCGTTGAATGAATGCTTGCCAATTGCAACAAAGCCAGCCACAGATGCGCTAGTCCCGTACCTGCATTTCTCGACTGCCGACTCCTAAGTATAGCAAGTTAGGGTGGTCGGTCAGCTGGTGGGGCCAGGTACATGAGGCCATGTGTGTTGCCAGGCTACTTGGAGGTATTTCCCAATGCCAAGCTTTGACCCCTTTCTATCATGGGCTACTGGCTGGCCTCTAGTGCGGCACCCGCGCCCACAGTAATTTGAGGCTTCGAACCAATGAAATCCAGCCCCAGGTACCCTGGGCCCCCTTTTGATTGCGACTTCCAAATGGGCCCATCCTCTCCACCACGAATCTAACCTGCCCTGCCTCCGACCCCGTCTCGCTTTCTCCTCTCCCCCGTCTTCACCTCTCGACGATCTGATCTGGTCTTGACCCTAACACCCAGCCCGTCCGTCGACAAACACCACGACCCGGGCGACACACACACACGCCCAGCGGCCAATTCCTACCGGCCATTTCCCCTTCCCTTTACCATTCTGCCCGCCGCCCTTTTTTCCCAACACTAGTCTACTTACTTTACTCTTGGTATAATCCACCACATCATCAACACAACCCACAGTCATTTGCAACGAGGCGCTGCTCCCCCGCCGAACCGCTCTCGTCCTCTGTCAAAAGGCAGCACATCTCCCTGCCTGCCACTTCTGCGACGCCCGCACAAACCAGAGGAATCACCAACCAAGAGAGAGTGGCCCCCGCTGCGCCCCCCTCGTGATTCGCAAATTAAACGAGACACGCTCACTTGGACAACCGCCTTCTTGAAACCCCCAACCTTTGACCTTCCCAGACCCGTCGAACGACCGACCGAACGACCGCCCGACCGAATATCCTCGCCGGTCACGACCTCGGACCTCGAAACCTTTCTTCTTTGATGTCGACTTAACCCCATACAAACACTCGCTTCCCACTCTGCTCGACCGCTGGAACACGGTTCGACCACACGAGGCTCAAATCCCACCCCGACCCCCGCCCGCTCCAGGGCTACGCTTCTTTCACGCCCTCGGGGCTCCCACCACCTTGCTACGCCGTGTTGCTTTGCAGCCCGTCACAATGTGGTTCTCTCTAAAGACTCCGTTACTTCTTCTCGCCTCCGCCGCCGCCATCTTGCGGCCGGCGGCGGCAGAGCAACTGCTGCAGTCCAGCTCTTTGAACACTTGCCAGGACAACTCAGGATTCACTGCCAGTCTCTTCAACGTCGCCTACACGCCAGCCAACGGCACTGCCATGATCGACATTGTGGCTGTCTCATCTATTCAGGGAAATGTATTATTCGACGTATCGATCACCGCCTATGGCTACCAAATTATTCGACGACAAGTGAACCCTTGTGAAATCGGTCTCGCTGGACTGTGCCCCATGTATGTGCCCTAAATAAGAAACGAAGCTGTGTCTACCGGTCGGAGATACTAACTTGCCTTGAAGGACTGCTGGAAAGATTCCACTAACCTTCAACTTGGATGTTGGTGACGAGGCCGCCAAGCAAATCCCTGGAATTGCGTATACATTCCCCGACCTCGACGCCAAAGTTAAGGTGTTCATCAACATGACTTCCGGCGAACAGGCCAACACGAGCGTCGCTTGCGTCGAGGCTGACATCTCAAACGGAAAGACAGTCGATCTGAAAGGTGTCAAATGGGCCACTGCTATTGTCGCTGGCCTAGCGCTCGCCTCCTCCGCCGTTATTTCTGGCTTGGGACACTCGAATGCGGCCTCCCACGTTGCCGCGAATGCTTTGTCGCTTTTCAGTTACTTCCAAGGCCAGGCCATGATCGGCATGACCTCTGTTCCTCTTCCTCCGATTGTGCAGTCATGGACCCAGGATTTCCAGTGGAGCATGGGCGTTATCCGCATCAACTTCATGCAGACCATCTTCACTTGGTACCAGCGTGCGACAGGAGGAACGCCATCAACACTGTTCGACTCTCTGAGCACAGTCTCCGTGCAAGTCGAGAAGAGGAAACGATCACTGGACATGGGGGCTGAGATGTCCATGAACCTCTTCAGACGCGGGGTTTCCATGATGCCTCGCGCGGTTGCCCAGATGCCGCGTGCCGTCGCTGAGGGTGCTTCAAAGCTCTTGAGGAGAGGAAACATCACCAACTCGAGCGGCAGTTTTGTCGTATTCGGCATCCAGCGTGTCGCCTACAGAGCTGGAATCGAGTCGACTAACCTCTTCATGACCGGCCTCACCTTCTTCTGCTTCTTCGTTGTGATCACCATCATTGGAGTCGCCGCCTGGAAGGGCTGGTGCGAATTCGCTGTCAAGCACAGGTGGATGAAGACTGATACGTTCCAGGACTTCCGAAATGGCTGGTTCACTGTCCTCAAGGGTATCCTGTTCCGCCTTACCCTGATCGGATTCCCTCAGATGACGATCCTGTGTCTATGGGAGTTCACTCAGAAGGACTCCGCCGCTGAAGTTGTTCTCGCTGTCTTCTTCTTCTTCGGAATGGTCATCACCCTAGGCTGGGCATCATCAAAGGTTATCAGGATTGCACGACGCTCCGTTGTTATGCACAGGAACCCTGCGTACATTCTGTTCTCGGATCCTCAGGCTCTGAACAAGTGGGGTTTCCTCTACGTCCAATTCCGTGCCTCAGCCTACTACTTCATCGTGCCTAGCCTGATATACCTACTGCTGAAGGGAATCTTCATTGCTTTTGCACAAAACAGCGGTACTGCCCAGGCTGTGGCCTTCATCATCTTGGAGGCTGGAGCACTCATTGGCGCCAGTGTTCTCCGACCATGGATGGACAAGAGCACGAACTCTTTCAACATCTCGATTTGCGTCATCAACTTCCTCAACTCCATCTTCTTGCTGGTCTTCACTGATGTCTTCAACCAGCCGGCCATTGTCACGGGTGTTGTTGGCGTTATTCTCTGGATCGCAAACGCCGTCTTCGCCCTGGTCCTGCTTCTCATGCTGATCGTTACAACCGTCATTGTCCTGGTCCGCAAGAATCCCGATGCGAGATACCAGTTCATGGCCGACGACCGAGCCTCATTTATGAAGTCTCAGACGCAGCTGAACACAACGACTGAGCTCGACGCACTGGCAGCAACTGCACGAGGTGACAAGGCAGGATACAAGGCCGGGTTTGACATGGACGAGGACAACGAGTCGATATCATCCGACTCGATGAAGCGACGTACAGACCCGAACATGCAGGCGCCACAACAGGCAAACTCGCCATTGGCGCAGTCTAATTACCGCGAACCACCCCGCTCACCGGTGGACCCCTCCGTACCGCTGTTCCCAGCAGACGGCCGGAGGGGAACCCCTAACTCCCAGCCTGACTACAGCGGTTACAACAACGGAGGGCAATACCTGCGGCAACAACCCAGCGGCTCTTCAATGGGCCCGGGCTCCTATGGTGGATCATCATCCAACCTATCAGCCCACCAAGCCCAAAACAACGGCGCATATCGGAGCCAGAACAATGCTAGGTAAGGACTGGTCCCCTGTTGACGCTACCGCGGATCAAGCTAACTGTTTCTTAGTCCATGGCAACGAGGTGCGGGTTACGAACATTAATGATATTGGGTTTCGATACGAGCTAGCAAGGCTTGTGTCGGGATTGCCGTTCACGACGACATGGAATTCTAGGGCCTTGTGTACTTTTCTTGCTATTTGATCATCACTTCACCTTTCGAGTGGTTCTTTTGTTCTATGCCAGCTGAGGGGGTCAGCCATTTCAGGCATGGAAACTCACACGGACCAAACATTCGCCGTCACCCACTGTCGGCTGACGAAACGGCGCCAACCGACTTTCTATATATTTCCGACCCGTCCCCAACCTTCTCAACCTTTCCTCTGTCAGGGGCACCCGATCACGGGCCCCTTTTCATCATCCAAGAGACCTTGAAAGGTCCATTTACAACACCCCCAATTCCCTCTGTTATCAACCAAATCATAGGGAGCATTTGGAATGGCGTCCAGGAAGTTACGGACTGGGGGAGAACTCCAGAGATCCAAGAGAGGCCATCATACCCGATCGATCAATACAAATATTATTGCAACCATATACATGCGCCGTACCACCACAGCCAAGCGAACCATGGGCAGTGAAATCAAGCTCAACACCAGAGCGAGTCGAAATGCGGGCATGTGCATGGGGCACGTCGTTGAAGCCAGTTCTTCTGGTGGCGTAAGGGGCACCACAAACAAAATATCTCGAACCAACATTTCAAGGAGTAAAGCAGAGTCAAGGGAGGGTGCCTCAGCCGCTGAGCGTGCTAAGATATCGCGTGCCGCGTCCTGCAGAATACTGCGGCGTTTTTTGATTTCGTGTCTCTTGAGTTAGTACATGTGCGTCTGGTGGTAGAAGAGCACAATTAATCGAATATTTTGAAAGGCAACCAATATTTTCGAGGTGATGCGCTCTTCTTTCTTGGCTCCCTGGCTAACGTTGGCTTGTGCTTTGAGCGCTCCGACTGGTATAATCCAGGTTTCCTTGTCAGCAACCTCCACCAATAACACATTTCCTACATCTTGGCAGACTGTAGCGTGTTCTGCAGTAAGCTGTGTGTCTTCTTAATGGCTACTATTGTCAATTCAGTCTTCTATTACAAGCGCCTTGTATGTCGCTGGCGAGAAGTTTTGTATGGCTGACGGGCGGAGTGGATGACATGGCCGGTCGGTACCTTGGCTGGCCATTAACTGTGACAGGTGGGAAGTAGAAGCAGTAGAAGAAAATACGTCAGAAGGGCATGATCACAAGTTACGAGACTTTAAGTGAGAAATTAAGCCCGGGTGTCAATGTATGTTGTGTTCAAGCACACCTGGGCAAATTGTTGCCGGCTGCGGACAATCGACGCCTCTGGTATTCATTCTGTCACCCAGTAAATGCCCGTCTGCTTCGTACACCCAAGCCATTCCACACCTTGCATACAGCAGCATTTCCTCTTCAGACGTGAAAACCCCACTCTATTGTACAGGTTTGGCTATCAATTACAGGACTGCTCGGCTTCGGCGATTCGATGATTGCCGACGCGAGTTTATATGGAGAATCGACAAGTCGATGGCGTAACGCTTCCCCAAACTGTTGGCAATCGAACCTTGACATCTCCTCATCAATCTCATTCTCCAAGCATCACCAAACAAAACCACAATGACAGTCGTTAAAACACATGATTTTGAAGACACCAGGGCCATCAAGGCCCTGATCCAAGCCTTTTTCGACTCCGTCAATGCCGCAGACACGAAATCCCTCCAATCCCACTTCCTCCCCGCAGCCAGCCTAACTATCATCCGCCAAGACCCTCCCCGGCCGGCCGACCCGGCAGCGGGTGAGGGTAGCAGCAGCGCCGCTGCGAGTCACGATGAGAAGCTGACCGTGGTGATCCGCACCACGATCGAGCAGTTCGTCAAGCTGCTCGACGACGCCGAGCGCAGGCGCAAGGGCCAGCCACCGGGCCCTGTCGTCCACGAGACTCCTGACCTCGACGCCACGGATGTCAAGCTTGATGCGCTGTTCGGCAACGCCTGGGCCCCGTTCCGGGTTACCTTTGACGGCGTGCTGCACCACTACGGGACCATGGTCTACACGCTGGCCAAGACCGAGCTTGCTGACGCCGCCGGGGCATCCGGGGGCAGGAAGGAGTGGAAGATCGCGGGGCTGACGCAGAACTACCGCCGGACACCTGGGTGGCCCGAGGCTGAGCATTCGGGGCTCTCGTGAGTGGGCGGGGTGGGGTGGTTATTGGGTATTGCGGGTATGATGCAGCGTAAGAAAGAATAGAGCTGGGACTTTCTGTCGTTCTGTTGAGCCCCGCCACGGAGACGGGGCGGTCGGAGCGGAGACTGATTGGATGTATATGGATCATTGATCCTTTTTCTTGGGCGCCAGTCGTAAGATACGAAGCAATATATTCGGGCCATCCTCTGGACTTGAGACTGGTTGCCTCATTTCGTTCGATGTAGCCATGACTGTGAAATCGCCGCTGCCATGTCGTTTCCTTGATCTGTTGCTGACATTGACGAGTCCCGGATTCGCCTCGTCCAGATCAGACCAGACCTGAAACCCTTGGAGAAGGTCGCACATCGGTGCTTGCATCGCCATCTTTGGACTTGTATGGTCTAACCTCTCAAGGGTGTTGTATAAAAACAGTTCCCTCTGGTGGCTTACTGCAACTAAGCGGGGATGTAGGCACGATGGATCCACAATGTAAACGAATCGCATGTAAGTCGTTCAAAATCCTTCACGGGCGAGATGAATATGAGATTAGTATTCAGATGAGCACCAAAATTTCACGCCTTGGATGGTTCATCCGCCAGTCTTATAGCATCTCCAAGAAGGCCGAGTGCCAAAAGGGGGATGAAACCCATAATGCGTGGGAACGTTGACAGCGAAGCAGTGGATCGCCTAACAGCTGTCAGGAATTCGGCCCCAAGATGCGGTGAACGGCCCCAAACTCGGCCGAGGAAGCTAATTCTCGGGGATGTAAGCCGGTCAATTTGGGGCCTGGCCTCGACCACGCGGCTCCCCCTTCTTACGGCTGGGCTCGGACCAAACGGGTCACTACCGCAGAAAGCTTGAAAGGCAGCATACTTCCGACGGAGTCTCACTCGTTCAAGAGAAGTCCGCTAATAAAGTCCATAGCAAAACTAGCCTGGCAGCGGTTCCTCGTAACGCCGACCAGTTCGGGCGACGCTTACTATGTCCGCCCATCTTTCCGTGGCGTCAGCTTCTAAATCCCGAGTCTGGAGTTATCGGGTTGACAGAGTCGGCTTTTTCTGCGCCCGGGCATGTAATACGAGGTCATAGACGTAGAATGACACACACCATCACCTCGCAATAGGTGTCGAATTCAGTATGATTCGTTCCATTGCAATACTCAACAGGTGCATCGTGTTTCCTCCAGTGCGAATAATGTCCCCATTTGGGACGTAGTCCCAGAAAATGGACACATGTAATCCATTCAGCAAACACTTGAGCATGACGAACGGCGAGTGAGTACTCGAACCAAAGGCTGGTTGTTGATCTAGGCTGTTTTCCTGTTCGCTTCTCCCCATTGCCACTGTCATGTGCAATTTGATAGCAATGTTGGTAGGCTAGACAAGCTTGCCTCTTGTGTTTACATGAGATAGCCTCATGTGGGACAACCCCATCTGGGACAACCTACCTCGAGATAACCTCGAAATAGACAACAAGCCGTGGAACAAGCTACCATGTGACGGAACTGAATCACACGAGAACGAGATCCGATCAAGCAACAACGTGGTACCAAAAGGCTGACGACAAACAAAACGACCTCTCGGCGAAGATGTTTGACGGCAAACACGCCATACGATCGCGAAACTATGCCGTCTTGTGGGTTCTAATGTAGTTCAGGCCTACACATTGAGCTTCGTTGGACTGATTATTGGATGTGTTCGCTTGATAGCTGTGGCATGAATGACAGTGGAGCAACACCCGATTCCGCAGATCAAACCAATGGTACAACATCTACAGTGAGCTCTGCAGCACAAGCACTTTTTCGTTGACACCACTCTCTTGGAAAAAGGTGATGAGTAAAGCATAAATATTTCACTCACACACACTCATCATGAGAAGATTACAACTGGGTTGAAGCATCAAATTTGACGTCAACCAAATATCTGCTCCACCAACCTACATAATTCATTCACCGAGAGATCATCATGACAGCCTCCACAAGCAGCCATGGTCTCAGGATCCATACGCTTCTGCTCCTCTTGGTCACAGTAGGCCACCTGTTCTCATTGGTCGCAGCTGACTGCTACTGGCCCGACGGATCAAATGCTTTCGACATGCAAGAGTGCTACGGTCCGACGGGTGCAGACGGGCTGTGCTGCGCACCAGGCGACTCCTGCCTTATGAACCAGCTCTGCCGAGACGCAATCGACCATTCGTTCTATCGAGGGGCTTGCAACATGCAAAACTGGACACAAGGCATGACTTGCCCCAGATTTTGTCACAACAAGGAAGATGAGGACAACATGGCCGGCTCCCAAATCGTCGACGAATGCTCCGAGCTTTCTGGTGGATACTTTGTGTGTCATAAGGGTATGCCCGGAAGGAACACCTGCTTCGACCCCTTCAATACAATTTTGAAGCTGGATGGTAGGTCGGCCGGATTCACAATATCTGAGATGATCGCAGCACTGACAATTGCAGGATGCGATACGGAATACAACACAGCAGGGGACCGGACGCCTGTGGCGGTCATGCCAACCTGTGCTCGTGCGTACTGGGACTACAATCCATGGCCTGCAGCCTCGGCTAGCCTTGCGCCAACAGCCATATAAAATCCTATTGCCAGCCGTACGTGACCGGTCCCACGCGGCTCCTTTGGTTGACCTCATTCCACTGATCTGAACGTTGCGGCAGCATCATCTGTCGTGTCTAACTAGGACAATAGGACCAGCTACCTTTTGCTTGGTTTCTACAGAGAATTTTCCATGGTCTTGATACCAGTGCATGCGTCGACCGGACTCGCAAAACTGCAGCAACATCTGTCCCACTCACATCGAAGCCTCTCTCTGACGCCTCAGTGCTACATGGCCTGCTGGCGGTCCGGTGCGGATGATGTGTTGGCACGGAGCTCGATACAATGGCTTGGAGTTATGAACGTCGTAACTCGTAGAGGAAGGTTTTTTGTTCACTGAGATTGTCAAATAACCTATAATCACCTGCGAGTAATCACAACAATCCTTTCATTCAGAGAAGACCATGGATGATTTGCGCATTCGAGAGAATGTGTAGCTTCCCATCCATGGAGAAGAATGCAAATCGCGTGTGATCGGCCGGTACTAAGTCACTAGACAAAAGGTTGGCCACACAAATGGGTATAATGATCCTGGTCTTACAGCATGGCTGTTGCAGAAGGTGATCTGATAAGTAGCCCCAGATTTGCGTAGACTGAGGCGATTAGTCTAGTACCGTGTCATTCGAAATGAACCATATTAACATCTCATCCATGGATGGCAGAATCAGCACCAAGGAAGGCATAACCAGCGTGACACTATTCTACCCCAGGGTACATACCATTGCTACAACGACAGTGTTCCATCAATTGGCTACGACGCACATGTGTCATGACATGCTATTGAGAAATGGCAGAAACATCAATCATGTTCTTGGTGGATAACACCGAGTGCCTTGCGAGCCAAGTAAATCGAAGCATTGACAGCTCTCGGCAGCCCACTTTATCGACAGGCCACTTAAAGTTATGCCGGCGTGCTTGTACGCGCCACTAGGAGCACTGTGATGAGGTGTGTGGTCACTTTTTCTCCAGAAAAGCAGACCGAAGATCTCGTACTAGGCTGAATCGCGGCAGTGATGTAACGTGTGAAGTACCGTGTGCATCGTGCAATACAAGTGTGACAGGGCGGGCATATTCCTAAAAGCTGACATGTGCCGAATTTCATGATGTGCGTGGTACTGTACTAGCCGGAATAAGCTCCTACTGGCTTGACATTGCCATTGTACTCCAATCTTTGTCAGGTGTTCAGAAATCGATTCTCCCATTATTGAGGCAAGCATCCAGGACGCCTGAGGTCGTTTCTTTGACCTGTGACTGCTCAGGTGCATTCTATCATTGATGGCGATGCCACAAATGTCAAGTGCCGTTCCACAAGCCCGCCTGGCGTCCTCTCTATTTGTTTCTCTTCTTCCGATCCCATGTCACGGCCTTCTTTATCTTGGTCCCACGTAGTTTTTGCATCGGGAGTCAGCGGCATCTTTGTGATCTTTCATGTGCTCGGGATGCTCTCTGAATCTCGAAGCAGGCTATAACGATAAGCCAGCAATAACGGAACCCTTCCGTTCTTTTCTTTTTGTTGCCGTAAAGCGCCCTCCCTGTAACTCAAGTGACGGCAGACTCGCAGGAGCCGAGTCGCCCGAGAACAGCGCCGGTGCTCAAACTCATCTCGCAAGAGTTTTTGCTGGTATCAGGAATGATATTGTTTGAAGGGAATAAAATGAATATTTTCCGTTAAGTAATATATGCAATGATGAAGTATGCTCCTCCTGCCACAATATGACCAGTCTCCTTTCATCAATTGATGTTTAGTTGCCACCAGCACCTGTGTCCGCCGCCGTGATTTACACAGCTGCAATGATACATCCGACGAGGTCAAGTACACTGAGCTTATGTCAGAGTTTATATGTCTTGTGACTTCTTACTTGACGAGAAGAGTTAGGACTTACCATTCGTACCTGGCTAGAGTCGAGTCCGCGGCATCCGCAGCTGACGCGCAAGAGGCACCCTGCCCAACACAGTCAAGAATGCCCGTTGGTTGCGCCTGAGTTGACGCAGAACCTGATACAGCATCAGAACCGCTGTTGCTCCCATTATCATGATGATGCCTTCTATCATAATTCCTCCTAGAATCAGCCGCGTGGAGGAGAACAGTCAAAGCCAGAAGGATTTGGAATCGCATTTTGCTAAAGTAATTCACTTTGTTCGCAAAGATCTGTCAAGAATGGACATGAGAGATTAAGATTGGGACTCTTCGTATTCGTGAGAAGATTCATCATACTTATAGTGAGGTACGCAAGAAGACACATCAAGGCAACGTCATGGGCATGCGCCTCCCTGATGAGGCTCGCAGCTGCTGGCAGGAACCGTCACAAGAGACGATGCCGCCAATGGTCTGAAGTCGTCTTTAAGACATCCGAAGACGTACAAATTGGAAAACCCATGGCCATTTGTAAGTCCTGCGAATGTTTCCCGTAGTCGCAAGCTCTGCCCGCGGTGCCAAGCGGCTCACGCCGTACGAACCGAGCTCGGAGTTTTTTTTCCCAAATGAGATAGGACGAAGGCCCCAATCAACGTACCTTCTGGTACATCCAAGGGGCCTTTTTAATATCAATTCTTCACCTCGGGCCTGACCAAGCACGAATTTGTCCGGCACATACCAAAGACGCCGTTGGCCCGAACCCCACGAGGCTTCCACTCATGAGATGCAAACCCAACCGGCAACGTCACTTGTCCCGTTATACACCATCTGAAGTTTGATCTAGTCAAGCTCTTGGCCGCACCCACAATTTTGTCTTTTTTTAACGTATGTCGCAAAAACTGCACTTCTGGGATGTTCGTGATATATTGCCAAAGCCATTTGATGGTCGGCATTCGATTAGAGTCCTGGCAGTGATGCCATCGAGGGGTCAATGAACAACGCGAAAGCCGTTTTACGGCCGTTCACGTCATCGGTATCCCCAAGCAGATCCTGAATATGTCCCATAAATTGGATCCGGCACCAATCGTAAACCAAGCACGGGGCCGGTCTCAAGCAGCCGGCATAGATTTTAAACTATGGTCAACTCTCACCTGGGCAGTTGACGAGTCTTGCCCAGGAATTGTTATGGGTGGTTTCGCTTCTATTCCGTATACGTCCGAGGACATACATGGCGCCTTCATACGGTGTTACGACAAAGAACAAATCTAATTTGTAGGTCTGAAGGTTTTAGTCAGCTTCAGACCAAAACACCGATATTCCTAGTCAGAACTAAGTAGGCCTAACTGTGGTTAGTATCTGGACCCGGACTAGTCATGTAGCCAACAAATGTCATCTATATGATTTCTGGAATGAGTCCACGATTGTCCCGAGATAATTCTGGAAAAGGGCCCAAAGATTTTGCCCGAGTGTCCGGTAAAGCGTCCACAGCATCTATGTACATGGCGAACCAGCTAGGCGATGGCCACTATCCAGCAGTTCTATGGCACGAGCTTCCGTGGATACACTCCTGTTATGCTGATAAGTCCCATCCGTGGCACAATCATTTCCGAAGAGAAGGAAACCCGAGGACAGTCCATAATAAAAAGCTAATTTATAGGAACACTGAAGTTATCACATGGGAGGGCAACCCTCTCATGACTATGACCAGGACAAAAGACCTCCTGTGGTAGAACTTGGACCCACTGCAGCGAAGTAACAGGTATAAAGTCAGCATGGGATGAACAAAACGTAGTGGAAATAGGTGAGAAGGCTGTGCACTAATACGCTGAATGCTGTTGTCTAAGAATGTGGCTCTCTGCATTTCGCAATTTATCGAAGCTTATTTAGCAAGGCTCATTGGGGGCCCGATCTCTTTAGTCAACCAAGGATACCATTTGAGAGTGATCAAATGACAGCATTGTACTAGGCCAGGGAATTACAGTCACAACAGTGGTGAGGAAGTCTTTGCCTTGCATCCGACTTAAGCCAGAGCTACTGAATTGCAGTTACAGTCTATCAAAACTTTCTATATATACACCTGAATTTGATCGGCAATGCCACCGTTCCAACAAGAAAGACTCTTGTGGATTTAAATGTGTACAAGAAATCACAAGCACCAACTCCGAGCCCAGAAAGAGACTCAGCTCATTCGCGCCAACCCCTGCGAAACATCAACTTAGTTCTCGTCCTCCTTCTTCTCCTCAGTGGAGTCCTTCCTGCCGGAGAAGAAGTTGTTGAGGTCCTGGACGAAGCTCTGGAAGTCGCGAGCGTGCTTGCGGCCGGACTCCTCGCGCTTGGCAGCGCCGGAGAAGGCCAGCTTGGGGCCGGGAATGGGGTATGAGTCGAAGGTGGTGTAGATGTTGAAGTTGATACCCTCGTCGTCGGCCGAGTACAGAGCGGTGCCCAGGGTTCCCTCGGGCTGCTCGGTGCCGCTGCCAGTGACCTGGATGTTGACACACTGGGGGTAGTTCTGGGCGCCATCAGCGTTTGAGGCCGAGTGGAGAGCGATGATCTCGTGGCGCAGGACGTAGTTGCCAGGCTTCAGGTTGGCAGGGATCTTGATCTCATGGCCGAGGTTGTTGCTGAGAATCTCATCCGAGGCCCAGGTTCCTGGGGAGGAGCCGGAGACAAGGCCGGACTCCTGGATCTTGAAGAACTTGAGGGTGGTCTTGTCGACAGAGGTAGGGTCGTCAGCGGGGGCCAGGTAGTCGATGACTGGGCCGTGGTGAGACTCGGGCCAGGTGTTCCAGGTGGCGGTGATAGAGCCGCCAGCCTCGACGGTGGCGTTGTTCAGAACACCGTTCTTGGCGCCCCTGTGGCAGATAATGTCGGCATCACCGTAAGCGCTGGGGGCGACGAAGCCGTTGTCAGACGCGGTGGTGGACCACGCAATGAAGTCGTCCAGCTTCGAGGCGTCGGTCTGGTACTGCTCGTCGAAGCCCTTGTAATCAACACCACCAATGTTCCAGGAAGAAACGTATCCGTGGGCCTGGACCATGGAGATGCCGGTGGCGACGGCGAGGACAGTGGCGGCGACGTGAGAGTGCATCTTGACGGTGTTGTAAGAGTGTGAGGAGTTGGGTAGAAGTGGTTGAAGAAGTTGGGCTTGGTGCGATGGAAAAGTTTGATGAAACCGACTTGCGGGTGAACGAATTGTAAATGCAGTCAATGCAGTGAGGGAGTGGAAGATGAGCAAAAGAATGGATGCAAGGCGGTGATCGAGTCTGGATTGGAAAAAAACAATAAACCAAACAACGATCAACACCCGACTCTGGGGAGTTATATAGCCATCTTCATGCTATTGATGCCCCGCACGCATCACGGCCTCGTCAAGCGCTTTGGCGCCGTTTCTCCGCGTCACGGCCAGGCTGATATTGAAAGCGGGCCATAAGTGTTTGCTTGGCAATAAACATGAGGCCGGGCTGGGCAGTGAAACGGTGGGTTCGTCTGAGGGAGCACCTACGGCTCGTCGTTATACTGGGCCCAGCTGAAGATCGCCAGTGTCAGGGGCTCAGGAGAACCTTGGAAGGCGGCAGTATTGCCAATTGCACCCAGGAACGGTAAAATTGTTCCCACAAATGCGGCTCCAGATCCACACGATTAACCCGTGCATGACGATCTGTGGAGAATACTTTGGTGGGGGACGGTTGTTTAATCACGACCTGCCAAGGCTCGAGGACCCGAAACGAACACCAGCAGACCAACACATCGCTGCAAGCCGAGACCCCAAGACTTGCTTGTTCAGAGGGCTCACAGTGTGTGTGTGTGTGTGTGTAGAGCATGGCGCTAATAAGTGCTCCTCAGATAAACAGCAGTACCGGTATCTGAGCTTGAACTTTGGGACGGAAGCGCACGTGCTGACGCAGACGGCACTTGACGTAGCGATCCATGTTGTTGCGTAGCATCCCGCCAGCTCGCCCGATCTGGATGCCGTAGCTACCTATTAGTCTACCCGTCGATTCAGCCGCCCTGCCGCCCAGGTGCTAAGAGCCCCGCCTATGTTTCGGAACCGGATGCATTCGCCTTGTAATGACTAGCAAGTCCCGCGTCTGTCTCCACGGCTGAGGCTGGATGTGGACATGCAGGCGCCGTACGCAATGTCCAGAACTACTCCGTATGTCGAATTTAATTGGAAGGGAACTGGGTCATGCGGAGCGTTGGCACTGCCATCACACAAGCCCGCTTGCTGCTCAAGTGTCAACCTTAAAGTGCCGGCGGCCCCTTTCCAGAGGCTTCCACTCACATTCGGGTCCACAACAGACGGATTCTGACAGCCCGGCATATCGGATCTCGAATATAGCAGTCCCCATGTGGCTTGAGATGGGGAAACTCGCCCTGCCACGGCTCCTCGCCCGGGAGGGCTTGCCGGCTCTGGGGGCATAATCCACCGCCGGAAGACTCTTCAATACGGGGCTATGGGTCAGATAGAAGTCCCAAAGTGGCCTCAGAAAATTAGGATGTGCGCTGCCGTCGTGGCTGGCTTTGCACGTCCCCCCTTTCTGACCCTGCTGTTGACGGTCCTCCCGTCAGCGCTCGTGAAGAAAAGCTGCCGAACAGCTCCGTCGTTCCTCGTTGAGTGGGGGTTAGGGCGCCATACTGTGGTGGTCGTCGCCCCTTACCCACGCGTGGTATCCTGGTAAGGGTAGGTCAACTGGTGCTTATACTATTGTAGCAACACGGCGTTAGCAAGTCCGCCAAGGTTTGACTTAGAGCGGCACGCTGCCTGTCTGCGGCTCTCTTGGATGCAATCCGCACAACTCACTGGCCACTGGGCGTTCCATTTGACCAGGGAAGCGTGGTCCATCTTTCACTTGATATCCAGTTGTCCCACCAGTGTTTACTGTTTTGCCAGTCGCGTTCCTCTCTCATAGGCAGAGGCGGAGGTTCCTGGCGCCGCCGCCAGCCCGATTTCATGTGTCCCAGCAGAACGTTGCAGTACGGCACGCACGCGCATATGAAGCCTATAGTGAGCTCCGTTATCCTGCTTATGTCAGTCGAGACGTGTGCCCATGGTCTTGCACGCCAGAGGCTAGATGACCCACACTGTAGTGTCCAAGTAGACAAACTTGGAGGTAATGTCTGTCGTTACCAGGTACCCTGACAGAAGGTACATTCGAAATGTAGTTACACCCAGTGCTACACCGCCTGCGCTCAGCATTGCTGCGATCTTGAGCCTCTGAGCCAGCGGCATGCTGAGCCGCCATGTCAACGCGATGGGAATGACCAGGATGATGGCATCTGTCAGAATTGCCAGGGACAGGTCGAAAATGAATGCTTTGGCCTGGCTGAGGCACCGTGTCGGCTCGACGCTAGGGTTCCAGAACGACTCCACAGGGACACACACAAACATCTTGATGAACTGGATCGGGATATAGAGTATGGCAAGCACCACAACGAACCACTTAATTGCTCGCGACGCTTGCTCGTAGGCCGCAAACACGCGAGCTGTGAGAAGTAAAAGAGTTGCTTTTATGAAATAAGCTGCTGGGCAATAAAACACGCTGGTGATGTAGAGCCACTGTTAGGAGTCATGTCAGATCAGCTGAGCTTCTCCTTCCAAAACGACAGGCTCATGATCGGCTTGTCAAGAACTGGCCTAGGCCCCACAAACCTTCATGAGGATCTGGTACTGGGTTGTCGTCAGGTCCCAGGCATGGTGACCCGCCCCTTTGGCAAGCACTTTTGTCCGACAACATGTCAGTTGCTATGTCCCTGTAAACGCTCCGTGGTGCCTGCCACTCACTAATGTACGTCACCACGAAGAATGCTGCCATGAATACCTGCGAGGCTCGGTCAACACAACTCGTCTGCATCGGTCGTTCTGGTTTTCTCCGAATTCTGCGTACAACCGAGATGGAATAGGTCACTGGGAGACGATTGATCAGCTTCTGCTGCCCGCCAGAATGCTCTTAGAGCCGCTGGGTGATTGCGCCACCTACCGTCTTCCATTGTGGCGTGTCGGAGAATGACTATCTTAACATAGCTTCGTACCAGGAAAAGGCTGAATATCAACACTGAGCAAATGATTGAAACCCGGAATGCAAGATCATGTCCGGCGTCAGGTGGATCGTCGAAGTTGGAGGTGACACCAAGCGGAGGTCTGACGGCAGCCGTATGAGTCGGGGCCCCTGAGCTTCTGCTTGTCGTTGTCGTGGCTGTCGCCGTTCTAATGACGCCCATTATCCGCATTGCTCGGCAAGGAGGCGGCCTTGGAGCTTAGTCGTAATCATATCCCGATTGTGATGCTACAGTCAACGAGTGAGATCCTCCCGCAACGAACTGTGATGGAGTTGATGGAATGTAGGGTTGGTTGCTTCGCTCTGGTATGAGGAGAGGCTGGGACAGATTGCGCTTTGAGAAAAGCTGGCTGTACATAAGGTTTCGGTTACTCTACGGGAGTATGGCACCACCTGGGCACTTCCAAGGTTGACCGCACGTTCCGGGCCGTTGGGCATCTGGACAGGCTTCAGCCTCAAGGCACTTGGATGTGCGCCGGCCATCGGGATTGCCGGACATTTTTGAGTGTCCATGTACCTACCTAGGTAGGTAGTCATTTGCTTCGCCTATCACTCGAGTTCAAGAACCCTAACGCACTCGCTCAGTGTCGATGATCGGTCTGCCATGTTCTGTATGGTACTCCATCTTGTGGTGAAGGTCACGGTGCGATGACTTTCTTTGGGGTCGCATGCGAAACTTTGTTCTCCATAACTCTTAACCTTTTTGGCCGGTCAGCAGGGGGCAGCCACAGCGGCACAAGCAGGTGTAGATCACCTTGCTATTGCCAGGATCGGCAGACGGATAGGCCGTACCCGTTATCGAAGACAGGGGGCATTGTTGGTTTTATCGATGATCTACTTGTCTACCTACTGATCCAACAGATTTACTGATATTGCAAATCTTAAATTGGAGATTCAGCTACGAATCGAGTGCTAAATGCTGTGCAACTCCAAGGAAAATGTTACCTAGATACCAGTTAGCATCACTGCCAAGGCGTATCCACTGTGATGACTGAAAGTATAATGGTTGGTGGTGCGAGCCTCCCAGCTGACCTCGGTAGTGAACGAATGAGACCGGTGTGAAGCAAGGCCCCAGGGGGCTGTATCGGGATCTCGGGATGATACAACCTTGATTCTCATGCTGGGGAGTCCTCAACGGCCGTTCACAACACCTGAACAGAATGACACTTTTGAGTTTTTTGAAACACGCCTGGAGAAAGATACCATAGAGGTCACAATTATGTAGCTGACTCGCAAATTGCATGCTGAATTACAGTCATGTAACCTTACCGTTGAATGGATTCTAAATGCCATTGTGGCTCACTCTCCAAGGTTCACACAGTCACCCCGATCTCAACAGGTTATTCTCTGGGAGAAAGTCAAGGTTACATGTCGAGCTTTCCTGAGATGATTTACAACATAAACACAATCACTGTGTAGTGAACACCTGCCAAGGCTCTCATTTCTCTCTTTCTGTTTGCCGTCAGTCTTTGGATGTCAAGATTGAACACCAGTGGCTGGGGCTTGGTAATAAAGGGGGAGGCACTACAGCCAACCCAACTGAACAGGCTGCTTGAGTCGACCCATCATCAGGGTCTTCACCAAAACAATGGCCATCTTGATTCTGAAGCTGTGCCTGGATCCCATGTCTTGGTCAACATTGGGCTTGACTCGCTACCTGAAATTATCAGAGCTACCTCGTACAACACACTGACTGTGTTATCTGGTGGTAGAATCTCCTTTCCATGGCAAACAAAAAGTTCGCGTCGCAAGTTTTTGCTGGCATGCACATCTCTGCCCATCTGTTCTCTTTCGTCCCAATGATTCGTCCCATAATTGATGGCTTGTGCTGATAGGCGGCTTTGCACAATTGAAGGATCAAAAGATGGGACGCACACTTTCCTTGGGTAGCCTCCATTGGGATTCTGCTCCCGTCCCACGTTGAGCCGAAAGCAGACTTCCATGTTGGATCTTAATGTGTCGTCTGATATAGTCAATATGAGCATGTCCAGAATAGACTAATATCCAAGCCTGTTTTCACTTTCCTCCATGTACTGAAGTCCAACTTCAACAATTTCATGATATTCCATTAAGGCATGGGTATAATGACAACTTGTGAGTCCAGATACACTTTCTTCTTTTCAGGCCATGATAAGTTGAAGTGAAATGGTTTAGAGAGCACAACACACCCTGGACAGTGGGTCATTTACGAGCAGACTTTCTAGCATGCTCGACAACCTTGGAAGGGATATGCTTCAATGTCAAAAGACCCAGGTATCCAGAGCCATGAGCACAAAAGCCGTAAGCATAACAGACTTGAGTCATCAAAGGTGATTGAAGCTTACCCGTGAGGTGACTTGTATGATAACAGCTAAGGCACGGAGGCTTTTAGCCAAAACGCCTGGACAGTTCTGAGGACTATCCACCTCAGGTATGCCAGGACAACTGTTTGAGTATCTAAGTAGATCCGGCTGAACCATCATGTCTGGAATACAAAGCGGATTGGCTCCTGAGTGTTGTCTGGCATCACTATATCAATGGCGAATTTCTCTAGACGCTGGAGACTAGTGTTCTTTTTACACACGCGTACAAATACATTCCTCCTGTCAGAAAAACTGTATCAGGGTTGTGTTCTCATGTCAATGCCAATGAGAAACAGTCTGAATTTGTCATGCCCGGCCTTGAATCTATGACATGGCTGCATGAGATAGCACGACGCAGACCTATGAGGTACACCTTAACATAAGAGCTGATATAGAGCACCTGTGACCTGATGTGGCGTTGAGACGTGCAATAGTCTGTGCTGTCAACATTCAGAGCCCTCTGACCAGGTTGGGGATGTTTACCACTGCCGTGGAATCCATTCATGGGCCCCAGCTTCTCGTGCACGAGGCAGCTGGTCCTCCACCAGACAAAGCTGCCCTGGTTGCCCCAACACAGACATGCGACCTAGGAGACTGATCCTCGAGGGTAAGCCGCTGCCAGCAACTGGCCTGAACGTAGACAACCCCGGTGGACACCCCCCTTGTGTGCCTCTGGACGCAACCCCGAAGACGGAATTCAGCCCAAAACTGGAAATTCGAACAATTCAGACTTGCTTTTGTTTTCTTCCTGACCACCAACCATCAACAGCCAAGATGGACAACAGGGACGACCCCTACGAGGGATACTCCCTCCAAGAGCTGCTGCGAGTAAGTGAAGAACTCTCCTATACCTGAAAGAAAAGAAAAAGACAACTGACGCGAACTCTGCTTCATAGGAGAGGCGCTTGGCGAACCCGCCGGTCCCAGGCGACGACCAGAGGCCGTAAGTACAATCTTTTTTCGGTAGTCATACCAACCCTCCCAGCGTTTGAAAGAGTCCCCGTTCAGAGCGGAGAGTATTCTTAAATCAGAGGGCAAGAGACGAGATAGACTGACTTGGAGACGTATAGCTACTATCTCGCCAGAGAGCTCTGGCCGACCGAGGCCGAGGCCGAGGCCGCCGAGGAGGCCGCCAACGAGGACGCCGCCGCCGAGCCTGCCGCCGCCGCCGCCAACAGCGGCAACAACAACAACCACAACAACGACGCCGGGGTCGAACCTCTCCCCATCGACCCCGCCCTCTTCTCGGCGGCCGCCGACCCCCCGGCCGCCACCTCTGCGCCCGCTGCCGCTGCTGCCGCTCCTGCTCCTGCTGCTGCTGCCCCTGCTGCCGCCCCTGCTGCCGCCCCTGCGCCCGGTCCTGCTCCTGCTCCTGCAGCTCCCGTCGCCGCCGCCGCCGCCAACGCTGCCCCGGGCCCTGCCCACCCTGAGCCGGTCGCCTCGCCCCGCCTCCTCGCCCTGGTCGCCGCCGCCGAGCCTGGCCGTCGTCGCGTAAGTATCTATTCCTCGGCGTTTTCCCTGCCTGACTGACAATAGCGGGCCTGTGCTGACTTAAATCTTACCTTATAGGCCTGGGACGACGAGGAGGACGCCTACCTCCGCGCGGCCCGGCTCGCCGGCTGGGACTTCGGGCGGATCGGCGCGGTACGTACTCATCTATACTAGTTATCAGTTTCTAACGTGCATAAATACTGACATTGTGATACAAGGTGCTGAGGAGGACCGCCGCGGCCTGCGAGACGCGGGCCAAGGGCAAGGTCTACAAGGGGGGCAAGAAGCCCGGCCAAAACTAAGGGCTGGCCACCCTACCAGCTGACCGACCGACCGACCGACCGACCGACGATGTGTCTGGGGGGAGGGGGAGGGAGGGGAGGGGGAAGGGGGGTGTTCTTCTGCGTTGTTTTCGTTTTTTCGCGTGTCCCGCGTCGGGGATGGGGGGGGGGGAGACCCCCAAATAATCAAGCCAACTTTCTCCCGGTGCAAAGAGACCACAAGTGCGAAGTGACGTGAAGATGTGTTGATTTGATTGTGACGCCCAACGGTGCTTGAATATCGGCCTCTGAGCCCTGACTATGCCCACCTCATTTCTCACAGTATCCAGGCCACGAGGCCAGAGCAGACTGCGTCCTGGCCGTAAGAAGGTCCTCAGATTCCAGCCGTGCGCCTGACCTCGCGCTCAACCTTCCACGGCAGCGATCCCAGCCCCATCCCCCTTTAGTTCCGCCTCATTGAAGTCCTCGTCGTGCACGGGCAGCTCCAGGTGGAACTTGGATATTGGGGCCACCTCGACGTTGACCTCACCCTCCGAGGCCACGGCAAGCAGGTGGCCGCCCCTTGACCTGTCCTGGCTGAGGAAGTGCAGGTGGTCGCCGGCGACGCTGACGCCTTGCATGTATTCCGGCGAGCGGAACCCAATGATGACGCCCTCCATGGGCTCCTCGAAGGTGTGCGACGTCTGGTGCTTGCCCACCTCGGCCAGGCCTTCGAGGGGCTTCGACTGGCCGCCCACGGTGCGCACAGTGACGCTCTTGAAGACGCCGGTGATGCGGACGGCCAGGTAGAGGTTGTGGGCGTCGGGCAGCAGGAAGGACAGCAGGCCGTAGAGGTCAGCCTTGTCCGCCAGCACGGCGGCGGCCTTGTGGGTCGGCTCGAAGTGCGTGGCCATGGCGAAGGGGGCGACGGCTGATGAGTCCAGGCTGGTATCCACGGGGCTCACTGAGCCGTCTGATTTCATCTGGTAGGCCACGCCGTCGACGACGATGAGCTCGCCGACCATGTGGCGGAAGGTCCCAATCCCGTGGTCGCCATGCTGCAAGAGGGTGGAGATCAGCAGGCCCTTGTTGGCCACGCCGTCCATCAGCGCGTTGACCACGGAGAACTGAAACAGCTCGTTGGGGGCCATCTTGACTGGCTGGTTGTGTTGCAGACTGCCCAGCGCCCAATACCCAATGCCCAGGTGGCTAGAATGAATGGGTGAACCGGCGGGCGTGAACTTGCGAACTTGGTCGTGGGCAAACTCCACCAGAACTTGGCGGCTACCTTCCTTTCCCGGCTGTCGTGACGTCGAGGCTGGACTTGGAACAGGGCCTGGCCTGTGCGCCCTCGCAGCAGTCAGGTCAGTCCCCTTGTTATTTAGCTGCGGGAGGAAGGTCGAGCCCTAGCCTCTCTCGGCCTCGCCTCTTCGTGGAACAACACCTGGGCGCGACCTGCGGGGATTTTTTGTGGAAAAAGGGCGCAATTTCTGGCGGTTCGGGTGCTGTCACAGCGGCTAAAGGACGAAAAAGGCACCACCCTTATACAGTCCCTGGCAAGCAGGTTCGCGGATGGTCTCGGGAGGTTATCAGGGTGACGTCGGTCGGCGGGTCTAACGCGGGCGGGATCTTAGTCATTCATGTTGGACCAACATCATGACGGAGGGGCCCGAGTTTCCAACCTCACTTACTATCAATGCCTTGGTAGTTGCTGTGAGAATTGGGCTCTGGAGTGGTTTGAAGAAAGCGTGACACTGACACTGACACTGTCTTGGCTGAAAATGGCCTCAGGCACGGAAACGGTGGACGTCGTGGTTCAGTCGCTCATTAACGCCGGGGTCAAGTACGTCTTTGGTGTTCCTGGAGCCAAGATTGTGAGTAATTCGAACCCCGGGGCCTGGGGCCTTTAAGCCATACGCAACGATTGCCTGACCAGACCCCAGGACTCGGTATTCAACGCCCTGGTCGACCAGCCCGAGATAAAGCTCATCGTCTGCCGCCACGAGCAGAATGCAGCGTTCATCGCCGGTGCCATCGGCAAGATCACGGGCAGGCCAGGGGTATGCATCGCCACCTCGGGCCCAGGCACGAGCAACCTGGTCACCGGCCTGGTGACCGCCAACGACGAGGGGGCACCCGTCGTCGCCATCGTGGGCAGTGTCAAGCGGGTTCAGGCTGCTAAGCGCACCCACCAGAGCCTGCAGGCCGTCGCCCTGCTCAGGCCCGTCACCAAGAAGGTCACCGCCGCCGTCGTCGAGGACCAGGTTTCGGAGATGATGCTCGATGCGTTCCGTGTTGCCTCGGCATCCCCGCAGGGAGCCACCGTCGTGAGCTTGCCCATCGATATCATGACGGCGGGCCACAAGTCTTCGATCCCGGCTGCTCCTCCTTCCGCCTACGAGCCCCCAGAGTACGGGCCATCGTCTAAGAAGTCCCTCGACGAAGCTGTCAGACTCATCCAGGGGGCCAAGTTCCCCATTCTCTTCCTTGGAATGCGCGCTGCAGACCCCAAGGTGATAGCAGCAGTTCATGGCTTCCTGCGAAAGCACCCGATCCCTGTGGTCGAGACTTTCCAGGCCGCGGGTGCCATCTCGCAGGAGCTGGTCCACCTATTCTATGGCCGCGTTGGCCTGTTCCGCAACCAGCCGGGAGACAAGATGATGTCCCATTCCGACCTGGTCATCACAGTTGGCTACGACCAGGCCGAGTACGACGCCGACGGGTGGAACAGCTCGGGCAGGCTCCCCATCGTCCACATGGACACGAACCAGGCGGCGATGAGCCTCTCCTACGACCCCAAGCTGGAGCTCATCGGCTCGATGCCGGAAAACCTCGCCGAGCTGACGGGCAGGCTCGACAAGGTAGCCCGCCCGCAGGAGACCGAACTCGGCAAGTCCATCTACAAGACATTCCACGAGTGGGAGAACAGCGAGAAGGCCCTGGGGAAGATCAACCCTGCCGGGCCTGTACACCCACTCCACTTCACCCGGCTGCTCCAGGGCATCATCTCCCCGCAGACGACCGTCATCTCCGACGTCGGCTCGCATTACATCTGGCTCAGCCGGTACTTCTACTCGTACAACCCCAAGACCTTCCTCGTGTCCAACGCACAGCAGACACTGGGCGTTGCCCTCCCGTGGGCCATTGGCGCGTCGCTCGTCCACGGCCCGTCGCAGAAGGTCGTGAGCGTCTCTGGCGACGGCGGGTTCCTGTACAGCGGGCAGGAGCTGGTCACCGCCGTGCAGCAGGGCTGTAACATCACACATTTTATCTGGAATGATGGCAAGTACAACATGGTCGAGTTCCAAGAGGTCGAAAAGTACGGCCGTAGCGCGGTAGGTCTTTATCCACACCGAGAGCCGTGTCCGATCACATCACTGACGATATCGCAGGGCGTTGACCTGGGCGGCGTGGACTTTGTCAAGTACGCCGAGGCGTTCGGCGCCAAGGGCCTGCGGGTGACCAGCTCGGATGAGATGGAAGCGGTCATGAAGGAGGCACTGGCTTACGAGGGTGTCTGCGTGGTGGATATAGTGATCGACTACACGGACAACCATGACTTGATGAGCCACGTCCTTCCGGACAGCATCTCTTAATCTAGCAAGATTGGTAAGACGCGGGCGGTGGGCATGTCTGGCGTTCAGGAAGAAGAGCTTAATAATTTTGGAGTGGAATATCTAGGTCGGGGGGAAATGGGCCATTTAAAGACCCCGCTCATACACTTATCAACGAGACGAAGCTGTGCTAGACCAAGCAATTGCCTGGCCATCTGCCGCAGTGTAAGCCTTCGATGCTCAGACCGTGGCCGCGTCGCAGAGATGTCTATGGAGAAATTCTCCAGGGCTGGGCCTCCCACTGTAGACTAGGTCTGTGTGTTCCACCACAGCAAAGCCGCCGAGATACTGCACTTCAACTCGAGGGGGCTAAGCGGGTGCGACTGAGCCAGCGTGTCGATTTATCCCAGACCATATTTCCAGGACAAGACCGTCCTTGTTGTGAAGCTGGCGCGCACGAGATCACACAGCCGGAACTGGGCGAGCGAGTGTGTTGTTTCGTATTATTGGAGATTCGTAAGAGTTTATGCTCATCCGCGGGCCACCGCCAATGGTGGCCCTCGACCAGCCCATAGCCCTTTCGTGGAGGTATCGTCTCGTAGTGTACAGTCGTAATGGTTCCTCTTGTTGTACATCCTGGGTATCTGTGCCGTCCAGGTATTCCTCCCCAGGCCAGATCATGCAAGCTCCCAATGTCGTCGGAGAGAGCTGATTTATTGCCTGCGGTGCGGATTGAGCAGATGGTTAGCAGAAGAAGACGGCGTGGCTCTGTGCACTGTGCCAGGCTGTGGGCTTCGAGGCCGGTGGTAGGGCGGTGGCTTACGGAGGAAGCAGGAACTCGCCCCACGAGCTTGCGAGGAAGGTGACGCCGACCTGGAGGGTGAGAAGTTAGCATGCCAATTCAAGGCCAGGCAGTCAGTCTTGCAGATGGCATCAAGACTCACCCCAAAGGAAGCGATGGCCTTGACCATGGCAGAGTTCTCGGGCGAGGTCAGGGTGTCGTAGGTGGAGGCGAGGAAGCCCTTGGGCTGGCGGCGCGAGCCGGCGGGCTGAACGTAGACCTTCTTGGGCGGCATCTTGGCTGTGGCTTGACGTGGTGCTGCTGCTGTGTATTTTGCGACGACGTTGTGAGCGGCAGGAGGAAGGCCGGCTGCGAAAAGTCAACGGGCGCCGACGTCAGTTGTCCAGGTGGAAATTTTGGCGCTAAGGAGCCGCGGGTAGTCTGCCGCCGCCGCCCCTGCTGCGCTCGAGTAGCTTGGGTGGGCCCGGGTTCCACCAACGTCATCTTATCGAGCACCTTCGAAGCTTCCCGCCGCGCCCCCATTGCGATCGCGACAATCCTCTACCACACGCAGCCCGGAAGATGCAATGGAAACCCGAGATACGACATAGAGTTCTATTGATCAGCGTCGAGAATGGCTGACCCATCATCTGCCTCCTCCTCCGGCCCGGGGGGGTTCCTCCGCCAGCACCCTCTCCCCTCGCCCGCGCCCAGCGGATCCTCGAACCGCGCAGCCTCCGGCCTGCCGCACCCCAGGTCCCACCCCTTGCGCTCGGGGTCGGCCAAGGAGCAGACGATCCGCGCATATGTCGACAACCAGCTCATGCACATACAAAGGCGCTTTGTCAAGAAGTCCGTGGACGCCAAGCCTGGCGACGACGTCGTGGGGTACAAGACGGTCGGGGAGCTCTGCAAGGATGTCGAGGCCCTGCTCGACATATTGTGGCTCTCGGGCACGCGTGAGACTACCTGATCACCCAAATGACAAATGACTGGCTGGCTGGCTGGCTGACTGTGTCACTACCCTACCCACAGCCGCGCTCCAGGTCCCCTACCTCCTGAACATTGCCAACGAGTTCACCGAATGGGTCACAAAGTTCCCGCCGCAGCCCGAACCCCTCTTCACAGTCCTGAGCAAGCTCGACTACTGCTTCGCCAGCCTCCTATCCGGCCAGGACGTCGATACAAAGGAGACGCTACCCGGTTTCGAGAACGGCACCCGCGGGGTCATCACCAAGACAGACATGGTCCGCTGCAAGAGCATCGTAGAACAGACCCGCGTGGTGATCGTGGACGTCATGAGCAAGCAGCCCGGCGAGGACGTCCGCGACGATGGTGATGAGAGCGAGGCCGACGACGACGACGATACCGAGAAGGAAATCACAGAGGCTGAGACCACTGACGCGGAGGGTGACTACAGCGCCGCCGAGAGCACCGGGTTCGTGGACCCCAACTGGGAGGACCCTGACGACGAGCTGTACATGGACGTGGCGAGGGTCTATGAGAGAACGCTCGTCCAGCTGGGCGAGGTCATGGACCAGGTCGCCCCCTTGCCATGATTGAGACATACCGTCTTGGCCCAATCACTTTCTCAGGGACGAATCAAATGATGGTTATATGCCTGGCCTGTCTTCCGACTTCGAAGCCCGCGTCCTTGCTGGCCTCTACCGGTCTCACAAACACGCCGACCTTGACGGGTCTTCCCTGTTGCCAGCGTGGCCCAGAGGACAGGGCGTCCATCCGCAGGACCCGTAATGGCTACCCAGGCGGTATCCGAGGTAGCCGAAGGAGCTCTGATACACAGCGATGGACACTCCGTGAGAAGGACCGCGCTGGCTTGGACTATGCCTATTCGGCTTCAAGTGACCTGCTTGGTGCGGATGCCCCATTAGCGGTCTAAGCAGATGAAGTTTCGATACTGAAAGGTTCTAATCTGCAGGACTGGTTTGATCTTTGTGCCTCTGCCCCCCAGGCAAATCATGGTGTCGCCAGAATGACCTTGGTGTTGCGGAACGTGGTAGTCCCGAGGCCGGTCCCAAAGAGCCAGACTCCTGTTGTGGAATGCCAGTCATGGAAACGAACAATAGGAAGTTGACACAAATTTACTCACTTTATAGAAATATCACATTCTCCAGTGCCGAAGCTGTATTCTCGAGACTGCGTTTGCCTAGCCGGACTCTCTTAAGACAGGTAAGACGTACGCATAGGAACTATAAGAATCGAACCACACCCCACTCCTCAATGACATGCCTCCACTCACCTAGGTCTCAGTCCATACCACTTGAGGCATAGAAACGTTGATTTAGCGACACGGTAACCCAGCCAATTTACTAGAAGCTTGTGCTTCCATCTCCATAGCAGTGTGCCTTGCCATGGACGCAACATAGCCCCAATGCCGGCGCCCATTGTACGAAATGCCTACCTAGGTAATGTCCAGAACTCTGTCCTCTGCCGTCAGAAATTTCCATCATTATCCGTGTACATGAATCCGTCAACATAACATGAGGGTTCTAGTCCAAGTTGGGGGCCGAAAATCCATTCCCCACAGTGAGGACCGAGTTGGGGTCCTCAGCCTCGCCACGACTTACAAGGCTGAAAGTTTACTTTGTTGGAGAAGGGAGCCGGCTTTGGGCAGCCCTCCCCTGACCACGTCACTGAGGCATCCCGCGATGAGAAGGAATTTATTCTCCGACGCTTGGATCCCTTGACACCACTCCCGCAGCCCTTGTACCCTCGCACTTTCTCATCACATGACTCGGCAATTGCAGTCTGGGCCTGACGGCTTGGTAGGTAGCCAACTTCTAAGGGTCGCATGCAAGAGAAGGAATGCTTGGGGCACTCCAGAAGGAACTGGGTCCTGTGGGTCCTGATCTTCGGTTCTTTTGCTGTCTGCGACAAAGTTCTGCTGCTTGATCGAGTCGGCGAGAAAAGACCATGTGCGGCATATGATTACCAGGTTGGACAAGGTGTAGAAGTTCACATAAACAAGTAGGACGGTCAGAAGTCAGAGGCAACACATTGATTGGTATCTAGTTGCCCAATAATCACTAAATGTATGTACAGTAGAAGTAGTATCTATCCCGATAGTAGCGCAAGAGGTATATCCAAAAGCAGTTGGTCGTCGCTCATAATAGTTGTTGCACGAATAGGTACGGCAACACGGGCAATGCCAGCCGAAGGGCCACAGAGGACAGCCGAGACAATATGTCAGAAAAAGGTGACGGGGACGTCATCTGTGTGCGCTCAACTACAAAACCGTCATCCCAAGCCGCTCTCCATATTTTGTATACCCTTTTGCAAAGCGAGATTGTGTCGCCATACGCCCGATCAAGTGGTAAAGACTGTGTGTCGAACTTGTGTCTGTCTTGTGGACCCAGACATCTGTGGTTTGGCGAGAGAAGGAGCAGTGCTTGCTTCCTCTCCCTCATCCATCTCAAAATGGGACCGAAGCCGAAGCCTGGGTGCACGGATCTCGACCCAGCCGAGACTGAGCCGAGACCGTTTACACCAGGAATCCAAACTGGATTCGAGTTGTTCCCAGTGGGAGGATCCATGGTGAAGTTCCCGCTGTTGCCGTTGGGCAGCGGGAGCACAGTAACTGTGGGAGTCGCCATCGCAGGCGTTGACCCCTCACTCGACGTGGTAGCGACGTTGGTGCTCGGTGGTGAGGCTGGCGAGCTGAAACTTGTTGTGACAGTGGGAGACGGCGATATAGAAATAGGTGATGGTGTTGGAAATAGTGAAATTGAAAGACTGGAATCGGAAGGACTGGGGGATGCCTCGGGGGGAGCGGGAGTGTGAGCGCCGCTGTTTTCGCCGGGTGAAAGGTCGGCGGGTTCCTAGCTGGAGTAGACGGCAGCGTACTCAACCTCGAGCATGTTGCCATACCCAGCCAGGCTGTCGGCGTTGGGATCGCCTGGCCATGTGCCGCCCACTGCGACGTTCATGATCAGATACAGTGGTGAGTGCGCGAGCGAGGCCCAGACATTCGGGTCTCCAATCTGAGCACCGGTGACGGTGAAATAAGACACGCCATCCTTCATGAATGAGATTGACTCGGTGGTCCAGTCGTTGCTTGTCCTGTCGATTTTGACGGCATATGAGTGCCAGCCATTGTCGATAGCTGTGGTTCCCTGGAGGCCCTCCTGTCCATTGGGACGGCATGCGTCAGCGGTGCAGTGCAGCGTGCCATAGACCGCGCCGGCCTTGTTGACCGTCTCGAAGATGTCGATCTCGCCGCACGCTGGCCATTCGGTTCCGTGGTGGATGCTGTCTCCCATCATCCAGATCGCCGGCCACATGCCTTGAGCTTGCGCCGCGGGTGCGTCACCGAGCCGGGCAGACGCCTCGACTTGCATAATCTTGCCAGGTTGTGGCGTCCATGATGCCTTGGATTCGATGCGACCTGATGTCCAGTGTCCTGAGGGCGACCTGGCAGGGACGAATTGCACTGTACCACCGCCGGAAATCTGCAAGTTGGAGCTTGCGTCTGTGTAGCTTTGGAGCTCCTGGTTTGTGTCGATAGCTGTCCATCTTGTCAGTAACGGGTACTGATTTAAAAGGAGCCAAAAGATCAAGCCATCCTGATTAGTGGCGAAGGCTTGGAAAAAAGACAACGCACCTTGAGCAATGTCCCACTTGGAAGTGTCCACAGCGTCACCGGCCGAACCGGCGAAGGCGTCGGACCAGATGAGATTCAGGCCTTGCAAGATGGGGGCTTCGACTGCAGCGACAAGTGCGGGAAAGACCGCGGCCGCGAACGTTGTTGCTTGGGCACGCATGGTAGATGTGTGAGCCTCTATGGCTACCTTCTAGACACTGGGTCTACAGATGTTCCCGTGTGTTGATAAAGGCCGGTGTAGTAGACTTGCTACCTGTGGGCCAAGAAGAAGCTTCTTGAAAAGGTGTTTAAGTGTGAATATGTATGTATGTATATATATATATCTGTACGTATGTATATATATATATATATACTCCGTAGCTCTGCTATAAGAGAAGAAAAGAGTGGCAAAGGGCTTGGCGATCTGCTATGGCCAGGGCAGCGGGATGAAATAGAAAAGAATGTGGATAGGTAAGCTGTGAGGAAAGGTGCCGTTGCTCAGCAGGCGAGGCAGGGAAAACGAAGGTATCAATAATAACAGGCTGGGGCCAGAAGAAGCAAGCACAACTGGGTCGACATGAGTTTTTATTCTGGATACAGGGAAAGGGTGGACAGGGGAAGCGCCCGGGGCAAAAAGGTGGTGGGCAGGTGTCGACACGGGAATGGGGCCGACCCTGTTGTTGGCGCATGCCGGTACATGCCACGCGAAGGTGGGAATTCTGGGAGGAGACCCCTGATCCCAGCGCATGTGGACAATGGCCCAGCTAGTGGGACATTTCCGATCTGAAAAAAGAGTGGTGCCGGTGCCCCAGTGCCCAGGAGGAGAGATCAAATACTCCAGGCCCAGGGTGTCCTGGCAGCCTGCGTGTGTCTGCCGTGGCGACATTTGAGCGCTAGTGTAGATACGTAGCTGTGTGGTGACAGGGGAGCTGGGGAGTTTGCTGGCGGCTCTTGATTGGGAAATTGGGAGTGGGTGTCAAGGCCGATGGGAGATGAAACGACACGCCGTTGAACGGCCCAATCCCGAGGCTGTGCGTGGGCTCCGAGACAAGGGCTGTTGAGTCGAACTGGTCGACAACTCGTAATAGAGCAGCTGTTGTACGGGGCAGACATGAAAGCGGGGGCGATGAGGTCTGTGGTGGGCAGAGTCCATCATTGTTCATCGTGTCGGGTGCTCTCTGAGCTCTTTGTCGATGTGATCACGAGCCAGACACTGCTGCTGGTGGTGCCGTCTTGGCCATGCGCCAATTTGTCTCTGCTTTCTTCTTTTTTCCCCGGTTCGTTCTTCAGCCCCGAGGAGAAAAGGAGGGGGATACCAGGGGCCAGGAACCAAACAGGCGGGAATCCCGCAGGCGTGGGTGTGCTTTGCTTGTCGGTGGCGCGCATAATACTGCAGAGGAAACGCGCAAGAAAGGGACGAACCAGCCATCACATGAATGGGTACGGAGGTACTTGTTTTCGGTACGGAGTACCGTGTAGGGAAGACGTCGATAGCTGATCCCTGTCAACATTCTCGGCTCCTGGCACTCGGCGCGCAGGAGGTTGCTCTCGGCGTGCCGCTTGCAGCATCTGCAGTCGTGAGTGAGGGCCAGTGCAGGCTGGCAGGCTGGTATCTAATAAAGTTGGGACGGAAGCGATCCAAGCTCACCCTGCCTGCCAGGCTGCCAGGTGCCAGGCAAGCCAGGCTGCACGCAGCTGCATGTTGTTCTGGACGCTGAGTGGAATGCAACTGATATTGCGATATGTGCACGGTATCGGGGGATTCGGGGCAGATCAGATCTTGACTGGCGGACCTAGGCCCGATGCCCCAACCCCAACCTTGTTGTGCCTGTGTAGCTCGAGTGAAAACTTACTGAGTACCTAGGTACCTAGGTACCTGGATATGGGGTAATAAGCACCAGACGCGCATCCGTGCCTTCCAACCTTGAGAACAGCCGCCCGATCTCTGCCTTCCTCGCCAGTTTGGTATCCCATGACTGCGACTTCTGGAGTGGCAGGGACCGCATGGTGAATGACTGACTGGACATGGCCCCCACCCTCTTGCCAGTCGCCGCCGCATTCTCAAGCCGGGTTGGCGGGCTGGCAGGTTGGTTGGTAACCCTTGGACCCACACGGAGCCTGGCAGGAGTGGGTACTTCTGTCCGTGAACAGCCAAGACTTACTGGGCCTCCGTACCTGCCTTAGCTTGGACGCTGGGACGGTGGGGCCCTAGCACTTGGTGCGCCAACCATGCTCTTCCCCCTTCGGGACAAGTGAAACGGCTCCTTCCTCGCGTCCCGAAAGGCAGGAGCAACAAGCGGGAAGGAAGCCACTCCCGATGCTGGGCTGGCAGGCTGGCGGGCTGGCTGAGCCTCAGGAGGGCAATCTCCCAAATTCAAGCGCATAACCTCGACCAAGTGCCTGCAGTTACTGCGTAGTAGATATACAGGTTTTCGAGATGCACCGCCGCCGCCCACCCAGGAAGGGCTCCTGAGCCAGAGCGAGAGGCCCACCTGCCCCGACTAATTCTCCGATGCAGCACTCTGTCTGTCTGTCTGCCTGCGAGGCGAGATGGGGACAACGACCCTATTTTTGACTCGTTCCGACGACGATCGTGGCCTGGAGCGTCCACCGGGACCACATGTGCCCTGGGCTCAGCTGGCACATGGCCGCACACGTCTTCATTCCTTCTGTCCCTGTGGGCACTCACGGACCACCGTCACTTGTCACGCCCGGGGAATCAGCATTCCATCAGAGGGATTAATTCCCCCGACACCGTGTCCGGGCGTGGGTCGTGCCTCTGGCCCTCTGCACGTATGATTTGTTGGTGGTGCGAGTGCCAATCTATGACTCTTCGCAGTACAGCACCCCGTCCGCACACTAGACTAGTCTACCACGAGCAGACCCCAAGGCGGACCAGGTTTCCCGCGCATAACAAATCCCAGCGCTATCGCCAAGGTTGATATCTTGGACCCCTGCACCACCAATGATTTTCGCATTCAGGGGCCAGAGAGGCAGCCAGTCAGTCCGTCAGTCCAGTCCACTGCCTCAGGTGGAGAGCAGTGCCTCCGGTCGCCGTCCAATCGCCGGGGCCAGATGCGCTCTGGCGGCTCAGCACGTCGACTGGGCAGCTTAGCCGGGTAGTAACTTCTCACCTGCAATCTACCTCGCAGCCCTCGGCATCTTATCCACCAAATCATGTTCATCCAACATCGCCAGCCCAGCGTTGCAGCTGCAACTCAGCTCGGTAATTCGATGCCACGGGAGACAGCATTGACCATGAACGACCAGCAGCTGCCCGACGGGACGCGGCTGGCAGTCTGGCGGGTTGCAGGCCCACCGTAGCCTCGAGTGTCACGGTCTTCTAACCCACTGGTGGCCATGCACCCACCTATACTATTGTGCCACCTGAGGCTCACAAGGTTTGAGCTGTCTCCTCTGGACAGACTCTGGGCGCGTTCTGGCATCTCACCCCCTTGCCCCCTCAGATCTGACAGCTATCTCATCCATCCGATGAGAGCTTCCAACCTGACGAGCGCTCGGCGTTTCACGTTTCACCACGCCAAACGCCTAGAACTGCCACCTGGGCATCCGTTTGTGTCTCATTCCAATACCTCCGACTCGACATAGAAACAAAGTCCCGTCAGCACATTCGGGCTTACAGCGCTTGCGATGCCGCACAGAAATTCCGAGAAGCCTCGTCTAGCCTCCCAGCCCCTTCACAGCTGCAGCCTGAAACCATTTCTGCCGTTCACCCGCGGACAAGAAACATCGCAACCCCTTCCCCTACTCTCCATACTTAACAGCCGATTAGAGTTCGTCGTAGCCAGGGTCATGGCGAGCTCGCTGTCCTGACAAAAGTTCGGCAAGCTCGTGTCAGCAGAACGCCCATGATTCCGTGGGCATTGGCAGAAGCATCTATCGCTTGGGCCCCTGATAATAAGGGGCGTAGTTAATGGTTGCAGCTTGCCAAGAAGTTGGACTTGCCTCTTTCAGGGTCCATCCGGTCTCGTCGATCTTAAGCCCTACAACAAGGTCATCCCGGGGGGTCTTGAGCTTCTCGTGCCGACCGCCGGCCGTCGATTGCAACCGTGACCCGTGTCCTTGTTGTCATGCTCAGCAAGACTGCCAGAGACCCGGGGCAACAGAGTAGCTGCACTGGCTGCGTGGGAGTCAGAAAGGTATTACCTAGCTCCAGCATTATGTGGCAACCCAGCTCACACACATGATCAGCACGAAAAGGCATGCCGAGTTTGCTATCCGCTTTACGCATCGTTGTGTCACAAACCTAGTGTGCCTCAAAGCCCGGTGTTAGAGTCCACCTAGGCAAGTCTCGGTGTTGGTTGCCAGGTTGCACAAGGGTTTCGCGGTGCGGTGCAGTGGCGCGGTTCCCGTTGAGCAACATCCAGTCCGCCAATGCGGCAGAAACCAAACCGTTGCGCTGTGTCCCCTCACTTGTAAACGACGCAGTATCTATTTTGCCTCGGACGTTCAAGGATCCCTTCGTGTTGTTCCTCTCGAGACCACGAGTCGGCCGCTTGCTTGTCCTTCGCCTCACCGACTGTCACGTCCGACATGAGCACTTGGGTGCCCATGCCCATGAATTGAGCTGGCGTCGTATCATGCCATCATACTCCCCGTGTATCAATTCTGCTCTCACTCCGAGCGGATGCTGACCTCTACCAATATACATTGCGCACCAATGATGCTCTCTGGGTCCGACATCATCCCAAGTCGACATTTCACTTCTCCGCGTTTTGACCAACGTGGACCCAATCAACGCGGCAAAGTCAAAGTCAATCGGGCGCCTCAAAACCTTGTCTGCCGCCGGCCGGCTAACCTTGTGCTCGGGGAGTAAACCCTTCCCCTTGTTCATCAAGTACATACAGACATCGTACGAAGCTCTGCTATTGCAAGTTCTCTCTGCAACCATGGGCAGCTCTTGGGCAAGACAGGCTATCAAAGCTCAGTGCAATGGCTTTCAGCGCCAAATGGGCTCGGACACCTATCACATTGTGTCAAAGAGCCACTTGGTATATTTGTTGCGCTTCAAGGCTAGATGATCATAGGCTCAAGCTACCGAAAAGCTTGTGGTGCCAAGACTTGTCACATTTGACTTTCGGTAGGACACTTTTTGTTGATCAGTTCGGGTGCAGATTCTCAATGTGACCTTCGACCCAGGTGACGCAACAACATCACTGTCATGATTCATACGCTAAGTGGAATGACCTTCTGTCGTCTCGCATGCTCGGCATGATGCATGCATGTAGAGGCCAGAAGCGTCGGCGCCCGAGCCAACATGCGCACTCAAGCAAGGATGCGGAGCAACCTTCGAAAATATGAGCAAGACGATACTACTGTCTGAGGGCCCAAATTCAGACAGAATTTTCAAACCAGGGCCTACCTAGAACATGCATATAGACATGTATGCTCGGTTGCGTTGATCTATTCGATTCATGAAGCAACGGCGCTGCAGTCGCGCCTCTGGCTTCCGGACATGGACACTTGGACACGTACTGTCCTTTGTATGCCATTTGCCGTGTCCCACGGTGGAATATGTACCTTCCCATGAACTATTGCCTTGTCTCTCGCATTAAATACACCATACTGTCACCAGCTTAGCGTATAACCTAGGTATGCAGGCTATCCGTAAGGGGTGATAGTCTTCTCTGACAACTCAGTCTTCGTGGCCGACTGTGTCATGATATCCTCTTTATGCACACGCTGTGTCAGCGGACACATTTACCGCCACTTCAACGTGGATGTGTTACTGTATTTGGCACAATTGACTTCCGCTCATGTGGGTGTGGTTGTCTTTCTAGGCGAACATGTGCGGCACGGCACGACGCTCTTGACGTCAGCTGGCCACGTGAGGCATTATCTTGATATCCTATGAGGTGGTGATGTATGGGTATGATTGCCCTCGTATTGTGAGATGAGCACCACCTGGGAGTCCGGTACGCAACCACCGCATCTTCACCCTCCTTACCCAATCCTAATCTCTCACTGGACAGTCTCCTGGGGACCTTCCACAAGGCAACCTCCTGACCTTCTCAAGGATATTGGGGGATAGCCTCCTCAGGGGAACACAAGTCACAGAGGCCCCGGTATGGCATCGTACAGCTCCCCAGTCGTGACGGTCTTATGGGGATGATGAATGTGATTTCCATGCCTACAGGTGTGAATTCTGGAAACTTATACGGCTTATAGTCGTCTAAAGGACAGAAAAGATTTTCCACCAGATTCTGGACAGAATCTAATGGTCTGATTCTTCATCGAATATTTCAATAGACAAGCTACAGCTGGCGCATAGAAACAAAAGTTTTGATCCAAAGTGGTTGTGCTTACTGTCGGCCGAGCGGTGTTTCTCAGGCCAAATCAATTCCGGTTGTGATTAGACATGTTAATCCCGTAGGCACCTATCGTAATATAACTATCGTTATCGACATCTTGTCCTTTCAAGCGCTGGGTCTTGAGCGCTTACCACCGTATGAAGGCGCCATGTATGTCCTCGGACGTATACGGAATAGAAACGAAACCACCTAATACCGCAGAGATTATCTATGAGACAGATCAAGCGACTAAGTCAGCACAACCTTACAAAAGTGGCCCTTGGGCGAGATGAGGAAAGTCTCGGCCATCTCCATCACATCCTCTGTTGTCTTTGCGCTCAGCCTCGCGCCCTTACACTCCCTAAAGAACAAGGCAGTGGCAAGTCGAAGTTCCATGTAAGCAAGATGCAAACCAATACAGATCCGTGTTCCTCCACCGAAAGGCATGAAAGCTGCCTTTTGGACAGGGCTCATAGGTTGCTTGACGAACCTCCAGCCGTCGAATCTGCGTTCAAGACACTCTGTGAGTTTCTCGGGCAAGCACTACGTAGACGAAAGATTTTTGAGAACCTACTCAAGGGGGCTCGGGAAGATATCTGGGTCTCGATGCAGTGTGTACGCATGCGTGGTGACCGTCGTGCCAGCGGGAACGAAGTGTTCCGCCAAAGTGGCGCCACCCTCAGGGACGGAACGAGGCAGAGGACCTGGAGCGGCGCCGTAAAGACGCAGGGCCTCGTCGATGACACTGTTCATGAGCGGGGCCTGCTGGAGCTCCTCTGGCAGCAGATCGGGGCTGAGCGAGGCCACTTCCTCCTCGAGGGCAGCCTGGAGTTGTGGCCTTTTGAGGACGGCCCAGACTAGATACGTCAGGGTCACGGCTGTGGTGTCGGAACCGGCGACGATGAAGTTGGTGGCTTCTTTGTGGACCTGGGTTTCGGTCAGCGGATCGTTTTCATGGGCGCTACAAAGGGTTCCCCGATGTCACTTACAGTAGAATCTGTGAGGTCGGTTTTCTCCTGGCTATCAGCCTGGGCAAGCATCTGCCCGAAGAGATTCTGCGTGTTCGCACTATCTGTGCGCATGTTCTGCACGGCTATGGAGCCGTGTTCAAAGATGAGATCCTCCCCGCTGAAGAGCTTCTGGACGCTCTTCAGTGGGATTAGCGGTCCGATCCAGCGCAAGAATGGCGCTTCACCGGTGATGACACTCAGCATCACTGATGCCTGCACCGCATCGATGAATGCCGTTTGCTGTGGGTTAAATTAGAATTCGGGGCTCAGAGCAATCTCGGAAAGGCTTGTCTCGTCGCGAACGTACCCGGCCCAGTTCCAGCATGCGAAAGCTCTCGCCAAAAGACAGGTGGGCGATGACATCTGTGGCCAACAGAGTCCACCACTTGAGAATATCTGCATCACCCTCGGCTCCAGCCTCATCCCGGATCTTGGTGACTGCCAGCCTCACCTTGCTCTGGACCACAGACTCCCAGTTAGCTTGCAGTGAGTTCTGGCTGAAAGCCCTAGCGAACAGCCTCCTTCGAGCAGCGTGCGGCTTCCCACCGCGCATGAAAAAGATGCCAGGCTCGGCATCCCGGCCCTGCCCGTTAATCGCATCGTAGAAGGCGGACTTGTTGAACCCTGAACCAACTTTGTGTATCATCTGGGTCGCTTGGGGGCTGGACACGGCGGCTTCGTCGGGGGCGATGCGGACTATTGGCCCGTACTTTCTGTGCAGGCCGTCCACGTAGTACATTCGCCGCCCGCGGATGGTATGGTATTTCAGTATAGCCTGCGTGAACCTGGAATACCATGGCCCCGGGAGGGAGCGGACGGGGGATTTCACGGCTGTCAACACAAGCCGGAAGAGCACGAGCGCGACGGCCACAGCGCCCAGAACGTGCGGTGAGATGAGAGACGGCATGGTTGTGATTTCGCAGGAAACTGACCTGCTTCAAGGAGGGGAATAGAACGCCCTCCGAGGGAATTCTGGTAAGTCTGACGGCTAATGAATCAATCGCATGTCAGTGGTCCTAAAGTCCAACCCCTGCCTCCACCTCCACATTCCGACGCCTCAGCGTGGGGCCTGCCGGTGGTCTACCCCGACCAGTAGATACTGGTCATAGCAAGGAGAGGTGCGGAGGTCCGAAAATACTTTCACTGCTAGTCGCTATACACAATGCAAGCCGGCAACTAAGTAGTTATGTGGTTTCGCTTCTATTTCGTATACATCCGAGGACATATATAGCACCTTCATACAGTAGTAAGCACTCAAGACCCAGCGCTTGGAAAGAATATGATGCCGATAACAATAGTTATAATACGATAGGTGCTTGTGGCCTTAGCCTTACGATGTATAGATAAGGCTAAGGGGCACCGTCTTGATAAACATATGTGGTTTCGCTTCTATTCTATATGTGGTTTCGCTTCTATTCTATATGTGGTTTCGCTTCTATTCTATATGTGGTTTCGCTTCTATTCCGTATACATCTGAGGATATATATGGTGCCTTTATACGGTGGTAAGCATTCAAGACCTAGCACTTGGAAAGAATACAATGCTGATAATGATAATTATAATATGATATGATGAATATATGTTTTATATATTTGGGGATTAGAAACGACACTACTCCCGTACTGCAACATGCTGGCGGTGTCAGGCCTCGCCACAAGTGGTCGAATACGAAAATGGAAGGAGGTGGCTCTCACTGGCCAATAACTAATTGGATACTGTCAGCTTGTGTCTGCAACAAGCATGCGCTAGGGCTGTCTTAATACGATCGTTTCCTTCATATCAGTACGATATATGCGGGGAGTATTGGGACACCAAGACAAGTACGCAGAAGATTGCACGAGTGTGAATGCACTTTTCCTTCAAATATGCTTTCTACAATTATACCACCTTATTTCTGCCGTCCCCGAACAAACTCAACCCGTACGGTCTACACCACAGTCCTAATCTCGACCGACTTAAGCATACAGAAACATTGTGATTTGCATGGAATTAACACGATGGCAAAAAAGACCAATATAGGGACAGCTGTGCTGGTTAAACAGTTGCCTTAAAGCGGACACAAGTTCTCAAGAGAGTACATGTACCTAGTATCTCAAAAGAGTGGTTTTTGAGCTAGCACGAGATACAAATGCTATTCTTTGAACCTCAGTCAAACAATCCTAGGACGTTTCCTTATTACCCGCCGATTCAGACCGCAAAGCAACATGATCACCTGCATCATCAGCGTTGAGCTTGCCCTTAGGCAACATGTTGAGCTCGTCTTCTGCCTGGTCCAGCTTCCGGAACTGGATGTAGAAGATTGAGCCGCCGATAGCAGCTAGTATGGCAACGGTCGTGTAGTTCCAAACCAAGAGGGGGTCCTGAGGCGAGCAGTCAGTATGTGCATTTCATTTATCGCCGCAGGGGGCAGGGTCGCAGAACATACCTCGGCTAGGGACACCAGGGCGAATCCAATGGCAGAAGACACAGCGTTCATGAACAGGGCCACCGACTGGACCATGCTTCGCATGTTCGCAGGAGCCTTTGAGTGGGCATACTCCAAACTCGTGATGCTTGCCATTATCTCTGAGAATGCTATAAGAATATCTTTTTTGATGATTGCGTTAGTCCCGAGGTCTTGCTATGGATCCTAAAGTGTTGCAACAAGAAGGACGGGGATCCGTAACAGGTGAAAAGTGATGCTTACATGAGCCGGACTGGGCCCAAACACTGATGTCGACATTGGGGCAGCGGTCCTCGGTTCCCGGGAGGTTCTGCCCGGCATAATTACCGCAGTCGCTGCGGCGGTAGATATAAGCCTGGATAACTGCGGCCCAGATCATGGCACAGGCGCCGGCGAAATAACCGACGGTGATCTTCTTGATTGGCGTCACCTTGAACTTGAGTCTCCGCAGGAGAGGATATCCGAAGAGGTCAAGCAGCGGAATCATGATGATGAGCGAGAACGGGTTGAGGTTCGTCAGGACATCGTTGGGTACACCGCCGAGCCTCATGGTTGCCGCCTGCGAGATGAGGTTGTTATTGATCTGGTTATAGCAGATCCAGAATAGGGGGTACCACATGAACACGGCGCATGCGTTGAAGCCACGTCGGACCTCATCAACCCAGGCATCATCGAAGGTCATCCACTTGGGCCGGTCTGCGGGCGCGATATTGGAGGGCTTGACCTTGGACCAGAAGGTGCCGTCGTGGAGGTTGCGGTAGGTCTTCCTCGGATTTATCGACCACCGGCCCTTGTTCGCGTACACAAAGATCTTGAAAGCCTTGCCGAGGACTGATCCCTCGGGAGGAACTCGTCGGTATCGCTTCCTGCCCCACAACATGACCAGCGGGCAGAAGCAGAGCATAATTGTAGGCTGATACGCGGTATTAGGATTCCCGGAATTTGACAGACAGAAATCTTGAGGGGAGAAGAATTTTGCTTACTAGTAAGAATGACATGTAGAATCCGACGTAGTATTCGCAATATACCATACCGATCTGTCCTACCAGGGCCCCGATATTTATGAACATGTAAAAACTATGGGATCAATGGTCAATCTTCCGCTTTTTAAATGTGAAAAATGTGCACGACACGGGTTCCACCCTCTGCCTTGTATCTTGGGGCATGACGATGCTTACTAGTGATAAATCCGCGAGGCTGTGACGGCCGGGTCGATAATGACTCTTTCACCTGACTTGAGCGTGACGACCCTCATAGACTCTGCCGGGAGCTGCTCGACGATTAGAGGATTCACGTTGGGCTTGAAACCACCAGTCCCCACACCCATTGTGATGATACCAATGATGAATGCCCCCATAGCACCAGGGGGGTTCTTGATGACCGGAGGAATGGCCGCGATGATCAGGATTACGTGACCGACTATGCCAATGACCAATGCCCAGCAGATTGTGCGGTAGCGCCCGAGGTAAGAATCAGCGATGTACGCGCCAAAGAGAGGCATTGTGCTGTTCAGCCCTTTTGTCAGCTGGTTCGGAAGCTCGAGCACTCCAGCTTTGCGCGCTCCTCGACTCACTATTGCCAGAAGGCATTGAAAGTAGTCAAGCCAGTAGACGCCCGCTGCCCAAAGCCCATGGCACCAGCCTGGCCGGTTCCGTAGTTCGCGCCCGTTGTGGAGCCCTCGGGCAACGGCCACTGAATGAAGTTGGTGAAGACGGCAGTTGTGCCGTAGTACGAGAAGCGCTCGCACAGCTCCACGAAGGCGATGGTCAGGACGCTCCAGGGGATCTTGTCGGCGACGCGGCGCAGGTTGTTGAGCTCCTCGGCGGTGGGGAAGTCACTGGCGTCTGGTTTCTCGGCGCTCGGGACCTGCACGAGAGATTCCGCCTTCTCCACGATGTCCTTGGTGGCTGCGGCGCGGATCTGGGCGCCGCCGTCGGCGGTGCTCTCAATGTCGGCCATTGTTGTCGGGGTTGCGTGCTGCTTGACCACGGTGTATCATCAACACTCTATTGGTCGCCACAGGTCGGCTTGAATGATGACAAGCTGCTGGCAGCGAGAGAATAAACAAGCATCGGGACAAGCCCGTCCCCAAGAGAGGTGTGGGGCTGCAGGTGCATTTTATAGCTGCGCAGCAACGTTTTAAGCAAAGCTGGTTTGCTCTGGGCTGTCCGGTTCCATGCGGTTCATGTCGGAGGGCAAGCCAAGATGTCGTCCAGCCTATAAGGCAGAAAAGTGTGATAGTTCTGGATTGGGTGGTGATCCTGACTTGGCACCTTGCATTTTCTCGGAAGGTGGCAAGCATTCAAGAGTCTTGAGTGTCATCGCTAGTGGTCCAACAGACCCTTCTTCGTGGCACATGATACGGCATGTGGCTGGCAGATGGTACTCTTTCTCACGATACAAGGCCCCTTTATTACCTAGGTACTAGTATTGCTGGATAGCTCGGCAGAGTTCGTAACGTCCCATGGTTATTCCTTCGCTTCGACAATGCCTATTCTGCTGAGGTTCGTGTGCAAGTTCTCATTCCAGGTTACTCTGCAAAATCTTTTGAGGAAGGAATCGTCGACACAGAAATTGCTTGTTGATTGCGCCCAGCTTCTTGGCCCCTGGTGTGGCTCGTTATCAGCTGCGGAGATGCTTGGCTGTCACCCACTGATTGCGATTCCTCGACGGCAATGTGTTGTGCGTGTGCCTCCAATCTTACTACCCAAGACGGTTCGAAAGCTCAGAAATGCCAACCATAATCCTCCGCCGCTATCTTGTCCGCCGATAGCCGGTTCCGGCATCATGGGTCATTGGCCCGGCCAAGCAGTGATATTAGGTGAGATGCCTCGGTGTGAGACCACATTATTCTTGACCTCAGGCCACTTGTATCAGTGACGGCGTGGACTTCAGGAGAGGCTAGCGCCTCGAGAAAACCGATAAATGCGAATGGTCAGTCAGGCACAGTCTTTTCTTATAATGTTGATCGAGATACCACCATAATTACATCGACTAGTAGGTAGCCGAATGCCGGATTTTGTCTGTCGCATCACCATTCAAGCACTCCGCGGTATCTCATCTGGCCAGCCTCAAGACGGTCAAATGCCTGTACCAGGCCTTTTTCATTCATTGAGAAAACCTCCACCCATGGTTTGATTTGATTGCGAGCCGCAAATGAAAGCATCTCGTCATGATTTCTCCTTGACGCTTCTGTCGAGGAGATGATCCGGTGCCCAGGGAGGATGAAAGGCATGTATGGGATATTGAGAGGCTCTGTTTGAATAGACATCAAGACGACCCTGGCCATCCTGTTAAGCAACGGGAGGACCTTGTTCCAGTCTGGAAGCCCATTTGATGTGACGAGTAGTACATCGATTGGCCTTGCTCTCCCGGATTCACTCCCAGCTGCTTTATCTCCGCCCGGGGGAAATGTCGTCTCGTATCCCTCTGAGATGCATCGCACCTCATCTGCACCAAGTGCAAAGGAGTCCTTGACCTTTTGCAACGGTGGCTCTCTGTTGGACGCAAACAGCGCCGTCACTGCACAGCCCATTGCACGAGCAAAGAGGATGGCCATGTGACCCAAACCTCCAACGCCGACGACTCCAACTCTGTCGCTGGGCTTCGTGCCCGCAGCATCCAGAGCCTCGTAAACTGACGCCCCGGCACACATGAAGGGACCAGCGTCCACCGAGGTGATCGCATCCGGGATCCGATACACAAACTCGGCATCAATAATTCTGTAGTCACCGAAAGCGCCCTGTTCCAGGTCAGAAAAGGCGAACCCGAGCGCCTCTGAACAATACTGCCGATACCCAGAAAGACAAGTTGGGCAGTGGCCGCAGGAGCTATGCAGCCATCCCCAGCCTACCCGGTCGCCGACCTTGAGGTTCGTCACGCCGGGGCCGAGCTCTTGGACGAGCCCGACGCCCTCGTGGCCCAGGCCGCACCCTTTTTCCTTGGCGTGAACATCTGTATAGCATAGGCCAGAGTGTGTTGTCTTGATCATGACTTCGCGGTTGCCCAGGGATCTCTCAGTTGTCTTCTGGATGAAACGGTGATGCTCCGTGGAGTAGCAGAACGTTGCGAGAGTGCGTTTGGACATGGCGTGCTCTCGATATTAGAAAATCTGGTTGCCGTCTGTGGTGTCCACGGGTGTTCTGCACGGTGTGGACCGAATCTGAGGCTTAAGATATGACGTGCGCGATATAGCACACAGCTAGGTGTGTTGCACAGCTCAAGTTGAGGCCAGTGGAACCGCTCGAATATCACAGGCTATCCCTGGCTGAAATGCTGAGGGGTTAGACCCTGACTGCTCCCACGCTCCCAAGGTCCCAAGGTCCCAAGGTCCCAAGGTCCCAAGGTTGTCTCTGTGTCCGGCTTGTACGTCCCATATTATACCTTCTCTTTCCAGGCGCTGCAAGATTGGTTCCGGGCCCTAAGCACTTCCAGTACTACGCAGAAGAACTAATCCAAAAGTCGTCTCAATGGTCAACTGTAGACACTGCAGGCAGGCTAGAACTTGAGCCACAATAGACTATTGATCTTACATATTTTATGCACTTGGGGACCAGGTGGCCTCCTATGAGAGAATCGATTCCCACCTGTGACCCCTTGAGCCGCTTAAAGGGGTGATTCCTTCGCTGAATCGGTGATTCCAACCCTTTCTGCCAAATGAATTCTGTTGTCCCATGATCTCCTGCTTCTAAAGTCCCCAACACCCACTGCCGCTTGATGCCTGGTGCTGACTGCTGGGAAGGAGGGGACTCTTAGCGCCTTGCTACTTCCTCAAACTTGAGCATGCATGCTCTTCATGCCTCCCCAAAATGCGCCTGCCAGCTTCCCTACTTACCTAGTATGGGCTCAGCCAGAATCAGAGGAAGGAGGAACGATTGGGCATTTAACTTGAACATTGGGGATGTCCGCTGTCGCAACCCCCCCCCCCCCCACGACTTCGGCCCTGACTCCCTTCCAAGCTTGACCCACCGTCTTCAAGGATAAACAAACACAAGCCTTGAGCGACTTCTCTGCCTGATTCGCAATTCTCATCGTCAATATCGAACAAGACATCAGATTCATTCATCGCAACGAGTTGATACATACTGATCATCATACCAAAGGCCAGCCACACCAGAGCAGAATCGCAAGAATGGACCCAGAACAAGCACAACAAGAAGTCCATGAAATGGAAGTCGACGGACCCCAAGTCAACGGACCCCAAGTCAACGGACACCAAGTCAACGGACACCAAGTCAACGGACACCAAGTCAACGGACCTGAACCGACCAGAAAAGCCCTCACCGAATCCATCTTGAGTAGGGAGCCACTGCAAAACACGAGTTGGAGGTGGCACGCCTTGTGCTACGTCCTCTCCAACTTGTTTGAGCACCTCATCAATCATGTGTTCATGTTCAACAACGCAGATCAACTTGTTAGCTCTCCTCCTGTCAACAACAACCACGTTTTCAAAATGTGGCAGCATATTGGCACAACCCTGGTAAGCAACATCGTCCAGCCTGGCCTGAAGAAAATCTGCCCCAAGCGTGACAGTGACTAAGACTCCCGCCGCTGCTGCAGAACACGCTTTGGGAAAGTATCCCATTTAATCTTGAACATGACGATGCTTGGGATGTCAATGCCGAGCTCACATGGTTCTCGATACTCGTCCGGGCAGAGCAGGCCGGGCGTGCATTATCCAATCGATGCCATGACAGTCCCGAGATGAGGCACTGGCTTGTGTCTAATACCGACCAACACATTCCGCGCTTGTTTGGAAAAGAGACCACCCGGTTGGCTGACGAGCTGCTGGAACTTTTAGTCCACGTCCAGCGACATGGAGGACCAAAGCCGTATTGTAGAATGGAAGACTTGGAGAGTGCCGATTTGTTCACCTTCTACTAATCCACAAATTTTAGACCAACACACTCTGGGCACCGGACACCAGACGTGTATGCACTGGCAGCAGCTTGATACCACAGCGGATCATTAGTTTCTTCAGCGCAATACAACCCATCCCAGACATCATATTCGCAGCCTGCTCTCCATGTGACGAGAAAGAAACGTATCGTAGCACTGCATTGGAGAATAAATTTTGATGCACTATCGTATATCTCATTGAGCCCAAATTCCTTGCATGTTCTGCTGTATTCCACAGCCCCCAACCAACACATGATATTCTGCTCCTACGCCGGGCGGTCAAGAGGGGGTAGGGTTTATGAAATGAAGTCGTCATATGTGACATGATAAAAACCTAGATGCCCCTCCTCTTCCTAGCAGCCGAGCTCGTCGAAGCACCGCCCGCCTGGGGGATAAACTGCTGGTCGTCCCTGATGCCCGTGTTCTGCTGCTTAGCCATGTTTGGCGCCGCGACGGCGGGGCACCCGACGCCCTTGGAGCCGTAGAAGCTCTGCAGCACCGTGAGGCACGCGGTGGCGCGGTCCTTGTTGGCCTGCGGGTCGTTGGCGGTGGCCGGGTCCGTGTTGAAGGTGATCGGGGACCCAAAGACGTTGCCCGCGTTCAGGTCCTCGGCCAGCTGCGCGACGTAGGCGTCGCGCGGGGGCGGGCACTTCTCGCAGTTGATCTTGACGACCTTGTTCTGCGCCGCGTTGAACCCGTCGCAGTCGCCCGTGCCCGTCGGGTTCACGCCCTGCTCGACGCCGAATTCCGGGATGAGGGCGAGGAAGCTCGGGTCCGAGGCCGAGAACTGGCCCTGCTGCTGCCGGGGCTTGTTCTCTGTCTGGGGGGCGGCGCATGCGGCGCCTGCCAGGGCGAGGACGATGGCTGAGGTGAAGTGCATCTTGCGGATTGTGTTTTTTTTTTTTGGTGTGGGATTTGAAGTTGTTGCTGTATCGGAAAGGACCGGCCTGTATGTGGAAGAGTAGTAGTGATGGAATAGAAGGAGACTGGTGGATGGAGATGTGAGAAACATGATCTGAGAATGCCAACAGCCAGCAGCTTAAGTATAAACTCGACCTGTGTATCCAGAGCCACGCGACGCCCAACAGAAGCCCTTGTAGACACCCGGAAGCCAAGCCCCGTGATACTGAGGGTCGAAACGGGCTCTCGCTCGAATGCCGTCTCAGGACGGCGGGAACGTCGTGGCTGCCTTGGGAACACAGATTGCGCGTATGTGGTATGCCCAAGCCTCAGGGGCCGCGAGTCACATGGGAGCTTCAAATGTGGCCGGAGCCGGAGTGTTGAGGAGAGGCATGGCTGGTCGTACGGGCCGCCGTGAGACGGCCGCCTCCATGATACAGAACGGGGAGCTGTCAGGTAGAGTTGGTCCTTGGCCCGGGTCCGGCCCATTGCAACGGCCGTCCGGTTGTCTCTGGGAGAAACAACGGCGCGCTTGGTGAATGAGTGGTCAGTAGACAAATGCAGCCCCGGTGGAAAGAACCAAGACCGCCTGAATGAAGCAAAAGCATCATCGAATATTGTGGAATATCTGGCAATATATGGAAACAGCCAGAAGACTGAATGCTCTTCTTCTGTCGAGGCCGCGTGGCCACTGCTAGACTTTCCGAGAAGAAGCAATTGACCGTTTGCTGATTGGGCGAAACAACGAAAATGAGAGAAAGAAGTAGGACGTCATCACTGGATGAGCTTATTGTCTCGGTGAGTTTGGAAACGTGGTGGGCGGGCTGACGACTTGGATGACGGACCAGAGGCGCAGCAAGTGACCGCAAAAAGGGCCGGAGTTGAGGCGCGGCCCCCATTCCGGCCGGAGCCCCGACGCCAGTGCAGTTTGATTTTCCAACGCCGAACTCAGGCTGCTTCAGCCGTGGGCTTCAATTCCCATCTGCGCGTTACATACCTGTGTTGGTCGACATGTTGCCAATTTTCCTCCTCGGAAGGCTTGGGCATGTCACCAATTGCGGAATGATTGGTGAGCTGAACTCAAGTGCATCTTTCAATGCGTGTCTCGGTCTCCGTTTCTGTTGAACTTTTTCATGCGGACTACAGTTTGTCCATCACTTGACCACCTTCCAAATAACGTTGGCCATACTTGAACACCACTCCACCCCGGCTCCTTTTGTAAGGGCTTGCACCGGGTCGAGGACAGAACGTTCCCTAAGCCGAGCTCCGACCTCCACCCGCTACACTACCGGTGCTCTTGTCAGGAAAGAGCTGTTCCTGCGAGAAAATGTCTTGCCACACATTCATCCATTTCTCGTGCTGCGCTGTGAGTAGCTTGCCTGGGTTCTTGAAGGACCTAGTCAGCATATCGCGCAGCCGCGTGCGAAGAACCTTGATCACCAGCATCGTTTTCCAGTCGGGGATGGCAAAGCGAGCCCTGTTGCCGTCGAGGACGAGGACACCTGAGTACATCTTCTCAAAGTTAGCTCAAAATCGTCGGAATCGTTGTCGGACGGGTACTTACATCGGCGCGAACATCGCCACACTGCAGGGCGATTGCAAAAGCCTCAACAGCGGTTGTCTCGTGAGCATTTGTAAACCTGCGTATACAAATTAGCCTCAAGCCCTGGAGCGACAAACGAACCGAACAACTCACTTGCTGCTGCCTTGCATTATGTGGTAGTAGCTCAGCCACCGCAACTCGTTGTGCCCTTTGTTGACACTGGTTGGATGCATGCTGACAGACTGGTTGTTGCCCACGTTCCTCAACCCCTTTCCGCCCGGCACATCTCGGACAAGCAGCTTCGGATAGAAACTCCAGGCGATGACCGATTGGGATATGATGTCATTATTGCTGTTGATGTTGACCCGCTGCGGAAGATCAAAGAAGGCCTGGTTTCGTCGCCGTCCTCCAGAGCCGGAAGAGTAGCGTATGCGGTTCAGGTTGCGACGCTCTTCCTCCGTGAGCTGCAGGAAACCTGAATCGACGAGGGAGACCAGTAGCTGGCCCTTCAGGTCCTCAATATTGGCTAAATTCTGCGGGCTGAGGAAGTTCTTTCTGCAAAATTGGAACTCCTGGCCGCCTGTCGACGCGGAGGACTGGCAGACTCGTTTCCAAGCAAGATAGGCATTATACACTGTCAAAAGGTCGGAGTCTCCACGGCGAAATGCCAGACGAACCGTATCCGCCTGACTACGCTGTCCAAAAGGCGCGACGAACGGTGACTTGGAGGATAAAGCCGCTGCTACCGTCACGGCCATGTCAAGGCACTTGAAGACGGTGCCCATTAGGATGAGCTTGCCTAGAAAGACATCCAGAGGCAGTCGTGCAAGCTGCTGGCCCAATGGGGTCAGCTCCTCCCCGGAAGTCAACGCACGAACATCAACCAGAGCGTCCACAGCTCTGCGAATGTTTTTGGACGAAGGTGGATCAAGTGCCTCGCTGAGGGTCTCCTCAATGCCGCCAATTTTGCATATCTTGACACGGATTGCCAGGTCCTGTAATGATAGTCGTAGCATCTCCGGCGTCTGCTGGTCGCTCATTATGGTATCATGCCGGTACTTGGTAAACAAGTGGAAGCAAAGACCTTCCTGCACACGACCCGCCCGTCCGCGGCGTTGTTTGGCATTCGCTCTGGAGATGAACGTATCGATCAGCCTCGACAGCTGACGCCGCTCGTCGAAACGCATCTCGCGGTGCTTGCCAGTATCTATCACACACGTGACATCTGGAATCGTGATTCCGGTCTCGGCAATGTTTGTAGCAAGTACAATTTTCCTGTAGCCCTGGGGCGGTATCAAGAAAGCAGCTTCTTGCTCTTCTGAAGCGATGGTAGAATGCATAGGATAGACGAGCCAATTCTGCTGGAAGAACCTGTCACCCAGCAGCATGTCGTTGAGTGCCCGGATTTCTGCAATCCCGGGCAAGAAGACAAGTATGGCCTTGCTGTAATTGATGTATGAGGGGTCAACCGCGATCCGCCCTATAAGCTGAACGATGAGCTCGAAATCAATTTGGTACTCGTCGATCTGCGATAGTGTATTGCGAGTTCGCGTCGAGTACGTCTGTAGGGTCTTGATGAGATCTGGTTTGGTAGAGCTGTCTGGCTCGCTGATTTCTGCCTCGTCGTCGTCGAGATCTATCAGCTTTTCCTTGACACGCTTATCGACAGTGTGCCCTGTCAACTCAATGGCATCCTCCAGGTAGTTAACCTTAACAGGGAACGTGCGCCCAGGCACGTTCAGTACAGTTGCGCCACCAAAGTATTTCGAGAAGCGCTCCGCGTCAACGGTGGCGGACATCAGGACCACCTTGAGATCCTTCCGCTTCGCCATCAGTTTCTTGAGGACAATAAGAAGGAAGTCGCTGTCAATAGATCGCTCGTGGACCTCGTCGAGGACCAGGTGTGTGATCTCGCGCAGCTCGTTCGAGCCTTCGAGCATCCTCATAACGATTCCAGTTGTTGCGAAGACGAGTCGTGTCTCCTTCGAAGTGTTGGCCTCGAGTCTGATCGAATATCCTACTAGGGATCGCGACGTGCCGATATCATTCTTGTTCTCGCCGAGCTCTTCACTCACCCGGCGAGCTAGAGATATAGCCGAAATTCGTCGGGGCTCCGTGCAATACAGCTTGCATGGTTTGCCCAAAGACAGCTGGTGCTCCAGCAGAAAAGAAGGCACCTGAGTACTCTTGCCACATCCCGTCTCGCCACAGACGATGACGACTTGTTCGCGGTCGACTGCTTCCACAACCTGCTGTCGGAAGTTCCACATTGGGAGCTGCATGCGGGACTGCAACATTTTCTGATATCTTGGAGTGCTGCTCTTTTTCTGCCATATGTTTTGATAGTACTCCGGGTCACCGCCAGACATCCGCTTCTCAGCAAGAACGTCGGCGGAATCACCACCATTGCGGCCGTTGTTCCGGCCGCGGAAGGCACCCTGTATTAGCACACCATCCTCCTCCTCCTGGTCACGTCGCTTGCGAACCAGGTCTCGGAGCTCTTTTATGGCAGCACGATCCTGCGCATCCGCATGTGTTTTCTTGGCCTCGGCGTACTCATTCCAGAGGTCACGCCACTGAGGCGGCAATTTGAGAGACACCTTCTCGTCTTTTGTGGACGAGCCAAAGGCAAGGAAAAGAGCGGCAGTAGCGATGAATGCTTCTGATTGCTTTTCGTCAGGGGTTGCTATCTCCGTCATCTTGAACACAAACTTGTTTGGCGATGAGGCAGCTTCAACGCCCGGGACATCATGTTCGGCTAACAGTTCCTGGGCTTTGGCCCATGATATACTCAGAAGGTGTCTGTGGGCAAATGCAGTCTCTGAGACTTTGATGTAGGATAGTCTTGAGGATGCGTCTCGGGATCGACAGGCTTCTTCCAGCACCCTCATCGGGTTCATGCCTGACCACTTGCCAAAATCCCGGACGATGATTTTCGAGCCATCGCTGTTATTTATGACCGTGTTAGTCTTTCCCGTCGTGGCGTCTACTTCGTTGGTAGGGAGGGCTGCGAAAAGGTCCGAGAGAGCCTGGTCTTCGTCATCCTCGTCCTGAGCGAGCATCTCGGCCGCAATCCTCTTCGCTTCTTTTGTGGTTTCGTCGTCGTCGTCATCTTCTTCTTCGTCGCCGTTACCTTCGCCAGGCGATGGCGTGGACTCTTGCTCGACTTGCGTGTCTACGGTTGCTTTTGGTGACGACTCGGCATCGTCTTTGAGTTTCTTGGCCTCGGCGTAGTCCCTCTCCAGCTCTATCCGCTTCGATTCCCATTGCATCTTGGCCAGACCCGCGTCAAATAGTGGGTCCTTCTCTATTCGGTCTATCTTGGCGAGGAGCTTTGCGACCTCCAAACCGTCGGGCGAGTCTTGATTTGCCGGAGGCGCTTGAAGCTGCTGGCCGGACTTTCGCCCCTTCTTGCCGGTATCTCTTTGCGGCCGTTGAATCGTAAAGAGGTCTGTCTTGGCAGACAGGTAAACAGGAACGAGATCGTCGGGCTCTATATCGCTGTCATACGTGATGATTTGTCGTTTCGGAGAGATTGTCCCAGGCGACCGTGATGTCTTGGAACCACCCTTCTTCTTCTTCGCCTGCTGCAGGGCCTCAGGCTCGAGGAGGAGAGGAGTGGTTGCTCCAGACGGCAGTGGTGAATCGGCTGGGGTAGCACCTGGCCGCCGGCGGATGTCATACTCGGGCAATTCGTCAAGAGTGCATTCTCTTGCGAACCAGTCCATGGCCTCTTCCAAACCCCATATAGAATCTTTGTTTATTCCGGTGATATTCGCAGAGATGTCCAGGACGTACTGGAGCGCATCTTGTATCCTGCCTTCGGGGAATCCTGCGGCCTTCAGTGTCTGTTGTAGCGCCCACAACTTTATGGTCAGATCCTCCTCGGAGAGCATCTTTGCCCCACTGGTCCCGTCAGATGTCGAGCTGGAAGCAGAAAAACGACCCTCGGCTTGTATGAGATCTAGGATGTGATCCATGAGCTCCTGGGGCAGCCATTTCTTCGCGTTGACGGACTCGGCTTGACCCCGAAGCAGGCGACGGTCGGTCTCCAGCCTTTGCTTCTGGCGCTGAGCATCGCGTCTAGTTTTCTGGGCAAACTTTTCCACAAGAATCTGAAGTTCTGACTCTTCCAGCTGCCTCTCGAACTCCTCTGGGGTCAGCTCCGGCTTCTTCTGTGCGGCGCCCGAGGATTTGTCGTTTTCGGCTGCCGCATGTTGCGGCACATTGCTGGGCTTTTTGCCAGGGGTATCTGTGCCTTTCTTTACGACTTCGGAAGCGTTTTCTGTCGGTTCAACTCTTGTCTTGGAGACGACAGACGTGGTAGCATAGCCCCTCGCAGGATTGGCGGCGGGCTTGGTCTTCTTCTTCTTGGCTCCAGCCATAGTTGCACTCTTGCACTAAAAATCAGCCGGGCAAGCACATGCAGAGGGATTTAACGAATGCAAGGACCCCACGCGGAGGCAAGGGAAGGAAGGTAGAGTCAGAGATACGGCCAGAGGGCAGACGGCAGAAGGCGGAGAGTGAGGTGAAATGGAAGGGGTCCAGCAAAGCAAGAAAGAAAGAAGCCTAAGTCAACAGCCCATGGTTGGGAGCAGAGTGGGATGGGATGGGTGGGTGTGTGGATAGATGACATGCCCCTGGTTCGAAGTGCGACCAGGATGCAGCTCCAGAAAAAGATTGTGAACCCCGCCTGCCGCCGGGACAGCCAGCCTGCAGGGTACTGTGTAGGCTAGTGTAGAGAGGCCCTGCCGAAAGCCCTGCAGGCTGGAGCTGCCCCACCAAGTGCTCTGAGGTCTTGGCGGCTGAGTCTTTCGGCGAGGCATGGCATCGACCGACCTGGACTGAACTTGAGCTTCGATAGCTGGCACGGGACGAAGCGAGGCACACACACACGAGTTGAGCGAGTTCATGTTGGACGACCGTATGATAGACACCCCCCTTCGTATGGACTGAGCTCCTTTTCCAATTCTCGAGAGCCCTCGTCTGTTTTCCTGCCGTCTGCTGTCCCATTTTCTCCTCCCTCTCCCTCTTGGCCGCTGCGCCATGCGCACGCGCACGCGCACACCAGCCTCTGCCCAACATGACTGAAGTCGCTGTGAACGGCGCCGCCCCGGCCCTTGACCTCAAGGCTACCAGGGCCGCCCTGACATCCTCCTCGACCTCGTCTAGAATCGCTTCACTGCGAGCCGTCGACGACAAACTCTCTCAAAACGGTATATCCCAGCCAACCTTTCCTTAGCACGCCATCCGTGCTCGAGACAGCCCAAGCTGACGCCCGCCCCGTTCGTAGCTCTCGATAAACAAATACAATTGCAGCTCCTCAAGCTCTTGTTCTGGACGCACTCCTTCTACCGCGACAGGGCCTCACGTCTGGCTGTGCAACAATGCCTCGTATCTATCTGCAAGGAGGGGGATGCCGAACTCTTGGAGCCTCTCGTGGCCGCGATCCGACGAGAAAGCCCCAAGGCCGGCATTGCTCCGAGCAATGCGTTTGTGTTGGTTGAATGGTGCAGCATCCTGGTGCAAAACCTGGCTGGTACGCCTCTCTGGGACAAGTTCGGCAAGGAAATCACGTTGGCCACGGCTGAGGCTTTGGACAAATGCTGCTCTCCTACAGCCAAGGCTGGACTCGCCCACTCGGCTCTTGTGGTGACTAGGCGTGGCTACCGCAAATTGTTCACCGCGTCCGAGAACAGAGAGAAGACAATCACCGAGTCTGTCCAGTCGCTGTCCGCAAAGGCTGCCCAACCCGCGCCCAAGAACGCAATCATGCTCGGCGTCGTAGCAGGAGTATGCTCGCGGCAACCTGAATCGAAGCCAATCCTGGAGAAGCTCAAGTCTGAATACTTCACCTTCTATACGCGAGAGATCGTCGGCTCCAAGTCTCCAGTTCCGAAATATCTTGCCGCCGGCCTAGGCGACTTCTTCTCCGACTTCGTGACCCCCGAGGAGCTTGAGAAGGAGGTGGTTGCGTCGCTGAAAAAGGGGCTGTTGCGGGCCCCCGAGGTGGTTTTGAACGACCTCATCACTCCTTTGATTTCGAGCTTACCGACCGACTGGGATCTGTCCAACGTTCTACACGGACACCTGCTCAAGCCGCTTCTGTCCAATCTCCAATCGTCCAACGCAGTCATCCGCGCAGGCTCTGTGAACGCCTTCCGCGTGATCGCGGAACGTTGCCGTGATGCCGGCGTGATGGAAAAGGTCGCCGACGACATTCTTGCGCCACTCAAGGCAGGAAAGCTTGCATCGCCTGATCACAGAGTCCTGCATTGCGAGTTTCTGCTTGCATTGCCTGTATCTGGAGGGATTTCCGGAAAGATCGTCGCCGCCTTGCCTACACCGATTGGGAAGGAAGGCAACGAAGCGGCCTTGAATGCTGAGGCGTCGGCCCTGAGCAGGGCTGTGAAAGCCCTTCTTGCTGAGGAATCAGAGCTCCCCAAAGCCGTGACCGATGCTTTTTCAAAGGGCCTTGCTGACAAGAAGCTGACCTCACGTCGCATCTGGAACATGAACGCCGGAGACATCCTGAATTCGTTCAAGTCTGATGACACACGAACATCGGCTTTCGTCAAATTTGCCGAGTCGACTCTGCCTGCTCTTTTGGACAGCTTTAACGACGTGATTGGAAACTCTTTGAAAGCGTCACAGGATGGTACAATCATAGCGGCCTACGTTGTCTGTGCGGTTGCGCCTCTCATTCTCAAGGATGAGAGCAACGAGAAGTTAAGAGCTTTGTCAAAAAAGTTTTCCGTCTCGAAGCAGTGCCTGGAGTTTCAGCCCAAGCCTTCATTCCTCCTTAACCCCCGTGTCTATACGAAGATCTCGTCGGACGATGATGCGCGGTGGCTTCTTAGAGCGTTGTCAGCCGTTGCTCCTTCGCTACCCGCTGACAATTCTTCGGGCATTGGTTCTGCGTGGGCTCATGCCTTCTTCTATCTCATTTGCTCAACAACAGCAAGCCCCCAGCTTCGAAAAGAAGCCGCCGACCAACTTTCTACCTTGTATCTCGCTGCGCCAGGCAAGGTAGCAGGCGTTGTTGTTGGTGGAATTTGGTCTTGGATCCAGGGTGTCGAAACCACCGACAAGGAGAGCGCCCCAGTACTGGCAAAGATCGACAATAGCAACCTGCATACGGTTCTCAGATCAATTTGCGTAGTCCCAGCGGACCTGCAGAGAGCTTCTGTAGCTCTCAGCCAGGAAGAGCTTGAGCAGCAACTGTGCTCTATACTCGTCTTCACAAGGTCTCGTCTCATACCTCGCATCTCATGGATTGAGATATGCCTGCGAACCGGAGTAGATCCGGGTGAGTTGACAAAGAAACATGAGAAAACTCTGCTAGAAGAGATCGTCAAACACTCCGACTTCTCCCAGCCGGTAAGAAAAGCCCGCATGACAAGTTAACCTAGAATGGATGGCTAACAATCCTCGACCAGCTCTCTGTCAAGGAAGCTTCTTATGATGCTGCCGCTGAACTCGCGTTTGTTGCACCGGACACTATAACGCCGCGCATAGAGGAGTTGATCAGAAAAGATCTGGATGTGGCCAAGCTTGAGGATATTGGTCCCATGGAAGCAGCTATCTTCCGCACGCCTGAGGGGACGGCCTTCGTCGATGTCTTGGCCAAGAAGGCGAATGAGGTGCCAAACAAGAACCAAAAAGACTACGACACTCTCAAGTGGGAAGAAGAGTTGAGGGCCCAATTAGCAGCCAAGAAGGGTCTACAAAAGAAGCTTACCGCCGAGGAGCAAGCAAAGGTCAATGCACAGCTCAAGAAGGAGTCACAGATCCGAGAGAGGGTCCAGGAAGCTGCTGCTCAACTGCTGCGAGGTATAGGAGTGGTTCATGCCCTGGCTACCGGCCCACCCACGGATGCGTCTCTCTGGATGGGCACGGCTGTTGATTCGCTCTTAAAAGCACTTGATGCGGGTGCAGGCCTGATCACAGGAGACGCTGCACCATTAGCCTACATCGCGTTGGCTCAGAGGATCTCAGACAGGCTGGGCTCTATGCGACCATTCGTTGGTGTTGCGACTTTGAGAGCCCACGAGGTCAGCGCGCTTCCCGAAAACTTGACGCAGGAGAGCTTCGAGGACCTTGTCACCCGCGTGTTGTATCGCCTGAGGTTTGCAGGGGAGCAACGGCCCTTCGACACCGTGTCGCTGATCTACATTCTGCCGTTGATACTCTCCGTAATCCGGAAGGGCGGCTTTGGTGCCACAGCGGATGATCGTGATGCGCAACTGGTGTTGGCCATTGAGTTCATACAATTTCACACAGATGTCTGCGAAGACGTGACGGTGCCTCGAGCCGAACTGTTGTCCGCGCTCATTTTCTCGATGCAACAATATGCGCAGCATTACAAGATCGCAAAAGACTGCTTTGCGGATCTTGTGCGCTGCATTGCGCCGAACATCAGTCATGACGAGCTTGGTGTTCTCTGCCGTGGCGCAATCGTTCCACAAACATCAGTGAGAACTACTGTTCTCCAGAGCATAAGTGCCGAGGTAGATATGACCGAACTTGGATTCTCAGAAGAGATCTGGCTGGCCTGCCACGACGACATCGACGAAAACAAAGAGTTCGGTAAAGAAATCTGGCAGGAAAGCGAATACCAAGTGTCGGCCGAGGTCCCCTTCAAGACTCTCTCATATGTAGAGAGCAAGGACGGCCAGCTTCGTCGGGCCGCTGCAAGGTCTCTGGCTGAAGCGGTCCACGCCCACCCGTCAACGATGCAGGGAGTGCTCGAGCAGCTTCGGACGTCCTACGTTGAGTTGGCCAAGCCTCGGAAGCAGGAACTGGATGCATTTGGCATGCCCAAGAAGATGGACTTGGCCGATCCCTGGGAGGCCAGACATGGCATTGCAGTCGCTTTCAAAGAGCTCGCGCCCCACCTGGAGAAGTCGAAGCTGGACGACTTCTTCTCATTCCTGATCCAGCAGGGCCCTCTTGGGGATCGCAATGCTGCAGTCAGAAGCGAAATGCTGGAGGCTGCGAACAATGCCATCACGATTCACGGAAAGACAATTTTGGACAAGCTCATGCAGACGTTTGAGCAGACTTTGGAGGTCCCAGACAGAGGCTCAGAAGCGGGTGACAGAGTGAACGAGGCAGTGATCATTATGTATGGTACACTTGCTCGTCATCTGAAGCCAGGCGACAAGAAGATCGCTACTGTCATTGAACGACTTCTGGCCACGCTGAACACACCGTCCGAAACCGTGCAATACGCTGTGGCCGAATGTCTGCCGCCACTTGTCCGAACGTGTGGTGATAAATCGTCCAAGTATTTTGACCAAGTTCTGGAGACTCTTCTCACCTCCAAGAAGTATGCCGAACAACGTGGTGCCGCCTACGGTCTTGCTGGTCTGGTCCTCGGAAGGGGAATCACTTCCTTGAAGGATTACCGGATTATGAGCACTCTGAAGGGTGCAAGTGAGAACAAGAAAGAAGTCAATCAAAGGGAGGCTGCGTTACTAGCATACGAGCTTCTGTCGACCATTCTTGGACGCTTGTTCGAGCCGTACGTCATTCAAATAGTGCCGCAGCTGCTCACTGGTTTTGGCGATGGAAACGCGAATGTTCGTGACGCCTCTCTGGCGGCCGCGAAAGCATGCTTCGCCCAACTGAGTTCTTATGGTGTCAAGAAGATCTTGCCCACTCTTCTGTACGGTCTTGAAGATGATCAATGGCGAAGCAAGAAGGGTGCCTGTGATCTCCTCGGAGCCATGGCCTACCTGGACCCAGAGCAGCTGGCTAATAGCTTGCCTGAGATCATCCCACCACTCACTGCGGTGCTAAACGACAGTCACAAGGAGGTCCGTTCTGGTGCCAAGCAGAGTCTGAAGAGATTCGGTGAGGTCATCAACAACCCGGAAGTCAAGAGTCTTGTCGACATCCTTCTCAAGGCCCTGAGCGACCCTACCAGATACACTGACGATGCACTGGACTCGCTTATCAAAGTACAGTTCGTTCATTATCTGGACGCGCCATCCCTGGCCCTCGTCAGTCGTATCTTGCAGCGTGGTCTAGCAGACAGGTCCAACACAAAACGCAAGGCAGCCCAGGTTATCGGCAGCTTGGCGCATCTCACCGAGAAGAAGGACATTCTTGCCCATCTCCCTGTCCTGGTCGCAGGTCTGAAGCTGGCCATAGTCGATCCTGTACCCACAACTCGGGCTACTGCTTCGAGAGCTCTTGGATCACTCGTCGAGAAACTCGGAGAGGACGCCTTGCCAGACCTCATCCCTCAACTCATGCAGACTCTCAAATCCGACACTGGTGCCGGCGACCGTCTTGGTTCGGCGCAAGCCTTGTCCGAAGTCTTGGCTGGATTGGGAACCTCGAGGCTCGAGGAGACACTACCCACAATCCTGCAAAATGTCGATTCCTCCAAGTCTGCTATCAGGGAAGGTTTCATGTCCCTGTTCATCTTCTTGCCCGTATGCTTTGGAAACAGCTTTGCCAACTATCTCGGCAAGATCATCCCACCTATCCTATCTGGTCTGGCAGATGAAGTCGAATCGATCCGCGAAACGGCACTGCGTGCTGGTAGGCTGCTTGTCAAGAACTTCGCTGTTCGTGCTGTAGATCTACTGCTTCCCGAACTCGAACGTGGTCTCGCCGATGATAGCTACAGGATTCGTCTCAGCTCAGTTGAACTGGTCGGAGATCTTCTCTTCAACCTTACAGGTATCACTGGGAAGGAGGATGTGGAGGACATGGAGGAAGAGGCTGTCCGCGAGCACGGTGCGAATCTCCGTGAAGTTCTTGGTGAAGAGAAGCGCAACAAGGTCCTCTCCGCGCTTTACATCTGCCGCAATGATACGGCTGGTGCAGTCCGATCTGCTGCCATCGGCGTTTGGAAGGCCCTGGTGTCTAGTCCCAAGACTCTTAAGGAGCTGGTACCGACCCTCACCCAGCTCATTATCCGCCGCCTTGGCAGCTCAAACATGGAGCACCGTGTCATCGCCAGCAACGCTCTGGGAGAGCTTATTCGCCGAGCTGGTGACGGCGTGCTCTCAAGCTTGCTGCCAACTCTCGAGGAAGGTCTCCAAATCTCCACCGATACTGATGCTAGACAAGGTATCTGCCTGGCTCTGAAGGAGCTGATAGCATCTGCTTCCGAGGAGGCTCTGGAGGACCACGAAAAGGTGCTGATTTCTGTCGTCCGGACCGCACTTACCGACTCAGACGAGGAAGTCCGCGAGGCTGCTGCCGAAGCATTCGATTCGCTGCAACAGATCCTTGGCAAGCGTGCCGTTGACCAAGTCTTGCCTTTCTTGCTCAACCTTCTACGATCTGAAGAGGATGCGGACAATGCGCTGCAGGCCCTTTTGACGCTTCTGACGGAGACGACTCGGTCCAACATCATCCTTCCGAACCTTATCCCGACTCTCATCGCCCCTCCAATTTCAGCATTCAATGCGAAGGCACTGGCGTCTCTGTCCAAGGTGGCTGGCGCGGCTATGAACCGCCGCCTGCCTGGCATTATCAACTCGCTCATGGACAACATCATCAATGCTACGGACGATGAATTGCGTGAGGATCTTGACAAGTCGTTCGATACTGTCATCTTGTCTATCGACGAGTACGATGGCTTGAACACGACCATGAATGTTCTGCTGCAGCTCATGAAACACGAGGACCACCGAAAGCGAGCGTCCACTGGGCGACACCTCGCCACGTTCTTCGCCCAAGCGGATGTAGACTACTCTCGCTACAATCAGGACATTATCCGTTCCCTCCTCATCTCTTTCGATGACCGAGACAAGGACGTTGTCAAGGCAGCTTGGGGCGCTCTGAGCGAGTTCACTAAGCACCTGAAGAAAGAAGAGATGGAGGCATTGGTACCATCCACAAGACAGACTCTGCTTCAAGTCGGCACTGCTGGCTCTAACCTCCCAGGTTTCGAGCTTCCAAAGGGTATCAACGCTATCCTGCCCATTTTCCTGCAAGGTCTCATGAATGGAACCCCCGACCAGCGCACCACAGCTGCTCTGGCGATCTCAGACATCGTCGACAGGACGAGCGAGGCCTCGCTCAAGCCTTTCGTCACACAGATTACGGGCCCCCTCATCCGTGTCGTCTCGGAGCGGTCCACCGACGTCAAGTCTGCCATTCTCCTGGCCCTCAACAACCTTCTGGAGAAGATGCCTACCGCACTCAAGCCTTTCTTGCCTCAACTCCAGCGCACTTTTGCCAAGTCTCTGGCGGATACCTCTAGCGAGCTGCTCCGTACTCGTGCGGCAAAGGCCCTTGGCACTCTGATCAAATTCACTCCACGTGTCGATCCCCTCGTCGCGGAGCTTGTCACTGGGTCCAAGACATCCGACCCTGGTGTCAAGACTGCCATGCTCAAGGCTCTCTACGAGGTTGTCAGCAAGGCCGGCGCCAACATGGGTGAATCATCCCGCACGGCCGTCTTGGGTCTCATCGACACAGATCCCGATGAGAGGGACGATAACATGACAATTACCAACGCAAAGCTGCTCGGCGCCCTGTTGAAGAATGTCCCAGAGGATGTGGCTCAGAGTCTGCTGAAGAGCCGTGTGATGACTACCAACTTCAGCCACTCATCGGTGCTGGCGCTCAACGCAGTGCTGTTGGAGTCGCCATCATTGTTGCTGGAAAGCCCACTGGCTGATGACTTGCCCGACCTGCTGACCCAGGGCATGTCTCACAAGGAGGTAAGCATAACCAGATACCTGAAGAGTTCTTGATAGAAAAAAACTTAGGCTAACTCGCTTCGCAGCCCTTCATCGCCGAGAACTTCATCCTCGCGACCGGAAAGTACCTCCTGTCTGACTCGCCGAAGTCATTCGAATCAACGAAGGCCATCTTCGAGTCTCTTGCAGCCCTGGTTCCTCCCGGCGAACCAGCCGACTCTCGCCGCCTGTCCCTGGTCGTCATCCGCACGGTCTCGCGCGCGCACATGGACATGGTCCGTCCGCACCTGCCGCTCCTCGCGCCTCCAGTGTTTGCATCGGTGAGAGATATGGTCATCCCGGTCAAGCTCGCGGCAGAGGCGGCGTTTGTGGGTCTATTCAACGTGGTAGATGAGGAGAGTAAGGTTTTCGACAAGTTCATCGCAGGCGACGGTGCCGCCAACCTGCCAGCTAACACCAAGAGGAGCATGGGCGACTACTTTAAGCGTGTGGCACTGAGGCTGGGAAGCCAGGCGAGGGAGAGGAGAGAGGCGGAAGGTGGTGTCTCTGGCACCCTGGGCCTGACGGGCGATGAAGTGGAGGACGAGAAGGAGATCTGGAGCGTAGGCAAGGTGGATGTTGGCGGGGACGTGTTTGGGAAGGAATAGGCGGTTGAGCATTGTATTTTCTGCAAAAGTTGTTTGGCCGTGATTTGATTTGATTTGTTTTTTTCCCCCGCATTGCTAGGGGTGTAAATGATTGAAAAGTACATGTTTGCCGCATCGCATCAAGCTCTGGGGATTGCATATCTCAACGTAACTCGGAATTTGGGGGAGGTACTGTACTTGAATGCATTTTACCATCATTCCGAACCCGTTCAGGCATGCTAGCAAGGCATGAACGTCCTATAGATCCAGAGAAAATGTCTTGTCTCGCTTTTTGTCCACAGAGCGACGTAGTTTCTAGGCAGCAGGAAGGGCTCAGCAGCCAGTGGACGGGTCGTCATTTGGCTTTCAGCACTTATACCTCCTTTGTTAATTCGCAACTGGCAAGGCTGCATTCGACCCCTATCTAGGTACCTAGGTACCTTGGTAGATCGATAGCTCCTTCTCAAGACTACCTAGGTACTTACCTACCCAGCTCAACTCATAGCCCAACACCGGTGGTGAGTCACCCGGGCAGCTGAAGGAGTGCCACAAGCTTGGGCTGGCCGGCCTGGCATGAGGCTTTCAGAGCCAACATGAACTCTTCAGACCCACAGCATCTCCAGCCACATCACGTCACGTTTACCAGGAATAAACATCGACAATGTCATTGAAAGAAACGAACAAGCGAGCAGCCATGCCAAAGACAACTAATTCATTGTCCCCGGACGGCGGGCCAGTATTCTTCTGGAGGGAGACGGAGGAGCCATACGGCTGGATGTCACAATGGTACGAATACCCGATGCGAGACGGTGCCGACAGCACCATCGTCTACTCGACGGCGGAGCACTACATGATGTACCAGAAGGCCAAGCTCTTCTGCGACGACAAGATAGCAGGCGAGGTCCTTGCCGGGGCGGGGCTGCACCCGCGCAAGATCAAAGACCTGGGCCGGCAAGTGGTGGGGTTTAACGAAAAGACTTGGGTGGCCGAGAGGGAGCGGATTGTACAGCAGGGGACATGGCTCAAGATGACGAGGCCTGCTCGCGATGGGCAGGTGAGCCTCGGGGAGCTGCTCCTAGGGACGGAGGACAGGGAGCTGGTCGAGGCGAGCCCATACGATAGGGTGTGGGGTGTGGGGTTCCGGGCTAAGGATGCTGGGAAGAATAGGGAGCGCTGGGGGTTGAATCTATTGGGAAAGGCATTGATGGCCGTACGTGAGAGGTTGGTGGAGGAGAGCAGAGAGGCTGAGGCTGAGGCTGAGGCAGGCGGGAAAGAGAAGGGGGACGCTGCAGAAAAGGAAGCAGAAGAGAAGGCATTATGATAATAAATAGCCTTGCATGCATGTGGACTGATCCACTGTATACCATTGCCATGATACCAGACTTGAGTTTCAGGGGAGTATGATACTCATCCATGAGTCGCAGTCGCATCATTTTGGATACGTGCTGTTTACAGCGTCTTACTGCTAGCTAGTCCAGGCACTGGGGATGGCAGCGGACAAGAGTAAGCTCGGCGAGCTGGATTGGGCAGGCTGGCAGTCGAGACGGGAGGCGCTAAACGGTCACGTGCACGGTCATGCGACCCTTAACAATTTTGACCTTTTGCTGCCGTCCACACCAAAGGCGGGGGCCAGCGCTCCGTTCGTCTCGAAATTAGCAAGGCAGGCCAACACCACCTGCTGTTCCCTCCTGGAAACTTTTTTTCGAAGCCCAGCAGCCCCATCCTCCAACCCGACAAATCACCGACAGCGGCCATCATCAGCAAGTGCAGTCAAGATGTGAGTGCCCGAATGCCATCCTCCGACCGATTTCGAGACTCCTGGGGCGATGGAGACGGTTGCATGGAACGTCTGGCCGAGGTGCAATTTGTGAAGGGCCGTCGGGAAGCACTCGCACCTCGCTATCGATGACGCCTTCACAGACGGTCCTCGGCCAACAACGCCATCAACACCACGTCGAATCCATCTCGCCCCCCGAATCAGTCTCTCAGCGAGAACATGTGGAAGGCTGACATGTCAATTTCTTGCTGCACAGGGTCAACTTGGTTACCCAGAAGCGCCTCGCGGCCGATGTCCTCGGCTGCGGTGAGCGCAAGATTTGGCTCGACCCCAACGAGGTCAACGAGATCTCCAACGCCAACTCCCGCCAGTCTATCCGCAAGCTCGTTGCCGATGGCCTCATCATCCGAAAGCCCGTCACCATGCACTCGCGTGCCCGTGCGCGTGAGCTGAACCTCGCCCGAAGGATTGGTCGCCACCGTGGTTTCGGAAAGAGGAAGGGTACTGCCGATGCCCGTATGCCTCAGTATGTCTGCCCACCAGCAATCTGAACCCACCCGATCGATGAGAGCACGACAATGTGGAAGGACCAAGAAGCGGTACAATGATACCAGAAAGAGCACGGGATATTCCTCTCGAGGGCACGATCTGTGGTGGTCGGGGGCTAACCTCACAATCTACAGGCAAGTCCTCTGGATGCGTCGCCAGCGTGTTCTCCGCCGCCTCTTGGTCAAGTACCGTGCCAGCGGCAAGATCGACAAGCACCTTTACCACGAGCTGTACCACGCCGCCAAGGGTAACACCTTCAAGCACAAGCGCGCCCTGGTCGAGCACGTACGTTGAGCCCAGCCCCGGGATCCCCGGACCACGCGGGAAGTATCACAGCCAGACTGACATGATTCCCTCCAGATCCACCGCGCCAAGGCCGAGAAGGCCCGTGAGAGGCAGCTCAAGGAGGAGATGGACGCCAAGCGTGCGAAGACCAAGGCCGCCCGCGAGCGCAAGGTCGAGCGACAGACGGCGAAGAGGAACGCCCTGATGGAGGGTCTGGAGGAGGAGAAATAAATGCATCAAGACGGCAACTGACGAAACATTCCTCTACTTCCTTACTGAAAGAAGCTGTCTTCGGAAAGGGATCCTGCATTCGGAGTAATCGGTTGGGTCGCTGCTCAGTACATATTTCTCTAAATCCTACAAGGTCTTCTAGAGAAGTGCTGTCTCTTGACGGGGGTTTCTGGCAAGTTTTTACGGCATTGAAAACGGGATCAATGAGCTGCGAACAAATTTCACGGATGGTTTCCTTGTTTATGAAACACTCTGCAATTCTCCCAGCCCACCAAGTGATCTCGCTGGCCTTGTATTGCACGACTACCCTGTTAGATAGGCAGACAGTCGGGCCGTGGTCCTACAATGCAGCGCAGCTTGCAAAGCACCACTGCTCTTGGTTGCAGGGACATCGTGACAGCTTCACGCATGCTCGGGACGGGCATGACGGGCCATGTGGCAATGTATTTATTTGTACTTGGTATTACAGTACCACTTCAAGCACCAACGGACCTTCTGTGTCCCGAGGCCAGACCATGTGATTGTTCCATCGTTCCAGATGAATTTATGGCTTGTCCAGTTGTCGAGACCAGCAACAATAATACACTTTACTTCAGCTGGCCGCCCACACCATCCTAGCATGCGATCATGGGCGGAGCGGCAAGCCAGCAGCAGTCAACGAACATCCCCGGCCAGGAGCCCACTTGAGCTTCGACCCAAGGGCCTGGCATTCAGGACCCCAAAACACACCCCATTACACATTTGATTACTTCAACTCGGGCACTATCTAGACTGAAATGGGCAAAACACAGCGTCCTCGGAGAGACGAGTCATTCGGGGGAAGGGCAAAGCAAAGATTGGTATGAGAAGAAAGGGCGGCCCATCGCTGGCGCCGGTACAACTAAAACGATGGGTCAGAGGCTTCATATTGTCTCCTGTCAAGGTGGTGAGGTGCCGCCAGAGACATTTCAGCATGCTCCCGCCGAGGCGGAAAACCAGATATGCATACTTAGCGATCTCATCCTTCCCACAATTAGTTGTGGGAAGGAGGGCGAGAGGGAGAAATGGACGTAGTCCATTACACCTCGGGGGAGCTGATTTATAGCCCAGGCGGGCATGGTGGAGTGGAACTTTTCTTGGCCGGCGGAGCCACAGGTTAATCCGTGCCGGTAGAAAAAATGCCTGGGTTGTCGCTTGGTGATGCAACACTTTGAGCAGAAGGTCTTGCGCAGGCGATCAATAATCCAATGTGTCAACCAACGCAATGCATCCCCTCAATCCCGCTTCCGGCCACATGTACATCTGCACTGCATGTCATGGAAGTTCTATGTGGTAATCCCCGATGCACGGCTGTCTTGGTGTGAGGCCCTGTTCACAAACACAAATATCGGCACTGGGCCGGATGCCTGAGAGCCGATGTGGTCGGCCCTCCCGTTGCCATGTCGGTAGGCTCCCGGTCAAGCCCGTACAGGAAGCATTTGCTCTCTCTATCGGCTGGTGTGCCGATGCGGGGCACACTCCCGTCTGTGGGGAGGTCCTGGTGCTGTGGGTTCCACCACTTTGCAGGCTCTTCTTTCTTGCCTCCCAGCAGGCCTTTACCAGTTTCGATGCCAAGTGTGACTCCATTGTGTCTCCTACCTTGCCCACAAGCATGTAATTACCATGATAGGCTCTACCCTGGTTGAGGGCCCAGGGCTGGGAGCCCCGGATTCCCTGAGGCTGGGCCAAGCAGCCTGGCCTTCTGTGGTTTGCACGCTATTACGTAGGATCCATGTTGAAGTAAACCGAAGCATGCCGCCCTCTTCTCTCTTGTCCCCTTGTCCGGTTTTTACCTGTGGAGATTAGATTGATTCACCTAGGATGACCACCTAGGATGACAGGCACCAGGACTTCACGTACGGTCAATATCTTCAGGACATACAAGAGAAGGGTTGCGAGCAAATCACCCCAAGTCCTGGGAATGCTAAATGTGAATTTGCAGCCGAGTAGATGCTGTAGACATGAAGTAGAGTGACAGCTTCCACTTGACAAAGTGTATTACCGTCTGCCTGGAGATTCATTTGCTACGTGACTTGCATGCCCTCCCCCCGGGCAAGAGTATACCCATTCTCAGAGTGAGAACATATTTTGACATGTCTCCAGGGTTGAAAAAGATCCATCACGATCTGTGTTACATCTTTGAGTACCAGCTATTGGGCCCTGGAAAGGTATAGTTTATAGTTCAGCAGATGAAGAAGTATACCTGAAGGGGTGAGGCAATGTTTGGGAGCTGTCCGATGAATGCTTCTCGTCTAAACTTGGTAAGTCTTAGACTCTACATTGTACACCCAACTTTAATGTTCAGACCAAACCTCTCTGAGGTACAGTGGCAGTATTACCCTGCTTTCTCAGGAGAAAGAAGCCCGGGTTTCAATGGTGGAAACCCGGGAGGAATGATACAAATTTGATGTTGTAAGTGATGGATGGCCTGTTGTTGATCTGGCCCGTGCACTGAGGCCTGGGCCCGCACAGGGATTCTAGGCGTCACTGTGGAGCTAGGTCCTCTGAAGTGCAGCACAGCGGGTGCCGAGGGGCGGGGTTAGCTGCTAGGCTGACCCGGATCGTGGTGCATTTCCTGGAGTCACGAATCACGATAACATCCTCTGTCCGTGTCAGCCCATCACCGACTTCGGTGCCCCTTCTTGCCATCCACATTGTACCCTCTCCGGACCGGTTGATAAGACCGTCCCCCTTCGCGCCTCCGAAACGTGCCCTCCCTCCGGGCCTCCACAATGACCACATGAGCTTCTGGTGAGGTTCCCGTTCTTCCAGGAGCTTCAATTGGCAGCCCCAGACAAGCGGGAGAACAGCAGAGCTAACTCGTCAGTGGTGTTCCGTATCGCTGTCGTTAAGGCTTGCTTGCAAGTGGTAGAGCGGCAGATCCAGTCACCATGTCGGCTCCCATCTTCCGTGGCGCATCGCGCCTGCTCCGATCTGTGCCACGACGGTCACCATACATTCAACAGACCGGCGCGCCGTTCACACGATGCATGTCGTCGCTGAATGTCGAGAGCCAGCAGAAAGTGCGCGAAGGATCAACTCCTGTCGCCCCAGAGTCTGCCCCTGCTGACAAGGTCGCTGAACAACAGTTGCTGGCCACCCATCTGAAGGAGGCCGACCCGGCCATGTATGAGATCATAGAAAATGCAAGTACCAGCAGAGAGGTCGTCGTCGAGAGGGCCAGCAAGGCCAGGCACGGATCAGGAGGCTAACCATGCCCGCGACAACAGGAGAAGAAGAGACAAAAGCACTTTATCAACCTCATTCCCTCCGAGAACTTCACATCTCAGGCCGTCTTGGATGCCTTAGGCAGTCCTATGCAGAGTACGAAACGCCCGTGCTGCGTTTTAGCCAGGCGAGAGAGATGTATGGCTGACATGCGTGCGTTGCAGACAAGTACTCCGAAGGTTACCCGGGAGCGAGATACTATGGCGGCAACGAGTTCATCGACCAGTCCGAGAGACTATGCCAACAGCGAGCACTCGAGACCTTTGGTCTGGACCCGAACCAATGGGGAGTTAACGTACAATGTCCGTTATCAGCCGTGCAAACCGAGCTCCCCTTGCCTTGTTCAACCGAAGTACTGACCGTCTCGTGAAGCCCTATCCGGCGCGCCTGCCAATCTCTATGTCTATTCAGCCCTCATGGATACTCACGACCGCCTCATGGGCCTCGATCTCCCCCACGGCGGCCACCTCTCGCATGGCTACCAAACACCTACCAAGAAGATCTCCATGATCTCCAAGTACTTCGAAACACTACCCTACCGCCTCGATGAGTCAACGGGCTACATCAACTATGCGCAAATGGAAGAGCTGGCGATGCTCTACCGCCCCAAGATCCTCATCGCGGGCACGAGCGCCTACAGCCGCCTGATCGACTATGCGCGCATGAGGGAGATAGCCGACAAGAGCAACGCCTACCTCCTCGCCGATATGGCCCACATCTCCGGCCTCGTCGCCGCAAAGGTGCTCCCCAGCCCCTTCTCCTTCGCCGACATCGTCACCACCACCACCCACAAGTCCCTCCGCGGCCCTCGCGGCGCCATGATCTTCTACCGCAAGGGCGTCCGCCGGCAGAACCCAAAGACAAAGGAGGACGAGATGTACAACCTCGAGGGGCCCATCAACTCGTCGGTCTTCCCAGGCCACCAGGGCGGGCCCCACAACCACACCATCGCCGCGCTGTCGGTCGCCCTCAAGCAGGCGCAGTCGCCCGAGTTCCGCGGGTACCAGGAGCAGGTCCTGGCCAACTCCAAGGCCCTCGCCAAGAGGCTGGGCGGCGACAAGAGCAAGGGCGGCCTGGGCTACACGCTCGTGAGCGGCGGCACCGACAACCACCTGGTCCTGGTCGACCTCAAGCCCCAGGGCATCGACGGCGGCCGCGTGGAGCGCGTGCTGGAGCTCGTGGGCGTCGCCGCCAACAAGAACACCGTCCCCGGCGACAAGTCCGCGCTGTCGCCCGGCGGCCTGCGCATGGGCACGCCCGCCATGACGACGAGGGGCTTCAGCGAGGACGACTTCTCGCGCGTCGCCGACATTGTCGACCGCGCCGTCACCATCGCCAGCCGCGTCAACAAGGCGGCCCGCAAGAACGCCGAGGAGAAGGGCATCAAGCTGCCCGGCAGGGTCAAGGTCTTCCAGGACTACCTGGGCGACGGCGAGGACGAGCCCGAGATCGTCCAGCTCAAGAGCGAGGTCGCCGCCTGGGTCGGCACGTACCCTCTCCCTTGGGACGCGAGGTCGTGAGCTGTTTTGAGTATGTGAATGAGGTGTGGTTGGTACCGGATGGTGCGCGAGCGCAACAGTGAGAGCTCGGCGAAAGGCAGCTGTGAGGAATGGGCGGAGGTGTTGGTGGTAGGGATGGTGTAGTAGTTCAACCTCTTGACGCTAGGAAAGGAAGGAACAGGGAGGGAATTCTTCAACGGTCACTCTCACGATAGAGCGTTCCGGGGCGTTTGTGAGCGGAGACGAGATGAGCCGTCTTCGTGTAATCATAAGGCATCACTTTTTTTCACCAAGCATCGGCATAAAATACAGCTCTGGCAACGCATGTATGTATTGGATCAAATGCTAGCACTAGACAACTTGTGCTATATGCCCAAGGGAGTGTCACACTATCTCTCTAACCAGCGCTATGCTCGCGGTAATTCCAACTCTCAACTCCCCGAGATCCCTCCTTTCCTATATACCCTTGAATAGCTGTGTGCAGTATCCAACACATGGTCCTACTAAGTGTTCACTTTTCCTCTTCTTTTTCCTTGGACCCAGAATTTTCTGTACCCGCCTTTTCTTTTTCTTTTCCTTTCACGTCTTCGTCGTTCGGCCTGTGCTCACGTATTGCTGGCTCCTTGTCCAGCTGGCTCTTGTCCGAAGCAGGGATCGAGCCAGGCGCGGAGAGCCAGGCGACATCCAAGCCAAAGACCTTGACAACGCTCTTGCGCCCCGCGAAGTCGACCCAGTACTTCTCGAGGGCTGTGTATCGCGCGCGCTGGGTCCAGGACTGCTCGAACCGGGGGTCCGCCGCCCTCCACGTCTCGGTGATGTCGTACAGGACGGGCCACAAGGCGTAGTCGGCTATGGTGGGCTGCGGCGGCTGGCCGTCGCTGTTGCCCGCGAAGAACATGTCGCCGTGCTCGTCGCCGGCACCGTCACCCCATAGCGGGAAGAGGTTCTCGGCCATCCAGTCGTTGAACTGGACGTAGTTGGCCCTCGCGAAATCCGAGATCAGGCTGACCTTCTCCTCGTTGGGAATATCGGGGGCGAGGGCACCCCCCATCTTGAGGGCTGTCCACTTCTGGCCCAGGGCGATCGCGGCTTGGAAGCGAGTAAATATCCTAGCCATGTAGGCCTCGTTGCCCTTTTTCTTGGGGTACCGCGCGTCGAGGTAGAGCATGATGGCCACGTCGCCAGTGATGGTCGTCCGGTCAGAATCGTCCAGGACAAACTTCACCGGCACAACATCTGTTGCATCACCATGACGGGACTTGTTCCGTTTTCCGGTACCGATAGAGCCATGCGCATAGTTAACCCCTAGCTCGGCTAGCATGATCTTGACGCGTCCATCCACCATCGTGTCGCCGCAGCCAAAGTATCGTGGTGCCGCCTTCATGTGCAGGACGTCAAATCCGGCGCCATAAGTTTCCTTCCAATTGAACTCGCTGGAGTGGTTCTCCTTTCCAAAAGCTTTCAGCATGGTAACAGCTTCTGGTGTCTGCCCATTGACGACCGGTCTGGCTCCATCCCTGGTTTTTGACACGGCACCTTGGCCCCAGATGACCGGTTCATCGACATCTTCCGTAGGAGACAGAAATGTACCGATGTGGCGGAAGGTCAGGCTAATGCGATATCCGCCAAAAGCAAGTTCGGCGTCGGTCTTCTGTGAGGTGGGCCGCTTGTCGGGTCGGATGCCATGCAGCCACTTGCTGTTTGTGGCAAGACCCATTCGGATAAGCGAGTTGTGTGGCATACGGCAGCGGACGGTCTGTCGTTTGGATGGCGACGGCTCTTCTCCGATAGCAGGTGCCACCGCTTCGTCGGTTGCCGCAGGTGGCGGAGATCTCTCCTTGTCTTCTTTAGCAGGAGGTTCCTTCTCGGTCGAAGCATCTCGCTTCTTCCTGAAGACCATGGTCCTCTCTGAGCCCAAGCTCACATTCGCTATGTAAGAGCCGGGAGCGACATCCAGGGTCTTGTCACTATGCTCACTGATATAATCGTTCCCGTTTCGATAGCATTGAATCAACACGTGGTTGACCTTGTGGCCTACTTTGGCCTCAACCTGCGTCCGAATGGCTTCAACGGCTGGTGTGAACGGTACACAAAGTGGTGTCTCGTCGCTAGGGTGTCGGTAGATGGGCTGCGTGCCATCTTCCAGTATTTCGCCCTGCACGGCGACGAAACGTGGCACCTCACCACCTTGATGCATCATCTTCTGGAAGTAAACTTCAGAGCACAGTCGCTCGAAGAGGCCGGGGGTGAGCGAGTCTGGGAGGAACGAGTGAATCATGGACGTATCGCCTTCGCAAAGCTTCTCGGCCTCGTTGGATGCATCGGTACTTGGCACCGAGCCAGTGGAACTGTCTGCTGGATCCTCTGGAACCTTGGACTCTTTGTTGGTGCCAGCAGGATAAGGGCCCGTCCTTTGGTTAACAGGCGTCTCGGCCGTCAGTAGTCCTTCAGAGGGGACGAAATCTGCCTTGTCCATGTTGACGGGTTTCGTTTTTACCGGCACGGTTTCTGATGCTTTGGAAGCCAAGAACTGTTTCATGGCTTGTTCTGCGCTGGCAATGGGATTCTTGCTGGTTTTTAAGCTGGGTTCGTCTTGGGAGCCTTTTTCAGCCTTTACCTTGTCGCTTTGTGACTCATGCTGAGGTCCTCCCATTGTTGACTTTGTCTGACCAGGTAGAGGCCCCTTGTCCCTTGCTTGCGCATTTGCGCGTGGCGTCAAGATCCTTCGCTCAGCCTTCGGATCTGTCTTCTTCACCACGGGCTGTACCGCCTGCTTGGCCTGGGGCTTGCCTGGCTCAGGCTCAGGTGTCTCATTTGCGGTGAGAGGCTCGACGACACCTGCTGTGATTGTTTTATGGGTAGGGGAATTGGAGGAATCTGTGGTCTCGGCGTTTAGTCTCAGCCTTTCCATCTCAGGAGAAAGATCTGGCGACAGCGACAGTGGCAGGGTAGCAGGAGCGGCAGCAGCATCTTCTGGCTTGCCCTTTTCTCCAGTGCTTTCAGGGGCATTGGTTCGCGTTAGGGATTCTAAGCTTTTGGGACGTACGGTTATGCCCTTGCTGGGACCGAGCCTGTTCCCTGCCATCGCCGCCGCGATCAGTTCTGGTGGAATGTTAGCTGGACCGCCTGGCATTGGCACGCTCGCCCTTGCCCGCTGATTCGGATCCGACTTTGACTGCGGTCTCGGTCGTAGGGTAGGCACGATTTCGGCGACTGTTGCGAACTCGCAACCGGTCATCTCGGCCAGTTTTCTCGTCGCGTTCAAATGTCTTGCCTCGCTACGGTAAGCACAGCAGTCCTCCACGATGGTGATATCAAATCCATAGCTACTCGCCGCCAGTGCCGTCGCATAGACACTGACATTAGACAAGGCCCCGCAGATGTAGAGTTCGGTCGCGAAATGCCTCCTGAGAAGTTGCAGAAGCTGTCCAGACTGGAAGGCCGAGTAATATGTCTTGGTCATGGCATAATCCCTCGGGCCCTTAGCTGCTGCCAGTTCAGGGAAAAGCTCCGCGCCCTTGGTGCCTTTCCGGACACACTGCGGTTTTGCCTGAGCGCTCTGCCCGTTCACTTCGCTAAGAAAGGCCTCCGGGTCGGCTTCCGGGGTCGCAGCGGGCCCCGGCGATAGGCGGGAGGCTCGGGCTCGGGCAGCCGCAGCCGCCGCGGAGCCTCCTGGTCTGTTTGGCAGCTGAGGGTGGTCGGCGGCCATCATCTGCTGCTCGCCAACCGCGCGGCTGGTGTCAAACTGGCTGCGGACCCAAACCACCTCACCATAGCCGGAGTTCCGAACGGCGTCGGCCAGCCTGAGGACATTGGCAATCATGCCATCCGGTTGGCTGACAGGCAGTGCGCCATCATCAGCCAAGAAATCGTTCTGAAAGTCGATGGCTATCAGTGCCTTCTTGGTAGGCACGTCCGGAAAGTCGGCGGGATTGATGGGAAGGAGAGACATGACGATGCAACAAAAGGCGACATGGGTATTCTTGCACACAAGAACACAAAGACGAGAAGATACCGGGTGTTTTTAAGAGCTGCGTTTGGTCAGCATAATGGCCCATTGTTTTGTGCGACCCGATGGGGGCCACTTGGACTCTCGAACATGCCTCAAGCAAGTCGCGACAAGATGCCATACGACCTGGGCTGGTCTGTGCCGCGCTTCGAAATGCCGTGCAAAAATACGAGGTTGGTCAGGAGATAATGCAAGTGCAAGAGGAAGACAGAAGTCAGAGAGGTAGGCCAGCAAGTAATAGTGTAAACGGCCGGTGGCCGGCCCGCACACAAGCCTGGGCCGGAAAGAGATGGTCGGAAATGATGGGCCGGAAGTGGGCGTGATATCCAAGCGTCGGCGCCACTAGCCAGGCATGCAGTAATACTGTATGTAAGTAGGAATATGCAGGGTACAGTGAGAGAGGTTATGCGTGGTGGGGGGTCAAGGAGGGCCCGGGACAGGGCAATGGCAGTTGCTGATGCTGGTGGTGGTGCTCGTGCTGGTGGTGAATTTGACCGACGGCAATATTCTTGGGGAGGTGATCGACATCAGCCAGCCAGCCAGCAGGCAGCAGAACGGCGGGCGTCGTGGATGAGACTCGGGGCGACAGAGGTTGGTGCAGCAGGAAGGTTTGGCGATCACGAAACGGCATGGGGGACAGGGTCAATGCCGATGGATGGAATATTGAAATGCTTGCCCGAGTCGAGGTGAGGTGAGGTGAAGTGAAGTGAAGCGAAGGGCTCTCTGATGGGGTCGACTTGACTTGACTTGACTCGACTCGCGCCGTACCGTAACGTACCGTACCGCACCCGCAGACTACCGTGGCGGACCGTGGCGTGTACGGAGTACGCACGAGAAAAGTCGTGAGACACAAGTGTCGCACAGGTTTGGTGCGCACGCAATTCCAGCACAAGCAGGTCAGCAGATCTGTACCTCGAAGCTGCGGGCCAGGGTGCTGCTGTGGCACAAAAAATGCAGAATGTGACGGACGATGCTGGGGCTGGAATTGGAGGTCGAGAAAAGGGCCGGTCCTGGTCTCTTTCGTTTGCCTGTGTGTGTACGGACGGAGCATGTACGGAGCATGTATGTGTGTGTGTTCACGAGCAAGGGCAGGGGTCGGTTGGCCCCCTGCCTCTTCCTGCTGCTGCTTCCTTCCTGCATCGACCTCACCTGCCCGCCCTGCCTGCTGCCCTGCTGTGGCAGCCGAGGGGTAAAAGGGCGGCCAGAAGTGGCAGAGTGCCTGATGAGTGGGAGGAAGGAGAGGGACTGGAGGGAGCAGACCCGCCCCTCGTCAACCAACATGCATGACAGTACATGTACATATGCATCTACTTCCGATAGATCTGCCAGTGCCAGCCAACAGCAGACGGCCAAGAGCAAGCAGCTTGCAAGAGTGTGTGAGCAGGTTCGGTGGCAGACTCGGTCGAGTATTGATAATGGTGTCTTGTCTTGGACTTGTCTTGTCAAATATGCTGCCGATCTGGTCTATGTCTGTTCTCATTGTACACTGATGGCCATGTCACCTCCACTCTGTGACGGACGGTCCCCTCGCTTTGCCCATCTTCATCTCCATCTCCACCTCCACGCCCGTGTGCAGGTGCAGGTGCAGGTGCATGTGCATCTAATAAGTATCCTCCAGCACTGCACCTTGACTTGAGTTGGGCTTGAGATGAGAACCACCATGCAAAGAACCATGGCACGACATGGCATCATTGCACAAGCTCGACCCCCACCGCCCACGCCCCCCCACAGATGCTCGTCGTCGTCACTTGTGGGACAAGACTCGTATACGCCCCCATCCACATCCCCATCCCCATACACAATACACGTATTACACATACACATACACACACACACAGTATGTACACAACATACACATATACGTCGAATATACTCGGTATTATTCGGTGTCCTCACAGGGTCGCAGCCGACAGGTCACAGCCAGCCCAACGGTCTAGACCCTCGTGGACCGTTGACGAGAAGAGACGAGCCCTGGCCCCGGATGCCCGAGGCAAAAGAAACATGCTGTGGTAGCGTCGTCCCGCCCAGGACCTAGGGGGCTAGGACTGAGAGGCGAGGACTGATGAGGGCCTGAGGACCCTTGATGTCCCTTGTCCTAATAAACTTCGGCAGCCACGCAGACGCCTTGTCAAAATTAACGTGCTCATAAGGTTGGCCGAAGCCGCAAAAGAAGGTTTTGCCGGGGCAGGGGTTCTTGTGGTGTGGTGGGGTTCCTGTGATGATGAGCCTTCGATCGTTTTTCGATATCACTCTCTAGTCTCGTCTTGGGCCCGGGAGAGAGACAAAAAAAGAGGGTGCTTACTATTCATCCGCGCTCACAGAGCTCGACAGACAGCCCTTCATGCGTCCTGGGTTGAATGCATTGCTGAGCGGCCGCCCTTGTGAGACTCCATCTTGCTCCTCGTTCGCCCTCGCTCGAACCAACGGCGTTGGACAGCGCAAGCCCCAAAGGACCTTGCATAGCCGCCCTATTTTATGCTGCTGGCCACCAATTGCGACGAGCAATCGAGGGTTCTGCCGTGCCACCCCCCTCCTCCCCCCTCCCCACCGCTCAATGCTGCAACCCTGCACACCACCATGCGGCAGCATTCTCTCATGCAAATGAAGCCCTACCGGTTACAGTGCCGCCCTCTGGACAAGCATTCCTGGCCCTCCCCCAGATCCCTCAGGTGGCCTCAGGTGGCCTCAGGTGGCCCTCCGACGCCTTGCAGCCTCCGAGTGCTTTCCTTCCCTCCTGAGCCTGCCAGCCTGCCAGCGTTGCAGCCGAGAGCCCGGCACCACAAGTCAGATGATGCCAATTGCCGATGCCACCGTGTTCACCAGTGGTCACGCCCTCCCCCAGCCCGAGCTAGGAGGAGCTCCTCGAACGCTGGGTCTGAGCTCCTCACCGCAGCAGAGCCCCGACCTGGTGTGGGCTGCGTGGTAGGCGGCCGGCCTCCAAACACTCGAGCAGATCTGATGGCCAAGCATGCTTGTCGGTGTCGCATGCCAACTGACTCGAGCAGCCCTTCGGAAAGCAACCGATGCACTCCAAGGAACTCTCCGGCCGGATTGCCAACCCCACAGCAACTGCTTCCGCTTTCCGTCACGGGAAACCCACAACGACCGGCCGTGCCGTGCTGTTGCTGCCCTGCTCTGCCACCTCTGCTCGGGCCCAAGACCTGTCATCGTGTTGGGATACGGCGCACAGACTTTCTGTCTTCTACGAGGCGCCCCTGTCATGCGCGCCGGCCACAATTCTTCCTCCATCCCCCTCTCGAGCTGCGTGCTGTCGCAATCCTTCGACTGTACAAGGTTGAGAGCGAGAGCCGCCTCCCCTGAGTCCCGACGGGTGATGGCTGCCAGAAATCGAGATCCCGGCTGTCACCACGTGTATCAACCACACACACCGTGTGTGTACCCCAAATAACCACCAGAGGTACGCACCACGACCACCGACGCCTGCCCTCATTCCACAGTCAGGATCTCAACCCCTGACTGCCGTGTAAGTGGGCCCCGTAGCGCCCGCCGCAGCCTTACGCCCATCAGGCAGGCCGCAGGACCATCAAACGACAAAGATGTGCGACCCAACTCCTTCGATGCTACCATCCATCCCCCTTTGACACTTGTTGACTACCGCCTACGGGAGCGGGGAAAATGTCCGAGGATCTTGCCTTGGTCTCTGCACAAATGCCAGATGTCGCCAGATCCTAGCCAGGACCCATTGTCAATACCGTAAGAGCTGACAAAACGCTGTGTCGTCGTCCACTGCGTCACAAATTCCCGGCACTGGACCCCGGCAGTGGTGAGATGGGTACCCATATCCGGTAGTCTTTTTTGCCAAGCATCCAGTAGTTGAGAGATGACGAGAACATCTCTCTTCACCTGATCCTGGACCGAACCAAATAGACGCAGGCAAATATCTCTCGCGTTCCCCGTCGCCACCGCGTTCAGGATTGTTTCATACACGAATCGAGGCCAATGTGACCGTACCTGACGTGAAAACCCTGGGAACGACATTGCGCTCAAGTGCTCTGAAGCTGACAATGGACATGAACGCCCGTCCAGGATGGCTTTTGTAAAAATCTATACCTAGGTATCTTGCCTTCTAAATCCAATATGCCGCGTCCTATGCGGTAACTATAGCTAACCGGCGGCCGGAAAACTGATATCTGACAAACGGCCCCTCCGGAAACACATCTCAACCATGATTCCCATCTCGCCCATCGCCGCCCCCCCCCCCGAACCAACTTCATGAGCCGACCACAGCAAATCACATGTTTTACTGTCCATATATCATCAATGCGCCTGCCAGGGTTTCGTGCCGGTGAGTCAAAACACACCTTGACCGGACGCCTCAACCATGGTAGAACACACAAGATCATCGGCGAGGACGGCACCATCTCGCACCCACCGGGAGTAGCTTTGACCTTCGGGCCCGCGCGGGCAGAGCGGGCAGCCGTTCGGGGTGAGGGGGACGTCCCCTCGACGCGGCAGGAGGACGAATGGCCCACAGACGGGCCCTCCTCAAGCTTGCACACTTGCTACACAGCCGAAAGTAAAGGCATACCCTGGGCTTTCCTCCTCGCCCCGTGATGCGCCCGTCCGTCCCATCATGCCCTTCCATCCGGCCTTCTTCGCCTTGTTCAAGCTTCCAAGCTCTTTTGGCTCCGATGGGCCACACCCCTGAGCTCCCGCGCCCGCAGGGGGGTGACGCCTTGTCACCCGTCTCTTCGCTGATGGTGTAGTATCCAACCGTTGGTCGCCGCTACCATGGCAACATGGGGCATCCCCACCTCTCACTCTCCCTCTGCATCACTTCCATATGCGCCCTGACTGTCGCGGCGAGGCTTGAACCAGCTCCCAGCGGTCCCGTTGACGTCGCCGCGCGCCCCCATGTGCTCATCGTGCTCCTGCCGGCTTGTCGATACCAAACTTCTCACACTCGCGTGTGGGAAGACTAGGACTGGTCCTGCCCAGGTGGTCCTGGGTCCTAGACAGGTCCAGAACGGCCTAGAAGCCGCCCACAACTCCACCTGCCCGGGATGTCTGGTATCGCGGGAGCTGCATTGAATCAGAGATTCCTCGCCGGCGGCCGAGATTGGCGGGCGGGCCGCCGCGGCCGCGTGCTGTGTGCTGTGTGTTGACGGGCATGGATGTCCGTTGCGGGACAGGACTTGGCCTCCAGAATGCTGAACCTGACGCATATTTAAGTTAGGTACCAACACCTCAGCCATGTGGTTGGGACGCGGTGTGGGTGCGGTGTGTGTGGCGGACTTTCTTCCCAGTACGGTAAGTTCACCGTCTCGAGGAGCAACAGGAGGCCATAATCAGATCATCAAAGCCCTCTTAGACCTTTGACCATGGCGTCGTACTCGTATGTTGCACCTGTCCGTCCACATCTCTGTGTGTAGCCCAGTCGTAGTCCTACTCAGTGCTACTTGATGTACTCTGTGGCTGCTCTTGTGTATTGGACCGGGAATGGGATGCATGTGGGGCTCATCGGTGGGAGACAGTAAGGATTAAGGGCGTTACGGTTGCAAGCTCCAAACACCTTTGCTGCATGTCTACTAAAAAGCCGCATTATTATCTAGAAGGGCACCTAAGTGGTGCTCAATATGGCAAACCCTTTGAACACCGCCTCTGGTACAATTTCTCTTGGCAACGCAATTGATTTCAGGAGAGTATTCTAAGTTAAGCCCCAATAATAGCTACAGGAGCGCCCATAATGGGGCTTAGGATTCTTGGATAATGTAGCTGTGCCAATGTGACAACGAATACCTGTGGGGGCAGATAGGTGCCTGAATCACTAAGAAAAAAACAGTGAATGGAGCGTATTCATGTAGAGCTTCATGAGCAAAGACCTTTAGAAGTTCACAATCAATGCTGCCCAGGTGAGCTTTGGGACGTGGATACTACCCTGCCAGGATCGGGAAAGCTGGCCATTACCTTGGTTGCCTCATAGATAACGAGTGTAGCACTGCCTCACCGCTGCTGTGTAGACTCGAACCTCAAGCGTCTGGAGTTGCTTCCCAAGCCTGTTGGTTCCTTCAGGCCCTTGAAAACTCTGCTGTACTGCTATTATGAAATCTTATCATTATAAAGCAAGTCCTACTGCTAGACTCTAAGATGAGATTCAGCACATCGGTTCCAGCCTGTCTCGCTTTTTGTTGGCAAAGACCTGGAGCCTGGGGTTCTAGAGTTTTCTGGGGTCCTGTCTTGCAGACAGACAACCTTGGAAGTCTAGCATCTTGGCTTGGCCCAAGGGGAAACTCTAGTCAGGTTCGAGCTCAACGTATCTCACTTGCTTCTCTGAAGGTGTCATGAAACTTGCTCGGTGGCGATTACAAGTGTGCGCCTCATGAGATTATTTGCACAGCCCCTAACCTCTTGTAACTGGTGGCAGCAGTTAAGGATTCCTGTTGTCACATCAGCTGCAACGATGATTCATCGAGAGATGCTTGTCCCGGAAATCAAACTTTTTAAATTCAGCCGAGCCTGATAGGCCCTTTTAAGATAGTGGTCGAATCTGTGCAAGGTGAGATGGTGACGTGTACCTAGGTAACTAGCACTTGAGACGTACAATAGCAACTTCGGCCGATTTCTGAACCAAGAGGTTGCCAACATGATTACTGCAAGCCATGGGCGGTGAGACAAGTCTCTGTCCAGGACTTGAGATTGTTCGTGACCACGAGTCCTCGAAACCTCTGCAACCTTGTAGTGTTTCAACCTGCTCCCACCAATCATGCTTTGAACTCCAGGGTGAACAGACCTATCATTGCGTCTGCCGAACCCGGAAACCATGTTTTGACACCGAATATGGGAAGGAAAGCGAGATATCTCGTACCCGGCATGGGGCTTGCTGCCTCCTGTGATGGGCAACAGAGACTTCTCCTGCTGAAGTCCCCAACGTGGTACTTGCGCCTCAGTAACCCGAATCCTTTGAGCATGTGTGGCAACAATAAAGTGAATAGCTTCTCATCAGCCTACTTGGATGCTCAGTGAAGCAGCTGTGTTGATCACAGCAGCGGCAACTTCTATATGTGTTCGAGCGAGTCCCGTTCCGAAGCATGGCCCCTTATATTATATCGGTATCAAGAATGTGTGCCCAGGTGATGCCATCTTCGGGAGGACACCGATGCATGCTTCGAGGCGACGCTGAATTCCGAAGTCGTATTCGGAAAAAGAACTTGTCGGAAAATACGACCCCTTGCAAGTAGGGTCTCATGGCCGTTGCTTGTTTATCCTTCCCCGGTCGAACCCGACGGCATATTGTGATAAGATAGCTTTCCAATCTACCTCCATCCCAGAGGTCCAACGTGGACTACCGTCGATGGCCCTCTCTACCAATTGGCCGCCAACGGAGTGTCAAGTGTGGATGGGCGGACGTCTTGATCTTTCCCAGGCCAAGAGTATTTATGTACCTGTTAATAGTTGATAGCGGGTTTTGTATTGTAGTTCGAATTTGGAGGAAGCTCTCGGACAATCAAGGAGAGGCGGCTGAAATCAGGTTCTCGGTGCTTTAGGACGCCAGCAAGGTAAATACTTGTTCGTATGTATGTGGTTTGTTTGTCGTGTTGTATTTTTGTGCATTCTATTTTCTAAATGCATTGCTTTGACATGGTGATGCTCGTCGCATTAAACAACCATTGCTATCTGTCCGTAATCTATCTTTATCTTCTATTGGTTGCTCTATTTCTTGCTTCCTCTCTGCCAGTGGTTTCTATTCTATAACTCGTTCTCTAGCCCAGAGGGCCGCTTCTAAACGCATCGGGAAGAATAACGAGGAGACAAGGAGACAAAATTTCACGCATTACCGACAAGGAAGTGGCTCAGTTAGGGAGCCTAGGTGAGGCTTTGCCCCCATGAATCCGTGGTATCTCGACAAGCAGCTGTTTGAACGAAGGTCGAGCAGGCACAGTCTCTGCGGAGCACCGTTGATGCAGATGCTGCAGCCTCGCTACCACCGCGCGCTGCTCGTCTGTGGCGACAGTGACGAGACCCAGCAGGTCCTCGACGAGGTGGGCGAAGGCCAGGACCTCCAGCTTCTCCACGACGGGCGGGACCTTGCCGCCATGGACTGTTGCCGCACCGAAGTCACCCAGGAGGGCGTGGCCGTCCTCGCTGGTGAGGATGTTGTGCGCATACAGGTCCCCATGTGAGATTTTCTTGTAATGCAAGTGAGCGGCAGCGGCAGCGATGTCCTGCAGGATTCTCAGAGCATTGTCTAGTGATACTGTCAAGTTCGAAGGGTAGGTGTCCCTCGTGCACGTCAGAAGCGATGGAGGCTGACCCAGGGTCTGATAGTAAGGGGGAATAAGCTGCATCACCAGGCCACCTTTGAAGGCGCCGTTCGCCTCGTCTGGATGACCGTGGATCCGCCCGAGGACGTCGATGATGTTCTGGTGCTGCCCAGCCGCCATGTACGCTGCCATCTCATCCTCGGGCGTGCCATCGCTGGTAAGCGCGCCCCTGAAGAGTTTGATGGCTACCTCCTCTGTGGTGCTTGGATCGATGCGCCATAGCCCTTTCGAGATGATGCCAGACGCTCCTTCACCCAGTGTGTGCTGGACCTCCAATTCCGACCAGCTCACGTGCGCGAGTCCTAGCTGGTTGTCGTCGGAGAGGGCGATGTCCTCAGACGCGGAACAGGGGTTGCCAGCAAAGCTGAGAAAGGCCAGCTCAGGCATGCTGAATAGCCAGTCTGGGAGGGTCCGTATGTTGTTGGAACTTAGGCGTAGCAGACCGAGCTTCCTGCAATGTTGCAGCTCGTCAGGTAGTGTCTGCAGGCGGTTGCCTGCAAGCATGCACTTTTGCAGCCTGTCACACTTGCCTATGCTTCTCGGGAGTGACGAGAGCTTGTTGTCTGTCAGGATCAACCACCTCAGCCGGGGAGGGAGGGCATCCTCGGGTATCGAAGTCATGCTGTTGCCCCGGAAGGCAACCATCTCGAGCTGTGGACATGACGCCAGGGCCGGAGGGAATGTAGAAAAGGCACATTGGGAAAAGAAGGCAATTTTCAGATTGGGTAGGCTGCGGCCGAATTCCGCGGGCAACGAGGAAAGCCCCGTGCCTGAGAGATCGAGCTGCTCAAGGGCTGACCCCAATTCGAATATCTCGGTGGGAAATGTTGGCAAGGGACATGTCAGCTTGAGCTTCGTTAATGCTGCGTCCTTGTAGCCTCCACTCTGGAGTACCTCGAGATCGTGCATATTGATCGGTTTTGGGGGGAGGGGACAAAGGAGTAGGATGGATCTATACAATCTATGCAGTCAACGTCGAGGGAATTCCGGGGATTGTCAAAAGTGGACAGGGCCAACGTGTACTTATTCAGGTACGCGCAAGTAGTGTATATCCTATTTTCAGATCAGCGGGCGGGCCCCCTATTTCCATAATAAGCCAGCCAGTCATCCTGACACGTGCGAGACCGTTATCTTAGGCGGCTCCCTTGCAAGCCTGAGCAAGACACTTGTCTTATCATGGGCCAAGATCTAGATTCCTGCACAGATGCCTGCACAGTTGTCTGTGATGAAAGATCCCGGTCGGTCTTAGAAACTCGCCAGGGCCGATGCACAGATGGATGACATACTAGGTGAAGCCGAGCATGGAAGAAGAGGTTGATGCCCCTTCCTCCACAATGGGAACCTGAGCCTCAAAATAATACTCTGCAGTTCCAAGCTGCAGCTTATTAGGCGCTAGAACGGGTACCAAGCACCAATAATCCCTGTAAATCTGGGCTGGAGCCCCACACATCTCGCAGCGGTTGAGCTCGGGCCACACTGCATCTGCCCAAGCTTCCCTGCTTCGCAGCACCCGCGGCTCTTGTACACCAACTTCACGCGACGTCGAGCCCACCTCGTACCCGGCGCATCTGCAAGTCCTCGTTTCGCCGCTGCCACAGGCGCCATAATCTGCCGCGCCCTCTCGGCCATCCAAGAAACAGTCAAGCTCGCGAGGACAGCAATAGACCGCTGGCGCCTGTCAAAATGAGTTCCCACTCGCCAGAGAAGCGAGCGTCACCAGCCATCGACGACACCCGAGGCCCAGCAAAGCGACAGCGCACGCAATCGTCGAGTACCGTCCAGTCTTCCGAATCCCCCATCGCCGCTGTATCGGCCACTCGAGTCCATGGCCCGCCAAACTTCAACGAGCAGCACAGGACCGAGCTGCGGCGCGCCATCACCCTGGCGCTTGGCCACGTCGGCTTCGACTCCGCATCCCCGGAGGCCCTCGAGAGCTTCACACACATGACGGAGACATGTCAGTTTGCGCAACTTTCGCGCCGACACGTGACCGTCACAGCGCGCTGACGACTCATACATAGATCTTTCTTCTCTCGTCGAGGACGTCAAGTTGATCGCAAACAGTGCTCGCCGATCCCAAGCCATCCCCACCGATTTTGACCAGTCGGTGAAGCGTTTCAATATTGACCTGACCCATCTAAAACCTCATCGGAGGCCACCAATACCGCAAGAAAGGATCAAGGCGACATATACAACGGAAATGTTCCTGGACGGCGAGACGATGGACCTGCCAACCCTGGACGAGAGGCTCAGTGGCAAGGACGACAAGGACGCAAAGGCCTACATACCAAAGTCGTTCCCCGACTTCCCCAGCATACACACCTACAAGTCAACACCAACCGATGTCGAGTCCGTGACGGTCCCTAGCCACGACGCAGACCCCGAAGGCACAGCTAAGCGCGGGACCCCCGACTGGCGAGGCGACCCTAAGAAGATCCGCGAGGCAGCAGCTCTGCAGGCTAAGCAGGCTGAGGAGGCTCTGAGGCGACTCGTCAGAGCTAGTAAACAAGCGAGCCTCAAGGATATGCGGAGCACCGCTGAGAAGAACCCAGTTTCCAGGGAGCGCTACAACCAGTGGGAAGACGCCATGAAGGAGCTGTTGCAGGAGTCGGGGCGCGCAAACGGAGCAGACAGCACGGGGAGAGGGGATGTCGCGGATCATAGCATGGTCGTCAATGCGCAGAAGAGGTTCCACAGACGAGAAGTGCCACGGTCTGCGAAGCGCATGCAAGTTCAAGATGCTCTGCGGGGCAAGGGCTGAGGAGGCCCTGGCACAGGAACAGGAAAGTGATCATGACAGCCTGCTGTTGCAGATGCAGTGGGAAGAGAGAACGCCATATTGGCATAAGAAGTCAAAAGGAACTCGGGCGGCACGTCCCGAACTGCTCAAGGCCCGAGCAGTACGTGCGAACCAGTCATCCGCACCCACATCTATTCGGTACATAATGGCTGGGGAGTTGAGTGTGCGGGTTCCAAGGCATTCTCTGATAAATGCCATTACGGAATGACCGGTTCCCGATGAGACTTTTGGTCTGAAGCCATGCGCCTGAGGATTTTACTCGCCAGGTGTATGTGGCGCATCGGCAAAGACAACAGGGCCGGACAATAGACCACATTGGCGCCATTGTCTGAGGGTGTCAAAGGCGGAGGCTTTCATGGTGACCGGGTTGAGAGCACTTGCTTTGCTTACAGAGAGGCCTGTGGGAGTATCTTGAGATCTCTCAAGTTGACAACTGGATTGAGTGAGGTTGAGACAGCTGTGAGCAGCAATTACATTGGTGGACAGGCTCTGCTGGACAGGCTTTGCTTTTGAGGAAGCCGGAGTAAGCCAGCTGGGAGAGTAGGGATAAGCCCCAGTATAGGTATTCAGAAACAATATCTCATGAAGCAGCATCCTTAAGGATTCTTCTGTGTCTAGCTCGGTGTGTCATCTGAGAGTATTGTTGTGCAACTGGTGTTGGAATCAGTAAGCTGGCACATGAGGACCCAAGGACACTGAAGAGTGGGTGCAGGTATCAGCTTTTCTCTCCATTCACTTCGTTTTGCAAAGTAGACACAGCAGCAATGTCTTCAAATGTGCATGCAGATCAAGGACAGCTGTCAGTCTGAACTTGTATCTCTTTTTGATGGAGGACGAACTTGTTGCTAGCATCTCCTGGTAGATGATCAGAATTCCAGAAGGCACTCCTGCTTGATTGCTCATGAGATATGTGAGCGAACACAAAAGGAGCTCGTCAGAAGCCTGCCAACGTTCACTAATGTTGGTTGCAGCTGGGTCTGTTTGACCAAAAGTGAGTTCGGCCCCAGAACCGTTGGTACCGTACATACCGTACATACCAGGTAGGTACGTACTGTATGGGTCTGGAGCCGGCAGCCAGCTGTCGTGGTGGGGCGGCAGCTCCAGGGCTTATCGCCAGCTGGCAGGTCTGCTATCAAAATGACCTTTGTGATTGGCTCGCCATTTTTCATCGCACACTCTCCTCCATCCACCAACATCTTGACTTTGCGACGACTTGGGAACTTGAAGTTGTACCTGCAAGCCAATTGAAGCCCAACCATCACCCTCCTAGACCCCCAGACCTCCTCTTTGTTGATCCCATTTCAGCAAAGAAACTCAACATGGCTGAGCAGCTTGTTCTCAAGGGCACCCTCGAGGGCCACGTAAGTTTGACCCCCAGCTGCCATGTTTGCGACCCCGCCGAGCGAGCGTACTTGACGAGTTTGGCGGCGGCAACGACCATGACCGGCCAGAATAGAAGCTTCCCAGTATGGATACAGCTCAGCTGACATTTGATTTCCCTGCAGAATGGCTGGGTCACCTCCCTCGCCACCTCCATCGAGAAGTACGATCAGTCGAAGTAATCCGTCGAGACCTGTTTGACTTACAATGCGATAGCCCCAACATGCTCCTGTCTGGTTCTCGTGACAAGACCCTGATCATCTGGAACCTCACCCGTGACGAGTCCCAGTACGGTTACCCCAAGCGATCTCTGCACGGTCACTCCCACATCGTCTCCGACTGTGTATGTACCCAAACAAACAAACAACCCGATGCGCCAGAACGTGGGCAGAGGTGGAACTCGAATACTGATGAGACGGGCAGGTCATCTCCTCCGACGGCGCTTACGCTCTGTCTGCCTCCTGGGACAAGACCCTGAGGCTCTGGGAGCTCGCCACCGGCACCACCACCCGCCGCTTCGTCGGCCACACCAACGACGTCCTGTCCGTGTCCTTCTCCGCCGACAACCGTCAGATCGTCTCCGGTTCCCGTGACCGCTCCATCAAGCTGTGGAACACCCTCGGTGACTGCAAGTTCACCATCACCGACAAGGGCCACACCGAGTGGGTCTCCTGCGTCCGCTTCTCCCCCAACCCCCAGAACGCTGTCATTGTCTCCTCTGGCTGGGACAAGCTCGTCAAGGTACGTTTTCCCCTCCCGCTGCGGCGGCGAAACCGCAGAAAGACCCTACATTACGATATGATGCTTTGCACTTTTATCAAAGTATTTGCTACTTCAGAGCCTTGCGGCCATGAGACAAACAATCACCTTGCACTGATCCTCCAACCCTCTCACGACCATGAAAACGCGCCTACCATTGGGAAGAGAGCCGTCCGCTGACACTCGCGACTAGGTCTGGGAGCTCTCCACCTGCAAGCTGCAGACCGACCACATCGGCCACACCGGCTACATCAACACCGTCACCATCTCCCCCGATGGATCTCTGTGTGCCTCCGGCGGCAAGGACGGTACCACCATGCTGTGGGACCTTAACGAGTCCAAGCACCTCTACTCCCTGAACGCCAACGACGAGATCCACGCCCTTGTCTTCTCCCCCAACCGATACTGGCTCTGCGCCGCCACCTCCTCCTCCATCATCATCTTCGACCTGGAGAAGAAGACCAAGGTCGACGAGCTGAAGCCCGACTTCGCCGCCACCGGCACCTCCAAGAAGTCCCGCGACCCCGAGTGTGTCTCCCTCGCCTGGTCCGCCGACGGCCAGACCCTGTTCGCCGGTTACACCGACAACATCATCCGTGCCTGGGGTGTCATGTCCAGGGCCTAAGGGATGTGCTCTGGAAGAAGGTCTGCGATGGGTTCAAGAGGGGCGCCATGGTTGTGTGTACCGGCGACTACCAGTGACCCATTAATTTAGGTCAGGATTTAGTCTGCCGGCTTGAATGACTTGACGGTTCATGGTTGTGGGCGTACGGAAAATTCTTGCCTCATATCTAGCCTTGTGATCGGGCAACAATAAGGGCACAAGAACCAGCGTGTTTTACGCCGCGGGGCTCCGCATCAAAATCAAGGCGTGGTCTGCATCGCTGGGAGGGTGAATGGCTAGATACGTATACTATCAAGCCAAAAATTTCCAAAAGGTTTACCAAAATGTGCGGGACTCAGTGTCTTAGATTGAATGGTCATTTGGATGTGTGACAACTTTAGAGACCGTGTAACACGTTAATGTGGAACAACGGTGTTACGACGGCTTCAAGTATAAAGGTAGGACGCCCGGGCTTCTAAGAACAAAAGAGCTGTCGTATGACACAAAAACGGACTGGAATTGTTCGCTGCGGCGAGCCTCCAGGTCTGTGGCATCAGCAGGGCCAGGAGTTCGACCATGTGATCGAGTCGGGAGAAACCAGACCCTCGTGACGGGACCAACGAGGTTGTACGAGCGTTCTGCTTCTTCCCTCACCCTCTCATCAATAACCCTGTGGTTGTCCTGGTCTAATGTTTCGCTCAACTGAGACATGCGTCTGCGAGCCGCTAGGATCAAGGGAACGTTCCTTCTATAGTGCTGCTGGCGTGTCTCAGTGCGACCTTTCCTTTCATGTAAACACATGTGCACGAGGGCGTCGTCGGCGCTATTCGACTGGGAGCTGCGTCAGACAGGTCCAGGATGTCAAAGCCATCCAAGATCATCATCGGCACAAATGACACGCGCATATTTTTCCCTTGCAATTGACATCTTTGACAGGTCAGATTCCTGTTCGGAGCCACTGGGCCTTCTGATAAGATTCATGCTCAGGCCTGGCTGGCCCTTTGCCTTCAGTATCTAATATCGAATTAGTGTACCAGAACTTCCGAGGACTATGCCCGGCTGATATACTCGAATTGGCTTTGCTGACCCACCTTGCTTGGGTCCCTGGGGAAGAGGGCATCCCTGACATTTGGCCCACCACATGACTCCGGACTATGAGCTTGCAAGAATGTACCAGAGAGAGCACGCGGCTTGTGACTGTGGGACGGAGTGTTTCGCAGACCTGCGTTTTATTTAATAGCAAGATAGTCATAACCAACCCGCATCTATGGGGAGGGAGTCCCCAGGCAATCAAAGGCAAATAAATGTGGAAATGGGGAGTCGAGATAAATCTGCTCCAGACTGGGATCAAGAAGTGTCAGGTGGAGCTGTCCCTGTTCCAGAGATGCTGTAGGGAATTTGTAGAAATCTCGACTCCAAGTATCGTGATATTGCTGTGATTTCTCTCATATCCAAAAGCATCCACCGCGGGGTTAGAGAGATAGAGTTGTGCAAACCGGGCCGACTGTGGAGATACCCTGGCAAGGAAGATGGACTCTGTCACTTCCACCAGGCCCATGAGGCCCACAGGATAAATGTGCCGGACCTGAAGGCGAGTATCGGTAGAGTCAGCCTATTAGATCGGGGAATTTTTCGGAGTGTCCTGCCGGAGGCACTCCAGTTTGATTGAAGCCTTGGAACTAAGTTGTGGGGGATGTATCTGAAGGAGGTGCTGCACAAGGAAGCGCGATGTGTTGGGCGAAGCAGAAGCAAGAGCGTTACGACTACCAGGCCAAAGAACATTGAGCCAACCAAAGGTTTTAGTGCCGGCTGTTTGGGCTGGATTTGGGCTCGATGGTAACTGCCGCTGCTCGGTCAACAGTCCAGATGCCGGAAATCCCGACCTCTCTTCCCCCCTCTCCCCCGACAGAAGCATCTCGGGGCGATGAACCCATAGTCGTCATTATTCTCAAACAGACTGGAAGCACTAACATGCGTGCTCGGAGCCCCATTTCGGAGTGACCTGCTTGATTGGCCGGTGCTTGGCTCGATATATGAACAATGACAGGGTGAGTAAGACACAAAGGGGGGGGGGGGTCAAAATTGGATAATTACTGAATCGTACTCCGTACAGGTGCGTGGTCGGATGTCGCGCTTGGGAATGCAGAGAAAGCTCTCTAAAGACAAACAGGACCACACACGCGCAGTCACCGACTTGAGCCTCATTCCAGTACCTTCACGTCGGACCCGGGCTCGCGGTAAGATTGGGAGCGGCTCTCGAGGGCAGCAGCACTAGCTGCAACAGAGCACACGACCCAGGCTGGCAGGCCGTCAAACTCAACACCAGTGAGCATGCCCGTCGGCTCGAGTATATCCTGGGGGGTTCTGCTAAGAACCCACCTGCCCTACCGGGAAGGAGATCGTTAAGCTGGCGCAGACCCTAGAAGCCGGGCTCAATGCGATGTCCCAAGGCAAGGGTGTAAGGGTGTGATCCTGCGCTGTACCGGGCATGATGTGCGGTCGCTGGCAATCTCGGTATGGGCGGAGTCGGCTCGGCGCCTGGCCCCGGCGCTTGTCACCGACGTCGTCCAAACTTCGTCCTAATATCTTGAGGCGACATGCGCCAGAACAATGGCAAAGGTGTCACAAGGATGGAGAGCGGGACCGAGTACACTCACACGTGGCGGGACGCGAAGACTGCAGCGAGGGGAATGCGGCAGCCGTGGTAGTTGCGCGTCGGGCACGCAGGCGAGATTTGTGATGGGGACCCGAACGTTTGGACGAGATGATCATCATCACACAGGCAGATGCTCATCTCGAGAGTCGACGTAGCTGTGACGCCGTTTCGCACGCTGCTGTGTAATGCCGTACGACACTGAAGTCACACGCGCAGGGGCTGTGAAAAAAAGGAAGAAAAAAGAAGAAAGATCTGATTTGCAGTGCTCTCTCACCGCTGCTGGTAGTACTCAAGTACTGTAGAAGCAATGTTGATGTGAGACACACAGTCGGGTTCGAGTAACCATGATGGCCCGTGTGCTTGTGACGCCAGAGAGCAACGGTGACATTGGGGCATATTCCGTCTTGAGAGTTTCAAAGAGTCATCTAGGTGAGATGAGATCATCAGGTAGCATGGTGCCTTTGAAAGGTCATTGACGGAAAATGAGAGGGTCTGTATGTGAAACACGAGGGTTGTATGCCCGATCTGTGTGCCTCGGCCCGGGTGTTAGTGACTGGCCTGCAGGGCCCGCCGTGGGCCTGACAGGCTGGCTGGCTGGCAAGTGAGCATAGAGCCAGAGCCCAAGGCCCAAACAGTGACAATTGCCCGGCTTGGGTTCTCCCCAGATGGACGGCGATGGTCATGCAACTGACTGCCGGTGCCTGCCTGCGGCCTTGCACCCCTTTCCCCTCCCAAGCCTCCCTGGGCTCTCTTTTGACGGATGCTGGCTGGCTGGGACCACCCGGCCAAGTATGCGGCCGTTGGGCTGGCCAATGCACGACGCAGGCCTGGCAGGCTGGCAGGACGAGATCTCCGTGCCTGCGTGCCTTGCATTGCGCTAAAAACAGCCGCGTGGACCAGTGCCCTGTGCCCCTGTGCCCCCAGTGCCCCAAGTGCCAGTTGCAGCGATGTCTTTTTTGGGGCGGCTGTTCGGTGGCAGTGGTGCTGATCCCGGAGCAGATCACGGGAGGCCCTGGTCCTGGTCGTCTCACGGCTAAGAGAACAGACCTCGTTCTCCCGAACTCGTAATCGCTGTCGACTTGTCTGTCTTGCCGGGATTTCCTGTGGTAGATGCACATGCTTGACAGTCTGACAGCTACATCCACGCCCAAACGACCCATTCCAGCGGTACGGTACCGCTGACCACGATCCAGAGGAGTGATGAGATATAACCTTTCGCGCCGCAAGCCGCCCTTCGACAATGCGAGGGCGTCGTCGTCAGTGGCCCCGCTGACTCGCGGTACCTAGGGAGGGGAAACAGCCCTGAGCCCTGAGCCCCTCCGACGACTGACTTGGGCTGCACGGCACGGGGACCGCTGTGGGGTTTGGCTTGTGTCGACTTGGGTTGAACTTTTTTTTCTCCTCCCGCATCCTTTGGGACGACGGGCCAAGCCACGCCACGGTACGGAGCACCTGCGTACTTGCTGCTACAGTGCTACCATAGGCAGGGGCTCGCTTTAAGCCCGATAGATGCACAAGAAGGGGCACCCCTCAGCCCTCGGGAACTTGATGGAAGCAGTTGGCCCTTCGATCCGCCTTCTTTCGTTCTTTCACTTGCAAGACGGGTGAAGTCCTCCCAATAAATGGAATTGGAATTCCTGGGACTGCCCACAATCACACCGGCGAGCGCTTCTTGCCTCGCCTGCCTCGACTTGCTCGCTTCTGATTTGGCCTGGCTGCTCGTTGAGCATTCCACAATCATCTCGTCCAACGCGCCTTCCCCACAGCTTTGAACCCCTGAGATCGGCCGTCCCTGCACTCTGATTGCATCAGCCCGTGTCCCCATCACTCCGTATCCCCCGCCTAGCGCCCTCTTGGAAACCGCACCTTCTCAAAGCCACAGGTACCACGGCCCCCCCTGCGCCGGTCCAAAATAAGCGTTTGGCTAAATCCAGCAGGCGCGTTAAACACCCTCATTCCCAAACGGTCCTCTCATGGTGCGAGTGAAGGGACCAACCCTGACCGTCCACACCTTCTCTTTTACCTCTTCTATCCTCTGTCCGCCCATTTGTCCGTGACGTCCTGTGTTGTCACCGCTGTGCTTTCCGGACTCCAGGCGGCTCCTCACATTCTTTTCTCAAGCGCTCCTTCCTTCCTACCCGTTGTCTGTCTACTCCGGTACCGACCCAATTCTTGGACTCTTCGGAGCATCTCCTTGAAACTCGTTCGTTCCCTTGTCACGTCTCTCGTTCTCATTCCCATTTCCCGTTCAATCTCATTATATTCACCACCCCACCTCCTCAGCCGACTCTGTCTGCCCGGATCATCCCCAAATCGCCAGCCCAGGCCATTCCACTCCGATCCCATCGACCGCGAGACTCGATCTAAGACAACCTCGAGAGCCGAACACGCCTCATTATTGCTTGTCGGGCAGCCTGCAGCACACAATTTGGTCGCTGTCTCAGAGCAACGTCACTGAGTTTTCAAAACTTCAGACGTCAAAAGGATCGACATGCCCTGCAAGTAACAGGCTCAGGTGTCACCGACTGTTGCCTGCCCACAATTCGGAAAAGTGGTCGATATTTCTGGGAAGGAGGTTATAGAACAGCACATTCTGCTACCGCCCATTTCAAAATCGCCATCCAACACGCTTGCGACAGGTCTACAACATGCGAACATCTCGTTGTCTAGTGCCGGCAATGCTGGCCATGGTGGGGCTGGCCAATGCTCAGGACTTCGGTGCTCTGTCGAGCTGCGCGGTAGGTGACACTCGTTCATTTCTTCAGTCTTATTTCTACAACCCGCCTTTCCCTGGCAATACTGGCTCTCAAAACCGGTGGCTCTCATTCTTTACACCCTGTGAGAACCAGGAATCGGTTTGAGGGTTGGAAATTCACGAAGCTGGCTTGGCGTGCAGGCCCCTTGGCTGTTGATTTATTGCTGTTGCATGTCTTTGAGCACTCATGAGCTAACAGTATCGTGCAGCAAAATTGCGTCAATAACATGAGAACCAGCGTCGGCTGTGTACCTGTCACTGACCAGTGTCTCTGCGGCAACGCCGCTTTTGAAAACGGGATTCGTGACTGCGCAAATCAATCGTGTCCTGCTGAGGAAGCCGCAGCTGCCGTGGAGTATGCGGGTGGATTTTGCCTGAAAGCAACCGGGACTACAGCTGCCGCGCCCGAGACTACACCCGAGACGACTGCCACACCTCCTCCGCCTTCCGAGACTACCGCCGAACCAGAAACCACCACGACGCCTACCACTGCCACTGAGCCGACCTCGGTCTCAGCTGAGACTGCTACCTCAGCGACGGAGACCTCGGCTGCGAGCGCGGCGACCACTGAGACCAGCTCCACAGTAAGTAGTTATCGTCACCAGGCAGCTTCAGCTCGATAGTAGCCCCGGACACCTGGGACCTTTCGCTGACAGTGGGCATTACCAGGCTTCTTCAACCGCCTCAGAAACCACTGAGACGTCCTCTGCCTCCTCGGCGTCCAAGACCACTTCTGGCACTGCCGCGGGCACACAGGCATCTGCAACCGAGTCTGCCTCATCCACCGCTGACGCCGCTGCCGCGGCACCATCGGACAGCGGTCTTTCTGTTGGCGCAAAGGCCGGTATTGCCGTCGGAGCCGGCGCCGCTGTTGTTGCCATAATTGCATTGGCAATCGCCTGGTGCCAGACCAGACGCAACAGACGTCCCCTGCCTCGAGGCACTATGCAGATTTCGGAACCCCTTCCTGGGTCTGGCCGAATGGACTACGAATCCGGTACGCAGTTCACGGCTCGACCACCCAAATCGGCCGGGGCCAACTCCAAGTTCTCCCAAATGACGGAGCTCGACCAGAATGCTCGACGCTATGAGGACATGCTTCCGCGTGTCTCTCCAAGACGCATGGTCTGAGAAACTGTTCTGGTTCGCCCGGCATAAGCGAAACGATTTTATTTTTGTTTTTGTCCTCACTTTTGATACCTATTTGATTTTTGACTCTGTACCCTTTCGAACTTCTTGGTCTTGTCGCCTTCTTCTGCCACCTTACTCCTTTGTGTATCTAGCACATGACGCTTATGACGAAATTTGCATGAGAGCTGGAGGGACCGAGTGAGAGCGTTTCCCGCACTGGTGCTCACTACCACCATCACTACTACTACTGATTTGGTCTGTCGTGAAGGAGCACTCAGACTACAGCTGGGGGGTGGTATATGGTCATGTCCAGCGTTTCACGTCCACTAGACTCATGGCGCTATTCAGAGCTCAAGATAGTTCAGCGAGGCACAAGCAGCTAAAAAATTCCATGCACATCGCCGATGCTGGACATCAAATATCATCAAACATGCCCAGGCTATACCCATCGCTCCTCGTGACTCATGGCGGAATCTTAGTATAGGGGTTGTATTTCACGGAGTCTCATCACATATACTACTATAGTAGGTAACCACGCCCTTGGAGAAATGTGGACCTTCATGGTAGGGCCTCCGAGCTTGCTCGTCTCCGACCTGAGTACCTTGTAGGGTAGGAGTGTTGCTCGTCAGGCAATGTTCTCATGAGCTAGCTGTCTTCCTGTGGAAGATTTCAACTGAAAATTCATTCCCTGCCATGTTACCTGGGCAATTCTATAGATCGGTCTGGGTGGGGCAGTGCTAGGCGGGGCTGGGGAGGCTTTTTTACCCAAGGCTGTTCCACGGAAGTTATTCCATAGATGATTGATTGTATAGAGGCACTGCCCAGTTGGTATGGCGGCACAGGGGACAGTCAACCAAAGCCTGTGTGAGTTACCGGGCATCACCGTTGGGTCGGTCCAATTCGTTCTTTTATCGTACAGGCCGCTGAGTCTCTACCAGGAATAAAAGGGCCGTTGAGCTGTGACTGGCCTATTGGGCAAATGTACCCATGGGCCCTGCCTATACTGCCTCGCCTTCTTCTCCTCATACTCTCGTATCCGTGTCTTCTCCTCCTTGAGTCGAATTGTGATGCCTGAAGCACAAGTAGATCAGGTACTGAACTGGTGGGAACTTGATGTACAACTATGGGGCAGCTAAACTTACTGGCTTGGGGCATCTGGAGGAGGTCCACACGTCCTCGTGCCCGGTAGTTTGGCTTCTTGCCTCTCCAGGGCCCTCGATTCACCCACGCCTCAGAGATGTAGATCCTGCTTGGGTCCTCGATCTCTACGAACTTGCCGTGCCTGAAGTCCTTGACCGTCCTCTTCTCGGTGGTGCCGGGGACGAACTCCCCGGTCGACTTGCCGAGGCCCATGCCGCGCTCGACGACGGCCTTGTCGCGGGCCAGCTCCAGCTCGTACAGAACCTCGCGGGCGAACTTCTTCTTGGAGAACTTCATCTGGGTGCGGGCCTCCTCTAGCGTCTTGCCCGAGATCTGGTGGGCCAGGTGGACGAGCTTCTTGGTCGATGTGGCGAGCCAGGGGGACCTGCTGGTGGCCTCGCGCTCGGTGCGGCGGATGCGCTCGTCGCGCGTCTCGCGCCCGCGGGCGTCCAGCTTCCGCACCACCTGCCTCGTCACCATCCGCCGCTCCCACCGCATCCGGCTCTGCGGGTCCGGGTCGATGGCGTTCCGCATGTGGTCGCGCAGCAGCGAGGCGCCCATGACGGACTCGCGCGACCCCGTCGTGTTCTGGCCCTTGCCTTGCCTGTCGACGGGCCCGCGCTGGCCCTCCTCGTTGTCCACTGCCTTGAGCTCGTCGTCGAAGATGGACTTGGACTCGAGCCGGGTCGACGTCATGCGCTCCCGCATCCTGTCCTCCATGCTGCGCCGCCCCTCGGCCGAGGTCAGGTCGCCGAGCGCGCCGCCCGGCTTGTGCAGGTCCTTCGGCTTCTTGTAGCTCCGGAGCATGTTCCGGGAGTTGGGTTTTGAGGCGGCATTGCGGGTCTGCTGGAGTTGGTGTTGCTGCTGCTTCAGGAGACGGCACACCTGGGAGGATGGTGAGGCGGAAGGAGAGAGCAAGATGGTCGGGCGGAGGGTCTTGAGGACCGTCGGAGCTGGAACGCGCGTGTTAGATGCATCAATTGTGGCGCGTTGGGGGCATGGGAGGGCTCACTGGTCCCGAGGACCCTCCGCGTTGGAAGGTGGAGGCTCATGATGGGTGGTCCCGCGGCATGGGGCGTCCAGATATCGAGAGATGCAGGCAATGGGCGCGGTTCGAGCTGTCTCGCCTGGCCCAAAAAGTTCGAAGTCGGTCGTCCGCCCCCGATTCGGCGCATGCCTTGGGTGGATGACATAATCCGACACGTGATTTGCTGGCCGGCCTGCCGACACCCCCGGCTAGCGCGAGAGGAATCAGGTCATCGTCCCTCTGCCCTGCGAAGCTCGAACGCTCCATTACCCCAGAACATCCAGTCAATTGAATACACGACCGCGAAACTCTCCGCTCTCCGACCCCTTCCAGATCCTCCGATCAACCAGACACCATGGCCGTCAAACCAATTGTTGGCGTACGTCCCGATTCCGACCCCGCGAGACCGACGGCCGTCAGGGCTCGCCGGCCGCAGATCCGATGGACCAGACGAGCTCGACGCAGGGAGGAGGGTGCTGACCGATTGGGATATAGATTCTTCGCCGAAACCTCATCCTCGACCTGGGTATCGCACTTGGTGAGTCGCATGTTGGCGGAAGCGGAACAAGGAGTCACCTCGGACTGGCCGAGGCGTCTACTGCGCGGGACATCATCTTGGGCTAACCATGATCATAGGTCTCGGATTTGCCATGGGCAACGTCTACTGGTACGGATGAACCGATCCTATTGACACACAGCTGCAATTGTGCAACAAGAACGTGGCTGTCGGGGTATTCCTGATCTAACATGGAGGCATGGCATCACAGGCACGGCTTCCACATGCCCCGCACCAATGCCCGCGACGACTACTACAAGAAGCTCGAGGACGAGCGCGCATCTCGCCAGGGTTAAGCCAGCCGCCCGCAGGATGGGGCTGGGCCGATGGGCCGATGGGCGGATCGGGCACGCGAGGTGGTGTACATATCGCAGGTGACGAGGCATTTGTCCAGCGCGGACGCATAGAGCCTGGACGAGGGACTACGGCTGTTTCGATACGCATAGACGAGGCAAGCAATGTCAATGGACCTTCTGGACAAGATTTGGGAGCGGACTGAGTGAGGTCCTTGCGACTGCTGGGCCTCACATTGCGTGCCGTTGACTCTGGGCCTGTTTAACTACGTCTCCAGCCTCTGGCGTCAAGTTCTTGAGAACTCGCTCTTCCGTAGATGTACCGTGCCGCTTCTGCGCGCGGCAAGTGCTCAAATTCCGAGCAGAACTTCTCCAAGGATATGGCTGAGTGCAGACATAGTAGTGAGGGTCGGAGTACAACAACGAAGAGCGAGCCGATATGTCCCGGCGTGATTTTGGCATGCAACGACATCACCCCACATGACAGCATTTCCGGGCGCGTCGGCCATTCATCGTCCCAGACTCTGGATTTGGCCGAGCAGCATTTGCATGGAGTCTTCTCCATGATGTCCCTACGTAGGGGCAGGCTAACAAGAAGCTTCGGGCGTTCGGCGCAATAGTCCATCTATGCATCCCTCCACTTCACACGTAGTAGACGACGACGACGACGAACTTGGTTCATAGTGTGCGGCTGAGCGATGGCGCCCATGATCCTCTTGCCCGGGAGTAGCGAGATTCCACGCCACATGAGCCTTTGAGACCATGCAAGCTTCGAGTGCTCACCAACCGGGGACTGATTGATATGAAGTTATTTGTTGTATGGATCTTCTCAGCGCTGAATATAGTCCGTTTTGTTGCCGTCATGCCAATGCGTGGTGGTTGATTGGAATTGAGTGCTGCCTGGGCCGCCTGCCGATGTAGTGCTTGGGGTAGTGTCGGCAGTGGTTCCTTCCCAAGCTGTAGTCTCGACAGTGAAACTGCCCTTTTTGTCCTGACACCTGAGCACATCGTCAGCTCACCGGAGGGACAAGTCGCCACCACACGATCGTCTGTATCATTGAGACCCAAGCGAGGCATAATTCCCTTCGTTCAGACACAGGCCATACCTTCTGAACCATCTTTGCACAGGATAGCACATGACGGAGCTGTCCTGCCGCTGTGGGTGCTCAACCGAGCAGTGGTATTGCAGCAGGCCCATCAGGTCGCACGCCTTCAGATCGATATCCTTGCCCGATTCTGTCTTCCTTTTCCTGCCGTCGGCATTCAACTGGATCTGCTGCGGCAGCTGTGAGGGGTGGAAGTTGGGACACGGCGGCGTCATCTTGGGGCGTCCCTCGACACGTTCACATTAACTGGCAACTGGTATCCGAGATGGCTGAGGCCACGATTGGTCGGCGTATTCTTGGCGAAATCGAGGAGGCGAGCCTTGATGAGGTATGCAATTCTCACTCATTCGGTTGCTCCGCTGTTTGGGACACTGAAATTCCGCGGCATCGTGAGATGGGTGCCGCTCAACCTTGGAAGCCTGGCACGAGTTCTTATCGCCGATAAGCGCCGCATCAGATACTCCAACAAACAGCCCAGTTCCCCAAGCCTCATTCAGACTTCAGGCCACGAGATCGCTGATCCCCAGCACACGCAGATCTTATCAATCTTCCGCAAAAGTCTTAATTCAACGACACGCGATCAAGCGGCCCAAGGCGACTCCTCCCCTACAGCGGGTATACCAACGGCCAGAGGCACGCATGCTGGACCACCAGACCCATCTCGGGGCAAGGTCAACACTTACCCTATCCAGGATCTCGACAGGCTGGTCGCACAGCATTTCAGGGCGACCCAGTCCGCCCCTCTATCCTTGTCCGGCAGATACTTGCCACTGATATATCTACTGGTCGCAACTCTCATCGCAGCGCCTCACAACAAAGCCGTCGTTGTTGTCGACGTTGAGGGCCGTTTCGATATCACGCGAGTCACACAATGCGTCCCTCACCAGGACGTTCCGGTTCCAACGTCTACAGACGCCGGTGACGACAATGGTCACACCACGGAGAAACATGACAATGCGGATCAAGGCCGCCAAAGCCGCACAAAGGATCAGCCCATGATTGCACCAGCTCGAAAAGTCACACCAAACGATCTCAAGCATGTTCACGTCTACCGCCCGGCCCGCGGGTCATCATCTCACATTCGTGAGGTTTTGTCAGCCGCCGAGAATCATATGATATACTCAAGGCACGCCTCCATCGCCCGCGAATGGTGGGGATCGATTGTCATCGGCGGCGGCAGTCCTGTGGTCCTCGGTCCTGACGCCGTGAGTGTAACTACCGGGTGGAGGGGCTGGTTACGTGTCGATCGCGAAGATGTCCGCGGGTTTGGTCTGGGAATCAGCATCGAGGAGGCCTTGTTGGACAGGGACAGACGGCAGCGCGCGGTCGACGACGCCGGGTGGACGGCAAACTGCATCTGGGGAGGGTTCAACTTCAACGGATAAGAGGTACGCACGCACAGGGAGTGGCTGCATGCGCAGAGTGGGGTTGATCAAAATTATCCACATCGACTTGGAACTCAGTGGGCCTGACTTGGCAAACGGTACAAAGGTCTCGGACGATGTACATCCAAAACCTGACCTGCCCGATCAAAGCCGATCCCCCGGGTTTTGGTGGAGACCGCGGGGAAAACAACGCGCAGTCAGGGTAATTGTCCCAGTTCGGTCGACCCACAATTTGATCGAGGCGTCACAGCTGGCGGAGTGACTGCGTCCAAAAGAACGGGGACATTGATTTCGCGACGGTCCTATCTTCACGTTCTCTGGAGACCTTGGAAGGTGGCTGTGAGGACACCGGACAACCACGTGCAGGCGGCCGAGTCAACACGAAGCGCCTTACGGTGAGATGACAATCCTGGGGGCGTGGATCTTGCCTCTTTTGCAAACTTCGCGCAGACTCAATCCCTTGGCTTGAATGAACAGGCTTTTGTGTCGAGTTTGCTCAGTCTACACGACTCGACTAACAGTCAAAGTGCATATAGCCGTTACGGGAAACGATCCCGACAGCATCACTCCACCTCGTGTGATGCGCGGATGACCGTTGTGCGAATGGCAGGTACCAGAGCGTGCGACGGAATAGCAATCACTTGACGACCCCATCATTTGATGCCGAAAGCTGAGCTACTCCTGCAGCAAGTCCCATGGGGAAGTGGAGTGGTGTTGCAAGGTGCATCGCAGTATCACCAAGTGTCGATTATCGAGCAGAGCTCAGAGCTGCAGGGAGGACTAGGGCAAGAAGATTTTGAGTCAGGACTTTCAGATTTGCGCTGTCGGCTGGCACGACGTTCAGTCTCGCTGGGTGGTGGGCTAATCAAGGTATTTCTCATCAGCTCTGACACGTCGGTCAATTCGAGGGTGGTCATGGTGGTGCAACGCAATCAGATCGGCTGACGTCTCTACTGTTCAGCATCCTCTGGCGTAGTTGCGTACCTAGGTACGGACTACTTGGATGGTCTGTGAGCGAGCGCGCGTGCGTGTGATGACGTTCGCACACTATAGCAACCCACTCAGACCTTAATATTGTTACACCGACTATCTGGCTTAACGCACCATCCACCTACCGTCAACGCGATGGTAGACGCTTGTCAGCAGCGAGCTGGAGTCTGTCATTGACAATCGGCAGCAATCCACAATTTGACAGTCAAGCGGGTGGCCGTGCGTATTGGCGGTATGTCCGTACCACGAAAATGATTCATCGGTTATCGATCTATTCTTGACGCATTTTGGAATAGCATTGTTGCGACGGCCAATCGTGACGCCGTGGTATATTCACAATCGTTATCACCAGGAAGGGACACCATCAGCGAAACGACGGGCCTCCGCACACACCCTTCTCCTGTCTGCTTGCATATTCACATGCAACTTATTCCCAAGACGGGAAGATGGAAATTTCGACCCACTTTTGGGGGGTCATATCGGAACGCTGGAGGGCAAGGAGGGGTACCTAATTGTCAACAAGCGCGAGGATGTTGTCTCTGTGGACTCCAATGAGCTCGCTCGGCTCGTTCATGGCAGGATATTCACAGGGGCAAGACCTGAGTCAGAACAACATGCCCGCTGATACTGTAGATTAGGAAGAGCCTGCCAGGAACTGGGCAACCTGGCAAGCTTGCCGCAGACAAATTCCGGCGGCTAGGATTTGCGAGGATGACCGCTGAAAGCACGGGCAAGCAGGCACAGGTGCCGGCAGATTACCTCGGTGCTGGGCTGGCTGGGTGCCTTGTCTGGACGGAGTACATGTCGAGGGTCAAGACCGGACGCCTGCGTTTCCAAGCCCGAAACGGGAAGCGTCCACGGCTTGCGCGCAGCCGATGCGACCGGCTTTTTTCGCGCTGGAACTCTATCCACCACCGGGGCCCACCCTGACGTCATGTGCCTACAGGCGGTCCGTTGGATGCGGTGCCGCCCCCATCAGCCCGTGCCGTGCCAACAACGTGCCTCACAAACTACGGTCAGACTCGCTGGAGCCGCCGCACATCCCAGGGGCACGGCGACATTTGTGGTGTACAGCCCGATGAAGCAGCGGCTGCCCCATGCCTTTGGCTGCATGTGGCCGCAAGGTATGAACTGGAGCAGAGGTGGAGACTGTACAAGTTGGTCCACACTCAAAATGCGGAGGAGTTCATCGAGATGTTTGCTTTTTCTGTGTCCGTCCGTATCAACAAACTTCAACCCGGCTGCGAGTGGTTCACGCCGCCGCACGTTGTTGCTGACAGCTGTAGTTAGACACGTTCCTGGATCGCCCAGGGGATCTGTGTGTTCATACCGCTGTCCAAGAGATCAGGACAGTAGCCGCACTGGCTGCTCCCCCTGTGACGCCACCGTGCCGAAGTCGAGGGCTTTTACGGTACCGTTCCCTCGGGCAATTGCAAATGCGATCAACGAGATACTTGCCGATGTCAACAGAGGGCCACACCTCCACTGGCGTGCGGCTTCCTGCTTCTGGCCTAGTCCCCCTTCCCTGTGCCTCACTTGCTGACCTCGGCCGTCTTGGAACGCTTTAGATCTACCGAACCCTTGGTATTTGGCAAAAACTCTTCAGCCGCACTAATCCAGAGAAGGGACAAATGCATGTGTTTCGACGATACGTACCCAGTGCGTGGATGGCTCGCACCAAGTCGGGCCTTTCCCTGGCTGTGATTCCTGCTGCAGGGTCTTATCTTCTCTGCCTCACCCTGCATGCTTATCTGACACCCGGGTGGAAGTGTATTTTTTCACAAGGCAACAAGGGTGAGATCGACGCTCAGGGCTCTTGAATAGCTGGTTGTGCTTTTGCTCGGATGGGACGTCGTCCCGTCATGCCCGCGAGTAAGTTGGCTTGGAGGGCCCCTCGTAGTGATGGCATCATCCCGCTGCCAGAGTCGTGGTGGAGTGCCCGTGGGTTGGCTGGACACGCCGAGACGTGACGGATGATGTTGTGCGGATTCGCTCCCCTCCAGACCGTCATCTTGAGACTACATGGGGCCCAGGGTACATCATGGACTCCTCCAGGTACATCATTGTCTCCTCCACGTTAGCGGTTCCACATCTCCCCCCATGGGTATGCGTGGTACTTGGTTGTTCCTCCATCCTGCCTCTGCGCCTCTGGGGGACACAGGTTGGTCAACTCACCAGAAAGAAGCCAGTTTCCTCTGTTTCTCCCTTGTCTTGCAAGACGGTGCGAATGCTATAAGTATCCGGCGTTGACCCAACTTTTTTCCACTCGCCATTCTCAATCAGGCAGAGTGCAACATTCATCGACTCGTGCGGGTGCATATTGTTTAACTCTGGGAGACACATTTCTTTTATATTCCTAGCTCTTCCCCATCCACGGACTTCTGTCACCCTCGCTGGAGCAAATCGTCCGCGAACCTTCCCCAGATTCCCCAGATATTACCACGTTTTTCAGCATGGCAGCACCCCAGAGGCCGGCTGCCCCCCTGCGCAGCATCTCCGCTTCTTCCTTTGCTGAGACGTTCCGTGCGGCTCGCAGGAAGGTCGACAGGGACTTCGAGGACCTTGACGAGCAGATCTCGCCTGATTCCGAGGCGTCTCTCTCCCCAGAACTCACAGCTTCCGGAGGTGCTACTCCGAAAAGTCTTGCGTCACCCATCTCGGGGCTGGTCACCCCGGTGCCGGATCAGGATGTAGCAGATGACTTTGCCTTCGCGTTCGACATTGACGGCGTGCTCGTCCGCGGAGGTCGACCCATCCCTGAAGCCATCGAGGCAATGAAGGTCCTCAATGGTGAGAACGAATATAACATCAGAGTGTGAGTAACTGCTCCCCAATGCGGACGCCTTCTTCAACCACCAGTTATTAACGTCTATCTATCAGCCCATACATCTTCCTCACAAATGGTGGTGGTAAATCAGAAGAGGAGCGCTGTGGCGATCTCTCCCGACAACTGGAGCTGGAGGTCAGCCCCGGCCAATTCATCTGCGGACACACTCCCATGCGGGAGCTCGCCGATCAATACAAGACGGTGCTCGTTGTCGGTGGTGAGGGCGAGAAGTGCCGACAGGTCGCCGAGTCATACGGCTTTGTCGACGTTGTCACCCCGGGCGACATTCTCAAGGCCAACCACCACACTGCACCATTCCGCAAACTCTCAGAGACAGACTACAACAACTCGAGGAACCTGCTGGAGCGGGGTGACCTCAACGATGTCGTTATCGAGGCTATCTTCGTCTTCGCTGACAGCAGAGACTGGGCCGGCGACCTGCAAATCATCCTGGACATTGCCATGTCCAAGGGTGGCCGCCTCGAGACTCGCTCCGAAACCTTCGAGGAGTCGCCGCCAATCTACTTCAGCCACAACGACGTTTTGTGGTCGGCGGGTCACGAGCACCCTCGCCTGGGCATGGGTGCCCTGAGGCAAATCGTTGAGAACACCTTCACATCTGTCACAGGAGGCAAGAAGCTTGAGACACACGCCTTTGGCAAGCCCCAGGTCGGCACTTTTGAGTTTGCCACAAGGCTGCTCAAGCAATGGCGGGCTAACCAGCACGGTCTTCCCATCAGCCGGGCTCCTCAGACCGTCTACTTCGTCGGCGACACTCCCGAGTCTGACATCCGCGGCACCAACCTCATGGATGCCAAGAGCAAGGAGGAATGGCACTCCATCCTCGTCAAGACAGGTATCTACCAGGACGGTACCGAGCCGGCCTACAAGCCAAAGGCAACTGTCAACACCGTGCTGGATGCCGTCAACTACGGCATCAAGCGCGAAATGGAGAAGAAAAAGACCGTCGAGAAACAGCGCGGCGATGCGGCCACCAAGGACATCGTTGCCGAGAAGCTTAACAGCATCACGATCCTCGACCAGGACAGCCTCGACGTCGTTGATGTGAGCTGAACGACACATCCACGACCATTGTACTACCATTTACATGATTGATGACACGGCCGCTGCGCGATCATAAATCAAAGACGATAAAAAAAGATGAAGATACGCCGATAAAAACAGCATCCTAAACATAGATTCGCAGATAGACTGGCATTTGTCTGGGTGTCATGTTTCGATAGAGATTGGAGTGTCTGGGGTTTTGGTTGCGCCCCCGCCCACCTGACTGGACGGACAGATCGCTTGGGATGGAAATCATCACATGCTGGATCGCACCAAGCAAGGTCAGCGGACGAAGTAAGCCTGCCGCTGCGGCCGGCCCGGGGTTGTGACAAAGGGGATGGTTGAGACCGGGTCTTGACGACTCGCACGAAGAATGATGATGGTTTTTGGATTGTGTTGTTAGTTTGCTCGATACACACATTGTCGGTTGGTTGACTGAATTGTCCCGACCTTGACTACCTGTTCCTTGTTATCACTGAATCAAAGTTCCTCATAAAACTTATTTCTTCCACCCTTGCTGTGCTCAACTCTGATGATTCTGACGGTTCTTCTCATGTGAATGACTTGGGAACGTGAAGAGCATTGACCAAAGCCCACACCCAGCCCACACTTTCTCTCGACACATTAGGGTAACCTGATGTTCAGGCTGGTATGTACAGGATTGATGCCACGCCAAGCAGCATGTCAGATCGCTTGACTATAGATCCGTCCATCCATTCTGCAATACTAGTGTACTTTTGACACCACCACCAGTGGGAGGGTGTGGTAACATTCTGCGCGGCAAAATCGCCCTCCGATCTGACGCTGCCCAGGTGGTAGGTGGTGGTGGGACCCGGCCGCCCAGGCCGCAGGCTGCATGCAAGCCTCACACACCGCCGTTGCCCAGCCGCCCGCCCAGCCGCCGCCCCGCGGGATCCTACGCTCTAACGGAACGTGGCACACATGCATGCACCTATTCCCGGGTTGGGTGGCCTACGGTGGGACAAAAACCTGTTTTGCATGTGATAATGCTTGCTTACATTGTTCCACCAACGTCATGTACAATCCCGTTCAAGATAGTTACAGCTTTGTCATTTTTGATACCCGTATTCCAGTCTGACCTGGCTTTTGCCTGTGCTATATCGGCCCGTCTCCCTCTCGGCCGGAGTCCGGGTGCAACATATTTACTTGTGCAATTGGCCCCCATTGTCTGTGGGTGGGATGCCTGGAAGGGGAACGATTTGCATGGAATCATATGCCTTGACTTTGTGTTGTCGAGGCGCGTACGCTGTGCTCTTTTTGATGATCGCAATCACTTGCCCTCAGAGAATGATAGTTTCAGTATGTTTTCTCGAGTTCAAGTCTCCTGAAGTCGTGGGTAGGACAATATACGAATCTCTATTAATTACCTAGGTACCACAGTGACTTGCTGAAAATGAATGTAGTTCAGCCTGTTTGAAGCATAACGCATACCTAAGTACACTCTGTAAACACTCCGTAACATGGGCATATGAATGGTTACTAATACTTTGCGCTCATGCACCTAATGTACCACTCATTCATGCGTCCTTTACTGAATCAAATACCTCTCCGACTAAGCGATCCTTACCGCCACTGACTACCGCTTGGATCAAAGCCCTGTATTCGCTGAGCCATTTCTCCGCCTCGGAACTGATACGTGTGCATTTGTTAGTCGCCTGATCGTGTTGCATCGTGGAAAATTTCAAAACAACTTGAAAGGTTTGACAGTAACTTCCGTGGTGAAAAGCAAATAAAGCTTACCGGGTCACATTCGCGTCGTCCCAAATCACCTTGAGGACAAGGTCCTGCCCAGCCTTGCCACCCGTGCCGGCGAAAAACATGACGCCGAGGTCAGCTCGGCTTCTGGAGTCCAGCAGCTCGATATTCTTAAACGGGTTGCGGTCCATGGCGCCCAGTCCAGGCACCCAGTTTAGCAACTGGCGTCGGCACGTATCCAGCACCATCTCGCCGCCCTCGGGCCCCAGAGCTTCGCATATCGCGTCCAGTGGCGCGTGACAGTGCCTAGACTGCCCGCTCTGGAGCTCCTGGACCCGGCGCAGCAGGTCACCCACCGTCTCGGCCCGGTCGACGCGGATGAGGTTCGCCAACCGCTGGTACATGGGGCCCGGCATGTCTGCTGGGTTGACATCGGCTGCTGCTAGAGGCCCGCTCAGGCTGGCGGGAATGAACGGTAGTGAAGCCCGCCCTGCCTCCACACTGCCGAAGATCGCATGCGTGTGGCCCGTGTGGCGGACGTTGAGGAGCGCCAATGCTACCTTTGCGATCGATGGGTTCGTGAGACCCTCCCCGACGCTGGCCCGGAAGGCGTTAAGACCGGGAAGCTCTCCCCGCCAGGCGACAGGCGCGCTGCCGCCGTCGCTGCGACGCGAGGGCTCATCCTCCAAGGGTAAACCGGCTGGGTTTGAGTAGGCGGCATGCCCTGCTCCTGTTGCGTCTGCGGGTGGTGTGATCCAGCCTCTTCGGGGGCCGAGAACCCAGCCCGGTGCCCGTTGGGGCGGCCATGCGGCTGCCTTTTTGTGGCATGTGATGTCCCTGAGGTGCTCAACATGGAATTTGACGCCCTCCTGCGCTGTGAGGGATGTGCTGAGGGAGTGGTATGTGTCTGCGAAAATCTTATAGGGCGTGTGGCTCTTTAGAGACAAGGGGTCCGAGATGGCGAGGTCGAGATCTGGAAAGAGTAGGCCTTGTAAGGACATGGCATCATGCGCGACGTGGTTGACTGCGTGCAAAGCTATGTCAGCGAACAGCAAATGGAACCCGAGGTTGGAGAACGGACCATTTAGAACGATATGGACAGAATCCGTCTCCATTACATGCACAATCTCAGCCCTTGTCAGCAGAGAATCGAACCCGACGTCCAACCTTTGGTCATCCGAGTATTTTTGTAGCTCTGCGATTGTTCTGAGTGGCTTCGGTGCGTAGGATATGATTGAATCAAATAAATCCTTGCTCGTCTTAAGGTTAATATGCAACCCCAGTGATTTTCTGTTAGTCACCGATCCGTCCTCGCGGACAAAAAAGGACAAATGATTTGGATTCTTCTCCAGCGCAGCCTCCAGGGCCGCACGAACTACCTGAACATCCAGAGACATCAGTTAAAACCCATTTTGAGGATTGAGGATTCAAGGTCGTGCTTCCTACCTTTGCGTCCTTTACCTTGGTGTTAATGAAGAAGCGAAAATCCCAGGAAAGATCCCTCTTCTGAGTGAATATCGCCTGGCCGAGTCCCCACGCGGGAAACACCTCGGAGACATTGTCCCAACTGAGCCCGTGAGGTTTGAGGACCGCCTCCACTACCTCACGCGTTGCAGCCGCCCTTTCCTCGTCGCCATAGCAATGGACCATGTCGACGACACTCGGGCCACCAGGACGATATTCTGGAGTAGGGCGGCCCGGTAACTCGTTTGATCGCGTGGACTGGTTGTCAACAATTTTGATTTGTTCCGCGATTGTGGATCCAAGAACTTGTTCAACGGTAATGATCTTCCCAGTCTCCTGTCTGATTTTCTGACGGAACCGCATCATATTGATACTGTCTGCAAACGTCGCAGTCTGCGCCTCTGGGTCCAGGTCTTCGGGCTCGATACCAAGTAGACTCGCCCAAGTGACTGTGACGATATGAGAACTCGGATTAAACTTTTTATCTTGTTTACTTGTGGCATCTGTATGCGACTTGGTGATGGAAGCCCTGTGCTGCTTGACTATCAGAGCCAGTTGGTCCTTGAGCACTTTGCCGGTGAGGTTCTTCGGAAAGTCAGACAGCTTCAAGTCAGTGAGGTGGTAAGATGCATCAGGGACATAGCTCGGCCCCATACGCCCCAGGCAGAGCTTTTGAAATATTTTGGTCGGTGTTGGTCGGCCTGCGTAGACTATCACGGGAACCTTGTTCACGTCAGCTTCTACTCTTTTGGGAGCACACAGAAGACAGCTGCACATACCTCGCCCGCTATCTCATCCTCTGCACCAACAACATGGGCCTAAACATAGATTGTCAGCACGTTCAGATACCAACCACAGGCCTGTCTCACGTACTTCGATTCCGCCTATCTCGCTAAGAACTCGTTCCATCGCGTTCGGTGAAATGTTCTCACCGCCGCGGATTATCATGTCTTTGTATCGTCCGACGATGGCGATTCGTTGCTGTTCGTCCATGACCGCTTGATCTCCTGTCCTGAACCATCGCTTGCCACCTTCGTCGTAGAAGTCCTCCTTGTTGCGACCGCCAAGGTAGCCCGTAATGATAGGAGAACCTGACATGTGAAGCTCACCTGGCGTATTGATTGGAACCGCCGTTGTCGTGCCGGGACTACAGATCTTGACAGCGCAGCCCGAGGTAACTTCGCCACAGCACGGGTTTCCCTGGATTATCCCCTCTGCCGCAGTTTTGAATTTCACTGGTCTCATCGGGAGTCCTTCTGACATCCCGTAGCCCGCACAAACCAGACTCGAGCCTAACCGGACGGAAGCATCCTCGAGATTTTTCTCGCTTACAGATGCGCCTCCCATGCTCACGCACTCCAGATTCTCCAGCCTGGGAATTTTCTGCTCTGACATGATACTGATGAGCGCATAGACCATGGTGGGAACCAGAACGGCCTCATTGCATCCTTCTTTTGTTAAAGCGTTGAGCATAGCCGCAGGAGTGAATACTCCCGCAGGGTAGACAACACTGCCACCTGAGAGGAAAAACGGGACTGTGAACAAGAAACCCATCATGTGATTGTTGGGCAGGAAGCTCGCTGTACGACTCTCAGGACCCAACTCCACGAGGGGTCGACGGCTGTCAAAAGTGGTTGCAAGAGATCCGTGAGTGTGTTGGCAACCCTTGGGAAGGCTCGTTGTCCCCGACGTGAAGAAAATGATGGCAGCATCAGAATCGACCAGTTGAGCAGCCGGTTTAGTCAAGAGAGATTCGTCAGATTCTCCACTGCATTTGATGAGCGATGGGAAGTCGTCCCAACCGTCCAGCTCCCCAGAAGAATCTAGTACGATCTTGAGTTTCAGAGCAAGATCTGCCTGGCTGGCGAGATCGTCTAATCTCAGTGCCGTCTCCGTGTTGGCCACGATCAAAACCTTGACGGCTGCGGCCTGCAACATGTACTTGGTCTCCTCGGCATTCTGAACGTTCCGTAGACCCATAGGCGCAAATACGGCCCCGATCCTCCAGCATGCCCAGATAATAACACACCATTCGATGCCGTTGCTTACAAACGTCGTCACGATGTCCCCTTTCTTCACACCTCGGGCTTCCAGCGAGCAGGCGAAGCGGGTGGCAGCGCGGTGAACATTGTCGTACGTCCAGCGAAGGCCGGGACCCTTTAAAGGTTCTATTTTCAGAGCTTCGGCGTAAAGATCTGGTGGTTGATGTAGAGACACGACGGCTTCCCGGGGTCCATGCTTGGAAACCGCCTCTTCGAACACATGGTAGAGGTGAGGAGATGGCGTGCTTGTATTAGGAACTGAATGCTCGCTGAGAGCTGCTGACGAGGGCATATTGAACAATTTCTTACCAGAGCGGCCAATGGAAACGAGGTAGTATTTTCTGAATCACTGGAAGAGAGAGGAAAAGAGTTCGAATAAGGTGAATTTATAAAGACACTGTTGGTCCGTTGCGCGGGCAGGATTGCATCTCCACAACCAACACGTCCAAAGGATCTCTAAGCCTGTCTCACCCGACCAACCAAGAGCAGACTCATGCCATGATCTCCGCTCCGGGCGGCCGCTCGTGATCCACGGGCGCTACATACTAGCGCTGCCAGGCATTTACCTAGTTAGGTAAATGCCTGGCAGCGCTTATCAGGGACAGGATGATACGTACCATTAAGGAAAAAAAATCCCCTACCTAGGTAGTAATCTACACCCACCTTATATAACTTTTAACTTAACATTTATAACTTATTAAATACTTTTGATTGGGCCAGTTCAGGTAAACGTTTAGGCTGAATGGATGTGAATATGTCGCGATCCACACAGCATTGTATCTTCCAGTGATGTTCAGTATTGCATGAATTCCTGTTTTGCATATCATGTTTTCTGTACCAAGTCCTGATTGGCTGAATGGGGCGGTGGCCTCGAACAACAAGTGCCGGGCGGGTGAGATGTCCGGAAGTCAATCGCTTTATCCTTGGAATCTGGGCCGCTGGAAATCTTGGGAATAGCGATCGCTACTAGAGAGTGATCCAATCAGTTGAGTGCTGCGGGATGAACACAGCCATTCGCCGAAAGTAAAAGTTCAAAGTTGCATTCTGTGGCAAACCCCACCTCTCAATTAGACTTTAGAACACCTACGCAAACTTTCTTTTTTCTTCTCCCTTCTTCCGCGTTCAACGACATCTTCCATCCCGGACACTATTCTGTGACTTACCTCGGCCTCGTGCAGGCTCTTGGAATCTCTCTCCTTCCACGGATCACAGAATACGCAAGGTAGATGTCTCCGGAACGGTCGTCATGAGTGGAGGCTCAACACAGCAAGCTCACCCACCTAACACCTTTGGAGAGAACAGAAGCGGCATAATGATTGGCATCACCTCCGTATGCTGGGTCCTAGCTACTTTAGTCGTCACTCTTCGTGTTTATACGAGAAAGGTGCTCCTCAAACAACTGGGCATAGACGACTACTTTGCTGCTGCGTCACTGGTTAGCTTTCTTCCGTTCCATCTTCCCTCTCTTCTTCTCATCTCTAATAATGGTGGTGACAGATTTATTAACAATGAACATCTTTTTAGGTGTTGGTATACTTACTGGGCATAGGAGATATACTCAGTTTGTCACCTATTCCCTCCACATTTGGCAAGATGTACACCGGGGTAAGAACCAGGCCTGACTAGCTATAAACAGTGATAAAATACGGACTTGGGAGGCATATTTGGACAATCAGCGGACCCGATTTTGTGTATTATCTTAAGGTCAGCCGCTCCATCTGCGTCTCATTTCTACCGTTGAAGTTGATACGTCCAATTTTCTCACCACCAATCTTTGGTAGTTTTTCTGGTTGACAATACTTTCGTACACCTCGGCGATCCTCACAGTCAAAATGACATTCCTGTTCCAATACTACAGAATCCTCGGCCTGCTTCTACCTCGCTATTTATACACGTCAATTGTCGTCATTATCGGTGCATGGTCCATGGCGATGGTCATACAATGCTTTTTCCTCTGCCAACCTCTCGCCGGTTTCTGGGACAGGACCTTACCAGGCGTCAAGTGTTTGCCTGATCTACCTACCTGGCTGGGCGGTGCCATTGGAAACATCTTGACAGACTTAGTGGTCTTCGCATTGCCCATCCCGATGCTGGGCAAGCTGACTTTGCCCCCGATACAGAAGGTCGTTCTACTAGGGGTTTTCAGCCTAGGATTTCTGACCATTGCGCTTAGCGCAGTCAGGATCAAATACCTTAGGCTGAATGAGGACGATGTCAGCTGGTCAGCCGTCAACTTGGCGTGCCTTTCAATGTCGGAGTTGACCCTGGGTATAATATCCGCCTGCGTGCCTACTATGAGGAGACTCTTCTTCAGACCTGCGCAGGTTATGTTGCCTGTCCATGCATCAGCGGGCGATGCTAGTAACGTTGTGGAGCGCCGTCGTGGTCTGGGAAGCAATACCAATAGTCGCCGGGAGTGGTGGTGGCTTTGGACAAGGAGAGGACAGACTGGCACCGGAGCAAGCGGTGCTTCTGTATGTAGACAAGAATCCAGCGTACCTATGACCTTACAGTCAGTTACCTAGGTAATAATATCGTACCTAGGTATACATTCTTAGCGTCATTCCCAAAGTTAGGGTAGCGAGCTCCTTCTGCCAACTTGGAAGTGGTTCCGTTTCTGATCTTCGTTCATATGAATCATATGTGGCGCCCATAGTGGTACGCTCTCAAGACCCAGCGTTGCGCTTAAAAATGGGTCGATAATGGTGTAGAGAGAACACAGTACGCCCGTGCTGCACAGATAAGGCTAGGGATGAGACTTGAAAGATCTTCTCATGTCGAAGCATGGACAGAGGACATGGGAGGAGATTTATCGAGAGCGGCGACCCTCCGCCGGATGAGCCGGGGTCACCTGGGCACGGAATGTTGCCCCAGCTTCCCACCCGGGCACCCCGAAAGTCGATCTCGGCCGGAACGTAGGGGCAAACTGGCATGAAGACCACAAGATGCCGGACGACAATACATGAAATATAGAGAACAATCAGAACACAAGAATAATTACTAGCAAAGTAAACAGTGGGCCATTCCATCAGTCTACCCACTTGGGCATGTCAGCGTGTTTTGCATCTGGTTGAAACTCAGCATTTCTCGGACTTTGCCACCAGACAAGTGCTCAGCCATTCCCTTACTTGCGTTGACCAGCCCATGATGTTTGAAAACACTAAATGATTCCACCGCATCCCCATCGGCTTTATACCAGCTCCCAACCCAAGACAAGACTCCACAGGCAAGATGTTTGACTGGCCTAAAAATCACGAACAACAACTGTTGGCATGGTGGCTGAGTGGAGTGTGACCGTGCAGCAGTTCAGGCGATCCTGCCTGCAGGCCGGAGGGTTACAAGGTCGAGCGTTCCATCGTCCACACCTCAAGACAAGTCCAACGTGAGCGAACTGAGTGGGTGTGTAATTTACAAAATGACAGCACCACGAACGCTGTTTCGCTAACAAACTTCAGTTACAAGTCATCGTATCGAAAACTGAGGTTAGGTTGTTGGGTGTAAGTGCAGTGGTTACTAGGTACTAACTAGTGGTGAATGCGTCCCGAGGTTGTTTTGGATTACCCCTGTCCTGTGTTGTTCGACATGTCAGTCGGCCACAACAAACAGTATTGGCTGCCCTGAGGTGGTTTCCAAATAGCTGACTATACTTGCTGGAGCAGCTCTTTGAATGTGGACGATGACTTGACCTCGCTGCCATGGAAGTGTCGGATTTCCTTGCCAGGTTTGTAGGAGAAAGCAAGCGGCCAGATTGAATCGCATTAAGGTTTATTAAGGGAGTTATAGACTTTCATAGTTTCACACTATAGCTTCGATCAAGACTAATAGCCAAGTGAGTCCTTTGATAACTAGGCCGAAGTGCATGTCACTTTATACGGGTTTGACTTATCATTTAAGACTACCTAGGCATTTTTCACTATAGCATTCTCTGAGTGGATACATATTGCAACCGTGCGACTTTCAAGCCTCGTATGGACTCTCTATACAAGGTCAATCAAATTTTCATTAATCTCTGAGTTCTGCTGATTTGCATGCTGACGACAACCGACAACCGGTGCCACCCAATCTCCACAAGAACTTCGACATAGCTGAGGACAGATGAGTCGTTTCTAGCTACATCGCAAATGTGGTAAAAAGACACAATTCTACATGTTCATCCGGCCGTAAATAATTCTATCCCAAACTCACGTTCATGATGATGTGGTGAGCTCCTTCACCTTATCCGCTAGGCCCCATTTGACTTGCTGTCCTCCTCTGGCGCGGGCAAGCTCTTGGGGACTGTAGGGTTGAACAGGGCCTCGGCAGGGATCAGTTTTGACCTCACGGCCGGGTTCAGCGTCAGGCCGAAACCGGGCTTATCCAGGTCCGCGGTCGTCAGGTAACCCTTGGTGGGGATAGGCTCGTCGAGGAACAGGTCTCCGAAGACGGGCAACACGCTCTTGCCATCGGGGCTGTTTGCCAGATACTCCTGGAAGGGCGTGTTGGGCTGGCTGATGACAAAGTGGTAACTGTATGGACCGCTCGCGTGGGGCACGACGGGGATGTCGTACGCGGCAGCCATGGCCGACACCTTGAGCAGCTCGGTCATGCCGCCCAGCCACATGACGTCGGGCTGGATGATGTCGAGGTTGCGGCCCTCGACGAGCTTCCTGAAGCCGTAGCGGCTGTATTCGTGCTCTCCGGTGGTGAACTTGAGCGTGGGGTGGGCGCGCTTGATCTGGGCGAACCCGTCGGTGTCGTCGGGTGTCAGGCACTCCTCCCACCAGTTGATGTTGAGGTCGAGGCAGGCCTTTGCGATCTCGATGGTGTAGGATACGTTCAGGGACATGTAGCAGTCCACCATGAGGGGGAAGTCCGGGCCGACGCTCTCACGGTGCTTGCGCAGGAACTCGACGTTCTTCTTCAGGCCCTCGTGGCCCTCCTCGGGGCAGTAAGGGAGCGGCACCTTGGCTCCCCAGAAGCCCATGGCCTTGGCCGCTGGTGGATCGGGGCCGGTGCAGTAAAAGTTCAGGCGCTCCTTGGTGGCGCCTCCGATGAGTCTGTAGACGGGCTCGTTGCGGAGCTTCCCCAGAAGATCCCAGATGGCCAGGTCGATGACTGAGATGACGGCGAGTGGAAGGCCCTTGCGACCATAGAACATGGAGCCACGGTACATCTGCTCGAAAAGGAGGTTCGTGTTGCGAGGATCAGCGCCGAGCAGGAAACGCGTGAAGTGCTGTTGGACGAGCCAGCAGCCGGGAGGGCCTCCGAAGCCGGTGGCAAAGCCGATTGTGCCGTCTGAAGCCTCGATCTCGACGAGGAAGGAACCGAGGACGTTGATCCCCCAGCTAGTACGGGACTTGCGGTATTGTTCCCATTGTGAGGCTGGGGTCGAGATGGGCGAGTCGATGAGCCTGTGCAATGGTGAGTTAGACTTGGCTCCGTTCGGCCGCAAGCGTGATGCCGGTGTTCGTCGGCGAGGGGAATTGCCTTACCAGTGGCCCCCTTCGACGTTGTGATAATCACCACCTGAGATGTCGCCGCCGTCAGTTAATGCTCTAATTCCCAACCCACCAAGGATGAGCAGGCAAGCATACCTGATCCAACTCCTCCGATCACAAACGACCGGACGGCCTTGATGGTGGGGAACTGCCTGACGGAAGCCATGGTGAGGGAGATGGCGTGCTCGCAGAGGATGAATGATGTCTGATGATGTCTGCGAGACCCGGCGTTTCCACTCAGTGAATCGGGGCAGAGCTTGAAGGTGGGAGAGGACGTCAGGTCAACCTAATGAAAATCGGACTCGAAAGAAAAGGCCGGGCAGGAGCTTGCTTGGTCTAGGGGTTGATTCTCTCCGAGAGCATGGCATTGTTGTTAGTTTAGTAGTCTAGGTGGTCTGGTGGGGGTTTGGCGGGGAGTTGTTCCCCAGGGCGACTCGGGTTGTTGATGCCCCGAGAATGCCGTCGCCCAAAGCAGTCTGGCATTCTGCCGTGCCGTGGGTTGCTCCTGTTGCCCAGAAGCCCACCTCCGGCCGTGGACAACCGCATTGAGTGCCTGAGCATGTGATCTTGAGCCGCTGGTCGGCCGCGGCAGTCGTTGGCCTCGACCAGACCGGGAAATCCGCACGACATCTTGCCTGCATGTGCATCCAAACGTTGCAATTCTGCGGCATCTACTTAAGTAGTGCTGAGACAGCGGGCCGTTGTTAATAAACCATAATCGTGCAACGTTGAAGCACCACAACCTTCCAAGGTTGACTCTGGTACCGACGGCTATTTATTACCTGTGCGAGGTGTTTCAATTGGGAGTTGCTGTCCTGCAGCTCACGTGCGCAATCAAAAGTACATAGATAGACTCAGATCTGAATCCTTCCTGTCCCCTTCCGGACAAGGTGAGCGGCTGTGGTCCAGATGCCGTGTCGGCACCGGTAATAACTCTTGGTGGTGATGACAAGCTTTGCATTAGTCTCACCGTCCGGTGTGGCTTGCAGGAGGTTGCACAACATGGACACAAGTCGGATTTCAAGTCGCCACACCAGCCCACGTGAGTCTCACGGAACAGTACTCCTACTGTGCAAAGACAAGACTGATCAACCTGCCAAGGTGTCTTCACACACGTGTACTGTGTATCCATCCGTATTGTCCGTATTGTTCGGATGCCCAAGTCAGGAACGGACGAGTTGGGGTCATGGGGTGGAGAAGCGTGGGGTGGTAATCCCCGAACTCAATGCCAGACCGTCGCTGGACGTTTGAGGCCCAACCTGGCCCGCAGTCTGGTGATCATCCCCAGATTTTCAATCGCATGCGGCCCAGGCATTTCTGCATCCTGGCAACCTGGCAACTGGAGACTACATACCCTGATACCTACCTCTGTAGGCTGCCATGTAGTATACGAGCTCCCCCCGGGTGGCTCGCGCAGGATCGGAACAAGAATGACGTGAAGACGGTAAATGCCTCGCCTCTCTCGTCTGAAAAAGATGACCTGCAGGCACAAGACGTGCCACTGCAGAATTACACCACACACATACAGTAGTTCGGACGACCAGCAGACCCCTCGTGGACGGCCGACAGGGTGGATCGTGAGTGTGCTCTTTGTGTCCTTTTATCCAGTGCCAACGCTCCCATGCCTCCCCCCATGCCCCCCTTTCAATTTCCCCACAGTCCCAAGTGTCCAATCACCATCCCAATTCGGCCGTACGGCTCCACCTCTCCGCAAAGAGACCGTTCTACCCCGCACGACAAGGGGCCGAGGGGGCCACTCGACCATCCCAGTTCTTTGCCTGGGTCCTCCTTGTTCCTTGTTTTTTCTTTCTTTTTTTTTCTTTCCTTCTGCTCGATATCTCTAGCGTAGCAAGCACACAAGGAAGAAGCCGTTGTCCTCGAGAATGCTGCAGCGGCGCACCGCACCAAGACAGCAAGTGCAGACCACACCATTTCATAGTGCAAAGTCTCCTGTTCTCTAGGCCAGCACATGTGCCCGCACATAGGATGCGTCCGCACATGAATTGATTGCACAATACGGGATACAATACGGGATGGATACACAGTATATACAAGGGCTCCCCGAGTCAATGCTCATGGCCGGCCTGGCCCATCTGGCGCCCGCACTGGCTGAACTAAACTCCTTTCACGACAGCGTCTCCGGCCCTGGCCCGAGGGTTTTTTGTTTCGTTCCACCGCTTTGCCTGGTGTGCGAGTGATTGTGTGTATGGATGGGACGGGTGTGGTGCCTCCCGCGCCTGTGCCTCCGTCCGGTCAGCCGATTCCCAATTCCACAATAAATGCCCGAGGAGCCCATCCTCTCGACCCTCTGCCTAACATTACCCCGAGCAACCTCTTTTGTTTTCTTCTTGCCCTCGTCTTCGCTCTTCATTGTCCCTGCCAAGCCCTGCTTATCTGCTGATAACGGCTTCCATCATCCGACCCGCGAGACACGAATCCCACACACACACATTCACGCACACTACGCACGTACGCACACGCCCACTGCCACGCATACGGACGGCACACGCACATGCTCGTGTCTCACGCCCCCGGATAACCAAGCAATCGGGACGCGGTTCGTGCCATCTCGAGCTTAATCCGGCCGGCCAACACGCGGAGAACCCAGGGCACACGACACTACCAGCACCGAGTATCCTCGGGTGTCTCCATCTCTGTCCCCGCCCCCGTCCGTCATCGTCGTTGTCACTGTTGCATTTGCGCGCTCATGTCTCCACCGCCAGCCGCCAACACTCCCTCGCCAGCCAGTCTGAGTCTACAGTACCACCAGTCCAATGGTCCTGGTACCCAGGGGTCCTCAGCCTCGCCCGCTGCAGACAGTGTCAACGTCCACGTGAAGACCCAGAATGACGACTCCATGATTCTCGACGACGCTGACCAGCGGCAGAGTGGCGATGAGGGCGCAAGTGACAACGACGACGATGTGGCCGAGACCGTCAACCGCAATGGCAAGCGGAAGCGTCCCATATCTGTCTCGTATGTGCACTCACTACTTTTCATGCATCTACTTACCAACCTGCTGCTCTCTTTCTTTTATTCATCATCTTCTGCTTCCTTCGCCCACCCCCCTTTATTAAGTGTCCTGACCGACTCCCCCCGTCCGTTCCTGGTCCTATCCTACTAGTAGTGCTTTTTTTTCCCTAGACCCCGGCTCTCTCATATGGCCCCCCTGGTGGCCATCCCGGTCTCTGGCTGCTGCACCCCATGCCTCTCCACGTCAACTTTCCCCAGACTCCAAATCAACCCCAGCCTGCCTACCTCCCTGTTTGGTCATGGCTCCTCTATTGAAGCGGGACCCCATAATGCGGCCATGTCACATTACTGTCCGTTTCTCCTGATCCTCGTCGATGCTCTCTTTCCTCCCGCAGATCGTCCCTTGTTCCCATGTCTCCATTATGTTCCGAATCGCCCAGTGTGCTCTCCGTGGGCGAGAGCATAGAAGTGAAGCCACTTCCCTCTTCGCCAGAGCCTGAGCCAACGCCTGAGCCAGAGCCAGAGCCTGAGCCAGAGCATGAGCCAGAGCATGAGCCAGAGCATGAGCCAGAGCATGAGCCCAAGCCTGAGCCAGAGCCAAGTCCGAAAAGGAGGAAAATCGCTGACGAAAATCCAATACCAAGATGTGAGCTATGTAAGCAGAGAAAGGTGAGATTCCCCTCTTCTTTGGAACCTTGCGTGGCTGTGCAATATTATCCCTCCCCCAATTCCTCGTCACGGGCTTGGTATCCCGTCAACTAGACAGGGCTGAGCTGACATGATCGTTCTCAGGTCAAATGTGACCGTGGCCAGCCTTCTTGTGGGTGGTGCAGCCGAAATGGCGCCCACTGCGAGTACAAGGAACGCAAGAAGCCCGGTCTGCGCGCCGGCTATGGCCGCGAGCTGGAGCAGAGGCTCGATAAGCTCGAGGAGATCTTGCGGACCCATTCAGAGATTCTCCAGGCCACCATGACTGTCCATCAGCGGGCCCAGCCGTCCATGCTGCAACATCACAACCCGTCTTCAAGTATCAGGGGGAGCGTTGCCAGCTTGCCAAGTGACCACGGCACTCCTCGCGACCACCAAGCACCCAGTTTCACCAGGCCAGACACGATACGCACACCACAGGCCGAGACGGCGCTGTTCCTGCAGAAGCCGTCATCATATCCTCCGGCTACCCAGTCCATGGACTTCGGCATCCCTCCGCCCACGCCGGGTCTGCATGACGGCTTCCAGCCTCCAGTCACCATGGCAGGAGTATCACCGACAAATCACAGCCACATATCGGGCATGTCATCAGTGTCAGTAGCTGGAATGCCAAGTGCCGCGGCACAGGAGTACTATGGATCCAGCACTGGTGCTCCTCTCCCTTCGCCCACGGTCAATATGGCACACTCTCACAACCAGACCCTTTCATCCGATCAAGACCTACCACCTTATGATCTCCTCTATGCCTTGGTCGATCTGTACTTCAAGCACATCAACACTTGGTGTCCGATATTGCATCGAAAAGCCACACTCGACTCGCTGTTCGGGCCCTCGATGATAGAAGAGACCGACAAGATCCTGCTTCACGCCATTGTCGCCACCACCCTACGATACTCGACAGATGCCAGGCTCTCCGAAGAGAGGCGGCGGCATTACCATGCTGTATCAAAGCAACGGGTCATGCTGTACGGAATGGAACACTCCTCGGTCAAGTCTCTGCAGGCACTTGTCATCCTCGCCCTTGACCTCGTCGGCGACAGCAACGGGCCTCCTGGCTGGAACATCATGGCACTCATCACACGTTCCGTCGTGCAGCTCGGCCTCGCCGTGGAGTCCAGCTCCTTCTCGGTCAGCCCAAACTTCACCTCCATATATACCCTCCGTGCCATGATCCTGCCCGAAGCCAAGGACTTCATCGAAGAGGAAAGCCGAAGAAGGCTGTTCTGGATGATATACTTGTTGGACCGCTACGCGACAATAGCCACCGCCTTTGAGTTCGCCCTTGATGAGCGCGAGATTGACCGCGCCTTGCCCTGTCGTGATGACCTGTGGACCAAAAACCAAAAGGTTGAGACGCGATGGTTCAGTGACCAGCACCACTACGACACACATCATGACCAACACAATGGCGATTCTCCAGAACACAAAATGGACAACCCCCAAAACCTCGGTGCATTCTCGTATTACATCGAGATACTTGGCATCTTCTCCAAGATTCACACGTTCCTCAAACAGCCCGTCGACATCTCGGCGCTGTCAGACGTCGAACAGTGGCAGATGCGATACAAGGAGCTCGACAACACCCTGACCTCATGGAAGTTCGGCCTCCCGGGCGAGTTTGGCAACATGGCCAAGCTTTTCCAACCGGGATCCAAACAGCTCAACTGCGCTTGGGTCATGCTGCATGCAACTTATCACACCGCGGTGATCCGGTTGCATTCATCCGCCGCCTACCCAACAACACGATCCCCCATCTTCCACCCGTCGTACAGCGCCAGCCAAAGATGCCACGGCGCCGTCGAGAACATCCAAGCACTGGGGGAGTTCGTTATGACAAACGGCCTCTTGTCAAAACTGGGCCCCCCATTCGCGTTCACACTATGGGTGGCGGCACGCCTGCTGCTCGTGCATGGGAGCACGGTAGAACACAAGCTGTCCCCCCAGCTGCCATTCTTCGTGGACTGCCTGAGGGAGATGGGCCTGTACTGGCCCGTCGCAGCACGGTACTGCGGCCTTCTCCAGCGGGTGCTCGACGAGTACCGCGAGGTCGAGGGCCAGCTGGCCATGGGCGGGGAGAGCGGGACGCCGTCGAGCGTCAAGATCCTGGCCGACATGCGGAGGACGGCGTTCGACCTCGACTTCCTCATCAGCCGGCAGCCGCGGCACGTCAACCCGGGCGCCAACGGGCTCGGCATGTCGGGCACGGGGACGACGCCCGGCCCCGGTGGGAACGGCGGGCTCGGCGCTGGCGGGTTCGGGGGTGGGAGGAACAGCCGATACCCGAGCGTCACGCCCACCAGGACGCCACAGCCTCACGACCTCGAGTACCTGGACGTGTTCGACTTCTTCAACGTGCCGAGGCTGCCTGCCGGGGCGCCGGGAGAGCTGGGCACGATGGAGAGCAACGGCCAGGGCAGTAGTAGGGATGGCGGGCAGCCGGCGATGTCGGGAGACGGTGGTGCCAATGGCAATGCGAACGAGTTCAACATCCAGGAATTCATGGTTGATGCCAACCGGGATTGGTTATTCAAGCAAGAGGGGGCCAAGTTCCTCAACTGAGGCGTGTACCAACAAGCTAAAAAAGAGAACATTGAACAACGGGCGGAGTTTGTGTGTGGGAAAGTGTATATGGGTCTCGAAATTTCTCACTTTAGCCTTGCTGTTCCGGCGCAATCAGCGGAAGCATCGGCATGGGTTTGCATGACGGAATGTATACTAAAGCTTTGAGATTCTTTATGATGTGGTCATGCGGCCAGGGCAATCGGTATATATGGCTGATGATACGTCATGAGCCGGGAATTAATCGGACCTAAAGGGGATTGAGACGAGGCTTTTCCACCTCACTGCATTCAATGTTTCCCAGCTGAAGTGACATAACACAGGTCTGCTTTTGTGGAATCAGCGCTCGTAGAGACCAGACAGTGGCCTGGGAGTATAGCCAACGCTGGCTTGCTCCAGATGCCAAGGGACGACATTTCCTCCTTCACCTTCGCACAGTCCAAATATCAGCACTGAGTTGAATGGCAACCTTGGAAAGCGGGAGTTGCATGAGCTCATAATTATCCAGGTACTATGGCTCCCGAATGTCAGTCTTCCTTCACCATGATTTATCCCCCCTCCCCTTTTCTCCCCCATCCCTCAGTATCTTTGTCTCCTGTGCCCCTCGTACTGGAATGTCCCAGGTGTGCCCACAGTAAGAATCTTGCCGGCTTCTGATCATGCAAACAGATTGATTGCTGTTGAGCTCAGGCTGCAACACATGCCAACTTACCCACACCCGTGAGACATCCACATGAAGTGAATCGCCCTCTGTCTTTGTCCGGAAGCGCCCGGGCCTGATCCATGCATCATCCTGAGAATGCAGCTATTTGCTTGAAATCCTGCAGCCATAACCATGGGAGAACGGTGAATGGCAGGTGCCCGTTTTGAGATGCAGCTAGGCAGGCGTCGGTTGCTTGCATACCGCGCCTTCTCTTTTTGTTTTCCCACTCTATGGCAAGACCTGTGCCAGATTGGCGCCCGACACGTGCTCAAGCAAGTCCAAGCACTGAGATGCAAACACAATCCTGCTTCTCAACCTTTTATCTAGAAAAGGCGGGAGTCAATTCCAATCCCTTCGCATCTCTCTCTTCTTCCTTCAGCCATCTTCGTCACACTTCAGCAAGAACGAAAGTCAGCACTTTTTCATTCTCAAACCTGCCCAAAATGATGAAGGCTGATGCGAAGGCCGGTTCCGCCCATGGTATGCATCCCAGACATCCCAGACCCGCAAGCTCGCCTCGCTCGTGACCTTCACAATCCCACTGACCAGCTTCCCCCACGCTTCACAGAGGTCGTTCCCGCCAAAGTGCCCGGTTACAAGCACTTCTTGTTTGCCTTTACCCCCGAGTGCATGCGTCTCGAGGACGGTAAGCCCTGCCAGGACAACCAGTTCGGCGTCACCAACTTGAGCGGCAAGCCTGGTTTCATCCCCCACGACCGTGTCGGCGATTCGAACCTGTCCAAGCAAATCGTCAAGTGTGTCGGTTCCGTTGTGTCCGAGTTCGACGCGTCGAACTACATGCAGATCAATTACGAGGCCCCGGACATCCAGGCCGCCGTCATGCATGCCAACATGCCACTGGCTCGATTCATTGTCTACTGTCCCCCCTGCATCTCGGCGATCACTACTGCTGTTCACCTCTGTCAGGATAATGAGGACGCAATCACTCAGTGGTCGGTCCGCGTCGAGTCAGTCCTTCAGCCTTTTTGGTTTGACCTTGTCCATTGAGGCAGCATGAGCTTCAGACTAACCCGTTTCTACTGATAGTCATCGTCTTGGATGTGCTTGCTGCCCCGGCATCGCCAGTGGTCTGGCGCGTCTTTCCATGATCGCCGACACCATCGTGGACGTCGGAACTGGTCATCACCGGGCCAAGCCGAACAGTCCCGAGGCGCGTTGGATGAAGTCCATTGACCGAGCCTGGCTCGAGAATGTCCTGTACAATGCGGATGACCAGAGCCCTGCTTCGACGCCGTCCTCTAACACTGATACGACCACTGCTGGCAACGACTACGCGGGAATTCGGGAACTCTTCACTTTTGAGGGCAAAGTCCGTGAGAGCACAGTCGCTGTCGTCCTGGCCGACGTCGAAAGTGCTTCTTGGATCATCAATGCCGCTCCGTTTCCCACCGTGAAGCGTCAGCCTCGCACCGGCGAGATGTTTCATATCAAGCACAACCACATGGACAAGTCTTACAACCGGTCTTTTCTTGGCTCATTCGAAGTCAAGGGGGCCCTGAAGCGTCGCAAGGGCACCTCGCCGCCGCCCGAGACTACCAAATCCAAGCCCAAGCGCAAGGTTTTGGTTGACCGCAAGGGAAACCTCTCCAAGTTCTCCGTGGGCGACGATGAGCTCCAGTAGAGACTTGAGACTTGGAACCAAGGGACACGAGAATGGAGAAGAGTAGAGATGGTCCAAGTGATCTCGAGAGATTTGTTGGCCGACGGACAAGACGAAAAGGATGTCATTACTTGTTGCTAGGGTGAGCTCATGTTGCATGTACGTGATGTTACTGTGTATGTACTCCACAGTAGGTTTTGAACCCTAAATGGAGAAGAGTGCAGGGACTCTTGTTGCTCGCTTTCAGATGACCCGAGGACTGCCGGCTGCGGAGAGCCCCTGCCACGGCTTGTGAACAGGTGCAGGGATACTCCACACTCCGAATTGTAGATTTCTGGCCATCTAGAACATTTCGGAGACGGACATATGTCGCTGGCACTTTGAGACGGAGGAGCAACCAATTGTGCTTCTCTTTCTTATTTTTGCCCTTCCAGTCTTTCTTCAAGTCAACCTCGTCTTGCCGCATTTGAGTGACTGAGCGTCTGAAGCCCCAAGAATCTAACTCTGGAACGCCCAGTCCCCCGCAGCTCCACGAACCCACGCAGAACTCCGCCTCCACATTCATCGCAACGGCCCTCGGTCCCGGTGTCAAGACGACGACAACCACTATAACTTGACGCTGCTGTGCTCTTTGCTCTTTAGACTCAATATCCCGCGCGGTACACCACCGACAAACCAGCAGCCATGGCACTCAAGAACGTCCTTGCCGGCAAGACAGCCATCATCACAGGCGGCACGACTGGCATCGGCCGGGCCATCTGCCTCGAGTACCTCCGGCAAGGGTGCAACGTCGCAGTAAACCACCTCGACCTCGAGAAGGACAAGCCACACCTGGACTCCCTCATCGCTGAGGCGGACAAGATCAAATCCACAGCAGGAGCCGGCCAGACCGCCGGCTCCCTCGCCCACCTCGCCGGCGACGTGACGGACCCGGCCACGGGGACCAAGCTGGTGGCCTTCGCGCTGGAGACGTTCAAGACGGGGCGGCTGGACATCTGCGTCTCCAACGCGGGCATCTGCACCTTTGCCGAGTTCCTGGACCTGCCGGCGGACCTGTACTCCAAGACGGTGCGGACGAACCTGGACGGGGCCTTCTACGTGGTCCAGGCGGCGGCGCGGCAGATGGCGACGGGCCAGTCGCCGTCCGGCGGGTCGATCATCGGCATCTCGTCCATCTCGGCGCTCGTCGGGGGAGGCGGGCAGACGCACTACACGCCTACCAAGGCGGGCATCCTGTCGCTGATGCAGAGCACTGCCGTCGCGCTGGGCAAGTACGGGATCAGGTGCAACGCGCTGCTGCCCGGCACGATCCGCACGCAGCTCAACGACGAGGACCTCGCTGACGAGGCCAAGAGGACGTACATGGAGGGGAGGATACCGCTTGGCAGGACGGGGGAGACGAGGGACCTGGCGGGGCCGGCCGTGTTCCTCGCCTGTGAGGAGCTGAGCGGGTATGTCACTGGGTCGCAATTATTGGTCGATGGCGGTGCTTTTGTCAACTTTCAGTAAGCTTTGGAAGTGTCAATGGGATGTGATCAGTAAACGCCCGGTGCCCACGTAGACTGCATGTGTGTGTGTGCGCATCCAGGCCCACTGGAGCATGTCGATGTTACATGGTGTGCGCTGGCGCGTGAGCATGACTCGGGGATCCTAGAGCAAGAAAATATCGTGTTGTACCCTAATGGAAGATCGTCTTACGGAGTACTGTGCTCTCAGTAAACAATTGGGTTGAAAGCACTTGAGCCGGCCCCACAAAGATACCGCTCACTGGGATTGCAACCATTAATATTCAGAGATCCACTGATTGGTTGAGGGGAGCACGATGGTCGATCTGGCGACTTTTATTCATGCATGCAATCCGCTTTCTGCTTGCCTCAAGAACACCATTGCCCCTCTAATCCAGAGCTTATGATCGATGCTAATGTCAGAATGACAGCCTCGGACCACATCTTGTCGAGGTCTGGAGCGGGCGGTTGGGCCTCAAGATTCAGCGAGTCTGTTACTTTGCCCACAATTTTGGGCTCTGCAGTCGCACTTGTGCTCACCGTCGTCTTATATCGCCGGTTTCTTTCTCCAATCAAAGACATCCCAGGGCCTTTTTGGGCGTCCATAACTAGATTGTGGCACGTCAAGATCATCGTCGATGGAAACCAGAATGTGCGGCTGAGGGATGCCCACGAGAAATACGGGCCGTTCGTCAGAATGGCACCGAATGAAGTCTCAGTCACACACCCAGATGGGGTCAAGCATTTGTTGTTGCAAGCCCTGCCTAAGGTGAGAGACTAATGAAGTGCCTTGGGCCCCCTAAATCATCAAGTTTTCTGATGCTGACGATGGATTCGCAAAGGGTTCCTTCTACGGGATTGGTGCGATTCCGGATTGGCGATTTCAAACCCCAATATCAGCCCGCGACCCAAAGGAAAAGATGGAAAGGTCGAAAGCCTTCGCGTCTGGATACGCCCTTTCGAACGTGGTCAAGTATGAGGAAGCTCTCAGCCGTGTCGTCAGCAAGCTCTTCGGCTGGATGGATAGGTTCTCCGGGTCAGGCAAGCCCATGGATCTGGACCAATTTTTCACTTTCACGACATTTGATGTCGTTGGTGAAGTGCTGTTCAGCAAGGAGTTCGGCTTCATCGAGAAAGGCGAGGATATTGGCAACAGCATAAGCAACAATGCCGCTCTTCAGGGAATCGGCACTCCGGTCTCACAGTTCCGCTGGCTACAGCTCGTGCTGGGCAACCCACTGGTGACAATCCTCGGCTTGTCACCAGGGTCCATGTTGTTCAGGCACGCCCTCGAGACTCTGCTCGAAAGACAAAAGAACCCAGACGCCAGATTTGACGTCGTGGCACACTGGTTTAAATACCTGAACCAGCATCCCGACCGGACGAGCTTCCGCAACATCGAGGCCCAGACGACCATGAACGTTGGGGCTGGCAGCGATACTGTTTCGTGTGGCTTGCAGAGTACAATTTACCACATGATCCGTCACCCCGAGACTTGGAAGGCAGCTCGAGCTGAGATACTCGAGGCACAGGCAAAGGGGCTTTGTTTGGAAAAGGTCGTCTCTTACGCTGATGCACAGCAACTTGGTTATCTTCAGGCATGCATCAAAGAAGGCCTGCGAGTCCATAGTCCAGTCCCCAGTAAGCGCCCGTCAACAGGACTTTCACAAGCCATCTATGACACCTTGATGGGACACGAGCTAACTTTAGAACAAGTGGGTTTGCCGAGGGTTGCCCCCAAAGGTGGCATTGAGGTCGGGGGTCGTTATTTCCCAGAGGGCACAACGCTATCCATAAATCCTTGGGTATTTCATCGCAACAAAGCAATCTGGGGAGCAGATGCCAATGAGTTCAGGCCTGAGCGATGGTTAAGCCCTGATGCTGCGCGTCTAGAGAAGTTCTTCATCCCGGTGGGTCCTTCGTCAGGCATTCCTTGTGTGGCCCTGGCACTTTCTAATTTGTGTAACTCATCAGTTCGGAGCTGGCTATATGTCCTGTCCAGGACAGCACATTGCTCGTATGGAATTACTCAAGATCTGCTCCACCGTAAGTGATCCTCCCTCTGAGGAACTACACACCACTATCCACACTCCATTTCTGACCACACAATAGATCATCAGAGACTATGATCTTGATTTGGTGGATCCCTCCAAAGAGTGGAAATGGAAGGCATACTTCACAATGGTGCCGACGACCTGGCCGGTCTACATTTCAAAGCGACCAGAACAGAAAAATCAGGAGATGTGACTTGTAAGACGGTGAAGAGCCGGACTGCCCTATGGCCATGGTCTTTTGGAGGCTCTGTATCGGGTGTTTGGAACCGTTTCCTCGAGCCCCCCTCTCGCCTGATCTCGATGGCCTCCTCCGACTGGAGCGACCTAGAGGCTTCGCCTTCGCATCCTACATATGTACCCCCGACCATGAGGGGTATTTTTTACTGAGTCTGAAGGTCGCTGTTCCGCCTATCGGTCCCAATTCACGAGTCGCTGCAAGCTTGTGTCTCCAGAAGCAGCCCATCCTAGGCTTTAGCGAAAGCGCCCATGAGGTTGAGCTGGTGCACGGTCTTGACATTGTTGTCCCTTCTTGACGACGCAAAGTGCGTCCACCCAGACATACTGCTCAACTAGTGCTAGAGTCAGACCCGTCGCATGCGAGACAATTGGTGCCACTTCTAATATATCCTCCGTGGCAGACGCCCCGGGAATTCGCAAATGTGGGAGGTGGGTTGACGAGCTACTTGATTCTGGTGCCTATAGGTAAAATTACACACTTGAGCAACCCGAAGCGACTGGAGCTTATTGTGACTCCTAGGCTAATTCGTCCGAGTGCGTATGCGGCTCACGACTGTCTGGCTCTAGCTAGGTTCTCGAAACGCACACTGTCCCCCTGACGCTTGTATATGCTTTGCAACCCGTGATCGCTGGCAATAGTGGAGCTCTGCAGGCGGTACGGTGTGATTGCGCTGAGATCGATGGCGGCAGATTCAGGGCACCGGGGGCGGAAACCTTGGAAGAGCGACGTCGTTGCTGGCTGTCACAATTTTGATGCTTGTTGAGACCTCATGCCTCGGAAAGAAGAGCAAGTGGAATTCCAACGTATTCTGTGAAGCATCGTGGCTCTCACTCGGTATTCAGTGTTGTGCGCATGAGAACTTTCCCGTCCTCTGAAGTCCTTCTGCGTGCTAATTCTGAGTCACACGGTGATAGCACTTTCACATAATAGTGCTTGACGGCGTCAGAATAGGTAGGTCATGTCTTGCAATAGCCCCAACCTGGACGGCACCGGCGCAGATGGATGCGACCAACGCTTAGACTTATGGCGCGAGATGATGGCCTTTGGGAGAAGACTGATTCGAAGAAGTAGATTGAAACGCCACTATCACAAGCCCTGTGCAGCGAAACTCACAAACCTGGGGTATGGTTGTCTAGAAGTGTATTACCTCTTCTCCTCGTAGGGTCCTCATTGTGGTTCCGGCTTAGAAGAGGAACCTGAAGGAAAGAAATACTGTACACTGACAAACCAAGAACTGTAATAACAACTAGAACATTTGGAATTTGTGCTTATTGTCTCGAAAAGAGTGCCTCGCACGCTGAGAGGGAACAAAGTAGGATGCATAAATCAATGAGATCTACTTATAACCAGACTCACAGGCCTTATACAGTTACCCATGGCCATCAAATCGCGCCCACAAGTGCACCTGATAGAAGTAGATCGAGAGTATGCCGTTCAATCCGAGGCAAGCGCAGTCCCCTGCAATCGAAGAGATATAAGGTCCTGAAGGATGACGACGCTCCTCCATGACGAAGTATAACAGCAGCTCTCAGGAATTTGCAGTTCACTTAAAATGGGCGGCATGCGTTCAACAGAATCGCCATAGCCCTGGAAACGGCCACTGGATCTGATATCGGCCTGCGAGCGGCCTGGGGGTCGAGGGCGGAAGTAGCTGGCTCACAAGCATCAAACCATTTGTCCCAGACGAGTGACCTAATACGAGACCTGCAGGGCACAACAAGGCAATGCAGAATGTACACTGCTCAAACCACCAATCTCAGGTCACCATGTTCAGTCAGGTGTCGATATCGGGGCTTCACACGAGGCACGCAGCTCCGAAGCGCCGAGCGACGGACATGCGCGCAAGGCACACCAGCTCACCTTGCGCACCAACCCTTGTAACAGCTCCACAGCGAGTGAGGGAAGAAGCTGTCCAGCAAATCAGGCTTGCAGTCTCTTCCAAGAACTGGGGGAATAACAGCCTCGACAAGGCGGGCGTGCAGGCGGGAGATGAACGGGATGCCTATGCCAGAATGGAAGACAGATCGACAACGCAGGCCCTCGAGGGTGCAGAAAATGATCCCTACATCCCGCCTTACCATGCAGATATTATCGGGTGATAGCTGTCATGCGAGGGGCTTGCACATTAGAAGTGTGCTGAGGATCAGTACTGCTTGGAGTCGCTGATTAGCTCTTTGATGGGAGACGACTGGAGGGTCTGCGAAGTGCTGTTGATGAAATTTTGCAGATCGAAGATCATGTCCAGCATGTCCAGCATGGCCAAAGATGGAGTGACGGGTGTGCGAGCCGATGCAGAACTCATGCAGAATTTCTGGATCATGGCGTGTTGCATTCCGCAGCGGCGGTCCAGACGCAGCGACAAAACGTCATCCCGAGCAATAAGCTTCTCTGTGGGCTAAAATGGTGTGCCGCGATACTCCGTACAGACAGGACATCCGGAGCAGATTCGAGGGGTGGGTGGGCTCCATACATCTAGGTGAGGCCAGGCAGGGCCAGGTCGGCAGGTCGGGCCCCGCCCGAAACGGTTCGAAAGGGCCCAGAATGTGGTTGGTCGGGTCACGTACGAGAGACCGAGAGACAATTCGGGATCTCAAAAGGGGGTTTGATGCAATATAGTGCGGTCTCGGGTTTTGGCCTCCCACGGTTTTGCTCCCCTTGGTCTTGGTCTTCGGCTGGTGGCCGCGTGCGATCCGGGGCCCTGGAAAGGGAAACCCCACCCTGCCCAGCGGGCTGTACGTCTCGTTCTCGTCTCTGCGCAGGCCGGAAGAAGTTTGGGCTGGGTCCACGTCCCCACGTCGGCGGGTGCTAAGATTCAATAGACTTGGGACTTTGGACTCGGGTGGTTTTCTGCCATGCAGCACGTCCGCCCAGAGAAGAGTCGATCCAGGCAGTCAGCCAGTGAAGGGCTGGGGAAAATGGACTCGCTGGGTCGGGTAGGACGGCATGTTCCCACGGCGCTGCACTTGTGGCTGCCAAGAGCAGTTTACGGGAATAGCGGGTTCAGAGGAGGACGGCAAGATGGTTAGAGCACACAAGGCGTTTTCGGTCAGTATGCAGCGTAGCCTAGGGTCAAAGGAGAGGCAAGGAAGGTAACGTGCCATTCCTATTACATGACAGCCAGCGTCAGTCAAGTCAGCCAGAGTCCAGAATCCAGAGTCGAGACTGACTGGAAGACAGACTGGAAGACAGACTGGAAGACAGACTGCCAGACAGACTGCCAGACTGTGTTGCTCGGTGGCTGCGGTGGCTTGCATTCGCGACTTGTGAGGTGCCTGCCAAATGGCCGGTCGACGTTGAGGGTCGGTGGACTCTGCCGAGTGGGCATTGGGCATTGGGCATTGGGACTTGGGGGGCCAGCGACAAGGAGCAGGCAGGGCCTGGAATCGCCGGCTGGCTAATTATGGTTGCGGAGACTGATCAAGAGTCGATGAACGGCGCGAGGGAGAGGGGCCCGCTAGGAGGGAAGGGTCCTTCCCTGGGGGGGTAATCTATGACGTAACGCTGACGGGCAATTGGCTCAAGCGCATTGCTTGTCGTGGGTACGGAGAACGGGGTACGGCTCGACAAGTACCCAGGTACCGCGTTCGCAGAAAAAGACGGAAAGCCCTGAGTGCGCCCGTTGCTGCCATGCTGATTGAAGCTGATTGAAGGGACCACTATCCAAAGGGCTGGATTAGAGTTTAGAGGCCGTTTTCAGATCGGCCTGCCGCCCGGACTCGTTCAATATTGCCATGACGATGCCGCGAGATATGGTGTGGTGCATTGCGGTACGGCTCAAGCACGATGGTTTACCACAGCACCACGGCGCAACAGGGACAGGGCCAGGGCCAGTGCAGGCCAGTGCAGGCCAATGCAGGCCAGTGCAGACCCGGGAAGATGTTTACACGACCACACGTGTATTCCCGTGGACGTTGCCCATTATCTATTCTCCCCCATACTCGCGCGAGTCAATGCACGCAGCCTGGCAGGCTCGCAGGCTGGCAGAGCAGCCAGTGTGCAGCAGGCAGAGCATGCAAGCTGCAGCAGCTGCCGCGAGCCGCAGGACCGCCAGGCTGGCCGTGACCTTCCAAGGTTCCCGTGCTGGCACCCGCAGTGGCACTCGCAGCCGAGCCTTACAAGGTTGGTCTGACGTGCAAGGGCCCAAGCGAGCGAGCCGAAGAGCTCGGTTGGTCCCTGGTCCCATCTTCCACCAGAGTCCCTCGACTTTCGTGAAGCTGTCGTGTCCAGTCATGTCTGTGTTGTTCGCCCAAGACGAGTCGATGAAACTGGGACGGCTGCAGCTGGATGGAAACGGATATCATAACCACCACCACCACCCCACCCCTCCCTGCCTTCTACGACAGGACCTAGGTAAATACCTATGCACCGTACCCTAGGCACCAAGATAGTCACTGTAGCGGGCTAGATGTTATAGCAGGCGGCCCGGTAATGGTAGACTCGGTACCTAGGTAGGTACTTAGCTAGGCACCTGCCAGCCGACCCAGGGACTAAGTAGTGTACCGTACATACCTACCTCGGTAGGTGTATGCCTTGCTGTACTCCGTAGGTAGTGATCAGCGGCAACACAGTACCTCGGTACGTACCGCCGACCTGAGACCTGTACCAAGACGCAGCCTGGCGCGGCGTGCAGCATGCTTACCTTATTAGCGGATATTTGATACTGTGTGCACAGTACTGTGGGCCTTGTTCTGCTCCCCGACATCTCTCTCCGTCTCTCATCAGACATTTGGCCTCTAACTGCAGTCCCGGGTTAACTGACGGGCAGGCAGGCAGGCAGGCAAGGTACAGGCAGGCAGTACTTGCGCTATCCTCCTGCACCGCGTGGCTCTGCACAGCTCAGCACAGCTCAGCACAGCACCAGCGATACTTACTGACTGCCTGACTGACTGCAAGCGGCACACGCTCATCACTCGTCACTCGTCACCCGTCACCCATCTTCACTCAACACTCGTCTCACCACCTGGGTCACCCATTCTGTCGCAGTTGCTACTGCCATTGCCCTTGCCGTTGCGTTACATTTGCGGTCGGCCGGTGTCGTCTGGTGGCAGCCCTCCGTACTCTGCGCTCGGTACTCTGTCTGCACTCCGTACTCCGTACTCCGTACTCGTCTACCTAAGTACCCTTCCTCTCCCGTGCCTGCGCTTGCGCCTGCGCCTGCACCAGCACCAGCACCAGCACCTGCACCTGCACCAAATTTTTCTCGTCTGTTCTAGGACTGCGTCCCACCTTTTCCCACCTTTGGCTCCCAAAATCCACGTTCACCTTGTCCCGTAGGCTCCATTATCAGATGGTGCGATTTCTTCATCTTCCCCCATCTCTATTTTCCTGTCGTGACGTGGACGAGGAGGAAGACTGGCCGCCTGACACCGACGACTCTGACTCCCGCGCCCGCGACCGCGACCACCACCACCACCACCGTCGCCTGCACCACCCTCACAACCACAACCACCAGGTCGCAACCGCCCGCCTCCAGTCCTAACGAGGTACTGCGTGCAACCTCTCGTTGTTTGCGCCTCGCAGCGCCCTTGGCCAAGTGGGACTTCACAGTACACGACGAGAAGTCTCATCCCACTCCTTGCAGCACAACCACCCATCGCCCCCGGTCGCAATTCCGTCCCCTCCCTCCCTGCCTCGCCCGTCCCGTCCCGTCACGTCACGGCACGGCAGCTTGTCGTCACCCCGAGGCCGGGTCACCTCGCAAACCAACCACGCCCACACGCACACCTCTGCGCCCCCCCCCCTCCTGCTCGCTGCACCGCCGACCTCTCAACCACCCAGAGCCGCCGCCATGGCTAACGGGCCTCATGCACAGCCAGTCGGCGAGGACGCCTGGCTCGCATTGATCGAAGAGGAGTCGCGCGCCAAGGCAAGAGACATCTCCAATCGCGTCGACATCCTCGAGCGCTACAAACAGGCGGTCAATGCCGAGTATGGCAGCCTCAGGATATGGATCGCGTATTGCGACTACTTCTGGTCGCTCTATGTCGAGTGCAATTCCTACGCCAACAACGGCTACCGCCTGTCGCATGAAGAGAAGCTCATTGGTCGTGAGATATTCTCCCTCGACGCCGCGCTGTCGCTATGGCAGCAGGGCTACGAGTCCGTCAGGTATCGGCTGAGCGACAGCCACGAACTCTGGAATCGATGGGTTGCATTGGAGATGGAGCTGCTGTCGAGTACTCGGACTAACCAAGGAGTGCAACGCATCACGCATCTCTTCAAGAACCGGCTGCAGACACCCCACAAGACCTGGGACGACACCTCGCAGATGTTCTCTACCTTTCTCTCCGAATACAACAGGGCAGAGTACGAAAGCACAATGCAGGACATTTCCAGTAGCACCCAAGAGACGAGGAAGATCTGGGACGACCGAGAGACGTTCGAGATCAAGTTGAACAGGGCAAGGGCCGATGGGAAACTCGACGAGGAAAAGACCGTCATGCGAGAGTACCTGGGCTGGGAGATGAGACAGAATAGAAGCAAAGATGCCTTTCACCAGGGACTGCTGGTTGAGATCTGCCTAGGCCTTTACTCGCGTGCTCTGACTGGCATCTTCTCTAGAGACGACGGCATTTGGACCGATTACGTCGTCTGGGTCTCATCTCTGCACACTGTCTTCAGTGCCGACCGGTCCCAGGCGAACGACATGTTGCGTATCCTGCCCAACCTCTTGAACACGCTCCAGCGCGCAGTCTCTCACTGCCCCTGGGCCGGCACATTGTGGGCGCGCTACATCCTCAGCGCCGAGGAGGCCGGACTCTCGTACGACCGCGTCGAACAAATAAAGCACGCTGCCACCTCCAGCTCTCAGCTCGACCGAGACGGCATGGCTAGCGTCATCGACCTGTATGCAGCCTGGTGTGGCTTCTTGAAGCGCCGGGCCATGAATCCGAACGCGACAGACGAGGACGCGGACGTGGCCGAGATTGGGTTGACCGCCGCCTTGGAGGACGTGCAAGTGTGGGGAAAGCGGCTGTACGACAACGAGTATAAAGGCGACCCGAACTTCCGCCTGGAGCGCATCCTCGTCCAATACTTGACCGAGAAGAAGGTCACGGTCGACGAGGCGCGCAACTACTGGAACCAGCTGGCCAAGAAGAGCATCTATGCCGACAGCTACAACTTCTGGCTGACCTTTTACATGTGGGAGATGTCCATCTTCCAGACACACAAGGCGATGAACGGTCGGAGCCCAACGCCTGCTTCGTTGGCGTCACGAGGCTCCCGGATCCCGACATTGGCAACAAGCATACTGGCCCGCGCGGTGCAGCGGCGCACACTGGACTGGCCGGAGAAGCTCATGGAAATATACGTGCAGCACTGTAACGACTACGAGCCGCCCGAAGCCGTTCGCCGCGCCAACGATACCGTGCACAAGGGGTTAAAGGCTGTCGCCGAGCGGAGACAGGAGGAACAAGCGGCAGCCTACTCTGCGCAGATGGCACAGTACCAAGAACAGGCGCAGGCATCATCAGCTGTTGCTGACCAGTCAATGCAAGGTCCGGACGAAACATCTTCCAAGAAGAGGTCCAGAGATGACGGTGCTGACGAAACGTCAGAGATCTCGAGCAAACGGGTCAAACAGCAAGACGCGGAAGCCGAACAGCAACGCTTGAAACGCGACCGCGAGAACACGTCGGTCTTTGTGACCAATTTGCCCCCTCCCCCGGAGGGAACTCAGACCAAGGTCAGGCAATACTTCCGCGAGTACGGGCACATCAACAACATTGTCTTCAAGACCGAGGCCAGCGGCCAATCAGCTGTGGCTCTCATCGAGTTCGCAACTCCGGAGGAGCTGCAATCCGCGCTGCTTCGGGACGGGAAGTATTTTGGCCAGCAGCAAATCACGGTGCTTCCTGCGACAGGGACCACCCTGTACGTCACGAATTACCCCCCGCTCGCCGATGATTCGTTTATCCGAAACCTATTTAAAGATTGCGGCGAGATCTTCTCGATAAGGTGGCCAAGCCTGCAAGCCAATAGCCATCGCCGATTCTGCTACGCGACATTTCGCGATGCAGAGGGGGCGGCGAAAGCAACCAGACTCGACGGGAAGCTTCTGGAGGGCAAGTACAAGCTCGTGGCCAAGTACTCGGACCCCCAAAACAAGAAGAATCGGGAAGGTCCTCAAGAAGAGGGACGTGAAGTCCATGTCACCAATGTCCCTGAGCAGGTGACAGAGGCAGAACTGAAGACCATGTTTGAGAAATATGGCACTGTCCAGCGTGTTCGCATTCTAGTCACCAAGACCGGCCACAGTCGTGGTTCCGCCTTTGTGGTATTCCAGACAAAAGAGCAGGCCCAGGAGGCTGTTGCGGAGCTGAACCAGACAAAGCTCAGAAACAACATCCTCAAGGTGGAGAAATCTGTTGCCAAGAACTTCAAGCCTGTGTCTAGAGCTGGGCCTTCAATGTCGCCCTCGCCGGGCCCAAGCGGTGCGAAGGACACCGAGGGTGACAATGCCATGCTAGACTACGACGATGAAAAGTCCAAACCCAAGGAGTCCAAGGAGGCGGGACGGACGTTCGCGCTCATGGGCTTGCCCGACACAATGAATGACGCCCGCGTCCAGGCCCTTGTGGAAGCACACGGCCAGCTTGCCAAGCTCACGCTTCGCCATGATCACGGTGGCGCCATCCTTGAATTCGTCGATGCAGCTGCGGCGGGAAAGGCTCAACTGTCTCTGGATGGAATTGAGGTCGAAGACCGGAAGCTCAAGACTGGATCCGTGTCCGAGCTCTTTCAGGAGAAGGGCGAAGTCAGGATCGACCGTGTCGACCAGAAGCCGGCTGCACCGGCTCCTGCTCAGAACAGTAAGAGCAAGGTTTCCAGTGCGATGATGCCACCTCCGTCGACCATGATACGTCGACCGGTGCTGGGGTCCAAGGGGCAGAAACGCGGCCTTGGATTCAGCGGCGTCATCAACAAGGAGCAGAAAGCAGAGCCATCGTCGTCAGCTCCCACGACCAACGGAGAAAACGGCGTCGCATCTGGCACATCTAGCGGCGGAATGAAGAGCAACGCTGATTTCCGGACGCTTTTACTGGGCAGTGGACCCAAAAAGGATGACGGGGCACCATCGAATGCAGACACAAAAGCTGTCGATAATGGAGGAGTTGACGCAGATGGGAAAGACAACTAGCGGTTGTGGTGTGAATGATGCTCTACATATTTTTATGCCTTTGTACGATAACTAAGCTACGGTTTGAAGGGCCGCGTCGCGGCCACCGCCAGTGTCCCTATCAGTTGAAGGGGGTGGGGCCCAGAGCCAAATCGACGATGGCAGAGTGGGAGGGTGTTTCTTATTGCTTATACCCCGAGCTGAAGAAGAATTGAAAATCGAACCAAATTAGCTGTCAACAACCCGATGTACCGGGCCCAATTGAATGAAGCCCGTCGTTGGGGTCCATTGATCTTACAGACGGTGCGTGTCCTGGCATCGCCCGCTGCTTGTAAACGGACATGTTGGAGGCGTCGTGGAAGTCACGCAGAGATGTGTCAGCACGCCCATGATCATCATTCACGGAGAACGCCAAAAGAAAAGGTGCTGCGTAAATCACGTTTTATGGGGCAAGCAAGCCAGGACATGCCAGCCAGGGAGATATCTTGCGTGCATGACTGGGCAACTTTCTGCCCCTTGTGATATCCGTCTTTGGTGATCCTTGCACGGGACTGTGGGTTGAGCATACGTAGAGCTGATCAATGACAAAATTTGGCATTACCTATACTATTAATAACCCACGACTGAAAACTCAGTCCTCGTCCTATTACGACTTGCTCCTTGAACTGACTTTTGTTTCGAGCGAGCATTAACTCGTTGCTAATCATCACCCTTATGTGAGATGGGATGCCTGTCCTCTTGTAGGTGGAAGCGCCCGCTCGCACCGTCAGCCTCATCATTCCCTCCATGAAACACACGGCAGGACCAGGGGCTTCGGGGCCAGCCCGTCGTGCCCGACGTCAGGAGGCCCGACCTCCTCCATCCCCGCCTCGTCTTCGTAGTCGTGCTGCCCCCCGGACACGCCTGCCATGAGTACGTTCCACTCACCCGCGTCGAGCATCATCCCGGCGGTGGCCCTTGCCCTCCTGGGGTCTTCGATGACAACCTCGCCGTGGCCCCAGCCGTGCTCTTCCTCGGTTGCCACGGGATATCCGTAGACTGCCATATGGGTCGTCTGTATCGCGCCTGGGTCCTCCTGCCCGTGATGTTGTTCGGTGTAGCCCCCCCGCGCCGCGGGTTCCACGCTCGCTGATGCTGCCCGTGGTCGCCCGCGCATCTCAACGTCGCCCGCCGCGAGCTCGGCCACCGCGGGGCTCCCGGGCTGCCGCCGTGGCAGCCCGGGCCTGCCGCCCGGGTGGCACTTCTTCTCGTGGCCGTGGAGGTTGTCCATGCGGTTGTAGCTGTGCCGGCAGCCGGGCTGGGCGCACCGGAAGCGCGCGTCGCCGTGCCTGGACGCCAGGTGCCGCTTGAGGTGCTGCTTGCGGTTCTTGGGTATGCCGCCGAACCGCTGCCGGCAGAGCGTGCACTCCTCGTACTCCTGCTGGGCGGCACCGGGGCCGGCCTGCTGTTTCCGCTCCCTGGCGCCGCGCCTGGCTGGGTGCTGCTGTCTACGGGGGGCACTGGCAGAGTGCTCGTGGCGCCCGTCCTCCGACACGCTCACTGTGATGCTGTCTTGTGCCCCGGCGTCGAAACTCGATTGCCTCTGGACCGGGAGTCTGGCTCCCGTGTCCTCTTGGCTGGTAGGAGGTTCTGAGAAACTCTGTGCGGCGAATTCGGCAGGGACGTCGTCTATTGCCTGACGTTGCTGGTGCTCGAACGGAGGCGGTCCTGGGATATCGACTGAACAGTCGAGTTGCCCGGACCACGTGTCCTCCTTGTGCATGTGCGGATAGTGCGTGCGAGAGGCTGGGAAAGATCTGGAGAACATGGATGCACTCTTTTCTGAAGCGCTATCATACTGAGAAGATGTAGTGGGATTCGGCACGGAGGGCAGAAACGCCAAGTTGACCTGTGCGTCTTGTGCCCACAGGGCGTCATCTGCCTCAATGTCTCCGGGAGACTCTATGAAACTCGACTCTTGAATGTATTGAACCGGAGGAATTCCGAGCCGCAGGCTGTCTGTGACGTTGTCTTGGGGCTGATATCCATCCGCTGTGGTTTGAGCAGATACTATGTAGGGGGGTGGTGGCTGCCCGAGTGCACGCGTGACGACCTTTGCGTCCCCGTAGGCGACCGAGTTCTGCGAAAGTTCACTCCAGGAGTTGTCTCTCGTTGATGGTGGCGTTGGGAGAGGCCGAGTCATCTCGTAATTCCTCGGCTGTGGGGGCAAGGGGAGGTTGTTGACGGCTGCGTCTAACTCAAGAGCAGCGTTCTGGGAGGCGATCTCCTGCGGGACAAAGCTGGTACGGTCTTCCATCTCCGGCAGCCACATGCTCTCGACACCGTGGCTCTCCTTCGTTGACAGAACCGCGAAGTCGTCGTTCGCTGCAGTCTTGCCTTTCTTGTTCGCAGAAGGGCCTCCTCCGCTAGCGTGGCTGCCACGCTTCCCCTTCGAGAGCTTCCTTAACAGCTCAACTGGACTCTTGAGAGTGTTGCACATGGTATGCCATTTCTTGAATTCGTGGCACTTGTGGCATGTCCAGCACTGGACCTCCCCCTTGCAAGCTTCCGCACATCGTGTGACGTGATAGATTTGCTCCATTGGCGTTTTAGAGACATGGAAGCACTTCAGCATTGGGCACCCAGCACGACGGTCCGTGTTAGAGTATGTCGAGTTGAGATCATTCCCAGAGACTTCGATAATTTCTAGGACCGTTGCCAGGACAGCGCGGGCAGTTGTCGAGTCTTGGAAGGAATCTTGGAAGTGGTTCCTTTCATTTGAAATGTTAGACCAAGTACTCTGTCAAGGGAATGGATCTCAACTGACGGGAATGGAGTTCTCGGTGCATGGCTGTTGCTGCCGGCAATGTTGACCCTTTGCTGGTCAGGAGTCACCTGCTCCTGGATGTGTCGGCTGTCCATGGTGAGCAAGAGTTGCTTCGATCAGTAAATGGATCGATACACGTCTTCGAAATCTTGTTGGTATATTCGATCTATAGAGCCACTGTCTAAGGAAAGAGAACCTCAAATTGAGGGCGACATGAGCGTGTTTTGAGCATGGCCGGTGCTGGTACACCTCAGTGTAGAATTACGTCTGGCTCCCCCGAAGATGGGAGAACGCGCGTCATGAGCTTCGAAAGGGGCCCTCGTACAACATGGAGCGCTGCGATTCAAACCCTACGCCGCTGTAGGGAGACGGACATGCTCACCCCATCGTAACAACCCAACGACCCGTGGACCATTTGGCCCATGTGTTGGGCGAGGCTGGCCTGAACGCAACTGTGGGGTGGCAAATTGTATGGCTGCCATTTGTTCTCTCGACGTTGCTTTTTCTTTTCTCAGTTCAGGCAAATTTAGGCCAGCCCGTGGTGGCCTCAGTCTTTCATTCGCCCACCCCGTAAGGCAACAAACAAGGCGACGACAAGTGTTCCAGTGACTGTTCCGGCAACCTCGGTCAGCTTGCGATTCACGCACATTGTTTACCCCGCCCTTTTTCCACTTCGATTACTTGCACCCTAGCAGGTTATCTTGGTCGGTCTAGCTTGGCAAGGGTGAGGGTCTGGTAGGGGAGTCGTTCGTGTTCGAAGGGTGCCGTGCCATGGCGGTAGGGAGACGGCACTTGAGTGCAGGCGAGGCCTCCGTCGAGGTGAGTGTCCCCCGGTGGTGAAAGTGAGGCTGCAGGGCTCATGGCGCTTTATTGTTTTTGGGTAAGGGTAGGAAATGTAAAAATTCGCCAGGGTGAAAAAGAGACTGGCACATCATTTTCAGTTGATGCTTGTCCTTCGACCGGACAAACATCACCGAAAGAATTCGCAAGGACGCGCAACACATGGAGGAAAATTCTGAGCTGATGCACCTCCCTCTATATATTTTGCACTGCTCCTGCACTGCCACCGTAGAATCGATCACATTCCCAGCAATATCGATGCAGGTCTTTCAGCTCGTGGGGGCTGTGTTGGAGAGGAGCTCACAAACCGAACAAGGACCTGCCGCGAGTGTCATAGTGTATCTCCTACGGAACAGACCCCAGCCATCCAAAATTGGGGGGGTGTCAACTCGGGCGGCATTTGCGGTAAAAATGAGGCGTGCGAACCAACTATTTCACCCTTTGGCGACAGGCTTCAAGATGGGGGCTGCCACTAATGCACGTAAGCAGCCTCACATGGTCTCTTGCCTTAATCCGTGGGTGAAGGGGTTGTCTGTCCGCATGAATCCTGCATGGTCCGCGTGGGATTATAGGATATGATAAGGTCTTCCTAGATTTCGCTTCTTGACCATGGTGCGGTTGAGTGGATATTAAGACCGTGGTATTTTCTTTGACAGTTGCAACTATGCTGAAGTACATGCCCTCCACCTTAAAAGACCCTGGGTACCCAATTAATTCATAACCAATTGATTCATAGACTCACTGCATTTCAATTTCTTTTATAAATTCCTCAGTGATAATATCGTTCAATTGCATAGCACTGATCATAATACTTTGAAGTGTGGAGGCACATTATATTTATAGGTAAATGTCCAACTATCCACACTACGTGACCGGATAAGTACTAAAATCCATCCTTGATACTAAATGAGCACCGTTCTACAACTTAACATTATCCTAAAACAACCAATCAGCTTCAATAAATCGGGCACAACCTCTTGAAACAAAGGAAGGTAATATCTGACCGTTGGAGCCCGTAGTCTAACCAAGCACAAGGGATGACACCTCGTGTCTGCGACGCCTTGTAAGCGGGCAGATATCGCTCTGTTGTCACATATAGATTAAGAACATTCTAGTAGAATCAGAATACCATATTCTGTCTTTAGACGCAAGTAGTTAATGTAAGTCAACGACCCAGTCCACGCACCACCCCCTTGCCGCACACACATTTCACACCAAAAAGCCCGATTTTAAGCCCTCTCTAATTTATTCTAAAAAAATACTATATATAGGAAAAAAATTTATTAAATTCCTTTTTCTTTATTCTATATAATAATAAAATTTAAATAATTCTAGTTTAATCCTAATATAGTTAGATAACTATAAATAAATATTTTCTACTTTTTATATATTATATTAATATTATAATTTTAAGGTTAATTAGTAATAAATTTAATTACTTTATTTTATTAAAAAAAGTAATTAATATTAATAAATATTTATAAAGAGTTTCTATTTTTAAAACTTTTCTTTAATTAATTATTTAAGTTTTAAAATAAGTGGAGTAAATATAATAGAGAAAAAGCCCCACATATTATTAAAACTTAAATAATTAATTAAAGAAAATTTTAAAATAGAAACTCTTTTATAAATACTTATTAATATTAACTACTCTTTTTAATAAAATAAAGTAATTAAATTTATTATTAATTAACCTTAAAATTATAATATTAATATAGTATATAAAAAATAGAAAATATCTATTTATAATTATTTAACTATATTAAGATTAGGTTAAAATTATTTAAATTTTATTATTATATAGAATAAAAAAGAGGAATTTAAAGAATATTTTACTTCTCTTATAAAAGTTTAATAGAATTAAATAGGATAGGTGAAAAATCACTGTTTTTAGTGGGAAATGCGTGTGCGGCAAGGGGGTGGTGCGTGGACTGGGTCGTTGACTTATAAAACGTCTGCGGCGCCTTCATATAGTGGTGGACGCTGTTTTTTTTTCAGACCCGTTATTTGAATAAAACTTTTTATTCAAATTAGTAAATTATGTGTATAAATGCTAGTGTTCCACAGTTGCATCTGTACTGATCACCTATTTTTGTCGAAGTTGCTTTGACAACTCAATGTGGCTGCGAGTAGAGCGTTGTTGTCCATCACATGGCTTCGAGCGAAACTCTTAACATGGTGATTGATGCAAATGCCAAATCCCAAGGGTGGCCACGAACGTCGGCCAAAATGATTCACGGTTGCCGGTTGCCTGCCACCGGAATGTTTCTTGTACTAAGACGTACAATAAGCACTTGCAAAGATAGGATACATACGCTGAAACGCAAGTATCACGCATATTAAATTGAGAATATTTGCAAAAAAAGAGGGCATGCTGACCGTGGTCCGTCTTGCACCCTTTCAAGGTTCAGAACCGACGAGGGAGACACTGTCACCCTAACCTAAGGGTTCATAGCACCCGAGGGAAAAGGGTTTCTCGCCTGAATGCCACCTCTAAATGCAGAATGAATTTAAAATTAATTCTCCTGTCATTTCGACCCTTCCTTTCCAGGGATTATAAGACATCGATTTGAGCTGTTCAATGTTCATCGTCTAACTTGATCTGATGACTAGAACCCACCATTTCACCTTCACACAATAGCAACCTCACGCTTCTGACAAAGTTCCCCTCCAAAGCAGTTCATTCACATAAATCGAATTCTTGAATCATTTCATCGGTCTCTCATCATGTCGGCCCCATCGAGACGGTATGAATTTGCGAGACGCCTAAGCTCTGTCTTGGTTGTTCAGTAACTAACAACCATGAGTAAAACAGCACACTGCCCCTCACAAATGAATATCTCTCGCAGGTGTATTTCACTTCAAACATGACTAATTACGTCAAGAAAGATCAGGAATTTGAGAGGCGGCCTCTAGGACTGACGTCTGAGCCGAGTAATACGGTGCAATACTTGCAGACATGGGACAAGCGATGGGCGAACTCATCATCGAGAACTGGAAAATGAATTGAAAGGATGACACATTTAATCAATAATTGAAATTTATCGCGCTAGGTAGACGATTTGGACGATATATGTGAAGTCGGAGAGTCTGGACCACTTTGGTTCTTGGGGTTTCCCGGGCAGAGCCTTGGTCAAACGGAATTAGCAATGATTAAGTTTCAGTTGGCAATACTACCTCGCTCTTGCACCTGATACTATCTGGGGTCCTTGTGGATAAATTGCTCACTTATCTGACTTTCAAGGACCAACGTAAGTCTCAACACAGTTGATGATCCGCCTCGTTGCAAGCGCTCGGGCAAAGGACTCGATCGAATATCTACGAATACCTAGAGGACGAAGAGATGCATGAAATCAGTGGGTTCCTTTGGAAGTACTATGACTTCTGAAATAGAAAACTACTCAAGATGAAAAGAAAACGCGGGAATTGGGCCGCGTTCGTATTCTCTAATCATACACTTTTATTTATCGCTCTCCATTCCCTTTACTGCGCTTTCACTGCATGTCCATGGTGGCGGCCCCTTTAAACCGCCAACTATGTCCCCCATTCCATGGCTATATGGTCAATTTTGGCAGCCATCAAATCCGGATCGGACGGTGAAGACCTGAGGTCCTGTGCATCCGGGACTCGAATGTCGGGCTGGGCGCGAGATCGGAGCACATGGCGGGATGTATGGCGGGATGTATGGCGGGATGTGAGGCGGTGCTACGGGCGAACTAAGCCTTCTTGTACGCAAGGCGGAAAACTTTTCGAAAGCCTTCTTCCAATCTTCCAATTGATCAGTCTCTGACCACTTGCGAGTTCCAGCCCAGCGACTCCATCGATCCCGAACGAGATGGAACAATTTCTGTGAGCCCCTGCTTATCACGCTATTGCTTTCTGGTCCGAGTGTTTCAGAGAGCATACGAGTCGAGTAAATGATCGACTTTCCAATGATTCGGCCAAATCCCTCTTCCCATCCCTCGAATGGTAGTGTCATATCGGAGTCGTGGTCATCTTTGTAGCCGTAATTGAGTATCAGGAAAGGCACGAGGGCAACAATGTTCTGGTGTGAGCCTGTCAAGAACCTACCATGATACTCATGCAGGGTATCTGTGGCACTCCAAACTCCAGCCATCTGGTCGTTGTGAGATATGAAAGCTCCTCGGATCTCCCCTCGCTTCGTCCTGACCAAGTCCAGTTCCAGGGTCCAACGAAGGATTGGATTATTGCCTGGTGTTACGCGCCACAAGCGGCCTTTGTCAGCTCTATCGCAGAGGCTCCCCAGGCGCAATAGGTAGTCCATAAATAAGGGATACGGCAATTTGTGCTGAGTATCCTCACTTCGCGGGCGTGTTAACACTCGTAGGTGGCCAGCAAAAGACCTCGCGACAAAAGCGGCCTGGGCTTGTACAACGAGAAAGGTGGGGACCGCACCCCTCACAATTCCTAGGAATGCAAGAGTCGGTTGCTCGACATAGATCGTATGTTCATGCAGATGATCAATGCTCAGTCCACTGGGGAAAAGGGGTAAATCGGCGGTGCTGTTCTTCTTGATAAAAGGCTGGTGGTACTGATAACCAGTACAAAAGATGATGCGTTGAAATACAACGGATTGCCCGTCTGTAAAAGTAACACTACGTTTGGCTGCATCGAAGTGAGACACTGTTGTCACAGGGATTGCATTCTGGGGCAGTGCGTCTGCAATCGGCCGTGTTGAAGATATCCACAACCCAGAAGTTCCAGCTGCAATCTTATTGGCAATGTCAAAGCCGGATGCTTGGTAGCCAACAATGAGGACTCTCTGACACCTTGTCAGTCTCACATGCTCAATCATTGCATTTGTCTATGACGGAGTACGAGGACTAACCTTGTCCTCAAAGTCGTCTGGGCTTCGATAAGACTTTGAGTGGGAGACCGAGCCTTTCCAGACTTCACGCCACTCTGAAAGTCCTTCATAATAGGGTATGAAAGGCTGATCGTAGACGCCCACTGCCACGACGACAAATATGTACTGTCGAGTGGCCTTTTCGCCTGTGGTGGCTTTAGAAGACTGGTAAGTGAGTTCCCAGTGTCCGCCAGCGTAGGATTCATGGTAGAGGCGCACGACTTCGGTGCCGAAATTGAATCGTATTTGGCGGTGAAATTCCTTCTGAATATTTCGAGAGTACTCTTCGAGGTATTTCTGCACCAAACTGTGGTGCATGAATAAGGGCTGATTGGTCCATGGATAATCCTGCAACTCCATGAGCTGGCGTGGGAAGTTGGTATGCAAATCGCCGTAGACCGCTGATGCGAAAGGAGCTTTCGGATCCGGTGAGAAATTCCACAGTCCACCTGCCTGGCTCTGACGATCATAAACGTCAACTTGGAAGCCTTCCGCAGCAAGACGTCTGTGCATGGTCAGTTTGGTCCCACTACCTAGGTATGGTCAGAGGAGCAAGTTGAACGTACTTGGCTGCCGCGAGGCCCGAGATACCTGCCCCGATGACAGCGACGGGATTGCCAGTGACAATTTGACTTTGGTCCATATCCACAGAGAAAGACCGTTAGAGGCTTGAATGAGAATATTCACGAACAAATACGGGTCCCTTGATATCACGATCCAAGAATCTCGAAGCGGAGGGTGGTGTGTCAGTCCGTCCAATATGTCACGGTGTCATGTTCCGGTGTTGCTATATATACTTTGCTCAACTCGTAGCAGCCTAATTCTCATAAAGCAGACCTAAAATTACCAGGCACTTTCTCGAAGCTCGAGCCTGGGAAGTCGCTCAGTATCAATGCCGTAATGAAAGGCAATGTCGGTGGACAGCCAAAGGAGTGGTCCGCGGGTGCCTTTCTTAGCCACCAATTTCTGAGACTTAAGGCCTCAAGTATGCTGCTGTTAGCTGCAACGAAACGGCCCTATGAAAAGCAAGGGCAAGACTGAAAGAGGGTTCTAGAGCATAATAGCTCGAATGGCGAGATTCATAACTTCAAACTATCGAGGCCTACTGACTCAATCTGCTCGTACATCGGGGCTACGTTTGAGACAAGAACTTCGACCTGTGCTGGAACTCATGACAGCATTGTCTTCCGAAAACTTCATTGTCGCCAAGTCGACATTGTTCTTTCAAGCAAGCCTAAACTTGAATGCCCATCCTTTCAGAGCGGTAACACCACTAACAGTAGCAACAACATTTACTTCAATTAACAGGCTACAGAGGGGAGCTTCTGCATGCTCGGTGGTTCAAACGCTTGCAACATTTCTCATATCCGCAGAGAAAATTGACATGTTGAAGCACATACGAAGACCACTAGCATCGGATAGTTGTGTATTAGAAGGTCTGCTGAAAAGTGTCTCACAAGTGTTGGACCAACGTGCGTCTCAATTCAACAAAGATGGAGCTGGCTATAATGGCTAGCAAAATTTAAATCACAGAATCTTCGAATTTCGATCAAAAAATTACAGTCCAGATACCATACAGGAGAGATACAACAGGTGTGCACAATGGCCAAACGATACAAACGATGTCAAGCGATTCCTGGTTGACAATACGAATAAACATGATCGCTGGTAGTATGGCTCAGATCAAAGAGATAATGCAAGCGTGCAGCCGACAACACTCTCAGTCCTAGCAAGCTATCCAGACTGTCCATGATTGGTGCCTACATTATGCACGGAACCCAGCGGCTTCTGTACAATTCGAATGAGTGAGTAATAGGCATGGTTGCCATATTTCTAGCACCGCCAAGATGTGATTTGGTTATCGTACTCGACAGTTCGAGGGTCATCCTCGGCTGGCACACCAAGATTGTACTATATAGAAATGTCAGCAAGCTTCCATATAAAGAGCTTTTGATGACGGTAGATTGATACTTAGGTAGCTAAGTACCCTAGGGTATTAGATCGAGAAGATCCGTAACTTACGTTGTAGTAGCTACTAAGCCCACGGTCGTCACCTTTGTTGTCACATCCCTCGTACCTAATTTGGAGTCACTTATTAATTTCCGCAACCGTCAAGGTATCTCAGGTAGTACTGGGGTACTTTTGGGAGAACTTTGAACTTACAAGTACCACTGACAGTATCCACCGGTGTTCACAGAAAGGGAAGTGACCTTGTTATTGAAGCGGTCGCTGATTTGTGTGGAGTTGGCCGGCTGGAAGTCAAAATAGGATACGCAGGCTCCAGGCTTGGCACCGAAGACCAGACAGTCACCGCGGAAACCCTGGTTTCCACACGTCAGCAAGGCTGGTATGGATCAGATAGGAGAAGAAGGAGCCTACATCATCAGTGCACTGCAATGTGAAAATGAAATCTGGGATTGTGGAGTTGCGGTCCGGATCCGCGTCCTGGCGCTTGTCCGTACCCTCCAGCAGGACGACCTCGGTGTTGACGAAAGTGTTGTAGGCATCGGAGTCGACGACCTTGGAATCAAATGGGATTCCAGCATCGATATTGGCCGGTATGTGTAGAACGCCCCTCTTTTCGACAGTGTGGGGGGCAATGGCGGCGGACAGAACCGGAGTCACCGCGCCGGCCAGGAAAATGAGGTTGGTCAGGCTCTGCATTTTGATTATGGGTTTGCGTCCAGGTGAATGAATGACTTGTCAAAGAGTGAGGGGCCCAGTCTTTTCGAAGAGGTAGAAAATGACCGAATGGCTTCAAAATGTTCCATAGTGAAATTCCTGGGAAAATTGAAAAGTTCTTGTGTCTTATATCTAACATATAATGGAGTCGTAGAGATTTGCACATCGGATATCCCGGATCGGGGTAATCAAGGGCAACTTGGACATCGGAAGTGATCGTGAATTCGACAGTCTATTTCACTCAGAGTTCATCCGAACTGATTCAAGCGCCGAGACTTATCGGGTGTCAACAGGTGAACAAACACAAAAACCCCTGATTTTGGAGGCGTGATCCAGGGGGAATATCCACATTCATCCAAAAGATGCTTTCGCAGGGTTTCTGAAAGTTTAACTCACCATGAACTGGCATCCACAGACAACGCTCTTCCCGGCTAACATCCGTGTGAGGTGTGATAGGCACATGATTCATCATGCCAATGCATGCTGTGTTGTGGTTGGAGATTTTGGCTGCCCCTGACATCCAGAAGCGTCAGAAACAAAACATTTGCAAAGCATCTCACGCGATTGCAAAGTGATAAAAATAAACAAAGGATTATGAGAAACGCCATTAATGCCTCGAATATCAATGCACTCCTCTTGGGGTGTCTATCATACTGCTTTAGCTGGCATACGGTGTCTTGTCATGGGATGTAATATCTCCTGGCGTCATGGAGGGCGTCAAATGCAACAACCGGAACATCTCCTCTTTAGACTCATCCAACTAAGGATTCGCTTTTTAAAAGGATGGTAGGTACCAAGATCCAATTGCTCAGGTGATGGCTTAAACGTTAATGATGTCGTGCCTGAGGAGCAATGCAGCCGGCGACAATGACCGGCTCCAGGGGTGATCCCATCCGGATTCTTTAAGTCTATTAAACTTTATCCAAGATCTGCATGCTTTCTTGGTCCACTACACTCAATCGAGCAATTTGAGAATGACTGTGTAGAAGTTTTAGCTTAAGCGCTTTTTAGAGCTTTCCAGACTGTGTGGTGGCGGGCGTTCGCGATAAGTCATGTATTAAGCCTTTCAGGAGCCTTTTTGGGCATGCGGTCCCGGGTTTTTCGCTAACGAATAGACCCCGAATCTGCGGGGGAACCCCACCCCAAAATACCAACATTCCTGACCTGGTGGAAGCTATTATGATGTTGAGGAACTTCCAAGAGAAAGAGATGATCGTCGATACGGGACTCATCTGCTATTGCATTCAGAGTATACGGCTCTTGTGCGATTGACTGTAGCTGCTTTGGTTTTCAAATTTCGAAGATTGCCAAATACAAGTGGACAACGGTAGCTACAAATTCATCTGCCATGGTGTCTGACCAGGTTTTCTAAGTTTTTTCTACACAAGACCGTAACTTAAATATAATTATTTAGTAACTATATTTAATCAGTCTTTCAGTATTTAAATTAATAATTATAATAAAACTACTTTTAATTAAAAGTTTTTAATATTAATTTAATAATTAATTAATATTGGTTATAACTTTTATATTTTATAATAAAATTAATTAATTAAAGAATATATTATAATTAATAATAACTTTACTTTTAATAAATATTTTAACTATTTTTTCTTTTATTCTTTTTATTTTTCTTTTAATTTTATTATTCTTTCTTTTTAAAATAATTACTATATTTTTAATAGCTATAAAAGTTAAGTTAATTTATTAGTAAATATAAAGCTATTTTTATTAAAAAGTTTAAAAAAATAACTAATTTAATACTATAGTATTTAAATTTTTAGTTATTATTAATAAAAGCTATAAGGTTAGTATTCCCCTCTTTCCTATAGGAAACCCTCACTTGTGATACCCTCTTACGTAGGCATGGTATCATCTCCTGTAGGACCATCTCCTACGGGCCAACCTGCTATTGGATACACGTTGCTCGTCCTTCCCGGCCGTTCCGCTCATGCCTTGGTAGTCCCGCCGAGCTCGAAGCTTGGGGGGGTGGGGCGTGAAACCAGGCGTTGCCCGTCACCCCGAGGTACGGGGCCGTGGCTGGCTCGATTTATCAATTTGTGTCTTGCCACACAATGCGACGCGCACCTGAGTTGTAACGGCAGGGGCCAATCACCGGATAAACTTCGGCAACGCTTCCACGGCCAAGTAGTTTGATGGGTCTATTAATCAAAGTCGGCAGGGATGTTGCCAGCTGTAGACACGGAAATCCGTTCCTGATCGTCTGCATTTTAAGTGTTTATAGTATGAGAGGTGACCGACTCAAGTTGCCCGTCTTATGTGTGTCATGGTGGTATACAGGATTCACTTCCAGGCGAGTTGTCAAAGAGTCTAGCTTTCGCCCTCAGTACTAGAGCTTTCAGGTCATCGCAAGTTGCGATCGCTTTCATCCTGGCATGCTCAGAACAAAACGCCCTTAGTCTGCTGCTTATCACTCAAATGCTCATTTTTCAGGATGGAGACCCAGACCGAGGACCCAGCTGACGAGGCAAGCGAGGCAATTATCATATACTTTTGGGTCTCGCCATAAGCCCTCACAATCGCCTCCCTCGCTGGGCTTCCCCAGTCATAACCGAGCTGCGTTGTCAAATCGCCGTAGATCTCAGTCGTATTCGCTTTCAAATCTTCAGGCAGGTAGCTCCTGAGCAGCCCCGGAAGGGTGTTGGTCCAGATGGCTCCGCTGATGCTCTGGCCGATGGCGCCGCCGACGGCGGTGACGAGTGCCAATACGGCCAACGCGACGGCCACATCACGATGAGGAACACTTGCCATGACTGCGATCTGCTGGACCTGGGCGAGTGTGCCGCCTGCAAGAGATGTGAAGACTTCACACATTATGACGTATGCGACATTTGTGCCTGGCATGCGGAACTTGATCATGAGCCCGGTAAACAAGATCCAAAGAGGAACAGAGATGAGTGCAAGCCACTTGAAACGGTCCGAGTAGCGAATGAGAAGACCCACGGGCACAGCCCAGGCGCAAGACACAATGTTGAAGATGTTGACGATGTATCCAGCTTCCGAGACGCTCAAGTCGTAGACTACCTGCAGATAAGAGGAAAAGTAGAGCTTATAGCAGCTGCGTAGTATTAATTTGTCAGCGGTTGTAGTTACAGAGCTGCTGCATGTGTTGGATGCAGCAAGGGATCCAATATCTAGGTAACTTGAAGCGTGAACTTACTAAAAGGATATCCATGTGTTCCCACCAAGCAGGGAGGCTGCAAGGACATTTCTGTTCTTGAATAACGCGAACGGGATGAATGTCTTGGGCGCGATGAACCTTTCGTACAATGGGAACGCAATCAAGCACAGAACTCCGATGACCAGCATGGCGATCACCGTGCCTGATCTCCACTTGTCGCCCTGGTAGCTAGCCAGGCTGAAGGGCAGCAACAGTAAAGAGAACCCCGCAACGCAGAGCAGGACACCGAGCACATCGAGCTCGATCACCCAATACTTGATTAGCTGCCACCATGTCCTACTCCTTTCCGCGTCGAACTTCTCCCTGATCAAGCCTAGCTTCTTTGCTTTCCTTAGGTGGACTGCAAATACGAAGATCACTGGCGCACAGATGGCAGGGATGATGATGCAGAACACCCAGAAGCCCACTGATGAAGACATTAGCCCGGCTACGAGTCTTCAAATGTTGTATTCTAGAACATTTCAAAACGTAAAATAACAGGATTCATAACAGGTGAAAAGTGATACTTACATCGCCATGTGCTTCCCTCCAATATGGACTGAGCCGCAGCAGGGCCCGCAAAGGTATTGGAGATGTAAGGGGTCGTCGTGAACCCGAGGAGGATCATGCGGTTCTTGAGCTTGCTAGTATCCGCAATGAAAACTTGTAGCACATAGCTAATGCCGTTCATACCAGTCCAGTAGAAGACCTGTCCGGCAGCATAGGTTTGAACATTGCCGCAGGTGGCCATCAGGATCAGGGCTAAGACACACTATGTCAGCATTCTCAGTCCGCCTTCTTATTATTGCGAAGGGTTACTCACATATGACCGTGATAGCAAGCATGATGATCAAACCTTCATTTCTTCCAATCACGTCCATGATGCGGGCCAACGGTAGTTTGGCCACTCCAGCAACAATGACTGAAACGATGCTCGTTGTTGCAAGCAGTCCATGTTGGCCAAAGCTACTCGTCACGAATGGAACCAGTGATGCAGATATCTGCTGCTGCAGCGAGTCTGTGAAGAAAACGAGCCAGATACTACAAAGAACTTGTTTAGTATATCCCGAAGTCGACTATCGATTTCGCAAGATCATGCTTACAACGTGTATGCCACGATGAGCCATGGCTTTGTCCAAGCCCTTGTCGTGGCTTCGATCCTCTCGACACCGGACAAGCCCCCAGTATTGCGTTCCTCATCAGAAGTATGTCCCGAATCTGAGGTGCTGTCAATAGCGGCGTTGCCTTTTTCGTTTCCATGACTAGCTGGCTGATTATCGAGCCCGGTCACCGGAAAGCTCGCATTCGCTTTCTCGATTGCCATCATTACGGGTGCACTGCTCGGATCTGTCTGGGTACCTAGGTAAAGCTAACAAGAGTGGTAGCGGGTACCTTCGCGCAGAGATGAAGGGCTCCTGCAGCCTCTTAAAAACGGGCAGCTAGGCGGTCGTTTGTGGAAATCCCAAGTTTCTGGGTCGCTGCTACCATGTACAAATCAGCCCGCTTTGGTTACCGTCCCGCCGGATTGTGGTTGTGGCAAATAGGGGAGATTGATGACTCGTCCAGGCCAGCAAATCGCGACCTGACAGAATTTTCTCTCCTCCTCCCTCTATTTCGCAGCAGGCCTGCAGGTGACGGCACCCTGTGCACGCTGTGCTCCTCGTATGACCGGGCTACGCCGCGCACTTTTAGGTCCAGACGAGCCCCGTTCCAGCTCTTGGTATCTTGGCTGCCGCTTACTCGCCAATGAGGCCTGGGCGCCCAGAGACCCAGGAGATCTGATAAGATTTCGATAGAACCATAACGTAAAGCCAAGCAGGAAAGAAACAATTCCTGCAGCGTTGGTTGGATGCCACAGTGGTATGAGTCTCACCTGAGCAGCTCAACAAGTTGATGGTCGTTGTCATCGAATTGCGCGAGGCTCAGAGATTGGGATCCGCTTATTAAGGTAGGCTATGTAAGCCAACGTTAGTTTCCGAATTCTCTCGTGTATCTATTAGGCTTGCTGGATCATTTCATATCCGTATATCTTCAGGTGGGTCTTTCGTGGGTCACGTGGCAAACATTCTCCCTGTAATTACCAGTAATTGGCTTGGAACGTAGAGACAAACCTGAAGGAGCATCATCCCTAAGAAGTAGAGGCAGAAACTTGAAGCAAGAAATATCTTATTCCCGGTTGTGGTTCGAACTTCTGGGAGCAGAAAAATATCATCTCCTTCTTTCCGTAGTAAATGTATGAGTGTGCTGCTACATAGGGAGAAGTCGGTGTGCAAGCAATATAAATTTACAGTAGTCAGGCTGCAAACCTAGCACGTCAAAAGTGCTTAGAGTTTTAGCTAGATTAAAGTCCGAAACCCTAGCAATGGTCTCAAGTATCAAACTCGCAGCTCAGGGGTGAATACATCTATTTTCCTCTTAAACTACTAGTTATAAGCCCGGATAATAGATCTCTAAGAAACTTAGCTTCTTAGTAAAGGAGCTCTGTCCTGCCATTCTTCCTAGTTCGAGCCCAGTCCACAGGGAAAAAAAAAAGATTATTACAGCAAAGGGGAAGAGCCCAAACAGGATGAACTAGCTGTTATTCCTTTGTGTTTAGCTCTATGATCTGAGGGGGAGAACTAGAGACCGATAGGTGAGATTTATGGGTGCATCTCCCTCCGTCTTAGCCGACTATCAATAGTGCAAAATCTGGGAGACATAGGGGAGGTATTCGAGAATATAATCATTACCGAAAGTGGTGGGTTGATGTTGAGTGAGGCCCCCCCTCTTCTCTCTTGTTTGCCCGAGTGGTAAGAACATTTGAACGGAGCACCTTGTAACCCCGAAGAACTATGAACTAAACACAGTGCTTGTTATGAAACATGCTCAGTGTTCCTCGAGCAAATCACTCTGAAAATGCCTCGTGTCATATTCAGTCGAATGAGTACGACAAGAGACAGTTGTTGCATTTGCGTCTTTCAGACTGGGGGAACAAATGCCATTCTGCAACGTGATTGCATGCTCGTGCAACGTTCTCGGTCTGGAAGATTATTGAGATACACAATTATGGTCTGGGGGGCTGATTAGCATGTTGCTATGTACCTACGTAATTAAGCCGAATTCGTCAGGACCAAAACTAGAAAGGGGTATCTTGATTCCCAAGGACACCACGCAAAACTGAAATGTTTATCCTCAATGCTTGCCCCCTGGATCCTGCCTTTGCCACTGTTCTGTATTGCAGGTCCAAACTCCGCCCACAACCCAAATCAAGTCTCGCGCAATGAAAACAGCTTTAGTTGGTCTTCTTTGCGGGAACCACGGGCTTTCCCTGCTGCTGGCGAGTGTAGATGTAGACACCCGCCGCGATCACTCCAAGTACCACAACATTGCCTGAAGTATTGATCAGCATTCTGAGGCATTCCTACAAATAGATGTCCGTTACATCCGACTTACCGGCAATGAACTTCCCGATGCCCCCAACCAAATCGACGGCTCCCTTGCCAACATCGAGGAACAGGTTGATGACGCCACTGAAGAAATTGAGGACGGTCGAGATGAGAGTGTTGATGAGAGAGGCGAACGTGCCGATAATACTGGCAAAAAGCTCATAGATAGACTTGAAGAAGTCCTCGAAGGCGGAAATGAATTGAGTCATGTCGGCTGTGTATCGTGGGATCGTGGGAAACTGTACTGTTTGATGCAAAGGTATATCACAGCGCTTCCTATTCTTTATAAGTAGACTGTGCCCAGAAGGTTGAGGGTGCGCACCTGTGAAGCTGAAGCTGTACTCTGGCATGTTATATCCTCATTTCTCCTGTCACACCAGCTCCACCAGCTCCAACCGTCAAGCCACGGTAAGGGTGACGTCAGTTGTCAGACGGCACTGACGCCACACAAAGAAGGTCCGGCCCAAGGCGCGTCGTCATCGCGGGAGGTACTAAGCTACCTCACCCTGCATTCTTTGAACTGTGGCTGGCCAAACCTGTTTGCGGGGGCAAGATCAGCTACTGTGGCCAATGGCATGGGCTGGCGGAAGATCAGAGCTGCCTATTAGGGTAGTTTGTGGCTGGTGAGCTGTCAATCGCCGCTAGAGGTCGCCCGGAGGCTCACTTCCGGTTAGCTGGGGGCGGTCGACCAACACATTTCATGCCAATGACGAGAGAACTTACTTGGCGAGCAGTTGAGGGCTTGCCGCCGGGATGGTGGTCAAGACGTACTCTACCCCATGACGGTTGACAACCGCAGTGCATTTTGAAGACATCGTCTCTCGCAGGTTCGATTGCTGTCTAGGTAAGCTGAGGGATACTGGTCAACAGGTATCACACGTCTGTGGTTGCGTTTGTTGTCCACCGTTTGTTGAACTTTTCCGACACCCATTTCTCCCAGCTGTCGTATTCACTCGTGTTGACGTTCAGCTTGATATATCTGGTCCTCCAAACATATTTTCCCTCAGGAAGGCGGGCATAATTACCGTTTAAGCCATTGTGATAGGTGTAGCCCATGTAATAGAGGTCTGGTGATACACTGCGCGGAGAAACGTAACTCTCGTCACTAGTCACCACGTCCATAACACTGAGAGTCATGTCCCGTGTTTACACATTAAACCGTAGAATTATTATTCTTGAAGACACTAGGAATTAATATCTTCTCCATTATCTCACTGTTCTTAAATTTATATTATTAATAGTATAGAGGCTACTTATACTATTTAGCTAAGTAGAGTATATAGGCCTACTAGTTAGTCCTATTAGTGATTAACCTAGGGCCCTAATCTTTTATGTCAGCCATACCTGTAGCTAGTCGAGAAAAGACCAAGTTGTTTCATCTAGAATTAAGTCTCTATTTCAATTTCTTGTTCCACAAAGAACATGAAAGAATTAATTTGGAATGTGTTGGTTGGTTGGTTGGACCGCTCTCACTGGGAGACAAAGGGAGCAGAGAAATGCATATGCCTGCAGACTGCCAGTCATGCCAGTAACTCCATTGATAACTACCAAGCAGTCCACTGATCTTGGAAGAAACCCCAAAAACAACACCATGTGACTTCTGAAGTTGGTTGGGTTGTTCTCATAGTTGCAATGCCTCACTGGCACGGATGGCGGCATCTGACCTCAAGTTCTTTGTGCAATGAGTGGAGAGCAAAAGAGGCGTGACCAACGTCTGCCCAGCCTGAAAAAAAGTTGCATCTCCGGAAAAGAAATCAAAATGGCTGTACAGCTTGTCCCCAGGTGACGTTTTGCATGATCCCTGATAAACAAGACTAGCGAAGCACAAGCAAATCCGGAAGGGAAAAAAAAAACTTTACCATTTCTCAAACAACACTCTGTCCACGCCCAGTTCTGACAGCCTGCCTCAAACGCTCAAGATACAATATTCAGATCAAAATTTCTATCACAGAGCGGAATTACGCACCTTCAGGATCTCACAAGCCCAGCCTTGCTTCTTTGCTCAAGCAAAATGCCAACTTCATATTCGATGGTATATTCCACCACCTTCACATAGCTGATGCAAGAATATATGCAGGTGCTAACGTCCAAGACAACTAAGAACGAATTTCGGTTATTCATTTCCAAGTACAAGAAGCAATGCATTGCCGCTGCTACATCATTGTTAATATTACCAGGAGAATTATTCATCATTCTCCTGATGTACACAGAAGGCAAAGGTGCCCACTTTGAGATAAACGACCGAGTTATAGAGCCCAAGAAGCATTCATACCTGTTCTTGCTAGCAGTTGGGACCATGCTTGCCTGTGTCAATCATCTGGTTATTGCTGGTTTGGCCATATTCAGGCTGGCATACCTGAAAACCAACCGCAAGAATAACACTAAATGGCTGTTGCCCCTTTTTGCAGCATTTGTCTGCGTTATGGGGCTCATTGCAGGAATGTTACCGGCCGTACTGAAGAGTCCCGACAGCCCATTGGCTTTTGCCGCTGTTTCCATGCTGTCAATCTACTTCCAGTCCATCCTCTGGGCTATCATACTGGCCTGGCGGGATGTTTTCAACTCTTACGATGGTGGAGAGTCAGATTCCGCTGTTGTTCCGCAACAACCACTTTCCAGGCAAAACGCAGGAAAAGCACCCATTTCTCGGGTTTAAATCCATTGTTTCAACGGGTTACAAGAAAACATTCAAGGAAGTGGGTTGGAAACCTTGGCAGGGACAAAACTATTCAGCATCGAAGCTCCATTCGGAATGGTCCTTACCGGGGTAATAGCACGTCATGCTGCTTGTCGGTGCACAGCCGTTTCGACTGAATCAAATAATTAAGAAATCATGGTAGACTAAGGTACAGACAAACTTGGAGTCTCTAATGCATTTCAATCCATTGACTAAACATTCAGTAGCGTTTCAGCTCAGGTGATCCGGCAGCCTTTGGGAACGAGTGCTTAGTCTCCACAAAAATCTTCTGGATACCATCCTCATGGTTTTTGAACTTGTAGTAGACCTTGTCGAGATCTTCCAGGGCGATGCGGTGGGAAACCATCTGAAGGGGATCCAGCTTCCCAGACTTGATGTCCTCCATCAACTTCTCCCAGTACAGGTGAACTGGCGCTTGCCCGTTGCCGATCAGCCGGATCCCGCGCTCCATCAGGGACCCGATGTTGAAGTGGTTTGTCTGCAAAGGGTCAGTATTCAATCTCGACTCAGTAGAAGATCGGGCAACTTACGTATCCAACATAGACACCAGTGATGCCGCAACGTCCAAAGCTCCTCACACCCTCAATCATTTCGTTGACGAGCTCGCTGGTGTCCGTCTCGGCACCAACCGCCAGCTCAACAGTGTGCATCCACCCCTTGGGGTACTCGCCAGCCGCACACTCGAGGGCGACATCGGGGCCGCGACCACCGCACAGCTTCTTGAGCTCGCTGACGACGGTGGGCTTGTTGGTGACGCCGAAGCTCAGCTTCTTGTAGTCGATGAGGTGCAGCTTGTCCTGGTGCTCGGCGGGCCACAGCTTCTTGACGAGGTCGAGCCGGACCTGCTCGTCGATAAAGATGATCTTGGAGGCGCCCTCGTTGATGGCGAAGATGCCGCACATCTGGCCGATGGGACCAGCGCCCCAGATGGCGACCTCATCGCCCTTGTACACGGCCGTGTCCTTGACGCAGTTGTACGACGTGGCAAGCACGTCGGACAGGTACAGCGCCTTCTCGTCGGGAACGTCGTCAGGGATGGGCAGCAGGTTCACGTCGCCCAGGGGCACGCGCACGTACTCGGCCTGCCCGCCTGCGAAACCACCCGTGAAGTGCGAGTAGCCGAACATGCCTGCCGTCTGGCCGCCGTACATCGCGTGCTCGGTGGTGTTGGAGTTTGTGCGCTCGCACTGAGATGAAAGCTTTTGCTTGCAGAAGAAGCAGTCGCCGCAGGCGATCTGGAAGGATGCGACGTAGCGGCCGCCCTTCTTGATTCCTGTGACTTCAGACCCAACTTCGTCGACGACACCGCAGAACTCGTGTCCCAGGATGTCTCCTTGTTTCATTTGAATAACGCTGCCTGTTTGGATCATGAGCATGGGCGTGTAATGAAAGCCGTGCGGTTGTTGTCTAGAAACTACTTACCGTGAAGCAAATGAAGATCACTTCCACAGAGTGTGCTTCCGGTGACCTTCAGAATAACATCCCTTGGCTCGAGAATCTTGGGCCGCGGAGTATCAATAATCTCAACCTTATTTTTGGCTTGCCAAACGAGTGCCTTCATGGTCTCGCTCCTGCCGCTTTCTGAATAGTTGGTGACATCTTGTTGTGTGATGGTGGTGCCATCATGACCTACTACCTTTTCAGCCTGGAACGCTGCTTGTGTGACTGAAGCCATGACTTGGTAGGATGTAGATTAAAAAAGGGAACGGCTTTGGGGTGTACGTGGTGAGAGAAGTGAGTAGCTTGGTGTACGGAAGGAAAACGGCTTTCTTGTATTGAGAAGAAACGGCTGTAGACTTGTGGGCTAAGTGTCTTACTTATAAGTAGGCACCCCAGGACTCCGATCTACTTTGTGGAGACGACAAAATAGATATCGCCTGTGTGCGTGGGGATCCGAGAATAAATTCAGCTACACAACTACATCTCTTTCTTGACTTGGCCTGGCTCAATAGCCTGCCCGCGTACCCAATAATAGCAGGCAGGAGATATGGTTGGTATCCCAGGCTACCACTTGCTGGCCTTGACCAAGTCATGTGTCATCTTATTCTAGTTTGATTCTGTAACTCGGCACTTCCATTTCGCTGGCAGAGTCGAGCATCTCGGATGGTATTGTGGGACTTGCATCGCGGTAAAAATGACAAGGATCGCTTATGACGGACATCAGGCGTCATTGTGGTGACAGGCCAAGGGGCGGTACGCCTAGGTCGGATCTACCTCTGATAGGCAGAACCGACGTCATGGACTCATAGGCGAACCACCCGAGAAGCAAAGAGCCTCACCATATCAGGATCCCAAAACAGCCGCCGCAAAAAGAATCCCATGTTGCAGGATGCAACGGTTGGCTAATTAGCCTGCACTAATTTTAAGCTTGAAAAGCGCTTTGTCAGGTGCGATCTAGGCGTCTTCCGGACCACTTCTTCCGGCCATCACTAGCACATGTGCCCAGGTGGTTGTTGACTTGCTGGCTCCGGTCAGTTACGGCCTAAAACGTGGTCCTAACGCCGACGGGGAAACCATTTTCCCCAGGAAAACAGGAGTCTACAATTGCTGAGAAATCCTGCAATGCAGAGTCGCATTGAGGAAGAGTCGTCGACGACATCTTGTGTTCCCAACCACGAGACTGTGCTTAATGCGTTTTGTACAAAGTCCATTACGTATGTACCTAGGTGTTTCAATAGTTGCGCGTATCTGGCATGGCTCCACTCACCAAATATGTACCTAGTTACAATCTGGTAACTTGCCTAGGTGTGTTTATTTTTTTTCTCTTTTGTAACGCTGTGGACAAGCTCATCTCGTTCTCCACGATGTAATCTTCAATAAAGAGAAAAAGAGCAAGAACAACGCCAGGAAAAACCAAGGGCAACATGAGACCTCTCATGATGTCTTGACTATGCCATGTAAACCACATGCTAATGCCCAACCCTGAACACCTCTGCTCCCACCAAGAAATTCGGCAGGTGTGCGTGTCCAACCCTGTAATAACTCGGGCAAAATGAATTCTGAATGCTCCTCCATCCCCTATCACATCTGACTGGGAAATCATGGAGCTGGGGCTCGCTCGCCGTACGTAGAAGCTATAATTTTCCATCAGCCTTCAGCCACGGGCTCTCCTTCCGAGGCTCTAGACGTATACACTCGGCCAGCTGCTCCTCGGACAACTTGAACGCGATATAAGCGTCAATAAGGACCCTACCGAGGCGGTCTGACGGATCCGTGCACTCCTCCTTGTGCAATCGCCCCCAGTCCATCGCGGCCCAGTTGCGGCCCGCCGGGAACAGTTCCGTAAACCTCCTCAACTCCTCCCGGTCCAGCTCCTCCACGCGGTGGCGGTGGTTCTCCGCGCGGTCCGTCAGCTCGAAATCGAAGCACAGCAGGAGGAGCGCGATGGCGATCGACAGCGAGTGTGAGGCCAGTGATGAACCCGGACAGATCCTTCTCCCAAAGCCGAAGGCGAAGCTTGCGTGTGTGTGGTCGAGAGAATAGGACTTCGAAGGCGACAACTTCTGGGCGCCCGGTGGATGGGGTTCCTGCCTTGAGTCTGTGGCTATCCATCGGTCCGGGTTGAAACGCCACGGATCAGGGTACCGGGTGCGGTCGTGGTGCAGGCCGTAGGTATTTGCCAATACTGTACCTCCGGATGGTATGGTGACTCTTGTCTTGTCGCCGCCGACAACACCATCCTCCAGGTGCAGATCGTGTAGGCCGGGCTTCGCCAGCGTGCGTCCCACTCCGGAGCTCCCAGTCGGAGTCAACCTTAGTGCCTCCCTTACCACTGCGCTGAGGTATGTCATATGTTGCAAATCTGTAAATTCTGGCAGTGATTCCTCATCGTCCGACTTGCCGTATGTGGTCGCGTCGAGCTCTGCCTGTGCGCGCCTTGTCATCTCCGGGTAGCATGCAGCGGCAAGCAGGAATGTGTTCATGGTCATGGCTGTTGTCTCCGTGCCGGCCTCGAATATGCCAGCCGCGAGATACGCGATGTCGTCTTGATTTAGCTGCAGCTGGTCTCGTTTTCGAAGCAGCTCGGCGGCAGCACACTCCTCGGGGGCTATGACACTGTTTTCACCTTGGTCGGGTAAGTTGCAGCGATACGCCCTCTGGCTCCTGTCTGGTCTGACCTCGACACTATGAAGCAAGCTCTTGAATAATGCCATTTCAAAATGGTGATCCGAGATCAGCTTCCTCTTCCACGGCGAAATAAAGGTCGGGAAGATGTCTAGTATTGGGAAGTCTCCAACCCAATATCTTCCGGGCGTAAAGGCGCTTGCAATGTTCTGCGAAACTGTCCTCAGATCTTTCAAGATAGGGTCATCCGGGGTCTCAGCCCTGCGGGCGTAAGTGATCTGCAGGACGCTCGAAGCGGTGAAGCGCGATATCTCGTCCAGCACTGTTGTGTCGGTCCCAATCCGTGAGTTCCCGAGCTTGGCGATGCGGCCAACCATGATGACCGCCTCATGGCGCAGCGCTCGCGTCCACCTTGTACTGATCTTCTCCTTCGTCAGAAGCGATGTGAACGCCCGGCGATAGCGTGTCCAATCCGGACCGTACGGCTGGAGGACAATCCTCCGGCCGCGGCTGAGATACTTCCCTGCTGCGATCGAGGGCCGCCGAGAAGCGCACGCTCCAAGTAAGGCTTTGAGCGAGCGTTCATTTTCTGACAACGAGTTGATGAGAAGCGTTGTCTCTGAAGAATCCCGAGCCCCGTATACGCAGTGAATCAACCACCGCCGGAGTCGTGCCAGCAACGCGGTAGATGGGTGACTGATCAGGAACGCTGGCCCGTATATGTAGGACAGCCTGAGGTTGAACCTAGCCTCGTACTGTGGCCATCTGCTTCCGCCGTAGTATAGCTTTGTTCCGTCGATTCCGCGAGCTGTGTCCTCTTGCGCCCCGTACCAAAGCCCTTTAAGGCAGGACGTATACCGACTCAGAAGCAAGAGGCATGCCACTGCCAGCAGCGTTGGGACGCCATTGTGGATATCGTTAGCTTCTAGCATGTTCGGCGCAGACTAAGATGACCATGACATGCGCCGTGCTCGGCTGCTTTCTTTGCAGTACATTTAAAGTTTAGAATTTTTAGGGTAGCCAGCTGAAGTCTGACTCCAAGTGACACGAATCTGATTGGTGCCACGGTCGTTAGGGCCGTGCTTCCCTGGAGTTTCGGTGTCTCCTTGGTTGATCATTTCTGGGGTGGAAGAAGCCAAGCACTCAGATTACATGTCTCGTCACTAAGAATGAGTTATTTCGTTTACTTGAAAATTTGTCTCATATGGCTCAGCTAGGCATGCTAGGCCCATTTGTAGGCTATACATTGACTGACACCAATCGGCTAGGGAGCAATGCGTTATTCGAGGTGTCAGAAAACCACGCTTCTGGGCAGTTCTGCGCGACACTCCCTTGCAACACGGTTCATATTGACATTGGACACAACTTGAAGAGATGGGCCGGACACACGTCCTTGGGCGAATATGGAACGCACGCATGGGGTCTAGACTGTTCTTCCAGATGACCACCACCGGATGTTGTCAGCTCAACATAATCACTGCCCAGGTGGCGGCATAGTATACTGTGAAAAAATATTGAGAAAGAGAAAGATTCAAATTACCTAAAACAAATATTACTACTCTAGTGTAAAAATGCGAGGGCCTCTGCTTTCAACACTGTAAACGTTGTTGTGAACGTCGTTCAAAGGTCAAGAACAATATCATCATCGCCATTCACAATGATGCGACCACAGGAGCACTGACGCTTAGGCCGTTTGCATATTGAGCATCGATGTGACGAACATCACATCATCATAAGAGTCCGCAGATACTCTGGATGCTCTACTCCGGTGGTCCCAAGCTGACCGGATCGAGGCCATCCTTCAACTGAGACTTTCTGGGCATCTTCCCCAGGGCCATCAGCTCCGCGCTCTGAACCATGACCGGGTCCTTGCCCATGCTGGCAACAGCTACTACTGTCTCGCCCTTGGTGTAGAAAGCAGCCCACTTGCCCTCGTCCAGACTACCCTGGATAACGACGTCGTCGTATCCACCGACTGTGTTCCCACAGTAGCGGAGCTGTGCGGTCAAGGCGCTCCAGAATACGGGCGTAAAGGGGGCTGTCTTTCTCGTGGGCGCAACGATGTGGGAAGCAGCAGCCCGGCCGGCGTTTTGTGCGACGTTCCAGTGTTCAATGCGGATGTACTTGCCCTCGCCTCCTGGTCCGTGGTAGGGGTAGGTGGCAATGTCACCAATGGCGTACACATCTTTCAGCCCGACGACGCTGAAGTTCTCATCGGTCTTCAGACTGCCGTCGTCTTCAAGCTTGACAATTGTGTTGTCCTTCAGGAATTGCGTACTGGGTGCTACGCCGACGCCAAGCACGACGAGATCAGCGTCGAGGCGGGTGCCGTCCTTGAGCAAAACGGCGCCAACCTTGGACGGGTCGGACGTGGAAGGCTCGGCCTTGTCCACACCGGCGTTCATGTGGAACTTGACGCCCTTGCCCTCAAAGGCCTTCTGCAGAGCGCTACCAACTTGGGTTCCCAGGATACGCTCGAGTGGGGCGCCCTCCATTCCGATGACATGGACCTCGTTGTCTGCAACAGTCGCATTGGCAAATTCCATCCCGATGAAGGAGCTGCCTACCACGACAATCTTCTTGCCCTTGTCGCCGATCGTGTCCACGATCTGCTTGACGTCGTGGACGTTCCTTAATGTGAAGATGTTGCTGAGGACCTTGAACCCTTGCAGAGGGAGCGACTTGGCCGTGCCGCCAGTGGCCAGGATGAGCTTGTTGTAGCCGTAGTTACCGCCTTGTTTGGTTGAAACTGTCTTGTCGCCGAAACTGACGCCCGTCACCTCGTCATCCACAATCTCGACGCTGCCAGACTCGAAGAAGTCCTTGTCACGCAACTGGACCTTGCTTGGATCGGTAATGAGGGCTTTCGACAACTTTGTGCGGTCGATTGGGAGGTAGCCTTCGTTGGAGATCATGGTGATGGGGCCCTTGAAGCCGTTTGTACGAAGGGCCTCGATGGCACCGATCGCGCCGGAGCCACCGCCCACGACAAGGACCCTGTCCTCGACCGAAGCAGTCTCGACCTTGCACCTGATGTTGGGCTTGCGGCGGCCGGCCTTCACGGTAGCCTCCTCGGCGGAAATATAGACGGAACCGTCGTCTTTCTGGGTGACCTTGTAGACGGGGAGGGCATCGAGACCAGGGGCATCTTCGACGTCGCCAGTCTTCGCGTTGAAACAAGCTATGTGAAGAGCACAAAGTAAGCTTCTCAAGTTCTACGTTGCCTCGCAGTGTGGGAAAGGGAATGGGGGAAGGGCTAAGGGCCAACCAACCTCCATGCCAGGGACAAGTCAGACGACCGTTTGTGGTCAGAACCCCGTTGATCAGAGGAGCCCCGTAATGGGTGCACTTTGCACCAACAGCCTGAACCTTGCTGCCATCGTTGAGAAGGAGGACCTTGGTGTCGAGGCCTTCAACCTCGACCTCCTGCTTGGAGCCTGGCTTGAGGTCCAGCGAGGTGACGCCCTTGAGCTTGTACTCCTGGGCCATGGCTTTTGGTGCGGAGGTGCCGAAATAATATGTACTGCGCAGTGGTCTTCTGAAGATGGAGGCTGCAGTGGGACTGATCAACAAGGGCTTGAAAGCTCTGGAGAGGGAGATTGGTCTGGCCCTGGAGCAGATGGGATTCATGAAGCTTGATCCCTCACAAAGAAGGAGGGGGGCGGAGAGGGCGGCAACAGACGGTGAGGGAGGGGGCCCGGAGTCAATGGATGTATCAGCGCAGCGATAAGACGTCGAGCACACTGCCTGGCGTCTCCAACGTCCATTACCACACACCCTGCCATGCTGAAGGAGGGGCACTTGTAATATGGAAGCTGTGAGTGGTTGGAGCTCCCCCCAGGCCCCGGGGTGTCAATGACGGCATGACCAACCCCTGCAGAGGTCCGCTCGCCCCGCGTTCTGGTGGGGTGTCCGCCATTGGTCCATACCGCTCGCTCATGCCCCAAAGCTTCGAGAAGCCCTAAACTGTACTTAGTCCCCAGGTACTTAGGTACCTAGGAACGTTTCTGGAATAGCCGGCTTCAGGGCTTCGACTTCAGTCCACAACATCACTTGTACGTGCAATACACTTGCACAGAAGTGCAAAATTCTGCAATAGAACCTCCAATTTAAGGGACTGAACTAAGAAATGAATAAACCCTTTTCAATAAAACCCATGCTCAAGAAGAATATGGCTGCCCTGGTGCCCAAGCCCGGCCTGTTGCTGGTGGGTCATCATAATTCGGCAAGACTTCGATCATGGCCGGCGTCCTGCTCCACGAGTTGCGAACGCGGCCGGTGGCCTCAACATCTCCCTGTGGCACACATTAGTGATCGAGTGGTAGAAATCGCAGCAGAACTGGCTCTCAGCCGTGTCTTACAAGAGCTGATCTGGTTATCATAGTCACCACTGTAGTCGTCTGTTGTTTCATTGAGGTTGTAGTTGTAACTCAAGGTGACTCCGCGGTCGTCGCCCTTGTTGTCGCAATCGATAAACCTGTATGGACAGATAGGTCAGTACACCACCTCCTCATGTCATGGATGGGCTCATTGGAACATATCCAATGTGGTGTTATCCGCTACCCAACTTTAGAAGAGAATACGATATGACTGACTTGTAGAATTGGCAGGCCCCTCCTGTGTTGGTGCTCAGCGAAGAGGTCTTGTTCTCATATTTGTCTAGGAAGGTTTGGTTGCTACTAAAGCTGTCGTAGTTCACTGACATTTCAATACTCGTTAGCTAAGCTTGCGATACATCGGCTACAAGTTCTCTTTCAGTACATACCGCATAACCCCGGTGGTGCTCCGAAAGACAAGCAGCTGCCGCGGAAACCAGCGAGATCGCACTGGAGCACAAAGATGTACGGAGGAGTGACGATGGGCCGGTTCGGATCCGGGGTAATGTCAACAGAGACTTCCTGGCGCCTGCTCACGCTGCCCTCCAGAGTGATGAGCGGCGAGGTCATGAGGGCGTGGTAGGCCTCCGGATGGCCCGTCTTGACAGTGTGTTCTATGGCGAAAAGAGTGTTCTCTAGGATTGTGGGCACGGCATGTGAGACGTGAATAATAAGGGAAGCCACAATGGCTGAAACGAAAGTGGTGGTCTGCATGGCTGCTGTCGAGGCGGGATATGCTCAAGAGGGTTTGTACAGTGGATTACGGAAATCATCAACTTGCACTTGATGAGAACGACAACAACGCCGGTTTTATACTCAGGACATGAGCATACAATTATCTTCAGGACTCCAAACAGCTCAGTCGACGGGGTCTTGCCTCACGCAGAAAGATGGGCTATCAAATTGATGCTACAGTCTGGAATCGGCAGCGGCCCCGGTACCCGCAACCTTGAAGCACCCCAGGTTTTCGCGATATTTAAGCCTTGGTGAAGGTTTCCCAATCTGCAAGCCATAACAAAACTTTCTCGCACAAATGACCTGCTCATCAATACTTTATTGGTGTTTCGTGCGCGATTGACTTTCAGGTCTTTTACTATTGAGCCCACCACGAGAGGTACTTCCATATTCTCACTGGGCACTTCTCCCATGGTTCAGACCACACTCCCGGTTCATCCGAACCTCCATCGCAAGCCTGGGATGAAGCAAAGTCTAATAGAAGACCCCCTTAGTCGCGCCAGGAACGTCGGAATTTAGCCTCTCCTTAACTTTCTGAGATCGGAGTATTTGATCGGCATAGAGCCTGTTTTGGTGTGAAGTTACGATGCGTATTGACTTCAGGAAAACTGGGGGAAATGGGATGGTTATTCGTGGACATGAAAATAGTCTTTCCAAGAGCGCTTTTAATGACATTCTTTCCTCGTCATAGTTTATGTTCTGTCGGCCTTTTTCGCATTCGTTTTCAAGGTTGCTTGGCAATCTCATGTACTCACAACTTGCGCGCTGCCCAGCCACTTAGGCCGGACTACATGTGTACCAAGCTTGAATTGGAGTGTGTCCACGAACCTCTCAGGACTTTGCCCAAATTTCAATTCTGCTTGTGTGATTTTCCAAAAATAGACTTCCAAGGTTATTGTAATAAACCCCAAGTCCACACAGCGTTGCCTACCAATGTAACATCAATGATGGTTGCACGAGCACGCTGGCTACCACGCCCACACTATGGTGTTAATTTCTGTAGCCAATCTTAACAGAACTGAAGACCCAACAAACGGTTATGCAATACAATGCCGGCTACCACTCAAGAAATGATTACAAAGTCACTGTGAGGCCAGTCAGCTCTATACTACCTAGGTAATCAGAGATTCAGGTGGCGGCTGAGAAGTGGTACCCGCCCAGAGAGCCAGCAATGCCGCACGTGCGGTCCTCTTCTCAAGGCCTGTTTGTCTTCAAGACGACGGCCTCACGACTCGTGTACACCATAGAAAATCCGAGCACGCATCGGCCGACTGGAAACGCCTCCCTTTATGAGCACATGTGCAGGCTAGGGAAATGACCGCTCATGCGGGTAACCTTGGAGCATCACATGACAACTCTCCACACCGCAAAGCTTATTTGGATGCTCTGCCAAGCAATTATTTTAGACAGCGAAGTAGTGGTGTTCTCATTGACCTGTACAACACAGCTGGAGGGATATTGCACGGAGCTGTGATGGCCGGAAGGACCATCCATGTTCAAAGCGCTACACCATCCCTTGTAAATCCAGTGGCATACATGAAAATCCAATATGGGACATAGTTTCAGCTGCCGATAGACTTCCCACAAAAATTCGCCTTCTTTCCTTTACTTTGTCTTTCTTTTTAAAAATGGCATGTTGCAATCACAACTCTATTACGGGACAGCGGGCCCAGAACCCGGAAGAGGCATATTGTATTAGAGACTCGTTGGCCAAGGCCACATCTAAATCATCATATGGTTAATAACATTGAAGGCCATGTTCGCCAGAACAAAACTCATGAGATGAAATCCAGTGACACAAAGCTTCTTGATTGCGCTGAACACTTGTGTGTTTAATGTTGGGAGTTGTGGTCGAAGTGTAGCCAGGGGGAAAGAAGGTGGGAGTCACATTTGAGCGTATGGCGATGATGGACGAGCATACTCATCACAGATCAATTGAGAGTGCTATACTTCATAACATGCAGAATTACATGTAGACAGCATATGGCTTTACAATTGCATATTATGGATTTATCAAATAGCGATCCCATGACCTTCATTCTTCGCCTATTCTGTTTTATAGGCTCGCCCCCCGCCCCCAAAAGGATCCCAATGACGCTTAACGGAAACAAAGTCTATGAGCTAACATTCAAAAAGTATCCCAGAGTCACCCTGGCCCTCTTTACTCAAGTATACATGAACATATCCAGCACAGGTCGTCTCGCCGCTCAAATCCATGACATCCTCAATGATGACGTTTGGCACAATTGCCGCGATCCACAGCACATGCTGCAACGTCGTGACGTTGCCGTTGTCCCCGGAGTAGTCAAGTTACTGCTGCGAGAGGTATGAGTACGGCAGGATGTTTGATCAGTTTCAGGTATCGTATGTCCGACAATGGTGGTGCAGATGTTTCGTTCTCCTGCCTCCCCAATGGGAAGAATCAAACACTTCCTACGGCCCCAATATCCTAAGAAATATTGGACTAGTATTCCTCGTCATCTTCCTGTATCCATGAGGCTTAACAGCATTCGTACTGTGTGTCGTGTCCCCGGCACTACGGGTGTTAGCTTGAGGTCCACTTTGACACGCAAACAGTGGGCTTTGGGGCCCACGGGCCTCCTGTCCCGTCCCGCCGAGTCACGAAATCACAGCAGCACAGGCGACGAGGAGGGAAATATTTCCTGCTTGCTTGATGGGACTGTGTATGTCCACAAACGAGAGTCGGCCGAAACAGCTCCCCGCCCCCGCGAGGCTTTATTTTGATGCACAGTTACCACGAATATCGTGTGGTGCTGCAAGGTGGTGGCAGATGCCGTTGTGCCGTTTAACAGGCGTCTTAGCCCCTAGTCGCGTAAGTACCTACCTGGCAGGGTCGGATGTCGCGCTGGCATTAACACAGTTCTTATTCGTGACCCCCAACACGAAGACGTCTATACTACCTAGGTAGCCATGAAAGGTACACCGTTTTTTGTGGAGATGCCTTTTTTTCTGCCTTTGCAGCAATTGGAATAGAGCCTGTCTTGCCAAAGAATCACATTTGGAGTCCATGCTCGCGGGAACGGCTTCTCACCATATCTTGAGGGAGCGAGCGATACTGCTTCCTTTCGGATGTTACGGTGGCGTGGCGCTGCGGTCTGAGGCGCAGGGGAACGCTGACGTCCACCTAATAATAAGCACCTTGGAGGTCGCTTCCTTTTCTCCGTACTTCCCATCCCCTTGGCATTCTTAACAGCATCAAATGCCGAACAAACGTCATTCACGAGTTGCATCCAGCACTTTGCCTTCGAATGAATTTCTGTTGTACCCCAGTCTTGACATCCTGCGCACAGGCGCTCTAGGCTTCATACCCCTATTTTGCTAGCTTCGTGCTAACTTCAAGTTCTTCCCCGTGTGCCTACTCGGCCGTCTTCATACCTCTCCGGAATGTCATCAGATAAAGGAAAACGTGAAATGCCAAACTCTGGCTCAGAGAACAGAATGGCAGATGGCCAAGCCCAGCGAGGAAAACCCAGATTGAAAGCCCGAACAAGAAGCGGCTGTATTACTTGCAGGTGCGTGCCAACCTTCCTGTGGCCTACCACTGAATGTAGACAAGGAGCGGTTGAGGCGTGAGATTGCGCTGACAATAAGGGTAGGATTCGTCGGGTGAAGTGCGACGAGGCACGACCCAGCTGCAATAGGTTTGTAGTTTTCTTACTTGCTGGAGTCCTACTCTCGTCGACTGACATGGTTCAAGGTGTGCACAGTCCAAGCGCCAGTGTGATGGATATCTCACCTTGGCCTCTCAACAAGGAAGCTCGTCAGACGATGCGAAGGCGAGCACAACGTCAAAGTATCCCGGGAATACAGTCTCCCGTCGGGCGCTCGCCGTCGCTCTGCGGCAGCTGAATGTGGTTGGGCCAGCGTCACGCGTCCTCGCAGCCGGTGCTATGGTACCAGGAGATGCCGTGTCCTGCTTCGACTTCTTCCGCTTCCGTGTGAGGGCCACCACCCCGACAGCGGATCGCGACGCTTTGGGTGACACCCCCGGATTTTGGGACCGTACCCTTCTGCAGACTGCTCATGTAGAGCCTGCAGTGTGGCACGCGGTAGCAGCTCTGGGTGCGCTGCAGCGGAAGTGGGAGTTTGTGTCTCGACTTTCTCATGTCCCCCTGTCCAATTCTGAATCCCGATGCAACGGCAACGGCAATTCCAGCAACAGAGACGCAATATATTCCCAGGTGGCCCAAGACACAACAGAAGAACTGGAACACAGCTCCGTGCAACTGGCTGGTCAGGCTAGCACAAACTATGTCGAAGCTTTGAAGCTGGCCAGGACTACAGCCGACGTCAAGACAATACTGGTCTTGAGTATTGCCTTGGCCGCAGCTTCCAACCTCACAGGCAAGTGGTCCGACAGTAAAGTCCACATTGGCGCAGCTATCAAGCTCATCGGTCAACTGGCCGATGAGGCCAAGGGAACACCCATATCGGAAATGGACATCAACGACGCGGCTGATAGTCTGGCGAGGCTGGATATGCAGTGGCTCACATTTCAGGACGCCCAGGCTCCTTATCCATACAGGGAGAGTCAGCTGATGGCACACGCCCTGAGGAGGGCCCCGGAGATCAAGAGCCTTACACACGCCCAAGACCTGCTGATGGGTATCCTGAGAAAGCTTTGGGTGGGAGCGGGCCTAGAAAACATCGAGAAACAAGGCTTAGAAGATATCAAGCATGGAGACGCCGACATCCTAACAGAACTAGCACAGTGGGAGCACAAAACACTCCGGTTTCTGAGTCATTCACTGCCGCTCGCAAGGCCGGCAAGCTCAGGTCTACTGTTCCTGAAGATCTGCCACGCAACAGCCCGTCTTGTCATCTTCGCTGGAATCACGCATTCTGATTACAACGAAATGTCTTGGGACGGCTACCTCGCTCATTTCGAACGCATAGTAGCACTAAGTGCGCTGTTCATCCAAGCTGAAGTCAACAAAAACCCACTGCTTCCCTCAGAAGTGTCCCTGGATGGCCCAGGGATCATCATGTCATTATGGTTAGTTGCTTTCCGCTGCCGCCATCCCATGGTGCGACGACGTGCCGTCGGGCTCCTTCGGGTCTCGAGAAGGCAGGAGGGCATGTGGATGAGTACGAGCGCGGCAGTGGTGGCTCAAAAGCTCGTCGAGATCGAGGAGGGTGGCTGCCCAGGGTGGCGAGGGACAATGGGATCTTCAGGCTCGGCGTTGGTGCCTGCATTCTGCACGCTGGAACCAATCACAGCCTTTGAGCAAGATTTGACAAAGCAGTTCGAGGCTGAGGACCTGGATCCTCATTTGTGGCTATCGGGTGAGGGGCTTTGGGTCGCCAGGACGGAGTGGGATTTGCCTGGAGAGCAACTGATTCCTTTGGAGAGGCGTATCACAGAAGTATCTACTTTTGCCGAACCATACGACCCGAGGAGAGGGAAATCCAAGGCCGACATCACTTTGTTCTTTGCAGGCTTGGGCTCGAAAGGAGACACGAGGAGAGAAATCGTTTCGGTTAACTTTTGATGCATTTGATGATAACTCACATACTTCATCCCATCATTCTATGAGGACCCACTGCAAGATTTAGGAATTGGAATCACGCGTGAGAGTCTGTTGGAGCAAATCATCGATTGCATGTTACGGCACATATATTACAACGTGATACAGAACATTCGTCTTGTCCGAAGACGTTCTATAGGGGTGCTTTGAAAAAGTTTCGACCTTCCAGAATAAGCTCATAAAATGGCCGCTAGGTAGTGCTGACCGTTTCCGCAAATTTTGGATACGGACTATTTGTATTTGTTGACTTGACTGAACCGGAACAGCATACCTACCTAGGTAGTTACCCTGTATCCTCGTCGGACGACTGACACTATGCTTTCAGGTCAACAAAGTGTTATTGCAACCTTCTGTAAACTACCAGTATTCTCTCTTATAAGGACTCATTATTGCATGCTACACCTTACAGAGTTGCGCCGTGCCCTTTCAATGTCGTGTTGGTGCCGTCAAGGTTGCTATCGTAAGACGGGAGCAACCTAGTCTGAAGCCGACAACCTTGGAACTATTACAATGTGGTATCGTCAATGTGTGACCCAAACCTTCAAAAGATGTAATCATTCCGTCCACAGGATAAAAGATACACTAGTAGTAATTTCCCCCCTCCATACGCGCTGAGTCGACTACAATGTTATGTCTTGCCGCTGCTCTTGCTGATTCGCAGCCCTCGGGATTGGACAAGACTTTCAAATATACGGACACAAAAGACGGGCTTATTAGCCTATATCGACGGGGGCAGAGCGGATTGCAATCACAACGGAGTTGGAGTTTCTAAACGTACTTACCTAGACCGAGTGGATAATAACAGGATGGAATTGAATGGTTGCAGAAAAGCCAACAGCTTGAGACACCACGAGCAGTGAAGGGGAAATTAAGTAATGAATTTCATGCAATCGACCTAAACTGTATTAAGCTATATCTATCGTCTAAGTGATGTCGTCAAATGCTCTCTTGGCTGTAATTAAATATTATGATGCACGAGTTGGAGAGAAGCTCCTTCGAGTATCAGGAGGTCCTCCAAAGTATATATATAGGCAGGGATTGACACGCACTTATCGTTCTTCTATACAGACACAGCACAGGAGCCTCTTCCCTCCCGCTGCCGCAGTGGGGGTATCATGATGACAATCTAGAATACATGTAGCAACACCAACACAACCTAGACGCGGTCCAAAGCCCCACAATAGTCGGCTCTCTCTCTGCGATAACACTCTCCGACTCATGCAAGAGTAAATCGTGGGATTGACATCAAATAACCAAGCAAGCTCAGCCCCACGAGCCCGCTGAACAGAGCAGCGATGGGGCTGAAGCAGTGTGGTTTTGCGTATATAAGTACATTTACTCGTCGAGTGTTAATGCGGTTGTCGAACATGACAACTTAAGAGAACTCCAGTCCAATGCACATCGTTCTGTTTCGCTGACGAGACCCAATATGAAATACACCCACATGTTATGCACGCTCGAAAAGGAAATGAGACAAAGGAAAATGACAAGCCTGGAGAGGCTAGGAATCGCCCTACGTTCCCCACAGTCGTTGGCCGTGGGGTTAGGCGCTGTGGGCGGGCGAGTGCCTCGACGGGCGTTTAGAGGCCTTCTTCTTCCAGAATTTCCCTCAGTGCTTCGTGATCAACAACATCGGGGACAACCTTGGCTTGTGGACCCCGTCGTTGATGATAAGCGAGGTACTCTTGGAAGCCCGGGATGGCCCCGGGCTGGTTGATACCGAATGTGCGTGGTGAGAAGGTCGGCTCTTTGGGCGCCTGCTTCTTTGAGCCCCCATTGCTAGAAGCTTGAGGCACTTCAATGACTGACGTGGCCGGTGACGATGCCGATGCAGGGTTCGGTGATATGCTCCGGCTTCTTTCGGATGTTGGCGTGTTCGTCGCGCTATCTTGGCCTTTGCTATTCGTGCTTGCCCAGGGCCGCCAACCTACCAGCTTCCCAAAGCCGACGTGCGACGCGGACCGTTGAGGAACTTCTGGTGTGCTCGCAAGTGAGGACAACGCAAGTGAGGCTGATGCGGAGCGGTCGCCCGTGCGTAGGTTCGAATTGCTAAGGAAAGCCGTGCTGCCTCTCCAGCCGTCGGTGCTGCCCCTGGCGATTGTGGGCCGGGCAGTCACGGTGCTCAATTCGATGTCAGCCGCTGCGGCGCCTAGCGGTCGAAACGAGAGTTGACTGGGGCGCGATTTCAGCGTGTGTATATCAAGCCCCCCAGTGAGGGACATGATAGACTCGGATGATGCAGCACGGTGCAAGCGAGGACGCGTATTCGTCCTATAGCAGTCATCATAGCAGGGCGTGGGTGGCATATTCGAAGCACCATCACCATCGCCGGTGGAGTCTGTCATCAGCTCGTCAGGTGAGACGCCCGTCGTGGCAGGACCATCTTCAGAGGTGGTCATTATAGTAGGCAAATTCTCTTTCGGGTTCGAACTGTTGCCATTTCCATGGCTTCTGGCAGTACTCTGTTGGTCTTCCGGAAGTCCGTCGAGGAACAAGGGCCTGGGTGTTGAGAACTTGCGTCTAGATGCGTCCGATGCTTGTTTTTTGTGTCTGGTCCATGCCGGTGATGTGGGATCTATACTAGTGACAGGCGAGGTGGGATAAGACGTGTCGTGACCTGTTCTGTCAAATATGGAGCCTCGACGGTTCGACACCGGGGAGCTAGGAACAGAAGAAGGTGCGAAATCGGATGGCTGCTCAGAGAAAACGGACCATCTCGTTGATGGAGCTGTGGATATCGAATCTCTGACTGAGTGTGAGGTGTGTGGCAGTCGCCAGTGAGGCAGACCAGGGCTCGGCGGTGAGGAAGGTCCAAAGTTCCTCGCTGGGTTGAAAACGTTGGGAACCAGGTTCTGTCGCTTCTTCTTGGGTTTCTTGGGCTCGGCCGGCTTCTCGACATGGTAATGGTGGTGGATGTGCAATTCCTGGGATACCGATGCAGCTGGCCTCGATCTCTGCTCAGGTGATCTTGGCGAAGTGGGTGATGAAGGCTCTACCTCGTGCGTGTCCAGCTCGGCTCGTAGTGTGCTTGCCGCACTGTTGGCCTTGCCGTCCGCGGGCTGGTGGAAGATGAGCTGCTCGCGCAGATGTTGTATCTCGTCGTTAGAGTTTAGCAGCAACTCGCGCAGTTCTGCCATGCCCACTTGCAAATTCGCATTGTCCTGCAGCAGATCCCGCACAAAGTGGGAGACCACCGTGCCTCCATCGCCCATCGTCTTTGCGGCCGCCGCGCCTTTGAGTCTTCCAGCAGCCGTGTTGAGACCCTTCTCCATAGACCGTTGCTTTTCCATTCGAGCCAGTACCTGGGCGTGACGTTCTCTTTCCTCATAGGCCTCCCTCTCGATTCTCTCCAGCTTTTCCTGGAGGTCCGAGATGCCCTTTTCCGCCCTACGCCACCTCTGCATAGCAGACTTGGCCTCGCCCTCGGTCGTCACCAGAGTGTCGCGCAGGGCCGCCTGCTCGGCTTCAAGGTCGGCGATTTGGTCTTCCATCGCAGCCGCTCGTGCCTCGGCGCCCTGCAGCTTCCGGATGGCCAGTTCTGAGCTCTGCAGAGTTGCCTCGAGGGTCCTTATCTGTGTCTCGGAGTCGATGACAGAGTTGTTGAATGATTCGAGCTGGTCGAGCAGTGCGCGATTCTCCTGGATGGTCCTCGCGTTCTCTTGTTCCAACGTCCTCTTCTCAGTTTCGAGCTGCTCTATGCGCGACTGCATCTCGAAGCGGTCGCGCTCAGCAGAGGCCATGTAGGCCTCGTGGCGAGCGAGAAGGGCCTGCAGAGCAAATGTCAGCGCCGGGAAACCATAGATCTCCGATCGAGGCTGCGCATCTTGTAGCATAGAAGCACAGGCATGGTAGGGCGCTGGTGACGTCCTTGCGACGCCAGGGACAAGTTCATATGAATGAGCGGACATTGGAAAGGGGTGAACCGGGTCAGGAATGGCCATGTCTCGCAGAGAGGGCAGCAGGAAGAGCGCGCTGGAGGAAGAGGAATGTGAAGGTGATGTGCCAGGGCGCGATCGTGCTATTTAGAGGCCCCACAAACTTTGCTGTGCCCTCCATGTGCTTCACTAAGAGTAAGACATGTACAACGTTCCCCGGAACACAAAAATAGTACAACAGGCGGGAAGGTGGTGGCTGGCTCGGTTGGGGGCTGAGAAACTGCGGGCGACGTACCTGGCCCAGCTTTGCAGCTGTGTGGACATCCTTCTCGACGCTGTCAAGGACAGAACAGTTGTGCTTCAAGTATATGCAATCTGTATTTCCACAGCAGCACTGCAGTGTCTCAGGCTGGCTGCCAGCCACCGCCAGGGTGTCCAGGTCCAGCCGCTCGGGATGAGGATCGGCCATGGCTGAAGTGCTACAGGATGGGTCGCGATAATGGCAGATTGGGCAGGATGGCGGGCGCCAAGTGATCGAGGGGGCAATAGAGCGGTAGTGGCTGCGAGTAGGCGAAAGACATGTCTGTTGGAAGGTCGTCGCGGTGGTGGTGGTGGTGGTGGCGGTGTGCGTTTATTCTCGAAAAATGAAGGTTGTTCGTGAGACGGTTGCAGCAGTCAGTCAGTCGGTTGGTGATGGTTGCGCCGTGTGTGTTTGTGTGAGTGTCTCGGATGGTCGCGAAGTGAGAGTGGTTCGAAATGGGAATCAGAGGCACAGGATGGGAGAGGCACGTCCTTCTGGTCCTTTGTGGCTGCCGTGACCCAACTCACATGCCGTGAGCGGCGCTGGCGCTGGCGCTGGCGCTGAAGATCGGTCGTCCCGCCCAGCCAGACCGAGTTCCAGTCCAGTCAAGAGTCGAGGACGTGCAGCGCGATGCGGTCACACGGGACAGGAACAGGAAATCCAAGGAAGCCCAGGCACAACAAAGACGTTGTTAGTGTGCCCGCCTGCAGAAACGGCAAACCTTGGAAGCAAGGGACCTGGGGGGTGAGGGACCGGGTTTGGTAGGTTCTTTTGTAGCTCCGCTAACAGCCGCTCCGCAAATTCGGGTGGGGTTCCCGATAGCCCCAGATAACGCACGACAGACCCAGCTTGACGGGAGATGCGAGCCAATTTCCACGTTGCTTCCTGCGGTGAGGCGCTCAGTCCTGCTGCAAAGGTGAGCTGTCATTGCAGTCAGTCAACAGGCGTGCTGTGAGCACTGCCCAACTGTTCGTGACAGTCGTCCAGCTTGTCACTTTACTACCCAGTACTCCCTACAATGTCGTCTTGCTTGCACAAGAATGGACGAGGGAGGAAGTCTCGTGCCCCCGGACGAAATGAGACGGCAAAATCCAGTTGACGCGTCAAGGCTTTTTTGTTCCAAGGAATAACACGTGGATTTAATTGATATTGATTTCCCAATTTCTTAGCCCTCATCTCGGTCAGTTTGAATCCAGCGACGCGACAACCAAGGAGCCCCCGGCGATAGTTGCTATTGTAAACAATCCTACCAGCAGATCCCAGTCAGTTATCAGATGACGGCATATCCTGGTGGGCATATCCTGGTGGGCACACGGGGAGGAGCATCCTTGCTGGCGCTGCAGCTTGTTGGGGGCCCTGGGGCCCAAGGAACCCTCCACGAACCACTGGGCGACAGTGAGGCCTCGACATCGAACCGAATTTGTCGAATGTGCCCACCTCGTCGTGGACGTCCACGCTTGGTCAGCCTCTACACGGCCTCTTAGGGGCTAGAACGCTTTACCTGGCCCAGTTCGCTGCAGGCTCAGCTGTTGGATACGTTGGATACAGCTTCAACATCGGAGCTCTGGTTCCACTTTGGGCCTTGACGCCCCGTCGAAACAGAGTTGTCTCGTGGAACCCACATGCATCTACTCCGTACAAGTCACAACAGTCTGCCACGACATTGACCATGGTGGCCGAAGCGGGTGAAGCCGCCGCACGTCTTTGATCTGTCTTTACCATGCGTCCTCGAGTCAGCTTCAGTGCTGGTCGAGAATAGCGTCAACAATAGGTGAAGAAACAAGGCCAAAGTTCAGTTCGACACAGCATTTCAGCTCTGTCTGGAATTTCCTCCTTCACAAGTCGTGGCTGTGGTCAGACGACGACGACGACAACAACAACAACGACAACCCCACCATGTTGAGAAAAGGATTTCATCCCAAACTTCATCGAGGACCCATTTGCAGAATCCGGCCCCGGCCATGCAGTCTACCCTGTCCGGCTGCCAGCACCCGGCTCGCTACCAGTTGCCATGTCGTTGTTGTACTGTACCACAGTACTCCTCCTCCGTACCGTGGCACCCGTACAGGCCTAAGCAGTCGCGCCAGCCGCCTTGCCACGTGCTTTGTGACCGCCGCTTCGACTCATCGTGGAGATTCTGTTCTGCACAATGGTTCTTGCCGCCCGCTTGTCCTGGAGTACGGAGTACAGTGCGGTCTGCACCGGTTGAAACGCGGGATCCCCCGTCTCGGCGGGCCTTGGGATCACTGCCCCGAGCGATCCACTTCAGCGCCTTGCTTCGACTTTGGTCAGGCTGTGCCATTTCACTTTGCGGTGACATGATCGTCCCCGAGGCAACGCGTGTCTCCCTCGAGCGGACATTCATTGACACCTGACACGCCGGCTACGAGCCATCATGTAGCCATCTCGCTCCCGACTTCTGCGTCCTGTGGCCTTTTCGCGCTCCATAGGCACGGTCCAATGGACAGGCACGCAGATACAAGTGGGCCAGCAGGTGTTCGCGGTAATGAAAGGCTTAGGAAATGCTCACCTCTACATAGTACACAGCCATGAATCGCCGTTTAGTAAAGGTGCCTTTAGAACACAAGTCGACGTCAGCGGGTCTTACACAGCTGCTCAAGGACGATGGCCGCAATTTCGGTAACTTTAAACTAATAATGGCAAACGGCTTGATCAGTGTCGCCATGAGGCTTCTGACTCCTCCACAGATGACCTGACCAATGTCGCTAACAATGCAATACATTCAAGCTTACTGCATGTGTGGTATATGTCTCTACTATCACTATTAAGCGGACTGCACGCCTTTGCCGGAGGCTGTAGTAAGTAGCTGCGGCATTCGGCCCATTTCGGCCGACGGACGGACGAACTGACGAATCGATTGCTGCCAAAGCCCTGGAGCCATTATATCCGAGACCTTCCTCAGCTGGGCTGACCAAACGGCATCAGCAACACCATCCCGCCACGTCTTTTCCCCTCAAACGCTGGCGAACACCATTATTTTTGGCTTCTGGTTTGGCTTCAAGGTTGACTTCAAGGCCGACTCCGGAGGGTAGCCTGAGCTGCCATTCAGCTTTCCACACGCCTTTTCCTCGTTCAGCACCAAGACTCGCAAATTACAAGGCTTCGTCCGGCGCTCGGCCGAACCTGTAGGGCAGCAAGTCAACCACCTCACAGAATCTGGACTGCAAGATGGCGGGGCAACAAGGACTTCAGGAATTCGAGCCGCCTGTGAAGAGGAGAAAGATAAGGAAGGGCACAAAGTCGTGTTGGGAATGTGAGCCTTTTCCCTCCCCTTGCTGGCAGACAAAAAGCGCTTGCGACGGCCTATAAGTCGCGGCACGTTAGTCGGTGCTGGCGGATTTCCACCAGGAATTGTAGAAGCCTCGGATATCAATCTCAAATCAGTTTTTTTATAAAATTTCTAATTGGTCTCAGGTAGGAAACGGAAAATCAAGTGCCAATTCGATGGCCCCGAGGACGCAGTGTGCGTCGGCTGCAAGCAGCGGGATACGGCATGTCGCAGCCAGGAGTTTGACGATAGCTCTGGCATTGCAGGAGGGCCGGGACAGAAGCCCGATCCGCCACTTGTAAAGAGACTTGACCGCCTTGAACAAATGATGGAACGGATCGTGGACAAGATTGTGCCCGATGATGCGTATGATCAAGGACCTCACCCAAGCCACCGGCCGCAAAGCCCGCTGAGTCGGTCTGCATCAGCTGGCGAGGGACATATTCGCGTGCGCCACACCTCGTCCCCGGACGGCATCGAGGCTTCTCATACCCGCGCCGGGCCTATCGCTGCGCTGCTGGCTATGCACCATGACACTGGTGGGCCGTCGGAGTCCACGGCGCTTGCGGCGCCGATCCTCACATCCGCCGAGTCTGCCAGCTCGTCCTTTCCCGTCCCTGACACCGCAAAAGATGAAGCCTCAGGCTCTGCGGCGCGCTCAGGACGGGAGTTCCCTTCGCCGAAGCACTTCTGGGTGTGTACCGCGCTGCATTCCATTATGCCGAAGCCCAGCATTCTGCAAGCGATCGTTTCCGCCAGTCCGGGTGCTCCATATATCGCGGCTCTCTGCTATAGCGAAGCTGAGAGGCACGAGGGGAGAGTTGTGCCTGCGTCTTCGTGGGCTGTGGTAGCGCCAGTTTCTTCACACCCGCTTATTCTTGCCAAGGGGGTACTTCAGATTCTCATCTGTGTCCAGCAGCTACCGCCAGCCTTCGACTTTGACTCACTCGGCCTGGGTCATACCCAGACCGAGATGATCGACCGGTTGGACACGACTTGCCTTCTTGTCACCTCGAACGATGGGCTGGTTGGGTACGCTGAGGGCGTCGAGTGCCTCATCCTCCAAGGATACTTCCAAGCCAATGCCGGCAGTCTGCGCAGTAAGCATCACTTCTCGTCTTTTACGGATCCCGGTTTTTCACGTTTTGGTATTTTCTAGAACACAACACTTTAGGACCCGTATCAGGACTAACGCCACCATCAGAGGCTTGGATGACATTCCGAAGGGCCATCAATATGGCGCAAATCATGGGTATGGACCGCGGTCACTCTGCAGCCTTCCGGTCGTGCGATCCCAAAAGCGACCCAGCACGGAGGCCGTCAGCCGCTTCATTGTGGCACCGCCTCCTCTTCTCCGACAGATACCTGTCCCTCCTGCTGGGTCTCCCCGTTTGTAGCCAAGATTACGGAAGCGACTGCGAGGAAGATGACCCTCGTGGAACTGCCATCGAGCGAATGGAGAGGGCGCACACGATCTTTACGTCCAAGATCCTGGATCGTAATTATATTCAACAACGTAATAGACGTTGCGCCACACCGAAGACCACGCCACGCGAATACGCACTTACTCAAGAGATCGATCTTGGCCTAGAAGCAGCCGCTAAGAGTATGCCCTACGGGTGGTGGGAGGAACCCAAGCTTGATCCTTTTGCTTCTCAGGAAGTTCTCTGGGAGGCTACCGCGAGAATTATCTGCCAAATGCACCACTTCACCCTTCTGATCCTGCTTCATGTTCCCTATATGCTCCACGAGCCTTCCTCTTCACGGTACGACCATTCCAAGAGCCAATGCCTCACAGCCGCACGAGAGCTGCTCAGTCTCTTCATCTCCTTCCGGAACCACAATGTTTCGGCATACAGTTGCCGAAGAGTGGATTATGCAGCTCTCATAGCGGCCATGACACTTTGCCTATCGTACCTGGGCAGGAGAAAAGGGGAGACATGGGACCGGATCAGAAGCGACATGGAGGTGGTAGAATCGACAAGGAGGAGGATGAAGCACGTAGCGGGGCTGACCAAGGACGGCCTGAGCAAGGAAGCCGTTGGCATAATCGAGCAGCTGGCCCCCATCATCGAAAAGGCCGCGGGGAAGCTGCCAGTGCGGGACAGGAAAGACATGAACTTCAACGTGCCCTATCTTGGCTCCGTCAATATCAAGCTGGCCACCAACAACCACCCCGCAACAAGCTGGCAAAATCATCAGCAACCCCCTGCGGCGGATCCCGGCTCAGCACATCCGCAGGGCCAACCCAAGACGACAGGCTTTGGCTCGCTTGACCCGGCCTTTCTCTTCGACGAAGACTTCCTCTCGCTTGCGCCGTATGATGACCTGGCGCCGTTTGGCTCTGGAACAAGTGTGAGCACCGAGCCTGATCTTACCGCCAACGGAGGAGACTGGGCCCTTCAGGGTGTCGATGCGGCGTACTGGTCGCTTTTCGAAGGCGTCTTTTGAATTATGTGTCGTGCAATTGGGGCAATATGATTCAAGAGTGCCGTTCTGAAGTAACGGCCCTGCATTATTTATTCTACATGTTGAAGAAGACTTCATATAGTCTGCACTGTGAGCTTTTTGATCAATCCATGCATGCTAGCTTGTTCCAAGGTTCTGTCATGAGACACGCTTTACGCAATTAACTGCGAAAGATCAACTGATAGACCCTCTTTCTTTCCACATTGTAGATGGATTTTCAATTTCAGAATTGACCAGTCGAGAGATATCTAGTCTGAAGGAGGATTGTAGCACACGAAGATGAAGTAGAGTCTACCATGGTGTCCCCTGTCACTTGTTCCACTCATTAGTCCATTGAGACATCAGCCGCAGATGGACAGAGCTAACCCATGCAGGTCAGCCGATAGCTGTCTTCAGCTGTGTTCGTGTTTACCACCGAGTCCCGTCCACTTATTTATCCATCCATCGCAGCTCATCGTGCTCAACCACATAACAGACACGTGTAGCGAGTTCCTTATTTTGATAAGTTCAGCGCCCCTACGCCGCAAAGATGTCCTTCGGCTTCGGGATCGGCGATATAATCGCCTGCTCCGAGGTCGCATGGAAGACCATCAACGCCCTCAAGTCCGCGGGCTCAGACTTCGAGGGCCTCCGCCTCGACCTCGCCAGCCTCACATCTGTCCTCCAGGCGCTCGAGGCCGAGGCCAAGGGCCCGATGCCGCTGATCAACACAGCGAGCGCGGAGCGGCAGTACCAGATGCGCCTCCTGCTACGCAACTGCAAGGAGAGCATGGAGGACCTGCAGGGCGTTGTCGGCAAGTACAGGGGCTGGAATGCTGATAAGAAGAGGGACTTTGTGGCGTGGATGAAGTTCGCAGCCAAGGACAAGCGGGGCCCGCGGGAGAAGCTTGCTGTGCACACAGCGAGCATCAACATATTCTTGACCACTTTGAGCCACGGGTCGTTGGCGAGGTTGGAGTTCCTGATCAAGAATGGCTCACAAGCGGCCCAGCAGACGCGCGTTCCGGATGGCCCAAGGGACCTAGATTTATCTGCTTCTGAGGCGCCATGGAGTGGGTCGCATTCGTCTTCCAAGAGAGAAGGTGCTGTGTGGCAGAATATTGGCAGGTCACTACAGAGCGAGGGTATCACCGACAAAGATATCCACGCCTTTCAAGAGGAGATCAAGGCTTACGCACGCTATCTCGTGCGTGGAGAGACCCCGTTTTGGAAAGAGCCCGTTTTGGTGTCTGGTTCCAACGAGGTACACAAGGTGGCTGAATTACGCGAGCAAGAAGACCGGAGGCGACAGGCGGAAGAGAAGGAGCAGATGAGGAGAAGAATCGAAGAGAGGAGGCGAAAAGAGGACGAATGGAATCGAAGGCGTCAGCGTGAGGAAGCCATCATCAGGATCGAGGTGGAAGAAGAACGGAAAGACCTCGGGTATGAAAAGGTTGCAGAGGCGCGTCGTCAAGGTGTCCAAGTGAGACCTCCGGCGTCGATAAGTGCTAGAGAGGAAGAGGAGGCCAAGAAGTCAAAGCTTAGGGAGGAGCTGAAGCAGGCCCGTCGGTCACAATACCTCGGTGCAGCCGTAGTGGGCGAATTGGAACCGGAATTGGGCAAGGCAAAGATACGCGAGGAGGAAGAGATGAAGCGCCGCAAGGAGGGTCCAGCTGTAATAAGGTCCAGGATCGATCAGGAAGACGATGTTGTCTCCTTGGCCTACACTTTCCAAGGTCTGTTTGACTTCGAGGCAGAACCCACACAAGCAGCACCAGAAGTACCGGCTCCCGAAAAGGACTCCGTCTCTACGACTATCCCTATAGTCGACGAGGACAAGGAATTTGAGCGGGAGAGGCGCACTGCGCGGGTATATGAGATCCAGAAGAGGCTTGGGAAGCTTGTGGACAAGCATGACCGCTATATTCAGGAAGGGAGGAGAGACAGAGTGGCAGACCTTGAGGTGAACGACATACCCGACCAGGTCAGGCTATTGAAACTGGAAGGGGTGGATGTCTCTCACGAAAGGGCTTGGAAATGGACTCATCGATGCAACGTTTGCCATTTCCTTATCCCGAACGACCACTATCACTGTGTAAAATGCGGAGGTGGAAATTGGGATGCGTGTCAGGAGTGCTGGAATGAAGGCGCAAGGTGCAATGGTCCTGGGCACCACAGGATTACCTTTAATGGTAGAATAGTTGTCTGAGGTGATGCCTTTAAATTTGGAATGATCGTCAAACGTTTTCATCCCAAGCACTTGAGAGAGGTGAAACTTGTCCCCTTCGTTATCCTCATGTGTCTCCGCGGGAATATCACTCAACACATGGTCTATTCGGCGATAAGATCTCCATATCAATCATATCTCAGGGCACACCACTTATACCTCGTTTGGTTTGAATTCCAAGGAACCTTCAAGCGATAGAGAGATAGAAGTATCTGGGTGGCACCTAGTAGTCAAGCCGGCATATCAAGGACATAGGACTCCAGCACCACAATGATTTGGTCTCCGAGAGATTCTGAAATGAGTTTCTCAGGGGTGTCCCTGAAATTTCGGCATGCATGCATGCACACCTGATTTTCTGCTCAAGCAGCAAGAAAAAGTAGGTGTCCGGAACATTTGAATCACGCTGAGGCAACAAGAGGCAAGTTTTCGAGACAATGAAAACAATCAAACATATCTGAAAGTCTTCGGTCAAAAAGTGAACTTGGAACTCTCAATTGTGTTTAAATGATTATAAAATATCAAGGCCATCAAATTGTCTTGTCATCTGCATCTCATTGGCAATGGCAATGGCTTGGGCAATGCCTGCAAGGCACAGATCAAGGTATCGCCGCAGATCCACGCCACCCCTGCAACCCCACGTTTCCAGCAGCCCGCTGGCACGGCAACGCCGGCCGAACAAAACAATGACTCCCAGCTTCCAAAGCTTCAGCCCATATCCGCAGGGTCCTCGCATTGCACCCTGGATTAAGTGCCGACACGTCACGCGTGAAACTTTGCGACACCAGCATTTATTTTACATCGTGCCCCCCCACACAGATCACCACCATGGCGACCTCAGAGAAGCCCGGCAAGAAGGAGAGGGACCCCTCCAAGGTCCACAAGCTGTCCCTCAAGGGCAGCGCCCGGCTTGTCGCCGAGTTCGTACGTTCGGTTCCCCAGCCTGCTACGCCCAGCCCACCATTGAATCGCCTGCCTCCTAGGCGGCGGCCGTGGCGTCCCCCCCTGACTGACAAGAATGAATCCTACAGTTCCAATACTCGATCCACTCCATCCTCTACCAGCGCGGCGTCTATCCGGCCGAGGACTTCACCGTCGTCAAGAAGTACGGCCTGAACATGCTGGTCTCGGCCGACGACCAGGTCAAGGCGTACATCAAGAAGATCATGTCACAGCTCGACAAGTGGATGGTCGGCGGCAAGATCTCCAAGCTGGTCATCGTCATCACGAACAAGGACACCGGCGAGCACCTGGAGCGGTGGCAGTTCGACGTGCAGATCTTTGCCCCGGCCAAGTCCTCAAAATCCTCAAAATCATCCTCATCATCCAAGTCAAAAGACCCACAGGCGAACGGAAAGAGCACCACGACAACAACAGCAACAACAACAACAACAGCAGAAACAGGGAACGAAGAAAATGCAGAGGGCCGGGGCGCAGGCGCGGCGGCAGTAGCAGCAGCAGCAGCGGCAGAGAACAAGACGGAGGCGGAGATCCAGCAGGAGATCGCCGCCATCTTCAGGCAGATCACCGCGTCGGTGACGTTCCTGCCGCAGCTGGACGCCGGCGAGTGCACCTTCAACGTGCTCGTCTACGCCGACGCCGACAGCGAGGTCCCCGTCGAGTGGGGCGACAGCGACGCCAAGGAGATCGAGGGCGGCGAGAGGGTCCAGTTGCGCGGCTTCAGCACCAACAGCCACAGGATCGAGACCCTCGTCAGCTATAAGCAGAAGGACTGGTAGCCCGGTCGACGATCCCTTCTCCGGAGCTGGTCTTATGGCGGGTGCGGTTTGGGCTGCGAAGGGAAGGAAGCAGACAGTCGCTTGTTACGATTTCTGTGTTTCTTTCTGAGAAACGAGGGAGGATACGATGATTGATTGGATGATTTCGCCATTGGTTTCCGCTGTAGAGTGAGCTGAACGAGGTCACGGGCATGATGATCCTGCAGGACTACTCTGTTATGATGGCATATATTCACAGGGGCGATACGGAGTTTGGATGGTTGTAACGGGCGGTAAAGACTCTTTTTTTGTAATACCAAATCCCTTTTGCGATTCTCTCGACTATGGCCGACTGCTTTGCTTTTGGTCGTACCAGTCAGATGCATCATTTTTCACGTGCTCTTCTCATGAAATCGTCTTCTAGCTCTAATGGCCCTCGGGCAACCTCACACCGATATCCGCACAACGCCGTTTGGCTTGCTTTCCTTCGCGGAACGCAGCCCATGCTTCCGGTACAACACGCTCAATTCTGCACACGCTTAAAGAAGTAGGCGTACCCAAACTTGCGCATCTCTTCGATATCGACAGCCTGGACGACCTTCTCGTCATTGAATAGAACCCAGGAGGGCTTGTCCAGCTGCTTGCGGATGAAGGCCACGTAGTGTCTACAAACCAGTGTCAGTCATTCAGATCCAGAGCAGGTAGTCACAAGTTGCGGCGTATGTGAACATGGCCATGGGAGAACACTTACCCAGCATGGATGCTCGTGCCCTTGTGGCATACAATGCTCTGCAACTGGTATACAGCGGGCAGCGATGCGCTGCCAGAGGGCTCATCAGAGCCGGAGCTTGCGCCAACCGCAGCACCCTCGTCCTCATCCAACGTGCCAGAGTCATCTGGATGGCTGAATAGCCACTCAACTGCCCGTTCCATGTCGCCGCCGGTTTCCTTCAGCGCTTTCTTCGCCTTGGGTACATCGAAACCCATGGAAGTGAGCATCTCGATCTGCTCTGGGGTTGGACCAGCGCCGGCGCCTCCACTGGCGGAGGCACCCAGCTCCAATGGGGCATCGATATCTGGGTCTTCCATATGTGCGAACAACCATTCCATGGCTGCGTTAGCATCGCTATTGCCTGTTGCGTGTAATGCTTTCTCGCAACGCACACGCGGGAATCCCATTGCCTCCAGCTGAGCGAGACCTGTCTCGTTGGGCACAAATGCGGGAGCTGCCGAAGCTTCTTCCTCGGGGAGGGATTCTTCGTCTGGCTGTTGACCAGCGGAAATGTACTTGTCCAGGGTGAAAGGCTCATCAAGAATGATCACGGGAACATCAACTTTCACCTCGACCCAGTTGATGATGGCCATCCTTCGCGCATTCACGGCAAGAATCTCCGGGAAGGTCTTGAAGAGCGTTCGCTTGTTATAACCGTCTTTCGAGCCACATGAAGAGCAGGTCAGCTCCACTACCTCGTCAACAGTGAAGTCGTCCAGGCATTGGGTGAGTGTCACGGGCTTCCACGGTGCAGGGCCTTCCTCGCCTTCTTTCTGCGGCTCTCTCTCCACGGGCAGGATGATTGTGATGTTCTCCTGCTCCGTCGTCGAATATCGAACCTTCTTGCAACTGAGACATTGCAGACGCTGTTCGAGGACGAAGCGGAAAGGCCGGGTAGGATCGGCGGCAGGAGACGGGTGTGGAGCTCGCGTGATCAACTTGAAGAGGTGTTGGAAGAGTTCAAAAGCGTCTTGTTGTCGCATGGTAGAGAACTCCGGGTGCCCTCGACCGATAAGATGCTTGAACATGGCAGGCGACAGGCCCCTCTGGTGAGCCTCGGCCGGGTTCTCGCCAGGCGCAGTGGCTGCATCAGGATCAGGCTTGGAATAGCGGCCGGAAAGCAGACCATCTGCCAGCTTCCGCATTTGTGTCTCGAGGTCCTGAGCGGGATCCTCCACGATGGGTAGGTCGTCGTTGCCTTCGAAATACCGCTTCTGGAAGGGTGCCAGGTCAAAGAGACACTGGAGTATGCTGGCGAGGTAGCAGCTGTTTCCAAGGTTTTTGAGACCGGTCAGGCCAGGACCGAACATGGGCTTCAGCTCCTGGCCGTCCTGTGTCGTGGTGAAGTCCCACTTCATATTCTGCTCGATTTGCATCTCCGTCAGGCTCTTCTCGGTCTTCTGTCTCTCGGCAATGTTGATGCCCCAGTTCGCCAGGTGTGTGGCCAAGTTCTCGTCGACGCGCTCATCGTCGCAAGCATAACAGTATACGTCGGCGGTGCCTTCGGCACTAATAGAACCGAGCTTGACGGCAACACCATGCCCCGACTCTTTCGAATGCGCCAGGGCATGAGAATGGCCGCCAACACCACCGAACTGGGCACGACCGCAGCCAAGGGCACCGCACTGGAGACAAAGCCATAGATTTTCCTTAAGGTCACACCTCGCGCAGCCACCCAGGTCCTGCGAGGCGATCTTGCGTGGTTCGTCCTGGTGCATCAGCAGGATGTGCTCGCAGCTGGTAAGCTCTTGCTCCCAGGCCTTGATCTCCTCTTTCCGCGAGAACGTATTGGACTTCATTATTCCGTCGACGACAGGAGCAATCTTTGGGTTTGCCGTGTCGACATTGGTGTTGCACTCGAGGCATCTGACGTTCAGGGCAGTGTCGTACTTGTCCTCCTCCTTTTCAGCCGAGATGGCGAGCTTCGTGATCTTCTGAGGCGGCTCGTCCCTAGTGACAGCCTTGCGTGTCCTCTTGATGTTCAGGACGAGGGGGTGGGATCGTAGGGCGCTGTGTAGGGCGGCGTGCTGTCGGTCACCGGCGCAACCGCCGTTGAAGCACTGGAGGCAGACATTGAGACCGTCGGTGTTATCCTGTCGGGAATGTGGTCAGGGCGGGGCCACATGGCAAGTTTTACGGCCTTGGGTTGGAGCTGGAGCTGAAGCTTACGATAGAGTCGAAACACTGGGTGCAGTCCTCGCGGTAGACCGACTGGGCAGGCGTTGGTGGCGAAATGTCTGCTCACGAGCGTCAGTTTAACCAGGACAGGACGATGCTCTCCCTTTCCCCCGAACATTGCCTCACTGAGAGAGTCGACGTGTGGGCACGCCATCTTGAGTGTCTTTTGTAAAAAGGAACGGCTGACCAGTTTGGTGAGTCCAAAGTCAGGATCGCGACTGGGTGTGAAGAAGGAGTGCAGATCCAGATGAGGGTTTGAGACGTGAGCAGACGGACGATTCTGGAATTACGTCGAGCTCAGCTGCGCGCCGAAGGCTGCCACACTGTGAGCTGCCAGCCGACCACAGTAACAGCTGGACAGCTGCTGCAGCTCCAGGCTGCCGAGGGGCAAAATGGGACGCGCCTTCACCCCGCGTTTGGTGACCGAGCCGCCCAGCCGCCCCGCTCAAGCCCTGCAGGCTGCAGGCTGCAGCTCAGCTTAGCAAAGCAGACTGACTGACGGAGCCGCGGCAGGCCTGCAGGCCTGGTGGCCCGCTGCTGGGATTGCTGTGGGGTGCAGGTGCCAGCGAGAAACAACAAGCCTGTGTCATGATCCATTTGTCCATTGCCGGATTGCTCGGCCGGCCGGTCATTTACTGACTGCGCAACACAACACAACACAACACAACACGAGATGCAAGCGGTCATTGCAGACTTGATTGTTGCCAATCGGATTGTACCTGCTGCAAGCTGTGAATACGTAACACCGACTTGCTTCGCACAATACACAGTAGCTCAAATAGTCCAGGACTCGGCGTTACGGCCGACGCACCTCGGTCTCGGAAACCCATAAAAAAGAAGGTCGGAGATTCGACGGGCTTTTCTGCTTTGAGCACTGGGCGGGCTGCAATTCCAAATTAAAAGGCGGCGATTGATAAGATCCAGGCAGATAAGTCCACCAACTGGCCCCGGCTAGCCCCACTGCCAAAGACCGATCCTCCGAGATCGCGGTGAAATCATCCGTAGCTAAGCCCCTTGCAGCGCCTCTGGTTGGTTGATTGCTCCGTCCCCCGACATCATTTTGCTGGGAACGGGGGGGCGACTGCACGTCAAATATTCAGCGTCACAGACCCGTGCTCCTCCTGCACTTGACTTTCTTTCGAAGCTCCCGTCCCTTCTCACCCACCCACACACACTCTCTCTCTTCACAAACCAACAACACCACCCCGCCCAGAGACGCACCAATACCTACAACGCACACCTAAGAACGCTGCCAACACACTGTCGATTGATTCACCCGCCATAAACCACCCACCGCCGAACAAACCCCGGATATCAGCATGTTTTCGCGAGGGCTCAGAGTCGCCTCCAGGCGGGCACTTGCCACACCTATCCGGCCCGCTGTCGCCAGCGCCCCCAGGCAGCTCGCACCCGCCGTCTCCGTCGGCGCAACCCGCTCTTACCACGAGAAGGTCATTGACCACTACTCCCGGCCGCGAAATGTCGGCTCGTTGAGCAAGAATGATATCGATGTCGGCACCGGGCTCGTCGGAGCACCGGCTTGCGGCGATGTCATGAAGATCCAGATGTAAGTCTATCCACGTCACTCAAACGCCATCCCCGGATCTGGCCTAGGGCTTTTGTTCTCTTGGCTTTACCAACTGGATCACAACTCGGCGCTCATCAAATGGCACATGACTGACCACACAACAGCCGTGTCGACCCCAACTCAAACACAATCTCCGACGTCAAGTTCAAGACCTTCGGCTGCGGGAGTGCCATCGCCTCATCATCCTACCTCACCGAGCTTGTCCGGGGAATGTCGCTTGACAAGGCCTCCCAGATCAAGAACACAGACATTGCTAGGGAGCTCTGCCTGCCCCCTGTCAAGCTGCACTGCAGTATGCTCGCCGAGGACGGCATCAAGGCCGCCATCTCCGACTACTACACCAAGAACCCCAATGTGAAGCAGACAAACCTTGGCGGCACTGGCATGAAGATCCCCGAGGTCGACGGTGCATCTGCCCCGGCAGCCGCCACTGCTTAGATTGAGGACGGCCGGGTCGGTGGGGAGTAGGGAGAGAATGGTTACTGAAAATCTTTATGCATACGAGTGCAGCAATGGTTTCCGATGGCGTTCAGGGGGGGTTCTCGGGCTGGAGTTTTCTCGACAACACACATACCAAATGATAGGGAAGGTGGAAGATCGTTTGCTGAGGGCATGTATCGTCATTGATCGGGCATAAGAAGTTGATGCAGGTTTGAAAAATTCACTAGCGGTTTGACAGACTTGGGGGTTTCTGCGTGGGACGCAGGCGTGTCTATTCCGACGAACCGAGTCTCACTCGACAATCTTTTTTACACGGGCAGTCAAGTTTATCCACTTGATCTGTCGAAACTTGTAAAATAGTGTCTGAAGTAGACAACAAAAAACGACGATTTATTGTCATGTTGCCTTGCCTTGCCTTGCCCGTCGCTTGCGCCCAAGACCAGCTGATCAGCCAAAGTACCGTAGACATGCCCTCCTACTCTTTATCCTGCAGTCGACCATGATCTAAGCACTGACAAAATTCAAGCTCGATCGTGAGCGCGTGCTGACTGCGAGTGGCTGACTCGAATCATCGCCGATGTTGAGAACATGTCAGTGCCTTCGTCCCAGCATCCGAGATGCTGCTTACCGGGCCGACGACCTTTGATTATAACCCCCCCCCCCCTCTGACTCGGACGCGGGAAAAAGCACGTTCTGGCAATGCGACTTTTCAATTAGCAGCAAGCGTGGGAGCCGTTATGTACTGTGTAAGATCTGGGCTCTTTTCTACCCCGTTCATCTATGTGCTATGCATGTACCTTCACAAATCACAAGGTCATGACCTCCCATCGCTCGACTGCAGAGCCTTGTTGGGCAAAAGGGCAGTGGTGACAACACAGCCCAGCGTGACACCCCCGGCGAGGTACAGGACCGAGTTGACGTCGCCGGTCCCGCCGCCGCCCTCGCTGCTCCCGTAGAGGTGCTGCGCGATGAGCGGGCTGACGATGCCGAACAGGCGGCCCCAGAAGCTGGCGAGCCCGCAGGCGGTGCCGCGGACGGGGGCCGGGAACGCCTCGGGCGTCCAGCCGTAGAGCACGGCGTTGAACATGCTCTGGAAGAAGTACTCCATGGTGAACATGCCCAGGTTCTTGGGCACCGTGTCGACGATGCTGAAGAGCAGGATCGACGCGCCCATCAGGCCCGAGGAGATGGTCATGGTCCACTTGCGCCCGAACGACGGGACCCGGTACATCAGGGAGCCGAGCACCACCCCCACCGCGCCCGGGGCGTACGTGTAGATGTACGAGGCGTAGGTGAAGGAGAGGGAGTTGCCCTCTGACGCGGCGCCGTTCTTGATGGCTAGGATACGGGGCAGGTAGAAACCTGGTCCAGCTGGTCAAAACATCGACCTCGAACAACGACCAGGTGAGAGGAGAGGAGAGATGGGTAGGTGAGTATGCTCACCAGCTACGGTAAATCCCCAAAAGTCAAAGATATAAGTCAGCCAGACCAATATCGTCAGCCTCGCCATGGTGAAGCTCGAGAACAGCATCATGTACCGGTTCTTCTGGTCCGCGACCTTCTTCCGGCTCGGCTTCATCCGCTTGAAGGTCGTGACCGTCCCGCTGACCGTCCGCCCGAGGGTGCTGCTCATGCGCGTCCTAAGCCCGGGCCGGCCGCCGCTGCCGCTGCCGCTGCCGCCGCGGGCCTGCGTCCTCCGCGGGTTCGCCTCGCCGCTGCTGAGAGCCTCGAAGTGCTCCAGGCTCAGGCGGCAGACGGTGCCGTTCGTGTTGGCGATGTGGTGCACGACCTGGATGGCCTCGCCGTCCTGGCCCTTGTAGACGAGGAACTTGGGGCTCTCGCGGAAGCGGAACACGAAGCAGCGCAGGGAGAAGACGGCCAGCGTGATGGCGCCCAGCGTGAAGAGGAGGTACCGCCAGCCCATGTTGTTGTCGCGCCCGCAGCAGGGGGCGCCGGCCTCCAGGGCCGGGTCGTTGCAGCTCGGAAGCGGGTTGGCCTCGGAGAAGTTTGGCGAGCACGACATGGTCGGGATGAAGCCGAAGGCGATGGCGCTGCAGAGGACCACGCCGATCGGCTGGAAGATGGAGAGCGTGGCCAGGAGGAACCGCTTGTTCTGCGGGATGAACTCGAGCGTGATGGTGGTGTCGATGGGGATGTTGCCGCCCACGCCGAAGCCCACGAAGGCCGTCAGGACCAGGAACGTCGTGTAGTTGTTTGAGGCGCCCAGGCACAAGCCAAACACGGACGAGAACAGGCATGTCAGGTTGAAGGCCCACTTGCGACCTACATACAACCTCACGTAGTCGTCAGCACCGCTTGGAGTTTCTCGATTCAGGTACAATTATATTGCCGTCGTGCCGCATACAAGACTGCACTGGGAGATGGAGAGAGGCCGGGACGGCGAGCCAAACATACCGACCACGTCACTCAGCGCGCCCCAGAAGAAGGCCCCCGCCGTAAGCCCGGCGCTGAAGGCCGTTGAGATGTTGCCCGACTGGTCGTTTCCAAAGCCCAGCTCCTGCTGCAGCGGGCTGAGGGCGAGCCCAAAGGCCTGGGCCCAGAGCAGATCCAGCAGGTATCCGAAACCACAGAGGCCCCAGATCATCCACTGGTACTTGCCCATGCCCATGGCGTCTATCTCACGGTTGATCAGCACGCACTTCTTGTCGTACAGGCTCAGGCCCTCGAGGTCCGGGTCGGACGAGAGGACGTGCGAGGGGGCGCTGGGTGTCCACCGGCGGCGGTTTGCAGGCCTCCTGTTGCCCTCGACGTCGTACTCGTCGTCCTCGTCGTCCTCCGGGTCGTACTGGTCATGGCCGGACTTGCGGTCAAAGGTTCCGCTTGTGCGTGGGGGTTCGTTCTCCATGTCGAGCAAGGGGGCGGCGGCCTCGTCGCCAGGGGACCAAGGTGAGGAAGCCACTTTGGCGGTTTGATAGGAGACTGTGGGAGGAGGGGAGGGGGAGACACTAGTAGGAGATAATATAATAAGGGCAAAACCTATGAGTGTTTTCTCTCCCTCTGCGGCCAAGATTGGGCACGGTTGTGTGCCGACCAACCTTCCTATACCGGCGAGTGAACTCGGGGCCGGGAACCTCGAGGAGGGGCAGGGGATGCGGCCGTAGAGGGGACGGAAAGCATCGAGACTGGACGGTCAGATGAGATAGGAGGTAACGCTCCTTGACATCGGTGGTCGATGAGTACCGGCGTTGGATGGCAGGGTAATTACACCGTGTGTAAGATCCTATGCTCTAGGTTCGGGCTAGCGCACATGTCAAAAGAACTGCTATGTGCCAATGATGTCTCTTTGTCAATGACGTGGGGGGGTTGGTCACACAACATAATTGTTCTGCACGATCAGTCTGTATAGCTTCAGGTGTGGTGGTGTACATGGCCCCAGCCGTCAGCTGCAGCGTTAGGGAAAGCGGTGCCGCTCGCTAGGGTCGATTTCCCACGTCATGGACTCTGGACAAGCCGCTTGTCGCTGGCAGCCAGCGGTGCACGGCCAGCCGTTTTATGACGGGCTTCTGGTGTTGTTGCCGCTGCATGCATGTATGCTCAGGGGCAGGGGCTCGAGCCTGGTTCTATGATCAGGTGTGGAGGTTGGGGCTGCGGTGCTGAGGCTCAGAAACTACTGAGGCCATCCCGGCCGATCATCACGGAAGGGCTACCCGGTCATGGGAGGCGACCTCGAGCATATTCATTACATGTAAATGATCCGGTGACTTTCTTGGTGGAGGCACATGGCTACCAGGCGACCATTGTAGTCTGGAGGGTAATGACCTCGTTCCGTGAAGACAATATCGAACGGTGACATCCCATCGAAGCATCCCGGAACTCACAAGCCCAGTCCAGCCTTCAAGGGCGTAATACTCAGCGTCTGCCACAACTCTCTCGTGTCGTAGCAGCGGCCCAGAGCCTCCATGGACCGCGGCAGAGCCCGCACGCCGCCCTCTTGCATCAGCTCGTACACCCATTTCGCCTGCTTGGTGGGCTTTGAGCCGTCCTCACCAATGCTCGACCATGAGGCGAACAGGCTCCACCAGTCGTAGACAAACCCATCTGTCACCATCCACCTCTGCCCCCGTCCCACGCTGTCCCACCCACTGCTACTACTGTCCGAGTCCTTGCCTCCCCGTCCTGCCTGGATCACACCAGCAATGACACGTGCAACATCCACACCGTGCACCATGTGCAGGCTCGTCTTGCCCTTCACAGCCTCCTTGGTCGTGGCCACCCGGTCGACCCAGTTCCGCATGTCCCTCTCGCCGCCCCACAGGCCCGCAAGGTTGAGCACGCAGCCCCCGAGCCCGAGCAGCTCGTCCTCGGCCACGGCGCGCTGGTCGTCGGCCTTGTAAGGGCTGCGCCTGTCCAGCCATGGCGCCTGTTCCGGGTCCTGCTGCCAGATCCCCGTGCTGCCGAGCTGGATGAAGCGGAACGTCCCGGTCCCGGCCCCGTCCCCACCGTGCGTCTGCTTGTACGCGCTCGTCAGGACCGCGCTCTGGCCCTTGCCCTTGAGGGGGAAGGTGATGAGGACGTGGCGCGCGCGCGGGAGCAGGCTGAAGGCCTTGGTCTGCTCCGGGTCCGGTGCGGTGGGGTCGAAGCGCCATTTCAGGGTCTGGCTGCCTGCGACGTGACGCCCGTCGCTGGTGGTTGCTGCGAAGGTCATGTTGCGCTCGCCGAGGAGCGGGATCAGGAATGTGGCGGTCCAGCCTGCGCCGAGGATGAGAACATCCAGCTCCTGCTCCATCGTCACTGGTGATTGTGGTTGTTCGAAGACCTTGAGGACCATTATGAAGGGATTGGGCCGGATCCGGGTTCACAATGTTGGGTTGAAGAGGACCGTTCGTCTCAGACATTCCTCGGAACGCCAGGAAGTGAGTGCTGAGGGTCAAACTTTATGGTACCTGTACCTGTAGACCCCCACCCCACCAACCCCGGCTGGGCACTTCCAGCGTTCAGACCAGGCAAAAGTAATCCATCTCCTGCCACAATGTCGTAGATGTCTGATTCATAATTTCAAACATTTTGGACTTTGACTTGATTTCTCGGTGACTCGTATTTTCACAACGTCTTCCTGGGTAGAACCTGTGCGTCCGGCCTAGCTTCAACCATGCGAGCACTTGAGTCGAAGCCTGATACGGTGCCCACCTGGGCAGATATTGTTCTTGACCACGCTCTATAATTCTATGCCAATCAATAAACTAGTAGCCTTGGCTACCTACGTACCCCAATCTGTCTTCATATAGTCACAACAGTCATCCAGTACATTTTTGCTACTGGTCTACCCTGCACTGGCAGCATAATTCATTTCTAACCTAGCCGTCATTGGGTGGCCTAGACATTGTCTCACTTCCAAGGTTGATGTTTGTCTGTGAGACATAAGCCTCTCAGGCTCTTCGGCAATACACCACAACGAATGAGAGCTTTAGGCAAGACATTGAACGATCATTAGTCAAGTTATGTAGCTGCATGGGCACTCTGCAGGTCTCCATCTGTCCTGTGTTCAAAGGGCCTTGTTCCGAAAACCCCATGTTATGGTACTGTACGTACGTGAGATCAACGCTACCACATGATGATTCCCTACAAGTTTGAATAGATCAAGCCCTCTCAGTCATCATGGAGCTCGATTCCATCTACGCTGACTTCGAAATCTGATCAAACCAGGTTAGAGAGATTGAAAACATACAATCACACAAAGCGGTACTCAGCTTACTCTTGTCTCCATGGGCTCCAAACCGGATCGTGTTTGTGTCACCTTCTCGCAATTTGAGCTGGACGGGAACCGCTCCGTGCTTTCCAGCTCGGGAATTGAGATCTGACAGGTTTGTCGGTTTGGCATCATCGTTGATTAAAATTTGGGCCTCGCCTGCTGCGGGATCGTTGACGTTGTAGTGGAACGTGTACCACTCCAGAGAGCCCGTCCCAGTGACATTGTTGAAGACGACCTCACTCCCCGGCGAAACTAGGTGCATTCATTTGAGTTAGTTGCTAGCACAGAACATGCATAGAGTAATAACGATATAGCCCCTACCGTTGTGGACTTTGCGCTTGGTGATGCAATGCTCGCAAGAGACGACGGCTGGTGAGCGTGCGGATTAGCTATCATTCAAACAAGACTCGAACAGTTTGGAAACAAATTTTACGCTGTGGAATATTGAAGCGCAACGTGTGTCCTTCCACTTACCAGCCCGGCCGGATAAGTCTGCGTCCTCGGCCTCATACCGCTTCTTCGTGGTGGGATAAGACACAACACCAGTGTTAACATCCACCTTCCACATGCTGTGGTACTGCAGCGTCACGGTATGCGCGCTAGAGTCCACGGCCATCGGGAGCCAGATATAGTTGGAGCTCGTGCCCCCCTTGGAGTCCCAGGCGTCGCCCATGTAGACGTACGTCGTGGCCTGAGACCCCTTGACCGTGAGCTCAAAGGTGTTCTGCGAGCCGTACGTGTTCTCGGCCGCGGGCGCTATGTCGGTGCCGCCACTCCACGTGCCGCCGAGCGAGGTTGCCCAGAAGACCTTGTTAGGGTTCGCACGCCACCCTGTCTTGGCCGAGACGATCAGGTAGTACACACCGTTGACCTTGAACAGGCCTGGAGCCTCGTATTCTCCCTTTGCGAAGGAGGTGACTCTGTCCCCGACTGCACCGTCCGAGTTTATCCTGTTGATCTGCACGATGTTGTGGTCCGCGCTCGTGAGGAGGTACCATGTCTCATCATCGTCGAGGAACATGCCCGTGTCGGAGTAGCTGTAGTCGTTCGGTGGGAGGTGTACCTTGGCAACCTGTTTGTAGCCCCCGACCATCTGGGTAGACCGGAGTGACAGTGCATAACGGTCTTGCTGCCCATATAGCCAGAATGATCCGTTTGGTTTGGCGATCTTGGGACGCCACATGCCCGTAATGGACGCGGCCTGGTTTCCCAGGTTGTCCCAGTTAAGCAGGTCCTTGGACGAGTACATCAGGGGTGTCTCCGAGTTTGCCGCGCTCTGTCCGACCCAGTAGAAAGTGTCCCCTCTTTTCACGATATTTCCGCCATGAGCATCGATCTTGTTTCCTGCTGTGTCATACCAAACGGCTCCTGGGGCAATCCATGAGTTTGCGGCGACGGCAACATTAATGAGCAATTGAAGTAAACGATAGTTGGTTGATTGATGTTAGAGAGAAGTCTATGATCTTTCCCGGCGCTTAGAAGGAGCAGGTATAAGTATTAATTAGCTTAATTAATTAAATCTAATTATGCCTTCTAATATACCCTCTATTTATTAATAATATTATTATTATAAAAAATATTTAAAATATATAAATAATATAATATTTTAGTTGTTAAATTAATAAATTTATTATTAAACTTTTTTTTATTATTTTATTAATATTTATTAATATTAAGTTTTAAATTTATTAAAATTAAATAAATAATAGATTTAATAAATAATAGAAACCTAATAATATAGATTTTAAAAGTATTTTTATATAAATATTTATAAAATTTTTATAAATAGAATATATTTAATATTATAAATATTTTTAATACCTTTTAAATAAAATAATAGTAAATAATTATATATTTTAAATAAATAGTAATTTTAATATTTTAAATAAAGTTTAATATAAGTTAATTATTAATATAAAATATAAATAGATATTTAATGTGTAGGATTTTTAAATTTTATAATATTTAAATTATTTAGTATAAGTAGGAGGATATAAATAAATAGGTTATATATTTAGCTTTATAAGTTAATTTAATAATTGTTAATTAATATTTTAATAATTAAGTAATAAATAATTTATTAAGGAGTTAAATTTAGTTTTAAATACTTTTAAATTATTTAAGTTTATATTATATAAAATATTATTATATATATTAAGTTTTATAAATATAATATTTTAAGGATAAAATATTTAATAGTTTAGAGTTTATTTAATATAATAAAAATATTTTTATTAATAGTAAGGTATTATTTTATTAAATTAATATTAAATATTAAAATAATAACTATTAGAAAAATAAGATTAACTTTTATATCTATTATTAAAAGTTTATTAAATTAATAAGGAATTAATATATTATAAAGTTAATAAAGATATTACTATTTTTTTATTTTAAAAATAAATTTAAATTTATTAGAGTATAATAATTATTATTATTAAGTATATTAAATTATTAAAGTATATATTTAGTATAGTTTTATTAAGAAATAGAGATTTTAGCTTTAATTTAATAGATTTTAAGGTTAAGAAATATTAGTAAAGGCTATATTAATATACTTAAATTTATTTAAAAGAATTATTTTAAATATAATAGTATTATTAAAATAATTAATAATTAAAATATTATTAATATAAATAATAATAATAATATTATTATTTAAAAATATATAGATTAAATATAATTTAATTATAAAACTTAATAAATTTATTATATAATTTACTAAATTATTTTATTTTAATTACTTTAAGTTATATAAAGCTTAAAGAACTTTAAGTATAATATTTTAAATAATATCTAATATTTAAGTAGTAAATATATATAGATATTATATTTTAAATATTTATAAAAATATAATTTTAATATTAAATTATTAGAAATTTATTCTAATTATAAAGGTAATTTAAATAATAATTTTTAATATTTTATATTAAATAATTAGATTATAGGTATTATTATAATTAATTTTATAAATTTATATAAACTTTTAAGTAATTAAATAAATCTTATATTAAATAAGATTTCCTTTAATATTATATTTTTATATATATTTATTAAAGGTTAATAATATATTAATTATAATAAATAGAAACTTCTATTTAAATTCCTATAGCTTTAAGAAAGTATAATTTCTTTTATAATAGTAAGTTAGTCTAGCTTTTAGAATTCTTTAAAGCATATATAATTTTATAAAATATTATTATTTTAAGTTATTAAAAATATAATAATAATAATAGGTAATTTATTATAGTTAATACTAATTAATACTAATAGGTATATAATAGATTTAATAATTATAATAGTTAAATTATCTAAATTATTATTATTAAAATTAGTATCTATTAGTATTAAGTTATTTAAATTAAAATTAATATTAGTTAATATTAAGTTAAAGGAGTTAAAGTTTATACTAATTAGTGCTAAATTAGTCTCTATATATTAAATATTAACTCTTACTTTCTATAAAGGTTATATATAATAGCCTTTTAAATTAGTATTTAAAGAGTATTTAATAATTAGTTTAAGTAATACTATAAATAACTATAAAGGTAGTAAAAAAGTAAATTTATAACTAATTAAAGGGATTATTTTATTAGTTTAATAGCTACTTTAATTAAATTCCTAATTAACTATATAATTATGGGCTAGTATTTCTTCTATTATATATAGTTATTTATAATAATAATAACAACTTTATAAAGTAATATATATAAGTATAAAACTAAATTTTTATCTACTTTAAATCTAATAAAGTATACCTTTTAACTTAATCTATTAGTTTCATTCCTAGCTTATAGGCTTTTATAAAAATATAAATATAATAAGAATAAAAATAGGGTTAAAAATATCTAATATTAGTTTTTTTATATAATATTTTAAAAGGTATAATTTAATATAATAGTATTAAATATAATTTATAATTATAAAGGTAAACTAAATATATAATATATTTAAACTAAAATATAAAGAATGTTTTATTATAAATTATAACTCTAATATTAATAATAACTATCTATATATATTATTTAGGTATTTTATTTAATTTATAATAGTATAGTAGAAATTTTTAATAAATAACTCTCTATTAATAAAATAAGTTAACTATAATTTTACTAATATATTCACCCCTATTATTAAAAGTAAATATCTTAACTTTTATATTAAATTATATTTTATTATTATTAAAAGTTTTTAATAATTATAAAAATATAATCCTTCTTTTAATAAAAGACCTAATAATACTTTATAAAATTATTAATAAATAATATAAAGTATTAAAAACCTTTAGTAATCTTATTAAAAGTATTTTAAAAGATTTAAATAAATAATTTTAAATAATACTTTTAATTTCTATTCTAATAATAGTTTTAGATATTATTAAATAAACTTTATAAACCTATAGGGTTTATAGTTAAATACTTCTAATTTTATTAAAATAATATTAGTATTAATATATAATTATTAAGTAAAGGTCTTATTAATATTATTATATTTAAATATTTTATAGAATTCTTTATATAATAAAAAAGGGCTTTAATATTCTTATTATTAGTAATCTAAATCTTAAAATTCTCTTTTAAAATCTTACCTATATTACCTTTAATTTATTATCTTTTAATTATAGAAAATATTATTCCTTTAAGTATTTAAATGAAATTAGTTTTAAACTATAATTTAATTAAATAAATGGGTATTCCTAATTCTTAACTATAAAGTATATTAGTAAAGATATTCTTAATAATTAATTTATTAAAAGCTATAAAAGGATATCTATAGTACTAACTCCTTTTATAATAAAATAAGTTCTATTAGTAATAATAATTATTCCACTATATAGTTAAAATAAGCTAAAGTCCTCTATATATCCTATTATATACTTTAAAATATTTAAATTAAAGATTTATAATATTTTACTTATATTTTTAAATAATAAAATTTTACTATATATATTAAAATATTAATATAAAATACTATACTTTTTTATTATTATTAAAAATTTCTATTATATTATCTTTTACTTAATTAATAGTGGTTTATTTCTTTTTTCTTTTATTTTTCCTTATATTTTACTAACTTATTATAATTTATATATAAGTAGTTAATAAAAGTAAAATTATAAAAGTAATACTATATATATTCCTTTTACTAAATTTCTTTAATAAGGAGTTAAAATTAGTACCTAATAGTATGAATTTTTTAGGCTTTTTAGTACTAATTAGTACTAACTTCTTCTAAAAGGTAGAAGTATAGTAAACCTTTAATTACTTAATTTTTAAATAAATAATAATATTTAATATTTTAGATTTAATATTAAAGAACTTTAAAATTTTATAACTATTAAAATTATTAATAATATTATTTATTATATTAAATAATATTATAAGGAAAAAAAACTTAATTTTATTATTTTTAAATAAAACTTTATAGATTTTATTATAAATTAATTAGATATTAAAGTTTTAATAAAAGTTTTATTTAAAGTTAATAAAATAAATTAAAATATTCCTATAAATTAAAACTATCTTTATAGTATAAGTTAGTTAACTAATAAAATAAATAAATAGTTAAATTTTTAATATTATAATTAAAATAATCCTTTAGGGTTTTTAAACTAATAAAAGCTTTTATATAATATAATATATATTATTAAGTTAAAATAAATAATACTTAAAAGTATAATAAAAGTTTAATTATTTTATTTTATTATTCTATAAGAGTTTTACTAATAGTAAGTTTAACCTTTATATTAATAATAATTTTACTAAGGCTAATAAAATAGAAAGTTTAGCTTTAAGTAATATATTAATTAAAATAGTTTTTTAAATTAAACTTAAATAATAATAATAGGTTAAACTTAAAGTTAAAGTTAAATATTTTAAATAATATTTAAATTAATTTAAGTAGTTTTAAATTAATATTAGTTAATATAGAAAATTAAAGTAGAAATAATAAATTATTATAGGTTATATAAAAGTATAGTATTTATTAAAAGATATAAATAACATTAATAGTTTAGTTTTATAATAACTATATTTTAATAATTTTTAGGTATAAAATAATTTAAAATTAATAGATATTAATAAAAATAAATAAATAAGGATGTATTAAGTAATGTTGGGCTTATAACTTAATGAGTAATTAAAGTAAATAATAGTTGGTTAATTGATGTTAGGGAGAAGTTTATGATTTCTTTTGGCGCTTAGAAGGAGTGGGTATAAGTGTTAGTTGGCTTAGTTAGTTAGACCCGACCGTGCCTTCTAATAAACATTAGCTGCAGCCGCACACAGGACCGCAATCACTTTGCTCGAGTGCATTTTGGTGTTTGAGTCTTCCCCTTTTCAGATGCAAAGATGGATCCAACGCAACAGAGAGAAATCGACCGGGAGGCTGCGAGCAGACGAGACATGTCTCCGATGTGTCTACCTAGGTACCTATTTATACTACCTAGGTATCGTATGTTCAACATGACCGGAGGATAAATGCACTTCCAATGTCTCCATACAAGCTCGAAAGCAAGTTCTGGTTGGCTAAAAGTGCCTCGCTACTAGTTGACCTACCCCATACTTATGTACACATGATTCCAGCGTGCCGTTGCGGTGTAACATCGCCAGACCCGAGATCCCCGAGCCGCGTTCCGCACTTCCCGTTTCGGAAGTGATCCCAGAATTGTCAGCTTGCGATACAACTACAATGTCGGCGAGTTCCCTTCCTTGGCCTCTAGAGAGAAGGTAGTGCCAAGCCAGAACCAATTACCGAGTATTTGACAGAAGCTTATTTATTTGAAACCCTCAGGTTCAGCCAGCTTGTCTGAGGTTAGAAATACGAGGGGAAGAGATTCACATTAAAGTAAGGCGGGCATTGGTAATAGTTGACCTATCCCCGCGTCCGTCATTGGAGAGCTATTCTCACATACCTAGATACTTCAGTAGCCAGGCGGAGAAATCCGCAAAACGAGCAAATATACCGAGTCCAGCTGTCTATGTCCTCGTTTGCTTTTGCGCCGAGCTTCTGAAAACGAAAAGCACCAATCAAGACAAAAGCTCATGCCACACCGATCAATTACCTACAACATCGAGGACCGGAACTGCAACAGTGTGCCAACTGGTCATGATTGACTAACTCAAGTTCACTTTTGGATTGGACATTGCTGATCGAACGAGCGCCTCCCCTCAGAAGCGGCTCCCCAGGTCCGTGGTTCTTGCCCCGCCAACGTGACGACTCGCGGCCAGTCTGTGGACCCATGGGAAGTTATGCGCACTACTGTCTAAAGGGTAAAAAGATAAACATAAGGGGTGGTGTGAAGTCCTACAAAAAGTACAATCACGAAGCAGACATGCACATCCCTCCGATACGGGGAATCGAACCCCGGGCGCCGCGGGTTTCTCATCCTGAAAACGCGGAATGTTGGCCACTACACCATACCGGAAAATGACAGGCTTATCAACAACACCCTCCAACTCATGTATGAGAGAAGCGAGATAGATACAGCCTCGAAACACCCGCGCCCTGCAGAAAAGGATGTTGAGACATATGTAATAGTAATGAAATGGTCACAACTTACAATGTTTATGGTTCCTTGATACCTACCGCAGTACCCTAGGTAGTCAAATCCCATGGATGAGTGTTGTGGCCTGCAGGTCATGGTGGAAATACTGGGTGTTATTTGTTGCCACAAGTTATCGAGTGATAATTCAAGAGTATTAATGGGGCAATCACATGTCCAGGGCAAGTTCGAGGGCTAATGACACAACATCATGGCATAGGGAAGACCATTTCAAGGCTAACGCAGTATGATTAATTAATTAAGCAATTTACTCCTAAGGCACAGCCTACAGTCGCGAAGAACTTAATGCCCTTGCCAGTCCTCTCCCGTACCGGGCTTGTCATGCCGTCGAGGCCGCGGAACGAGTTCTGCCCGGCGGCCTGCTCGAAGGCAAGCTGCCCAGCAGGTGTTTCCGAGCCATTAGGTGCGCCGATATTATACTCCAAATGGCAATATGGTATGAGATTCGAAGACCCCTGCGGACTTGCTGCGGCAGGATCAGCAATGTAGAATCCCAACTGGTCTCCCTGAGCAACGGTTGCGTTTGTGGGTACCCTCATGGCCTTGAACGACGTTCCAATGTCGCTCGCATTGAACGTTGTAGAGCCGAGTACTTCAAACTTGTAACTGCGGGTGAAATAGCGTCAGTTTTGGCTTATAAGATGTGGGAAGGACCTGCTGCGAGGAGAATAGAATAATGTGGGTTGACACTTACGATGGCGCCACGAGGTCGTTCACGTTGCTGAATCTGAACACCGTGATCATGATTCCGGTCTCTTGTCCGCCGGCGGCCAGATTGACCGAAACCGAGTTCAATGTCCCGGCCTTGGAATTCGTCCAAGTCTGAATCACACTCTGGAAGGTGAGTGTGTCGCACACGGGACTATAATCCGCGAAACGAGGCGACATGTCCGTAGCAGTCGTCAACGCTCCGCTGTCAGGTTCGCCAGCTCCGAGGCCCAGAGGTACCGTAAACTGTGCGCCTGGAGTGCAGTCCAGATCCTGGACACTCCCATCGTCATTGAATCGCATCGGCTGGAAGAAGTGACCAGAGAAGCTGACTCTGGGACCACCTGGGACCGAAGTCCCGTGCCAGACGAAGGTTGTCTCGTTCGTAACAGGGTCTGTGAGCGGGAGCACTCCTTCGACCTGAGACCCACAAGTAAACGCCGAGACAATGTCGCGTTCCCAAGGACCGTCGATGGATGTCGATCGATAAACGAAGCCTATGCTCCCATCGCAGAAGCCGCATGTGTTGCTTGCCACGATGTAATAAATTCCGTTGCGAACGAATAGATCCGGCGTCTCGGCTTCTTGATCGACAAGGTCGAAACCAGCAGATGTCACGTTTGTGCTCGTCTGTGTCGTGTTGAGGAAGTCGGGCGTAAGTGGCGACACGTGCATCGTCTGGAATACTGGTGGCCACAGGCTTCCCGCTCGAGGGTCCCTGAAGTTGAGCGCCGACCACACGAGGTAGCCTTGGTCACCAATGGACGCGACCGTGAAGTCCGCCGGCTGCAAACCGGTGAACTGTGGGTCTAATGCCGCCAGACCTTTGTCCGTAGAGAACGGAGAGTTAGGCGCAGACGAAGTAGCGACCTCGTAACCTGCCGATGGATTGGACCACAGCACATACTGCTGGCTGGTTGGGTTGAATAGTATGTGGGGCCGTCCTCCGGAAAGCTCTGAGAGGACCCCCTCTGACTTCCAATTGACGAGATCAACAGAGGACCAAGCAACCAGAGGTCTGTCAAGCCCTGTTCCTGAGGTGAAGTCAAGACCGTACGCATAGTACTTGTCCTCAAAATTATATATCTTGAGTGCATAAGCACTGATATGATTTCCGTCGACGTCGAACAGGTACCGGTTGTCGTTATTAAATGTGACGCTCCCCGGAGAAGCTGCCCCCACAACCCGGCCAACCAGGGCGAGTAGGAGGGCATTTGAGAGTCCTTTCAACATCCTTGTGGCCATTGCAAAAAAATAAAATTATTATCGTTCATCCCATCTTCAAGTCCATCACTGTATCTTTCGGCCATTCTTTGTATATTTGAACATCCCACTTCCTGAGATGCCCGGCTCTTCCACTGGCACCCTCGGCTTTTCCGGCGCGGTGGCACCAGGTGATCACGAGTTTCTTCCCCGTGGGGCGCTATTGCCCCAATCCCTGAAAGGTAGTGTGAATCCCACGGTGATAGCGGCTAAAAGCGCTGGATGGTACGGGGAACATGCGGGGCTTTCAAGCTAGATTATTATCAATCTGGGGAAGAGTCAATCTCCGTTGGCGGGCCACAAACTCGAAGAGGTCATCGTTCACACTTGGATCCATTCCGGCGGGACAGTTAGTTAGTAGGCAGCCATATACCCAAAATCCATGACATAATTCCTCGTCCGCGCAAGCAAGTGAGCCAAACTAGCGGTGCCAAGCCGGCATCTTTTTCTTCTACGATCTACGGGTCGCCGTGCTTAGCCTGCCTCATACGTGGGCGGTTATTCTGACTTCCGGCCTCAAGTTTCGAGCAGTGGGAATTAAGAAACCGGAAGAAGGAAAATCTTGCGCCCCCGCAAGCTCATTCTCTATTCTATTCTGGTTGCATTAAATGTCTCTATGCCACCAATTGAGCGCCATTTATCCAAGTAGGCTGCATAGGGTCTAGGGTTCAACGTCGAAATGTCCTCTAGAAATCTGGACGCGTTCGTGACCTTATTATTAGGGTGGAATTCAGGCACTTTGGGGAGTGTAGCTTCGGACGCGTACGGAATAGAAACGAAACCAGTTTGGAGTGGAGGCGTCTCATGCCATCAATTGATGTTAAAGCCTACACCGTATCAAAGTCTTGCTCGACCACGTCACCGGCCGAGGTCGTCGAAGTACCTAACCAGATCCGCGCATCCTCATTAAAGAGCACTAAGAGTCCCTCCCGTCCGGATTGCCTCTTGGTGACTCCCCGGGTCGGGGAGACTCCAAATCAATGTTACCATCCTGACCCAGAAAGGCATACTGACTATCAGCTGGCCAACTTCAGGATATTGTCGGAAGCAGGGGCACTGTCCCATTTCAATGAGGTGCCCAACCCACGTTCGCGTGATCGGGGTGATCTCTACTTAAGTAGTCCTAGACAACGACCTCAAATGTGAGCAAAATCTGCCCAATCTGAACATGGGTAGCCGCTTATCAACACTTGATCTTGATAGGTCAGTCTTACGCTCCTTGGCGTGGACACAGATGTCGTTCGGAATGCCAAGCACATTGTATTACGCGTAGCAAAACACCGGAATTCCCATTGAGTCGCATCGCATGTGGAAAGCGCCGACGGCCAAGACGCGAGAACACTGGCCTTGTGAGATACTGGCGATACCTGACTCTTGGTGCTAAGTCCTTTTTTGCTGCTGGTTTCGCTTCTATTCCGTATACGTCCGAAGACGTTTTGCTGGAGCAGAGCCCAATTTCAACGTGCTCGTGTCTCACTGGCTCGCTTTCCCAACCCCGGGGCCTGTCAAGGACGCCCAAATGTCGAGCCCAAATGTCGAGCCCAAATTTCCCAACCACGGTTCTCGGCTAGGCAGGCAGGCAGGAAGTCAGTTGGGGCTGTCAGCTCGATAGCTGTGGGACTCTCCAGTCCAATGCTTACCCAGGTACAGTGCTAAGCTCGCAAGCCCTACAAACAAGTACATTGGGTTTTGTTCTTCTGCGTGCGTGGGTACGATGCCTCGGGAATTTGTTGGCGAGCTGCAGACACGGGACAGCGGCAAATTCTTCTGGTCCTGGCTACCACAAGCCATGTTGGAAGCGATGCAAGTTGATGGTTGGCAAGCCCAGAGGCACCAATCATGGGACAGTAGATTGGATCAGTTGGGTTAATACTACTTGGATACAACGGGGCCACCACTGACAATTGTGCAGCAAGCTGACTGGTGGCCACTTTACACGTCACATATGTGTGCACCAAAAAGAATACAGGGCAATTTGTTCCCTCGCCTCGTAGGATGTGGGCTAAGATTAGACTGATAGCTTCCATTGCCTCACTTTCAACATCGGCCAAGAATGCCTCTGCAAATAGGTCAGCGCATATTGGGCAGAATGTCATACCCCAACACCTGGGCATCAGGCACTGGCAACAGCTTGGTCATATTACCAGACGATGTCCTGAGGCCGATAGTCAAAACGAAGCCATAAATAAAATAGACAGGTAACGGGCCACGACAGAAGGTTCCCAGAAGACAAAAACCCAAAGTTTAATTTCCCTATAGGCATTTCGGAGTCTGCTTTGGTGTCGATCCGATTTCACCAGTGCCCTCATCTTGTCAAAAACGTGTGATTCTCAAATAATTCTTTCCATTCAATCGGTCTTTGTCCCGCTGCAAGTTCTTATTGAGCATGTCGCTACTACACAACCCCCAGCAGACTCCTCCCCAGTCACCCCGGCCTTCCTCTCAATCCACAATCCCGGCAGAGGAGTCAAATCGGGCTGTTGATGCTTTGGTCGACGCTATCCGCAATCTGGCTTCCGATGATAATTACAAGATGATCTCAGACGTATTCAGAGATGCCCAGAAACTGAAGACAGAAAATGCCCGTCTGGCATCCGCGTCCCGCGATGTTCTGGAAGAATACCGCAAATTTCGGAATGAATTGGAAGCCAAAGAGACCAAGTTGTTGGAGCAGCAATCTCAACTGCAACAAGACATCATCGAAAAGGACGCACGCATTCAAGAGCTTAAGACCAGCAATTCCAAACTCGATGCCAAGTTCCAAAAGAGCCGGCGCAAGTTGGATGAGGAAAGCCAGAAATGCCTCGAGCTCGCCGAGAAACGAAGTGAGCTAGAAAAGACTGCCAGCGTCCTGAAGGCATCGCTTGATGAGAAGAATGAACTCGCCAGTGCCTTCGAAGGCAACATGTCAAAAATGGACGATGGGCTCGCTGAAGCCAAAAGAGACCTTGAATTGAGGAGTGCCGAACTTGCAAGTCTCGAAGCAGCCAAGAAAGAGGTGGAAGAACAGCTCGGCGAAGCGAGGGCATCTTCAGACGCAAATAACAAGCAGCTCGCAGAGGTAGAGCAGGCAAAAGCCACGGTCGATGCCGAACTCGCTGAAGTGAACCTCAGGCTGGGGGAGAAAGCAGAGGAGATGGAGAAGCTCACCACGACCAAGGATGAGCTTGCATCAGAGCTGGCCAAGGCCAGAGATGAGCTTCTCGACAAGTCCAAAGAGTTCGAAGATCTCGCAACGCTGAAGTCGTCCCTGGATGTCAAAGTTTCCGAGCTCGCTGCTAAGATTGAAGATCAGGCACTCGAGCTGGATGGCCTCTCTCAGGCTAAGGCAAGACTGGACTCTGCTACGACGGAGACCCACGCAGCGCTCGAAGTCAAGACCCTGGAGACAGAAGAGCTCGCATTACAACTGGCAGAGTTAAGAGTCAACTACGACAACAAAGCTACTCAAGTCCAGAGCCTGACAGCTCAGCTTGCTGATATCAGCGGAAAGCTGGACGCCAGATCTCAAGAGCTGCAAGAGCTCTTTGAAACAAAAGCAGAAGTTGACTCCAAACTAGCCGAGGCCAGAACTGAAGCGGACGCCGAGCGAGAATCGAAGATGACTGCCCAACAAGAGTCGGCAGCAAGCACCGAAAGTCTCCAAAAGGAGGCCGAGAGGACAGCCATCCTGCTGGACGAGGTCAACCACCTTCGACAAACCATCTCAACCCGGAACGAAGAGGTCGAGAAGTTGAAGGGCGAGATCGTCAAGGGAAATGACGACCTCTCCCAGACGCAGTCGAGCCTGAGCAAACTTGAGAACATCATCCAAGAGCTCGAGCGAGACCTGCAGAGCAAGACAGACAGACTCGACCAGATCGATGCTTACCAGGTGCAACTGAAGCACGAGCCGGAGGAGACATGGTGAGTGGCGATTTCACATACCTAGGTATATGTCAGGAGAACAAGCCCCCCTATCCCGCCCCCAAGCAAACAGCTAACACGGAATCCTTAAACCCCCCAAACAGCGTCGAGATCCTCGACACGATCTGGGTCTCCATCCTCAACCTCTGCGAGCACCACTTCGGCCAGGACCTCGACCCCACGGTGCTGCGCGACCCGTCCTGCTGGGCCAGCCTCCGGTCCGCAGACCACCTCAGGGCCCAGGCGGTACGCCTCCCGCTCCCGCGGTCCAACACGCCCGCCGCGAAGCAGATGCGCATAGCCGCGGTGCTGGCCGCGCTGACGCGCTCGATGGCGCGGCACATCTTCCGCCCCGCCTGGTGGACCGCGGCGGCAGCCGATGCCGGCGTGGACGCCGCCGACGGCGCGCTGGGCAGCCTCCTGCGCCGGCTCGAGGCCGCCAGCCCGGAGCACGAGAGGCACCTGCGCGGGGCGCTGCTCGCGGCTGCCGGGGTGGTGCAGAAGCACTCGCAGTCGCACTCGCACTCGGTCCAGAACGGGGAAGAGGGCAAGAAAGCTGGAGAGGAGCAGGGGGCTTCGAACCCCCACGCCGCCGCCGTCGCTGGCCCGGCAAGACGCCGCGCCGCCGCCGTCGTCCGCGAGGTCACGTTCCTCGTGCAGCACCTGCTGTCGGCGCTGCAGTACGAGGCGTTCCGCAGGGGCCTCGAGGAGTGCGTGGCGCTCGCGTGCGGGCAGTGGGCGAGGGTGCAGGCGGCCGCCATGAAGGTCGAGCCGTACTTTGGCCCCCCGTACGACGACTTCGACTGGCAGGTCCTGATGCTGCCCGAGGGGTTCGAGGGGAGTCTCGGTGACATTCCTGGTGCTGCTGCTGCTGGTCAGGATGCTGTAGCTTCTTCAACACCTTCTCCTAGTCCTCTCGGGGATACGGATACGGCCGCTCGGGACGCCAACGAGGATACGTCTACCATCGCCGAGTCGGTCCGGTCTGTCATCGACCCAGCCGACATCATGATGGTCCTCTGGCCGACCATGTGCGCCGTCGAGGGCGGAGAGCTCGTCTCCATCACCCAGGGCCTGGTGATGGCCAAGGAACAGGCTGCTGCCGCCTTCGAGGAGGAGGGTCGCCGGCGGGCCCCCAAACACAACGGCAAGAGGGCGAGGTCCATGTCGCAGTCGAGGAATGGTGCGGCTGGGAAACCTCACTCCGGCAAGGCCGTCTTGGCTCAGTTGAAGAGAGAGCGCGACGATGGCAGTGCAGCCGCAGACTCCCGCAGTGGCTCTCGAAACGGTTCTCTGAATGCCGTTGATTGACCATCTCGGTCTTCCCTCGGCTTCCTTGGGACGGCCCCGGCTTTCCACTCCTCGACCGTTGAGGGCCTCACGGTGCTTCTCCTCTGTTACTTGTCCCTTTTCGTCGCTGCATGTTTCAAGGTTCTATTCTTGTTGGTTGTCCTCCTCAGCGATTGGTTGGCTCATGGTCCACGGCCAGGAGGGTAAATTAGAAAGGTAAAGTGGGTCCGGCTGAACAGGTCGACATCAGACGAGGACATCGGGCGTGCCCGTGGCGAATCACGATTTTAGATATAGCATCTTGGCACTGGCTATGATCTGAGGGCAACATGAATATAGAATTGCTTTTACAGTTTGAAACGATGCGCATGCAGTGCTCAATATTTCTCAGTCTTGTGCAAAACTTTCATGCGATACATACTCATTGTCAAGTGTTGGCGTCCAGGGACTGACTGTGCACGCCGGCTGGGAAACCGGCCTCGCCCCGGCTGTGCCGCAGCTGCACATCTATGTCGGTCATCTCCTGAGCCAAAACGCCGGGAGGCTGGATCCATGCCCTACTGGCTGGGCGGCAGGGCAGGCAGGCAGGCCGTCTTCTGGAGGGTTGGGAGTGTACAGGCAGACGGCGGCCTAGTGAAGTTACATTCGCAGCAGGGTGACACCCGGGTCCTCGCGGGAGGGAAGGATTTCCTGCTTGCTCGAGTTCCCGCCGACTGTCCTCCGTAGCTGGGGTGTGGGGAGCGGCCAAACTGCCGTGGCCCCCAAGGGAATCCTGCCGGCACTGAGCCAGATTTCCGACTGCTGCCAAGCCGACAAGCTCCTGTCAGTCCTTGGCCAAGACGACGGTGCCTGTTTGGGGCGGGTTCTGAGGCTGGTGAGAGATAGATGGGGCATTGAATCACAGCAAGCTAGGCCGTGCCAACTGTCACCAGAGCTTCCGGAAGCGGCCGGAGCTGTGTCGCGTAGAATGGCAGGCCAACCGGGGCATGGGCATGTCTTGCGGTTGTTACAGCTCTGATCCTTGCCGCAGCGTGCTTATTTTTGCAAGGCAGAGGTTTGGTAACGTTATGCGTAGTGCATACCGTTGATGGCATATGTGAGTTTTTGTTATATCCTTCTATCCCACCTGGGCAGGTGCTTGCACTCCAGGTGTCTCGGTCAACCCTCTTGGGCGTGGGCACTGGATTTAGTTAGTCCAGTCGCCTCTTTTTTTAAGCACCAATGGGCATTTCGTAAGCAGGTCTATCTATATCTAAGGTTTCCAATGAGACGGCCTACCGCACCTAGAGCCAAAGTGGAGTGAAACAATTCCCCCATCGCACCGGCCAGGTAGACTACGGGCTGGACTTTGACCTGCCCGTGCTGGTTCAGATCGTCCACAAGATCGGTCCGAGTGTGCACCGCCCTGGCACACTGATTGCTGCACTTCATTCCGCGTGACGACGCACAAGGCGACCCGTCCAACGATGCCATACCGACTGGTCCGCGCGGAGATCGGTGCTACGTGCCGTCTCTCTTTCGAGTTATACCACCTGTCTTATTAAGTCGTCGTGTGCGCGTGTCGCACGACAAAGCCCTCGCCCCGCCAATGGCGACATCCCAAGGCCTAATAAGACTCCGGCAAGCTGGGAGTCTGAGACGTCCTCTGGAAAGGAAATATGGTGCTTGCCTCGCGGGTCGGCAGGGGCAGGGGCCTGCTGAGCCAAAAGCCGCGTCGTCATCTTAAGCAGTGGGCCAGTGTGTATCTCGCCTTGCAAGTGGAGTTATCATGTACAGGTAACCTCGGTAGGGTTGGTAGGTGGCCGGCCCTTGAGCCGGTACTGCTACCTTTACTAGCTCGCCTCACGTTGACGACCACCAGCAACGCGTCATCAATTTGCGGCACCAAAGGAAGCCAGCCAGACACCTGGGCAGCGGAGATTTGGCCGGGATCCAGAATATGGTTTGATCTTCATAGTCGTGCGTTTATATCCGTATTCTTTTACCTTTACCTCCATCTTCGGGCTCGAATTCTGAATCACGCACCCAGGACAACGGGACCGACTGCCCAGGGTTCCTTTCTCGGGAAGCGGGGCAGGGGCGAGACTTGAGATGTTAATTGTTGGATGGAAACACTCTGGCAGATCGGGATTGCGCAATGGAAGAATTCCTCGGTTTCCGGTGCCTGAACTGATTGCCACATGTTCATGGGGCCCCTCTCCATCTGGGCGCGTGGCTGCTTGGAAGGAAGATGTGCAGTCCTGCCAATTAACCTTGGAACACAAGGTTTAACTACCTGGTGCCAATTGGCGCATCACTTGCCCCTCTGGATTTCCGTCCGGTCTGCCGACTCAGAGGTCCAGACTGTCACATGGCGGGCATGGAAGCGAGCCTGGGGTTAGGTTGGTTTTTGCAGGTACTCCGTAGAGCGCGGCAGCGCGGCACGCGGGTGCTACGAATCAGTCGCCCATGAGTGCTTGGATCTTGGCGTCTGTGCCTTGGTTTTCGGATTGACTCTTATTTTCGGAGGGGCATTGAGGGGCCACGACAGGCCCTTGAATCAGATCTTGGAGTTTTTCCCATTCGACAATATACTCCGGCCGAGTGGTCAGCCCCAGAGGCCGACCCTTTCGGAGAAGACCTTTGTTTGATGCGTGTATGTGTACAGATTCCTTATCCTCTTGTTAGTCTTAACTTTGAGTGTCGGCCACGACAGCTTCTCCCATGACCGGAAGTCCGAGCCCTTGGGTCTTGGCTACCACAACGTCAAAGAAATGCCCAGCCAGGCCAAGTTGACATTTTCCGAACGCCGGCCGGGTCTATCTGCCCAAGCTTGCTAGGTGGCCTGCGATGCAACTCTGTGCCGGGAGACACGACTGGGCCATACCTAGGTATAGTTGGCTCAAAGAAGCCTGGCCCTGTCCGACATCCGAACATCTCTTTGACAATGCATTCGCCCGTTACGTGGCGTGTGGCTTGTATTTTTGGATCATCTCAAGTTATATTTGCGGCACTGATACTGTCTAGGACAAACGCCATCCTGCGTTAGTCAAATGACGAGGAGAGGGCGATGGGCTTGCCTGGCTTGTCACCTCAACGTGGGCAGCTGAACCATGCAAGCATTGCATGAATGGCTGTTGTCAATGTATCTCTGTCCCCCCATGGTCGGTTCTGTCGGTCAGCCCACAGCCGTGACCGAGGGCGACAAGTGCTTTCCAGTGCTGCCAGTACTGCCAGTATGTTCCTCGAACAGACTGACAGACCGGACGGCAGAGAGATATCGTCAGGGATACACAGGTGATTTCACCGGGCGGGTTATGCCAAGCAGATCGTCGGTCCATAATCCACGTTACTGTGGAGCACGGCAGCTGGGAGGCTACTTCTCCCAGATTACACACTGCGAGGTTCTCCTTTCTCGCGTCTCGAGGTCGCCCGTTGCCGATGATTACGGTGCCCACCCACACACAGGCTTTCAGGCTTTCCGATCGTATCTTCCCTGCCAGCCTGTCAGCGTCTGCCCTCTCTGCCCTGCCCTAATTGAAGGCAACGGAGGTCGTGATGCGATGTTACCCGAGATGACCAATGTCAACGGGGGACATGTTCGGTTGGATGGCAGTTCGGCCGTGTGGGCTTGGGCCCTGGGGCGAACCCTGGGCTGCTCTTTGGGGCCGCCCCAGGGTCGCCAGCAGAGCGGGCCTGAGTGGCTTGCGACACTGCCGTCTTTCCCGACCAACCGGCCCTTGGCGTGTGATTTGCCCGTCGATCGAGGCTCTGCGCGCTTCAGCCCCGCAGATCCCACCCTGTGCCTCTGTGCCTCTGTGCCTGTGCCTTTTGGAAGTGCTTGAGGCGACCAAGGCGACTACCACAGCACTGACCGTCGGGCCTGTCAGCTGCCTGTGTAGTTAAGTCACCTGCCTCACGAGGGTTTGGATCTCTTGGCCTCCACTGCCGGCAGCTGGATCGGTCAATGCCGGCGGGGACTGGAGAAGCGGCTTCCTGGCCAGACCGTACGGTACACAGTAGAAACGAAGCAATCTGATCCTTTTGCGGGCACTGCAGGGTCTGGCACAGACTCAGAAGGAGGCGTACGGACGTAGTAGTATTCAAGATGCCTCCTGGCTCCCGCAGCACCGCACAATGACAGCGGCAAGAGCAAGCGAGCGGATTTGGCACAGTCAGAGTCGTCAAACAATGGAGGGGTGGCCCGCAGTCCATGCCAAGGAGGCCACAGTAATATCAGCTGCCCCATTCGGGGCGAAAGTTGATTCTTGGCGCCTAGTTGCGTCAGTTGGCGTGACCGCCTGGAGACGGGTCTGCCGGCGGCCAACTGCCAATGGGCGCCCGGGAGTGGGCGACCTGGGCGGGATGTTTCATGAGGCCACAAGCGGGTTGGCTGGGTTGACAGGAGACCAGACAGGCGGGCAGGCCGTGTCGTCCGGTTTTTTTTTTCTTTATTCCCATCAATGGCGCCGGGGCCACTGTATTCGAGACTGGCGCCGAGCCAGAGGGCACTAGAACCACAGGCGTCAGCTTCTGGAAGGCCTGAAAGACATGCTTTACCCGCACTGGCTGACGAGGCATCGGCCGGCCGGCTGGGTGCCCTGCGATACATTTACGGGGCACCCGCCAGCTTGGCAAGTACCTCAGAATGATAAAGCATGATGGGCAACCTTGAAATGCAAAACGTTAACCTTAACGACATTTGAACGGGACAGCAGGCCAGAGCCAAGCACAGCGCGCGGTCCGGCTGGCGGGCGGGCATTGAAAGAGATAGACTAGATTCTTGATGGGGCCACAGTGCCTGCAGTGCCGCGGGTTGCTGGATTGCTGAGGCAGTCAGGCAGTCAGGCTGGCACAGACTGGGTCGCCCAGGCCCGTCCTGTGACGACTTTCAGCCATCTCTCTGCGGTGATCAAGCCTCACTTCGTCCTGGACCCTCTGTGCCTGTGGATATTTGTGGTCCCCGAGGCCTGCAGGAATCATGATGAGACCGCCCTCGACATGACATGACAGGACAAGCTGAATCTGACAGATTGACAGATTGACAGCTGCTGTGTGTCTGTGGTAACACATGTTGATGAGCGAGGGAGTGGGTGCCCGAGTGCGTACAGATTACTGCGTACGTCCGCAAGCAGGAAGCAGGTCTTAGGTGGAGATTGTTTCCTCTTCCCTGTCCTGTTACTGCCCAGCCCAGCCCAGCTGGTGACTGTGACCTAAGCTGTCTGGTTGTTGCCCTCGTGCAGAGGCATTGTTTGTTGTCTGGCTGTTGTCTGGTTGTGTGCTGGTGTTGGTTTCGCGCATGGCCGATCATGATACGTGCATGCTGCACCGCTGGTATGTGAATGTGTGTACTGTGTGTGTTTGATGTGCTGTGAGGGCTCATCGGTGGGACTCGGTCGTGGCTGTGAAGGCCTGCAAGCCTCTTAGGCCCAGGGCAGTTGATTAAAACGGGCCAGGGGCTGCTTAAGGGCCTCGCGGCCTGCGAGGCCCGAACGTACAGTGCTTGAGGGGCCCCCAAATGCCCTGTGGCCCTGTGGCCCTGCAGCTGCCCTATAGGCCTACCGGGCTTGCACAGTAAGGGCCTGGAGGACCCGTTGCCGATCCACATCTGTTGTCTTGGCAGGCGGGTCGCCGTTCCCAGTTCCCTTTCGTCCAGGGGTCCCCTCTCCTCCGTTTCTCCCCCCTTCCTCCTGCCCCCCCAAAAATCCCCAGTCCCCAGTCCCCAGTCCCTGTAGTCTGTCTGCACCTTCCCTGCGCACGCCCCTGCCCACCCTGAATCACAGTGCAGTACGTACACGCGTTTCTCCTCCCACCTCGCCTCTTCCTCCGTTGTCTTGTGGGAGAAAACTCACGGCACACAGGCTAGACCACCCTGCCACTCATTCTGCATGTCCAGCAGATCGCGGATCCATGCATTGTCTGCGGTTGAGGTACGTACTTGCTTGGCTTGCTTGGGTCCCGTCCCACACCCCGAAAGGGGGAGGACCAGAGAGGGCAACACCCAAACCCTTGCCTCCTGCTTCTGTTCAAGAATAGCACACATCCCCGACCACACCTCAACCGCCTTGCCCACCTCGCGTGCGTACTCGAGTGTACTACTAAAACAACCTCACCCTCGTCTTTTCGTCCTGGTCGTCTGCCCTTTCCGCCCTATTTGGTCCTGTCCTTGTCTGCCGGCTTGCATTCTGGATTCCCTCATTGCGATTTGGTCTTTGGTCTCCTTTCTCTCTCTCTTCTATTTCTCTCACTCTTCGATTTTATTGACTGGTTGCTCGCTCCCCAACAGCGGCAGACCTGTATCACCACCAACCAAACGAACTCCTTGAACAACTCCCGGCAGAAGCCAGATTTAATTCTCACGGCTAGCTCCCCTTCGGTTGTTTCCCACCTTCCACGAATCAGTCTCATCAGACGGCATCCAGTAACGGCGTCGCTCTTTCCACCCAACCCACCACCAGCCGACACCATCTCGTCATCGACTGCCACCAAAGCGCACACCAACCGATGCCCACGAGATTTTCTTAAGCCCTTCTCTCCTTCGCCTTGGGACCTCGGTCTTGAGCCGGTAATCGCACTCATCGATTGAAGGCGCCGCCAGACGTCAACCAGCCACCAAAATGGCGGTAGGAAAAGAAGGAAATGTCAAATGGGTCGATGTGAGATTCCTGCTTTGCCCACTCACCCGCAATCCCCCACAACCGCCCATACTGACTTGTCTAACCACAGGGCCTCCGTGGCATGGCCTCAACGCTGGTCGTGATTAAGCACATCACATGTGCTTTCTTCCCATACATGCTGTGGCCCGCCCCGAGCGAGGAGGAGGACCCCGTTCTGTTCGAGCGACCCTACCTCCGCGTTCTGATCCAGGGTCGTATCGGTGTTGCAATCTTCTCTTTTGTCACGGGCTACGTTTGTTGTCTGAAGCCTGTGAGGAACTTCAGGGCCGGTAATCAGAACTCCTCCTTCAACTCCATCAGCAGATCTGCCCTCCGTCGTGTTCCTCGCCTGGTATTACCCGTCCTCATCATCCTCACTGCGAGCTGCTTCGCCACTCAACTAGGCGCATTCGAGACTGCAAAACACTGTGACGGAGCAGGCATTCCCGAGACTAGTCCTACGAGACGCGATAGCTGGAGCGAGGCCTTCGTTGCCCTCCTCACGGATATGGTCAGGGTTTGGTCCCACGGTCAGAGCGAGTACGGGGCTGAGCTGTGGACCATGATGCCAATTCTCAAGGGTGCCTTCTGGGTTTTCATCTATCTTATCGCCACCGCACATGTTCAGACTAGGTACCGCATGATGATCGCCCTGGGCCTCACTTGGTTCCGCGCCGCCTCCAACGACCCCTTCTTCGGCATGCAGTTCTTCTTCGGCGCCTTCATGGCCGACTTGCAGCAGCTGCCCGAGGGCTCCGGCCCCGCCTGGACCTCGTTCCTTTCACAGAAGTCTGGTCTGGCTGGCGTTCGCATGCTCCTCTCCGCCTTCTTCCTCGTCACCGGCCTCTACATCGCATCTCTGCCCGACGCCCACTTCGAATGGCAGCCCTGGTCGCAGTCCCTCGTCGACTTTATGCTGTCCATCCTCCCACGCAACCCGGATCTCCCGCGATTCTCCTCCGGCCTCGGTCTCGATCTTATCATCATGTCCATCCACTTCTCCCCGACCGTCCGAACTCTCCTCGCGACCAAGCCGTTCCTATTTTTCGGCAAGATCTCGTTCGCCGTCTATCTCCTGCACAACCAGTTCCTCCGATCTGTGCTCTGCTGGATGGTCTACGGCTTCTCTATTCCCGAGCCCGTGCAGGATCCTGCCACGGGTGAGTGGATGCCTGGCCCGCTGCTGGAGTTCCCCGGTGCTGCCAGGCTGTTTGCAGTCTTGCCTATTTACTTCGCCCTCATCTATGGTGCGGGCTACCTCTGGATCGAGTATGTGGACTCGTGGTGCGCACGCGTTACGGAGCGCATCTGCGGTTCGATCAAGGAGGAGACAGACGAGAAGTCTGGGCCATCATTGCTGCCGGTTGCCAACGAGCACCAGCGTCAATGAGGGGCGAATCAGCAAGGGGAAAGAATACAAACAAAGAAATCATGCTGTTTCAGGGCAGACGGCAGATAGTCTGTGGGCCTGAATAATTCATGACTCGAGCCCGGTGTCTTGCCGTGTTGGGCGCGCAGAATGGCGCGTTCTGGCCATGCCGGGTCAAGTGTCAGCCTAAAGGGCTCGACCCAGGAGACGCAGGCATCCTCAAAGGAGCCGCTCCGGCCGTACAGGCCAAGTCATTTTGGAGTTTGGGGGTTGAAAGGGGATAACCGGGCCAGAATTGGCAAGATACGGGTTGCTGCTGTTCACGTTGGCCACAATGCCAGCCAGCTAGCTAAGCTGAGCCTCCAAGCTCAAGCTGTACTTCATATCACAATACATTACATCAAGCAAACAAAGGTGTCCGTGCAAACTCTGATCATGTAACTGCTCATGGCTTCTGGAAGCTGGCACCGAAGACATGTCTTGCAGCTTCGACCTAGGGCAACATTTGAGCTCAATGCTGCTTTGTGGTGTTCCGTGGACCTTGAGACATGTACAACATTCGTATAATTGCTCGTACGGGAGTCTGAGACTATTTGCAGCCTAAACTATTGCTTGCTCCTCATACACTGTTCACGCGTTCGCTGGCAACTCGGCCGAGCCGGCAGATGTGCAATTGCTTGCTCACTGCCGGATGGGTGCCCATGTGAGATCTCTATCCTGCCAAGCCGGCATTCGCTACTGCTTCAGGGCAAACCGCACAAAAACAGCTGTGGCCGAGCCCATCACCGACAAAAGAAACTTGGCCAACGAGCGAATCCAGCCAGCCTTTTGTTACCAATGGGTTGGTGGGCATTCCAAATTTTCTAGGCGACGGTGTAACCTGGATCCAACCTTGCAATCCCGCGCAGTGGCGGCTCAAGAAGATACCAAGAGTACGACCGCCAACTGCCATTGTGTCCGCAAAGGGATATTTGCCCCTAGCCTGGCCCGGGGCTGGGTGCAACGCGATGACGAGCATGGGCGTGGCGATTGAGGACCACGAGGGCAGGGCGACATGGTCGCACCTGTACGGAATTATTGCAGGAGTGGCTCAAATTTGATCTCGGCTCATCCCTGCCTATATTAATATTTCCTCTTCGACCTCTCCGGCCGCAGTTGTCCTCTCGGGCTTCCTGCCGTCGAGATTAAATCCGAGGTGTTCGGCGCTGGCGTGGGATTAATAAAGCACGGCTTGTATTCCGTTCTGTAGTAAGGGTCTTGTTCCACTGGAACGAACGGGCAGGACCCCCAAAGTTGAAGACTGAACATCAAAATTAAGGAATCAAAAAGAAATGCCTGCCGCGCTGCCCACCGACACCGCCTAGCTATCCCCCGATATGGGCAAGGCGGCGCCAGGATGAGCGGCACGACAAGATGGAAACGAAATCACCGTCCCATCTGCTAGTAATTCCAGATTGCAACGGGCAAGCCACCACCGTCAGGTCATCACAGCAGAGCCCGTCGCAATCTTCCATACCAAGTGTGTACGGGGATGCAATCACGCAATCCCCCCGAAAAGAAAACACCGGGAAACCGGCACAGTCGCCCAGACCGGCCTGGGAATGAGGCGCGGTGCCAAGACGATATCCCTAACAAGGAGAGTGAGAAAGAGACCACGTCGCCCGCTTGCGTCTGCCCCCGAGGTGCCATTTCCTTTTTCCCACGTCTCGCCTCGTTGTTCATCTGAATACCTGGTCGTATCGAATAATAGATACGCAGGAAGTCCCAAGATATGAAAAAATAAAAACAAGAAGGAAGAAGCAATTTGACACCCGCACCGCCTCCCGTGCCTCGCGCCGCCAAGCCGGCTCGCGGCAAAGCACAGTCGTCGGACTTGCTGGCGCAGCTGTTTCGGGCGCCCGAGGGGGGGCTTCCGGCCCACCCCCCCTGCATCTGCTAGCCGAGCGCCTGGTGCGATAATGAAGTAGGGGGGAGGGCAGAAGTGTGGGGAAGGGTTCAGCCGCGGGAAAAGGAGGCATTGGTGGTTTTTCTCTTTGGCGTCCTCTCATGCTTGATCTGGCATATGCTGATGAGGAGGCCCGGCGGTGGACGTGCCCAAGTAAGCTGCAAGGCAAAACGCGCGTTCCACGCACGCTAAACACTGAGCGGATGCGAAGGATGCGCGGGAGGTGTTAGTTATCCACACAGCCGGAGCACACGGGGCCGTTCTCTTCTAATGCGGATAGGCAGCGGTCTGGGGAAGGGATCTTGCCTGTCGGGGCCCTCCCTGCAAGCCTTCGATATCGTCCTCACCTTCCCCAACGGGGCTTGGGAGCAGGAGTTGTGCTCTAGCTCGCTGCTTGCAGTGTATGTAGGGGGGTCCTAAGGGAGCGTGTGCCGCTCCGAGCTTGTCTGGACGGACTTGCCTAATTTGACATGTTCCTCGTTAGCCTTCACATCAATTGATCCCTCGGATGTCGGGCGGACCCCAAGTTTCGCTGGCACTCAGGCTGGCTTCGCTGAACGGTCAGGACATATGATAGGAAGAAAAACGCTGCTATACGTACGGACGTGGTCTGTTTTGCCCGCCCCGTTGGCCAAGTAGGCCGAGGCCGAGGTTCGCCTGATGTAACCACGATGCCCGTTACCGGCTCGGCAGGTGTTGGCATCAATGATCCTCTCGGAATCCAGGGCGGCGGCGGGGCCGGAGGAGGCAGGTATGCCACAAACATTTGAGGGCTTGTCGTTGTGTCACATTTGATGTCTGGGAGGTGTATTACTGGTGACACCATCTCGTGAGGGCACAAGTCTGATCCTGTAGGTGTAGTCAGTCCATGGAGTTCAAGTTGGGGCATGGTGACAATATTTGTGCGTACCCGTGGATCAACGGTGCGTCGAGCACGTGGTTGACTTGTCTCACCCCTGGCCCGGCGCAAGGACGAGCTGTCGTGAATTTCTATTCGATATCCCTTACATTCTTCATTAATAAGTTATAGGATACCGGTGTGACATTCTGGGCCGTGCATGTATGCATGTGCCGTGCGTATTTTCATAGCTCCCTGCTTCGCTTGGCCCTTCTCGAGACTGTCTTAAAAACAACCAATACCTATTAATAAGCTTTGATAGTTACCTTAACTTCCCGAGTCTGTTTACTTTTCCAAGTCCCTGAATACCTAGGTGGCTTCCACTTTGAACAGGAAACGGGCCTCTCTGGCCCCGACTTCAATGCTCCAAGAATGCAAGTGAGCAGGCGGGCTGCAAAAGTATCCGGCCACAACTCCAATTTACCGCATTCCTCACCAAAACAACCAAACTTCAACCTCACTTTCCTTAATAACCACATTACGTATAGTATTATTTCTTATTATTAATTTACTTAAAATTAAATATTTTATTAAATAATATCTATCTAATTTATTAAAATATTATTATTATAGTATTAAAAGAAGATTTAATTAAATATAATATACCTAAATATATTAAAGTATAAGGTATATATTAATTTTTTAAGTATTTTAATCTTTTTAGGTAAAATAGTAATTAAGTTATTAAATTATAGATTTTTAAATATTTTAATATTTTAAGGATTTAAAGAGGTATTATAATTTAATATTATTTTAATAATAAAGTTTCTTAGTTATTATAATAGTTTAACTTTAATTTTAATTATTATAGTAATTTAAATATCTATTAACTTTTTAATAATCTTTAATTTATCTAGTTATAGTTATATTTTATAAAATTTATACTTAATTATATTAGATAAGTTAACTTTTTTAAGAATTTTAATAAAATAGACTTTAATAAAATATATAAGGTTATTTATTAATTATAATAAGGTATTACTTTTAATATAAGGTTTTAAATTAAAATCTATAAGATAATATTTTAATAAAAGATAGATTTATTTAGTTAGTATAGTTATTTTAAAAAAGAAGTTAAGTAATAATAAAAATATTTAATAGGATTATAAAAATATATTATATATAAGATTAAATTTAATTATTAAGTAAACTTTTTTAATAAAATTAAATTTATAATATTAACTAGTAATACTTTTTTAATAGAAAGTTAGAAAAAGGTTAAAAGAAAGTTTATATATAAAAGGTTATATAGATTATAAAGAAGTAAGCTTTTAAAAGTTTTTAAAGAAAGTTTATAAGTAATATTATTATACTTTTCTTTTAATAGCTTTAAAGTTAATAATAATTTAAAAGTAAAAACTTTTAAATATTTTATAAAAGTAATTATAGGATTAAATTACTCTATATTATATAGTAATAATAGAATTAAAAATTATAAGTTACTATTTTATTAATATAAAATATATATAAATAATAATAATAAAATTAATATTAATATATATAAATATATATATAAATATATTTATAAGGATATTAAGATATATTATAGATTATATAGATTTATTATATAGGAGGATAGTAATAGTATATATTTAGTAGTTGTAATTTAGGACTTTTAAAAAGAAAAAAGTATATTTACTATATTAAACCCTTATTATTATTTTAAAATTAACCCTATTAAGGATATTTATTATACTAATATAGTTAAGTTATATATAAAATAATATAGGTATTAATTTATTAATAACTTATAATAGTTTATTAAAGAGGGCTGGTAGATTATTAATTTAAAGGTAATTATACAGGTATATAAGGATATATCTAAATAGTGGATTAAGTTGTGTAATAGTGGTAGAAAGAGAATAAACCGTTAAGTGTTTTTTTTTTTAGTGTAAATGCTATATAATTTAATAATGTGAAGTAGTGTGGCCATTTGAGCGCCCAGAGCGCTCAGGGGCTGAAATTGGAGTTGTGGCCGGATACTTTTGCAAGGGACCTGGTGAGGCACCAGCCGTCCAATACGATGTTGTAAAATAGGTATCGATATTGATTTCTATGCATGAAAGATCTAACTGATTTCGCTTCTATTCCGCATACGTCCCGAGGTCCGGGGACACACATAGCCCTGGAGCCCCTTCATACGGTAATAAACGATCTAAGACTGTCTAATTAAGAAAAAGAAGTCAAAACAGCCCATGAACTCAAGGTATGTATGGACCAAAACTGATCTCGCAGCCTAGGTTGAAGATTCACAGGTGAGGTCAATTCGTAAGGTGCCTAGGGCATTAACGAGCAGTTCTTAGGCTGTTCTACATTGCTCAAGATCTTCGTTCCAGGGTAGAAGGACGATTCTGACAGTTCTTGCTCTGAAAAATCACAGTCTTTTCTATTGAAATAATCACGTGGAACGCTCCTCACAGCTCTAGCTAAACTCATCTAAATTCGCAATGCGTCTGTAGTAACAATTTGGAACTTCACCTTGGCTTTGATCGACATCTGCAACCCGTATGGGAAAAAGCCCGGCGGGATACATCATCCCACGGGCTTAAAACAATGTCAGCTCTTGTTACCGGTCCCGAGGTCCCGATTCAAACATCTTTGAAGCAAGTCAAGGTATCAAGGTGCGACGTAGGTAGCTGGTACTTACGTAGTGGAAGCGGATCCGGAATCATTCGGCCTGGAACAAAGCCAGGAGGTGGTGGTGCGATACCATTTATTGAGTAAACAAGAGGGTATGCCTCGATATAACGAGATCCAAGGGGCATACCTCCCGGTGGGCTGTTAGGATTTATCAGGTCAGACACAGAACTGCCAACGTACGACACTATCGATGAGCTTGTTCTCCCACTCCCACTCAAGCTCAGATTCCGGAATGACCCCGTCGGTGCTGATCCTATTACCACATCTGGTTGGCTTGTGTTTATCTGGTCTGCCCCGAGCCCTACATCTACATCCCCTGCTGGATTATGGTTGCTGAGTAACAGCTCTCTCGGAAGACGCGTTCCTGGCTCAGGTTCCGATGCTTGGCTCATTGAAGCTACACTCTGGAGCGACTGAGATATACTCCCCGCCAGAGAATTCATCCTGGCAGCCAAGCTTGCGAAGAAACCAGCACTTCCTACTGGCTGTGTAGGGTCAAGATTCAGAGGAGCTGCTGGATCCACTGCGGTGAGGCTGCGAGCCAAGATGTTTGGATCCGGCGTACCGTCCGCCGATTGAAGAGGGTCTTCAGTCGTTATAGGATTTGCGGGGGCAGTGTCGACAACGTTTCGGAAAGATCCAACCCCTTGCGCCTGCGCGGCTAGGTTAGGATCTACGTCCGGGTCAAATGGATGAGTTGATGGCTGTTGAAGATGGATCAGTGAATTATACACAAGACTTTACCAGTTCTTAGAAGGGCGGCTTCCCAGCCCAGGGGGATTCTCCCACGGGAGGTTTCGACTTACATCTACAGGTGTGGCGTACGCATTCCGGAACCAGTCATCAGGATGTCCCATCTGTGGCAGCCTTTCGAAACGCTCCACATACCTTTGGAGTTCAGCAAGTGTCGGCCGATCGGCTGGTTGGTCGGCGAGGCAGCGGACAAGGATCGCCTTCAGAACAATATTGATATCTTGGGACAACAAACGGGAACCGTGGGTATAGAACGGCCCAACCCTTTGGTTCCACGCATCCGTCACCCAAGGTGTATCCTGTGTAAAATAGAAGCCCCCGCCGTTTTCCAAGTCAGGATGGTTAAGGGGCCCGACAGCTCCAGGAGGGTATGGAGGAAGATGGTGTGTAATCATATCATGAAGGCACTTGGAACAAGTCAGTCTACACATTCATGCTAGTGTCATGCTGTTCACCAGGCAGCTCAAGGTAACTTACCATCCCGATATGCCACACATTGCTCGCCGGGCCGTAGTTCCCCGCGATCCTGGGTCTAGGGTTCTCCTGCTGAGGAAGGACGTCTACATAGTCCCACTCCTCTATTCTCACCTATCAGCCATGACGGGACCAAAGTGGACACTGCTAGGGTAGGTTCGCCATACGATGGAATTGTTCAGGCAGATGATAAAACAATTTGCCGAATCTGCGTCGCCAAAAGGCTTCTGGGGGGTCTCTAAAAACACTGCTCGTATTACGTGTCGTAGTGCCAAAATCACCAACTTTAAAATAGGGTCCGTATCGATGCTTCCCCGTGTCGTAGTCACCGACGAAAACGTTCTGGGGATCCAAATCGAAGTGAACTAGACCGAATCCGCGAGTATTGTCCGGTGGCCGTGGGATATTCTCCTCAAGATATATCCTGGCCTCAGCGTCACTGATGGACCAGTCCTCTCGACCCCGAAATCCGAATCTACGCCTGGGTGGAAACTCCATCGCGATGCACGCCCTTACGAGACAGTTGAAAATTCTGAGCAGCTGGCGATTAGGGACCTTGACTCTTTCCCTCGCACATTTGGCGATCAGCGACCACATGTCGCTGTGCTGCATGAACTCCATGAACAATATACCAGGATCTTGATCCAACCGCCTCAGCCTCAGCCAGCCGGCTTCGGTCGTGGGTGGCAGTAGCTCTCCGCAGAGCCGGTACCTGCGGACGATGTGCTGCGCTCGAAGCAGATACTACAAATGACAGATTTGTTAGAGATGAGATGTAAACCCATACCTAGGTACCAAGACTTATCACTTTGGGGCTGTGCTCGCGACTGTGCCTCCCGATTCGAACATACATCGTGGACGGCCTTCTCGTTGGTCAAAGTAGCCGGTGGTATTGCTCCTTTCGCAACAAATCTCTTGCGTGTCCCGGTGTTTTGATCGTAAATATCAAATAGCCCGGCGATTCCGTTGCTACCTTCACCAAGGACGCGCAGGAGTCGAACGTTGCATCCCATGCTGCGAAGGAGACTTCTCATCGTGATGGCGCTTTGTCCTGGGCAGGATCCAAATTAACAAATGTCCATGAGTTAGGGTAATGTGCAGGCACATGGTAATAGACTGCATCTCTCGATTCTTCCGAGCAGCAATGGGATTCCAGTCACTCACGATTTTCTAGCTGCTGTCGCGCGCTTGGTGGGCCCCTTTCCCGTCCTACCCGTAGCCTGTTTCGTCTCTGCGAATCCTGCAGGGCCGGTATGTCGAGGTCTGCATAAATCTCGTCCCAGCTCTGTGGAAGGTGTTTTGTTCCTTCGTCCACGAGCCGCAGGCTTGGCTGTTCATTCACTCTGTCCCACGGTGCGGATGCTGACAGAGCAAGTGTACGGCCCGCTCGATGATATGCAAAGTAGTTGTTTGTCTCCAATTTGCGCCTCCTAAAGGCCCTCCAGTAGGCGTCCACACCCGGATCCCCGCTGTACCTCCGCTGTGCCTGGATCCGTCTCGACGCTGGTGCTGGAGCAGTAGCCATTTTAGCCGTCTGATCTGCTGTGTCGCATTCGATCCCGCTGCTGTTTGACCGTCTTACGATTTTGTATATCGTGTTTGGTCGACAATCAGGCGTGAAAGAACAGACTATTCGAGTCTGAGTAAATAGACAATATTCACAAATAGCACCAGTGTCAATTACTTCCCAATTCCTTTGTCCAGGATATTTCCGGGAAAAGTTACAGCCGCCGGAAAAGGATCTCGAACCCCTTCCAGTCTTTGTCGTGAGCGCTGAAAGGACCTTAAGTTCTCTGAGATATCATAGAAATGAACAGAATATTTTTATACCCAATGCTTGCGAAACATTTGCAGCTTCTGAGATAAATGGGCCATTCTACTGCAATTGTGCTTTCAATATGAGAATTGCAATTTACACATGCTTCTGGCCTCTAGGTTCAGGAAATACAATAAAAAGTTAAGAGTAGCTTCGATTGAAGCAGTGAATTAGTATCTATGTGCAGCGAAACGCATTTCCGCTGCTCCAATGTCGAAAACCGACACGACATTGTTCATGAAGGTCCCCCCCAAACTAACGATGACGTTAGTCCTGCTACGGATCATGAAGTCTTTTCGAGAACATTGCAAAATGTACAAGACGGCGACCCGTAGGGTAAAACGTGAAAAGTCATCTTACATGTAGGGGCCAGTGCCTCCATCCATGATACCGACAGCGCACAGGCCGGTGGTGGGATCGACCGAGGACTGAATTAGCATATCGGCCTGACTGATCGTGAACACCTGGCCACCGATACTGATTCCAAAATCCGGCACACTAGCATTGCAAGACGTGACTGCTGAGGAGAATGCCTCGGAAAAGAATGCGGGTGGGTCGTATAATGCTGTGATAGCTTCATACATTTCTTTCGCGCCGGAATGTCAGCAGTCTTTTTTTGGTGAGGATGTCTGCCCTGGGGGATCAACTCACCAGTAGGGAGATACATCAAAGTGGTACCCGAGTCAACGATGACGGGGAACTGAGTTGTGTTGACAGTAATGTTTTGTAGAAGCTGCCCCCAAGTCACAGTATTCACCGTAGTCTCGTGCGACCCCATGTACACATACGCATCAGCAATAATAGTATAGAAACTGTATTCTATAGTGGCTTTTGGATCGTTTATGAGGTCAATCTGGATATGTGTCAGATATTCTGTATCAGGACTGAGAAAGGCGAGCCCACCAACTTACCATTACAATTGGGGTCGTCGCAAAGGGGCCCGTCTGATTGATCGTGGGCAGACCACCGAGAGCTAGGAATCCCTGGTCTGAGTCTCTCTCTAACACAAGACTGAATACTGGCTCTATTAACCCTCGTTTGATCATCGAAGTCATTATCGGGTTGTAAGGCACCTGCTCATCGAGGTCGTTCGCCGACGAATTTGTTCCAACATAAGCACTGGTCAAACGAGGATATGCAAGCCCCATTAGACCACTTGTCACATTGTCTCCAAACCAATACGTGTAGTTGACAAGGGCTACTTCCTGTTTCTCGATAGTGATTCCAGCAACAATCACTGTTTCGTACCCCATTGCACCGGTCATAAACTCGAGGTCGGCATACATTAGGCTGAAGTGCTGATTCGAAATAACCCCACCGTTGAATGTGCCCTGAAAAGGCGGGCCGAACATACAATTACATTGCTATAGGAGACAATTGTCAATAGAATCTGGCTATAGAAACACTTCCCTATGGCACACCTACCGGCTGCGTCTTGTTTTGTTGGTCCACGCACGTGAAGCCATCCTGGATCAGCCACGAATCACTTGAGCCAGTGTCAACGAGGACATTCACAGGAATCCCGTTCCATGCGATTTCTGTGACATATTCCGCAGATAGAATGTCGTCCACAGGTATTAGCCCATCGCCGTTATGCCTATCGTGGTTAGAGGGGGAAGCCACCCTCAAGTTTTTCAAGTAGGATGAGGACTTGGCCGTCTTTACTCCTTTCCTCAAGGTGAGGACATTGGAGCTCGCGGATTGGCCGTTGCTGGCCCGCCTAGCGAGAGGTTTCGTGACACGCAAGCGAAGCTCGCCTTCAGCGGCAGCCATGCACGCAGGTGTCATCGCAGTGACGAGGATTGCGAATACAATACTAATCTCCATGGTGATTGGGGAAACCAAGTTCGGAAAGAACAACGTCACAAATGTCTTCTGTGGACTTACAAATGTTGTCCGTGAGTTACAGAATCAAATGGAACCGCGAGTCAACGCGGACACAGTATAATGCGGACCCGGAATGGTTTGTGAGTTATGATATATATTCTTCAGAGAGTGGCAAGTACCTAGGTACTCGTATTAACCAATGGATCGTGGTGAGTTCCCAGATTGGTGTGCTCCGTGTCCTCAAGGAGTACATAAGGTACCCCTCGCAAACCATCCTACACCCTGCATTCTCCATGAAACAAAACCTTGTAAACCTTGCGCAATTAGTGCACGACAAATTAGGTACGCACGAGAGTGAAGTCCGATCATTGATGCTTATCACTCATTCGATATTTTTGTAGTATTTTAACTAAAATCGAGGCATACTGGAATTTCTCGGAGGTCTCTTCTGAATCTGCATACATGCATGTGAGCAAGTTGCCAGGTTGAACACCTGGGCACGATGGAAATAGTGCTATAACCAGATATTTCGTTACTGGATTCTAGAATCACTGTGGACCTGAGTCACTTGAAAAAGGTGCTTTCAGAAAGAATTGAGAAGACTTGACCGGGGTGGCATTCTTCCAAAAATGAACCGGTCAGTCACCAAATTTTCTATTGAGATCTTTCTAGTGGTGAACTCAACGTTCAATTTCGGCAACGATATTTGACTAAAACCCTGAGCGAGAACCTTTTCTTCCTTTCAACTCAGCTACTTTTGATGTCCGTGTCCCTGTAGTAACCTTGCACAATCAATTCTTGCACTCAGCTTAAGCTGGTACCGCCGGGAGCCGAGAAGAGTTCAAATTGAAACAAGTTGATGGAGAAGCCTAAATAAACGATTCGAAGTTTGGTATACCAATACGTTGAGTGAATTGTGACAGTGGCGAGGGCGCATTGCTAAAGTTCGTCATACATAGCCCTCCCATTGGTAGACACCGACACGGGTCTCTGTGCTCTAGATTTGGAAATAAAGTTACCGAGGATACTTCAGCCCTTGTCAGGGATCCGTATGTGAGCTGCTCGATTAAGCATTTCGTCCACGGGTCAGTGTTGGATATGAACCATGAGCAGTCTACCTGGCTTTCCCGCGAAATGTTTCTTTTCTTCCATGGGTCCGTAGCGGTGGACTGAGGTTTATTCGATAACGGTGTTCGCAACGACCTTGAAAAATCGACACTGGATGCAACTACCCCTTCTAGGCCATTTTCTTTACTGGAAGAGGCATTGGCCATTCACATCAGCTACTGAACCATTGCAACCCCTTCCCCCCCCTCAGAATATCAAGAAGGGGGTCGAAGAGAAACCTTGGGACGGTTAGCCAACTATCTAGGTTTGAACGTCGAATAGACTCTGGATGTCCGTGCTGACAATCCCCCAGAGTCAATTGGCTGGGAGCAATATTAGATAATCCGGTAACTGAAATCAGGTTTGAGTTTGTTGCATTTGACCATAATTTCGAACTATCTTGATACCCTCTTCGCACCGTTCTGTCGACGGCCTAGACTTTGTTAAAAGTGTCTTGGCTAAGCTCGGAATTTATTTGTCAGAACCCACAGATTACGTGCCCAGTCTAGTCTCCCTGATGTGAATACCAAACTCAGCTGCTTCCGGTATTCCACGGGCGACACCTATTAGCAGCGCAGAATCCATTACAACAACTTCCAACGTACTGCCCAGTGGTAGAGTTATAACACTCCCCTTGGAAGTGAAGACTCTGTCAGCGAGTGGTTGCCCAATGGCATGGCTGAGGAGTGCTTGCTAGAATACTCACCATAAACAGTGACGCAGGTTCCGCTGCAGGTGACAGATATGATTTTCTGGGGAGGCCCGACTGCAATCTGGTTGACAGGCCAAAAGTCTCCGGGCCGCTTTGTCAACGACGGTGCGAGTGTAACCTCACCGCCTGCTGTCTTGAAGGTACAGAGGTGATAAGCATCAAAGTCAGGAGCAGTGATCAAGTTGACGTTCAGGTCGTTATCTGTGAGGCATGTCGGCATATGAGCAGGTACCATGGAGCTTCACTTTTTGAACGTGACTGTCTGCTTGAGCCTTTCTTTCACGTACTGGTGAAATGTTCCTGTCCATCTGCGACAAATTTCAAGTCATAAGTAACAGGCCCAGCTTGGAAGTTCAAGTCCACGGGCTGGAAGTCTCTTCTGCGAAGGGCCTGGGTGTCGTCGGCCAGAGAGATGGCGTGAGCTGAGGCAAGTGCCGCGAGAGCAAGAGCGACGATAGCCTTCATGGTTTGAGCGGCTAAACTTTTGCCAGCTAGAGTTGGGTATATAAGTTGGTTTTGTTGGAACAACAAATTCCCGTGGAATGATTAAATTTGGCAGGAATCTGATCGATTTTATAAGCTCAATGACCACTCTCTTCCCGAAGTGTGCGGCTTGCTGTCGTTTCTTTTCGAGACAGAGACCCAGGTATGAAACTTGGATGGAAGAAATGTTGTTCGTAATCGTGGTCTGCTGATCAGCAAGAGACTTCGTAAATATCTTTGGCTTCTGCGATACGAAGCATCACATGGTATCATGGGGTAACGAAAGTGAGCTAAACAAGCAGCGGTGTGCTCTAACAGGTATTTGTGGCGTCCTGTTGTGCCTTCAGCCTCAGTAACCCCGCCTCGGCACACCCATTAAGTATCACTAACCGACAAGCCAGTGACACCATGGAAGCAACATTGAAGACATCATTGATTTCGTATCAAGAGCTCCCATTTCCGAACCTATCATAAAATGCAATCTCCTACAGCCCAGATAAACAGCAGTCGTGAAGCTGAGACCTAAGCTACTGGTGTATCAAACCGCAGCCCTCTCGCCATGGTGCCAATGGTATTTGCCGTTGACACCCTCTGAATGGCATTTCTATGATCCATGGCGGACGGTCGTAGCTCAAGATCGTCACGGTCACCTGAGCTAGAGATCGGTGTGCCGATCGCAGCCCTGTCTCCGCGACGGCCAAAGGATTTGAGCCTTGACGTAAGGCTCCCAAGAGCAGGATGGTGGAAGGCTTGCTGGATGTCTTCTAGCGAGCGGCCCCGGGTCTCAGGCATGCAAGCTCCGAGGACTGCCACTGTGAACAACGCGAGACCGCCGAAGAGAAAATACGCGCTGAACGCTGACTTGTCGAGTAGGATGGGGGTGATCATGGCAACGAACCAATTGGTGAACTGAGTGATAGGAGTCAGCAATAGGCCCGATGGAGACTTTGCCACAAGGAGTTGAACACACAAATCCAAGCCCTTGGGCCACACAGTTTGCAGCAGCCCTGACGTGTGTCGGCTGTATCTCGGTTGCATAGATCTTGCCCACAATGCCCCAGGTTGCACAGTAAATGAGGCCGAACAGGAAAACAGAAACAATAACTACCCATCTAGCAATTCCGAATGGATGCACGGCATCCGCGGCATACAGTGATCCGATCAAAAACATGATGCCAGAAAGGCCAATGCCGCCTGTAATGGCCGACGTGCGTCGTCCCCACTTGTCCGCCAGTAAGAAAGCAGGGACGGAAATCGCCAGCATGAGTATTGCAGATACTCCTGATGCAAGGAATGATGCGGTGTTCGAAGAAAGTCCAGCTTGTGAGAACAACAGGGGTGCATACTGTGACATCGTCAGCAACTTCCGAATGTGTGAGGACCATATAATATATGTGGTTTCGTTTTTAATCCCCATACAAATGAAACGTATGTGGCGCCTTCATAGAGTGGTAAACGCCCAAGACACATGTAATGCATACGGATGGCTGAGCACTCACGTAAAGCACACCGTCGATTCCCGAAAGCTGGACCATGCCCAGCACGAATAACGCCAGCATGGTCCTGGTCCGGTATCCCCTTCTGAACAAAATTGCGATACTCTGCCAGAGTGTCAAGCTGACTCTTTGCTCGGCGGTGGCGCCAGCGCTCATGAAGGTCCTTTCGGCCTCCGCCATCGAGAAGTCAAGCCTCCGAAGTGCATCCAGGGCAGCTTGACGGTCACCACGGCTCATGGACCATCTCGGAGACTCGGGAAGCTTGATGCAGCACCCGATCAAGACCACAGACATTAGAGCCATGATGATGAACGGTAGCCTCCACGCCATGCTGGACTCACGCATGTAGACGCTCCCATAGCACGTGAAGTAGCCGATGCAGATCCCAGCCGTGGACATGAATTGCGGCAAGCCGGCCAGGATACCCCGGCTCTTCGTGGGGGATATTTCTGAGATGTATACGGCCATGTTACTCAGATAGACGCCCTCGCCGAGCCCAGCAATCGTCCTCCCAATAAGGAATTGCGGGAGGCCGTACGCAGTACCCTGGAGCAACGCTCCGACGCAGAAGGTTACAGTGCCCAGTAACACGATTTGAAGCCGCCCATGGTGGTCCGCCAGCCAGCCGGCGAAGACGGAAGGGACCGCCCCGGCCAGCATTATGAGTGATACCGTGAAGCCGACGAGGGTCGGAGAGAGGGTACCAATTGTATTTTCAAACTGCGACATGGAAACCACGGCGCCGATCGACCCGGTGTCATAGCCGTTGATGAGGCCGCCAAGGGAAACGGCCAGCGAGGCGACGACGTATCCGGGTGGTGATTTGGGGGTCATGGCTGTTGTCGATGGTGTTTCGATGTTGTGTTCGATGGCGCCGACGGTTCGTGTGGCGGACGATGAAAGACAACACCTGAGAGATGTGGGCCAGACGAATGGAATGGACAGGAACGTCAATCACAAATTGGGCCGGCCTGCGCATCCTGTTATCGCAGCAAGGCGCGGAAGAGGTCGACAGTCAGCCACCTGGGCACTCACTCATGTTCTAATTTGCGTCATCACCACCCGCGTCGTTACTCGTTGGTGCTGGCTAGCATTGGACGTTGGCTGCAAGCGGCTGGATCGGCGTCTCATTATGCTGTTTGGAGCAGAATCGACGATCAATACGTGGGGTAGAGATAACATTCAGATATACATGAAATTTCTTTTTTATTTGACTGGTCGTCTAAGATGACCATACGTGGCCGATCTACCTAGGTAGCTTGGTATGGTTGCGCCGAGCCACAGAGCCTCTTAAGTGGCATTTCAGTGTGACTCCATGATACACCATGGCTTCTAACTCAGATTAATAGCATTACTCCGAGGTGAACCATATGAGAGACCTCAGTTGACTGTGGTCATCTGGACCTTTCGGGGCCGTAGTGTTTCTGTCCTTTGCCAGAGCACTCGGCCTTGTCAGCTCGAGACACGGACAAACTTCTGGTTCTCAAGCCTCTGATGTAGGGCACAGTCCGTGGCCAACCTCGGGTCGCTTTGATGCGATCAGGAACAGGATCTGGCCTGATGTTCAAATGTCGTCAGCAACTAGACTCCAAGATGCAATGGTCAGCAAGGTGCTCCGCTTCCGATATTGCGGATGTTCGGGTAGAATAGTGCTTACCGAGTGTGACACCCCCGGCCACAGAATCGGATGAATGCGCAGCCGAATCGTGACCCAACATGCACTTAATTACTCGGGGCAACGGGCCATTACAGCCTTGTGGGTATTGTGTAGCATCTATTAAGTAAATGCCAGCCACCCGTTGTACGCCGAAAACCGACAGTTTCCGCGTCGTCTGGGGCTGGGGAAAAAGCAAGCTACACCACGATCAGATACATCAATCGCATCAAAGTTGAGGGGGCTGGAAATGGCTGTGCTTACCTGCCTGCATTCGGGGGAGGCCCAAAATCAACTGGTGGCTTGGCGCATGGTCAAGTGCTGAGGGGCTCTTTTTCTGAGGGCATATCGATTTCCCCTCAATCTCTGTAAGCTCGCTGGTCGAAGGGGCCCCCAAGGCCCATCACATCATCAGTCGGGCCCATGTGTCCTCGTCCTCCTCGGTCAATTCCTCTCGCCGGTCGTAAGCAGTGCCGTTCGGCTTGCCCTGCCAGGTGCTCGTGGCATGCTGGCGGTGGCTGGGGTAGTGCATGTGCTTCTTCTCGGTCGTGTCGAGCGCCGTGTTACTGTCGTGTCCGTGGGAAGTCATTGTGGTAGCGCCAGCCGAGGCGTACGAAGGTCGTGTCCAGCCCGAGGACGATGCACCCGACGTCTGCGTAGACTCGTATGAGGACAGGTATGATGACCCGTCTCTGGTGCGCCTCATGCCTCCGACCTGGAAGTGGGCTATGTGGCTCGCCTGCTGCTGGAACGTTGTAGGGGCCGGCGACGTGCTGGTTGTGCCGTCGTCGTGCAAGTGGGGCGGAGACCGGTAAGCTGGTGGTTGCACTGCTGCGGCGTGGTGGTATGACGGTGCTGCGGTGGAGGGGCGACGGCTGGCAGCGGATGAGGTATCAATCGAAGAAGCGTTGCTCGAAGCCGGCTCGAGGTTCTTGGGCCGGGAGAAGACCTTCTTGACCCTGGCGAATATTCTGGCCATCTTTGCGACGAGGACGGTGACGGGTGTGGCGTGTGCGTCTTGTTTCTTGCGCCTGATGTGCATATAATAATGACCCGGAGTTGTAATGCGTTCGTTGTAAGTAGGGTTGGAAGGAATGCTGTAGATATACGCGGCAATGGCTATGCAATGATGGCAAGACTAATGATAATGATGTGTTCCAAGGTTGACAAGAGGCTGGGCCACTACTCGGTATGAGGGGAATGATGGCTTGTCCCAGTGTTGGCGCGTCGGCGTCCTTGGCTCCTCTTTGACGGTTGCTATTTAGTCCTAGCTTCAAGATGGGAACGGTGAGCTGCAGACAAAGAGAGAGGACGATGGCAAGCGGACGTCGCGGTTTTAATGTGCGGGAATGATGTAAGACATCAGGTCGACGACTGGCATTCTATGTCTCCAGCTTTGTCCACCCGACGACGCTATTCGTGCAGTCAGGCAGTGTACTTGGATGAGGATTGCGATGCAAATTCCAATGTAACCCTTTCGGCGGCTTAGCGCTGCTGCCGGATGCCCAGGTTATACCATACAGGTACATTGTGGGGTCCAAGAGGAGCATGTTGATAGGCCAGGCCGCAAAAATAGGTCGAAACTTTAGGTGCCTGCTGGCTACCGGTAACCGAGTGCACAGTAGTCATCATGTACGTGCATCCTCCTGGCCGCAAGTGGAATGTGCAGGTGGGGTGGCTGACAGCTAGGCAGCCCAGGAGGATGCCATGCCGTCTGAGCGTCTGGCCTGTGTCGGGAACAGAACCTCGGCATCCACGTGGGCAATACAGAGTGCCTGAGTGCCTCGACCTCTCGAGTCCAAAGCCCGTGGCGCGACATCTGACAAGTTTGACCCCCTTGCTTCCGATGAACATGTCGAGTATTAATCCGCTAAAATATACTACTTTTGATATCACACCGCACGCAAATACCCGTGGCGGTGCCGGACTTCCTTCAACCACACGGTAACACTGACTTACAATGTACAACAACCGACCGGGGGGTATCGGCTCTTTGTCACACTGGCAGTGGGTGTTCCCAGGGCTGAAGTGGGCGCTGTGCATGCCTTCAGATACCATTTTAGAACCTGACCCCACAGTTCCTTCCTGACACCCGGAAGAGGCTAGGCCACAACATACTATATTCCCTACGGTGTTGGTTGTGCACGCATCCGACTGATCGATCACCTTTCTTGTTAGATATGTGGGGCCTTGCCAGGGCCAACCAGGTGGGTGCGTAACGGGCGAGAACTTCGCAAACTCCTGTCATACTGTTCTGGGCGAGATCCGAGGCAATTCCGATGGAATCCGAGCGCTATTGTTCGCCAAACATCATGGCTTTGCGCAAATCCTCACGTTGTGGATCTCGCGATCCACCAATTTGGAGTTACGTGAGATCATCGAGGGAAATAAGCCAAGCATATATGTCGCACAACAACTACCTATCACGCCAACACCATGATTCCGTGATGGAAGTGTGCCTCTACATCCGTAACTTAACTCGGGCCTCTCTCGAGTCGACTCAGAGGCGAGGTAGCGGGGAAAACCTGCAGTTTCGCAATTTCCAAAAAGGAGTCCCACAAAGCAACGCACAAGACGGGCAGAATCAGATGTTTCTGACAATAATCTGGATGGAGAAACCTACTTTTCATTGTCGATCCAATAATGTCATGACACAAGAAAGTGTGCACCTTTCAGTCTCACCTCAGACTTGGCCCTGAGAAAGGAATCCTAATTTTCCTTCCGCATGCAGGTTCAACTTGGTGCCTGAGATCCCCTCACATGTGTGCTTCCTTTTGGGGAGAGGATTGGCCGTCTCGACAAATGCTGACGTTGCTCACCTTTCGACAAGAGGGGCTCGGTTACTTGAGCTCGGGACCAAGGCCTCGACTGTCCATGGAAGGTTTCTACCCGACAGCGTTTTCCTTCCACCGACATCCTGACACAGAGAGAAAGTCCGTGAATTACTCAGCATTAGAAATGAGACCACGCTTGTTCAACTGCTTGAGAATATCATATCCCAGGTCAAGGCCTCGGATGACCCCTTCGATCCCCTCCTTGTTGAGAAGTTCAAGATGCTTGCAGAGAACGTCAAGGATCACCTCTCTGATCTTGCCGTCGTCACTTCCATCCTTAGGAAGGATAGACGCCACCTCTTTTGCTGCACCAATGAACTCGTCCGAGGACCAGTGCTCTTCCACATCAGCCTCGAACTTGACCAGTGAGAGCGCCTGCAACGAGTCAATGCCGAGCTCCTTGGAGAGAAGGTACACCGTTGCGTGGAAGGCTATGATGTGCTCCTTGCTGTCGGGCGTTGGTGACCTCGGTGGTGTATGTGCCGCGCCGTTGACGACCACCGGCGGCTGGACGAGGGACGCACCCTCCTCCCGGTCGCCGCTAACCGAGTCTGGCAGCACGATGACTTCTGTCATCGTGCCAGGTGGGTCAAGCGGGCCTCGAGTCATAGACTTCCTTCGAGCCCGTTTCTTGCGCTGCTTTGTGGCATTCTTGGACACCGAGATGGGGAGGAAATCGTCAAGTGATGATGCTGGTTCCTCAGCTTTGAGAGCGGTGGCGCCTTCATCGTGGGTCTGGTGTCCATTGAGGCCATCAGCCGTGAAAGCTGCCTGGGTGTCGTCTTCAGATGGTAGCAGGGTTGGTTCAGAAGGGTAATCGAGATGATAGAAGAAATGGATAACGGCGTCAAGAGCCTTCGGGTCAGCTTCGAGGAGCTCGATAACTGCATTATCGGTCGATTGCTACGTTACCAAAATGTGTCAGAAAAAGGTTTATGAAGCAGGAAGCGATTGGCGTACCCTTTGAGGAGACCTTAAGCACTCATTCTTCAGAAAGCGAGACCGAGGGCACACAATCGCCTTGTGTACGTGATGAGTCCTCCCCAAGCATAGGATGGTGAGATCTGAGAACTCATGAGTAGAGTAAAGCCTTGTAAGGGTTAGTGTCAATGGAATGAGTCGTGAGGTTATCCATACTTCTCATTGGACTTCAACAACTCAGTCACTGCAGGGTTATCCATATCCCAATTTCTCTCTGGAGAAAAGCACCAATATCGAGTGGCATGGGAGAGTTAGAGTAAAGCAGTAATAAAATAGCAATATGACCATTTTCTGGCGAAGAACATCTCTCGGATATATGCTCATCTGGATAAAGCCTTTCATGATCGATTGGCACCGAGGACTGAGGCTCTCAAGCAGTACGGCGCCATTACAGCCCAACGGCATGTCGTGCAACCGCCACACACGGCAGGGAAGCATCGGGGCTGATATCGACCACCGATCAAGCCGACAGCCTCGACCGTGAATGAGGCTCTGTTGGGCAATTGCGCCCAGCTCAAGGCGTTGGAAAGGAAAGTGCAAAAAGTGCACCCGAAATCCCTCGAGGGATGGGCACTTCCCTGGCACACCTGGCGGCATCTCAGGCACACCTGGTGGCATCTCGGGCAGCGCTCAAACAGTGAGCCCCGGGTCCATTGGCTGCGATGAAGCCTAGTATGTCGCCCTGGAACTCTCGCCGGGCCAATCGCTTCAGGTTTATCAAATCTGCAATACGCTGCTGCAATGCAAGCCCGTGCGGAGTTGGCAATGCATAGGACCAGTGAATGAGTAGCCTCGTATGGTCTCCACCCACATCCGCATGTCATGTGGTCATCCGCACTCATTTTCGTCGCCTTCACACAGCCGCGACAACAATTAGACCCCGAGTCTCTCAACATGGGACGAGGGATGACTTACCCAGACATTTGTGTACTTGATTGGCAGGATACCCTGCATTTAAGGTTTGTGAATGGCGTTCAAGTTGGTTGACCCCAACGCGCGGAAGAACGCCCCCAATCCCGGGCTAGTCTTGGATGGGATATGTAAGCTGGGCTTAGGTATGTGGCGTTGTGAATTGGCTGCCCGCATGACACTACTATGTCCATCGAGGCCTAGCTCTACCCCACACAGACATCCCATTTTGAAGGGACGTCGGTAGTTGGGCTCAGCATCCTGAGGTTGTGATAATCAAGCATACTGGGTTCAGATGACACCGTCAACGGCTGCTGCGACATAGTCCGGTTTGGGAAGAGCGCCCGACGAGCAAGATAGTCTTCACCTAATGTTTCAGCCTCCACACCAGGGGCGTGTTGAGGGTTGCGGTTGATCCCCCTGACTTCCCTGGGAGAGGTTTGACTAGTACAGCGGATGAAACCCCCGGGGCCCAATCGAAAGGCACGCCCAGTCTGGCGAGCCACTCAGGTGGTACATGACAGCGGAAACATCTGCAGGGTGACGGCGGGGCTCGCAGTGGTTGAATTCCTGGGAGGATGATAGCAGTGAAGGTCTAGCCAGGCCGGGGTAAAATGATCTGGACCTGCCCAGGGACGAGTTTGATGCTTCCAAGCCGTCGGGTGCTACCGTGACGTAGCAACGGGAGTCGCAAGTAGGTGATGTGAAAAGGGTCTTTAGCCGAGATTCGGGCGCATGCTTCAGGGCACACTGGAAATCTCTTCAATTTTCCTCGAGTAGTGGCAATGCAAAATCCATTCGTGACTGGGGAATGGCCAGATTGCTTTGTGTCATGAAATCTTGATCGAATCGGCGATCTTACAGAAAAGACACGGACTCCAGATTAAAGTAAATCCACGGGGCTATGAAATTCCAGATCTTGCTTTGAGTTCACCCAAAGTCCGACGAAAATCTGCTAACCCAGAAAAGTACGGCTGTTCTTGGATGTGTAAAACATTTCCGCGCTGCCAGCTTTCCTTACTCGGGTGCTACTTACCATTTGGCTTCAGAGAGTCGAAGTTAGAGATCAAGCTTTGCGATCAAGATGAGGCCTTAAGCTTGGGAATCGAACTTTCCATCCTTCTATATCACAACGCACTGCAACGCCGGGGTTGTACCCGATGATCCAGAACCCCCGGCAGTTGTCGCGTGGAAGACTACATTAGCACCTGGCATGGACTCAAAGTAGTATTTCCATCCGTTGTAAATTGGTGCCGAGGCTGCCCACCTGGTAGGCTCCCCAGGTTGCCAGGCTTCCCCTTGAGCACATCCGATCACAACCGCACGGGCATTTTATCCTAGCGGGAACGCCACGGGAAACTCTATTTGGACCCATCTTCCTCTCTCCCTCAGGCCAAACCCGGCACAGGAGGAGCCGAAGAAAATCCATGCCATGGATTGCATGTACTACAACCTTTGCCTGTCAGTTTGATTCGAGTATCAAGAACGCCACCCATACCTGAAAGGGACGAGTAGTCCATGGATGCAGGGCCCATGTTCGGATACTCGGGAAACTGTCCCTGGGTGATGGGACGCCCGTATATGAGTCCGAATGGCCCCACAGCGGCCCGGCGTCTTTGTCTCGATCAATACAGACTACTTGTGCCAAAAAAAATAACCACCTGCGAAATCACTATCCACAACGCGATGACCGACTAGTCGCCCAGGGCAGCTTGGGCCATGGGAATGTTTGCGTCCTGAGGGTACCCGTAACATGAGGTCCATGATGTTCTGGCGGTCCCTCCTCCCCTTCGTCGTCGTCCTCGGCCAGTTGAGCTCGGTCTCCGGACAATCATCACCCGCCCAACTCATTGCAGCGTTACCGAGTTGCGCTGTATGTTCCCACCAACACGTTATCTGTTTCATGAGTTCCACAGCAAGCTGACATTTTGAAGTCTTCATGTTTCATAGGCTCCCTTCCAGTGACGCAGTGCGCTCTTACGAATGCAACATGCCTATGTACCGATACGACTTACTCGAGTACTGTCGAGGCGTGTATTCTAGGCAACTGTACTGTCAGGGAAGCTCTATGTAAGTCCTACCTAAAACCATTCTCGTGTAGAGGCGTGGTATCTGACGGAGTCTCACACAGTTACGAAAAACCAGACTCAGGCCTCGTGTGGAGTCCCCGCCCGGGACAGGAGCCATGAGTTATACATCTTGGCAACCACCCTAGGCGTGATCTCAGCCGCTGTGATATTGTTGAGGCTCGTCTTCAGAGTCTTTATCTCCGGGATGGGCATGTATGCCGACGACTGGGCAATACTTTTGGCACTTTTCGTCGGTGTGCCGGGGACTATTGTTCTGTGCGTGCGCAGCGTTCCCAACGGCTCAGGCAAAGACGTGTGGACGGTGCCATTCCATCAAATCGACGAGTTCGGCAAATGGCTCCTGTTTATGGAAGTTCAGTATTTCCTGAACCTAGCGGCACTCAAGCTGACCTTACTTCTCTTCTACTTGCGCATATTCACCACTCCGACAATGAAACGCCTGCTCTGGGCCACTGTGGTGTTTGATGTGGTATACGGCATCGTCTTTACTCTCGTGGCCCTGGTACAGTGTCGACCTTTAAGCTACTTTTGGCTCCAGTGGGACCGCGAGCATCAGGGTACGTGCATTAATATAAATGCTGTGGGCTGGGCGAATGCTGGAATAAGCATTGCAATGGACTTCTGGATGCTGGCACTGCCTCTGTCGCAATTGAAAGGGCTACAACTCCATTGGAGGAAGAAAGTGGGAGTCGCTTTGATGTTCTTCGTGGGCACATTGTGAGTTGTCATCTGTCGGCGAGGCTAGGATTTCTTGTGCTGACATGCTCGACAGTGTCACCGTTGTCAGTATCTTGCGTCTACACGCCTTGGTCAATTTCGCGAATTCCGATAACCAAACATTCGACAATTTCGATGTGATGCTCTGGTCTGCGACGGAAATCAACACGGGGCTCATTTGTGCTTGTATGCCAGCACTGCGACAGATCCTGGTGCGAATCTGGCCCGACGTATTCGGCGGAGAGCATTCCCGACAGAGATACTACCGCTATGGCAATGGAAAAGATGTCGGTCACGTGCCAACCATTGGATCAAAGGACGTCGTACCCGTCAAGAAGGGAATGACTGAGTGGTGGCAAGGTATCAGCCTCAGCCGAGCCAGCATGTTTGTGTCTCAGCGGATGAACCCCAACGTGGCTAGGGCCTTCCGAGAGAGCTCGCCCATCCAGGAGTTTCCAAGCAAAGGCATTCAGGTTCATCGCTCATTCCAGGTTGAGGACGATTTGCCTTCCTCTGTGCCGATGCAAAACCTGAGGCCATACATTCCATCAAGGCCACCGAGGAATGAAATCAAAAGCAGCTTCCTAGCATAGACGCATCGGCATTGTTCCTCACCACATGATTTGCAGAGTATGGTGTAAGGGAACCTTGAAGCGGAGGACGGGGTCACAGTGCATGGAAGATTGTACCAAAACTTGTCACACTATCCAGGGTTACGAGAAGCGGCATGGAGTCCAATTCTTAATAAGAAAAATAATCAAATACACAATTAAATATAATTCAATCAACTTGATAAGTCCGAGTGGAATCGTTGGGATTATCCTTGGCAAGAGATAAGCACTGACTTCAGGATGCACTGTTCGATTTTGGATACTGTAGAGTACGTTATTAGGTTCCTAGACACCCCCCCCTTTCAGATATAATATCACCTCCTTCCTCTTTCCTTCCTTTTAACTTTAAATTATTATAACTTTATAAAAGAATTTTTTTATATTATTAAATTAATATTAATAATATTATATAACTTTAAAAAATATTATATTAACTTTATATTTAATAATATTTATATTAAAGAATTATCTTTATACAAAGTAGTTAAATAATATAAAATTAATTAAAATATATTATATAATTACTTTTAAAGTAAAAAGTTAATAAGTAAAGCCTATAAGGGTATATAAAAGTTATTAATAAGGTTAAAATTATTAATTATATAGTGGATTTTTATAAGAAACTTATTAATTATTTACCTTTAAAAGTATAAGTTAAGGTCTTTATTTTTAATTTTTATAAACTTTTCAATAATAATAAGTATATTAGAAAGTTATAAATTAATTACTTTCTTTTATAATATTTAAGAATATAAATAAAAATTAATATATCTTTAAAGAATAAAAAAGCTTCTATTAGTAATAAAGCTTATATTAAAAGTTTTTAATTTTTAATTATATAGTCTTAATTAAAGGAATTAAAACTATTAATATTATTAATATAAATAAAAATTAATATTATTAAATAAAAGATTTATTATTATTAAGTATTTAAAACTATTTAATTTATAAAAATACCTTAATAAATATTACTTTTAATAATTAATTTATATACCTTAAAACTATTACTAATAATAAAAGAGATTAACTTTAATAATAATATTTAAAGAAGAGAACCTTTAAATTTAATAATTTTTAATAAAGTATTTAATTAAAAGTTTATTAAAAGTAAAAATAGATAGTTTATTATTTTAATTTTTATAAATAGTTTATAAAAGTTTATTTATTTAAAACTATATCTATAAATAAATTAAAATAATAACTTTTAATACTTAATAAATCCTTAACTTATATATCTTAATTAATAATAATATAAACTTAATATTATAGAGTATTTCTTTTCTATTTATCCTTATAGATTTTATACCTTTTATAACTATATAATAAAAGTTTATTTTACCTTTAAAGTACTATTATTAAAAAAGTATAATAAAATTACTTTTATTTTTAATATAATATCTATTAATAAATAATTAATAATTAATTATTATAAATAAACTTTTAATAAAGCTTTTTTATAAAGAAATATTTTAAATAGCTTTTTTAATTAAAATAGTTTTATATAATTTAAAAAATCTTTTAATACTTTTAACTATTTAATAGCTTAAAGGAGGACCTTAAAGTTAAAGAAAGGCTATAAATACTACTATTTTAATTAAAAGTATTAATTAATTTAATTATTAAAACCCTTTAAAAGGCTTAAAATTTACTTATAATAAATAATTAGATTATTAATAATATTAATTAAACTTAAAAGTAGTTAAAATATTATTAACTAAAATAAATAAAAATTAAATAACTTATTTAAAAGATAGTATAACTTAAAAATAAAAATACTTATTTAAATATCTTTATAAAGAAATTTAAACTTTATAAATATTAATAAATTATAAAGAATTTAAATAAAACCTTTTATAAAATAGGTAAAGTTATAAGTAAGGTATTATTATTATCTTTATACTAATAACCCCTTTAGGTATAAAAACTATTTATAATAAAGAAAATTAATCTAAATATAACTAAATTTTATTAAAATAAACTTAAAAAGAAGTTTTATATTTAAATTAAATTTTTAATATAAAAATTAAGTATATTATACTTATTTAAAGTTTTATAGTTAAATTAAAGAGTATATTTAATAAAGGGGGGTATTTGGGAACCTGATGATATACTCTAGTTACGACCTGCTGAAGTCAGCTCGGGTGTGCGGCCACGGCATCAATTGATTTATTTATGTATCCCTGAACCTGTAATTCCCCCCACGGAATGACGTCGGGCTAATGTAACAATGAGAACAGATCCCGTGAGTGTTTCAAGATGCTTAGATCTGAACGTGACATTATACCTATATTGCTTGAGATGATCCCGAGCGGGCCACACCTGCCTCAAGTGCATTTTGGCCCGGGTGTGACTTAATAATACCCTGAGTCGGATCCAGCTTGCCTGCGCGAGCTTATCAGATCCGAACTCCCGGCTGGCCCCCCATTAGCACGTGGGCGTCCAATTGAGTGTGGGTCGCGGACCCCATGGAAATTTCGAGTCGAGCAAACATTGCCAACTTTACTGAGGCATTGGGTAAGGCTTTCACCCCCGAAATTGCGCGAAGAAGAGACAATGCCGAGATCGGTGTGCGTGCACAGAGACAAAAATGATTGATCATAAGGCTGTATGTAGTGACGGCTCTGATCCGACAGACTTGGAAGACGGACCGATTCCGGGACATCGCGGGCCGACACAATGTATTCAACCTACGCGACAGAGGTCTGGGCACATCTCGACCATTGACATTATGGCTGTATGGATGAGGCCAGTGACGTCGACCGCCACCAGCACAAAAAAAATCTGCATTGGGTTTTCCCCAAGCTGTCAAGATTTTGGGGGGTGGGGGGCGTTTATGCAGCAAGGGTACGCCTGTCCTGATGGCCTAGACAATGCCGATCTTCAACAGCAATGTGGACCCTCCTGCTTCCTGGGAGCAGACTGAGTCGGTTCCAACATGATGAAGGGAATGCTGACTGCACGCATTCTCGACCTGATGCATATCACAGTATGCAGTTAATTAGTATCGTTGGCGACACAAGTAGTTCTGAACACTGTCGGCTGTGTATCTGAAGGATCCCCAAACATCAAGAGATTCTCCCTCCGCTCACATGTGCAGATGCTGCATTCAAGAGTCGGCCAGTCCGTGAATTAAACCTGGCCATCCTGACCAAGAATTCGACACGTGAAGCACCCGGCGAGATGGTCAGTATCCACAGGGCTCCACTAGAGATCAGGTCTCAAATCATGACTGTCTTCTCACACGGTTCTAGTGTAGCTGCGTCTGGCACCGTCCGTGCTTGATCGGATCGGTCTACGGATCTGAGACCGACATGCGATGGCATGAGGTCTATTTGCACAGCGTGTTCACGACACGCTTCTCCTATACATGTGACGCGAGATGGGATGAATCGACGTAGTTGATCAGACTTGGGATTTTACAGCAAGTCTTAAAACCGAATGCGTTCGCAGCGAAATATACTTGCTCGGCTGTCGCTCCCACAGCAGCCACACGAAGCTGGGATGGCCGGGTAACTTGGAAAGGGGCGGGGGGCAGTTGGAAGTATCCTAAGATTTGTCAGGAAAATGGATCCATCACAAATCCAGTGACCTCTTCGAATTGGGATACCGATCTACGCACCTTGGGCATGTCCTCATCTTTCTCTAGTCATGTATGCGTTGGTATAAGACATTGTATTCCCTGCCGTAGTACTCCCGAGTTCCTAGCGCTCCGGTTCACAAACACCTGCCAAAGGAAGGACATAGTCAACATGCGGGCTTCACTCACAAGAACACTGGCAGCTTCGGCAGCCTTCTGCGGTGCGACAGCAACCTGCACAAAAGCTCGGGCTACGAACTCATCTATTGGCAATGCCTCATATGACTGTATGTACACACTCTGTTCTTGATGTCCTCATAATTCCCTTGGACCACCCCCATAGCATTCAAACGTCGTGCAGGAGTCCCTCAGCTAACAGATAAAGATATCGTTGTCGGCGGCGGGCCTTCGGGTATCATTGCTGCCACCCGACTTGCTCAGTCATCCAGCAAGAGCGTTCTTCTACTCTCCCGTGGCCAAGGGCCTACCGTTGACACCGGTGCCGTAGGCACAGTGGATTTCAGCAACACCTTGACACCTATTGATGTCCCTGGCCTGTCGACTGCTGTCACGTCCTACAACGTGGGAGACCAGCCGCTCTTCAATGCCTACCTCTGCACTGATGTCGATGCCTTCGCTTCCTGCGTGTTCGGCGGTGGTGCTTCCATCAACTACATGGTCTTCCCGCACCCTCCTGAGCGTGACTTTGACGACAAATGGCCAGTTGGGTGGAAATGGGATGATGTATCCGCCGCTGCTGACCGCGTGTGGGACGTGAACCCGGGATCCATGCTGCCCAGCATGGATGGCAAGCGGTACGATCAAGGCATGTTTGAGACGGTCTCCAAGTTCCTCGATGCCCAGGGCTGGTCCGAGGTCGACCAGGTCGCGGAGCCCAACAGCAAGAACAAGGTGTATAGCTACCCCAACTGGGATATTGGCGTCTCTGGCGGCCTGCCGAAGCGAGTTGGACCTCTGAGGACTTACTTGCCTTTGGCTGAGGAGCTTGAAAACTTCTCCTATCGCCTAAACTCCACCGTCCGTCGCGTTCTTCGCAACGGTGGACAGGTCACTGGTGTCGAGGTGGAGACGGAATCTGGGGTTGAGACTGTCAGCCTCGCTGCTGGCGGTAAGGTTGTGCTGGCCGCCGGTCCTTGGGGAACCCCTCGCATCTTGTTCAACTCTGGAATTGGTCCGTTCGACCAGATCCAGACTGTTGCCAACGGCACTACAGGCATACCCGTCCCACCAAAGGAGGACTGGATTGATCTTCCTGTCGGCCAGGCCATCAAAGACCACCCGATCTTCAGCATCTATGTTCAGACACCTGATAACTGGACCTCATTCAACACAAGCACTGTTGTTGACGGCACCAACATCGACGACATCGAGCTGTACATGGAGCAAGGCTCAGGCGTCTTGGCTCAAGGGTATCACCGCATGATCTTCTGGACTTCCAACGTTGCATCTGACAACATCACCCGGTACTACCAAGGCAGCGTCAGCCCCCAGGGACCTGGTCTTTTCTTGATCAAAGCGTATCTAACCCATGGGGCTACCTCCTCTGGAAAGATGGGAATCCAGGCCAACGGCACAGTCGGCTTCACCCAGATGCCCTACCTCCAGACCCAGGGCGACCAGGAAGGCGCGACAATGTTCGTGGAGGAGATGCTGGAGAGCGTCTCTTCCTATGGCTGGGAGCTCACGAAGGGCACCACGAACACCTCTTCGATCCTGTCTGCTCACAGCCAAGGTGACCATTACATCGGCACCGCGAACGTCGGAACCGACCCCAAGACCTCCGTGGTTGACACGGACGTCAAGGTCTGGGGCACCGACAACCTGTACATTGTCGACTCCAGCATCCACGCCGATCTCTCCACCGGCAACACACAGGCCATTACAATGGTCGTGGCTGAGGCTGCAGTGGAGAAGATCATCGCTGCTGACTCGGCCCCTCAGCTAAAGAAGCGTCAGCATTGAGACGACGATTCAATGAATTGTAACTAATGATATAATATTGGCTTGATGGGAAGTCGTGATCAAGCTATTTAATTCGTGTAAATACACCCGTGTCATGATTAGATCAATAAGCACTTAGTTCAATGTTAAATATGTATTATTTCATTATTGGGAATGTCGGTGTCTCGTGTGCTGGTATTATTCTTGTTATTCGTGATAATATTCAATGTGCTATCTGGTCAAATTGGGGATGGCCGGAAGTCCTCTATAGTTGGTGCTGTCTGCGTTGACGACGATGAAGCGGACGAGCGTGAGATCGGCCTCAATTGAGAATGGCTCCTCGCCACAGACCGCTTCTTCCAGTGTCCCATCTGGCCCAACACCCCTGATTCTCTCTGCGACGTCTCTGCGGTCGGTAGTGGTGATCCGGGAACATCGGTCTCTGGTGCTCGCTCGCTGCCATTCCTGTAGTCGTCGTATCCCGCCGGCATACTCCCAGGTAACTCTGCGACGAAGTGGGGCACTTCCATCTCTGTGGCAGCTATATGCAGCGGTGGCATCTCGACAGCATCTCTTTCCACGGGCGCTTCACTGAGGGCGGTCGTGCTAGCCCTCGCCCTTGAATCCAGTTCAGCCTTGTCATCCGGCGGGAATCCACCCCCACTTGTAGGAGAAGGCTTGGAGTCGCCAAAGCCAGATATCATGGACTCTATGCGCGTGCCGTTGGTGGTGGCTTCGCGCTTTTTCTTGCGGTGTCGCCATATGAAGAACCCTACCGCGCTGACAGCGAGGGCGACAACCACCCCTCCCACACCGATGGCTATTCCGATTATAGTGCTCGATGGCAATCCATCCTCCGACTCCGAGCCGGGATCGTCGTTCTGGGCCTTCGTGGGACCGGAGGATGAAGACGGCGTTGGGGCGTCGGTATTGCTCCCCGTGCTCCCCGGCGTTGCTGTGGCGGTCGCGGAATAGGTCGATCCGGGAACGGTCGGGTCTGTCGCGAGGATGCTGAGGTCGGACTCCTGCCAGCGAACCTGGAGGGCAAAGGCTAGCTCTGACGAGTCGGTCGTGTGTGCGCATTTGCTGTAGGAAGAGGGGCCGTCGGTGAGACACGTATATCCGTTCGGACAGCAGACCTGGACTGTCTCGCTTTGGAGCACTGGCCCTCCAAAGTATATCATCCCGCCCGCATCATCTGTCCTTGCCTGGTCGTACGGAAACTCGCATCCTTTGGTCCAACTCTTGGGGCAAATGCCAGGACTATAGAACCCGAACGAATAAGCGTATAGCGAGTGGAATTTTGGCGGCATGCACACCAAGCTCGAGAGCGGTGGTGTGGCCGTGTCTGTCCAGTACAGGCTCTAAGGGTGACGTCAGTGGATGCGTTCCCATTCCACGGACTCCTATTCAGGGGGCCTAACTCACCGCGCAAAAGTCCGGAGTGGTAAAGACCGTGGTGAGAGGGCCCGCGCCGTGGAACCCGATGGCGTACGACGCGGGCTGGCTCAGATAGTCCAGCGTTGTAACTGTGGTCATGACGCCGTGATTCTGTCGCGGCTTAGCAAGCCATGGCTCCGGGGAAGAGTTGTCATGGAGGAAGAAACGGATGCTGGAGGTGCAAAACCGGGAATGGCTTGATAGCGTGAAGTTGAACTATGATCGGGCTCGCTACCAATGCCCCAACACAACCGACACGGAAGGTGGGTTCTTGGGTAAGCGAACATGAGTCAGATACACAGGTTGGCATTTGATTGCTTTTGGCTGCGGTCGCGTCGATCAAACCACAAACTAGCCAGGATCAACCGGGCCAAGGGAGCCAATGGTTCGTAGATTGTCGTGGGTTTTGTCCACCAGCTTTTCCATTGTATTCAAGAAGGCGGTGTTATTTTCCGCTTGTCCTTACTCTGTATGTTTCGCGGTGCACACGCGGCGGCTCCAGGTAGCCAAAATCACATGCATTATCCGGAAGGAGGAACAATCAACCAGGGCCGCTCACAGCCGAAAGTTCCGGGCAGTACGAGCGGGCCCAAGCGTAGATCTTCCACACCGAGGCCTCCGAGTCTGATCGGTGTTCTCTGTCCGATTTCCAGTACGGTTCTGGCTCCGGCTCCACGGGAGACCGTAACTTGCCGTCGTCGCGATGCAGAACCAATTTCAACGAGCGACGATGTTGGTGCTATCATGAGGAGGACTGGGACTCGAGTCAGGACACATACCCCCTGAAACCCTTGCCCTTCCCCAGGAGTCAGAACGGTGTTTCTTTGTGCCGGAATGAAACTTGGGAACCTGTCTGCGTCTCGAGAGTAGTTGGCTTTTAATACTCAATGTGGACATCGCGTCAGCCCACGTGACACGTTCTCTTGCTACAAACTCTGTCAATCTCTGTCATCGCAATCAGAGGACTACCGCTCAGGCTCGCAATGAAGTCACATGGGAATCTGATTGATGCGAGTGGTATGGCTTACTATGCCCAATCAAGTGCAACAGCCCTGTAGCTATACTCCATTCGGATGAGCAACATGCTTTTGGCGCATGGATACACACATACATCTTTGCACTGGTGTTTCTTGCGGATCGAATCCTCAGGTGCTCGCTCACGCCCGCCTAGCCAGATTCTGCAACCTCTCGAGGTTTCCCACTAACTCTCACAGGTTGATTCTCAGACTGAGATGGTTGTCGAAGGTAACTGTACCCCAGTCTGTTATATGTCAGTGATATACTACGCAGTTGCAAGGTTCCAAATTTTGGCGGACGGGCATCAGTGAAGGCATTGGGTGACGAAGATACTTACATGGCTCCATTCCGCCATTGCCAACGTTGACGTATGTGTCGGTGCCAAAAATGCCTTGTTCAGACATAGCCAAGAGCCAGTCCTTAATGTCGCCAGTGAAGTTTCCCTGGTATTTGTCGTTCTCGGGCACCAACAATGACGAAACAGTAATTCCTGTGTCTGTGTTCTTCCCTTGGTACAACTTCCAGCCGTCTTTGCCGAACAGGCTGATTGTCGCAACGGGACCCTCTGACCATCCAATTGGGACCTGTCCGCCTTCATAATGAAGCCACAGCATGAGTTCTTGGGCATTTGTTGATGTAGAGTCTCCTTTAGTATCGGATGTCATGAAGTCATAGACCACGTTTCCTGAGAGCTAGTGTCAGCAATGGATTGTGAAGATGCACCTTGCCATGCTGAGACTAACCTTTGTACGCTGTCGTATTGCTAATAGTCCATTCGTAGGTACTAGGGATGGAAGAGATAGCACTGAGCTGAGTCTCGAGGTTTTGCGTCAATCCAATGAAAGAATAGCCTTTGACGACGTTGGTCGAAACAGCCTCGTCAATATCCCAAACGCTGGACCAGTGGATCGTCTGGTCGTCCCCTGACCCAGTGAAGTCAAAGTACTCCGTGCAGCAGGATCCCGAGATATCCTGATAGTTGTAGTTCATCGAATACACGATCCAAGGAGTGCCTGAGATGACTTGGTAATCATTCGGGGCCCCGCAGAACTTGGCAGTGGCAGCCGAGGAGGCCCGCTCGACAACGGCAGCGGCGGTACGTGTTGCCGCTGTGGTCGCAATTAGAAGCGCAGGGAGAGAATGAAACGCCATATTGTGGTTGAAAGAACGTGGGTGGGCGAACCGAGCGATAGAACGGGCTGCCACTGTAATGTTCGACTTCAATTCCAGCTGATGTCAGAACATCAAACAATGAGTATGTCTAGAGGATCCGTGATAGCGTGCAGCCGCGATCTTTAATATCTGTCTGCATTGAGTCTTCATCTTGATGACATACTGTGCGGCGTTGTCATTGGTGGGTCAAGTTTCCACCTCCAAGAAAGGAGGAGTTGCAATTAGAATTGGCCAACCTGATGTTTCATTTCAGTGAAACAGTAGCGGGAGATTCTCTTTCTATATCACCCAACCCTAATCAAACCCCGTAGTTCTGGACCTACGCAGAGGTCTTTTGCATTTATTAACCCCAGTATCAATGTGGCCCATGCATATTTCGTCACATCGACTTTAATAAATCCCCTCCAAACTCCCAACCCAGGCACTTCTGAACTGCCCGGACTCCTGGTCCGTGAGCTCGGGCTCCACACATTTGACCTTGGATTCTAAGATTTCTCAAAGAACTGATTCTTTGGCCGTGGTAGGCCCAGATGTTCGCGTAGCGTCGTCCCTTCATAATCCTGACGGAATATGCCCCGACGTTGAAGTTCCGGAACCAGCCGCTCGACGACATCATCAAGACCTTGCGGAAGGAAAGGAAAAGTCACAGTAAATCCATCAGACCCATCCTCAGCCAGCCATCGGCCCATCTCATCGGCAATGCTCTCTGGGGTCCCCACGAACGACAGACCCGCATACCCGCCAAACCGCTGTGCCAGCTGCTTGACCGTCAGTCCCTCGTCTTTTGCGAGCTTGACTGCGCCCTCCCGAGCCGTCTTGCTCGCGTTTGTCTCGGGCAGATCTTCCGGCAGAGGCCCATCTGGGTCGAAACCAGATGCATCGGTCCCCAGCATAACGGACAGGGATGCTATGGCGCTATCATAGTGCACCAGGCTATCCAGCTTGAGCCGCTTTGCCCTGGCATCCTCGAGCGAGTCGCCGACAATGATCATAGCTGCGGGGAGAATCTTGAGGTGCTCAGGATTCCTGCCAGCTGCTACCGCACGGCCTTTGATGTCCGCGTACAGGATCTTGCCGGACTCCAAGTCTCGTGGGGAACAGAAGACAAGCTCCGCTGTCTCCCCTGCGAGCTGTCTACCGGGGTCACTCTGGCCGGCCTGGACGATCACAGGCCAGCCTTGGATTGGGCGGGCGATGTTCAGCGGGCCACGAACGCTCAATTCGTCTCCCTTGTGGTTTAACGTGTGTATCTTGTCCGGGTCGACGTAGATGCCGCTTTCCTGGTCGCGAATGAAGGCGTCGTCAGCGAAGCTGTCCCAAAGCCCCGTAACGACGTCGTAGAACTCTCTGGCTCGCTTGTACCGGTCGCCATGCTGCATGTGCTCGTCCTGGCCAAAGTTCTTGGACGACTCTAGGTTGCCGGTCGTGACGATATTCCAGGCTGCTCGACCGTTGCTGAGGTGGTCTAGAGAGGCGAAACGGCGAGCGATGTGGTATGGCTCGTCGTATGTCGTCGATGCAGTCGCCGCCAGTCCAATCTTCTCTGTCACAACCGACAGAGCAGATAGCAGCGTGAAAGGCTCGAAAGACGTCACAGTATGGCTGCGCTTGAGAGCCTCAACAGGCATGTTCAACACGGCAAGATGGTCAGCCATGAAGAATGCATCGAACTTTGCAGCCTCGAGCTTTGTGATAAATGACTTCAAATGCGCCAGGCTGAAGTTGGCATCAGGGAACGAGCCCGGATACCGCCAAGCTCCGGTATGGAGACTCACGGGTCGCATAAATGCGGTGAGGTGTAGTTTCTTTGACGTGGACATTTCTGAATTCTTTCCAAGGTTCTTTCATAAGTCTGCTGCGGCCAGGACTCGCTCGAACAGACACAGACAAGATGAAGTCTCAACCTTCATGTTGCCAGGGATGGACTTTTGGGCTCTCTAATGTTCGGCACGGGTGTGGTTGATGTCCGGGTGATGACAAATGGATTGCACCATCGCGATGGCGACATCGACGCATGTGCCCAGGTGGGAGGGGCAAGTGAGCGTCGACTAATCACCAAGACAATGAGTCGTATAACTATTGAGACACAACTTCCGAACGACACACAAATTCGTAAGCAATACTAATCTCCCTCCGATATTTCCGGATTTAAAGAGTTGGAAACCCGAGCTAAGTCAACCAGTCTTATAATACCAAATCCACGGCTCAGAGGTTGTGGATGCGTCCCTTTGCCCCTGGCCTAAAATAAAGTGAGGTAAGGCCGATGACCTTTGAAGCCAAATCAGCGAAACTGCACAATTTTCTTGGTACCTAGGTAGGCAGCTTCATGGCACAGAAACGTAATCGGCGTGAGATTTCAAATTGCATGACTGGCCCCAGCAAGTGGACTACGAAATTCCGGCTGACCAATTTTAGTACCTACTTAGGTACCCAGGTGGGCATTCACACCGTTGTTGATCAGAAGCAGGCTTCAAGCTAGAGGATGCCTTCTTTAGCGTCTTGGTACTACCGCCTAGGTATCAACACACATAAGCCTTGGGGCCCATGGACATTGGGCATAACTGCCAAAAGTGCGGCCGTTCCATTCTAGCAATCAAATTTACACATTCCACAGTGGTACGCGTGCATGAGTTGCTGCAATATAGAGGCCAGATTGACATTCAAACTCAGATCTTGAGAATTCAATTTCGAATGCCCAGCCTAAAACATCAATGATAGTAGCACTGGGCCCTGGTATAATTACTTAAGTAGCTTTTGCCACATTGGATGTTCGTATATCGCTTCCAAATGCTCGATTAAGTGTTCGACTAGGCCTGCTGCTGACTTCGCTGCATACCGGTATGGCTGACCGGGGCTGTCGGGTCGAACCATCTTTATCACATGGTTCAAAATGAGGCTGCGCTGTGATTTCGTTGGACGTCATCCGAACCGCTAGGAGTCTCATTGGTGCAACCCATCTATGCGATGCATGCCCAACGCAGCCCAAGAGGAGTTTCCAACCTGTGCTTGCTCGACGCGAAGTGTTGTCGCCCGTCAATTGGTGCACCATGGTGTACAGCATCTTCACCGGTACACGTCCCGAGAGACACCACTGCATTTGCTAGTCCGCGAACAGAGAGCCAGGTACATCATAAAGTCACATCCAGCACTCTTCGATGATCCTCCGGGAAGTTCACGCTGTTACATTTCCGCTCCTTCTTCTGATCTATCATAGGAAGTCGAATCAGCGCAGAAATCATGGCAACGTTGACTCTCAATGGTCTAGAAGCTGCACTGAGCGCCCTGCATCTAGATGCTCTACCAGCCTTTGAGCAAACCAAGCCTCTTGACAAGCCTCTTGACATAGCACGGTGCTACTTAGCCAGTATACTCGAAAATGTGGCAAACGTCGGATCCGATGTTGCATACAACGCTATCCAGTGGCCTAACAACGTGTACAATGGCGACTTGGTCGTAATCTTGCCTAAGCTCAGCCGAGGAGGCGACCCAGAAGAGTATGCGTTGGAAATCATTCCAAAGGTAATTTTAAGGCGCGACGGCAGTCCTTGCATGGGAAAAATTACTGAACGGCTAGCTAGTTTCCACGCTGCCCTCTCTTCATTCTCCCTTTCGCAGATGGGGTCCACTTACGTATGCAATTCGATATTCGTCCTCTAGCGCGTTTACTGCTCCCGTATATCCGCGATCGAGGAGAGTCGTATGGCTTTGAGTCACAGTCCGGATCGGGGGACATTGAAAATGCCATTTCCGGGAAGAGGAGAGTTGTGATCGAGTTCTCTTCACCGAATATTGGTGATAGGTTCCACGGGAAGCACCTTCGAAGCACTATGCTTGGGTCGCACCTCGCACAGATTCACCATTCCATGGGTTGGGAAGTCAGCGCAATCAACTACCTCGGGGACTGGAGCAAGAAGACTGCCCTGGTTGGCGTGGGCTGGGAGGATCTGGGGCTTGGAAGTGAAGAAAAGTTTACCGAAGATCCCATTGGGCACATGCTCGAGATATATAACGAAGTCGAGAGACAATTTGCCCCTGAACAAAAGCATGCTAAAGAAGTCAGGGACAAAAGCTTGAAAGGAGTTGACGAGTTCAAGGGTGAGGACACGGCCACTATTGAGTCTCAGGGGCTATTCGCCAAAAGAAACGACTTCTTCACACGCATGGAAAGTGGTGATCCGAAAGCTGTCGACCTCTGTGAAAAGTTCAGAGGAGTCAGCATCGAACAGTACAAGGCGCTATACAATCGGCTCAACGTCGTCTTCGACGAGTACTCGGGAGAATCACAGATACACGTTGGCCCGATGAATGAAGTTGAAGACATCCTGAGAGCCAAGAATTTGCTGGAGGAGCAGGAGGGTAGCTGGATGATCAACATGAAGAAGCATGGGGAAAAGGGTGGTGCTGCCATCATTCGCGACCGCACCGGCAGCCACACTTACCTCTTGCGGGACATCGCGTCCGCTATCGAGAGGCATAAAACGTTCCGCTTCGACAAGATGCTATATGTCGTCGCTTCGGATCACGATCTGCACTTTCAGAGGCTGGTCAAGATCTTGGAGATGATGGGCATGGGCGATCTCGCGGCCAAAATACAGCATGTGCACTTCAGTAAGAACTCTCACGTTCCAGATGATATTGATCGAGGCGATGTTCTGGAGGGAATATTGCTTCATAGCAAAACAGAAACCGAGAAAGTGCTCGCGGACGAACTCGACAAGTTGTCTCTCCTGGAGAAAGCAGGGCACAACATGGATTCTTTATGTGCAGCCAGCCTCCAGATTGACGGTCTCAGCGCGAAGAGGGCCACTGACCACACATTCAATCTTGGAAAGAACCCATCCGGGCCTGAGTTTCTGTTCACCCTTGCCAGGATCAAGGGCCTGGTTGAGGGGCGAAGTGTCCCGGATGTGTCAGCTCTCTCGGATGACGACCTGGCTTCGATCGACGACGAGACATTTGCAGACCTACTACGGCTTCTGGCGCAATTTCCCGATGTCGTTGCAGCAACCTATAAATCCTTTGAGCCTTCACTTGTCGTGTCCTTCCTGGCGTCTGTGTCCAGTCAGGTTTCGGAGGCTCTGGATGACCTTGGAGATGGAAACGACGTTCTCGGATCACGCGCCGCTGTAGTTGATGCGGCGCGCCAGGTTCTAGAGAATGGTCTGAAGTTACTCGGGATCGTCGCTTGAGAGATTTGGGACGCTGATATCTGGTGGAGTGCTGAGGTTGAGGCAGTCAATTTTGCTCACGGGTCGGCCGGGAACTGGTATGGGGGTACATATGACTAGCGGTTCTAATGGAACGCCCCTGACACGCGAACTTTCAAGGTTGTTCCATGACCTAATATTGGAGACTTTGTATCCTGTAGCGGATAAAGAAAGTAACTTAGATGCTTGCAAACTTTCGAAGCCGGCTCTTGGTTGCCTGTGACCGTCCCCGAAGCCGTCTGCATTTCACAGTGAATCTTACAGACGTGCGACCCCAGTACCTGACCAGATGACGATGCCAGATCCATACTAGTAGGTGCTACGCCAAGTTGCAGTCTCGACAAATTCAGAACCCCTAACCAAGCCTGCTTGGCCAAGCAGCCCTGGAGGACTTCCCCGCGCCTGGTACACTGACTGCGATGTGAATGATGTTTTGCAGCGTCAGTGAAATTAGCGACGACCCCGCAACGAGCCAAATATCCGAAGAGTGTAACGTTGGAGTGCAGGATGGGCTGCACGGCTTGCAGTCGGTCAATAACTGTCTGCGCGATCTTCAGATGGGATGAACCGTTGCACATCAAGCTTTTGGCTCGAGCCAAATAAATGCGTACTTAAGCTACCTCCCATCCTTTCTTCGACTATCTTGAGGGCACTGCGAATTTCGGAAAGGTCCCCAAGGAAGATGGCGCGTTACTCTTGGCTCATTTTGCTGGCCCAGCTGCTTCTCGAGGGCAGTACACCAGTACTCGGCCAGAATACGAGCACAGATATCTTTCAGTACATCGACTCTCTGATTGGGACGACTAATGGAGGTCATGTGTTCCCCGGAGCCACTCTGCCATTTGGTATGGCCAAAGCCGTCCCGGACGTAAATAGTGACGAGAGGCAGGGAGGGTATGCATCTGATGATGGCGAAAGTGAGAAATCGACCTGTTCCGATTCAATAGCCAACAAGCTAACATCAACTCAGTCTCTGGTTTCTCGCACATGCACGACAGCGGCACAGGCGGAGTGAGTTGTCTCAAGAAGACTTGACCTGCTCACAAATCACTGAGAGCACCCAACTCACAAATTGACTACACCATTCAGGGACAAGGCAAAGGCAATTTCCCACTATTTCCTCAGACAGGCTGCCCCGACGACGACATTTACCAGTGTGATTTTCCAAAGGCGCTCCGGGCAGTCAAACGAGTCAACGAATCGGTTCAGGCTAGCCCAGGCTACTTTGCTCTGACACTGAACACCTCCATCCACACGGAGATGACAGTGTCCAACCGCACCGCCCTCTACCGCATCAAGTTCCCAGGGCCATCGTCTAATGAATCAGCCACCTCTCTGCCTTACAGTCCCCTCATCCTGGTCGACCTTACAGATCTATCCGATAGCCGCAGCAACGGCAGCATAAGCGTCGACCCCAGTACCGGCCGTATAGTCGGCAACGGGACTTTCGGCCCGTCCTTTGGCGACGGGAGTTACGACCTGCACTTCTGCGCGGACTTCCAGGGCGCATCCATCCGTGATACGGGCATCTTCCAGAACAATCGCCCCGGCCGTGAGCCAAAGTCGCTGCGCACGTACGGCACCGGTTCCACGAGCCCGATCCCAGGCGGGGCATGGGTGCAGTTTCACCCGCCGGACGAGGCCGACCAGATTCAGGTCAGGGTCGGGCTGAGTTACATTAGCGTGGACCGGGCGTGCCAAAATGCCGAGTCGGAGATCCCTGGGGACTTTGACTTTGATGGCACGAAAGCCGCCGCGGAGGCGGCGTGGAGAACGAAGCTGGGCGTTGTATCGGTGGATCCGACCGGTGTCAACAGCACTTTTCTTACGACATTCTGGTCCGGCCTGTATCGAACATTTATCTCGCCGCAGGATGTGACAGGCGAGAACCCGCTGTGGGAGAGCTCTGAGCCATGTGAGTATTTAACCTACCTTGTCAATCCTATCAGCAAAGCACATTCTGAACCTGAACTGGCAGACTATGACTCCTTCTATTGTATTTGGGATTCATATCGGAGCATTCATCCTCTCATCACCCTTCTTGACCCTCTCAGTCAGACACTCATGATACGGAGTCTCATCGACATATACCGCTTTGAAGGCTGGCTGCCCGACTGCCGAATGGATTTGTGCAAGGGATTCACACAGGGCGGTTCCAACGCAGATGTGGTCCTTGCGGATACGTTCGTGAAAGGCTTCACGGACGGCATAGACTGGGAGGCAGGATATGAGGCTGTCGTTCAGGATGCGGAAGGTGAGTGATGGTCCGAACATGATCAAACAGCCCTAACAAGAAGAGTCCAGTCGAGCCTCCCAAATGGTCCGTTGAAGGCCGCGGTGGCCTCGCCAGTTGGAAGAGTTTGAACTACATCCCCGCCGACGACTTCGATCCGTACGGTGTTGGGCCATTCACGAGGTCCATTTCACGAACTGTGGAATATGCATACAACGACTTTGTCATTGCTTTGATGGCGAAGGGGCTCAACAAGACAGCTGACGCAGAGAAGTACATTGAAAGATCCGGATACTGGGTGAACCTGTACAAGGAAGACCAGACGTCGTTTCTCAACATCTCACAGGACCAAAGTCCTTGGGTAGACAGCGGCTACAACGGATTTCTAATGCCAAAGTATTTGAACGGCACGTTTGGGTTCCAGGATCCGTCACTGTGCTCCCTACTCTACAACTTTACTTCTTGCTACCTGAAGTAGGTCTCATCCTCTCAATTTGGAGTTAGCTTCGAGCGAATGCAATTTGACGCTGATGTTGTTGCACAAGTGCCAACGGACACGAAACATACGAGGGCAGCTCATGGCTATATACATTCTACGTCCCCCAGGACATGGCTACCTTGATTACCACCCTGGGGGGGCCCGAGAGGTTCGTCTCTCGGCTGCAATACTTCCTCGAAACCCCAGGTCTGAACTACATCGGTGACGAGCAATCCTTCCTGCCCACGTACCTGTTCCACTATGCTGGCCGGCCAGGACTGTCTTCGTACTACCGGCATTTCTATATCCCCAGCCAGTTCAATGAGTCTATCAACGGCATCCCTGGGAATGACGACAGCGGTGCCATGGGCAGTTTCATAGGCCTGACCATGATGGGTCTGTGGCCAGTCAGCGGGCAAGACGTCTATCTCATCACGCCGCCCTTCTTCCGAGAGGTCAACATCACAAATCCGATGACAGGCAACGTCGCCACGGTCCGGAATGTCAACTTTGATGGGGACAGCTACCAGAACATCTACGTGCAGAGCGCCAAGTTGAATGGGCAGTCGTACACCAAGAACTGGATCTCACATTCTTTCTACAGGGATGGTGGCGTGTTGGAGCTAACGCTGGGTGCCAACGAGAGTAGCTGGGGGGTGGGGCACGAGGACCTGCCCCCAAGTATTTCCTCGGGGTATTTCACTTGATGCAGAGCACGCATTCAGCGGTAACCAGAAAATTGAAATACATATGTGCAGGGTCTACCCAAATATAGATCTTCGCCGGGCACTGCGAGTATCAAGGAATCTCTAAGAATCTACAGCTCGTCCTTGCTATCAGCCTTGACGGCGTCCTGTCCCTCTTTGTCTATTGACGCGCCGGCCTTGGCGCTCAGAACTTGGGCCTTGATGGTGAACTCCATGGCCCTCTCTGTTGTGGTCCTGTCAGGGCTTGTGTAGCCCGTGGGCCATGCAACAACACCGCCGTCGACCGGCTTGGGTCCGTACTTGGTGAGGTCGATCAGGGTGCCTGACCATGGCGAAATGTCAGCAGATGTACCGACTCGGCAGGTCAAGATACTGTAAGGGTGGTCTTACCTTCACATTTGCTCCCCTCGGCAACCCACAGCGGCAACATGTCGTAGACCGCACCGGGGGCGAAGATGACGGCCTTCTTCTCGTCCAACGGTCTCAGCTTGTCCACCTTGTCCAGGTCTGGCACCTTTGCGGTCTTCTTGACCGTCTCGCCGTCGGTGGGCTTCTGGTAGACGGCAAAAAGGCCCTTACCGGGGCCGTCGCTCCTCTCCTGCTCCTCGATCCACTCCCGCACTCTGAGGGGAACGTCTGAGTACTCCATCCTGAGCAGGTTACGCTCATAGCGGTGCGCGTCGATGCCATCCCACCCGCCTGGGTATGGGCGGCCGCCAAAGAAGTCCTTGAGGGCCTCACTGTAGGGGGCGAGGCCGTTGGGCTCCTGCAGCTGGAGATCATGCAGCTGGTACTCGAACGCCTTGAAGGTCCGCTGGCTCTCGCAGGCTGCGTCGAAGTATGCGAGCCTGGAGGAGGAGAAGGGGTCTGCCCATGTGAAATTGTCCAGCTTTGTGGGCTCCAACTTGGGCGGAATGCTGGCGTCCGGTCCTGGCACGCCGCCTCCCAGGGCGGGAGACAGCAGCAGAGCGAGGGAGAGAAGGGATGGTGTCTGCATTGTGGGGTTGTCTTGGTCTTGAAGTCTTGCAAAGGATGACCTCAGGACATGCGTCCGAGGTTGTTGTTATATGGGCTGAGCAGTGCAAAACTGGTTCGCTGTCCTCATCGGAGGCGTCTTCCGCATTACCCTTTTCGTCTGCCCAGCCTGGGAGAGCCCTCGGGGGGATGCATGGCAACAAGGCGCCACGCTCATGCGCCTTTCCACGTCCACGGTCAACTGGTACTTTAGATATTCTTCGGAATCGCGTCTCCGCAACTTGAATACATCCCACTGCAGACTCAGGAGTCAGGACCCCACCCCCACTTGGACCTCCAGGGCTGATGGGTCGATGCAAACAGAGGCTCTCACATACCCCAATACCCCGACATCACCCCCACCCAGCCTCCCGTCTTACCCCACTCCTCCGGTGGCCATTGTACGGCTCTTTGGCACTTCCTACGATACCTAGGTACTTAAGTACCTGGGTACATACTTACCTACTTAGGTAAAGATGATTACCTAGGTACTAAGTACCTAGGTAGGTATCCTATGGGGCTTGGCTGTCCCCTCTGTTTTGGCGGGTGCGAGTCACCTCATAATGCTCCAGGCCTCTGACAGCTATGCCGCGGGAACAGCTGGGTGAGAGGAGGCTGGCTGCCTTCTTCCTTGTGCAAGCTTGTTCTCCAATGCTCAAGTGTTGGCAGTACAACTGTCTACACACCGCCATGGTTGACATCTACCGCATAGAATGTAGTATAAAGGACTAGTATAAAGATCTGAGAGGGTGCATGCTACCTGTGTGATTGTCACCAACTTCCATAAGTGTGAAGTCTTTGTCAGAATAATAAATATTGCATTTGATCCAAACTTCGTATTCAGCTGCTGAATAATATTGAGGGATGATAAGTTATAATCAGTTTATTTATATTGCTCCTTGGATGTCTACGGAGTAGAAGCGAAACCACTTATTTACATTGCAACAACTAGAGCGTTAATAGAATTTCATGCAAATGTCAGTGGGTTCACCATCTCTAGGTCATACTAATGCTAACAAAGTTTCAAAGCCCTTTCTTTAATGGCATTATACACCATCCTTCCGGACTTGAATTGTTCGGGTCCTTGCGCCGACTGATCGGGACCGGCCACAATTATGATAAGATACAGGTCTCAATTGGATTGGTTGGTTTTGTTGGCAGTTTGGACAGCCAATCCTCTCGCCTACTTAGTTGTCTTTATAAACGTCACACACACACGAGTCCGTTGGCCTGGTAATTGCTCTTAGAGAGTCAACCCCATTTTTACGGTGATTGGCTGGGACTCCATTTCGATTCGTGCCATTTGTACACCTTGAGCTATACATAACAAGTACTTGAGCGGGCTTGCCCTACTAGTACTACCTCCACGCATACATCGATGAATTTTCCACTGTGTGAGCCCCGATTATCCATGGGGTAGCATGCTTGGACGACAACAGATGGTATTCGCAGACGTATTGATTATCAACGCTATAATCACTAACGACTTAGTCCCCAGTCGAAACTGCCTAGGTAGGTTTGCGCGTTCGTGGTATATTCGCAAACGTTCCTACTATATCCAGTCGTTCACATAGGAAATTGACTCTCGTGATGGTGTGTCTGGTTCCACCCAGCCCAATGCCTCCGTCCCGTGTCAAAGTTCACTACCTAGGTAGGTAGCCACCACTCCCCTGCCATCCAGGTTACTGCCAACACGCTCAAATCAATTTGAGGCAGAGTTATCTGCAACAGTCGCATGGACTATGCGGATTGCTTCTTCCAGGGGTCAACGTAACAAGTCCTGCACCTCCAGTTCAAGTCTGTCTTCGGCTTATTTCTAAGAACTTTTCTGGTCTGTGGGTCTTTATCCATAAGCGCTCTACCAAGTTCTCGCAAGCAGAAAGCATGTTTTTGAGGCACAGAGGCGCAGTTGTCGTAGGACACGGGGTAATGGACCTGCTGCTCGCGCGCCCGGGTCGCGGGAAAGCTGCCCAGGGCGGGTGTCATCGGCTCCCGTACCGCAGTAGAAAACGGCAGATTGCACACGATGCACCTAGCCGGCGGGTTCGCTAGATTCTGGTCGAGTTCTTCGGTTGTGACGTGTTTGGTGACGGGAAGTAGGTCTTGCATGAGGGTGTGGAAGGCATCGCGCTCCTCGACGTTTAGGTCGTGGAATGTCTGACGGAGGTCCTCCATTCGGTTGGCGATGGCGTTTGATATCGAGTTCAGATCTCTTCTGGGCTGGTAATCGCTTCTCTCCAGTTGGCTGAAATACTGTATCATATTGTGATACGAGTCCCAGAACTCGGGATCGATGAGCCTTTGTGACCTAACCAACTGCCTTCGCCGGCGATCATTGAAAGGTGTTGTACCAGTTTCAGCAATTCTGTACGAGAACTTATAGTTTATGTTGAGAGATGCGTTTCTCGGGTACAGCATAGGAATAATGGTTCTCCCGATGTAGTCACCAAGCATTTCTGGGACTCCCTGAGATACTTATGTTAGCCTAGCGTATCAAGTGCAATGGGAGACGTTTGTCCCATCCTGCCCGGAACATTTGAGTGGCTTCACATTGTCACACAGAAACCCATTGCCCGCAGTGACAATAGCTAGTAGCTCTCTCAGAGTGTGGATTTACCTACCGAATCAAATTTCACGAACGACACAATGATGTTGATGGCACTCCATTGGACACGCCCGAGCTCGTCGCCCTGGTCGAAAGGGGCGGCTCGCATAGGGTTCTGACGTCTCTGCAGGGCTTGGACCATCACACCAATCTTTCTGTCCATCGTGACGGCCGCTTCATGCGAGGGTGGCTCAAAGTTGTAAAGCAAACTTCTCTGGATCCCTTGAAGGTTCTCAGGGGACAAGTAATGGGCAGGCTGGCTAGCAGCTTCCTTCACACGGACTTCGTCGAATCGTTGCCCCAGTATCGGGAGCAGCTTTTGGGCCTCGGCGGTCCGGAATGCACGCGATATATTGTACATTGGTCGATATTGGCCTGGCGGACAGGCGCACACGGTCACGTCGTCCCTGCACTTCGGGTTCGGGCACCGGAGCTCTCCTAGTGTCCTGTATCAGCTTCTCAAACTCAGGCTTGGTCGTACTAGCACAACAGCCAACTTTGACCATGAAACCCTGCCTCTTCTTTCGTGGCCCCCGTTCCATCGGAAGCATTAGAAGGGAAAAGAGTACTCACTAGCAATTATTTCAACAGTACGTTCAATGCTGATAAAGTCCGTCTCCCTTTCTGTGGCAGCGACATTCATGAAAACTGCCAAAAAGTCAAGAAGGCTATCCACGTAATCGATGATATTACGAGCGAGATCACTCGCATCTGCCGTAATCGTGAAAGTATCATCCGTAGGGGCTTCTCGCTGTCTATCGAAAGTCGCCCAGTCCCCAGACAAATCGTGCCGCTCGCATCTGCCAGGAAATGTGACTTGCCGGGTCCCAAATCCCTCACCCGCGCAGGCAATAGGGCTGGAGCATGGTATTCTGGACTCTAGTGGGTGCGGCCCGCCTGGGCACTGTTTTTCAAGCATTAGTCACACATTCCGAGCTTTGTTGTGCATCCAGCTCTGCAGCTTCATGCGTGGCTTCTGGATATTCATTTCAGCGAACTCACATCTCTGTAGTATCTTATGTATTTAATACACATTGTTGCAGCCTGAATCTTGTTTCATTTCCGTGTGGCTGCACGACAGGCCCGAGTGAGACGCAAGGCGAGTTCGCCATTGGCGATCAGAACGGAGACTTATAGCCACCCTTGAAAGAATTCTAGCGCTCGTCGGCCGATCGATAAATGCAGACTTGTGCTCCTCGCAACAATGAGAGAGGCCCGGCTCAAGTTACAATAAATGTCCGGAAGCGTCCACTGGTCGATGGATACGACAAAGGCCGCGCTGCTTTGCTTTCAGCGTACATATCGACAAGCCTCGGAAGAAATCTTGAAATGAATAATTCTCACGTTAGAATTAATTGCAGGCTCAGAACAAAGGACTCTTCTGCCGTTGGCTATTACCACATCAGGTGTTGGTGGATAAGAGGGTTGTGTTCCATACTTAGGTAACTGCATGTGACTACTTAAGTACCCAGGTAATTGTGCATCATCTACAGAACAGAAGGAAAATGGCTTGACGCTTGGGCACAAATTTCATTATTTCAGAGTCTAGAAATATCGGAAATGGTTCAATGGGTACTCGCTTGAGCTGCCTGAATGCCGCGACCCGGATCACACGATAAATTTGGTTTTTTGACCTAACGTGAGGGTATTTTAATGCACAAAAAATCCCCCAAAGCAAGGAGACTTTTTTGGTTTTCTCTATTTGAATATAGGAGCATAGGGAGGGGGTTGGAGAAGTCATGCTCCGGCACAGGAAGGATTTGGTGGGCGAAACTCTAGGATTGGGCAAACCGAGACTACCGGTTCCTGCCTAGGTACCCGTAGATTGTATATTGGGATTTACCAGTCGAAAAGAAGCGCGGAAACAAGTCGATGTCGTGAGAGGAGTCTTTGCGAATAATGCCATGATGAATACGCCATGTTCTACCCTAGACTAAGACAAACATCATACATAGCGCCACATTCACGCCACAGTGCCCCCTGCCCAGGCGGTTCTTGTTGAGGTGTAAATATAATTCAGCGCGGTCCTGGCCATACTGTTTTGTCATTTCTTTGAAGCATGTCATTCATATCAATGACGACGTTACGGAATGTGCTTCCTGTGAGCGGGTTGCAGCATTCTTGCCGTTGCCACTCCGCTGCAGATTACTTGAGGTGGGTTTCTTAGCCATTTGCGAAAAGGACAGAACAGATCGGATTAGTTTGACTAATACTCAGGAGGCTACAAGTGCAGGCATGCATGTTGCGCCCGGCCGACAGGCTTCTCCTGAAGTCAACATATACAACTGGAGCATATCCAACGGTACTAAATTTACCCTGGCATATACCTTTACCCTGTGAAAAGTGAAGATCTAGGTGCCAGAGTTCTCTGTTTTAATATGAAGTGAACATGCTGTAAACATTCGGACCAGTCGGCAAATAGCGGCATTGAAGTTCAGGCGGTCTAGGCTGGCAGAGTCAAACACGTGGAGATTAGAATTTGAAATTGATTGTGAAGACATTGCTCCCGAGGTTCTCTGGAACGTAAGGTCGTTCTTGTCCAGGACCGCGTGTGGCGGTACGGACTGAATCCAGGGACTGAACCCTCCCTAGACGACACATGAATGGCCCCATTGTGCAGCTTTGTCGCACCCAAGATGTGTTTCCGAAAATTTGGGATGCAGTCCCAGCATTATCCAATTCACACCACAGTGTGTAGACTTTGCGGCTCTCATTTGTGTGTATATTATCACATACCTAGGTATCAAGTAATTTGGAGCACGGCTTCGGTATCCGTGGAGGGGCAAAGTCAGTACATGTTCGAGCTGAGGGAGAGAAGGACCACAAAAGGGGTACTGAGATGATCAAGCCTCGCGAGGGAGCCCGGACGTCTCTCTGGAATATAGAAATGTGAGACCATTTGCTCGCATTTTCGCACGGTAATAGCAATAGCCATCGTTCAGCTTGCTCATTCGTCCAATTGCCAAAATTAATCCAGTACCATGGAATGCTGGAATTCATTCTCTAATGCGGTCTGTTCCCAGGCCTTTCCGTGACATTGAATCGGAACCTGTTCCGCCTGCTCCTGGGCCCCTTTAGGAGGCTGTCAGCCTACTATATTATAGCTTTGCTAGGCCCGACTGCCTGGTTCTCAAACTCGTAGGTATCTGTAAACATCGGGTCTCCGTCTCTCGCTATGTTGCCACTCACTAAACGTTTCTGGGCCTTCGGCCTCTTGTTTTTTTCTAAGCAAGTCTTCTCCAAGATCGAGCCTCGAGAGGAGATTTGTCACACCTATCTCACGACTTGGATAGCCATCCCGACAGACAGCCCGGATAAAGGCATCGGGGGACTTCCAATCACCATCGTTGGCATCAATGGGCAGAACGGCCAGAATGGGCAGAACGGCCAAAACGGCCAGAACGGCCAGAATGGGCAGAACGGTCAGAATGGCCAGAATGGTCTGAACGGCCAGAACGGCGGCGGCAATGGCCAGAACGGCTCTGACGGCTCTGACGGCTCCAACGGCGGCGGCAACCCGACGGGGCCGTCTCAATCTGGGAATCCCGATGGACAGAACCCAGGCTCAATGACTACCTCTGCTCCTACCGTCAACCCAACCGATGGGCCGGGCCCTGCACCTACAAGTCTATTTCCACGACCAACTCTTCTACCAGACAATTCAGCATTTGCTGCAGTGGATATTCCTGCCGGTCAGCCGTTTTTCATATTCGTCAGAGGTCTCTTCAGGAACCCTAACGACATTCTCGACCCTACTCTCGGCAAAAGCCCTCCAGTGGATTTCCTCGAGTTAGACACCAGTCTGCCAGCTATTGTTGGAACACCACCACCACCCTATGTCGGGGTAGTATATGCCAATATTCAGGCTACCGAGCCCAATGCAGCTCCTCCCAAATTGATCAAGCTGAGGGCTCCTGGTGACACCTACAATGTCACTGTGCAAATCAACATTGGTGTTGGAGAGCCATCTTCCGCCGGCCCCATTCCTCCTGCGACTACAACGCCGGACACAATCTCTGACGGGCCAACTACACCACTTACTCCTCCGACCGATGTGAGCAGCGCCGAGGAACCAATCACCAGCTCAGAGCCCCCCGAGCCAACCCAAGAGCCAACCTCGATATTCCCGACTGCCAGTGATGACACTGATACCACCTCAACCCCCATCAGTGAGGTCGATTCGGCCACATCATCAGTGGACGAGGAAACTGAAGCACCCAGCGCTACACCAACGTCTTCCGAAATTGAGCAGTCTCCAGACAGCGGTGTTTCAAGCACAGAAGCCGTTTCTTCCAGTGACATTGATGTTCTCCCCACGAGCACTGAGGGTGGAGATGAAGAGATTCCAACCACGTCGTTCGATGAATCGCCAGGCCTTCCCACGGGAGCACCTTCATCAGACCTGAGTGAGACGGACGTGTTCCCTACACCTGGTGGAGACGAGTCTTCTGAGTTACCACCTACTCCTAGTGATGGAGGGGTCCCAACCAGCGCAGCTGCTACTCCCACCGATGTCCCAGGAGGGCAGTCGTCTTCCGCAGAAGGTGAGGGTCAAGCGCCTACGAGCAGCGAAGCGGGTGCGGGCAACCCACAGGATTCTTCAACAACAGCTCCGCTCGTGACCACACCGGCAGGTCTTGGTACTACAAGCGGCACAGCAACTTCAAGTGCCGCCGCTACCACCTCGACAGGAGCCTGTGTCAACGGCACCGGACCAGGCAATTACAAAGGCCTGTGCGAATACTCATGTCACTACGGGTACTGTCCTGAGCAGTGCACATGTACAGAGTACGGTACCAAGGTTCCCGCACCGCCAGAGACAGGCGAGCCGGGAGTCCCGAGGGAGGGACTGGACGCAAGCTACTCGGGACTGTGTAGCTATGCTTGCAATCACGGTTACTGCCCCGAAGCAGCCTGCGATCCTTGCACCTCGGGCACCGGAAGGAGCAGCTACAAAGCCCTTTGCGAATACTCCTGTCAGTTTGGATACTGTCCTCAGGCTGTTTGCCAGTGCAAAACTTATGGCGAACGGAACCCCGCACCGAAAGAGTTGGGTATCAAGGCAGAGCCCCAGACAGGGCGAGACCAAAGCTATGCGGGATTGTGCAGTTATGTGTGCAATCACGACGAGTCAAAATGTTCGCCTACGGAGTGTCGGATTGTTTCTCGACGTAAGTGAAAATATCTGAGTGGTCCATCTAGCGTGCCCTTAACCTGTCCAGCGTCAAGCTCCGTTGTGAGCTCGTCGACGAGTGTGTCATCAGAGGCGCTCGGGACGAGCTCTTGGTCCAGTCGGGAGGCTACCTCGTTGAATGCCTCGACCAGCGCTCCGTCTACTGTATTTTGGAGCCTGTCCTCGAGTGCTATCTTGAGTGCTTCTTCGACTGTGTTCTCGAGTGCCTCTTCGACCCCCTCGCCAGCTGTCACTACGGACTTGTCCTCAACTGTCTCTTCTAGTGACAGTAGCAGCTCTTCCTCCTCCAGCACAAGCAAATCCAGCACATCCAGCACATATAGCACTTCCAGCATGAGCACATCTAGCACTTCAAGTACCTCAAGTTCTTCAGAATCAGGGACTGCAAGCACTTCGAGTACTTCGAGTGGATCCAGCACAAGCACCTCAAGCGCTTCCTCCAGTTCTTCTGAATCAAGTTCTTCCGAAACAAGCACCTCAAGCTCTTCAAGCACCTCAAGCTCTTCAGAATCAAGCACTTCAAGCACTTCAAGCACTTCAAGTTCTTCAGAATCAAGTACTTCGTCGAGTGCCTCGTCAAGTTCTTCCGAATCAAGCACTTCCAGCACTTCAAGTTCTTCAGAATCAAGCACTTCCAGCACTTCCAGCACAAGTACTTCCAGCTCTTCAGAATCAAGCACATCTAGTACATCTAGCACAAGCACTTCCAGCACTTCATCAAGTTCTTCAGAATCAAGCACATCCAGCACAAGCTCTTCCAGCACTTCCAGCACAAGCACATCCAGTACAAGCTCTTCCAGCACAAGCACATCCAGTACAAGCTCTTCCAGCTCTTCCAGCACTTCCAGCACAAGCACTTCAAGCACATCCAGTACAAGCAGTTCAAGCACTTCTAGTACGAGTAGTTCAAGCTCTTCGGAATCATCAAGCTCTTCCACAAGTTCTTCCACCTCAAGTACATCATCAAGCACTACTAGTTCTTCCACAAGTTCCTCGTCAAGCTCTTCTCAGTCCAGTTCCTCCTCGAGTTCCTCGTCAAGCACATCCACCTCCTCGTCAAGCACATCCACCTCCTCGTCAAGCTCTTCTCAGTCCAGTTCCTCGAGTTCCTCGTCAAGCACATCCACCTCCTCGTCAAGTACATCCACCTCCTCGTCAAGCTCCTCTCAGTCCAGTTCCTCCTCGAGTTCCTCGTCAAGTACATCCACCTCCTCGTCAAGCTCTTCACAATCCAGCTCCTCTACCTCGTCAAGCTCTTCACAATCCAGCTCCTCCTCTACCTCGTCATCAAGTTCTTCAAGCTCACGATCTTTAGCTCCGACTATCGCATCAGCGGCCGGGAAGGCCCGTGTATATATTCAGACCAACACCGCGGGCGCCCTCGAGCCGTCAGCATTCCACCCCCAGCCTGTCAAGTTTGTTGATCGGGGAGGGGCAACAGGAGTCATGGCGGCATACGTGGCCCTTGAAACTCCCACGGACACCAATCACCCGGCATATAACAAGAAGGCCAAGATCATGAGGATCAAAGCGTCTTTCGACGATGGAGACACCTGGAGCCTCGTTAACAAGAAAGCGGCTCCTGCAGCTGGTGATAAATTTGGGGAGGTGTTCCAACGCGCGGTAGGCCCAGACGATATTGATGATGTGTCTTGCGTGCAAGTCACCGGCACTGGCACAATCCTCTGCGCCTTCCGAAACCACAGCTATAACAACGGGGTTCCAACAACATATCGCATCACTCTCGCCCGATCCGACGACTACGGAGTGACTTTCCCCGAAGGACTCGCCAAAACGATACACTCAGCACCCGCAGCAGCCCAAGACCCGGCTCTACCAACCAGGAACGGCAAGTGGCAGCCGACAATCAGACGGTATGACGACGCCTACCTACAGGTCTATTGGGCCGAGGAGGTCACCCAAACCGACGAGAACATTGTCATATGGGATTCGGTTGACGGGGGTACAACCTGGAAGTACCTCACGACAGCAGTTGGAGCTGACGAAAACAATCTCCGGGATGAATGGCCAGGTGTGGTCACCATTAGTGGCGATAAGAATCTGTGAGTATTGTCTTTTCACACCCCCCGCCCGGAATTGGGCTACGACGCCTTGGGTTTGAAATCGCTAATGTTCCATCTCACAGTCTCGTATTCCAGAGCAAGCCCGGCAGCGGTCCCGGTGTCAAGAGTATTTTCTGTGTCACCTCCCCCAATAAAAAGTTAGATGGGTCTTGGACCAAAGTACGAACCCTCATCCACACACCTGCCAACGGGAAGGAGGCTGCGCAGCCTCAGGTGATTAAAGTTGGCACCTACCTCGTAAGTCATGCCCTTCCTCAGAAGTTTTCATGTCGAAGTATTTGGAAGGCTTTGAAAGAGTCACTGACTAAGAATTGTGACAAAAGGTCGCTGCGTTCCTGACGAACGAGGGCAGCGCTTCAACCGAGGCCAATGGTGGCAACTTGATAGCATACACCAGCTCAAACGATGGCCTCAACTGGTATGGACCGACAACTCTTAGTACCGGCGGTGCAAGCAACCCTGGTCTCTACCCCCTTTCCAACAACGAGTTCGTGGCTGCGTGGGTTGCAACCGACACTTTGCCGGGCCCACAAGGGTTGGTGGCGCAGCGGTTTTCAGTAACAGTAGCCACGTGAGCGGAGATGGGAAGTGGCCCTGTGTGGTTGTGCAATCAGTTGGTTTGTTATTTGCTGCAGCAAGTTTGTTGATTGATTGGTTGATTAATTGTTGCCTGTTTGTTTCGGTTCAAGTGTTTACCGCCACGGGCGGGCAGTGGGCTATCCACCTTAATGCGTAACTACATTCTTACCCGCAGCCGCACAAGTGGCATAGGGCGTTATTGGGATTAATAGCAACGTTTTCTTGGGCTCCTTCACCTGTTCTTGATCAAGCTCCGGGCCCGTGAAGCTCCTCTGATGTGGAATCTTGGAGGATAATTCCAAGGCTACTAGGCTGATGTGGGTAACTCGATGATTTGAATCGAACCCTTGATATTACCAGTGCTGTGAAGGGGGTAGCAGACCTACTGAGGCACATGCAGTTACTAGCTGCCTTGATTTGTCAACACCGGCGGACATGCCGGTTCGTGGCCATTACAGTAATTACCTAGGTACATCTTCATCTGGTTGCAGACCCTTGCAGTGGACATGAGAAAATCAATACCAATTTAGGACAACTTGCAACTTTATTTGCAAGGTGAGCAGGATCCCCGTAAGCCTCGGCGTTAATCCCGGCCGGTAATCGCCACTTATTTGGAACCCAAGCACAACTGCAAGCGCGTTTGGGGGCAGTCATCAAACATGAAATCAACCACATCTACGACGACGGTACGCAAAGACTCAAATTCAAAGCCGAGCTGTATCTTGCAGACTATGCAGTAGCTACCTGGGTAGTCAATCCATACTGTTGTAGTAGTGAAGCATACATCAAAGAGCCATCACGTGCGCGACATTGTAAAGTACGTAGGTAATCAGTAATCATTGGCAGATGGTCGTTCGCATGCCAAGCTCCTAGAGCCTGCTGCAACGTGCTAGTTTGCGTCCCAAAACGCGCTGACAGGCTGACAGGCCGAACAAGGTAGCACTGCCCAGGTGTGCGGTACATTTGCTCCACAGGTATTATCAACAACAGGGCCTCGATTCGCTGTTAAAAGGAAGCCTAGCATTGGACCCATTGAACGCTCGTAGTTGATGCAACGGCATGGGGTAGCATCATAGCCTAGCAAGCCTAGCCTCTTGAGTGGAGCCCTCTCCCACTGCCGCGAGGAGGGGAGGTTCTCGGTAGGTTCTCAGAGGGTGTAGCATAAATTGTTCGGCCCGGAGGAGAACAGCATCCTGAAAATTTGAACTCTGTGTTATCTTTCATCGCATTTCATCTGTTCTGTGCGGTCTGTCCTGACGATGAATTCAACCAGCTCCTCCTTCCCATGGCGCGGAGATGCCACATCTCTGGCAGCCAACCCAGCCGTGCTAATCGTGCTTGTACCGGTTGTGACCCTGCTCTTATCCTATCTGGTGTCTTGGATTGCATCACCCCTGCGAGGGTTCCCAGGACCAGCTCTAGCATGTCAGTCGAAATACTTCCTGGGAATTTGAGAGAGCTCAGCTAATAGGAACGCTTCAATCAGCATGGTCGAATCTGTGGCGGATGTACTATGCCTACGATGGATCTATCCATACCACCACTCACAAGATGCACCAGAAGTATGGACCAGTGGTCCGCATGGCCCCGAACTACCTCGACCTCGACTACGATGCAACCGCCTCGCTGATCAAGACGTGTTTTGACACGAAAGGCGTCTGGAGAAAGGTAGGCAACTTCCTTCCGGTATTTATGCCCATGTACGCATAACTGATACATATGAAAACTTGACCATAGACCGACTGGCATGCTGTCAGTGGTTTCAAGGTAGGAAAAGAGATTAGGTACAATGTATTCAGCGAAGTGCGCCCAGCCGAGCATACTCGCATGAAGAAGCCCGTCGCCAAATACTGGACGACCAGTGCAGTGGCCCGAATGGAACCCCATATCGACAGCGTTGTCGCGTTCTTCGCCAAGCAGCTCCAGGGTCGCTATGCAGATGGGGGTGAAAAGAAAATGGGCAAGGCATTCAATTTCGGCGACTGGGCCATGTTTTGTGAGCACTGACTTCGCTTCAAGATTTATTTCATTTCACCTATATTGTTACTGATTTGTCTTATCCATTAGTTGGCTGGGATGCGGTAGCCAAAACAACGATGAACAAGCGCATCGGCTACTTGGATCACGGATCTGATTTTGACGGGACGCTGGTCACGGCCGAGAAAGCATCGAGGTACCTGGTCACGATCGGAATGTACCCTGTGCTGGACCGGTTCTTGGATAAGAACCCTATATATCACATTGGGCCGCCATCTTACACGAACCTCGCCACACTGGCAGTCAAGCTGTTGACTGCCCGATTGACCGGCCAGGACGGGCATGATGCCGTCCAAGATCTCGATTTTATGGACCATTATATCGAGGCTAAGAAGCAGTACCCGGAAATTGTTGACGACTTTATGCTCACCTCATGTGAGTTCATCATTCTCATATCAAACAACTGCACAAATTGGGCTAACTAGGTCCATTACGACAGACGTGCTCGTTAACTTGGCTGCCGGAGCCGACACCACCGCCGCAGCTCTTCGAACGGTCTTCTACCTTTGCCTAAGGAACCGCTCAATCTGGAAGAAATTGTCCGAGGCAGTGCTCGCAGCTCCATTCGCCCAGCCAGGGAGCGTCCAACTACCAGCCCCATACGCTCAGACGAGAGCAATCCCTTACCTCGAAGCCGTCATCCGCGAGGCACTGCGCCTGTACCCTGGCAACCTTTTCCCCCAGGAGCGCGTCGTGCCAGCAGGGGGGATCAAGCTCCCAGACGGGCGTTTCGTCCCCGAGGGCACGGCCCTGGGGTTCAACGCCTACGCCATGCACCGCAACAAGGCAATTTGGGGGCCCGACGCGGAGGAGTTCCGCCCGGAGCGGTTCCTGCGCTCCGAGGACGAGTCAGAGGCCGAATACAGCGACAGGATGAGGTTATACAACGATAGCGACTTGTCTTTTGGGGCGGGCAGCCGAAAGTGCATTGGGATGAACCTCGCGATGATGTAAGCATCACTTCTCAATTGTTACGAGTCCCCGTCTTTCATGCTTTTGAAATGTTCTAGAATACAACATTTTAGGATCCGTAGCAGGACTAACGTCACTACCAGGGAGGTTTACAAGACCACCGCCACTCTAGTTGCCATGTTCGACTTCGAACTAGCCACCCAAAAGGAGTGGACTGTCACGGCTGAGTTGTTTCCCAGAGCTAGGGGAATAGTGTGTAGAATTCGACAGAGGGAAGGAATGTTTCTGAGGCCGGACATTGATTACAGGAATGAGTAGTCACGTCGCTCAGCCAGCCGCCATGTTTGGCGTCAGAGGTTGTTAGAAGTATCTGAGCTGTGCTCGTGTGTACTTAGTATACTATGCAATGACAGTATATCGATAGTTAGGTAATAAGCCACCTGGTCAGTGCTTGCTATGTGACCCACTTTGAACGACTAAAGGGAGACATTGTGGGACAATCTTCGATAGAAAGAGGATGACTTCGTGAGTGATGAGTTCTTCTGTGATGATATCACACCTAGGTATGGTGCAACTGTGCAGGGTTAGTAACAGGGCTGGGCTGAATGGCCGTGGAACCCAGCAAGCATTGGTAGGATATGTTGGTTCAGGACCTCGGGAGAGTGATAATTACACCTGGCAGCCCCCGTTCAAGAATCAGTGCAGGGCCTTCCACGGCCGGTGGTGACGACCGCCCGCGGTCTCTGATATCTGCGATGTCAAGGTGCTGTTCTTGCTTGTCTCAACGACAAGAACAGTTTGAGAGCAAGCTATCTTTAAAAGGATTATGCCTTGGAGGCGCACTAAATACCTAACAGGCTCGCTTGGGGTTGTTTCGGAATGCATCCTAGTTTCGCAACCGCTAATAAAGCCGTGAAATTGAGCGAGGAGGCACCGGAGCCTTGTGGACTCGGACTTGAGTGGGATCATTCTAGCATCAAACAGGACACAAGGTCATACATATAGTTGTCGCGGCGAGTCCGGCGCTGGTACCTAGGTACTCAGCTGTAGTTATAACCTTATAAAGCACCGTAGTATCGCTATTACAGTTGATATGTATGAGTCCCGTGCCGAGCATCTACAACTGCCATCACGCATAGATTGAACCTTGGAAGCCGCAGCTGGGCTGTTGGCAGTGGAAACTGCTCTTGGGCGCCTCCCTCCTCCCCATAATCCGGTACGTGAAGAATGGCCTTGAGGGTATCGCTGTTGGGGTGTTTTCTGCCCACCACGGCACAGCTAACAATGGGATTTTGATGCGATGTGAACTGAGAAGAACAAATCAAGAAGGGCCTATGCTAGACATTGTAGTGCCACGCACAACGGCGAGCCGTGGTGATCAGGAGGAAGAGGTCAACAGCTCTAGGAGACTTGCGAAGTGAGCCTCTAGCCCAGCAAGAAGTTGGTCTAGGCCGGCTTGCCGGATTTTACTATAAGCTCGCTGGGAAAGGTGGATGCGGGTGGGCCCAACCTTCCCACTCTGATCGGCCCTTAAGCGGGGGCTCAGAACCCGGGTCTGGTCGAACGGACCGATTGGGAGTCTGGTTCGACTCGCCGTGCCCTGAAGTGCTTACTCTGATGGGCAACTCGGGTGGGTAAGACCTGCGGGAGCTACCCTAGATGGTCTCTCGAATGCTAAGCATTTACGCCGAGATTGTTCCAGGATATGCCCGCGCGGCAGGATTCCCTGGGCGGCAGGGCGGGCGGAACACGGTTGGGGTGTTCAGCCGCCCGCGAGCGTCACCTTCGGTTGATGACCTCGCAAAAGGCCTTTCTCTTTCTAGACCAGTGGTTCTCACACACAGCCCGATACTTCCGAGTCCTGTCTCTGCTCATGCGGTGTGGGCTAACTTGGAGGGTTTTCCCCCAGGTGAGAGGTGTCCGAAGCACATCATACCATGGGACCTGGCGGGCGCACTTGTCAGGCGGCTGCATGAGAGGGCTTCCAAGGGGGGGGCTTCATACGTCATTCCTCATTCTTTTGAATTTCCATCCCTCTGGGATGTTGCGTACTGTGTCGCTGTCCTGTATATCCATGACAATATGGACATGGGACCTACTGTACTAGTACTAGCAGCTCGGCATCGCCAACAGTGCCGCTCGCCAGAGACTTCCTCCTCGACACCGCCGGCGCGGGAAGTTTGCGACTGGGACCCGGACAGCGGCCGAGATTTGCTGCGAGAATATTGGCGCGTCGAAATAAGCTACCGGTAAGGGCAGAGCTTAAGCGGCGGGCGGGATGGAGCCAAGCAACCAAGGCCAGGCCAGTCCGGGTGTGGCTGCACCGCTGCAGCCTCCAACAACAAGCTCTACCACCAAGAGGGGAAGAATCCGGGGAAATTGGGGAAGCACTTGGGGGTTTCAGCGTTCTGGTTCAAATGTTCCTGGAAAATATGAGAGAAGGGAACCTGTACATAGTACGGATTGCGGTGCCCCAGACTCAGGACTCAGACTGCGCATTCAAAGTCGACATATGCAGCTTCACCCGCCCAGAGTTACGCTGTAACTGTTCTCTGGGTGCCTCAGGCTGTTAAATATTCATTCATCTTGCAAACATTACATCGAATGCCTGTGACGACGCCACTCCGTCATTGACGTGCGGAGGCGGTTTGAATATACGGAAGAGGGTCCCACATCGTGAGCCAAGTCGGACCAGGTACTTACTGAAGTCAGTAGGTATGCAGGCTGGGCTAGCAGGCAGCACTCGAGACTAGTAGCTGGGCCAGAAGGTCCTGTCCAGAGGCATCAGACTGCGCAGTCAATCACATTGTTGGTCGAGCTGAGCTTGCCTGCAGAGCTTGCACTTGTGCTCGGACACCCCGCTGATGATGCAGAACCATTTGCTAGCCTTGACTCGGGTGCCCCGTCCCCGTGGGGGAGCATCGACAGCGGCGAACCGTCCGACTGGGCGGTGGCAAGTTCTGCACGGGGCTCGTGACTGGCTGTCTTCTCCAAACGGGGCCGGGCTATACCAGGGGGCCAAGCATCCCCAGATTCGAAACGTGGGGCCCCCATCCTCACGGCCATGTGCCAGGGAAGTGCCAATGAGCCTTTCGGCCCTACCCACAGGCGACCCCGGCTTCTGCCAGTGCTTGGGGTTTCCCCCAGTGCCATGGGAGCCCGTCAGATTGGTCCAAGGTGACAGGGTGAGTGAGAGAACGAGTGAATGGTGTTCAATGGTACGCTACTCCGATTCACCTCGGCGTCCCAGTCACTGGTACATCATCGTGGTTCATACTTAAAGTACTCACTCTGCCCATATCAAGCCCGGGTTCTGTCCTGTCCCTTTCTCCTTCGACATATACCCTCGTCCCTTTTTTCTTGTAGCATCACTGCTTCGACCTCATACTCCGATCCATCAGGTTCTTCTCTTCTCACCGTGCGGCATTGCGTATTTGCGTTGCACAAACAAACACAACCGTCCAACATGGCGAAGCTTGCTATCGCCAAGCCCCGAGAGGAGGCTGGCAAGGCCTGGCCGGCCATTTGCGTCGGTGCCTTCGTCGCCTTCGGCGGTGTTCTGTTCGGATACGACACCGGTACAATCTCTGGCATCCTGGCCATGCCCTACTTCCAACATCGATTCTCCACGGGCTACATCAACCCAACCACAAACGAGCCTGGCATCTCCCCCTCCCAGGATTCGGCCATCGTCAGTATCCTGTCCGCAGGCACCTTCTTCGGCGCCCTTTCGTCCCCCTTCTTGGCCGACAATATCGGGAGACGACTCGCTTTGATCGCGTCCACCTTTGTCTTCATCTTTGGCGTCATCCTCCAAACTGCCGCCGTCGCCCTGCCCCTGTTCCTCGCCGGCCGCTTCTTTGCTGGTTTTGGTGTCGGTCTCATCTCGGCTCTCATTCCCCTCTACCAAAGCGAGACGGCTCCTCGGTAAGCACACGCCACCTCCTTCTGCAAATCATATCACACCAGACTCCGGAGCATTCGACTGACATATATTAGGTGGATTCGAGGAGCAATCGTGGGAGCCTACCAATGGGCAATCACAATCGGCCTCCTGCTGGCTGCCGTCGTCGACAATGCCACCGCCAACCGAAATGACACCGGCTCGTACCGAATCCCAGTCGCAGTCCAGTTTGCGTGGGCCATAATCCTCATCGGCGGAATGCTCATCCTGCCCGAGTCTCCTCGATACCTCATCAAGCAGGGCAAGGGCGAGAAGGCCGCCCAAGCCCTCGGATATCTTCGACGTCTCCCCGCCGACCACCCATCCATCACCTCCGAGCTGTCTGAGGTTCGGGCAAACCACGAATACGAGATGAGCCTTGGCAAGGCGAGCTACATCGACTGCTTCCGTGGAGACATGATCAAGCGTCAATTCACCGGCATGGCCCTCCAAGGATTGCAGCAGCTGACTGGCATCAACTTTATCTTCTACTATGGTGAGCTCAACCTCTTGTGTCTTCGGGCGCTTCTTGATCATATGAATGGCTTCGCTGACAATCCTGTCAGGAACACAATATTTCAAGAACTCCGGAATTTCAGGTAAGAGCTGCTCCTGAGCCCAGACTCCCATATCCGAGTCCTGCTGGAGGCGTAGCGTCTGACGGCCACAACAGATCCCTTCGTTATCCAGATTATAACTTCTGTCATCAATGTGTTCTCGACCCTTCCCGGCTTGTACGCCGTCGATAAATTCGGTCGCCGACCTTTGCTGCTCTGGGGCGCTGTAGGGATGGCCACCTCCCAGTTCCTTGTAGCGATGCTGGGAACCTTGACCACAGGCCAGGACTCTGCCGGAGCCATCATCGTGTACAATCTTTCCGCGCAGAAGGCCTCAATCGCATTCGTGTGCATCTATATCGCGTGTTTTGCGTCGACTTGGGGCCCTCTTGCTTGGGTCGTCACCGGAGAGATCTTCCCACTGAAGCATCGGGCTAGGTCTCTGTCCATCACCACTGCCACAAACGTGAGTCGCACCAAATCTGGACACCCCCTCCCCCCACCCTGATCCAGCAGCTAACTCTCATTGGTAGTGGCTCCTGAACTGGGCGATCGCCTTCATGACCCCGTACCTGGTCAACTACGGAGACGGCTATGCCAACCTGCAGTCCAAGGTCTTCTTCATTTGGTTCGGCTGCTGCTTCATCTGCATCGCCTTCGTCTACTTCTTCATCTACGAAACCAAGGGGCTGTCCCTCGAGGAGGTCGACGAGCTGTACACAGAGGTCAAGGGCATCAGCGCCGCCAGGAAGAGCAAGCACTGGACACCTAATACCACCTTCAAGCAGAGGGAGTCGATTGCTCACCAGGGCGGCGTCATTGGGGGCGAGAAGGATGCCAACTTGGAGCATTCTGAGGGCGCTGTGGCTTGATTTTTAGATGCAGTGCCAGCGGGCCTTCTTGTAGTTCCTTGACTTTTTTCAGTAAATAAGTACGAAATTCAACACTTTTTGCGTGTAATATTGCTTAGCATCGGCTTGTCCTGTCCACAAGTCCAGGTTTGTGATCACATCAATACACATTTCACTCGCACATGGCCTGGCCTTCAGAAGGCACTCATAGGTCAGGGTGCCATAGGAGGTGGTCTAGTATAGCTACTTAAGTAGCTTGTTTCATGGGAGGTTGCCTAATGAAAGGACGGTACATCACGTAAGTGACGATATCGAAACAGAACGGCACAACCCTGGCATAATTAGACTAGTCGCGGTGGAGCTGCCATCGTGCTTTGCAAGCGCGTGGTTGATGTGAAGAGTCTTCGGGGTGTGCGGTGAAGGTAATACGCCTGGTCTATGCCCAATGTCGCGATTGTAAGAATGTGGCAACGGTTAAACGGATGAAGAAGCACAGGCAAGGTACCTAGGTCCCTAACAATGCAATATATGCCCTAGATCTGTGTATTTCCGCTTGCTTATTTAGTTGCTTAAGAACTTTGCGATTTCTGGGGCTAGTATTTCATGTACACGGCTTGTCCTGTGATAGAATATCAGCTTGCGATGCCACGGTAGACCGCTTGTCATGGATTGCTGTGAAGACTTACGTATGTCCGCTGTTGAACCAAAAGTAGGTGTCAAGCGGCCCGGAGCAGCCATACTTCTCCCAGTCTGTCAGGACATCCTCATATAGATATCCGGCACAGAAATCAGTCGTGTTTGTGATCCCATAGTCGGCTGCATTGTCCAAGACATTGTTCAAGAAAGTGTTGGCATCAAACAGCAAGGTTGTCACTCCCTCATTCTGGCAGGCAAAGTCATCGCTGTACTTTTGGAGTGTCTCATCCCACCATCCGATCATCGTCTTGTTGGGTGATGGATTGGGCTTCTTAACATTTCCGGGCGTTCGATCCAGCGGAGGTAAGTTTACGAAGAGAAAGTTCTGGTAGCCCGCTTCAAATAGGGGCGTCACGGACAGTGAAAATATGCTGGAGATGATAGAATCGAAGACGCTCGGGAAGTCGAAGGAGCTGGGGGACTTGGCCAGATCATTGATGTCATTAATGCCAATCCAAATTGCAACCAAAGTTCTTTTCCAGCGTTGGGAGTTAGCCATCAGAGAACCAAACAAGTAGCTTATTGCGAATATGAGGAGGTGCAGCCCATGAGGTGGTCACAGCCTGTCGTAAAAGCTGCAGCCTGTGAAGTCTTTGTTGTATTTGCCCGAAATGGGGCATGTTTGTTCTTGAAGGGGTAAAGATTGTGCGTAGAAACTACTTACTCAGAAGCCAAGACTTGCAGCTCGTTTTCAAATACTGGCTGCCCGTAGGTGAGAAACTGCTGGGACTGGTTGACAAGCGGCACGGTGAAGTTATGATGAAGCGGCGTGCTGAGTGTGTGTTGGTTAGTAGGAATCCGCACACTTGGACGCATATCTGGTTGTTTATCTCACAATTCTGTCGACACATCTGCACCTGCGAACGCAAAATCCCACAGTTGCAAGTCACAATCCAGTGGCGACGTGAGCCCAGGCTCCAAGCCACATCCTGTGAGGTACTGGACCCAGTTTGGACCGCCCTCCGCCGTACCGGTGAAGTTTTGTACAATCTGGTTCGTCAGGAGTTGCTCCGGCTCATAAGCAAAGTTACCCGGCAAGTAATCGCCAATGAAACTATAGTTCTGGCGGCCATGGATACCTTGGACATAAGTATACGAGTCCCCGAAAGCGATGCTGGTACCCTGGGGTCAGCTGGCTGGTTTACAGCTTGTATATCTTCGGAAGTGGCGGCTGAACGACTCACAGGTGCTTGATGTTTTGCCATTCGAATGCGGTAGGTGGAACCGGGGATGCAGTCACCAAGGACATTATGGAAACCAAGCCGATGGAGCCAAGGTGAAGTGAGGGGGCGTTTTGTGTTGCGAGCATCACAAGCCTGAAATCTGACCATGCGCTTGGTGAACAGAGTAATTATCAAAGCATCAAAGCAGAAGTGCAGTCTCGATGGCTGTTTCTCACAATTATACGGGTCAAGATTCCACCCGTGTCCGCTGCTCCGAAATTAAGCGATTTGATTAGGCGGTTGACAGCTGGGACCAAACCTTACAATTGGTGGAATTTGCCCCCGAATTTGGGGTCTTGAAGAGACGACTGACTTAGTGAAGCTGGGCACCCAGATGACCCCGCTGTTCTCCCAGCGAGAAGCACTAACATATCTCGACATCGTGACAATTCGAGCCGACCGCGCGTGTAGGTGAGTGCACCCCAAATAGTTATCATCTATCTTCTGAGAATTTCACGAGACAGCATTTGACGTAAGCGCGATGGGAGAGAAATAACCCCCAGGACACAGGCACTTGAGCATGGCACATTTATGGACGTCACTTGGAAACGCTAAGTAGATGGTCTAGGTATCTGACAGCAAAGCAACGGCGAGGTGATGCAATCATATTCATAAAGGAACACTGTCAGAAAAAGAGAACCTGCGCAGCTACTGAAACAGGGCTGAGGCTCATTTCATGGCTGTCCAGGCTCTCTGGTGCAATTCCTTTCTGTCGCGACTTCAGCTTGAGGACAGTAAAAGCGTGACGACCTACTTAAGAGGCTAGGCAACAGTATGACAAGGAAGTGTGATAGACACAATTTGGCTTTGATTCAAATTGTATCATCAATTGATCTACTGTGGCCCAACCCTCTGAGCGGCCAGCCATGCTGACATGTAATCCGACGACCACCTCACATCGGCTCCGCTTCCCTGGGCGCAGCCCGATGACCCCTGCAGCCCGTGGACTCAGGGGCAGGTTGGGGTCGCAAGGCAAATGAGATGGCTGATCTCGGCCTCTGACATGCAGCCCATGCTGGAGAGGCTATTGGTGCCGGAAAGTGCCCGCAACATCAGGCTTCCTTCGATGTTACAAGAGCTCACGTAGGATCCAAATCCCTGCTCTCCAGGGCTGCCTCCGACAAGCTGAAAAACAGGGACAACCAAACTCAAAAAAAAGTCCCAGCCGTTTGGACTCCAGTTTTTCCTCGCGCCACACCGTCTCGTTCGGTTCATCATCGAAAAGATCTACACTGCACCATGTCTCTCAACTTTGACGACAACACGTGGTACCAGGTCAACGTGACAAAGTTCACAGGATTCTCCCTCCTCGGCACCTCACTATTTAAAGACGGCCTTACTGGCGCAGTATTCTATCAAGAAACCAACACCAGTGCGAGGGGCCAGAGCTGGCAGTTCTACCCGTACAACTCATCCGTGTACTTGCTGCGGTGTAAAGATGGTGGCCCGAACGGTTACCTGGCCGCTGCCGCCGGGTCAAGTGACGGTGCACAGGCGTCAATAACTGGCAATACGGTGCCCATTTTAGCGAACTATAACGTCACGGACGACTCTATGTTTTGGCAAATTGAACCATGGGGGGATGGGACATACTATTTCTCCAACCTCGCCAACGGGACAAACTGGCGGCTGAATGTCCTGGACACCGCCTTGATGGCTATGGAATCGAATATTACTTCGGAGCAGGCAGGCGAGCATTTCACATTCCGCAGCTTAAGTACGATAGGAGATCAGAGATATTCGACTTTCAATGTGAGACTTTGTTGGAATGTCAGATCGTGAAGAATCCCTTGGCTGATCATCTAACAGACATACCCAACCACAAGTCGAACAGCGGGTGCCGTTGCGCCAACAACGACCGCCACAACTGGCACGGCTACTACTAGTACGACAGGTGATTCTACCACAGCCTCTCCTACGGGGTCATCATCCCCTTCAGAGACCCCATCCGGGGGAGGGCTGTCAACCGGTGCAGCTGCAGGGATAGGTGTTGGGGTAGGACTCGCCGTCGTGATTCTGGTGGCTTTGTTGGCAATATTCTTCATCCGAAGGCGGAAGAGTGCCAAAGGAGCGTCAGAACCGGTGCAGGCGAGTCCCTCAGAGGAGGCAAAATATCAACCCGCACATTCTGGTCATTTCCACGAGATGGGTCCACCACACACGTACTCGGAAATGCCGACTTCGGCAACATCACGACCACATGAGTTATGGGCTCAGCCTGTGGAACTTCAGGGCGACCACGGGCGTTAGCATTCAATGTTGACCGCCCATTTACCATCGATCATCATGTCGACGTCACTTTCGTGTTTGCACGCAAATCGGCCAGCGCTGGCAGGACGTGGTTCGCTTCAAGGGAATAATATTTGATTATTACAAACTATAATAATTAATTACCACGACGTGTGGTGTGTCCGACCCCCTTAGAAATTCGCCAGCATAGCGACCCCTCCGAAGAATGCGCCCATAGCCACACCAGCCGTCTGCAAAGGAGCAGCCGCTCCCGTTCGGAAGATCGAGGTGCGCGCCTGGCTGCTGATGGAACTGGCCCTCGACGCGGCGGAGCTGGTCAGCCGCCCGATCTCTGAAGTGATGCTCGAGCGATCGGACCCCGTCGCGGTCGCGAGTTCTGATGTGAGCCTGCTGATCTCCGAGCTGGCCTCGGAGTAGACCGACGAGATCCGTGAGCTGGCCTGGGACTCGATGGAAGAGATGCTCGAGGAGGCGGACGAGAGCACGGATGAGAATATGCTGGTGGTTTGGGTGGAGAATCCAGGTTGTCCGAATGTTGTTGTTGGGTTACCGAACGTCTGTGTCGGCTGGGTGAATTCTGGTTGTGTTTGTGTTGGAAAAGTCTGTGTCGGGAAGGGCTGGCCTGGCAGCTGTGTCGTCGTTATAGGGACGCCTGGAATGCCGCCATCTCCTACTGTCTGCGTGACGGTTACTGTGCAGTGGCCATTCTGATCACACCCGGGCGTGACGGGATTTGGTACCGGTATTCCAGGGACGGTGGCTGGTATACCGACGGTCTGAGTGACAACGACCGTGCAGGTGTTCTTGCCGAACCAGTCCCACCATGGCTTGCCATCGCGTGAGCAATCGCAATCATGGAAGCCGTCACCTAGATTGAAGCCGTCTTTGTCTGGACATCGACTCCAGAACGTGGCCTCCTGTAGACCGGCAGCGGCATTCACGTCATCTTGCGCCTGAGTAGACGCCTGAAAGAGTGGGAACTGTGAGCTATTGCAAGTGCACGGTGCGAGGGGAGGGCCAAGGAGAGCTTCCACATACTGAGAATGCTAGAACCGACAGCGAGGTAGTCGTTGTGAATCTCATACTCGCTTCAGCTTTACTGAAGGTCGCGTTCTCATCAGCGCCACCGCGTGGTGTCGGTGTAGCACTGCTGAAAATGTTTCAAGTTCCAGATTCCTGGCTCTCGTGCTCGGTTATCCGTGTATATAGACTGGAGGGAATATCGTGGCTGATTTATACTTGAGTCTGATATGATCTCAAGTCTTCGGAGAAACGTAGGCAGCGTGCCAAAATTCTGATGGATCGGCACGACAGGCTGTCAAGGACCACACGTGAGTGCCACCTCGAAGGCCGGCGGGCATCCGATACTACCTCAAAAGTCTGGTTGGTAGACGGCTAGTCCCGGTAGTGGCCCAGCCGAAATCGAATTCCCTGGGAGCATTGTGGCTAATGGGCTGCATTGTGTGTTGGCGACCCCAGTCAGTTAGGGACCACCTTGCAAGCCTCGTACAGAATCATGCTGGCTCTGGGTAAGGTTTCGCGAGGCTGGGCAGTCATTGGTCTCACGCAAGCTGCAATAATATCATCACTTAATGCCAGCTTGCAAGCGGGAAAGTATTCAAAAGGGACAGGACAGAGCGATGTTGCCCTGGAATGTCATAAAATCCCCGACCGTTGACTGAGATGACGATAGGTCCGGTTACCAACAGACCGGCATCTGCTTTTTCGTCCCACCAGACGAAGCCACTCCGATTGGCGCATCTTGGCATCTGAAATCTCACTAGGGGCCTTGCTAGTTACCGCTAGGACTTCAGATGTGAAGCGACCACGGGGCCCTGCGGGTGCTTCGAAACAGCAGTTGAAATGGAAGCCGTTCTCATCTGTGGCACTGATGTGTTGCCGTCCAGACATTTCGGTTAGGACACTGGCTGTTGGGTCTTGGACTCATGACATCTACCGCCCGGGGACTGCCGCGGGATTTCGAAACCCTGGTCATCTGGCTCGATCTTTTTCGTCCCATGGGACGTCTTCATGCGTCTCTACCAGGCTGACCTTGGCATTCGGCATAATTCGAGACCTGGGAGCCCCTGCAAGTGCGCACGCAGCCGCCTCGTCAGAGAGGCGATCTCAAAGCCACCTAAGTAGACTGGTGGTAAAAAACTTGTAATACGCTCGTAGAATTTGCTGGAATAGGCTTCAGCGATGCTGCTTCTTGTAAGTTTAATTTCGATCTCGGCCGAGTGATGGGCTACCCCGTCCCTATCGTTTGTCGAGGCGGACATATCAGTCGTCAACTAGAGAAATGATAAACAGCGCCGATGCGACTGTGATCGAAGGCCCTCTCTTTTCAGTTCCCTCTGCAAAATCATTAATTGGTGGGATCTTCCTTCATGACACCTTCCAGGACCCCTCCTACGTCTTTCAGTCGATGCTGGCAAGTGCCTACTGCACGATGACCATGCTGCCAGGCAAGGCTCACCGAACAACTGAAAACGGCAAGCACTAGCATGGACAACAGTTGCTGTATGATCAAGGGATGCGACACTCATTCTAAGCTGCTTGATGATCTGGATGCTACGTCCGAACTGAGCAGACGGCATCCCTGCCCGGGTACGAAGGCGCGTAAGGTGGTATTTCCCATGGCAGTGACGAATTTCAGAAACCCTTTTTAGGCGACGACGACGTGGACAATTCTGTAGCATCTCGCAGAGTACCCTAGGGTAGATATAGGTCCTTTCTTTCGACATGACCTGCTCGGCAAATGTGAATTTCTTTGCACCATGACTTGGGGCTGTACCGCAATCACGGAGCATCCCAATCACATTACCATCCGCTTGGCCTGCCTGTATAGGACTACATACTTAAGTAGGGGTGCCGCCAAGCGTCCTGATCACACATGGCGTCTGAACAAGAACGGAGAAGTTGGGATGAAATATACCCCGCACAATCACAGAATGCGGCCAGGCAGACTGAAGTAGTTTCTTCATGTGGGATACTTTCCATTTGGCTTGCTACCGGAATTTTTGTGGCCTTGACGATTCGTCGGCGGCTGCCGTTGGTGGCGACTTGGGATATGAGTCCTACAACCAAACTCCCGAGGTCCATAGAAGCATTCGGCATACTCCTCTCTTTTGATTTGGAGTCCCTGGCATCTGATTCTTCTTCTTCCGTGATCAAGTGCGCACAAAATTGCTGTATTCAACCACATTTCCGGCATCTTGTACCATTTTCGGAGTTGAGCTGTCATACCACACAATCCAGATGTCTGCCGTGTAACTAATGTACATGAGGCACTTACACCATCGCCACATTGGATCAAATTGGGATGAAGTTCATGAACATGAGCCAAGAGACTTTCGAAATAAGTTAGCGTTGATTTGTGGCGACAGTGACGCGGGGTTTTCAATTCCAGAACCCTCCGGGCGCGATGTGCCCGGTGATCTCAACAGCGGGGACTATCGGGTACCTATGTTTCACCAGGCTCATTGTCTGAGCCGTCTCATATCCAATTAGCCAGCACTGGAGGCCATGAGAATAAGATGTGGTGAGATCGATGTTTAGGTCGTGAATTACAAGGAGATTTCAAATGTATTGAACAGTTTACAGGTGCTCTTCAGCAACTCCAACATGGCAGATCATCAAATTTGGCTGGGGATTATGAATTGCTATGGCAAGCATAGGCATACGAAATACAGAGCAGTGATGAAACACCAAGCATACTAAATGTAGTTATAACAGGTCACAGTAGTATACTTATATATATAGATATAATAAAGAAGTAGAATTAGTAGTTAAAAGTATTATTCTAATATTAAATATTAATAGAGTAATTTAAAACTTGAAGGATTATTAGATTTTTAATTCTTATAATTAGTTTATATTTAAATTATAAAAAGAAAATTTAAAGTATTATAAAGTTTAATTTAATTTTAAAAATTTAAAATAAAACTTAATATTCTTATAATTAACTTTATTATTAACTTAAATAACTTTTATATATAAATAATATCTTATAACTCTAGGTAGCCTAACCTATCTACTAATTGCGCGACGGTGCCGCGGTCTCTTAAATATATAAGTATTGTACCTTTAGCCCTAATGAGTCTTCGCTAAGGGTGTCTGAGGCACTGTACTACCTAGTCCCGATCTGCAGTTTACAATTTACAGTACGGTAGAGAAGAATACGCAAGAATAAGTTTATAGATAAGATTGCCTAATAAACAAAACTAAGCGAGCGGTTTTATCATGTCATGACACACAGCCCACATGTTTGCCAGCAGAGTCTAGTCGGACACAGAGAGCCTATCTTAGATGACACAACAATCCATCCGCTTGAAACGAACCGACATCTTGATTACATAGTGACCAGCCACTGACCCACTGATTCCCAGACGCGCGACGAGGCAATGTCAGAGTGTTGATTCCGCACCATCTCCGCGTTGTCCCGCCCTAGGTTCTGCTGCACCTGTGGGAATCGAGCCTACTTCTTGCCCGCTGGCTTCTTCGCAACCGGCTTTGCCGCAGGCTTTGCTGCAGGCTTCGCCGCAGCAGGCTTGGGCTTCTTGCTAGCCGACGCGTCATCTGCTACCCTCTTCCTCTTGGGGCGGCCAGAGCGAGTTGTCTCCCCTATTCAGCGGAGAAAAGAATTCCGGCGTCAGCACAGCATCGCTATTTTTGTTTTATCAGGGTTTGACTCACACTCCCGGTTATACCTATCATCATCTCTACGGAATCTCATGAACACAGTTCCGTACTCATACACATTTCCGTTGGCCGTCCTGGAAGCCTGGAGAGTGGATCTGTGGTGCTCGATAAGCTCGCCGGGGCCCAGCTTGGACATCGCCGTGGTTGCGTTGACGACCCTGTGGGCATGAACGATCTGCTCTGGCGCACTTGGCCGGGAATAAACCTGTGCGTGACACGTCTATCAGGATCTATGCGTTTGGAGAAAGGTTGTGAAACTTAAGAATGAGACGTACCTCAGCGTCACCAGGCATGGGATTGCCAGTTGCGGCAACGGGGTAGTAGTGCATTGCCTCATCTGCACGTATACAACAAACATCAAAGATCAGCCCCTGTGGTATGCATTATCATAAGGGTTTTGATAAGCTGCTCGAGGGCTGCGCTCTTACATTCTGCCGTCAACTGAGCCCGGGTTTGGGCATTGATGCGCGTAGGCTTGCCAACTGCATACGCGAAGCAATTCTGGTTCTGATTCCCGTTATCATTCACAACTCGGTAGTAGCCAGCGACTCCCGGTGTGGTGGTCTGAGCACCGGAAAACCTTGTCATATAATCGGCGAAAGTCTGCGCCATGGTGAAGGTAAATTGGATGGAGTTGATAAGTTTGAATGTAGGGATATGTCTTAAGAATGAGCTGTGTGTCTTGGTTTAGGAAAATGATTGGTGTTGGTTTTAAATTATCGAGATTAACAAGAACCATGTGTGTTTATATAGAAAACAATGTTCAAGTCGTGGCTTGAGGCCTTCATGATTTTGAACGACAAGAATAGAAAGCTAGACATAGTCCCTCTCCCCTTCAAACATGTCGCGAGGCTACAGATGGCTGCGACCATCCGACCGTGTAAGAATTCAAATCCGTGTAATCAGGACTCGTACGCCTTTTTGGCCTGCTGATCCCCACCATGGTCCTCTACTGTTTCTATGAACAGCTGCAATCTATGATTGCAGTTTTGAGTCGTGGGCGGGCCTTGGTCTGGGATTGCTGTGCGGCCGCTTTGGGTCAGTAAATGAGGCGTCTAGGTCTCAGGATTGCTCCTGATGTCAGAATAGTGATGTAGGGGAGCCCCAGCAACCATTCGGGAAGTCAGTCCTTGGGGACAGGAAGGCTGAGCCTGCCCAAACCATCCTGCCCAAATTATTTTCGTCTTTAGGGTGTTCCTGTGGGGGCAAAGTGCGTGTGGCGTCTCACCCGAGTGTTTAAGCGTCTAACCCAGGAGGAACATTATTTGGCCAGAATATGACCGGGGTCAGAACGTTCGGGAAGCTTGGCAGGGTCAGCAAATCAGGTCGTTCGGAGCCATCTGCTTACGAAAACGACGTGTTATTTTGGTGATTACGAAGGTGTCAAAAACGAAGCCAATTGCGAAGGTGCCAAGCAGGCAATTCCTCTTCTTGATTCATATTTCAAACAAAGCCCAGCGTACCGTCTTCTCCGCAACAGCATCAATCCAGCCTAACAGCGTGATCATGGGCTACTTTGACAACTGTACCTCTGAAGACCGTTTTACGATACGGCAGAAATACTTCGATCAATGCGTTGTTAGTGATTGGGATGAACGTCGTATTGTCGCTGTCGTCACACCAGGGGTCGAGTCAGACGACGACTTCATAATCGACACACTTGCGCGCCATATCGGCAGCATTCCAGCAGATGCCGTCCGGATTGAAGTCTCTCCAGAGGGAGAGCTTGTCTCCTTCTCATGCGAAGTCGCGGATGACTGGACGATGGCCCCTTTCTACCCCTCGCCCTCGGACTTCCCGCCAGGGACAGAGACAGTGCGCAGAGCGGATCTGACAGAGATCAGTCGTCTGGGAGTCCAGACGGACTTGTGTGAATACGTTTCTTCAGATGGAAAAGTGCACCGTGTTGCGTTCAAGTATTACACCAACGAGAGCCAAGTGCCCGTCTTCTGGCACGAGCTCAACTGCGTGCTCAAAATACCCAAGCACCCGAATATTGTGCCTTTCGACAGGCTGGTCATCGATACACTCGATGGTGAAGACAAGGTCGTAGGCTTCACGGCGCCCTTTGTTGAGGGTCGAACTGTGGACGACAGCCCAGGCCGAGTATTCAAGCTGAAATACTTGAGACAGCTTCTAGATGTGTGTTACCCTGCACCGTTACAGTGAGGGTGTCAAGCTGATTCGACGCAGTGTATCGTTTATCTCAATATCCAGCTTGGCATCGTGCATGGGGATGTCTGTGGCAGGAACCTCCTCATAAATGAGCAATCAGACAACGTCCAACTTTTCGACTTCAACATGGCTGCCAAGCTCGGCTGGGAAGGTGATTCTTCAGAGCATGGAAATGGCGTCTTCGCTTTCGACGAGGATCGCAACGACGTTAAGTGCGCCGTATTCACCGTTTACGAGATCATCACGCGGGACCTGCATCTTCGTGAGGAATATCACCCGCACGAACTAGACACTTCCATCCTGCTCGAGCTCGAAACGTGGGAGCAACACCCGGATGCCCGCCTCGACGCCGACCCGGCAGAGTATCGAACAATGCTGGAAGACTGGCTCGGCGCGAGAAGAGATATCGACAAGAAGATAGACCACTTTTCGAAAGCACCACATGCCCTGGAGTGGCCGCCTCTGCCAGAATTTGAGAGGGCAGCGCGCATGCGCCAAGAGTTGATCCTCCAGGGTGGTGGTGAATTCTTGAAGTGGCAGCGGCCTGCAAGTAACAAGCTCCCGTTGCCAAAGGGGCAAAGTCTGCTGGCCACGGGTGAAATCGTCGACAACAAAGGAAAAGAGGACTTGGATATTAAATAAAGTTCAAATTCTCGTACCTAGTACAACTAAACCCGGGTGTCCTAAGTTACCCTATGCATGTAAAAGCTTCCACCTGTGAGTCCAGCCAGGGTCAAGCGTGGTTCAACACTGACCAAGGGTCAAAAGGGTTAGGGTCGAGGACGACAACCTGACCCTCGAGTTTGACTTGACCTGTCCTCTAGCTAAATGACAGGCGACCACGAAAACATAACTGCACCTTTGACTGCTCTGTTCTGTGGAACGGCGAGGAAGAAAAGGCAGGGGCTAACCTTTCAACAATCAAAGAAAGGTTGATCATCATGGCAGGGGATGATGGCGAGGCAAAGGTGGTTCGGGGCGCCTCGCTGCTCATCCTGCTGCAGGTCTTCTCCCGCGCCGTCACCTTCGTCGCCAATCAGCTGCTCCTGCGGTTCATGACAGCATCTCTCCTCGGCGTGTCAACCCAGCTCGAGGTGTACTATTTGTCCGTCCTCTTTTTCGCCCGCGAGAGCCTGCGTGTAGCCATTCAGCGGCAGGGGGCCCTGTCGTCCGACTCGGCCGAGCCCGCCAAGGACGAGAAGCTTCAGCCAGGGCGTGACAGCAAGCAGAGCACTCGGGCTCAGGAGACACAGGCGGTAGTCAACCTGGGCTATGTCGCCATCATACTCGGCCTCGCTGCGGCGGCGCTGCTGGGATGGATGTACCTCGGCTCCATCCCCGCCGAAACGCTCCTCACCACTCCTTACTTGGTCCCGTCGGTCTACGTTTTCGCCCTGGCTTCTGTCTTGGAGCTGCTGTCCGAGCCGGCCTTTGTGGTGATGCAGGTGCGCCTCCAATTTGGCGCACGCGCGTCGGCAGAGGGCGTCGCCACGTTAGGGAAATGCGCCGCCACGCTTTCTGCGGCGGTATGGGCCGCCCGGAACGGCATCGAGCTGGGTGTTCTGCCCTTTGCGCTGGGCCAGGTCGCCTATGGATCCGGTCTTTTGGTCACATACAGCTGGTACGGCACGGGGTTGGCAAGGGAGGCAGGGTTTTCTCTCCTGCCGAGGCGGTTGGGGCAGGGAAAGGAGTACATACTGTCGTACTTCTACCAGCCCACCCTCAAGCTCGCGTCATCTATGATGATCCAGAGCTTCGTCAAACACATACTGACGCAGGGTGATACCCTGCTGGTCACCGCCCTTTCTACACCCGCCGCGCAGGGAGTCTATGCGCTGGCGAACAACTACGGCGGCCTCGCGGCGCGACTGATATTCCAACCCGTCGAGGAGAGCAGCCGAAACTACTACAGCCGGCTGCTGTCAGGTGACGATGAGCCCAAGACATCCGCGCCACCCACAGATAAACAGACGGCAGAAAAGGGAGACAACACCAGCAGTCAGGGCGGGCCCCGGCCATCCAACGCAGCCCTCGCCCAGGCCTCTGAAAACCTTACAAACCTACTGCGATTCTACACCTTCGTCTCAGTACCCCTGCTCGCCCTGGGCCCGACCGCGGCGCCCCTCGTCCTGTCGCTGATCGCCGGCCCGCAGTGGACGGCCTCAGGCGCCGGCGAGGCCCTCGCCGCGTACGTCTACTACATCCCGCTGCTGGCCATCAACGGGCTCACCGAGGCCTTCGTGGCGTCCGTCGCCACGGGAGCCCAGGTGCACCAGCAGTCGGTGTGGATGATGGCCTTCACGGTGCTGTTCGGGGTCAGCGGCTACGTCTTCCTGAGCGTGCTCGACTGGGGTGCGGTGGGGCTCGTCTGGGCCAACGGCATCAACATGGCCGGCCGCATCACCTGGGCTGTGTGGTTCATCAGACGATACTTCGCGCAACGAGGTGCGCGGTGGGAGGTCACGGCGCTCTTGCCTAGCTCGCTGGCTGTGCTGGCTGCTGCGGTTGCAAACCAGGCCGTTAGGCGGGTCGTGAACTCCGAAGCTGCGGGCACAGGTGTAAAGGCAGTCTTGGGGGAGCTGATCAAGGTGGCGGGCACCGCGCTGCCATTTGTCGGTGTCTTGTAAGTTCTGTCCTCTGGTTCCTTTTTCTTTGATTAAGATGCCGTCTAAACATCTTCCTTGTTCTACGTCGCTGACCCTTTGCATAGGGCATTTGCCGAGCGCCGGTTCCTCATCCAGTGTTACCAAGCTGTCTCGGGAGGCAGATCCCGAGGTTCACAACCGCAGTAGATAAATACAGGATAACAGCCCTTTTTGTCTAAAATGGCTTGAAACGTGACCCTTCCCTACGTCTAGCCTATGAGTTTACATCTAGACCCGCCCAGCTCTCGCTCCTCTAATCGAAAGTGATCTTGGTCGCCTTCTTGCTCATGTCTACATTCTTGAAGAACGCACCGTATGCGTCGTGCTGCTTCTTCTTGACGGTCGTGCCGAACTTCAGGAGCTCTTCGGGCACAGGCTGGCCGGCAGCCTTGAGCACATTGATCAAGGAGCCAGAGTGTGATTTGTCATGCTCGGTGAAAAGCGTGATAGCCTTGCCCGCCTTGCCTGCACGACCGGTACGGCCGATACGGTGAACGTAGTCCTCGATTGTCAAGGGGAACTGATAAGACTGTTAGCCACTTGTACTCGCGAATTGAATGGATTTGTGGGACTTACCGTCAGATTCACCACGAGCTTCACCTCGGGAATATCAAGACCTCTTGCGGCGACGTCTGTAGCCAGCATGATCGTTGTCGTGCCAGCCTTGAACGCTTCCAGACTCCTTGTGCGCTGCTCTTGCCTCAGGTCGCCGTGAATGGCACACACGCTGAGGCCGCGACTCGTCAAGAACTGTTCCACTCGAGTAGTTTCCTTCTTGTAAAGACAGAACACCAGGACGCGGTCGTTGCGCGCCTTGCCCTTCTGGGCATCCTTGAGGATCTCTAGCAGCCGCCTCTCCTTGCCCCTTGGGTCCACGACCTCGACAGTCTGCTCGATCCGGCTGTTGGCCTGCAGCTCAATAGTGCCGTTGCCGTTGCCATCGCCCGTCTCACCGCCGGGCTTGTTCTTGTTGATGATCACCTTGACGGGATCTACCATGAACGTCTCCGCCAGTCCTCTGACCTCAGAGGGCCACGTCGCCGTGAACATCAGTGTTTGCCTCTTCTCCTTGGCCGGGCAGGATCCAATGATCAGCTTGATGTCCTCCTCGAAACCCTTGTCCAGCATGCGATCCGCCTCGTCCAAGACCACAAAGGCCGCCTCAGACAGCGAAATGGAGCCCTCTGACAGGAAATCCTTCAACCGGCCGGGCGTGGCGACGATGATGTCTGCGCCCTTGCGAAGGAGGTTGCGCTGGTCGTCCTTGCTTGCGCCGCCGTAGATACACACTGCCTTCAGGCCAACCAGCGACGCCAACGTGCTGATTGACTCGTGCGTCTGCATTGCCAGCTCGCGCGTCGGTGATACTATCACGGCGCGGGTAGGGGCAGTCCTCCCGTTGGCGGGCTTCGGTAGGGACAGTAAGGCTTCGACGCAGGGCAGCGAGAAGGCATAGGTCTTGCCCGAGCCGGTCTCTGCAATACCGACCACATCACGGCCTGAGAGGGAGAAGGGCCAGGAGGCGGCCTGGATGGGTGTCGGAGTTGTGAAGGTTCCGAAGGGGTTCTTGGACAGGAGGCGAGTGGCAGGGAGGTGGGTGAACTTGAGGATCGGGCGGAGTGTGGTCGAAGGGTTCTTTTGGTCGTGGATGGCGATGTAATTCTCCTCGAGGAACGTCTTGACCTCGGACTCGGGAACAGCACTCAGGGCGGCGGTCTGTTGGTACTTGGAGGACTCGCCATTGGTGGCAGGGGCTTCTGCGACAACCTCGTCATCTGATTTCCTATCCGCCTTCTTCTCTTTCTTGTCCCTGGATTTCTTGTCCTTCTTGTCCTTCTTCTCCTTCTTTGCAGTTGGCTGATCCTCGGCAGGAGCAGGCGCATCGGCGGGGATGTCGACGTCCATGGCATCGGCTGTCGCAGTGTCATCGTCGCCATTCTGCTCCTCGGACTGCTCCTTGTCCTTGTTCTTCTTGTCCTTCTTCTCCTTCTTCTCCTTCTTTTCCTTCTTGTCTTTCTTATCCTTCTTCTTCTCGGACTTGTCTTTCTTGTCCTTCTTCTCTTTCTTTTCTTTCTTGTCCTTCTTCTCCTTCACCGGCGCATCCTCGACGGCAGCGGAGTTGTCGGTCTTGACCTTCTTCACCTTCTGCACAGCATCGGCATCGCCCTCAAGGCGATGCTTCTTATCGCTTGACATGATCGACTGAGAATTTGTGTAACGAAGTTACACTTGTGCAGGGCAACGGCCGAAATCTTGGATTGATGCCGCTGGGCAGACGCAAATAGACTTCCGAGCCTAGTCAAGGGATCATGAAATTTTCCTGGTCCCCGAACTTTTCTGCCGGACGCTGTCTGGGTAGATTAGGCTAATGGGGAAGGCGGTGAGATGGTGCGCCTAGACCCTTGACTTCCGCCTGTGGGGTCCAAGCGGCATCGAGATCACTCCTGGGACTCTGGTGCCTCATTGTGCAGCGTTTGTTCCTGACCACATTATCCTGATTGTCGGTTACCTTCCTAACAAGATGGATCTTCCCAGCGGATTACTGAACGTTCTGAAGAGCGAACACGCAGTCCTTCGCTGTTGAAGTAGAAAGCATTGACAAGGGTATTTATTGGGCGGTCACCGCGGGTCTCGAGAGCAGGTGTTCGAATCATCGGTTGCCCACGCCTGTCCGAGGATTCTCAAGAGCAAGAAGGTCGGGTCGACCAGTCAGAGCAGGCTTGTCTACTGGCTGTGATGGGATCTGAGTGTCTTGCTTGAGTGCTTCGGGGATCAAGATGGCGCACGCTTAGAGATGTATCACGCAAACCTGTTCTTGCAGCACACCACACGCGGATGCCTCTACTATTTGAGCCTAACAGTCAGCCAGTCACCAGTCGATCACGGGCGCTTTTTTCCCTGTAGAGCCTCAGAAGAAGCTTTGGCCCTGGCGGCGGCGAGAAGCTTGATGGTTTCGCCGGGACTGACTCGGGTGGGTTCGCCCCATGTGGAATGGTCAAATGGCGTCAGTCAGAATTTGCGGCCCATTACGAAATCCTCGTTGTACCCCTGAGTCCAAATCGCAGGATTTGCAGCAACTGTCCAGGGCCAGAATCACACTATGGGCTGTATGGCAGAAGATACTCGGCCGGGGGGGACGGGGAATGGGGGCCCCCCAACTCCACATAAATATAATACTAATATAGTGTAGTCTTGAACCATGCGAGATCGGGGCCCTTCAGCCTGTCTTTAATGGGCCAAGGTGTAAGCCGCACAGGAACTGATCGGATCCATCATCAACAATCTTTTGCAGCCCCTTCGGTCACAGGCACCATGGCCATCAACAGCTTCAAGCCCTCGTCAGGCTCTTCAGGGAACAACGACATTGAGAAAGATGCCGTCCACACAGATCCGGGCTTCATGTCCGACACCAAGCCTGATTTAACAGAGCCGCAACTCAACGTCGGCGGCCATGCAAACGTCCAGCGTCAGCTCAAGAGCGTCCATGTCACCATGATTGGTTTCTGCTCGGGCATCGGGACGGGTCTCTTCGTCGGCACGGGTGCCGCTTACGCCAAAGCCGGACCCGCCGGTCTCTTCATCGCGTACTGTCTCGTTGGCTCTGTTCTGTACTGCGTGATGCAGAGCATTGCCGAGCTGGCGACCCTGATCCCCACCGCAGGCAGCTTTCCGCACTGGGCCACTCGGTTCGTCGACCCCAGTGTCGGCTTCAGCTTGGCAATCAGCTATGGATATTGTTACACGGTTGCGGTGGCCTCAGAAGTATCTGCGGCAGCTGTCATCGTGAGCTATTGGACGGACTCGGAAGTTATTATACCGGCAGTGGTCATCACGGTCGGTTTAGTTTTGATCCTGGCCATCAATCTGCTCAGTGTAAAGTTCTACGGACACTCCGAGATCTTCAGTGGCATTATCAAAGTAAACCCAGTCACTTTCAAACATGGGAGTCACCTTGAATGCTAACAACCCGCAACAGGTGTCCTGCTTTCTCGGACTTGTACTTGTCGGTATCGTCATCACTGCGGGTGGCGGCCCCACCGGTGAGCCCATCGGATTCAAGTACTGGCATGACCCAGGCGCTTTTACGGAGTACAATGGTATCACGGGGTCGGTTGGAGGGTTCCTCGGCGTTTTGTCTGCGCTCGTCAACGCCTCGTTCAGCTTCATCGGCGTCGAGACCGTCGTAATCGCCGCAGCCGAGTCCAAGCACCCCCACAGGGACATTCCCAAGGCCGCTAAGCGCATCACATTCCGCATCGGCCTGTTCTACATCTTAGGCGCCCTTCTCATTGGAATGATTGTCGACCCGCGAAACCCAGGCTTGACTAGCGGAGAAGGCAATGCCAAGTCCAGCCCATGGGTGATTGCAATCGAGCAGGCAGGCATCAAAATCTTGCCGAGCATTGTCAACGCGTGTATCCTGGTGTCGGCCTGGTCGGCTGGAAACTCCTACTGCTGGGTCGGCAGCCGTATGATCGTGGCCATGACCACCGATTATCAACTCCCGCAAGCTTTCGGCAAGACTTGGAAGAATGGCGTTCCATGGCTGGCCGTGATAACGGCTTGGCTCTTTGGGCCCCTGGCCTATCTGAGTCTGGGAAGCGGGGGTCCAGCGCAGGCCTTCACCTGGCTGCTCAACCTTTCCACCGTCGCGGGACTTATCGCCTGGTCCACTCTTTCCTTCTGTTACATTCGATTCTACGCCGCCATGAAGGCCCAAGGGGTCTCAAGAGACTCGCTGCCATGGGCTGCCCCCTTCCAGCCCTATGCGGCTTGGATTGGATTCATTGGTTCTGCAATCATCACACTTATTTCTGGGTTCCCGGTCTTTCTCAGGGGGAACTGGTCGACGTCTGATTTTATAGCGAGCTATGTCGGCATTCCGATTTTCTTTGTGCCAATCATGCTTTGGAAGTTGTGGCACAAGACCAAGGTTTGTGAATCTCGGTTGAAACTGTTCTAGCGGTGTGTTGCTGACGACTTCAATCCTACAGTTCCTTCGTGCCAGTGAGATTGATCTCTGGTCTGGTCGCCTTTACGACGAGAAGCATGCCGGAGTTGAGCAGGAGAAGCCACGGGGAATTGCGAGGCGTTTCTGGAACTGGCTCGTCTAGTTACTCCCAGAGCTGACGACTTCAGGTTGGCATCCTAGATTCAACATCTTATCTTATATGATACCCACAATGCGAATACGAAGTAAGATTCATTTAATACCAGGCCTTATTGCGGTTGAAGTAAGCATCCACCTTGGCCCACAACATTTCCACAAGTGCCCGATCAATCACTCGGACTGCGCGGCCGCAAAGACGCGATAGAATTGCTTCCTGCAGTTCCACACCGAGCGCGTATTCACTAAGGCTTCATCCAGAGACCTAGTAGGACTTGGTGTCCTAACTGCACGTAAAGAGAACCCGAAACCATGTTTCTCTGCACGTAAGAAGTAAATGCTACTGCTAGTGCTTATCCCAAACTATCAATATCACAGTCTCACCGCCGCGGCTACCCCGGCGGCCTTAGTCCTTAGTCTTCTCTCCTCGTGCAACAATGGACTCATAATCTTGACCTACCTACCTTCGCTGTGAGACAAACCATTTCTTGCGTTCTCCTTAGGGTCGTCGCTATATACACAACATCCACTTCACTCCTCGGTTGCTCCTTAATTCCACGTCGAGTGGCCTAGGATATTAGATTCGCAACATGTCCACCTCACAGATCGTACTCTTTTCCCAGCCGCGCACAGGATGTCATCTGCTGGAGCGTATCCTCATGTCTAGGCAGACCGGCGCAAAGCTCCTCTCACACCCGATGACAGCCGCAGCGGGAACGATTAACCAATGGCAACAGTCAAAGACCTTTATGGACGGAATACCCCGTGACGTGAGAGTGCTGCACGAGACACAAATGAACGCTGGTTCGGCGGTCTGGGAGCAAGAACTGCAGGATGCAGAGAAGACGGTACAAACCTCTCTGTTGAAAGTCGAGGGTACTCGGTTGGAGCTAATCGATCCTCTTCAGGGCAAGGTCCTCTTTGTACATGACCACCTGTTTTATACAACCTCTCTGGATTACGTGCATGCTTCTGTCGTGTCCCCAGGGTCTAGCACGAAAGAAGGCAGCAACCTGAGTCTCATTCCCGAGAAATTGCTTCTCAATCCAGGCACGGTACCGCTCTTCACTATCCGACACCCAGTCCTCTGTGTGCCGTCCACTATCAAGTCCATACGCGACACCAAAACCGGGGGTGCGAGCATCCCCGCGTACAGCATCGGTACAAACCTCAGCTTTGCCCGCGACCTATACGACTGGTACATGAGCAAGGGAATCGAACCCGTCGTCGTGGACGCAGATGACTACATGACAAGCGAGCACTTCTGCAGGGGACTGGCCAAGAGGCTCGGTCTCGACCCGGAACAGGTTGCCGTAACGTGGGAGCCTACGCCGGAGGAACAGCAGGATCAAATGCATCCAATCCTTCGCGCCATCCAGAAGACACTCATTGACTCCAAGGGCCTGGTCCCGGGCCGCGCAGCGAAGAACATCAACCTGAAGGAGGAAGAGGCACGCTGGGATAACGACTTTTCGCAGGAGGAAGTGGACTTGTGCCACCAACTCATTCAGCGCATGAATCCAGACTACGAATATCTCAAGGAACACAAATTTGTGGTCGAGTAAAGTTATGGCTTCATAATCGGAGACTCACGAGACTCTCTCAGCCTGAGAGGTCATCGCATGAGAGGTTGTCCTATGAGGGGGTCGAACTTATGTGGCATATAAACCTGTCACTTTTACTTTGTCCAGACGGCGATAGATGTTGACGTCCAGAATATATTGACAAAACTTTGGCAGAAAGCCATATCATTCAGCCTGAATTATAAAAGTAGAATGCATAATTTCTACAGAGATACCTAGGCTGGTGGTTATTTATTGACTAGGCAGCCAGCTATGTTGCCCCAAGATGAACAGTCAGTCAGTCTTGAAACATTGCATTCAGTACTGTTATGTTGTCACAAAGGTGTCACGCATGTCCTGGCTACCAAGTATACGCATCAACCTCCAAGTCAAACACAGTCGCAGACTGTTTCCGCCCAGCAGCAATAACAGCGGCTCTGACATCGTCACAAAGTCCGCCAGGACCAGATACAACAATGCCAACTTTCCGCCCTCCACACTCGACCTCGTGTGCCAACAAACCAACAACATCCAGTCTGCTCCCGACGACCACTGTCCTATCGACGACCCTGTCAAAAGCACCGTCCAGTTCATCAACCAAGCACCGTGCCGACTCCTTGACGCTCCAGCAAAGCTTGACGTTGCTGTGATTTGCCGTCCACGGGATGAGGCTCGTAATGCCAATGCCGCCCCCAATAAGCAGGAGACGATCACATTTCAATATGCTCGCCGCCACTTTGATGGAGTACGGCCCGTCGAGAAGCGTAAGCAGGCCATCGTGCGCCTCTAGGTACTTGGTCATGCCAGCCGACTTCTTGACATAAAGCGTCACCCCCGCTGCCGTAGAGCTGCTTCCCAGCCGCGGCGCCGGGGTGGCGCGCACCCGCGCAGCGACTCCTTGTCCCTTCTCCGCATCATGGTTTCCCGGCCCAACCTTTGAATCATCCTCCTCCGAGACAGAGCCGGGCGCAAGACCCCGCGGGCGCAGCAGCGCTGTGGGGACCACCGAGAATGGATGGTTCTCCCAGGGGCGCAGCGGCTGAAGCGTTGGGAAGAAGGCATATACGTGCATGCCCGGGTACGCACCCCAGCGCACACCGGCCACATCTATACGCACGTAGCCGCCTCCCAGGTCCGTCACCGTGGAGCGGCGGGTCCCGTTTCTGAGGACGCGTGCGAGCCGGGCCAGCCGGTCGAACGCCCACACTGCGAACGCGGCGTATAGCCACGTCTCATAGCCCCATGCGAGGTCGGGCATCCATAGTTTTATGTGGTACCAGCCGCCTACCAGGACTAACATGGCAAGGATTATGTGCGAAATCAAGAAGAACTCATCTGCTCGACAGTCATGGTCAGTAGACGGACAGATGTATGCAGCAGGACCGTATTCAACTTTGCGTGTATACAAAGAGAGGCACGAGGTGAAAAACATGACTTACAGTAAAATCGTCGCACATATAACCCGCTGCCAACCGCCAAGATCACGAGCGCCACAGTCGCTACAGCACCCCAGATCCAATACTCTTGCGTCGCCTCAGCGGGGTAATAAAGCGGCAGCGCCAGGAGCGTATGCAACATCGCCAGCAGGGCGAACAGGCGGGCAACCCATCTGTGGAGCAGCAGGAAGGTCGAGTGCGACCAGTTCGTAACCCAGAGCAGGACGTTGTTGCGCGACGAGAAGAGGTACGTCAGCGGCGCCATGACGAAGGCGAAGACGCCTGTGCGGTAGAAGACGTAGGCGAGGACCTCGTCGCGCGGGTCCGGGTACCAGGCGTGCGGCTGCATGGACTTGTAGTCGACTGCGCTGAGGATGAGGACGAGCAGGCTGAATGTGGCGATGTACAGGCTCTGTCCGACGGTGGGGGCGTTGCCGAGGAGGTATGGGAGGGAGCGGACCTGGTAGGTGCCTACCAGGCTGGGGTAGATAACGTAGGGTCGGATTTTGTCCAGAAGACTCGATATGTAGGGCACGTATCCCAGTCCTGTGAGCATTAATGGTGTACCAAATCCCGTTACGAGGATAGCGATCCTGTTGTACCCAGACGCTGTTAATTGCCAGTTTAAATAACGTAGATATAACACTTCAGCTTCGTGCGTGTCTCTTACCCGTAGCTGGATTCCACCGCAGTCTCCCGCTGCACCGCGAACATAGCATTATACTGAGACGCATACGCCTCCGGATTCACAAGCGCCGTGAAGTTAAGAGTCTCAGCATCCGCATCAGGACCAAGCTCCCGCCCCGGGGGCTCAGTCACATTGGCAGCCGCCTGCGAGAAGGTCCACCTCGGCGGGACAGCCGGATCCTCGGTGCTCTGCGCCTCCCAGAAGCCCTCCAGCTCTGAGATAGGCACGCCGCCGGGCTCGGCGGCGCACTTGGTCTGCGCGCAGTAAGCAAGGGTGGTCAGCCAGGAGGTATCATCAGCGCGGCACTGGGGGCTCGTCATGGCGTTGCCGTGCGAGTGCATGCCGCCGTGCATCTCCATCTCGGAGGAGCAGGTCAGCATGTAGCCGGATAGGGCGCGCAGGCATGCGAAGGCGCAGACTGGCTTGTAGGGCCATATTCCGTAGCCGACTAGTTTTGCGAGGGCACTGCCCATCAGAATAGTAAATAGTATAGCTGTGTTCAAGGTCTTCATGGTGGAGGTCGAGTGCAAAGATTGCTATCACGGTCCGGATCGCTCAACATGTCCTTCTCAAGACTTGGAATCTGGGTGGGGTCGATTCCATACTTATCATGGGCACAAAGGGCCTATGAAATGTGTTGTATGTTGAATTCTGTCTTTAGCCGCAATACAACTCGTCTGTACATTTGCAGCGGCAAGCCCAATGGCTCGCGACATAGGGCGATGCAAAAGCCATGTGAGCAAATTAACACTGACTTGAGCAAGTTTCTACCGGCCGAGTAGTACAAGCTGCATGCACATTCTCGATGGAACCAATCGTCTTACACGAAACTCCATTCAAGTGCAGCTTACGGAAAGTCTAGGCACGAATTGCTTCCATAGGCTCATGAGCAGATAAAGAGCCCGAGCGACTTGGTCTTCTTGGCGGGGGCGTATCCAAGGCTATGTCTCCCGCATGTCTTCCACGGCGACGGGAGAACGTGATACACCAAGCTCCTCAACTCTGCGCTAATCACCAGCCACAGCAGGACGAGACTGTTCCATGCCTCTTGCAAAGGGAGAGAGATGTTTCATGTCGGCAGCCGAGAAATATCTAATCAGGAGACCGGATCTGGCTTCAGGCCGTGTATGTCCCCGTTCTGGTCGATCTTGAGCTCCGGGTAGTCCGGCTTTTGCATACACCCGCTCATCCGTCTTGGCCATTCAACCTCTCCGTCAAAGCCCCAACTCGCCTCCTTCCTCTCAGGGCCCGTCCAACCCACCCTGGCAGACTGTATCCGGCGGAGGAGGTCCTTCGTACGGGATTGGCTGACATTGCTGAAGATGGACATGTTAATACCCGCGACTTCGGCCATGGAAGTCAGTGTCATCATGACGTCCTTGTTCAAGCGCGAATCGTCCGCGTTTGGTGGATGCCCATGTCGGATGAGCCATGGCACCGACACGTCAACTCGGAGCTCTTTCAGGTCCGCAAACCGACCTTGCTGTTTAGCCTCGATGAGCCTCCGTAGGCCAACTGTCAATTCTTCATCCTCGTCTCCGTGCGTCAGGTGTAGCATTTCAAGCTGCTCAGGCAGCGAGTCCCTCAGCCGGTCGGGGTCCGTGTCGGAGACAAATCCGAACAGGTATGTGCTGGCAATGCGAAGCCGCCTTAGCTTCGTGAACGGCGCGAGGCTTCCAATTGGGCGTGTGTAGTTGTTAGCACCCCACTCGTCGAATTCGTCTATCAAGTGTTAGTCACCTTCTGCGGAACCTAGATCGCTGCGTCCCAAAGCATCAAAGACGGGGGTTCGAAAACGGGACGCAAGGGTGCTTACAATCGTGTGGATAATCAATCCAAGCCTGCTCCAGGCTGTGCTTCTGTTGTTCTAGGGCCTCCCTCACCGATCTGTAGCTGATGAGGAAGATGGGTTCCGCTTCCGAGGTTATCTCACCAATATCATAGATGAACGTCTTCAGTGCCTTGGGGGCTGCGAGGATACGCCGCATCTCAAAGGGCGAGATCCTGCATTGGCGCAACTCGAGATGTGTAATGTCCAGGCTGAGGGGTTGCAATTCAGTAGCCGGTCTCAGGGTCTCCCTGTTGCGCATCGCAATTACACGGTGTAGGTAGAGCGATTCAAGCCCAGGCAGCGTGAAGAGGCCGCGCCAGAGCTCGAGGTGCTTTTCCGGCCTCGAGGAGCCAAAACAGGCTTTGGTGACATTGGCCAACATGCTCGAGCCGAGGGGAGATCGGATGAAGTAGTGCACGAATCGCAAGCACGAAGTATCCAGTAGCTCCAAGTCAATGCTCGCCAGCCGAGGGAGGCTGCGGATAAGTATGGCCAGGATCAGAGCCTCGCGGAAGGACCTTGAGGAGCGAGCGAGCCTCAGAGCGGCGTCGACGGTGGTCGGTATCTCGGTCTCCGAGTTGCAGCCATCGTCCTCGTCCTCGCTGCCGTCGGTCGTGTTCCACTCGCTATAGTCGGAGTCTGATCCTACCTCGAGGAACTCATCCTCAAATTCCGACTCAATCTCAAACACCTGCTCATCGGCCTCGGATGGGCCGGCTTCGCCACCGTGGTCCACATCGCTGGGGGCGGGATCGACGGAGATAAGGCCGACCTGCTGAGAAAGCTGCCTTGCAACGTCTTCGATCTCGGGCGAGAAGTGACCGCTGGGCGTGTGGGAGGTTCGGAGAGAGCTCGTGCTGTTCTCGTGTATTCCCAGGTGCCGCACGCTCTTGGCAAGCTCGGGTTGCCTCACGAGAAGTGCCGTGATGATTTCGAGGTGGCACAGCTCGTCCTTCCATGGCGTGCGCGAGAGCTCGATTGAGCGGTACAAGTGGGGCAGTGCCACGCTGCACATCTGGTGCGAACATCGCACGAGCTTCGCGAGGGTTGACTGGCTGGAGATGAACTCGCAGATGCGAGCCAGCAGCTCTGGCGGCAGGTCGGAGATGGATGCCATGATGGCTTGCAGGCAGGCCCTCCTGTCTCTCCGCCTGCTTGCTTTAACAGAGGGAATATGGGTCCGTCTTGAGGGATTCAGAGGTCTTGCGGCGAAGCCAACTTTTCACACCCGCGTGATCGATTTCCTGGCTGGCTTTTGACGGGTTGGCGGGAGTCGTGAAAAATCTGGGTCGCTGAATGCTGCTGCTTCCAGGCTCATCATCGCCACAGCAATGCATGAATTGACGCAAATCGCGCTAAATCATCCTGTTGAGCAGGCGGTCGACTTGAGGGTTAAACCCTTGACCGCACCACCTGGGCACCCCTGAGCTGGGTTGAGTGCTTGTACGTCAAATCACCCATCGGCGCAATATGAATACAAGACAGACCGGGTGAAGGCCGATCGGTCGAACCTACCTAACTGGTTTTGCTTCTATTCCGCTTCCTTACGAGGGCATACATGGTGCCTTCACAGGCTGGTAAACGCTCAAGGCCCAGAGAGACCTACATCCTGCCAGTCACCAGTCCGAGAACGACACAGCCCAACACGCCGGGCCGGAATCTGGCGCAAGTCCCGGCGAATTCTAGTCAGGGAGCACAACCTGTGCATCTTGCAATCTCATTTGCTGTCGGGCTGGATTCGTTGACTCGCGTCGGGTCTGGCGGTTCTTGAGGTCGTCCAAGACAGCATAGATTGGTACTAGTACTAGCATTTAAAAAAGCGTTTCTTGGCGTTCCCTGGGCAACTTCTGCTGAGAAATCTGCTAAGGAGGATGGTAACGCCCTCAGCAAGACGGTCGGTCGGTGCTTGAAATTATACGAGGGCGGCAGCTTGACAAAAGCGGTTTGGTTGGTATGATCACATCATGCCGTTCAATCTTTCACTGCTCCCAGGTGCCTGAAACCACAGTTGCGCAAGATCTAGATGGCCATCAGTGACACATGGGAAATCCTAAGCCAGTTTCACAAAACAAGGTCTGATATTGAGACTACAAGCTCTATCTATACATTGAGAACATCATATAATCTAACAGTAAGTAAATGTATGTCTCCTAGCCTTGGCTGGTGCTGGTACATGGGACTGGAACCAGCACTCGTGCAACGGCCGACAATCTTTCATCTGGACTAGGGCGCAGGTCCTTCCGATAATGAAATCGTACTTCCGATAATCAACAACGGGGGATCAGGTCCGCTGCCTTCGGCTGCCGCACACGCCCAATTCTCCATGCTCAATGGCTTGGAGGTAAGTTTGAAGGACAAAGGAAATGTGTTTTTTTTGTGTTTTTTTTTTATTTTGTGGCGGAGGTGGGAGGATCACCAAGGGACCGAGAGGGTGTTGGTGTGCTGAGGAAAACCGTACCAGCAATAAGGGCAGAGAAGGAATGGCGGAGATGGGAGGATCACCAAGGGACCGAGAGGGTGTTGGTGTGCTGAGGAAAACCGTACCAGCAATAAGGGCAGAGAAGGAAGGGCGAAGATGGGAGGACTCACCAAGGGACCGAGAGGGTGTTGGTGTGCTGAGGAAAACCGTACCAGCAAGGGGCAGAGAAGGGGGAAATTAGCAGCTCGTAAAAGCAAAAATGACAAATATGCACCCAATCGGTCCCACAGACCAAATGCAAGTATGTCATCCACCTGATGTGCCCGTCGGGCCAAGTCCTGTTCCCCATAGTCAGATCCAATGCTCGGGCGAGCAGAATTGGGGTCAGATTATCTGCTCACCTTGTGATTTGGAAGTGTCCTACTTCCTCTTCAGAGGCGCAATCTTGCGGTCGTTGCCCGTGTACTTGGGCACCGACTTCTTCTCCTTCTCTATCTCCAGCTCCTCGACAGCCAACTGTGCCTCGAGATCCTCAAAGGTGAGGTCCTCGAACGAGTCGGCTTCTGGCTCAGGCTTGGGCTCATGCTTGGGCTCGGGCTTCGGCGAAGGCTTCGGCGCGAGGGTTGGCGTGGGCTTGGGCGTGGGCTGGGGCTGGGGCTGAGACTTGGGCTGCGGCTTGTCGGTCTTGGTCTCGTTCTCTTCCGCCTCAAGCTGGTCAAAGATGGCGGCGAGCTTGGGATCGACCGGGCCCATCTTTGACAGCTTTGGGGTCTCCTTCTTTGCTTCGCTGGCTTGCGCCGGCTTGGAGGGTTGACTGGAGGAAGACCGGGTGGTAGACTGGGGGAGAGGCTTGGAGTTCGAGGCCGTGGGAATCGGCTTCTTCTTCTCAGCTGTTGGCGGGAGGGCGGTTGCCTTCGCCGGTGGGGCTTGTCCAGAAGATGAAGAGGCAGTCGATTGGGAGCCGGTACTCTGAGAAAGAGCCTTGCGAGCAGACGCGAAGAGAGGTAGTGGTCGGCGAGCTGCTGGCCGAGAAGGCTGGCCAGCAGGACGCTGTGGCGTCGCGGGAGTCGCACTCATAGGAGGCTCAGAGGTTGCCGAAGTCGAGGGCCGAGAGGGAGCGCGGGCGACCTTCTTCTCTGTCTTGACAGTGGCAGCTGGCGCCGGCACCGAAGAGGATTGACCAGAGAAGGAAGAAGGAGTCGCCTGAGATGAAGCGAATGACGAAGTTGACGGTGGCTTGGCTTGGTGAATTTTCCGAGACCGTGGAGGGAAAGGCTGAGAGATCGGAGCCTTCTCCTGGTTGTCGTTCAAGCTCGACCGTGCCATCATCTCAACCAGAGATGAGATGTCGACAGGGGGAGGTTGAATCTTGAGGTTGGAAAATTGCATCGTCAGTTCACTGACCTCGCGCAGGATGCCGGGAGAGGTGCTTGTCGTCGATGGTGATGTAGGTGAAGCAACCCGAGAGGGCTGATCCAACTCCATAGGATCGAATGGGAGCCGAGGGGTGTGAGGACTAGGGGGCACGTCGCTCATCACCATCTCAACTGATGGGGCATCTTGAAGAGGGGCAGAAGGCATGGGAAGAGGTGCTATTGGCTTGAAAGGTTGAAGGTATCGCGAAAAGGCGGCGAGTGGTGCAGAACCGCAGCGAAAGCCATCAAGCTTCAACTTGGCAGCCAAGGAAGTAGGAGCAGGCTTAGGCGGAGAGAGGTATGTCGTGACATAAGTCTCGACTTCCATCTATTGGCATTGTTAGTCTATGTTGACACCGCGCACAATCACCGGCTTGGAAAGAACAAGACAAAGTATCGACGATACTGAGTATTCTGTGCCTCAGAAGGTGGGCAGTGGACCAAAGGGGATTGCTTACCTGAGCCTCAGCAGGCTGGACTTCCCCAACTGGAGAGAACACTTCCGTCTTCTTGATCTTCTCGGGGGTGGAAAAGGACTTGGGCACGGGGGCGGAGACAGGCGAAGCGGAAGTATCGTCGGCGACTGGTAGAGGGCTAACACGAGAGCCACCTTTCAGCAGATTGGGCACAGAATACTATCCTGGGCACCAAGTCCACTTCGGGGAGTTCTTGTGGCCCGACAATGTCGGGGCTTTTGTCGACCGATCGATAGCACGACAACGAGAACGTCCGGCGGTGACAGACGAACCCTTTCTCAGTGCCTTCCTTATCGCCTTGTCACTAGAGGTGGACCTATACTGCGAGCTTGTCAAGTGTGAGTAGGTCTGTGGGGAAGTGCTCGTCGGGAATACACCAGTAGACGAAGCACGAGCGCTGGGCCGCTTCATGTTGTGAGAGGGGACAGGGCAAGCAGAAGGGGACGAAACGACCAGGGATGTGGACGCGATGGAACGAGGCTGGGAAAAGGGAAACAGGGCAGAAAAGACAGACGAGGCAGTGCGAGAAATGGCAGATGGGCTGTGACGGGGCTGAGGGGGAGTAAGGAAAATGGGATGCTCATCATCAGTGCTATCCCAGCTACCAGGCATAGTCCGCTGTCGCGGCATATACGTGGCGTCGACGTCCAACAAGGTCGAGGTCGCCCATACCAGACCTCCGAGAAAGAGGAAGGGCAGCGAGGCGCCGACGACGGAGGCGAAAGAGGAGAATGAAGACATTGTGACAAGATGCTTCGTGATAATGACCAAGAAAGTCAAGTGAGGGTAAGAGAGGGTAAGCTCGAGAGCAGTGGGTACGATGCAGTGATGAGAGAGAGTCTAATCGATGAGCGCGATGCAGATCTCGTTGACTTCTCGTGACAGTGCAGCGTGGTGGAGGAAGGAAGGAAGGTTTGGAATTGGGATGGGCTGCAGCTGAGTTGATAAACAACAAGCCAGCCAGGTCTGATCACGTGGGTCCCTGAGCTCCACGGCAACGGAGCTCCCCTACAGTTACAGAGGCCTTCTAGCTAGAGGTTCGCTGCAGCTGGAGCTGGGCTGGAGCTGCTTGCGCCCCTGCGTAGCTACATGGACACATACACTGCTGGCGGTTCACCCAGCAACCAGGGAGCTCAGCTGTAGCAGCAGTTGCAACGATTGCAGAGAAGATAGAAGTTGGCAGGCGCCTCAGGCACTGCAGCTGTGATTTACTGGGTGAATGAATTGGTCCTTTGACTTGAGGACGACCAGCATCTACACGTTAGACTGAGGGTCCCTCCTGACTGCCCTCCCACGTTGTGAAGACGGGAGTACTGAAGAGACAAGACTCATCCTAGAGTTGATAATTATTAGCACATGGGGAGAAGCAACTCAGTCTTCATTTGTATGTTGCCCCAGTGAAGCGCCTGAGGCGCGGCTGGGAGGTCCGCCTTTGCTCAAGATCCCCCTCTCTGAGGCGTCGATGGCCTGACACCTTGGGTATCTCCATTGCAAGATCGCATGGCCAAGGCACGGTACACAGTTCCATCACCGTCCATACGTAAACTGTCTTCACCTAGGACTACCCCTCTTGAGTCACAAGCTTGGAGCCCTGGAGTGTGTTCAATTTGAGACGGATCAAGACCCTGTGAATGAGTAAGTAACGACGAGTAGAAGACAGTCTTTGGCCTTATTGCTGTACCACTTCCCCATACAGAATCAGCTGTTTTGCTCATCCAAGCTTAGCATGAAGCGCTCGACCAGAACTGCTGGAGTCTCATAGCAAAGTCAGCAATGATTCGCAGTTGCAAGCAAGATAGTGTTAAAGAAAGTAGTGATTTATTATGACCCTGACATTGGGATCAAACCTATGATCTACCAAATTCAATCCCAACGCCTCTAAATGAATGTACAGTGCACAGGACGTTTGTGCTATCCGCGCGCACCAAACCGGGCCATGTCCCTCGTTGCCATCAGCTAGATACAGTCCCCCTTTTCTCCCGCTCTTCCCAGTCACGATTCGCATTCGGATGGATATCTCATTACAGAGAGCCAATCTCAAGATTTATACCCGATCCTCTTCTCCAACAACTTAGGCGGCAAAGCTGCGAGCCATGCGGCGGGCGGTGGCAGCACCAGCCGCGGGGGCGGGGGCTGCAGCAGCGGCGCCAGGCATGACCATCTGGACGGGGATGCAGCCACCGAAGGGGCCGGCGTTGCTGGGGTTGACGAGCTTGACGAGGCAGGTGTTGGCCTGGCCAGCGATGTTGCCGGTGCAGGTGGCGCCAGCGGGCATGTTGACCTTGAAGGGGTAGTCCTCGTTGATGTTGGTGGCACGCTTCATGATGCCGACGGCCTGCAGGGCGCGGGCCCAGGCGCGCTTCTCGGACTTCTGGATCTTGCCCTTGGTGCCGGGAACCTGGGTCTCGACCTCCATCTGCGTCCAGCTCTGGCCGGTGCCGTCGGTGTTGAGCATGGCCTTGTAGGGGCCGGCGCCGTCGGAGGTGACGATGTGCAGGGTGCCGGAGACGGAGCCACCGGGGGTGACCTGGGCGAGGGTGTTGCCGGAGAGGGCCATGGCGGCCTGGGTGCCGGCCTCAATGTCGTTGTCTCCTTGCTGTAAGTGGTGTTAGTATGTTTGGGTTGGGATGAGCCAGAAAGAGGAGGCACTCACGCCGTTGGTTCGTCCACAAGAGTCAGCCTGGTCACCCTTGAAGACGGTGGTATCAGGCTCGGTGACCTTGTTCTTGCCAGGGCCGGGGATCACACCACCCTGGATACCCAGAGCAGTGGAGTTGCCACCGGCATCACCAGTCGCGACTGCGATCTTGCCATGGGCGGCGACCAGAGGGGAGGCGGCGAGGGCGATGAGGAAGATCTTGGAGAACATTTTGGCTGATGTTGGGATGGTGGTGAACTGGTGGGAGATGATGAGGATAAGATAATTAATCTGAGATTATTGAATGGAGTTACGAATCAATCGTAAGCTGTTCTGCAAACCTGGCAGGGAAGTGAAGAGAAAAGAGCTGAAGACTGAAGACTGATGCTGATGCTGCTGATGATGGAGAGAAGGGAATTGATGATGGATAGCGGAGGAGTAGTGCCATCTTTATAGTTTCTGTTCGTCGGCCTGATGAGGTCTTGTTCTGTGAGGCTTGGGGCATCTGAAGACTAGACGGCGCATGAAACCTCATTCGCCCTCGCCTCATCGCATCGGCCATCCTCCTGACTGCCTGGGTACGGGAGGCCACGCCGACACATCCAAAGATCAGTTTCCCCGCCTCATGACCATGTGCGCAATCTAGTCCAAACGGGTTTGACGATAGTGGGACGTGCCATCTGCTCAGGAAATGTGCACGAGAATCAGATGAAGCCGGCAGGTGGTTGGACAAGGCAGTCGTACGAGCCGTCGACCCGAGCCTTACGCGCCCAACTGCCAGTCAGCCAGTCTGGCAGGTCGTGATACATGGCACAGCCGTGTGGGGCGCGCAGGGGACGAGGGAGGTCGTCACTGCACATGTGCAGATCCGGATGCGGCTCATGTGGTGGGGCGTGAAACGTGTGCTGATCATCCGGGAGGAGGTAAGGTGCAGCCGATGGGGCGCTCTTGTCGTCCCTGGGCATCCCAATCCGATCTTGGAGACAGCTCTGGGCGATTTCTGGGCAAGGCGACGTTAGGATGAGGCTGAAGGAGGAAAGAAAGGGCGGTTCTACGGCGTCTCATCAGAGGGTCAAACGCCCAGGGGTGCGTGGCTGGCCCCGTCTGTGCGGCTGGGGGCACCCTTGGGCACCTTAGCAGCTGCTTAGATCTCCCGCACCACCGTCATGCAGCAACCAGGCACCGCGCAGCCCGATTGGTCCAGCACCCAGTTCATGGACCATGCTACTCCACCTCACTTTGCAGTATTCGCAAGTAAGCTTGTTCTGTGCCGCATGTTTCGTTTATCGGGCGAAACCTAAGATTCCCCTACCCAGTGTTTGGCCTGGTCCTTCCGCATTCCCATTGCGGCATCGCCACAAGAGTTGAGTGCGAAGGCAGTCGATGCGTGAGAGCAGAAAGCGAAGACCACGCGAGGTGGGCGCCAGGAGGACAAAAGTGGCATGGCCAACAACCGTGGACGCTTCGATTCTGGCTCTGCAGGCGGATGTCCACTGTGGTCCGCTCCTGAAGGGAACGGGCGGTGAATCTCGACTGTGTGTGAATGAACTCGTTTGCGTAAAGCTTCAATGTTGGCCATCTTCAAGAACAGTCAATGCCATGCAATTCAATATCGCTAGGTCGAAATCAAGCTACACAATCCTTTTCCTTGCCTATCCAAGTTTCAACGAACCACGCTGTCGGTCCCATTTCCACGCTGAACGGCAGCCAAGCCCAAGCCCCCCAGCGCTGCCGGCTGGGCAATGATCGCCAAGCTCTGTCGCCAAGCTCTGTCACCGGTGGTGATAGCACTTGGCAAGAGCTTGGTATCATTGATGTTTCCAACAGCCCTATTACTTCGGCTGCAGTTGACTGTTTCCAACCCACCACAACCTGCTGAGTCAATGCACCCAACCTCCAAAACGTAGCATTTAGGTCCGGTGTCTGCCGAACTTGAGTGGTCGGTCACCTGGCGCACTCAGGCAGTAATTTGCGAAAGGCTGGAATCCATAACACGGGCCCCCAACTGTTTGCGAGGTTTACTGCAAGCAGCCAAATGGAAACGACTTCAGGATCGCACCTGAGCCACCAGCTCGGCGGGATGGCCAGTCATCCCCGCAAAGAAGCCTCGACTGCGGCAACATTGACGTGGCACGCCGTCAGCATGAGAAAGGTGCTTCGGGGGAGTGCGCTCGACCCACCTGGGCAGTTGATCAGCACCGGCTAGAGAACACCAGGCCAGAAGCACGTGCTCACTTCGCACTACTGTCTGCAGACTCCTCGGACGTGGTGGCAACAGGGGGCGGGTTTGGCTCATGCACCCCATGAAACCCGAATCCGACGGCGAAATCCATCTCGGCCCTGCCCATCTCCAGCATTGTCCGGGCGTCCAGGCACAGCAGGTAACTCTTCTTGCTGAACCCGTCCAGCACCACGCTCAGCAGGACCCCGTCGTCCTCCTTGATTCCGCCCGGCCGCGCCACAAAGATCGCCTCCCCGGGTGTGTGGCCCGGGGGGTTGTTCCACTGCAGCACAGCTCGTGAGACCAGGTTGGTCTTCAGTATCGTGTCCACGAGTGTTGACCTTCCGCTCATCGCCAGGGAGTAGACAAAGCGGTACGACTTCGTGTGCTGGGCTGGGTTGATAGTCGGTAGCTCCCCGATATGCGGGCTTGGAATTTCCATGGTGCACGTCGACTCCGGTTTGCATGTTGCGCCGCCCTCCGTAGGTTTACTGACCGCAGACCCATCAAAGTGCGCACCATCTCTTCCCTCCAGCAGACCTTCCTCGATGTCCATCTTATGGTTTGTCAGTGGGGGCTTCAGTATAGAGATTGCCCTGGCCGATAAACCACTGAGTACACCGGCCACTAGCCGTGCCTTGTGGCGGAAATTTTTCCCTACTCCCTCTCCCCTTCTGCGAACGGCCCCGGTGAACTTTCTAAACCAATGGTGAAGGGTCGACAGTTGAGGTCGCGGTGATCGTGGTGGGATTGGATGATTCATCGGCAGAGTGAAGGTCCATCTCTTCAGTCGCGGTAGCATTTCCCTGGCCTGCTCTTCTGTTCCCCAGATGGTCCTTGCTTTTCCATCTTGGTTCAACATGGTGTCGTAATAGAATCCCTTCAGAATACTCATGTTGGGATATTCAATCGTATCGCAATTGATGGCCCACCTGGGTTGGCCGTCCCCTGTGCAGCGGTATAGCCTGTCAAAGCAGTTGACGGTGTGAAAGAAGAACGCCGCCTCTGTTTCGAATTCAGCCACGACCCCCCGCCCCTGCAGTCCGTCGATGATGAACCATTTGTTCTTCTTCCTCTGGTCGAAAGGCTTGATTGCATCCAGAACATTCCTGTTCCACAGTACACTAACTCCTTTCAGAGCGATGTGAGAGCTGGGCACGCGTAACACAACAAAGTGTTCGCTCAGGAAGAAGCTGTGAATGTATGCCATCGGTAGGTCTCGCCGACTGATCGTGGCTAGAATCCTGGTTTCCCCGGTGGCCGCGGATACTCGGAATACTTTGTAAGTGGCCTGAAGGCCTGCTTTGATGTTAATGTTGATATAGTCGCCGGTTCGAGGACAGCGCTGAACGTGGGCGCAGGACAGCTCTCCATCAAGCTCCGGGTGTAGTTCATCTTGTCTGGCGATTCCGATGGGCTCGAGAGTCCTCCTGTCCACTTGGCGTAGGAGATGGCAATCGGTGCCAAGCCAGAGCGTGTCCGGCCCGGGCAGGACATCACCGTCCTTAAACACCCACCTAAGGCCAGGCACGTCTAACTGCACGGTGACCCCGATATTTTCTGCCTTCTTGGTCCCTCTCCTCGTATGGGCTACCACCCAGGTGCTCATGACTTTGCCGAACAGGCCAATGCAAGGATCGGCTCGCTGTCCGAAGCTGACAATGTCGCGCATTCCGTTCTTCTGCACATGGTCGACGAAGTCATCGGCTTGCCGCCTTGAGGAGTACCAAACCTTGCTTCCCAGGCCGTCTTTATTAGCGACGATATCGAAGCGGTGGGTATGTGCCAAGCCGTCAAACCAGTGGGAGATGTGAAGTGTCCCTCGGGGAGTATTGTCGACTTTGTTGGCCCCGGGCCCGGTGCGAAAAATACTGCCCGCGGCCCAAGCCGGGATGCGTCCCCGGACTCGGAGCTCAATAGGACCGCGGTGCTCGTCGAGGTTGGTAAACTGTCGTCGCATCCGTCTCGTCAGCAACGGGCCGTCATGTAACCCGAGCAGGCCATCATCCCACCCGAGGGGAAGATGCAGTCCCTAGTGGTGCGCTTGTATTCCAAATCCCGGATACCCGGGTGCTCGAGTCTTGTGAACGTATGTCGATGGTGTATTACTTACTCCTGCTTCGTTGGGCCAGCAGAGGTACGCTCCATCGACGGCGTTGCGGACGGCACGCTCTAGATCTCCCTCCTCATGTTCTTTTAACCTCAAAATTGCGTTTTGATATGAAGGCGTCGCATCAGCTGCCATGGTGAAAGAATGAAACAACGGAAGCTATCTGTTGATAGGGCTGAGAATTCCAGGTCCGAATGTGGTGGTGAGTAGGCGATCTGGATGGTGCTTGATGTTGTCCAAGACAGGTCGCTCTTCGTTTGTTGCTGTTGTTGGGCCACTGAAAAACCAATCCTGGCCAGATTGGAAAGGCCCGCTCTGCAAAGTCACTCTCCTGACGCGCAATGCGCTTTCCCTTGCCAAATTTTCTTCAGATTAAACAGGAACCAAATTATTTTGAATTCGCAGGTGCGAATGGGACCAACGTGACAAATGCACAAGGCGGCCGACGGGTTCGTGAGCATCCCGAATGACACAAGAGTCAGACACAGTGGAACCAAAGTTCAAGACAGACACTCCTACGGATCCTGACGGCCGTTGCCTCCACGTACGAACCCCCAAGAAAAAGGGGCAGTGTAATGGGCAGACTCTGACGATTGAACTGCTGGCTGCATGCATTTTATCAGTGATACCATGGCCGGCAAAATCTCGCGTTGGGATCGTAACGGTGCGCTAAGCAACGTGGGATCCGAGACCACCTGGCCACCAAGGCCTCTATCGACCTGATAGACCGACTCTTGTTTTACTTGAAAGTCTCAAACTAGCGACTCCCATTCTAAGATTGGCATTGCAAACAGGCAGGTGATGCCACTCTGGGCAATGCTGAGCAGGGGATGCAGCTTACAAAATCTTTGAATAGATCCAACGCATTTGATTGGTCGGCACAGCACATCAATGATTTTGCTCCGAAATTACTTATTGGAAGTTCGCCACGCCCATGCCAGCGAGCATGAGCTTGTTGAAGATACGAAGTTCGTGACCAGTAAATGAGCTTGACGAATTAGTTGGCATGGGAAAGCAAGCCGCGGTGGCCCTGCTAATGACCACAGCTTTCCATAGCAGCATCCCTATAATGAAGGCTACGTTTGTTGAAAGATGTAAAGTTTGTGTTACCTAAGTACCTACCCTGTGAGGGAATATCTAAAGTACTGATAGTCAGCTTAGTAGGACCCGTGAAACAACGTCAGCCTCCTCAACCGCATATGATCAACCTGTCATTATCCTAGATCTGACCTGGTCTCTCGCACCCAATTTCTTCCGTGGTCCACCGATGTGTCTTCACAATTCACTGTAAGGATAATTATGGCAGTGTCTCATGGCTCATTCCCTCAGTCGGAAACACTGTATCTATGCGACTTCATCAACGAGAAATGGGACAATTGTGCGGAGACTTTGGTGCGAACCTAGTAGCCCTTGGCCCGGGGGCTACTTGTGTCGATGATTCTAGTGAGCGGCGCCGTCGGGAGCGGTGCCTTCCAGCCTTGTCTGTGCGGCACAAGGCTGAAGCCACGGGCCCACGTACTGTATTTTCTTTTCACTGTTATTGGAACTGCATTTTTTTGTAAACCATTTTTACTGGGTGTATGACGAAGTGAATCACTGCCTTGTGCAAACAATTTTGTCCACGGCGGCTGTTTGCGGTGAATGATCTCGTCCCCAGACGTCTTTTTTTCCGATATAAAAATCTACTCTTTGAACATCCAACTCTCTAACCTCTGTTCATTTTCCACCCACCTGGATTTTGCACCCAGCTCGAGCACTTGAGGTAACCCGCCAAATACAATCCAGTATATCCAAACACGTCAAGACGAGAATATCCCACGACACACCTACCAGAACCACAGCCAACATGATGTTCATCAACGAAATCACCATGGTCTTGACTCTCCTCGCGGCCACCACCCTCGGCCTCGTCCCTGCCGCTGCCCCAGCCATCGGCGAGATGACCTACTACGACCCCAACACCGGCAACCAGGTCGCGTGCGGTGGTTTCTTCCAGCCCGCCGACCGGATTGCCGCCGTGGGAGCGGCCCACTTCGACGGCAAGGATGTCTGCGGCAAGGTCGCGTCCGTCACTCACAACGGCAAGACGGTCACCGCCGTCATCCGTGACCGCTGCGAGGCCTGCAAGCCCGGCGACATCGACGTCACCCCGACCGTCTTCCAGGAGCTTGCCCCCCTCGGGGCTGGCCGCGTCCCTGGCGTGTCTTGGACTCTTGCCTAAGGTGAGCACTTGGTCTTGCCTTTACTCACCAGATGTCTTCTAACTCCGAGTGGTTATGCTGACGGCCCTTTTGGACAGTCTTGCGATGCCTGCTCGCGCCGCCAGGATCTGGGTCTTGGTTTGATAACAGTCTTTGGCAACAACGGGCATGGAAACTCTGGGATTTTGGGAATGGACTGAAGGGTTGACAAGCAAAACTGAAAACGTCTTCTTTCATGGCAACATCCGGTGGAATGACATCAAAATCGCGCGCAAAACCACAGGCAGCTCCTCATAGTTTCATGTCAACGCATGAAGATAGTTACCTTGGTACTCAGTCTGGGAAGCCAAATGAGTTCCAGTCAAACACGTCCGAGAATCCTCCCGCAGCCACATTGGATAAGCCTATTTCCAAAGTATCCTAGTCATAGTAGCCGCCAGGCTGGCAACCTGGACGACCCTGCAGACCCATGATATCCTGATACATAGGTGGGCATAGTCTGCGCCCAAGGCTGACCAAGGCCTCCCCCTACTGGTGCTAGGCTCTGCATGAGCGAGCCGTGCCACGCATTGTCCTGTATATTCTGTCACGATCCACGATACTTCTAACGTTCTGCCCACTGTTCCGGCAATCTCACCGTGCACATCATCCCAGGCCTGCAAGATGAGCCGCGAACTGACGACAGAGACGGCGTCGACCAGCCTCCGCTCCATTGTGTGCGCTGCGTAGCTCCCGCCCAGCACAACGCCATGCCACGTGGGAGGCCGGAGGCGCTGGAGCAGGTGGGTTCTAGCCATGGACACTCACACGGAACTGTGGATGACGATGAAAAGACAAGCTCAAGAAGGCAAGATGGGGCGTCCGCGGTGGTAAGAGGAAGCCAGGTGCTCGCACATTGTGGATTAAATTAAATGTATGCTTTTTCTTTCTCCCTTTATCCCTCTCTCTATCCCCCCCTCTCTCCTTTTTCTTCTTTTTTCCCCCATAATCTTACACATGTGAAAATACACCATACCAATATGCCTTGACATCGTTGCATCAAATCGGCTTTCCCTGTCGTTCTAAGACGGGCAATGAGCCTCGGTTTTTGAAGAGCTCTGGAGTGATTAAATGAGCTGGCTAGCATCCATACGAGATGCTCACAGTGTCAGAACCACGACTGTTGGGTTTGTTGGGACAATGTGTCGCGTCGCGCTTTGAGCCTAGCCCTTGAGTAGGTTTTTGTGCGGTCCTTGACACGCCGGCATGAATATTTCTGCCGTGGCCTCGGCGACAGGCCCTCTGTGGGCACTGAATTCGTGATCTGGGTACAGGGCTCTTGTGTGTTCCGACGTCGAAGGAGTCAAATAAGGTCTTGGACTGCCACATGACCCGGCTTCTTGCCAGGCCACAGGGGTTGGTATCAAATTCGCAATCACACTAGCCGCTATGCCTTGAAATCGCTCATGCTTCGACATATCCACCACATAGTCCTCCTCTATCCACGCGCCCTGGGTCTCAGGACGACGCGAAGGACAGCAACCTGGCGCAACGTATCCAATTATTGGGCCTGCTGCCTTATTCCTCCACGCAACACTCGTCGTTTGTTTATTGCCTGCGTCGGGTTCCGTGACCACGGCTCTATTCAGCTATGTCGGCTGTATTGTTGGCTCGCAGTGGTCGCAGGCTAGCCAACCAACACGCAGGCCAAGCCTCGCCGCTGCTCTCTATCCCATCTCTTACTCCCCGACCTTGACCCCATCAGCCTGCTTTTGCCTAGCCAGCTTGTCGAGCTTCTCGGTGGCGGCCTTCAGGCTGTTGACGTCGGCGCCGCGTATCAGCGACTGCCCGTTGACAGCGACCTGCTTGCCGTTTTTGAAGAACATAAAAGTGGGCATGGCACTGACGCCGTACTGCACGGCGACCTGCTGGACTTTGTCTACGTTGACCTTGGCGAAGGCGAGGTACCCGGGAACCGTCGAAGCCTTGGCGAACTGCTCGTACATGGGGGCTATCGCCTTGCAGGGGCCGCACCAGTCGGCGTAGAAGTCTGTGACGACGTACATTGTCTTGTCCAGGAGCGACTGGAACTCGGCGGGGCTCGATATGTGGTTGACCGACATGTTTGCGGCGGATGTTTTATGCTTTGGAGAGGATTGAGCGGGCGTATCGTCTGGTGTGTAGTGCGCTACCGGTGGGAGGTATACGGTTTGTTTTAAATCTTAAGAAATAGCTTTACGGAGTTCGACGGCTTTGGCAGGGTTTGGCAAGGTTTGGTCGGGATGATGTGCTTGCGATCTCGAATCGCTGGGGGCGCGGGTTGAAGTGGGAAGCTCTTATCTTATCAAGGCCCGTGGAGGGGTCCCGTTTACAATTAGTCAGCCCAGACGGTCCCTGGAATTTGGGGCGTTGGTGGCTGACGCAATTGGGGAAGAACGTCCAGGGGCTTCTAGAAAGGACGTTTCTCAGGCACCGTTCAGGAGCCTTGGGACCTGACATGGTCTCTCCATTTCCGACATGACCAAATTGACACGCAGCTTTCAACTTTTCGAAACAGGCATGTATTAATAATATTCATCCATCTGTCTCATCACGCCCTGCTCTTGATAATATCACTGGCCTTCTCAGCAACAGCATACATGGTGGCCTGCAGGTGCGCGGCGGGGATGAGCGGCAGGATGCTCGCGTCGATGATGCTCAGCCGCTGCGTCCCGTAGACCCTCAGCTCGGGGTCCACCACTCCGCCCTTGTTGCGTGGCATCATGGGGCAGCTGCAGCTGGGGTGGGCAAAGGTAGGGTTAAGCAGGCCGGCAGCTAGCAGCGAATCGATCACAGCGTCCGCCGTCGTCGCGCCCGCCCCGGGGACGGCCTCGACGGGCTCCATGTCCGCCGTGGCCTCGGTGCCAAACAGCCGGCGCGTGTACTCGACGCCCGCGAGCAGCACCGACCGGTCGAACGGGTTCGTCAGCGCGTTGTGCAGCACCAGCGGCACCCCGTACGGGTCCGCCGAGTCAAGATGAACTGTCCCGCGCGACATCGGCTTCATCACAGCGGTCGCCACGAACCCGCCCCCTGCCGCGGGGAGCTCGGCTGCCGCGACCGTGCCCGCGCGGTGGTCGGCGGCCAGGATGGTGCGCTGGTGCTCGAACCCGGCCTGGAGGTCGGCGTTGCCTGCGTAGATGGCCGGCAGGTGGGCGCTGGGGTCTTGGGCCTCGAGCGCGTCCACCAGAGACTCGGCGCCGCTGGTGAGCATCTCCAGGGAGGGGAAGGCGATGTAGGTGGCTTGTGCCTTGGTCAGGGGCCCGGTGTTGTTCTGGTGGTAGAGGTCGTAGGCCTCGTTGAAGAAAGTCTGGTTGGTGGATGGCTCTGAGGGACCGGGGAAGCTGTTCTTCACTGGATCTGGTCGTCAGCCTTTTTGTTCTGCCCCTGATTCGGGTCCAGTCTCGGCAGGAGCTTACCTGTCCAGCTAATGTAGCCCACAGGGTGGTCTTGGAAGTTGCTCCCGACGGCGGGGAAGTCAATCTTGGTCTCAATGCCAGCTGCCTCGAGGACCTCCTTGGGACCAATACCACTCCACTGGAGCAACTGAGGGGTGAAGACGCCGCCCGCCGCGAGGACAACCTCCTTCCTCGCTGAGAACACCAAGGTATCGTTATTGGAGCGGTCCAGAACCTTGACTCCGGTCGCCACAAGCGGCGAGACGCTGCTGGCGCTGTCTTCGAAGAGAATCTCCCGGACTTGGTGCATCGGCAGAAGCTTAAGGTTGCTTCGGTACGATACCGTGTCATAGTATGCGTACAGCGACGAAGAACGCGTCTTGTTCGCGGGATTAATGGACGATGGGGCCCAGAAATGGCCAATGGCCTCTCCAGTTGCGTGCTCTTCAACAAATGGCAGACCAAGCTCGTTGAACCCATCGATGATCTTGTCTATGACAGGTCAGCCTCTGCAGACGCACCCTCAGAACTCGGCTTACTTACACAAATCAGGGGCTTGCCAATCAGGATAGCTGGCTTGCGCCGGCCCATCTTGGCCCCATGCAGATACGTCGTACGAGTAGTTGTACGTCGCTTGAACCTCAGGCGTGGGCGGTGTAAATGTCACGGACTAGGAGCGGGCGTTAACCATATGCAATTGGAGTGAATCCGGAACAACAAACCTTTCTCATGTAAGGGTTTAAGCCCTCCCAACCCCAACCTGGGTTGCCCAATGCCTCAAATGCGTCGATATCGGCGACAGAGGGATAGTCCCATGTCATGCCATTGACCTGCGATCCGCCGCCGATAACTTGCGAGACCCTGACGCCGAAGGTCTGGTTTCCCATACCCGGCTCTGGGACAGAAGGGATATCGCGCAGATTGCTTGGCCCGGACGTGCTGATCACCGTGGCGTAGTACGGGATTTGCGTCTTGTTGCTGCGGTCAAAGGTGCCATAATCCAGAACCAGAACCGAAACTGTCACAGGTCAGAATGTCTCGGTGGAAGTACTGGCATGACCACATGTCTCAGTGTTGGAGTCATCTTACCATCAGCGTCCTCGGACAGACGTGCCGCGGCGACGAGGCCAGTGAGACCTCCTCCCACGATCACGTAGTCGTACTCGGCGTCCGCCTTTTCGATGGGCGCTCCGGCCGCAAGAGCGGCGGAGACCGACACAGCGCCCAGGGAAAGTAACCTGACCATCTCGTGCGATGCCGAAGGCTTGAGATAGAGGCTTTGCAAGAACGACAACGGACTGTGAGGACACCAGACTAAGAAAGGGTAAGAGGTCGTGATCAGAGTAGTCCTAGCAGGCGCTCTGGTGGGTGGCAATCTACATCGTGTGCTTCACGTTATATAGATATTTCTTGACCCCACCATTACAGCAGTAAGAGCGGGCCAGGTCCGAGACCTCGGTCTGCAGGCGGAACTTCACCATTATCGCTGTACGACGTGCATAGCTTGTAATCGGGCCATGTCTTCGGCGAACAATTTTCCACCTGGGCATGCAAGCTCTTTGGCTGATCTTGGCTGGTCCCCTGACGACTAGCCCCCGCCGTGTCCCCAGCATATGCAGCTAGGTACCTAGGTAGTTATGCCATGCATTCTGTGTTGCTTTGCAACTGGAGCGCAGAACTTGGAAACCGTTGAGCCGGAAAGGGTCAAAGAAAAAGTTCTAGAAGGCCACCCAGCACGTGGTACAAGCCGTAACTAAGCACCGCTGCATATGACACATTCTTCATCATTTTGTCCTTCATGCAACATGCACCTCACGTCCCGAGTTGCATCTGCTCTCTCCGCTCAAGTGCAGCCGAATGCGACTCGAATCAGAGTACTATCTGGGGAGGGCGTATTTCGCAGCGGTGAGCGCGTCCTATTGGGCCAGTATAAACTCCCATGCGCCAGCTAAACGAAGCGAGAATCCTTCAGGCGGGCCGAGTGCTCGGATATGGAATAGACTCGGCAGCACTTCTTGGGGACGCACACCCGACCCGCCGCAGCGGCATCGTTTTGCCACATTTCTTTTGGCTGCAGCCTGGAGGCACTGGGCCCGAAGCGAGATTCGCCAAGGCGAGTGAGAGCTACTCATGCAGGTCGTCTTACACCATATCTGCCGCGGTGGGTATCCTTAAAAGTCCAAATGCTTCTACATATTCTCGACATGAACAGATATGCGCCAGCCACCGCCAGAGCGGACAGATATTTTTTGTGAACTAGCCCCAACGGTGGGGCTTTTACCGGATCATGAGGCAGAAATCTTGGCATTGTGCTGTCAGTCTTTCCACTGGCTACTCTGGCAATTTCTGACCCGCATAAGTGGCGATATGGACCGTGACCAAGTTGCGACAATGTGCGATCGTTTCTCATAGACTGTGTAACCAAGTGTTACCAGTTCGAACGTAAATATCGATATCAGACAGTCGATCTCACGAGGTCGCCCCATTGGTGCTGGACAATCAAAACAAATATGGAAAGATGGGCCTCCATTTGGCCAGCCATCTGATGCATGCGCAAACCAATACCTGATGAGAGGCTTGTGGATGTGTGGCAGCATTGGAGAACACAGCTATCAGCCATGTTGCAAGTTGCTCGAAATGCTCTGGTGCCTGCCAAGGTTCCAAGTCGTACTTCCGTTTAAAATGAAAGCCCAGTTCCCGTCTTCATACGGAACAAGTACCGTGAGAGACAGGAAATTATAGAGCATGAGCTATCACGCCGCCACAAAACCCTTGACCGACTTGATGATCTGCGCAGCCAGCTGCTGAGGCTGGCTCTCGAACGGCATGTGCCCGGTCCGGAAGTCAACTACCTCCCAGCTGACCTTGGTCTTCTCCAACCACATATCCTGCAGCACTGACGGGTTACAGCAGTCCAACAGAGTGCGCACATAAACTCTCTTCCCGTCGAAACCACTGTCGGCCCAAGCTGGCGCCGAAGCCTTGGTCTCGAACGCGAGGTTGGCGTGAGGGAGCATGCGGCTTTCTAGCTCTGTGCTCTGTGCTGGGGCGCAGTCATTGTAGAGTATTTCCATGGCCGGCTCGATGAGAGCCAGACCCTTCGAGGGCTGAGGAATCCGGATTAGTAGGATGCTCTTGCTTGAAGCAGAAACGAGGGATGGACTTGAGATACCTTGTCCAATTTGATGAATGGAGGATAGGTACCTCCGACAGCATCAGAAAGAGACTCATTTTCCAGCGTGATATTCCCGGCCACGTAGATCAACCCGACTACGCCGGAGGCATGGCCCTGGCCCTTGCGCGTTGCTTTGTCAAGACCCTTGGCAGCCCCTCCTGCTACGACACCTCCATACGAGTGAGCCAGGATGACGATGTCCTTTCCCTGTTCTTCGATTAGAGGGAGGAGAACCTTCTGTCGGAGAGACTTAATGTCTTCCGAGGCTGTCGCAGACGTGGGATCGGCTGGATTGCAGCTTGGATATGGTCCAGGGGCAGTCTTCAGTCCGGCCTGCTCAAAATGAGGCAACAGCTTGCCATATCCTGCGGGCGTGCCGAATGCGCCCGGTACGAGGACCAGTGTAGGGAGCGTTGGAGAAGACATTCTCATACGTAGTTGAGGATTGTAATGAAGAAGATTTGACTAGATGCACAGAAGCAGACCGGGGAAAGATGATGAGCAATGGATTCTAAATACCAAAGCTGGGGGTGATTTTCTAATTGTAGGCGGGGTCTCATCACTTCACCTGCAGTGAGAAGCATTACCACCTGGGCAGGGTCGTGTAGGTGGGATTCGCGTGCTGCGGCGCTGCATGGTAACAACAAACCCTTGCAGCAGCGCAGGAGCTGAGAGGATACAGCTGTAGCACAATCTAGACTTCAATTTTCGCAAACCAACAAGCACGCGGATTCATTCTTGTTGGTTGTTAGCGGGGACTGGTTAGTTTGGTGATTGGTGCATTCCAAGGTTGTACTGAGCGCATATGCACCATCACAGCTGTTGGGCCTAAAAGAGCGGCACCGATGAGACCATGGAGCTGTATAACACGCGCTTACTACTCGGCAGATGCAATAATAGTTCCCAATGGAAGGGAAATAGTAGGGCAGGAGATGCAGAGAAGGATACACAAGAGAAAAGGAAAGAAGTCAAACACGGAGTGCCAGCACCGTGCGGTACAGTCCCAACAATACACAGGAGTAGCCAATGTTGACAAGTCTGGCGGTTTCGAGTATGCTGTTTAAGGTCATCCGATCAACTCCATACCTAGGTATACAGATGATCAACTCGATTTTCGGAAGTTTGGCACCATGATCGGCCTTCAAACCAGACTCGACCGTGATTTTCAGTATCGGCACTGCTTACCTACCCCGGGCTCGCAATGTTTACGATGGTTTCTTTGGTCTTCATCTTCCCAACTTGTGTCCCGACCCGGTGGCCTGTCTCGATTTTTGAGGGCTAGTGCCGTTTAAGGCTCCGCATGAGTAGGCCAGAGCTGAGAAAAGTGCCGCATAATAGCAAAGTTTATGGAAGGCTTCACATAAGTTTCCATGTGAGAATCCATATACAAATGTACATACGAGTTTAACAACAAACTCCAATGTGAAAGGAACATTTACTTAATGGTGACATTTCATTCCAGACCTCGGGACCTAGTTAGACGAACAGTTCCCAGGGCCCCGTCAGGGGCTATTCATCTAAGGTTTCCTATCTCTCATCGATCACATTGTCAGTACAGAGTACGTGATCCCAGCATATAACTTCCCAATGAATGACAGCTGAAAATTGTGCAAGTATTGCGAGGTGGGCAAGCTCATGACCGGACTATATATACTATTAAGTTACTGCGGCTATAAATGGCTCATTAAGTTTAACTATATGAACGCCTTCTCAGCTCATTTTCCAGTGTATTTTTTATTCTATGCAGATTATTCAGTAGCTGGCCGTTGAGCAAAGGCAGACACCAGAGGAAATGCACTGTCTTGTTTCATTACGGATTCTTCCTCGGCTTTCTCAGGCAATTTAGCTAGGGACTCTGAAAGTGGCGAAGGAATTTCAGGCTTCGCTACTACGTTTAAAACAAAATTAGCAGCCGGTAACATGAAGATGCCTCAGAGGACTTGAAAATTTTCGAGCATTGCCTACACCTCCTGTGAAGGCTAGTAAGACGTTGGCGCCGACGTCGAGGTCGTTTCGCTCATATTGGACGGTTTCGAAGTCCTCTTCCCGAAACCAGCCGTCCGGGGCATATTCTTACCATAAATCTACTCGGTACCGGCGCCGGCGGTGGCTCACGCATAGCAGGATCGCGCACAGTTCCAGTCACGTCCATCTCGAGGAGCTGGATCCAGCCGCCGGGTTGGCAACAGGTTATGCACGATCTGCTGCGGCGTCACCATCACACAGTGGTCAACGATCAAGGCTGACGTGTCTTTTTCTTTCTTCCTTTTTTGGAAAAGAAGAATACGCACACAATGCTGATACGAGTGTAAGAAGACTGGGCATGTGGCCGCAGCCTCTTGCCGCTCAGACAAGGCTACATATGTAAGTTCCTAGGTCCTAAGTAGGTGGGAGGCATCACATGTATGCAGAAAGGAGAAAATTTGCTGTCTATACTACCAAATCGTATAATCAAAACAAGTAATGAGTAGATTAGCTGCAGCCACAATTACTTCAAGTTCTTGGAAGAACGGGCAAAAAGACAAAACATACAGCACCGGGTATTCGCTGGTCGTCACCGACCCAACTACTAATCCAGCGATTACAGACTTGACTAAGGGAGAGCAGACGGGATCCCGTATTTTCCTGTATCTATGGCCGTATGTGGTGGAGTGTCTGGCGTGAAGCCTCATATCCGGAGGTTTCAGTCTCATCACACGTCTACAAACGATTCGGGCTTTTGAGGGTTTCACAGATCCGAGGATAGACCGGAACGTAATTAATGTAACGGACTTCAGGAACACATGTTGTTTGCCCATATACCCTACGTAGGCTGATTGTAAATCACAAACCATCAATGCAAGGCTGAGGACATAACAGGACTTTGAGGATTGGCTCAACGCAGGATGCATTAACTCCGGCCGGCGCGGGCGGAAACGCGCCCGCAGCCGCCCGCAGCGGCCGCACATGCCACTGTCTGAGAAAAACGAAGTTGCGCCCCCCCCCCCGGCTAAATTACCCCTGTTCAAAAGTTAAACTAATCTCTTAACTCTCTTTTAAGAGTAATTTTCTTTTAATAACTCTTTTAATACTTAATTTAAAAATATATAAAAAATATATTTATAATCCTTATTAAAATTTTTATATAAATATATTTTTAAAATATTTATTATAAGCTTATATTATAAAAGGTATAGAGGCTATTAAGTTAATAAAATAAGAAAGTGCATAGACTTATTAGTTAGTTCTATTAATAATTAACCTCTAACTTTAGTAATATAAAGACTTTAAATAAAAATTATTTTAAAAATTTATATTTATAAAGATATTTATAAGGATTATAAAAGTGTTTTTTATATATTTTTAAGTTAAGTATAAAGAGAGTTATTAAAAGAAGTATATTTTAAAAGGGAGTTAAGAGATTGGTTTAACTTTTTGAACAGGGGTTATTTAACCGGGGGGGGGGCGCAACTTCGTTTTTCTCAGACAGCAAGCCAACCTTATTGCACATGTGAGTTTCACGGATTGGCCGGGTTCGCCGGTGTGCCCGTAAGTCGTCGCACAGCCTGCACAGGTCAGACGACTTAGTTAAAAGTTTGGGCCTGCAAGCCTACCAGATCCATCCTTAAATCCGAACCAAAGCCCGTATGACGTGCAGGACATCACTGGCAAAAAAAATGAAGCTTCCTGTGTCATTCAGGGCTGAGTCTTTGACGGATTGCCTCGCTCTGCCTATAAAGCTTGCAAGCTCCGTGCTAACCCTAGAACTCAAACCTTAGAATAGTCTCAAGCACAACACCTTCAATTCTACAAAATCAATTGCAAGACGAGACAGACAGCTAAGGTTCAGACACAATTCAACCAACATGACGGGCCCACCATTCACTCTCCCGAGCAAGTACGCAGAGGTTCACAAGCGGGAGAATCAGCGCGGCGTAGGCGATGCTCGGCCAACTGGTGTGCAGATCCTCAAAGACGAGAACAGATTCGACGGGTCCCTCGACAAGAAAGTAGCAGTTGTCACGGGCTGCTCCTCAGGCATCGGAGTTCCAACAGTCGAGGCTCTTGCGGCAGCGGGATGCATCGTTTATGGCGGCGTCAGGGGAGCCAGTATTGAACGCGCAAAAGAGGCGTTCTCATCAGTACTAAAGGACCCTCGGACCAAAGATAAGGTTCATCTACTAGATCTGGATTTGACGAGCCTTGCAAGCGTCAAGGGTTTTGCCGATGAAATCAAGAAGAGGGAGTCGCGCGTCAATCTCCTTATCAACAATGCCGGGATCATGGCTGTTCCTACGCGGGTGCTCACCAAAGACGGCTTCGAGTCTCAAATTGGAACCAACCATCTTGCCCACTTCTACCTCTTTCAAAACCTCAAGGACCTCTTGATTGCAGGATCCAAGGCCTCGCCAGACTTTGCATCCCGTGTTGTCTGTGTCAGCAGTTCTGCGCACAAAAACAACCCCGTCATTCTAGACGACATCAACCTCGCCAAGCCCGGGAGCTACGAACAATGGAAAGCATATGGCAATTCCAAGACTGCTAACATCTGGATGGCAAATCACATAGAGCGCCTCTATTCGTCTCAGGGAATCCACGCCTACTCACTCATGCCAGGTGGCATCGCGACGCCGCTGCAGAAGCACGTGCCAGAAATGATGGAGTCTGTCAAGGAGCTGGAGACGGTTAAGAACTACATGAAGAACACGGAGCAGGGGTGCGCGACGACCATCTGGGCGGCCACGGCACGCGATCTTGAGGGCAGAGGAGGAGTGTTTTGTGAGGATTGTTGTGTCATCGGAAAAATGGACACCGTGGGCAACAATGGAATTGACAACCTTGCTCCTGGGTACGCTGAATGGGCCTATGATCCTGAAGGGGAGGAGAAGCTGTGGAAGGTGAGCAACGAGTTGGTTGGACTCGAGGCCAATGCTTAGGGGTCCTACTCAGACATCTGCTTTTTTGATGGGCTAGGAAAAAATACACGATGCGTTCTTTCGAAATGGACCAGCGTAAATAGATCTGACAATGATATTGCAAGATTGATTGGAGTCTCAGACAAAAGATCTTCACGTCCATGCTTCGTCCGTCGTCGATGCTTACGCGCTTAACTGGCATTAACTTTTCAATAACTACGATGTCCCGCTACGAGTCTTGCAAAAAGGGCTGGCCAAGAAATTGATGGCGTGATTTGCCGGCAATGCTAATGCCAATGCTTATCGTAGAGAAGCGGCATCTAGTAGGACCGACATGTCCCAAAGTTCTGGGGTGATTTACGAGTTTCCTACGGTCGTTCTGGGGCAGGGTGACCGATGCCGGAGTGGGCTGTTCCAAGGTTGCCATGTGGGAGCATTTTCTCGAACAATGACCTGTTCGAACCGCATATGCATGCATACTGGCTTGCGGAGAGCTGGGGAACGCGGGATGGGGGAGACCTCGGACAAAGGGACAAAATGTGGGAGGAGAGAAAGTCTGGGACACATCTGGAGATACGGAGTACAGTGGGTGGCATTAGGAAGGCGTGTAAACACGGTCAAAACGGCGAGGCGGTTGAAGTTAGGGGCTCATTACGGTGGTCGAGGACAAGGAGCGCTCGGCCTTGCGACAAAAGCGCGAGCAATACAGCATCCTGGGCACAAACATTTCTCATTGGGTGTATGCAACGCCTCCGTTTCCAGCTGAAAATATCTCAATTTCCATGGCTCCTTCAGGCCAGGCACGGATCTATCGACCTTTCGCGACCACTCGCTAAGGCCTGCTTGCGGAGCGGCTGAACGCCAATCGTTCGACCATGTAGGTACTTCCTTGTAGTTGTGCAAAGCATGCACTGGTGCGTACGTGGAGTTCTAGATTGCCTTGCGGCTCTTCTCGACTACTACTTCGGTAAGGCGCATCTGACTTGCCAAGAGATACTCAGATCCGGGTGCTCCGTGCCCGGGCTTTTCCCTATTCCCGGCTCGTCGAAACGCGACGAATTATACCACCCAAAGCCGCGTCCTGTAGGAGTTGATTAGGCAGGTTCGACAGTCGTAAAACTCGTTTTCTTCGATGATTTTTCGCAAGTGACGTCGTCCTCTCAGAGGGAAACGTGGGTGGACCCCGAACACCACCGAGTAATTCAGCGGCTCAACGTCACGTCAAAACTATGCGGTGGATTCGGTGGAATGCCGAGCAGCCCGCCACGGGCCGTGGGCCGGACTCCTTTGCGGGACCCACACCAGAGCCGCATTTCTCACGACCGTAATTCTGATATTCCAAGGAAATCTCATCATTTTTGGGCTTTCTGGGATGTTTTCGCGCTCGGCCTGCCTCACCGTTTCATGCATGCTTATCTCGGATCGACGCAGTTGACCAAGCAGCCAAGTAGCTGTGAGGTACCTCGCTGCCGAGGGTGATTACGAGAAACTGAAAGCCACCAAGCCAGACCTACCGTTTACGAGTATGCCAACACGTTTTACGATAATACTAACAACTGTGTTAGAGCAGACGGTTGCTTGTTCTTCTTTTGTTACCAAGAACACGTGGTTGGTCAGCGGTTTATGACGGTGGCGTTCAGATTTTGAAGCAGAGAACAAGTCGCAGCACTGAACTGACTCAAACAGCTCCGGTATATTGTGGCAAGCCGACTGCACCATGGACAGTCAAGTCCGCCCTCCCTGGAACATGACGTTGACTGCAGAGATCGTGCTATCCTCTTCTGATGCCAACCAGGAACGTGGGGGGCCACCTCGCGGTCCTGAGGTGGGCCACCAACACAGTGAGGCTACTGGAGGCCACGATCCCACATCATCCCATAGCGGCGGATCCAGACCAGGTCTCTCGACCCGGAAGCTCCTTGCGTGCCAGTCCATGTTAACTGGGGCTTCACGTAATCTGGAGAATTCCTGGAGTCAATAAAGATGGTTGTTTTCCCCAGCTCATAGCCACTTCTCCAGTAACCTCTCCGCAACTTACCCCTTCTCTTGCAACGTTGGAATTTCGACCGCGTTGGAACTCAAATCCTCAACATGTCTGGCTATATGCCCTCTTTCTCTCAACCGCCTTCAAGGCCGGGATCTCTGGCTGCATCCAGGGCAAACTCCTATGCCGGATCGAGGTTTGGCCAGTCTCGTCCTGGATCTCCATCACCCGGAAGCCCGTACGCGTCGCACCCCGGATCACCAGGCCCTGGTAGTCCTCTTCCATCAAGACCTGGCACTTCCAAAGGTCCTTCGCGGGCAGCAACTCTCAATGGGAAATCTAGGCCCAGCAGTCCTCCCCCCGAGGTGGAGACTGAACAAACCACTCCCGATGTTTTGTCAGTGTTGGAACACGCGAACGAGATGATTCGAGATGAAAAGGGAAATCCCAAGGTCGGACGTATCGTGGGAGGAAAATATGTCGATCCGTCGAACGAGCAGATCGATCCTGAGTGCGGGGCGATAAAGACTGTCGATATTGATATGCCGCTCACGTTGACCGAGCTCGTCAACCACAACGACAAAGAGTATATCGTCCTCGAATATGCTACCGGCGACAATCAGAATCCTTACAACTGGAAGCCAGCTTACAAGAGCTTTATCACAACCATGCTTTGTCTCATGACTCTTTTCATCGGTCTTGCTACAACTGCATACAGCTCTGGTATCGGAAGCATGGTCAAGGACCTGAACGCATCGCAGGAGGTTGGCCAGCTTGGTCTGTTCACTTTCAACTTCGCTTGTGCTCTCGCTCCCATGGTGCTCGCGCCATTCTGTGAGCTTGTCGGCCGGAAAATCGTCTACGCTGGCGCATTCCTCTGTTTCACCCTCCTCTTCATCGGTCTGGCTCTCGCCAAGGATATCGGTACTATCATCGGGCTCCGACTCCTGCTCGGTCTCTTCGGCTGTGTTGGAACCATTCTCGTCGGTGGTACATTCGATGACATGTACCTCCCTCACGAGCGTTCCCGACCCATGGCACTATTCTCATGGATTGCCATCTTCGGTACCGTTGCTGCACCAATCTACGCTGGCTTCATCGACCAGGCCATCGGTTGGCGCTGGATTGAGGGTATCCAGGGCCTGGCCAACGTGCCTCTCCTGATCTGCATCTTCATCTTCTTCCCCGAGACCCGAGGCGGCGTCGAGCTGCACAAGCGAGCCGTCGCCCTGCGCAAGGCGACTGGGGACGAGCGTTACGTGGCTGAGGGCGACATCTACACGCCCGATATCAAGTCCATGCTGAAGGCCTCGTCCGTCAAGGCCATCCACATGCTTGTCACCGAGCCCGTGGTGTTCTCCTTCGGCCTCTGGATCGCCTTTTGCTGGGGCGTGACCTTCATGTTCCTGTCCGTCATCCCCATCACATTCACTGAGAAGCGTGGCTGGTCCGAGGGTGTCAGCGGTCTGCCATACATTAGTCTCTGCATTGGCACCACCCTGGCTTGGGGTGCCCACCACTTTCAGATGCGCAAGTATGACAAACTCAGCGCCGACCCCAAGGTCACGGTCACCCCCGAGGCCCGTCTCTACGGCGCAATGTATGGCGCCATCTGGCTGCCAATCGGTCTGTTCATCTACAGTTTCACCCAATATGCCTCCCTCTCGTGGGTAGGCCCGGCCATCGGCCTGGCACCCATCGCCTTCGGTATTTACTTCGTCTTCGAGTCGACGTATAGTTACACTGCCGACTGCTACGGACCAAGTGCCTCCTCGGCTATCGCTGGGCAAGGTCTGATGCGCAACACTCTTGGCGCCGTCACCCCGCTGTTCTCGACGCAGTTCTTCCACAACGTCGGATCACAGTATGCTGGCCTGATTCTGGCTCTGATCTCAACTGGACTGAGTCTCATCCCCTTCGTCATGTTCAAGTTCGGTCCCAAGCTCAGGGCCAGGAGTAAGCTTGCTCTTGTCTAATATACATATGACAAGTGGATGAAGCGTGGTGAAATAAAATCACTGCAATAGGGCAGACAGCCTTGTAAAAGTTCATTTTAGAAGTATTGTGGTTCAGAAATAGCATCATAGCGATTGCATAATAGTTGAGAGTATTCGAGCCAGACACTGTCCTGTATATTCCGCATATCACACGCATCGATTGTTTGTGCCAGAATGGGTTTAGTGATCTAGTGAAAGCGGACAGCACGCTATATTTTCGAAGTTGCTTTGCGACATAGTTGCCACGTAAGGATCGCAAGAAGTTGCATGACTTGCTTCCTTCCAGGTTGAAATGGAGATTTGCCACCTGAGACACTCGGCCCTGAGCCTGGAAGTGGGACAGTGTGTGAGAATAAGAGACGCCGGAACGTCCGGATCCAGTAATTCTCCCTTGCATAGACCCGGTATTTTGAGCCCCTCTACCAGACCCCTTTTCCAGGTACAAGAGAAAGGGCCAAGGGCTTTCTCGGGGATGCTCCGTCCAGAAATGCCCCTATAACCAATCCCGGGAATTCTGGGTACAGTGAGGTCTTTGCACGCTACTAGTAGAAAGCAGTTCGAATTCTGGACCGGAATTTTCTCAAGTGCTGCATTTTAATACCTTCCGAGCTTTTAGTACTTGATATTCGAGTCGTCACCGGAACACCGGGTGAATCTTTCCACTTTGCCGATCCCTTAGTCTCTCTGGAAGCTTCACGTTGTACCTGAAGTATTGTCAGCTCATGAACTACTATGACTTGTGACAGATTTAAGCAACTTACATATGAGTTGTCCACACGCAGAGCAGGCGTCTTGTCTCTGCCGGGTCTATGATCTCCGGGACATTAAATGCGGCAGCAGTGCGCACAGGGTTCTGCAATCTGGTATACTCATCCATCAAATCATCGTAAACCTCAGCTCTTTTGTCTCCTGCCTCTTTCAGCTCTCTTGAATGGCTGGCCTCAATGCCTCCTTCCAGCGGCAGGCTTCCCGACTCCAGACTCGGCCAGGCGACGCGGTTGTGAGGGTCCCGACAGTCGGCCATGAGTCCCCCGGCAACTCCATAGCATTTTCTGACAAGGACATTGAATATTGGCATGGTGGTTGAATAGTATGCCTTGCCAAGTTCGACTCCGTATTTCATTGTTGCCTGGCGTTCTGCAGCAGTGCCGACAGCGTATCCAGGGCAGTCGACGAACTGGATCAGGGGAAGGTTGAAGACGTCGCACAGGTTCAAATGTCTCGTCATCTTCTGTGCGCCTGACGCATCCGTGGCACCGCTGAGCACTTCGGGGTTGTTCGCGATGACGCCGACTGGCCGGCCACTCAGGCGACCGAGTCCCACAAATGCTGTGTTCCCCCAGCCAGCGCCTATTTCGAACCATGAGTCTTGGTCCAACGTGGTTTGTATCAGCCGTCGCATCGCATAAGCCCGTTGTCGGCGCCGAGGTATGATTGTACGTAGCGAGTTCACGTCTCTGTCCGAAGGATCTGTGGCCTCTGCGATCGGTGGCAGAGAGTTAGCCGCACAGTCAGGGACGTACGAGATGAACTTTCTGATTTGTTCGAAACAAGAAGCCTCGTCAGGGGCGGCGTTGTCAATTGTGCCATTTTCACAATGCACTTCTGGCCCGCCCAGCTCACCCGCAGTCAGTCCCTCCTCAAAAGTTGCCTTCGCAACCACATGAGGTCCGGCGTTGAACAAGGAGCCGACATCACTCGCCATGACGGAAAAATGGCACGCAGTCACCCGCATCGCACCGAGGCCAATTGCCGGGCCCAACACAGCACCGACATTGGGGATCCCAAGGCTGAGCTGCTCTGCCACCTCCCTGAAGCCGGGCGTCGGCGGCACGTAGCTAAACCCGTCCTTTTTGATTGTCGTGACCGAGCCCCCTCCAGAGCTGCCGTCGACGAGTTTGACGATAGGCAACCGCAGATCCAGGCATAGTCTCTCCATGTAAACCGTCTTGGCCCATATAGCCCCGTCAGCGTGGCCTGCTCGCAGCGAGAAGTCGTCCGCCGTGAACAGGATACGGCGCCCGCCCACAGTACCGAAACCTTGGACATTGTTACTCGGCGTGAAACCTTGGACCTCGTCTTTGGTCTTGCCGTCCTTGCCGGCAGTCGTTGTCCTCCAGTCGATGGTCCCTGCTACGGACCCGACCTCATAGAAGCTCCCTGGATCGAGGAAGGCCTCGATACGCTCACGCACCCATAGCTTGCCTGCTTGCTTCTGGCGCACGTAGCCCCGGCGACTTGTGGGTGGTGTTTCTGCAATTTTCTTCACGTCTGCAACCTGCCCCAGTATGTCGGACCAGTCGGCAGGTGAAGCATTTTTGTCCTTCCTTTTGGCCCGCTTCGGCGCCTTTTCCTCTGGCGAAGCTGTTCGTGTGCTGCTGTCGTTGGTGTGGGCGGGACTCTGTATTTGACCTTCGATCTGCTTCAGGCGCAGCTTCGCCTTGGAGCCATCATCGTCCCCAGCCATTGAGATGCAGTACTGATTCGAACTGTGTGCCTTGTAATGATTGATCCGGGTGAAACCAAGGTGCCGAGGGCCACAACGAGACGGCGCCGTTTCGATGCCTCCAAACCGGACACCCCAGCAGCAGCCGAGGTCCACGGATTCGCTGGAGGCGGGGGTTGGAGACGGCATCGAGTCTCCACCAAAACCTAGAACACTCCCCATCAAGTGAATCCCTACAAATCAATGACTTCCATGATTATCATTGTTGTGAATGTTCTCTTTGTAACGCTCTTGCCAGACTCTCGGAACTGCAGGGTGGCATTCTGATCATGGCTCCTACACGTATTCTCGTGGCCAACAGGTGAGTATGCAAGCTGGAATGAACACCAGGAACTACCCGCCGAGCTCATGGTGACTGACCACGAATCCGAAGAGGTGAAATCGCGGTTAGAATTCTCTCATCGGCCCGCGAACTTGGCCTCCACACCATTGCCGTCTGGACAGAGGGCGATGACGCGCACATCGCACACGCCCATGAGGCAGTGCAGCTTCCCTCTGTGTCCTCATACACGGAGACGTCGTACCTGGTATCCTTGTGTTTAGAGCACCGCGTGGACTTTGTGCACCCCGGGTACGGGTTCTTGTCCGAATCGCCTGATTTTTGTCAGCAGCTCAAGGCGGCTGGCATCGCCTTCGTGGGCCCCGGTGCCGACCTCCTCACCAGGACGGGTGACAAGCTGAGTGCGAGAAGATTGGCCGAGGAGTGTGGTGTACCAGTACTTCCGGCCTTGACCGAGGCGGTTGGTGATTCTGAGACGCTGCGGATATTCGCAAAAGATGTCGACTTCCCAATTATGATAAAGGCAGTCGATGGTGGTGGAGGGAGAGGCATCCGCCTTGTTCGCCGGGAGGGGGATCTTGAATCAAGCTTCCGAAGAGCCGTGAACGAGAGCCCTAGCAACCAAGTATTTGCCGAGAAAGCTGCACTCGACGACTTTCGTCACATAGAAGTCCAGATCGTTGGCGACACGAATGGAAATGTTCTTCACTTTTGGGAGCGCGAGTGCTCAATACAGCGCCGGTTCCAGAAAGTAGTTGAGATCGCTCCTTCAACTGTCTCGAATCGTACGCTGATTGCATCCGTCATCGACTCTGCTGTGCGGATGGCAAAAGCCATCAAGTATCAGTCACTCGGTACTTGGGAATTTCTCGTTTCCCCAAAGAGCTCAGAATTCTATTTCATGGAGATCAACCCTCGAATTCAAGTAGAGCACACCATTACGGAAGCCATATGTGGCGTTGATCTCGTTCGAATTCAGCTCCTCATTGCCCTTGGTAGGAACTTACCGGATATCGGCGTCGAGATACCACTGGAGCAAAACGACACTATGGCCCCGCCCAAGTTAAGGTCCATACAACTCAGGATTACGGCAGAGGACGCCAAACAGGATTTCTCACTTTCAATCGGCAGGATTCGCAGCGTTCTCTTCCCATATGGCAATGGGGTCAGACTAGATACTCACCTCCGCACCGGCGTGACTGTCTCGGCGGCTTTTGACCCCCTCCTGGCCAAACTTATCGTCACAAGTCCCAACTGGGATGCCACAGTCGCCAAAGCCGAGAGAGCGTTGCAGGATGTCTTGATCGACGGTGTGACGACGAGCGTTAGCCTGCTGCTGGGTATTGTGCGATCTACAGACTTCCGGAGAGCTCAATTCGATACGCAATGGTTAGAAAAGAACCTTAAGGTGCTCAACACATCGAAACGAGGGCTCGTAAAGCCATTTGGTGAAAGCCTGTCCGACATTGATCGTACTGGAAATTCTGCCAAATCTTCGAAATCGTCAAGCCAGCTCATCAGGAAGGGAGAACAATTTCAGATTCAGATCGAAGGCAGCAACGATATGAAGATCTTCGAAAACCTTGTCTCAGTTACAAGTGTGATCCGAAATGACTTTCCCGAATCACTGGCTGTCAAGTTGTCTACCATGGGTGATCTAGACGCTTCCTTGGACAAGAATATACAGAAGAGCTACACTATCCGGCTTCTGAAGCAATCAGAAACACAACTCAATCTCAAGGGCTCGCTCGGTCACTCTCAATCTACACGCGAAGATCTCACACAGCTTATCTGCCCTATAGCAGGCCAAATCGTCGAGTTCTTGAAAGATGATGGGGACATGGTTAGAGAAGAGGAGGCGGTTATGATCATAAGACAGGCGAAGATGGAACTGGAAGTCAGATCACATCGATCTGGGACTGTCCGTTCTCTTGTTGATCTCGATGAAGGAGAGAGTATTGCCGCGGGTACTGCTATATGTAGCATTATTCCGGTAGACCGGGAGAAACTATAAGACGAACAAGACGCACTCGGCACGTGTTTGAGTGCATAAGTGCCTTGCGGCCCAAGACACGTACATGAGACTAGGACCAGCAAATGCGGTGTCCCGGACTTGTCGCTTGGGCATGTACTCCAACGATAACTACGAGATATGATCTCAGGGTGTGACAAAGCATGCTCGCAGCATGCATCCAGCAACGCTAGTGTGCCTCCGGAGGCGAGACATCACAGAGCTGCATTTGTGCGGCTCAAAGCAAGCCGGCAATAACTAAGATATTATTATTAGCAATGGGCACTTGCATACCCTGTTCGCACACAGTGAATAATGTGTTTGCAGGGACAACCCGAGGACGAGTGACACGGTTGCGATGGAAGCAGGAATACGTGATGCAATATGGCACGAAATGGCGGCAAGTAGATTCGGCGCCTTGGTAGGCTAGGATAGAAAATAAAAGTTGCAAAACAACCGCCGCAAAGCAAACGTTGCGGTAAATGCACTCGCCAACACCTAGTAGATAGGATTTCTACTTCCACCCGGCCTGAATATTCTGGCACCGTCGCTTGACCTGCGCACTCTCTTCACAATAAGCTTTCCAGTAGTATTTGCCAAGATGGCCAGCAGATTTCTCCCCCGCTGTATCATTGTCGTCTTTATTTTGACTATTCTCGACTACAGCCTCGCGCAACAACTTTCAGGCCCTCGACAGCGCCGTCAGAATGTTGACCCCAACAACAACCCCCTTCCGAGCTACTCGCCCGCCAAGCCTCCTGCTCTGCCTCTAGCAGTGAGAAGTCCCTATCTCAGTGCGTGGTCCAAGACAGCCAGGGGCGCTACATTGAACAGCGCCGATGCCGTCTTCTGGACTGGGGCTCCTATCGGGTGGGAAGGCATAGTCTCAGTGGATGGAATTTCGTACTCATACCTCGGAACTGGATCGGAGTGTCCACCGACTCCAGCCAAACTGCAAGCTGCCAAGCCGAAGATCGTCAGCTACGACTCTCAGTACTCCAACTTTACCTTCCTTGCCGGCCCTGTCACCATCGAGGCCAGCTTCTTCTCCCCAGTCACACCAAACGACATCTGCAGGAGCTCTATCCCGCTCAGTTACCTCACAGTCAGCGTCGAGTCTATAGATTGTGAGGAGCATAGCGTGCAGTTCTACTCCGACATCAACGGCGCATGGATAACACCCAACAGCAATCTACCTATTATCTGGGGTCTCAAGACGGATGGCCAAGATTATGTGCCTCCCTCACCCGGCGTCGCGACCCGGGAGGTGACACACACATCAAGCACTACTAGTCCTGGTTTATTTTCTTGGGTATATCACCTTGAGAAATCCTACACGTTCGGAGAAAACGAGGACTTCCCAACATGGGGCAACGTCACCTATACTACAAGCTCCGAGGGCTCTGGGGCTTTCAGTTTTCAGAGTGGCTTCGCCGCGGAAGTACGTGCCGAGTTCGTCAACCAGCATTCGCTCAGTAACACGATTGATCCCGCCTACCGGGGCTGGGGGCCACTTGAGCCCGTGTTTGCATTTTCCCATGATTTCGGCAATGTCACATCAGCCCATGTGCGGTACACAATCGGCTCGGTCCAGACGCCGGTCGTACGTTACCTTAACCCCGGGGGATCCAGTGCCCTGGTGCCGTGGATGGAGAAGTGCTACGGCGACATGCACTCCATGATTCTGTTTCATTGGAACGATTTCGGCGCCGTGTCTCAGCTGGGCGCCACGTTTGAGGCTCAGTTGAGGGCGGACGTAGGCGCTTACTACACGGACAGCGACAACGCCCTCAGCCACACCAGGACGAATCGAAACTCCACTACGGCGACTATACATCCCAACAACTCTGACGGTTACTCTTACGGCGTAGATCGGTACGGCCAACAGTACAAATTCGATCCAAACAACGCGTACGGATTCTTGGCCACGGACGACTCCAGTGGCATTGCGATCCCAAATATCAACGAGGCAGATGCATATTACTCTATAGTTGCGCTTTCGTCGCGGCAGGTAATGGCCGCATATGTCTACGCCGTCCCACCACCAGGCACAGCGAGCGATGAGGCACCACTCATGTTCCAGAAGGAAATATCTTCCGACGGAAATATAAACACAGTAGACGTCCTGTATCCAGCGACCCCCTTTTTCCTCTGGGCAAACCCCGAAATGCTTAAATACACGCTGGAGCCCATGTACCAGAACACAGAATCCGGCTTCTACCCAGACAGCTACTCAATGCACGACCTCGGTTTCCATTTCCCAAACGCCACAGGCCACACAGACGGCATCGACGAATACATGCCAGTGGAGGAGAGTGGAAACATGCTGCTCATGTCGTATGCCTACTACAAGTTCACGGGCGACGGCGGCTGGCTCAGCGCCCACTACCCAACCATGAAGCAGTGGGCCGAGTTCCTGGCCCGGTTCAGCCTGATACCCGAGTTCCAGCTCAGCACGGACGACTTTGCGGGGCCGAAGGAGAATCAGACAAACCTGGCGCTCAAGGGGATCCTGGGGCTGCGGGCCATGGCGGAGATGGCGCAGGTCGCAGGACACCCCGAGGACGCGGCCAACTTCTCGGCGACGGCGAGCGACTACTACGCGACGTGGGAGGCCCTCGCCATCGACCCGGCCGCGAAGCACACGCTGCTCGCGTACCAATGGCGCTCGAGCTGGGGTCTGCTGTACAACACGTACATGGACCGGCTCCTGGACCTGGAAGTCGTGAGCGACGAGGTCTACGCGATGCAGTCGGACTGGTACGCGCTGCAGAGCCAGGTGTACGGCGTGCCGCTCGACAGCCGCCACACGTACACCAAGAGCGACTGGGAGTTGTGGGCGGCGGCGACGTGCACCCCCGAGACGCGGAGGCTGATCGTGAACGCCGTCGCGTTCTGGATCAACCAGACCTCGACTGATCTGCCCTTCACTGACCTCTACGACACTGTTGGCAGCGGCGGATATCCTAGCTTCGACCTCAGGTTCAGGGCCCGGCCGGTCGTCGGCGGCCACTTCTCGCTGCTGGCGCTGTACCAAGCTGGTCTGCTGGATGAAGAAGGCAAGTCCAGCGGCTAAGCATTTAGCTTCGAATAGTATGGAAAAGGCGGGTCAACGAGGATCGAGCGTTGCACTTTGCATTCGGGCCATCATTGTTATCAGGAGCCCTCTCTGCAGTTGATGCATGTGAGGAGTGCTCATAGGGTAATGTGTCTGGGAATGGCTTGGTGATATAGGCTCAGCAAGAGGTGTTTCATAGCGCAATCGTTCGGGATATACATTCGTCAGACCGAGTGATGTCACATGCGTTCCGAATGTTGTTGGTGAACCGGTAAGGAGGCAAGGGGGCAGTGAGCCAGGCCAGCCAGGGAAGAAGAAGGAAGACGCGTGTTGCACGTTTGAAGCTGAACCCAGCTGATTGGCCCTGTCTTGCTGTACATGCGTCCCTGGAAATCTACCATAGGGTAGAGGAAAAAGCACCGACTCCCGGCCCCGAGCCAACTAGAACGATTACAACCCCAGCCAACAGGGGTGCATCTGTCATGGTGGGTGGGTGCCTACGGGGTGCCAGTGGCAGGGCGAGAGGCCTGATTCGAAGACAGCCGTAATGAGCCCCAGCGGGAAGTGGGCTGCCAGGCTGCTTGGCCGGTGCCGCTGTCCTGCGGCCAGAGTGACCAGCGAATAATGGGCCCCCCTTCGGCCGTGAGCAACCTGATGCGGAAGGTCACAGCTGATCGGCCCCAGTCATGATCGTGGGAACGACCCGAGCCAGAATGCTTGATTGCACGACAGCTGTGGACGAACCTTATTGACCTTCTCCTTCTCAATAAGTACAAGTGAGTGCCTTCTAGCTCAGATAGCTTCAAGGTGCCTTATCCACCTTCTAAGTCCTGTGTCCACATCGTCCGTCCGTCTCACACTCGCCAAGTACCTCCAGGGCTACTTAACACACGACACGACGCCTTCGTGACAACTGTGGTCGTCTCTGACTATAGCCGGCCGACGAAATGGCCATCTTCGCCCTCGCTGTTTTGGCGTCTCTCGCTGCCTCGCCTCTCGTCACCGCAAATACTGGTGCCTCCATCTTCAACACGAGGGCAACATGCTCGGGATCAGTCAAGAGCTGCTCAACGGCAGCTAGCTCGGCGGACGCTTGCTGCGTGAACAAGCCAGGCGGCCAGTTCCTGCAGACCCAGTTCTGGGACACCGATCCAGGTGAGTGCTCCAGAGCTGCTGGGCTGTCCACCGGCTTCTGCTCACATTGCTGACCGATTTTGGGCTGTAGTCACTGGTCCATCCAATTCATGGACCATTCACGGTCTGTGGCCAGACAATTGCGATGGCACATTTGACTCGAGCTGTGATTCTAGCCGAGCATACACAAACCTGACGGCGCTCATCAAGACCTACGGCAGCCAATCGCTCTTAGATTACATGAACCAATACTGGCTCAGTGATTCAGAGAGCCCGGAGGCATTCTGGGAGCACGAGTGGTCCAAGCACGGCACTTGTATCTCAACCATCGAGCCTAGCTGCTACTCGGGCTACCAGACCGGAGAGGAAGCCGTTGACTTCTTCAAGATCGTCGTCAACCTATTCAAGTCACTGGACACTTATACTGTGCGTATTGTTCAATGTCATATACGACGGGGACTCAAGACAAGCGTCGCTCCTCACAGACCCGTCATGCTGACATTGACGTCCAGGTCCTGTCAAAAGCCGGCATCGTTCCGTCCAACACGGCGACCTACACCTCCAGCCAGATCATCAAGGCAATCTCCGCATCCTTTGGTCAGGACCCCGTGATCCTCTGCAACAGCAACACCCTCTACCAGATCTATTACGGTTTCTTCACCAACGGACCCTTGGCTGACAACGCCTTTGTCCCTGCCGCTGTCACCGGCCAGTCCTCAAGCTGTCCCAGCACCGGCATCAAGTACCCGCTCAAATCTGGCGCCTCGCCGACCTCCTCGACCAAGACCAGCACCGCGACCGCCACGACTGCTGCTCCGACTGCCACCGGGACCTCCGTGACTGGGTCCGGCTACTGGAATGCCCAGTACAACGGCAACGCGGACGGGTGCTTGATCAGCTCGGGCACCTGGTATGTCGGCGGAACGTGCGCCACGTACAAGACCACCGCAACCAGTAAGTCAAATATCTTACTCGCAGTTACATGGTGCGTATTAATGCGGACCGCTAACACATTGCACCCAGGCGGCGGCTTTACTATGACCTCGTCCAAGGGCAACTGCGGCGTCGTCAGCGGGGCCATCAGCTGTGGGAGCGGCGTCGCCTTGAGCACCTTCTCTGTGGCCGGCGGCTTGCTGGCATATAACGGGCAGACAAAGTTCTACGCCAGCGCCGTTCCCTCAGGTTCCACGCAAGCCAGCGTCTATACCGCATCGAACACGTATTCGGTCACATTTCAGTGGCAGTCTGTATGAGAGTTGATCTAAGAGTGATACCTCGAGGCTCATGACTGGACGGGGCTCAGGGTTGCCATTGGCTTGCAAGGTTCAGCTAGACATGTAGCCAGCTCACCTTGCATGTACCCAATAGGCAATTATGTACCGAGCGTCGATGTGCTAGAGTGATAATGGACAATAAAGTGAATCGCATGCGTTCTGAATTGCCTGGCCAACAGCAGCGTAGACTCTTCCAATACTAGCGACTTGTATCCAGTTTCCTGTCACGGCCAGTCGGAGTCAGAGACCGGGATATAACGTCACGTATGCTGCGAATTTCATAAGAGCAATGTTATATATTGAAAAGTGGTATCACATAATTGCACCGCCGAGTGGCGGTTAAGTACTATCTAGTCTACACATTCGTAAGCTAGTGCCCACATGTCCCTTGCAAGGTTAACCAACAATTATTTAAAAGGAAGCCTTAGGCTCTGAATTTGGAGATTTGTGTTGCAATGCTGAGTACTGCCCTGACTTTTCACAACGGATTATATGGCCTAGACAAATTAAGAGCGAATGACATCCATTGTCTCAATTTGTCCTAAACAAAACGTTAAATTTAAATTTTTCAACAGCATTGCCGACGGGCTGGCCCCTGGAAAACTCTCAGTTTACTAGCACGCCGGGGATGAAGTGACAGGGTATCCCGTTGTCTGATGTGGGTGGATTCCACCAGACCATATGAAACGTTGAGGTCAACGTTGCTTCAAAGGCCGTTTGAGCCGCCAGTGGTGTCCGAATTGAGATAGCATGACGCAAAATTCCCCGATCTCATGTGAAATCGGATGTCTGGCGGCGAAGTAAAAACACGGCGATGGCCATCTCCTAGGATTCAACCTGTGCCCAGGTGTTTCCTCCCTCATTCACTTCCAAACTAGCAATTCCATGAATCTGTTCGAGACCTCACATTTAATACAACTCAATTTATGGACAATCAAGAACTGCAATAAAGTCATCCAGAGAATTCGATTTGACCAAAATTTACAAAACTTATCAAAGTGCAACTAACGATACAATGGAAGGTAAGACATATAAAGCCAGCAACGCCATTCACAAGATAACCCTCGCATTCACCCAGGCCAGATCCGGCAGTGATGCATATTTATGTATGGTGTCTTGAGTCTCGCATCAGATATTAACCTCCAACATGAAGAACCAATCCACTTCGAGGCCATGGCCGTACAACCACAACTATCCGAGATTGCTGAAAGGGCTTCGGCGACCGACCGCATACCGCGTACACATACGAATATGCAGTACGAGAGTGAATCATTGCCAGCGAGGCCCCCGCCAGTCCACGAGACATCATCGGACGCAAGGTCGTGGTCACGGCAGACGGAGGATGCCCTAGACGTATACAAGCGGAGGGCCGACAAGCACAAGACAAGCATCGATCAATTCATCCGCCTCGATGTGGCCGAATACCGCCTAGACTCTGGGAACAATGGCGTCCTGGTCGAATCCTTCCCCATCCAACCAAACCAGATGTCAGAGAATCCGGCGTCTAACAAATATCATGCAACCTCGGTCGAAGTAGCCCAGGTGGAGCCGGAGGCTGGGCGTGAAACCGGAAACCAAAACAGCCAACCTAAAAACCACAGGATGACCAAGATGATTGCCAAGGAGGACATCGACTTTTTCACGGCTCTTTTGGAGGGGCACGACCCGCCAACAATGACGTCGGAGACGGAGACCTTCGTGCACGAAGAGACTGAGACACGGAGAAAGGGCCAGGAGACGAGTGAACGCGACGCAAACTTGAGAAGACTGGAAGAGGCACAGGCGGCGAAAGAAGACTCTGACTTTTTCATGATGTTGATGCAAAAGGACTGAGGATTTATGATGATGGCAAATCTCTGTGGATTATGGGTTTCAAGCCTTCAAGCCTGTCACTTTTGGAGTCGACATTGACTGATAAATGCGACATAAGGTGGCGGATGTGATATCAAGTGATTTCCCGATGAATTATTCGAACCACTCAAACTATTCTACAAACTTTTGTTGACCCCACCTCAACAGAGGTACTCTCGTTCTTGGATACTTCGGTACCTCCTCCCATCGGCACACATTCCTTACGACAGCTTTCCAGCCTTCTGCGCCGTCCACGTGGCGATAGCATCCATGAGCGGCGGCGAGAGGGCATCGTAGGTCTGAAGGCCCTTGGCCGCAAACGCACCGCGGACGTCGTCCATCTTGTTGGGGTCGAAGCCCTGCTCGATGATGGAGCTGACAAAGGCGGCGAACTGGGGCTCCTGCCAGCCCTTCTCCTGGGACAGCTCGACGTGGACGAAGTCGAGCCCCTTGAAGGGGTGGTCCTTCTCGATGCGGCCGAACAGGTGCACGCCGCAGTCCTTGCACGCGTTGCGCTGAATGACGGCCTCCGAGTCGACGACCTTGAGCTTGTTGGCGTTGGCGGTCACGCTCAGCTTGTCGCGCGGCACCACGGCGACCACGCTGAACAGCGCCCCCTTGGGCTTCCAGCACTTGGAGCAGCCGCAGGCGTGGTTGTGCGCCACCTGGCTGCCGAGAGTCACCTCGACTGGGTTGCTTGAGCAGTGGCACTTGAGCTTGCCGCCTTGGAAGTTCGGGTCGCCCTTGGTGAAGCCGTTGTCGATGGAGGGGTGGAGTGATGGGGCCATTGTGAGGGTTTTGAGATGCTTGGGCGTCCGAGTTGGATGTTTTTCAATATCGTGTACTTCTCGAGAACGGTATCTATCTGTGGCGATTTAGACGGGGGGAATAATGAGCTTGGTAATGACGCTCATATAAACCCCTCTCAAGCTGGGTATGACGGCGCTTTAATAGGATCCGAACCTTCACGTACCCCTCAGATGAGGACTCGCACCGCAGGCCCGGGGGCCTCGCTTCGCCTCGCGGACTGGCGAATAACGACTCGGGATTGTGTCATCCTCAAACGTCCCCAGCGCCTTGACTTTCGCCCGGTGCAGGGAGCTCTCAGCGTTGGTGAGGAGCAGGCCCAGCAGACAGCTTCCCGAATGCCGAAACAACGCCCCCTTGGCAAGTGGGCATCATCAGCGGTGCAGTGCCAGCTTGCGCCGCCATGGATTGGCATTGATGATCAGGTTAAGTCCGGTACGGAGAGTACGGTAGGCGGTACGTTCGCCGGTAACGGTACCTAGGTAATCTCGGGTGGAGGTGGGGGAAAACAAACGCCCAGGTCGTGCGCCATGTTATCAGTCTATACGTAGTACAGTTGCTCACTGGCTCTGTGGGGAAGACCGTGACATTAGGTGATTGTGCCAGTGCTGGCTTGCCCAGGGTGGTCACTGATGGCCGGTCTGAAAATTATCAGAAGTCAGTGGGTGCGAGGGCTCCCATATCGGATGTCGTGTCCAAGGACGACCTTCTTATATCAGTAATCCTGAGACTGCGCACCCTGATGTCCAGCCAAAGAAGAAGGGGGAAAACCTCAGAGCGTCTGTACGTCAGCGCCGTGCCACGCCACCGTTAGGCAGTCCGTCTCAGTCTTCATAGAAAGCTACTTCGACCAGAAAGCGTTTGGCGGTCCGTTACTTTACCCCGCAGGCGGTCTCCATCTGTCAATGCCGAACACTGTCCGATAGTTGGAGATAATGTTCCTCCTGCAAAGCTTATCTGACACCTGGGCCGCGGACGGTTCCGTACTACGGAATACAGTGGATACTCGTCGATAATGCTGCCGTGTAAGCTGAGCCCCGCTGTTCCGAGCCCCTCATCGGTGGGGCTTCCGATCCCCACATTTTGCAGCCGTTGCATGTCTTTCCAACGTTGATGATGCTCTGAGTATGGCAGTTGAGTTATACTTTGGCAATCCTGACCCTTCATTGAACAAGATGGCTGGGAAAAGCAAGGAGGTGAATACGCCTGAACTTCAAAGTCCTAGACGCGCCATGGAAACGAGCTCACTTGAATCAAGCCTGATCCCCCGCAACCCGTCGCCGCCGGGTCTGGGACGCCACGGTCCCTGGGAATAAATAGCCGTGCAATCACCCAATGACAGCAGGTCGCAATCTAGTCATCTTGGGGAGATCAGGACATGGACTGTATGTAGTGCATCAGAAGCTGCTAATTAGTGTGGGGTAAAGCACAAATGGGAGGCGACACATTGAGTTGTGCTTACGGGATGCCTCAGTCCTCGATGTCATCGACTTTCAACGAGAACGTCTGCACAATGCAGTAATTTAGTCGGATATTTCAGTCGCAAAGTTTCCTGAAAATATACTCAAATATAAGACTGGCGCCAGACTTCCGTAATGGGCGAAACAAACGGCGACACTAAGCCCTTCCGCATCGCCATCGTAGGCGGCGCCATAGGCGGCCTCACATGCGCGCTCTTTCTAGACCACTTTTGTCGCCAGGTCCCAGCTCAGGAAAGCAAGAAGCTACCACCCATCGCCGTTGATGTCTATGAGCAGGCGAGCCAGTACAAGGAGATCGGGGCGGGCGTCGGTCTGGGCATCAACGCCGCCAAGCTAATGCACCACATCAAAGGCGTTGGCGCCGCCATGAACGACATCCAGGGCCGGATGGACAGCTCGTGGTTTACTTTCTGCCGGTGGGACAACGGAGAGTTCATCACACACATTGATAGTCCCATCAAGGATGAGGACGTGGTGCGGCCGTCGAGCATGGCGCGGAGCGAGTTCCTGGACGTGTTGCTAGGTTTCATTCGTGAGAGGAATGTCGCGACATTGCACACAAACAAAAAGTTCACTTCAGTGAAGGTGAGTGATTTTGAGTAGCGGTTTCCCTTGACAATCGCCCGCTGCCCGCTGCGATCAATGGGGCGCTAATCAAGCCTGCAGGATCTCGGCGAGGGAGGCGTCCAGATCTCCTTCAAGGACGGCACGACGGCTGAGGCAGATCTTCTAATCGGCTCTGACGGCATCCACTCCGAAGTAAGGAAGCAGTTCATCACGGGAAAGGCCCTATACAGCGGCAAGATAGCATACCGAGGCGTCGTGCCCATAGACAAACTGCCCAAGGAAACATGGCCGGGCAAATCGTGGTCGGTGATCTGGATGGCGAGGCATAAACACTTTCTGGTCTTCCCGATCAGCCAGTCGCGCTCCTTAAACATCGTCGCCTTCATTTCCAAGCGCGAGGACGAGATCCCGGACCTGAGGGAGAGCTGGACGAGCACCTGCGATAGGCGCGAGCTCGAGGAGGACTTTGGCGACTGCGAGGAGACGGTCCGGAAGATGATCCAGCTCATGCCCGAGCGCCCGTCCAAGTGGCGCATAAACGACCACGAGCCCGTGCCGCAGTGGGTCTTCCTCGATGGCAAGGTCGCGCTCCTCGGGGATGCGTGCCATGCCACAACGCCGCATCAGGGCGCAGGTGCAGGGCAGGCCGTTGAGGATGGGTATATTCTGTCCAAGGCGCTGGCGGACTGGCTGTCACGGGGGAAGAAGGGCTCGGTCGAGGGTTGGATGGAGCTCTACCAGCGAGTCCGCCTCCCGCGGGCTCAAAAGGTCGTGACCACGAGTCGTGAGGCTGGTGAGTTGTACGAGTTTGAGTCACCGGACTTGATCAGCTTATCGTACGAAGAGGCGGTGCCTATTGTCGCAGAGCGGCTCCAGGAGAGGCTGAAGTGGCTCTGGATGGAGGATCTGGACTCCGTTTACGATAAAGAGAGGGAAGAAGCGGGGCTGTGAGTTATTGTTCGCAGTCTTTCCAAGTAGTAGACTTTTATCATCACATCCGAGTCGTGCTGTGGATGATGACAAGGGGCCAAGAGATATATCACATACACTTACTCGTCCAGTCTGAATATAGGCCGCTCATGGATACCTAGAGAGTTCTCCCACTCTACAACACATATATTGTATGTGTTCAGCCCTATTAAATGGATCTAGTGGGCATCAAATGTAGCAGAGGGGGGCGGGGGGAGTTTGCGCAGAGGCTTTGAACCGTGTTCGCAGAAAGTCCAACGCAGAACCCCTGGCCCTCGGGTGTGAAGGGTGTATGTATCTGCTTCTACCGAGAATTCCAGTCATGTTGCCTGATGAGAGACGAAACAAGTACCCTAGGGTACTCGTCAAAAACCTCTTAAGTTTCCTAGGCTTGGACACAGTAAGCCCTGAAGTCCCTAAGGAACGCACAAACCACATGGATAAGGTTTGTAGTTATGAATTCCTACGGCCCGGCTCACAAAGCTGCAAGACGGAAACATATATCACAGACGCTTGATCGTTTATCAATAGAACTGAGTCTTGAATTTGACGCTCGCTATCCAGCCAGGCTAGATTATTGCTTGAATATCCTGATGCCTGCTCAGGTGAACCACAGCATGTTTCCTGGCAGCAACTGCTCCGAGGCCGAGATCACTATGAGAAGTACACGGTGAAGTGGAACACACCCGCGGCCTGTGCCTCATATCCAAAACCCCCAACAACTTTTCCTTGCATTTCCTGGAACTCTTCAGTCATCTTCTGCGCTCCAGAGCCGAATGGGGTCTCTGTGTGGAGTAGGTCGTACGCCTTCTTCTCATTTTCCGAGATTGTGTCTCGGAAAATCCTGTTGTTGAGTGAGGAGCCATTAGCTAACAATCAATTAGAAACATGGGGAGGGTTTTCATGTGTTCTTATTTAAGGGAGCCGACCTGGGTGTGCACAGGGGCCTGTTTTGGTGTGGAATCTACTTACAACAAGTTTTCTGACTCGAGCTTGCCCATGAGCTCGTACACACGATGCGTGACTTGTTGGAGAGCCTCCTCGTATACGTCCATATACGTTATTGAGTGCAAATCTGAAGAATCACGGCCCACCTTGTGAACCCAAAAGCCAAGCTCGAGGTCACGGAGGGGAAGACGATCGGGACGGTCATCATCGTCAGTCTGCGCGTTGAATACACCCAGGAGACCGGGCCAGTGGTTGTCCTTGTATATGGCTAGGTCCGCGAGGAATGTGGTACCGTACGAGACATCATAACGTAACCACTCGCTCGAGGGAGGGGTTGCGTCGCGTACAGTGTAGCCCAGCGCCTCGAGGTCCGGGATTGTCTTAAAGGTCCAGGCTGCCTGGATGTGAAAAGTGGTGAGGAGTAAGCTCAGGATGGTGATATGCATTTTGGAATTCTTCTCAGAAGATATGATCTTGTCAACCTGTATTCGGATGAGACTGTGATGAACTGGGAAGGCCGCGCGCCAACATCTTGATCAAGTAGTGCACTTTTATATGTTCAACAGTCTTTGAGGTCTGACTGAATCAGTTTATGATGCCTTCTTGTCATTCGATACGACCTATAGGAGCGGCTAGCACATCCGTTTTCTTGATGTGGGTAGCCGTCAAACTAATCGGGGCTTCACTCGATCAAGTGCACGTTAAAGTCAAGCCAGTCAGACCTTCGAAATAGGTGAGGTGACTGGCATGCGTTCTAATTTGAGCCAAACATCATAGATAGTTTGTCACAAATTGCTTTTCCCACGCAGCCACAGCTATATGCTTCCGGCCTATTTCATACAAGTTTATCACTCCTCATCCTTGATCTTCACCTCCTCTTGTTCTTCCTCTTTGACCACCTCCCCAGCCTCGCCAGCAAGCTTCCCCTTTCGGAAAGCCTTCCTCAGTTCACACTTCCCCGTGTTCTTCCCACCAGCCCTGCACTCTTCACACTTCTTCCCATGGGACACGATGAGGATATGCAGCCCATACTTGTCCTCGTCCGGAATCCGAGCATCCAAGTGCTGGTGAGTCTCGTCCCTGCTCGCCCTGGCCGGCCGCCACCCCAGCAGGCCCGTGATGCGGTGCACGTGCGTGTCGACGGCGAAGCTCTCCCGCTGCAGGCAGAACAGCAGCACGCAGCTGGCGGTCTTGGGACCCACGCCGTTGAAGCTCAGCATCTCGGTCATCGCGTCCTCGCTTGACGCGTCGTGCAGGTGGTCCAGGGAGTACTTGCCGTAGCGCTCGTGGACCTGCTCGAGGATGCTGAGGATGACCTTGCTCTTGACGACGCTCAGCCCGCCGCACTTGATGGCCTCCTGCAGCTTCGCCTGGCCCCCCTCCGCGATGGCCTCCCACTTGTCGCTGCTGCCGTACGCCTTGTCCATGCTCTGCTTGGCGCGGGTGCTGTTGGTGTCGGACGTGTTCTGTGACAGGATCGTCCGCACCAGGGCGTCCAGCACCGAGGGTGAGTCGCCGCACCCGGCCCGGGAGCTCGGGGCGACGAGCTTCTCTGGCCTGTTTCGCTCCCCGTGGAGGGACGCTAGTATCCTATGGGCCAGCTTGCATTCCTCTGGTGTTGGGTGGGCAAAGTCCGGGAACGGGGAGCTGTTGGCGTATTGGGAGTAGGCTTTGAGTTTCTTTTCACGCAGGTCTGACGGGTTGCCCTTCTTGCTTGGGCTTGGCTTAGGTGCTGTTTTCTCATCTTCTGTCTTGACCCTCTTCGGAGTCTCACTGGTACCCTCGACTTTTGGTGCTGCTCGCTTCCTCGGGGTGGCTCGGGGCGGTGATTGCGGCTCTGTCTTGACCTGCGATGACTGTGACTGCTCAGATTTTAATCGTGCGGCGCGCCTGGGCAGTTCCCTCCTCGGTGTCATGCTTGCAGCTGCGCGTGTGCCTCGTGCCATGGTCAATCGGAGCATACATGCAGCTTTGCGATCTGTCCCGAGCCCCGTAAGTTGCTGAATTGGGTGGACATGGAGCTGGTCCGGTGGTAACGAATGTCCAATGCGTTTTCGGATCTGCCACGGTCCAGAGTGGTGATGTCACTGGATCTCGGTACTGTGCCTTATTTTCAGGGGCACCAACGTTGCGATTCCAGGAGCCCGGGACGCTAGGACCGCCCTGGACAGGCGCATGTTGAAATCCCCTGGCACGGCCAAGCTAAGTAAGGCGAGAATTGTACCTCACTCTTGCGCGAAGTATAAGTCATATCACATTTTGGGCTTCGTTTGCCAGTCAGGAAAGCTATTTTGGTTCTTAGTAACACTGCAAGCATGCCTTCAGAGTCGTGTGTACTATCTGAGCAGGCATTTGTGGATGTCGGTGGATCTGGACGGCCGCATTGAAGGTCATAGTCGTCACCGCCGTCGAAATCATATGCTTCCCCCGACACGAGTCTTGGACTGCCCTCAGACTCGCTTCCAATTTCTTTGCCTATAGATTTGATAAGAAAGGCGATTTCTCATCTACATTTTGTCGTGTTCGACGCCCCAGGAACCGGGAACCATCTCTGAGATTGTTTGCTTTACGGCCCACTCAGCGAGTTTCATCGATTTCTGATGACAATTGACTCTGCGCTTGTAAGGAACAGTCAAGACTGTCTACCCACACAAATGCCTAGGGATGTCGCTTCGAACTGTTCGGACACCCAATACCACACCTGATACAACCGCTCGGGACGTGACACCCACTGAGTTTCCACACGATGTCAGTCCAACAGCCCCATACCTGCCGCGACTGCCTGCTGGAGGATTCTAGGGACAGTGTGCCTCACGGCCGAGGCGCTCGTGGTACGGACTAAAGCCGGCTGAGATGCCAATGTACGTCAGGATAATACATCCCCGCCCTTTAAGCTGCCAGTATACTCATGACATCGCTTGTGCGATTCCTTCTTCATACGTGATGAATGTCTCTTATTGGGGTTGAATGGGTGGCTCTAATTGGCTGCAGCGACGAAGTAAACAAAGCATCTGTATATTCCCTTCTGGTGGATTCTTGGAAAACATCTTCTGGCTTTGTGATCTTGATCCCGGCCATACACAGGACTTGGTCACTTCCCCTGCGTCGAACGAGTAAATACGTTCTATGTCAAGCTTTCCAAAAGAGTGACATGATTTGGTGTACCGATTCAGCCATTGTGGTATCACGATTGCGACAACTGAGGCGGAGCTGTGTGTGACCTGGTCGTGGGGCCCGCCCCCACCGACCATTTCCCCAGATTCCGCCCACAGCCGGCTCTCACTAGGCAAGCGTCGGCGGCACCAAACTGCCGCTGCTGGAATATTACAAGGCTGCCATACTTCGCTGGAACAGCACGGGCGTGGCCGATCTTTGTGTCGGTACCGGCAACCTGCAGCTGTCGAAACGAGCTTTGTCTTTGGATCATCGTTTGTTGTTATGCAACTATCATGAGCCAAGGAAAAGGTAAAAACAAGCACGAAAATTACATGGATGGTCGGATTTCCGGCACATTTGACTTGAAGGGCTAAGCAGGGCTTGGGCTGGAAAGGTTGCCAAAAATAGGGCATGGGTTGCCACAGCCCCCTTGGAGACATGGCAACGATAGACCATCACCTGTGCGCAGCCACCAGGCCACGCCAGTTTATTACACCTCCACAGGGGTAATAAACGTTGTTTGAGCTTGTATCTTTTGCTATTGGTTGGCTGGACCCACCAGGTCACGCTTCGGCGAACTTTCTAGCAAAAGCGACTTTCGGTGGGGAGGTCACCAAACAACGTTTATTACCCCTGTGGAGGTGTAGTACCGTAGTGAGGGGAAGCGCACGGCACACGGCAGCTACGGCTAGGCAGGACAGAGCAGGAATGGCTGGGCTGGCCGAGCGAGGGTGCCCAGGAAGTCTGACGTTTCAAGTGGATCCAGGAGCCACCGTCCAAGAATGTCTGGGCGGTTACTGGGCCAATTCTCAACGGCGACGTCCAAGTCTTTGAACAACGCGTCAGCTGGCTAAGCAAAACCACCGCTGCTGCCACCGCCACTGCTTATTATCGTGAGTGGTCTCTTGACTTTCTGTACATCTGGTTCGAACTTTCCACGACTCCCGTCTTCCATCCAGTGTTGTTTGCGACATTTCGAACCTTCTTCACTGGCCTGCAGTCTCCACACTCGCTTCCAACCGCCAACGACGCCAGCCAAATCTCCTGCGACTCCAGACGGGAGAGGTGGTCCCACACGTGGCCATCAACGGCACAGGAGCGCCACCAACGGCAGCGGAAGCGGATGCAACCGTAGTATCGGGATACCCACAGAGTCGGGAATTTACAACGGTCGAGGTTAAGGTTCAGTCAAATCTGACAGCCCTGACAGCCCTGAGTGGCATCTACTGTACACCCTTGTACCAACAGAACGAGGCCGCAGGCCGCCATGGCACCAACAGCAGTTAGCCCCAATGCCCTGCGGGGCCTCGACATGCCCCGAACCCCCAACGCGGCGATGCTCCTCGCCGCGAAGCGAGCCATATCCGAGGCCGGGCCCGACGCCCTTCGCACCGCAGCCCACGGGCTGCTCCTGCGCCGTGCCTCGCTGGCCGTCACGGCCGACGCGCAAAAGGTCACCCTGGGCGTCATCGCCGCCTATGTCGTCGTCATCGCCATCCTGTGGAACATCCCCTACGTGCGCTACGTCCTGTGGCCCTTCAAGATGCTGGTCATCGCCTTCCACGAGTTCGGCCACGCCTTTGCGTGCAAGCTCACAGGTGGCAAGGTCGAGTCTATCAGCCTCGACCCGCGCGAGGGCGGTGTCACGCACATGCGCGGCGGCAAGGGCGCCGTGACCCTGCCGGCGGGATACCTCGGCAGCTCCCTGATCGGGGCGTTGCTCACGTTCTGCGGCTTCAATATTGTTGCGTCCAAGATCGCGAGCTTTGTGGTCGGGGCTGCGTTCCTGCTCATTATCTGGTGGGGACGGAGGGACTGGCTCACGATCAGCACGGTGCTGGCAGCCATCGGCCTGCTGGTCGGCTGCTGGTTCATTGCTGAGGCTGAGGCCCTGAGATATGTTATTGTGAGTTTCGTCGTCCCAGCTCCCCACGACTACCAGGTAATGTATTCAGTCCGAAAAAGCTTCAGTTGCTGACTTGCCTACCTACACAGCTTTTCATCGGTGTCATGTCGTCTCTGTACAGCGCGTGGGACATCTGCGACGATCTGATCTTCCGGAAGGTCAATAGTTCCGATGCATCGCAATTCGCCAAGCGCTATGGCGGATCCTCTCAGTGCTGGGGTGTCATCTGGTCCATCATCTCCCTGATCTTCATGGTTGCTGGTATACTTGCCGGCATTGCGGCCTTCCCGCAGACTCTCGCAGAACAGAGACAGGACTCTAATGACTTCATCTCGACATGAAGAGTCATGGGAAACATCGTTCGCCTTCCCGCCACTCCCACGTGATTGGTTCAGCCTGGCCATTCGTTGCATACGCTGGTAATGTGACGCGCCGGAGGACGACTTGGTGCCCCTTGCTGGCAGAGCATAGCGGGCACGCATTTGTGTTTTGGACAGCATAGGATATTGGATAATGGATTAGTACTGTGATACCCCGAATAATGAGTGATCCCTTACCAGGGAGAGGGAGGCCTACTATGACGAAGGAGTACATATGTAGCTCGGAGGCCACTTCTGTAAGCGGTCGGATGGATTAGGACTAATGTACGAGTAGACAAAAGCTACTGCGTGGTGTTATTAGCCTGATGAACTTGACTTCATCGTCTTCCAGTCATCGGCGCATGAGCTCAACCTTGCTGTGATATGTCTGTCACAGAGCACTCGGTGTTCGCCCCTGAGCAACCTGACGACAACTGCCAGGAAGAGACGGTTCAACACCGCGAGTCTGTGTGCCCGTGCCACTAAACAACGTGTCATCGCCAAAATGATCGCACAAGGGGGCCAAGTACCAATCGACAGACAGCCTGATGCAGTAAGCCTCAGTCTGAAGTTCACTCATCGTGGGGTGGTCGAACGGCATCTGACACCAACCGCCTCATTGCTCGGGGATATTGACGCCGTCGTGTACGAGTAGGAGGAACTGCACGCCCCAGACAATGCCGGCTAGTTCCAGGTCCACTTTCCCATAGCACGGCGCCATGTATGTGCTCATTATGCCGATTATTGGGCGGCGAGGGTGCGAAGCCCCACATTGCCTGCGTCTGACTTGCCTTGGGCTCACCAGCAGAGCAGACACCGAGTCCCACGTCCCACGATGACGATCAAGGCGGGATGAGAACGATTTCCCGCCTCTTGCAGGGCGTCATCACGACATGCTTACAGCAGTGCAGTCAAGACGGACGAAGACGACAGGTCTGTCAGACGCTGGGTGCCCGTCGCTGAAGCCAAGTGACCCGGTTGGCAGCAACGCACGTACTCCGTAGCTCCTGCCCTGACGAGCTACTTTGGTGGTTTGCTACTGCCGTTTCTTCTGGTGAGGGAGGTGTCGAGACGGTCCAGTCAACCACCCTTTCAGTTCAACAGATCACTGGGCAATGGCTCGCCCATGAGCCGTTCTGTTCGTGCCGCTCCCAGGCACCACCTGTCCCTGCCACCCCCACACGACCTGCTCAAGCGCTGCGATCGCCCGTCCAGAGAGCCAGCAGAGAGATGCCTTATGATTTCAGTTTGAACTGTTATACGTCATTGTCTCCCAACGCAGCGCAGCTATGTGCACCCCTCGGCAGACACGCACGCTGCTGTTCAGTCGGCCACATCGTCCCCGCCCTTTTGAGGCCTTTCCAACGAGCCCGAGTAATCAACCAGTTCTGCCAGTCAGTCTAGCGTACTAGCACCCCACAACCACAGCGATCTGCGTCCTGTTCAGAGACCCATCCCCGAGCCGCGCGAATACCACCTTCGACAGAAGGCGGCCACCATCGGCCACCATCGGTCGCCTGGTCCCAGCGAGTCGACTACTCGCCTCGCAACCCGCGAGCCGTGCTGACAGACACGAACGGCCGATTGGTGCCACGCTTCGAGCAATGGCAGCCGGAAGACCGGCAAGCGACGGCAGCCTCGACCTGCCGGCTGGGCGTCATTGTGGCCCTGCGACCGTCAGTCCTGCCTGCTGCATGTCTAAGAGTCTGGTTGCTGTATCACCGCCGATGACCTGTAGGCTTGCACCACCATCCACGTTGGACTTCACTCAGCAGTATGGAGTAAATCCACATTGTACCGTGGTAGATAGTCTGCCACGGCGGCCAAGCCAGGGGAGCTTGTTGATCACCCCACCCGCGGCCAACAGGGTCCAGGCACCGACGACGATACTTGGATACATCAGATCGCCGAGGCGCGGGCCGAGATTCTGCGGCCCCAGGGACGAGGCATTTTGGAGGCCTGGGAAATACGGACGGCCAATGCGAGTCAGCCTCCAAGTGCAGCTCAGATATCGAATATTCGTCCCATCCGATCCAAGCGCGGCGAACGTCTTAGCTTTGGTGGGAGTGACAGGTTTGTGGCAGCCGAGATCTAGACCATCGTCTGGGGAAGCCGGCGACAGCGTTGGACCTTGCGCGACTCGAGAATCCGGGGTGCTCGTGATAAGCCTCACTGCCACTTTTGGCGTTATGCATGACGCAGCAACGCAATTGTCCGAAAACAGTTGCCGCTGCCCTACGCTGCGACAGACATGGTTGCGGGCCGGCAGGGCAAGCGACATGATCACCAAGCTACTGCACAGCGGGCAACTCGCAGGCAGGCCATCCCAGGCCACAGAATTACACTTCGATCGCGCGTACCTGCGATAGTGGCCGATGACGAGGGAAGCCAACGTGGCACCGTCCGGGACGCTCGCATCTACGGCGCGTCCAACGCCGGTCTTCTTGTGAGAGTAGCGCATTTATTATTGCCTGCCAGACCATCGACATCACCAACCGTGGAAACCGTGATCTGATGGGAGACACCCTCCCGCAGCATCGCAGTTCGGCGCTGGTCCCCCGATATGAGATCATCCCGCATTGCGGCGTCCCCAATTTTTTCACGGGTGGCAACTAAGCTGCCAGGCTGCCCAACGATGCAGAAACACCCTCCACAACAGCTACAGTTACCGTGCCATCCCACCCACCATCTTGGGACGGCATTTTATCCTGATTGGAGCTCCCACCACCCATTCCTTGCACCGTCATGGCTATGGTTTGCGCAAATGTTTTGCAAATTTTCCCAACAAGACACTCTTTCGCCCGGCCAAGACCATTATCGCGCAGGGTCCGCGGGGCTCAGCTCAAATCAGACCCGAGAGTCTCCCACCTTCAGCCATCCGGTATTGCTAATAGTTTTAGCATGCACGCGTGATCCCGGTCTTCGGCGCCGGTGGCTAAGGTGGCCAGGCTGGGCAGGCTGGGTGGCCTGTCAAGTGGGCTGAACATCGCAATAAAGCAGATGCGTCCGCCAGTCACGCACGCAACAGCGTGCTTCCTACTCGTCCATTTCATCTTCTTTCGCACTTCTGTTCCCCGCTCCAGGCATCGTGGGGTCCAAGAGAAATCATCTAGACCCATCACGTGCATTATCTTCCCCGGGCCGGGCGAGTCAAGGCTGCCAGAGGGGTGAGCCATTCCGCCTGCCCCCAATCTTGGCCCTCCTGACCGGCTGGGCACTCAGCAACCCGAGGCTTGGTGCCTAGCGGTGCTCGCGTGAGGAGTCACTCGAGGCATATAATATCTAGTGAACCTCGATTATTTGTTTACTTTGTTCTCTCATATTTTCTCACCATTACCGACTCTTCTGCATTTTCAGCATGTCCAAATCAAATTATCCCCGCGGCTCATCCAGTGTAGACGACTGGCTAGATAGCCAGTACGAATACATGGTACCTGACAAAGATATCAACAACCCCTACATACCGAGGGATGCCGCCAGAGACATTACCCCAGACAACTCAGATATAAGTCCTCCTCGGTCCAAGGACCACAAAAACTCCAAGGATCGTTACCGACCAGTTACGCCGCCTGAGGAGGACGACCTCAACAGAGAACGAGACCGACACCGTCACAAGGGCAAGTCAAGCCGTTCTCATGACGGTGACAGGGACAGCCGGCGCTCGCATCAGGACAGGGACACCAGATACCCTCCCAAAGCTGACCGCGGCCGGCCACGCCGCCCTGCCATGAGCAACCGAGCCACGTCACATTATGTACCCCGCAAGGAGGAAAGCCCTGAGCGGCGGCATAGACGATACTCGCTATCATCGTCACCACCTAGGCACCGAGGTGATAAATCCTCACGCCACTATCACCGTCGCCATGAGGACCGTTCACCGTCACCACCTCCACGTTCCTCCAGACACAAGGATGATCGAGACAGGGAGAACCGTGGACACCACCATGGAAGTAGCGGGTCCACAAAAGGGACCAAGTCCCGTCGGCCATCGATCTCTCACAGCCAAACTTCCAAAGAACCCAAGAGGCCCTCCAGCAACGGACGGTCTCTGAGCTTCTGGAATGACCCTCGGTTTATGACAGCTGCCGAAGCCGCGCTGACCGCCGGCGCGTCTGCGGCTGTTGGCCTGGCCGGTCAGAAGGGCGCTTGGGGTGGTGAGAAAGGTGGCAAGGTGCTTAGAGCAGGGCTTGGGGCTGCGGCGCTCAGCGCATTGAAATCGCCAGCGCCAACCCCAGCGCCCGCACCCGCGCCGGAGCCTGCAGCTCCTGCCGAGCCTGGACCTAGGACCAAAGCTGCCGATGCTGCCGGAAGGTACATGGCGGACCACATGCCCGGGAGGAAGCACAGCACGCGAAGGAAGCGTCACTAGATCAGGACTGGGATAAACAAACGGGTTTCGTTTTGACTGATTTACTCGTGTGGGAACTTTCGACGATTAGACACGTATCTGGGCTCAGTGCTCGTTTTTGACGTTCAGCATTTGGCTATATAGACGAATGAGGGCTTCTTTCCTCCGGAGCAGACAACTTGGGAAACATGATGAGGGAGACACTGCAAACCAAGGGTGGTTTCAAATCTTAATAATCACGAAGTTATGAACATTCATCTATATACAGGGATGGTTGAGAAATATATTCCAAAATCGGGGAAACAGTATCGCCCCACTGCACATGTGTCACGCGATCAAAACGTACTAAATCATATATATCTAGGAACATCACACCGGCCTCCCTTTGACGAACCCTTGCTGACTGTGTATATAAGCTTGGTGCGATTTGAGTCCCATATTGTACAGGGCACCGCTATTCCCTATAATCGCACAGTAGAAGCGAAACAAAACCTTGGAAGCAGTCGACCTCTGGTGTAAGTCACATGCCATCGTACACTCATGCTATATGGGTATCAGTAACGTGTTGTTGATATTTCCCTCGTGGCACTCAGTCTCGCCCGAATCCCGACACTAAAGGCCCGTCCAGGGCCCTCATCGCTTCGAACTCTGGGCTCTGGTACAGAGTCAACAGCTCGAACCAGCCGTTGGCGAAGATGTCCTTGGTCCACGCCGTGTTGTCCCCGAATATCCACAGCTTCTCGTGGACCACGCGCAGCAGGCCCTCCTCGTCCTCCTTGGGGTAGAACCCATTCCACTCCCTGCCGAGCTCGTGCGGCGGGAAAGGGCCGTTCCTCCCAAAGGCGTAGTTGAGGAAGGCCTGCTCCGCCATCTTGTTGTCGAACTTGGTGGTGTCCTGGCTCTCGCGCAGCAGCCGCGCGTGCATCGCCGCGTTGGGCTCCAGCACGACCACGCCGACGTTGACGCCGTCGGCGAGCCCGTGGCCCGCAAAGACGTAGTCGCAGATCTCGGCCTCGCGGACCCTGTCCTCGGCGGGGAGGAGCTCGGCGCGGCACCGCTGGCGCGGCGAGACGGCCGGGTCGAAGATGCCGTCCAGGTCGCGCACGGGGAAGGCGTCGAGGTCGAGGAAGGCGACGCGGGACAGGTCCAGCTGGGCCCATATGTTGAGCTTGGAGAAGAGGTCCTTCCACCGCGCGAAGGGGAACATCTGGCCGCCTGACTCGTCCTTGGGGGGGTCCCACGGCACCAGCTCCAGCTCGCGGACGATGGCGCCGGCGGCGAGGAGGAGGTCGCGCTGCTGCTGCGGGATGAAGGGCGCCACGAAGACGATCACCGGGTGGGAGGACGAGCGGGACTTGGGGTCCCAGAGCAGCCGGTAGACGAGCTGCATCGCGGACAGGAAGTACGGGTCCGCCACGCTGTTGTCGCGCGTCGATAGGTATGTTGCGAAGGCGAACTGTCCCGGGCCCTGGTCGTTGTGCGGGCGGTACTGCTTGAGCTTTGCCACGTCGAAGACGGGCTGGACGTAGCGGGTCAGGTCCTCCTGGAACTCGAACTTGACCTCGTTGAACCCGGACGACGAGCCGGAGGGCCCCGGGAGGCCCTGCGAGAGCCCCGGGCCCGGGCCTACCGCCTCAGCCGGCGGGGCTGGCCATTTCGCGTCCCCGGGCTGTGTCTGTGGGATCTGGATCTGGATGAGGTTCTCGGTCTCCGCCGTCCCGTCGCGTGCCCCAAATGAGAGCAGCGAGGAGTGGTAGTACAGGAGAAGGGCCGTCGTGAATGCAAGGAGCCCGATTCTTATGAGACGGGTGGCCTGCACGCCATGAAGGTGAGCCGCTGACACTGCATCAAAGCGTATTTTAGATCCCGAGGGGGGAGGGGCTTACCATATTGGGCGTCTGCGTCCAGATATTCAGAACCTCTAGCGACAACGACGGCCTCGCGGTTGCGGCATAGTAGATCCTTTTCCTTCGCGGGATGGCAAGAGATGGCGGCGCAATTACGAGAGAAGAAAGTTACTTTTCGCCCTGCTGCCGTCCCGCGAGTCCAGGAGCGACACTGGCCTACCAAAAGTTGGACATTCTTGGTGGGAGTCAAGCTGAAATACGCCCCGCGCCCCGTTACATCCCACATGTGACAGATCAGCGCTGCGAGGGGCAAAGCATACCAGGTGCCGAGGAGCTGGGGATTTATTAGGCTTGCTCGGCGAAATTGGCTCGGGCAGGGGTCCTTGTGACGTACCGTCCACCGGGGCCAGCGACTAAAGAGACCCATCTCCGAGCACTTGTATCAATTGGACAACTGCCCCGGAGTGGCAGGATCCTTGTAGTGAGAATGATAAGAAGCTGGTACAACGGTCATATTCTCGACCCCCGGGTTTCACAATCATAGAACCGGACGCGTAGTTGATGAAGAGATGGTGCGTGTTGTATCAACTCACCGTCCGGTGAACTACAATGGGTCGACTATACTCTTGATAAAATATAGCTTAGCTGAAGCTGAAGCCAAAGAAATAAGCGTAGCGAGGAGTTATCCTAGAGCAGGGGCAGGGTTCGGGCCGGAGTTACTACTTCCCCAATACCGCATATCCTCATAACATTAATAACAACACCCTTGGGGCAAAAACTTATACCCAAAGATTCATCAGTTGACTAATAATTCATATTCAAGATTTAGATTTAGACAATCCATACTTGAGAAACGGTTTATCAGGTTATAGAGTAGTTAGGAAAGCCTAATTAGTTATTGCCCTTCTGCTTTGCTCTAGGATAACTCCTCGCCTTGCTTGATGTTTGGAGAGCAGACTACGAATAAACTCAAGGAAGCGGTTACACATCAATAGCGAAGTACAGTGTGACTTTTGTAGGCCAGTCTTGATGGGTATCTATCTGCGTGTCTAGCTTGTAGTCCAGTCAAGCCCACAATCGAATGGGTTTCTGGGCACAGCATCAAATGCTATTTCCCTTCATATTTCAGTCCCGCGTGACCAAATGCATGGCTCGCTCGAAGAGTCATGCGAAGTCATGGCACATGGAATCACTCCGACAATCATTGACGATGCTAGAAGACCGGACGAGAGAAATGTCTGAGCCCACCAGTCCAGGCAGTAAGCATCTGGACAAAGCTGATGCTTCTATTTCTTGTTTCCAACATCTAAGGATTTATGGTCAGCTTGCGACTCCCCTACAAGGACCTGGTGTACAGCTGGCCAGACTTTAACTTACTGAACTGGAAATGTATGATGTCTCCGTCTTGGACAACCTATGGATTGACGTTAGCATCGACTCCAAGGACATCTGGAATCATTTACCATGGCAACGAATGCTTACGTATGTCTTTCCCTCCTGCCTGTACTTTCCAGCAGCCTTGATAGGGGCCATGGATTTGGCACCTCCACAAAGGTCGTGGAAGTCCTGGTACGAAACAACCTCAGCCTTGATGAACCCTCTCTCAAAGTCCCCGTGGATGGCTCCGGCCGCTTGTGGGGCCAGACATCCCCGTGGGATTGTCCAACACCGGATTTCTTTCTCGCCAGCTATAAGGTTCGTCAGCAATGAGTCTGCTTCATCCATCGTTGGAATTGTCATACCTGTGAAGTAGTACTGCAGTCCAAGCTTATCAAAACCTTCCGTAACGATCTTTTCCAGCTTGCTCTTGACCTTGCACTCTTGCAGGAACTCGGCCTGCTTCGCAGGGTCCTCACTCAACTTGTCGAGCTTCTCCTCGAACTCGATAGAGAAGGGGATGATGTCCTTCGGAGTACCGCCGTGCTCCGTCACCCATTTGGCGATTTGTGGCAGGTACTTGCTCTTCTGTCGGAGGTAGTCCTTCATCGTCAAGTTCACAAGATAGATCACAGGCTTAGTAGTGATGAGCTGAATCTTCTCGTTGATCAATTGGATCTCGGCAGGCGTCCAGTTTCCATCCCGCACGGGCTGGTCCTTCTCCAGCATGGCCTGGATCTTGGTGGTCGTCTCGGTGAACAGGGGCAGCATCTTATACTTGCCGCCTGCTTTCCGCACGATCGCCTCCTCGGCAACGATTGTGCGCTGGAGAATGTCGAGGTCCTTCTTGCACAGCTCACTCTGGATCGTGTTCAGATCCCGCACTGGGTCGATCGAGTCGTCGACGTGCAGCACCTCGTCGTTATCAAAAGCCCGCACGATGTGGAACATGCCGTCCACAGCTTGAATGTGTGAAAGGAAGGCATTGCCAAGACCCTCGCCCTGCGAAGCACCCCTGATGAGACCTGCGATGTCTGTTACTTGCAGGTAAGCTGGGTACTGGGACGGTGGCTTCCACACGTCGCACAGGAAGTCCTACATTGGAAGTAGATTTCGGTTAGCAAGTGCTTCGGATCTCCATCTCGAGCTTGGGTCCTCCGCCTCAGAGCGCTTCGAGACCGAACTTACATATCGCTCATCGGGTACAGGGCATCTCGCCTCGTTGGGCTCAATCGTGCAGAAAGGATAGTTCTCCGCAGCAGCACTCTGCTTCGTCAAGAGGTTGAACAGACTCGACTTGCCCACGTTTGGCAGGCCGACGCATCCCATCTTCAGGTTCTTGCGAACCCGGCCGAAAGCGACAACATTATTGACCTCCTCGGTTGCCTTCTTGGGAGGCATGGCTGGCAACTCGGGTGTTCTGCTAAACCGTGAAATCCGGTGATGTTGTTGGGACAGATGGAACAGATTGTCTAATTGCTTGGACCCTGAATCCAGATAGCATGCACATAAGACACAGACTTTTTCTTTTTTAGAAAGTCGTACGATATTGGGGACTCGTTAATGCATGAGAGTGGGTACCTCCCGCTCTCCGGCACATGTCACTCGTGCCCCTGGGCCTGACCATTTTGTGTCCACTCAGGGCAGAGCACATGCTTGTTGGTGAATGACTTGTCAGCAGAGAAGACTCTTGCCGTAGGCACCGCGGAATAATTGCACCGATGACATGGGAAACTCAATCTTATTCCTGTAACTTGCATCGACTGCTTTGAGTCTGGAAAATATTATTAGAGCGACTAACTCCTGGCCAAACAGAGAGTGCGGTTATCAAATCGGGAAATAACAGAAATTAGAGACGACAACTGGTTACTCTAGAAAAACTTTTATGTATGTTTCTTGGAATTGTAGAGACATGCAATAGAAATGCCACTGTAAATTTGACACCAAACTTGAGGTCTGGTCTAGATGTCAAACGTAAACTTGCGGGAGGACTATCTACAACTCTGTTGAAGCTCCTCTATGGATCAAGAAAGAATCCACTTGAGTACAGCCGAGCGTTCTGGTGGTTTCATTTCTAATCTTAATATCTAGGTATGTATAAAACGTATGCACCGTATGAAGGCGCCATGTATGTCCTTGGACGTATAGGGAATAGAAGGAAACGTATGCGACGCCTTCATATAGTAGGCGAGCATGCTGTGAAGTGAAATCATTCCCTTTGCAAGTACAACACTGCTATTACATACATCCAAAATACCGCCAAATTCCTGAAAGACTCTGCAGTGGTGTGAACGATTGTCTAAACGGCGTAAAGGCGAAAAGCTAGCAAGCAGTCAGAACTGAGCTGGGTGCACTCATGGTTCTACCTGTTATCTGTGCAGCCATCCTTGACCCGCCGCTGGCTCTGGTCCTTTCGAAACCGTCGGAGATGTGCTGCCAATATTGATATTCTGAAGTTCAGGCACCTGGGCGCCCTGGGCGCTCTGGGCCACCTAAGTTTTTGATATGGCTAAGGAGAACTGACTGTGCACAATTCCGGGCTCAAATACTTGCTAATTGGGTTTCCAGCGCCTGTTCATGCTCTGGTGCCAGTTCAAGTTGTTTTGGATTCATCCATACATCGTCGGCACACTCCAAGTTAGCTTGACTTGACAACATGGTCTTTCATTGCAGTTGGTCTAAGTGCTCTAAAGGATTGGAGTTTCTCTGTAATCCACAATGTCCCATTCGAAGTTGGTTTAGGTTCCAAAGTTAGCAAGAACAGCAAACCTGTCGCCTATTGAAGCTGGGGTTTCTCTGGCTTTGTACCATGCCTGTGACGGCGGATCTTTTCAAACGTGCCATTCTTAGTGCCAAAGATAGATCCGAACGCAAGTAGTGTGCCGGACAGACACTGACCAAAAACGCCACGAGCGCCAGTTCGGAGTAGCCAGGACGGAATTTTGGCCGCCTGCACTCTTTGGACTAGCTGTGCGCGAGGTGGGGACAAGATGGCAATGGAAGCACCACGATCTACTGTGTATGCGCAGTATCCTATCAGCCTGTCATCTCAGACAGTGGCTGCAGGCCTAGTCCCCGCGGCGAGACTGGGATGTGTTGGACCTACTAGTGAGTCACGCCGTTTCCATAGCCGGCTCGGCGAGCCGGGGCAGGATTCGGCTGGTGTTGGTCCGTCTGACGGAGAGCGGCAGGATCACGCTCGGCGCAACACACGATGGTATATAACCCAACATCTCCGGAGCAACTTACTCACCGACGCGCAAACAAACTCGCCTTTCAGCCCGCGACCCGTGGCCGTGCATCATCATCATCACCTTCACCAATGTCGTCGACCGAAGCATCAGCCCCTTCCGCGCCGCGCCTTCGTGTCCGCCGAGCCACGCGGGATGACGCGGGGGCGATCGCGAAGGTGCACTTCGAGGCCTTCGGGCCGGGGGTGATGAACAGGCTGATGCACCCGGGCGGGGTGAGCGAGGATTCACGGACCAGGTTCGCCGGGTCGATATTTCCTCCGCCGGGGGAACAGCAGCCCGCCGACGCCTTTGTCGTGGTGGCTGAGCTCGAGGAGGACGGGGGTGGGCGGGACCCCGTGATCGTGGCCTTCTCAAAGTGGAAGCTGGTCAGGGAGCAGCAGCCCCCCGGGGAGTGGGAGAAGGAGGGCGCGCGCGACATGACGGCGGAGCAGCTGGGCGAGGGTGCCGATGCCGTCGTGTATAACGAGTTCATGGGCGGGTTGCACCGGATGAGGGCGCGCTGGATCAAGGGCGAGCCGCACCTACGTGAGTTTTCCTCGTTTATCTCGTCTACTCATTTCCCTCCAAAATTGGCAGGCTGTGCGCGGTTCGCCTGACAGGGCATGACCACAGATCTGGGCATCCTGGCGGCCACGCCGACCCGCCACCGGCTCGGGGCCGGGTCAGCGCTGCTCAAGTGGGGCTGCGAGCTCGCCGACAGGGAGAAGACGACGGCATGGCTGGAGTCGTCGCCGGTAGGGTACTCTCTGTACAAGAAGTTCGGATTCGAGCCGGTCGAGGTGGCCGACCTCAAGCTGACCTCACTGTGGGGCGCGGTCAACAGCGATGGCGAGAACTGGGGTGGTGCAAACGCGGTCGAGGTGGGTGGTGAGCTCCCCGAGGGCAGCTTCAGGTCTGTCATGATGAAGAGGTTGCCCAAAACGTCATGAGGGATACGAGTCGTGTGGGCTATGGACGTTGGAAAGGTCCCATCGTGGGGGCCGTTCACGGAGACTAGGACTGATATCGTCAAGGCCCGTGTGGCTGGCGCCGCTCGTCTCAGCTGCCCTGCCCACGGAAGCCCTTCATCGATAGAAGCACTGCCAGAATATTCAATGTTGCGTACGGAGCACTACTCAGGGCGCTGGCGTGAGGCGCTGGGAAGATGGGGCTTTCATGCCGGGAGAAATTAGAAGCTTAAATGGCGCCAGACCCATCTGCGCCTAGTTGACTCGTGCGTGCGTGGATCGTTGACTGACAAGACTGACAGACAGACTGGCTGGCTGGCTGGCTGTTACAGCGTGGTCCATTTGTCCTTTAGTCGGTAGCGGGTGCCGAGGTTCTCGTCAACATCCTCATTGTTGTTCCTCGCAACAATGCCGAGTGCCACATGGCTAACTAGGTAGGAAAACGTGCCCGATTTGGTCTGGAGCCGGCCGTAGACTTGAAGGCTCCGTCGACAGCGTGTGCAGGAACGGCAGCGGAGTGAGTGCTCCTCGGTTCACGGTCCAGGAGCCGGAACAGGATCGGCAGGGTATTGGTGGGGACTGGTGCTCCCCCAGCTGGGCTTGTCCCGACCGACGTCTCGGTAGTGTTTGGAGCCGGCCTCTAGGCCCACGTACCAAGGCGACTTGACCCTCTGACCCTGTACCACAGAATGCAGTAGTGCGGGATGTCAGACGGGGGGCAACCCTCCTTGGCCCATCTCCCTCAGCCACACAGACGTGCAGCTGCCATGAATTAGGGATGACCGTTGCGGGCAGCCAACTCGTTGCTGCGCTGCCAGTGGCCACCAGAGGAGGCGGTCAGTGGATTAATGTGCTCATTCTCGGCCGGAATGGGATGCTGCATGGCAGATTGAGTTGGAGGCTGCATCGGATGCTGCTGCTTCCACGTCGACCAGCTGGACTAATGCGGGCTCTTGCCTCGACGCTGCACTTTCCTTACTCTGTACTTGAGTAGGTACTTACTTACTCGCCCTGGGGCAAGTACTGTGCATTTTGCATGTGATCGAGGGTGCTAGACACCCTGGGCTGGGCAGGCGCTTGGTGAGCGGACGAACACTCATCAAGGGCACCGGGGTTATCTTGGGACAATCTTGAAACGCTTTATCTTCAAAATCTCCCGCCCCAAGCTTTGCCTAACGTGGTCCACGACACGGTCTCTCTGTGTTGACGTTCTTTTTCTTTTTTTTAAGAAAAAATCCTGTCTCCTCTACAATTTTCCAACCTTTTTTTTGCCTTTTCAACCAGAACAAAATTTGAACCGTCCATCAAATACCATTCCCACATCGCCCACTGACGGAACCTGGCCACAGCTAGACGGATCCTCATAACAACGTTGAAGACGCCTACATCCCCTTATCTGAACACCACGGCCACACACTTATACGTTCACCACCACACACCTTCTGCTTCCACCGAAAATGAGTCTTGAAGTCGGAAGCTTGCCCTCGCCAACAGGGCCATGGAGTCCTACTCACAACACTCGAAGCCCCTCATTCGACGTTGCAAAAAGTGCCCAGCTATCACATAGCAGACAGCAGCCCTCAGTGGCATCCCGGTTCAAGGATCTCGTCAAGGTGAGTGTTACAATATATATATAACTCGCAATTCGACCCTAATTCCCTTACACATCATACTGACCATCGGCATCTAGTTCCTTTCATCCGTCTCAGGCGACCTTTCCAATGTCACAGCACCCCCTTTCTTTCTTGCACCATCTTCAGTGGTCGAGGTCGGTCACTGTTGGAGCCAGCGCCCCGGTGTCTTCGCTGCCCCGGCCCTGGAGCCTGACCCGGCAAAACGAAGTCTCCTGGTCCTACGCATGATCCTGATTGCCATGCGTTCTCAATTCTACGTTGCCGGCTCGCCCAGTGTCAGCATCAAGAAACCTTTGAACGCTTTCCTCGGCGAACTCTTCCTCGCCTCATGGACGCAGGTGCCAAAGGGCAAGAGCAAGGCGAAGGGAAAGGAAAAGAGTATCAAGCTCGGGATGGACAGCGGCGACGGCAAGGCCGCCACCACACGCCTCGTGGCCGAGCAGGTCTCTCATCACCCTCCCATCACGGCCATGGCCATTATCGACGACGAGCACGGCATCCGGGCCGACGGCTACGCCCGCGTCGAGATGACCTTCAGCAGCAGCGTCGATATCCGCCAGATCGGCCACGCCATCGTCCACATCGACGAGTACGACGAGGACTACCTCATCCCGCTGCCGGACGTCAAGGTCCGGGGCTTCCTCTCCGCCAGGCTGTACCCGGAGGTCCTTGGCACCTACACCATCGTGTCCAGCTCCGGGTTCGTCAGCGAGATCAGCTTCTCCGGCGCGGGCGTGTTCCGCGGTAAGAAGAACACCTTCGAGGCCAAGATGTACCGCAAGGATGACCCCAAGAAGACACCACTCTACGAGGTCGCCGGCCAGTGGAGCGAGGGGTGGACGGTCAAGGACAGCCGCACGGGTGAGGTCCTGGAGAAGTATGACGTCGACGCCGTCGAGAACAGGCCCGCGCCCATGGACATGGAGCCGGTCGAGAAGCAGGACCCGTGGGAGTCGCGGAAGGCCTGGGGAGGCGTCATCGACGCGCTCGACCGCGGCGACTTCTGCGAGACCGTCACCGAGAAGTCCAAGCTCGAACAGGCGCAGCGGCGCATGCGGGCCGAGGAGAAGACCAAGGGGCAGACGTGGGAGCCGCTGCTGTTTGGGAGCAAGGACGGGGCTGATCACGATGTGTTCCACCGCCTTGCCAAGGGGACAAGCTGGGAGAAGCAGCTGTCGAGCGACAAGACCAAGGGAGTGTGGAGGGTCAAGGATGAGAAGGCGAAGGGGGCACAGAGGCCTTTTAGAGGCGAACTTACACCATTTGGCTAGACCGAGGAGCTGGGTCACTTTTACTCATTTGCTTTTTGTGGTGAGCGTTGGCGTTGTTGTTTTGGGACTCGGCATTTTCAACATACTTCTAAAGTTTTCAGTAGCCTTCGAAGACTAGACAATATCAGGCATTGAATCTCTTCATCCGAATGATGTTCCATATGTGTCAACCTTGTTTTGAAATGATGCTGATAAAGGAGAATCAGACACTCGACTTTACCTCTCACTACTGACTGAGAACTACACATGGGCACTTTTGGACTCAGTTGCTTGTGGGATGAGCCCACCCCCAGGAAGCCTCACGCCCGAGACTGCTGGGCAAGTTGCACAGGTGTATATGGAAAGTTGGATTATGGTACTAGGCTATTCGCATGCCAGAATTCCGGTCAAGCGGTGGCGACCGCAGCATTGTATTGCCGAGAACGACTTGTGTATACCTAGGTATTGGGCAACCTGTGTCATTGTTCACTTCTGGGTAAGTTCGACGTTCGACTTGTTGTCTCAATCGCCGAGTACGACGGTCGCAAATCACATCAAATCAGCCGGTCACATCTTACACAATTAAACCAGAGTGCTATGACATGGCACACAGGCTCTCAATAGGCCCGGCATGTCGTGAACGTTTAGATGCTTGAACATATCTCGTGTTTATGGGATTCGACCATTCGCGGCTCCGAGCACACCATCTCGCAAAATAGGGCCATGATGCAAGATGGCCCCGAGATCGTCTTATGCATGCTGTTTTGAGACGTGCCCAGATTTTGTAGCTCCAACGTCTGAGTACAACAATACGGGTGTGTCGTGAAGTGGTGGTACTGGTGATACTGCCAACGTGACACGACGTCGTGCGGCTCATTACTTTGACGTACTCGATGAATGAATTGAGTTGTCATACCCAAGTCTGGAGATACGATTCAATTGCGTGCTCTTCCTGATGTGGAACGATGATGTGGCAGTGAACTGGGCTCTCGAGAGCCTCCACGCGTGTCCTCCATCTCACCAGAGATATCATGTATGCTTTCTCGTCCCATACAATGGTGAAGGCCGGTAACGAGCCGATGTGACACATCCATCCCGATTATGCGAGTATATCTGCGCAAACACGTGCCCACAGAATGAATGATCACATTGGCCGGCACTGAGAATGATGTCCTGACCGCCCTCTTTCGCTCAGTACTAGGTAGGACCTGTGTGAATCAGTTCAACGCTGCTTGAACGCAATAAATGATATGGCGCCGCTGGACCAGGCTTCACAAGATTCGAAGACGGACGCCCAGAGCGGAGATTTCGGCACGCAAGACCCGCGTGATCAATAGCGATTGGCAAACGACGTGATCAAGTGGTTGTGACTCCCGCCCGTCTTATCTCATGCAACCTCGCCAGTCCAGTCCTTGTATGCTTGGTGGCCTGCCCTGTCGGACATCGCCGTTGCGCAAGTTGTCAAGATTTAGTACACAAAATAGAACTCAATTCAAATGACACTGGGCTGACGGTGGCAAACTTTTTCCTAGCAGACATATAAATTCAACAAAGTACCAGTGGGTCAGTCCAGGTCTGACTGGGAAGAAATGCAGCACTAAGACAACCCACAGGCCCCATCACCAATAACACTTCATCGGCAGCTGTTCATTTTACACAAGAACGAATCAATCCAGAAATCACCGAGACAATGCATTTCCAGACTTCTTGTGGGACTTTGCTGGTTGCCCTCTCACTGGGATGCGTCAGCGTCAGCGCATTTCCCATGGCACAGGAAGACCTGGTAGGCTTGTCCTCCCAAGTTTGAGTCCATTTTCATATCCCCAGAGCCTTAATATTAACAATTTTTCCTCAAGCCTCATGCCATCATCCCCGAGATCATCCCGACTTGCCACAGAGAACCGACCCCAGCATGGTGCGCCGCGAAGGGTGACCACGCCATGATGTGGTGCATAGGAAGCCAGTGGTTTTGCAAATATGATGGGTGAGTTATTTCGCTTAACTTTCAACGCCGCCTTGGATCCGCTAGTTGGAACCTTGGAATGAAAGTAGTGGGCGGCACCGAATTGATCATCTGCGCAGTCCTGCCCCATACATGACACCATCCTTTGCGCCTACCAACTTGTCCTGCTCGGGCTGTCCAAACGGTCCAGCGCTGCAGACACCTACTGGAGACTCTAACCTAGCTCGGGGATAAGTACGGAAGTGTGATGATGGATTGTTTATTGCACCTGGTTCTATCCATGTTGATGTGTGTCTCCGAGGTTCCCATGGTTGCCTAATTTCAACATCCACTCTTTATTGTCAACGTCTTTTATCGTGGATGTACTTTTCATTTGAAAAATACAACCAGAATATCTTCTCTATGTGCATCAAGTACGAGGATCTGGCCTTGGATCACGCCGGGCGGAACTTATTTGTGGCAATGACAGCCTGGGCACTTAATGAGCGTGCAAGTTCAGTCTAAGGCCTAGCAATGGAGCTATCCTCATAATAATACGAGTACTTGCGCAAATCTCGCTGCACGAACCTGGCAACACTTTTCCCCGGTGGAATTAAGATGCGCAGCCAGCTCAGCTCTCTCCGATTCTGTGCCCGTGCGAGAGCACCAATGAGGCATCTCATGAAAAGTGATATGACTGCCCCTGACTATAGGCACAGAAGTCATTCTAGGCGAGGATGACCTCGAGATCGGTCAGAACTTCATCAGTGATTGCTGTTTTCAAGCCCTCAATCAGTGCACACGTGATTTTTTCACCTCCCATGTCGGAATTGGACTGCTTTGCAAAGCCGGTGGGGCACATACAATCCGAGTACATAGGGACATGCTAACCCAAGCAATCACGACAAGCACTCACCTTTCCCCAGATGTCCCTCGTCTGAGTACCGCAAAGCCGGTCCAAGGGAACATAGGCATGTACCCATATAAGGTTTTGGCTATTCTGCAAGGGGCCCAGTCACACGTATTGCGAGGTCTAGGCTGTGAATGCAACTGCGGGGGAGGGCATGGATGGCGGACCTTGGCTCTCCACCACCACCAGTTCGAACTTGACGAGACATCTCCGAAGGAAGCCTCACCAAGTGATCTTGGGTTCTTGGAGGGGGCGATCGACCCGGGGCGCCGGTCTGACACGAAGGAGTGAGCGGGGTTCGGCGGCTGTTTTTATAAGTGCGATGGGGAATTACGTTCACAGATCTAAGAACTTGAGAGAAGATGGCGCTTGGTGAGACGCTTCACAGGAAATCAAACGCACCTGCTAGAACCCAAACTTGTTAGAGTTGCTGCAATCAAAACGCACCAGACATCATGACGGAGCCCACAGTGCTCATCATCGGCGCGGGCACCTTCGGGACCTCGACGGCCTACCACCTAGCGCAGACCTACGCCGACCCGTCCCGCGTAACCATCATCGACCGCGAGCCGTCGCCGCCGGCCAAGGCCGCCGCCATCGACATCAACCGCATAATCCGGGCTGACTACCCGAGCACGCTGTACTGCAACCTGGCCAACGAGGCCATCCACACGTGGTTCTGGAGCAACGAGCTCGGGCCGTGCTTCCACAAGGTCGGGTGGCTGAGGCTGAACGAGCGGGGCAGCGACATGCAGGACCGGATCTTCGCCGCCCTGCGCGGGAGGGGCACGCACATCATGCAGGACGTCCCGCTGGACGACCTCGGCCGGCGGTGGGACGGGCTGCTCGCGGGCACGCACACGGACGGGTTCGGGAGTGCGTATCTCAACCCGGACGCCGGGTGGGTGGACGCCGCGAGCGCGACGGCGAGGTTCATGGCGACGGCGGCGGGGAAGGGCGTCAAGCGGGTCGTCGGGGACGTAGTGGAGCTGCTGGTCGATGCCAGGACGGGCCGGGTCGAGGGCTGCAGGACGGCGGACGGGCGGCGCCTCCTGGCTGACAAGGTCGTGCTTGCCGTCGGCGGGTGGACCAGCGCCTTGCTGGCTCCTGTCGAGGCTGCGCTGGGGGTCCCCGAGCAAGACAGCGTCGAGCGCCAGGCGCAGGCCACGGCGATCGTTTCGGCGTACTACCGGGTATCAGGCGGTGATGCCCAGAGGATGGCGGAGGTCGAGATGCCGTGTGTCATTTATGGTCAGGTCGGGGAGGTCATTCCGGCTTCGAAGGAGAACGGACTCCTCAAGTATAATAATTCGGGAACCCGGCTGATAAACACTGTGACAAGCAAGTCGGGAAGGAAGATATCGGTCCCGTCGAATCGCAACCAGAGGGACGTCCCCGAGGGTCTGAAACAGGAGACGGAGGCGATACTCACGTCGAAGCTGATGCCACGTTTCGCCCAGGAGAAACCAGAGTACTGGAGGATATGTTGGGACTCGATGACGCCGTCAGAGGATTTGTTGCTTTGTGAGCACCCGAAGGTCAAGGGCATATATATCATGGCGGGTGGTTCGTTCTGTGGCTACAAGTATGTGTACCGGTTGATCATTTTCCAGTTCCGCTGGGTAGCACCGTATTCACTGACATATAACCAGGTTCCTTCCAAATCTTGGGAAGTATATGCTGAACGTCTTGAGCGGACAGAGCAACGGGGCGGAGAAAGACAAGGCGTGGGGCTGGAAGAGCAGCGCCGAACTAGAGGAGGCGATGCGAGGGAGGAAGTCCGGCGAGCAGCGAGAATTCGAAGAGTTCGTCGATAAAAGTCCGTCCAGACCGAACGACCAGGCCCGACTTTGAATGAGACGGAGTTGTCACATTAGCTGCATCGGCGAGGTTATTTCTGCAGTGCTTCAAAGAGTCATTATAAGCTGAATATGGTTCTTGCTCCCCTTGCCATCTTGTAAACGATCTGCGGATTACTGAGAGGAGTACTGCTGTTGGTAATCAGGAGAGCTTCGTCGATTTCGCTTGAGTGATCTCAGGCTGCGGGTGGGCTTGGGGCTCCGTGAGTGTTTCTGTAGACAGGGTCTGGCGAGCGTCCAGCAAAAGGAGAATCCGATCGTTCGATTCGACTTGATATGAGAGGGCACAGCGAAGCCCCTCTCGGGGTCATGTTTTCAAGCTCACCGTGGCAGAAGAAACATGTCCACGTCCTTGTTCCTCTCGTGTTGCCAAGAGCGTTTGGTGCCCACGAGCAGTTGACTGGTCACCTGCCGCTGACCACGACATCACCAATATCACTTACCCACTGGAGTATAGGGTCTCTGATATATCATAGGCCTCCTGGACACCCTGCCACCACACTTGTGGGTATCAGACCAGCTCAGCCTCGGCTGAGCGATCGAGTCTTCCTCCTTCAACTCTAGCCAGCCAACGGGTCTCGCCGAAACGTTCCTTTCCTGTCCATCTAGGGGGAAACAAATGTCCCGAGGCACGGTCGGTTGGCCATACTACAGCGTTAGTGGGCGTCTCTGTGGGTCCAAAGGAGCACAACCTGGGGAATGAGGACCTGGCAAGCCTGGATTGCTCGTTGATGATGGTAGACACTGGGGGACTGCATCGACTTGGCCAGTCTTGGCGGGCATTCCGCCCCCGTCGCGCAACCAGAACATGGGGAAAGGAGGAGTCCCCTCGGGGTAAAATAAGCGTCGGATGTTGAGAATCATGACCAGGGTTCACGGCCCCCTTGTTGCCCTTGAGCCGCTCACTTGTTGATATAAAGGCCCAGCTGCTGCCGCTGGCCTCGCTGGTACACGATGCTCTGGCCTTTGCCTCCTGTTGTTTGTCCCTTACGACGGCGGGTTGCCGGTTCGCAGATCTCGAGGCATCGTCCCAGGATGGACCAGTGGCTGGATCACTACCGGACCGGGCACTGCCAAGCCCACTGAAGCTCGACGCACCTCAGCGGCAGAAGCACCAGGACATTGGACATGCACTCGGGGCTCAACAGGCCTCACCGGATTCCCTCTCACCCAGGGAAGACTCGGGTCGTCTACCGGAATCAGACTCCCGACTCCCGACTCCCGACTCGAGTGACCAACATGCCACGGCGCGAGCACCGCAACCTCCACCACGAAACAGCCCATCAACATCGAACCTGCACAACCCCACGGGCCCCCAGATGTGGTCAAAACCGGCGATTGTGCAGCACAGTGCTTGCGACGACGAGGTTGACTGCAGTCCGTGGAAGCGGGCGTGGTCGGCCAAACACGGATGCTAGGCTCGGGCGCTCCTCGGCGGGACAGTGGCGATGTGTGGGACTGGAAGGAGTCGGTCCCAGTTGGTCGTCTGGCCGTTCAATCAATCCTCCTGTCCTCCTGGGGAACCTGGGATTTTTAGCAGGAAACCCACTGGTCTGGACAGGCCTGGCAGGCGAGTCAGCCCCTGACGGGAAAGAAAAAAGACCCGCGGGCCGCCTTGGCTGGCGTGCCGACGACCGATTGATTGCCTTGGCGAGAAGCCTTGACGCAGCTTGGCTCGTGGGTGGCGTGGCGCGGCGCGGGCGATCGGTTGAGCCTCATTTTTTTTTCCCCTTGCTGGGCGGTTTGGAGGGTGGCATCCTTTATGTCCTGCAACAGTGCTGTAGAGCAAGACAGGCATTTGGCCGCATGTTTTGGCGAGCAAGTGCTCGATCCAAAGAGTGTCCCCCACCCCTGAATTCACACTTGAGTTTTCCCAAAGATCGGGGTGCGCGGTCTGGGGATTACCCACCTTGTTTTTCGTGGAGTCAAGTGATCCATATCCTCGACCTGGAGAAAAGTGGTGCGCCCATGTGGGAACCACTGTTTGCAGGATCTTTTTTTTTGGGGCGTGGGCAAGGTGGGGTCCCTGCTCTGGGGTCGGCAGCTCTCGACCTGGAGCAGGAGCAGCCTGACAGCCTGAGAGCAGCTGCACACAGTTTACTCTACTCCGTACAGAACATGCCATTCCCCACGGCCCCAGGGAGTCTGCTTGCTGAGGTTCAATCAATGTTCCCAGCCCACAACCAGGACAGCCCACTCCGACGCCTACTGTGCACGTTCTGGGCCGATCTGGCAGCCAGCTGCCCGCCCGTCAGAACACAGTCGGTGGTACAGTGCAGGCCCTGTCTACCCTGTCTTCAATCCTGGCGAGTCAGGATTGCCACCCGATCTCTGCACATGTTCTGCTGAGAGGCACTTTTCCGCAGCCGGGAAATCCCCTCAACGACGAGCCCCGATGCCGTGCTGACGGGCTGTGACGCGCGCAAATGGGCCCATGGTTGCGTTGTTACGTTGGGATCATCAATCGAGGGAATTTCCTGCAGGCTGCAGGCTGCAGCAGAAGGCGCGGAGAAGGCTGGAAGCATCTCAACCCACAGCCCACACAGCAGAACATTCGTTCGTCTGGGGTAGAGGAGTCGTGTGCCTGGCATCTCACGTCTGTCCGTCCGGGGTAAACGGCGAGCAAAACAGCGACGAAGATGCGAGCCTGGCAAGGTCGACCACCCCCTGGGGACCCCAGTGCCCATGTGCAGACATTCGGCCATTCTCCTTGCTGAGGTCCCCACAATGCCGTCTGGAATCTGAGAAGGATGACGTGAATGCTGGACATTGACGTGAGGATGCGCGGGCACAGAGTGGCATCTCCCGAATTCTGGTTCTCGATCAGCGCGCACCCAGGATATCGTGTGCGACAACATGGTACGCGTACAAATACCAGGTGGCTGCCCTTTCCCCAGTTAGCATCCATAACTGGTACGCCCTGTCCTACACGCTCATCGTTGATGATCTGTCAGCAGCCCTCTTCTATCGTGATTTACATCTGACCTTCGTACCCTCCACACCACCCATCATGGCCGACTCCGTGTCGCCAGCCCCGGTGCAGCCCACCATGAGCAAGAAGAAGCTCCAGGAGGCCCAGCTGGAGAACCCCGTCACGGCCGCCAACATTCCCGCCATGGACGAGGCTCAGGCTCTCGCCGTGGCCCAGGCCGGCGGCTACGAGATCGACGCCCTCATCAACGAGATGGAGACCGAGCTCGAGGCTGCCGGTGGTCTCAAGACCGGCTTCTTCCACCTGCAGTTCAAAGACCCAAGGCACTTCACATGGGTCATCGTCGCCTTCGCATCCATGGGCGGTCTCCTGTCCGGTCTCGACCAGTCCCTCATCTCGGGCGCCAACCTGTACCTCCCAAAGGACCTCCACCTCACCACCGAGCAGAACAGTCTTGTCAACTCCGCTATGCCTCTCGGCGCTGTCGGCGGCGCCTTGATCCTCGGTACTACCAATGAGCTTTTCGGCAGGAAGATGGCCATCATCATATCTACAGTTCTCTACACTATTGGTGGTGCTCTCTCTGCCGGCGCAATGAACTATGGTAAGCCCTTTATAATCATCTTCCACTGACTCGATGTCTTTGTGTGACAGAAAAGAAAACTAATAATCCTATAAGGCATGATTATTGCTGCTAGAGTCATCCTCGGTTTCGGTGTCGGTCTCGAAGGCGGTACGGTCCCAGTCTACGTCGCCGAGACTGTCGAGCGCAGGATCCGTGGCAACCTCGTCTCCCTCTACCAGTTCAATATCGCCCTCGGTGAGGTCCTCGGCTACGCCGTCGCGGCTATGTTCCTGCACGTCGAGGGCAACTGGCGGTACATCCTTGGCTCCTCCCTCGTCTTCTCGACCATCATGTTCCTCGGGATGCTCTTCCTGCCTGAGAGCCCGCGTTTCCTCATGCACAAGGGAGAGGTCCTCGAGGCCTACAAGGTCTGGAAGCGCATCCGCGGCGTCACCACTGCCGAGGCCAAGGAGGAGTTCTTCGTCATGAAGGTCGGTGTTCAGCACGAGCAGACCGTTGTCAGCGAGAGCGCCCGCAACAAGCGCTTCCCCTGGATGGACTTCTTCACCGTCCCCCGTGCCCGCCGCGCCCTCGTCTACGCCAACATCATGATTCTGCTCGGCCAGCTCACCGGAGTCAACGCTATCATGTACTACATGTCCGTCCTGATGAACCAGATCGGCTTTGACGATGAGAAAGCCAACTACATGTCACTCGTCGGCGGTGGATCGCTTCTTATCGGTACCATTCCTGCCATCTTCCTCATGGAGAAGTTTGGACGTCGCTTCTGGGCCAACGTCATGTTGCCTGGCTTCTTTATCGGTCTCGTCATTATTGGTGTTTCTTACCAGATCCAAAGCCTGAACGGGACCATGGCGTGCTACCTCATCGGTCTCGTCCTCTACATGAGCTTCTTCGGTTGCTATGCCTGTAGGTCCCCCCTCCCCGCTGATATGGTCCCACATTACTTGCTTGGAACTTTGATGACTGACTGCGAGTGCTCCAGGTCTGACATGGGTCGTCCCATCGGAAGTCTACCCCACCTACCTCCGATCCTACGGCATGACCACCTCGGACGCCCTTCTCTTCCTGGCCTCCTTCGTCGTCACCTACAACTTCTCGGCGATGCAGCGCGCCATGACCCGGACCGGTCTGACCCTCGGCTTCTACGGCGGCATCGCCGCCGTCGGCTGGGTCTACCAGATCCTCTTCATGCCTGAGACTAAGGACAAGACCCTGGAGGAGATCGACCTCATCTTCGAGCGCCCCACGCGGGAGATTGTCAACGAGAACATCAAGAACACCACCAGGGCCTTTGCTCACTTCTTCGCCGGCCGCTGGACCGCGACCAGCCAGAACGCCGCCGTAGCCGCTGAGGTGGAGGAGGAGAAGCTCGGCGAGAAGAACTAGATATTAGTACATTTGCATGGGAGGTTTAATAATTTGATATGGAAGAAACCTATGATGAAGATATACGACTGCAACATGTTGCCTGGGCATGAGGCTACTCAGGTCCCAGGCTGCTTTAGCTGCTAGATTACGACATGACCAATCTCGATGATACCCAATGGAGATTTTGTTTTACCAGACATAACCTTGCAATACATGTGTGGCACTGGCTCTCCGGCATCTGATGGAGACTGCAAGACCCTCTGGTGTTCACACCTCAATGTCTCCAGTAGCTCACTCTTGGATCTTCCGCAGACTCCCCTAGGCCATGAAAGTTGGAGAACAACTGCGGTACTTGAGCCGTTGACAGCGGCAGAGACGACAGCGGTAGAGACATGCCAAAAATGGGTGTGAGATGTCATTTTGCTTCTCCCCATTGGGCTGGTGCTTTATATATCACCTTCACGACATTACCCCGGGCTGTTATCAGTCGGCATCCATTGACGGGGAGCTCTAGACGGGATTGATGACCGCCCTGGCGAAGACCGTTACTTCATCCTTTTTGTCCGCGGTTTGGTTAATACTAGGGCTGCTTTCGTTCTCAGCCACCAACGCACCAATCCCTGTGCACTCATATTGTCTGAACTTCTTCGCAGGTAGTCGAGCTACGAACTGTGCGGATGTCAGCACTCTGTCCGATACAAGCAGCAATGATTGATCGCAATCAGTAACAGGCAGCTCCTGTAAATTTTCATTTTCTTACCATCTCGTCGATCTCCTCGAGCTTTCTGTCTTTGACCTCGGGAAGGTAGAGGTATACCCAGATCGCTCCCAGGACACAACCTGGAGCCCATAGAAATGCGAATTTGGCATTCCAGCCCAGAGCGTCAGGGTTGAGAAAGTACTGTACGATCAGTACGATGTCTATTCTCGTGGGCAACAGGATGAATACGATCGAAACAAGGAGAGACCTACCGGAGCAATAAAACTACTGACCCATTCCCCAAGAGCCGCAGCGCCGAAGGCCAGACCTAATGTCAAGGCCCGCAAGCGCTGCGACGGCAGCTCCCCACAGGTCAGGCGCGAGAAAGTGAGCACCATACCTATGTAGCCCAGGTTGAACAGATGAAACATAGAGATGGTGACGATGCCGGACTCGCGGCTGCCCGGGCGGGCGGAATAGGTTGCTGCCATCACAATGTTACAAGCGGCACAGATGAGCAGCCCCGTGATCAGCCATGGTCGTCTGTAGCCCATCTTTGTGATTGCGCAGGCGGTCACGATGGAGAAGCCCAAGGCGGACGCTGCGAGGCCAATTGTTTGCTCAAATGGGTTCTTGATGCCTGCCATTTGGAACATGTATGTGCCGTACGCTGTGGGAAGGACAGGGTCAGCGCTGGCCAGGCGGCAATACCACGACCTGCTCGTCGGGCGTGCACCGGCTCGGAACACTTACTTCCGTGCCAGGTTGTGCCAGTGATAGGGCTCAGCATGCTCGTCCCGAGGACAAGAAGGGTTCGTCTTCGATCCACAGGATGCCGGAAGACGTCCATGAATGCTACGCCTTGGGCGAGACGCCTCTCCTCCTCGATGGCTGACTTCATAAATGATAGCTCAATGTTGATGTTCTCCTCCGATTCGGTCTTCGGGCTGAGGGCTCTGAGTGACTTTCTCGCCTTGTCTTCCCTGTTCTGTAGCAAAAACCATCTCGGTGACTCTGGGACTGTAAAAATGCCTCCAAACATGAAGATAACCGAGATAACAAGCGATGCCCCCAGAGGAACTTGGTATTGCGGGCGACCGGACAACTTGACGGAGTAATTGGAGACGATGCTTCCCACAAGGATGCCTAAAGAGCCCGACAGTTAGACAACCGCTCACGTATGTCGTGTAGAGGGAGTAGGGTATCTTGAGAGGTTAGTGCACATACCGAAGATTAAAGCGCAGCCAGATACTGACAACATCAGCCCACGATACCTAGCCGGTGCACACTCCTAGGGAAATGGTCAGTGTCTGTTGGATTGGATGGAGGGAAGAAGGAACGGACTTGAAGATAGAGATTAAAGAACGTGTACAACAGCCCTTGCGCGACACCGACGAGGAATCTTGCAGCGTATATGCCACCAATCGTATTAACCACCATCATGACGGCAGTCGCCAGATTGAGGAAAACGCAACCGACCCATATCGATGCTCTCCTGCCAATGTAATGGGATACAAGTCCCGAAAGTGCACTGGAGAGAATGTTACCAAGTACCAACAGCGTGCCAAAGAGTTGTTGACGCAGAGGCGATATATTCCATCCCATCGGAGTTGTAGGGTCGCGATTTCCGAAGACCTGTGTAGAGCTGCTCGATTACTATCTTTGAGGCGGAGGACTACAGACAATAGGGCATACCTCTAGAAATCCAGGCATTGCTTGCAGTGTGTCAATGATAATCACATCAACACCGTACAGCATCGCTGTGAGCGCCACGACCGAGCAACTGAGTAGACATCGCCAGTGGTTCGTCATTCGGTCCTGCTTTGGGACTCCATTATCTGCGATCGTTACCATAGTGAAAATGAGAAGCCTTGGATGTTTGAGTATATCTAAGACTCTAGAAAAGGGACTCTCTGACGGAGTGAGCCGCGAAAGACCAGCGCGTGCAGAAGGCCGGGTGCTCCTCTTTATGTAGTCGCCATCACACATGGCACCCAAAACCTTACACTACCATTTAGGCTCATGCTTCCCGTGTGGACGGAACATTTGAAGCTACGATGGACAGTAAATTGCCAAACATCTTACGCCCGAAAGCTTACTGTAGAAGCATGAGAAAGGAAATCCATATTTGGCACGAGTCAAATTCAAATTGTACGCTTGAGCACCAACATTGAGTGCCACAAGTAAAGCTTCAGAGCACTACCGGGTGTTGCACTGCGGGGAAGAGCTCCTACCCTATAGACTTACTGAGTGAACTGAAAGTTTGGCTAATTATAGTTCCATGCAGAGTATATTACACGCTTCCGTCAGAGTCTCTACGTCGTACTTCATATAATGCAACATTGACATCAAATTGAGTATGCCGAACGTTTTCGAGCAACATGATAGAATCAGTTTATACGGCGATGGGCTGTCAAGGGCCAACAGAGCGTTTGGCCTTTAAGTAGGATTAGACCACCTGGGCAGCTGTTGAAGCCGAAAGTCGAGCGCAGGACAGTTCTACGGGCTGGCTTTCTTGAGCACGTCCCGGTGTGCGTGATACTCAAAAGCACCAATAGGAGCTTTGTTTTTTCGCACTGCTGAAGCTTTTACGCAGCACTGCTGACAGCACTGCTGAACCACCACCGTGGTACCTAGACTCGATGTCACTCCCTGAGTGACCATGCCGAGGTGGATCAATTCACTGCGTCCTGAGTCCTCGCACTGCTGAGTGCAACGACATTGCAAAACCCATCCCTAACCAGGTGCTTTGGGCAGAAATTTGCCTAATTTATGTTCCATTGACTGGTCTAGTACTGTATTCTCTTTCCACTGTTATTGGCACTGTATTTCTTCAGACGCTGGGTCTTGAGCGTTTACCACTGTATGAAGGCGCCACGTACATTTTACATGTATGGGGATTAAAAACGAAACCACCTGACTGGTCTAGATCAATATCATTACTCTGACCAGGAATGCCGAACGGACGTGAAAAGGGGATTCAACGGCGGTAAATGATAATATGGAATACGTCTTGTTGGTCGCAACAGTGCTGAGTCCCTGCGCGATTTATTGCGCTCTGTGGCGCCCCCCTGCATCTCTTCTTATGTGCTGTTGGTGTTCTGTACAGTACGAGAACTTTAGAAAGGCCAGTCAGCCGGGGATCCCGGAATCACCTGATTTGAATCGACCACGGACATATCGGCACTAAAAACACAACCTGGCGCTTCGATATCTTTTGTGACTTGTAGCATCTCCAAGTACATTGGCACTAATTTCTCTGGCGCCGTGACCAGCAAAATCTTGCGGACCAAAAATATTTGAGGCCAATGCGGGCGAGCATATGGAGACGGGGTCACGTCTGGAGACGGAGGCGCGGGGTCGGCCCGCTGAACCCCAGCCGCACAGCATTTTGCGGGTCAGGACACTCCTCTGACCCCGGAAGTCACCGAAAATCACCCCGTTGCGGATCACCCGAGTCACTGTTCCAGACGGAGTGTCGGGGAGAGAACGTAAGACATGTCCGAAAGGAGCTGACTGTGCTGTCCACATGATCACAACCAGGTGATATATAAAAAGTCTTGTGTCGCCGTCGTCCACGGGCATGGATCTGCTTGTGGAGTGTCCAACGTTCACAACACTTATTATTATACACCGGCAAGCAGAGCGGCATAACAATAACATCCAACACACAAATCTACCCACCTGTGATTCCTATATCAACTGTCACCGCTGAACGCAATTTTTACCTCATGGCTCCAAAGGTTGTTGATGTCTTGATAATCGGGGGTGGCCCTGCAGGTTTGGCGGTGGCATCCACCATCGTAAGACAACTGGGGACCGGCATTCTGTTTGACTCAGGCGTCTACCGCAACGCACGAGCACACCACATGTATGGCGTCCCGGCATGCGACTATTTGGCCCCGGAGGCCTACAGGATGAAAGCCAAAGGTGATATACTGAGGCGATACGACACAGTGGAATTCAAGAGGGCCTACATTGAAACAATCAAGAAGCTTGAAAATGGCAATTTTGAGGCTATGGACGGGTGGGGTCACGTTTACGAGGGGAGAAAGGTGGTCATCGCGACCGGCGTGAAGGACGTCCTGCCCCAGATCGAGGGCTTTGATTTCTGCTGGGGCCGCGGAGTGTGAGTCAACACCCAAGCACAAGGTCGTCAAGGCTAACTTGATGCTAGTTTTCCGGATCTTTTCTGCCACGGATATGAAGACCAAGGCACATCAGCTGGCCTGTTTGCCTTTGAGATGTTCGACAACATGGAAGCGGTCACCGAGGTGGGCAACACGGCACTGCAGCTCTCAAAGAATCTGCGGGTCTACACCAATGGCGAGGAAGCACTCGCTTCCAAGATCAAGACCAGTGCCTGGAGACCAGATTTTGAGGCAAGAGTAACCATCGAAAACCGTCGCATCAGGAGTATCAGAATGCTTTCTGACGACACCTCACAACTCATGGTGACGCTAGATGATGGGACTCAATTTGAGGAGTCTTATATTGTAAGTCTAGAGTGACACTGTATCAAACTGAAGCCATCAGCCGTCTAATGATGACTACAGGTTTATCATCCACCGGTCGAGATCAATGGGCCTTTTGCGAAGCAGCTCGGCCTTGAGACTGGCCGACAGGGAGAAATCCAGGTCAGCTTGCCATACAATGAGACAAGCGTGCGAGGTGTATTTGCGTGTGGAGATGCAGCAACCCAAGAAAAGATTGTTCCAACTGCGATCTGCGGTGGCGCTTTGGCTGGTCGCGGCATCATTACGCAATTGCAGGCTGAGAACATTTGAAGCTGAAATCAAAATGAGGTCAGTTGTGACATACGGCGCGCGGTGACATGAGACACGAATTATAGAACTCTCTGGGCACGGATTTGTCTGATATAAATAGAGTCGTGTGCTTTGCCAAGATCATAGAAACAATACACGCGTTTGTTATCTTGAACCAGCTGAGTGATCCATATATGAAGACCGAATCCTACCGGTGGGCATACAGCATTGAGCGAACCCAGCATGCATCGTCCTCGGGGCCTCGAAATGGTCGCTTCCTAGTATTTTGCCCATCAATGCCATCATCGCCCAATGTTGAATCATTTAATACCTTTCCTATATGCCTCCGCTCCAGCCTCGACAGACTCGAGCCAGTGCTTTCTCCACCCGGCCAGCATGTCATCCCTCCACATCAATTTCGGGAGTGTCTTCACCATCGACCAGCACAGCAGACTCTCAGCTCTCGCGCCATCTTCAGAGTCAAGCAGGCCCACCGCCAAATCGACCATTTCTGGTCTTTCGTCCAAAGCATAGAATACACTAGCCGAGCAGCGGGAGCAAAAGTACCGCTGTACGTCTTCTGAGCTGGCGAAGTACTCCAGCGTGCCCAGCCTTGGATCCCGGTCTGGCCCCTTCTTTGAAACAGCTGTCTTCAGGTCTCCGGTACCGTCCGGAAAGCTGGCGTTATCGCCGCTCGTCTTGGAAGCGAAGCCGATGTGCCTGAGCAAGACGAATGTCCAGGGCCAGAAATCTACGCCTGAGGACATTCGGCACGAGTCGCACGGGTCGATAGAAGCCATGAGCTTATTCGTCTCCGGATGAACGAACCATGGCAGCTCCGACTTCTCTTTCGACTGGAACTCCTCCTCCGCTTTCTCCCGCTGATAACTCAGATCCACACCGCCGCAGTGGCAGCGAATAGGAATCTCAACAGCCTTATTCTGGGCCTCCGTCTCTGACGCCTGCCCTGCTGGCCAGCCAAAGGCAACTTCCTCGCTCTTAGAGGCAAGACCCATCCATCTCCTCGCCTCCTTGCCGTCGCCATTTGGCGTCCGCATAAACATGCTCATACCGCCATCCTTGGTATCCCCCACGAAGACGTGATTTTCAATCCTCACTAAGCCGTCTGGCCCATCATTGGATAGGGCCCCTGTCATAACACCATATTGGCCTACTAGCGCACCCTTGGGGTTTGAACTTCTTCCGCCGTGCATTTCAAAGAACATGGGGCTGGAGCATGTCCCGCAGAAGAGTACCGTGAGGTGGTCTGAGAAGTCGTACCTCTTCAGGCTCGAATCGCGGATCGCGCTGTCATCGCCGGGCCACTTTAAGACTGCAGAGCTGTACAGCGCTCCGGTGCACCTCCTGCAAGATGTGCAGTGGCATGCTGTCGCTATCAAGGGAAGAGACGAGCGTGGCACCACTGCGGTATGTGTGTGTTGTTTGCAAAGGCACTGGGCTGTGATTTGGACAGGGTCGTCTGAGTCTGCCATTTCTATGATACCAGGTTGAGGCCGACAATAAAATTATTTCTTCTGGTTTGCTTTTTGGTGAAAGACGTTGTGAGTATCCAAGGATGATCGTGTGCGTGATGACGGTAGCTTTTAGACAACGTCACGGTAGATCCGCTTCAGCTGAACCCCGCGTGCGCCCTTGTTATGATTAGGCGCCATCCATACCTACTATGCGCCAAACAAAGGGCCACGAGGATCTAATGACTTGGCGCTTGTCAGCTATGCAGTAGTATTCTCCCGCAGCTAATGTTGAAGCAATGTTCGAAACTTCTGAAGCTAATGCCTGCTTTGTTTACTGATGTGATCCAGCCATGAATTATCCACGTTTGAATTCACCTTCACAGTCAGAAACGAAACAACTCAAGACTTTAGAGAATCTACCATATTGTATTGCGGAGTCCTTGAAACCACTGGCACTGTGTTAGATCCACAAACATGCTAGGCCGTATTCTCTTAGGGTGCAAACTTGGTGAATCGCCGACAATCCTCGGCCGAGAGAGTCTCATGAGTCATTGGATAGAACTACAGAAGCTCTAACCGGCATGAATTTCTAGCTGAACTTCCGTTATCGCTTGTTTGAATCGATTCAAAGCTCTTGGTCGTAAGCCCGCTTGTCCTCTGGCCTCTGGCAGAACCTTCCTTGCCTAGGTACACAGAAAGCTTTTCCGCAAATATAAGACAGCTTGCCTTCGTTAAGGACCCTGAAAGTTTGAAGCCCATATTCCTCCAAGGCTCACTGCAGAGACCCATGCCTACCATGCCGATTACACAAGCCCAGCCGAAGTGTATCTTGGAGGCCGCAAACCTTCATGACCAATCTCAAGTGGACCAGCTCCTCCGCCAGCGCAAAATATGCGGCTGGAAGACAAGGCCGAGTGATATGGTCTCGTGGAAGGCAAGAGCTGAGGCACGAACAACAACACTCTTCTGGATCAAGCCGATCGCGAATCCCGACCTGAGAGCAGGCCACGTCTCGCTTGACAGGATCAGCGATGATCCATCGAGCCTTAAGATCGCAGACCTGTTCATCCTACCAGAGCACCGAGGCGGCGGACTCGCCCGCGCAGCTTTCCAGGCTGTTGAGAAGATGGCTACTACGGAGCCGTACGGCTCTGAGCAATGCAGAACCCTCCTGATCGACACTTTGAGTAAGCGGTACTCTGAGGACGAGGAGATGCGGCTGGAGTATAACAAGCTCACTGGGACGTGGCCCAGCCAGAAGGGTGCGACCAACGAGGACTGGTATGCGCGCATGGGATACGTTACTTACGAGGAAAAGCCTGCCTATCCCGAGCGAGAGAGCAGGCCTACCGGGAGGTTCCTCCTGGCGTCGTTCATGAAGAAGGAAATACGCCGGTAGACGCTTATTGTGTGCATAGATCAGGTCTATCCTCCAATAGCATGATAGATGTGCCAATCTGCCAGATGTTAACCGGTGTGGCACTCAAATGTCCTATGTTTAGATATCAGACGCCAGCCTTGTCTACAGCACGTTCAGTTAAGAAGACGGTGATCACCGCCAATGAGTAATCTAAGCCAAATCACCAACTTTCGGAATTAGAAGTGCGCAAGGATGTCATTGCTCACCATGACGGTGCGAGGTTTGATAAATGAGGCAGCTGTAAGACGCCAGTGGGCTTCTCATATTGGCCTTTCTACTGGGTAATTACCCTCATCCTTCCTTTTCTGTTGGAAAGTCCCCATCTTACGTTCTACCTTAGGCCTGGGGCAAAGGATCTATCAGAATGGCAGGCCCAGCCGCAACAATTAAGGGCACTTTGTCCTGGAATACAACCTTATTTCTTGCCGCAGCGTAGCCCTGCCCGTAGTATTTCAAGTACGGCTCCGTCGTCTCATAGAAAGCCCCGTGGGCCTGTCCCTGCTCATCCCTGTCCCAATAGAGCCTACGCAGCCACAGGTACAGGTTTGGATAGTCGTGGCGGATCGATTTCCTGTTGCACATAAATACACTGTGATATGCAACGTCGAATCTGACAAGAGTCCTGGTGTATATCAGATCACTTGTTCTTGATCTAGAAATGGCACGCTCCGCGGACAACACAGAAAGAGGGGTGGGAGGGTTTTCGTATACTCACGTGTACAGCCGGACATCTGCCTCAGTGATGTGATCGCCAAAGAGGTATGGCTTGCCGTGCTTGGCCAAGATGTCCTCCAGCCTGTCGAGCGACTCGAACAAGGGATATAGGTTGGCTTCGTAAGCCTCCTGGCTGGTCGCAAACCCGGTCTTGTACACACCGTTGTTTACCGTGTTGTACACCCATTCGTTCATCTCCTCAATCTCGCCCCTCAGCCTCTCGGGGAACATGCCGCCGCCTGCCGCCTCCGTGGTGCTCTCGCGCAGGTGCTTCGGCAGGAGGTCGTCGAATTCCGAGTAGAACATCCGGATTATCTCAGAGCTTTCGTTGTTCACCATGGTATCTGTTTTCTTGTCCCACAGCACCGGGACCGTGTAGCGGCCCTTGAAATTTGGGTCTGCGTGCTCGTAGAGCTGCTTGATCTTGGTGAAGCTCGGGTGCAGCGGGTCCTCTCCGTCAAATAACCAACCCTCGGGGCCCATGTGCATCTTCAACAAGTACAGGTCAATGATGGACTCAAGCCCCTTGAGCTTACGCACGATGAGAGTGCGGTGTGCCCAAGGACAGCCGGGGGACAAGTATAACGCATAGCGATTTGGTTCTGGCGGGTACTTGGATCCGGCTGCTTTGGAAACGAAATTCCGAAAGGTACTTGCGGGACGTGTGAAATGCCCGTTCTCCTGGTAAGGCTGGTGGACGTCAGCTAGTGGTTCTTGAAACTAGCTGGGTGAAGGGTAAAGCCTCACTTTATCTGCCATCGTATCTATGTTAGTCTGTTTTCGATACTGATTGCAGTCCGTCACAACTTCCCAAGGGTTGTCAAGATTGTAGACCGTCGCTGTTGAGTCGGGCTGTTTTATATGTTGCCATTTCCGCACTCGGCCCCGCCCCTGAGCCCCCGAATCCCACTTGAGCACTCAAATGTCTCGATTTCACATGCTTTGAAATCCCCCGATGCACTGCATAAGCCCTAGGGGTCCGTAGGTCCCGCATCAACAGGCTCTCGCTACTCGGCGCTGACAAACCACAGCTCTTCCTCATTGGCCCACCCCGTTGATGTCAAATTTTAACGCCTCACTAAAATAAGCACTGAGTACTCTACGATGCCATTCAGCCTTGCTCTGTTACATACAAAGCCTACAAACAACATGACCAGCTTAGGCTATCACCCATGGCAATACGTTCAAGTTACCCTGGTGACGCACACGGCACGGGGAACGTCTGCGGCAAGCCAAGTAATCACCCTGGGAACATTGAAGGATATGTTCACTCATAGATGATCCGAATAGAGCATTGACTAGAACCACAGGAATTCAGAAATGAGAGTTCCGGGCCAGGTTTCCTCCGAGTTTCTGTACTTCATCCCAAGCCAGTGCTTGCACAAACTGGAACGGTGTAAAGGCACGAGCAGTTGCCACCGGCCTCCATCGCACAACCTGGCATTGACTGGCTTACGACTGACGTTGTGGGTTTGGGGCGGATCTGCTCCAAATCAAGATGTCTTGATCTCAACCTTTGAAAAATCCAGCTGCGCCTCCAGCCTCTCGAAAGCGCTCTTCGTGTCCTCCAAGCTACTGCTCCAGGAACTGCACCATAACACGCTGCGAGATCCAAGATGATGCCATAGTAAATGGGTCCAGAACCACCAAGATAGCCTTAGAAACCCACCCGGATGGCTCTAAATCCTGGGGCGGCGGTCTGGGCAGACGCTATCGAATTCACTACAATTAATCTTCTTTCATGCAAGTCATGATGAAATTCCCCATGTTGCTACCAGGGCTTATGGTCGCGGAAATCTTATTGCTTAGACATTTATGGCTGCAAGATACGCACAAGTCCCAAGATGAGAACTGATTAGTTCTAAATCATCTGATCGTTGGTACTTAGGTACCCAGGATTGGACTCGTATGCAAGATTTGCGCCCTTGTGCTCCACCAACGGCAGTCCTTAGTTCGGACCCACGCCGGTGACGTTCAAACTGCTCTGCTGCACACTGATCTTTTTTGATTTCTACGGGGTCCTTCTGGGGTGCCTCGGTATGGCGCGACTCGAAGCAACATTTGAAATCGGCAGTCAGATTGCTCCCGAGGTCACGCTGCCAGTGAAATCCGGGTATCTTGGCACATGAAGAGAATACATAACATGCAAAAGTCCGCATCGTATTAATTAGGGATAACTTGATCCTTCGTCAATGCATGAAGCTAATATGTACAGCCTTAGTATAGGACCTATGTAATGGTGGTCAAGGGGAGCCCAGCTCATTCACAAGAGCGAGCGGCTTAGAAAGTAGCGGCAGCCAAGTTGTTGTTGAAGTTGGCGTCCTTGAACGGCACGTTCGCGTCACCAAAGTCTGTCGTCTGAAGTGCGTCCCTGGCCGCACTCGTGAGACTCTCCCAGGCAACCAGTGGCTGGGTGCCTCCAACCGTTGAAGTGAGGCCCATCGAGTGGTTAATGGGCCAGTCGCTCTTGTACTCGATCAGGGGCTTGGTGCCCGACAGAGTGTACCCGCTCGTAGCGCAGTTCCAGTCTCCGTGGGCCGAAGGGCACACGGCCACGATGTTGTTCGCGGCCGTGGACGTCGCCGAGTTGAGCCAGACGATTACGCCCTCCCAGTCATGGCGGTGTCCCAAGCCGGTGGAGGGAGAGTCCTTGGGCATGTACCTGTTGGGAGAGTGTTAGTTTGTCCATGATGACACGTGAATCAGGGAGTGGCAACGTACCATGAGTACATGAGTGCGTAGCGGCCATCGTATGTGGCTCCGCGTACGTAGACCTGGCCTGTGCTGCTTGAGCATTCACCGTCTGGTGCACCGGTCGGTTTGAGTCCGGCACTGCAAGTAAATTAGAGATCTTGTTGATCTGCTAGACAATGTCGATCTTGTCGATCACAGCATGCCGGCCAACTGGCCCGGTGGGGGGGGGGGGGACTCACCCCGTGTTTCCGGCAGCGTCCACAGCTGGGAATGGGACACAGCCGTTGACGACCTTAAGGAAGGGCTTGTATGCCAGATAAACGTTTCCCGTCGTGCCAGAGGGAACAGTCTGGGGGAAGCCCACGACCTTGTCTGAATCGATGGAGGCACGACGCTCAATGGGGTTGGCGGTGACGGCCGCGGTCGCCGCGACGACGGAAACAAGGGACCGGAGGAGACCCATGATGATGACGGAGAGAGTGCCGCGTTTGAGTATGCAGGATCAAGAGTGCCGGTAGAGGAAGCGAGCGGCGGAAGGACGAAGACTGCTGCGGATGTACCCCCCTCATTTCTTGGCCAAGATGAGTAGGGCCTCTCATCTTTATACACTATTATTGGGACATGCACGTGTAGAATTATTGGGTAGGCAGATCACCACCACCGTTGATACCGGGTTCACGCCAATATCGGCAGTATGGTTGCATCGTCAGCACTGATAAAAGGCCCCTCCTCACCCCCTGCTCTGGTCCGGAGCAATGCCCCTGGCCGGTTAGGAGCCCGTCGAGGTGCCGCCTGCCCAAACCCCGTCTCCCAGGGATTGGCCGTCCAGGAACCAGACCTACGACCTGCGGACCAGTTCGCCCAGCCTGCTTTCCCACGTGTGACCGGTGGAGAGATCACTTGGACTATTGATTCAAGCATACCCAGATGCCGTTAAGCTTAAAGCAGCAAATGAACCCGCCATGGCAGTGACACTGAACGGATGCCCGTGAGCGGTGAATTGGACACCTCCACTGCACGTGTTCAGTTGTCCCTTATCCCCTCGTCGGAGGAACCTGGATGATCTCCTCTTCACGGGCCATACCTTCCTGTTATGTTCTAGGACCCATGGCTTGAGGTTGATCCCCACACCCTCCCACACTCGGACGGACCTCTTGGAGGGACGGGAGGCATTATGCATCAGGCAGGACAGACACCCGGAGGATGTAGGAAACCGTATCATTGATTGGGCCATCATATAACATGCTGCAGCCAAGCAGCCGCCTGCATTAACGCCCGGACTGCAGCTTCTGAGATCGTCAAAGCTCGGGGGTTTGGGGTCAGCACCTGAGGCCCGCAAGCGACGAGCGGGTCAACTTTGCCGCGATGAAGAGCACGCCGAGTCAGGCAGGCCGAACGCGCGGATAACCTCGTGATGAAAATCAATATTTCTTTCGCTTCCCGACCTCAATCTACCTAGGTGTGTATTTGGGTGTCGTCTCCCGCGCACTGACTTTGTTCGTTCCAAACCCATTGAATATTGTGTCCACTACTCGGAACCTGCCGCCTGTCAAGATTCTTATCCTACGCGGCTTTTCCTAAATCGCACGACCCATACGGAAGTGTTGACACCCCCCACCGCATGCCGATACGCGTACCGTTGTGATCTGTCGCGTGGCAGGGTCGTTCGAGTCAGCACTGATGTTCGAGATGCCTCGGTCTGCGTCCGCAGCTCGAGAAGCAGGACTTTCTCCGAGAACTATTATCTAGAGCTATGATCCGAGGAAATAATAGTTCCTTCCCCACAAGACAATCCTCCTCAGACACAAATGATAGATACAGGCAAGCAGGCGGAGTATGCCCATAGAAATGAGGTACGCGAAGGATTGAGCGAAAAGGGATATGGCCTCTCGGTCATGACTCTTCAAATCCCAACGAGGATACGATTAGCCGTTATCTGGATCATTCTGACTGGTTTCGTTTCTAGTCCGTGTACGTCCGAGGACATACATGGCGCCTTCATACGGTGGTAAGCGCTCAAGACCCAACGCTTGAAAAAGATACGGTGTCGATAACTATAGTTAAAATACGGTGGGTGCTTGTGGCACTAACAGTATGCAATGAAGTTGGCTGTGACTCCCAAACTCCAAGCCTACAACCTCGCACTCGTCAGTATTACTTGTGACATCAAGGCCTTTCCGTTGCCCATATCAACGTCAGGCTGGGCAGTATTATTCGTGTCTATAGTAAACGGCTGCAAAGACCGAAACCCTCCACACACCCGAGAAAAACTCCATGCTTCTAAACGAAACATGCGCGGCGTCTATGGCGAGAACGTGCCCAGCCAGGGCGACAGCTATACCCTCCTAAATATCGGTCAGCCCGCGCTCCGTGTGTGCAGTTCTAAGTACTCCGAGTCCCGGACGCGCCGTGTGCTTGACGTTGTCGTTGACGTGGTACGGGATGTAAAGCGGCTCCGTGGGTCGCGTCTGGAAACCGAGCGCGACTCACCATGTCTTGTTCTGGATGGAGAGCAGGCTTTCATCGGAGATGAGCACGTTCTGCGTCCGGTCTATCAAGTTGAGAACGGAGATTCACACAAAAAAAAACGGAGGGTATATAAATACAATACACCCCCAATATACTAACCTTAATTTACACCACCTACTCACTATATAAAACCGAAATTTATACTTATTAACTATATATATCCTTATCAGCCCTTGATTTTTAATCCTTTTATTGTTATTTTTAGTCTAGTAGTTTACTACTTCTTTCCTCCTTATTGTTTAGAGCGCTTTAGTAAGTCGCTGAGTACTATAATCTTCTCTTAGGTCTTCTTTTTATTGCTAATAAGGTCCTCTATAATTAAGTCAACCTGTGGTAGTTGGTTGATAGTCCCACGAGCCTAAAAGTATTTAGTGTGGGTGGTGTGTATAGTTGGGGGGTTGAATGGAGCCCTTTGATTGGCTGCAGTTTGGGGGGGTGGTAGTGTATCTGTGTACCCTCCGTTTTTTTCTGTGCGAATCTCCGTTCTCATCAAGTTTAGTATGGTAGACTGCGAACCAGGGCCACCCACCACGGAGGTGTCGATACCTACTGTTGATGCGACTCCAGGGCTGGAGCAGGGGTGCAGAACGTCCATTACTTAAGTATCCGGCGCGTGAATGAGCGCCTTCAAACTGGGGTCATTGAGATACACCGGCCCCAAGCCGTTTGGGCCAAGGATTCTGGGGCATCACGCTATCGTGCAACAACGCGCATGGTTCTGCAAAGTAGGTACATAACACGAACATCTCTGTACGCCCATCCCTGGCACCGGTCAGCCCCCCTAGCTGACATCAAGTCTAGCGCAGCTGCGATTCTTTATGTTGGCAGAAATTTGGGGGTCGGAGGCCCTGTAGATTTTGGATCTAGATCTCAGAACACATGCACTTTCTGTGACAGGGAGCAGCTCACATGCAGTCTTCAAATACAGATGCCATTGATGAGCTGCCGGTGGGGAGAATCCATAGAGTGCATGCATTCATCTATGAGCACATATCCCGATGATTACAGGAAGGTCTTTGATCTCTCACTGTAGGTAGGCATGAGCTTGACATGTTCGTATCCTTGTGCGTCCACCATCCAGCTACATGCACGTCCCAGCCCCATCACTTGGGGCCCCTCAGGGGTACTGGGTAGGCAGAGTGAAATTGTAAGCGAAGATGTTGTTCGGATCCCATTCCTTCTTGAGCGCCGCCAGACGGGGGAGCTTTCTACGGCCGTAGACCTGCTCTAGAGTCTCGTCACCCTGCGAATAGCTAACATAGACAGAGACATCGTCGTACCCGCCCGCCTTGCATAGGTTAGCACGTATCTGCGGACCAAGTTCGGCCACCGCCTGAGGCGCACTGCTATTTGGATCCTCCTGCCAGCTGAAGAGGCAGATTCTGTATGCAAATACTCTGCTATTAGCCACCTCGGTCTAGTTGTACCGCCTCATGGAGCCCATAGTTAGGAAGGAGGAAAAAGGGCTGATGAATTGCTTACATGTTACTCCGTGAGTCCCGCCATGGATAAGCCGTCTCGTCATCAAGTACAGCAGCCATAGCTTGGTTTGGAAAGTGCTCCATTTCAATGGCACTTCTACGAGCATCCGGGTGGGCCTCGTAGAGGGCACACATTTTATTGAAGGCATCGTGGAGGGCCGAGCCCGAGATGTCTTTCATATTAGCTGAGTAAGCGCTGCGGATTGCGCTGTCCTGTTGAATCAGAGGGACAAAGCCGAAGGCAGCGGCGTGCAGCAGCTTGTTTGTAGGGATATTTTGGATGGCGAGAATAGGCGGCTCTAAAGCTAGTAAAGGAGCGATGACCTCGCGGGCCTCATCTTCAGGGCCCAGGTAGGCCCAGGTCCCAAGAATCTGGGGCACAGAATGTTCTGGGTTGAACATGACCTACTATGTGTTATTCATCTGCGACGGAGTCTAAAGTGCTGCATTCTGAAAAGTTCCAAACCATTAAAAATAGAAATACCTAGGAGAATATTACTAACGATAGAGATGGGAGCAAGGTTTGGTGGCATACGATTGCCGCCAAAATGCTTTTCTAGCATCTCAAAGTAGCCTGATGCCATGTGCGCCGGGATAACGAAGTCGATATTGGTTACAGCACCACGCAAGCGAGGGTTACCATTGATGGGATAGATTCGGTATGTTGCTGAGGTGACCAGACCGAAATTGGCTCCAGCGCCACGCATACCCCAGAATAGCTCTGGATTCGACGTAGCTGATACATCAACAACCTTGGCTGATGCTGTCACTACGCGTAGTGACAGTAATGAGTCAATCAACAGCCCATAAATGCCAGAGTAACGGCCCACGCCGCCACCCAGCGTGGCACCAACCATCCCGGTAGCCGAGCATGATCCGGTCGCTGTTACTTGCATGTCAGTCCTTTACTTTTTCCGCATGCACCTTTGGGCCCCTTGGGTCAAGGAGCCATCTCATCTGACCATTTCGGGTCACTCACGTATGTCAAACCCAGCCTCAAACAGCGGGTCAAGCATCTCGCCAGTGGTAACACCACCACCCACCGTCACTGTCTCTGTCTCTTTGTCTAGCTGTATACTATTCAGCTTGCGGAGGTCTATGGCAAGGCCATTTTGAAGCTTGCTGTGCACAGTGCTGTAGCCATGGCGTCCAGCCGTAGCGAGGAAGCTGATACCGTGCTCTGTTGCTAGTTTGATCTAGTTTTCCATGATAGCGTTAGCCACGGTATCTGTTTCGCATGAGATAAAGTCTTAGGGGAGGGAGACAATATGTGCGGCGATCAGAAAACGCACCGCCTTAACGACATCTTCTTCTGTGGCCGGGCTGATGGCGGCCGCGTAGGTCGGAGGCTTATAGGTGGCCCATCGAGTCGTCACCTGAGCAAAATCATCGTCATCTGGGAAGCTGATCTTGGTGTCAGGAGACCAGCCGTTGCCACCGCTCGTAAAGACCTTTTTGATGTCAACCATATCTCAGTTTACAGTCTTCAGACTTTAAGACAGTAGACAAGTGGAAGCAGTAATTACTCAAGATAGGCGGGGCGATGAGCACGTTTTGTACAGACACCCGGCCCTGGGCAAGGGTGTCCAGCTTTGGGCTCACGCCATGTTTCCATCATCCCGGCCAATCACTACCGTAACCGTGGAACTTCTGTCCAAGCAGGCAACACCTGGGCAGTTGATTATCCTATCACGGCTCGGTTCTGCACCCAACCGCAGTGGCCAAGAGCCAAACCTGCAAGACTACAGGATTTCAACAGTATTGCGGGACTTCCGGCACTGTCTAGGTCGTCATGAAGGGCATGAATTCATTCCGGGACTGCGCGTGTGGTCTGCTGTACGTACCAACCGACCTGGCTTCAAGTGATTTCAACACAAAATTCTCTATCCTGCACTACAACTTGTAGATTTGCTCGGTTCGATGCATCTTTCGACCCGCTATTCTACTCGGCCTCACTACGCATCAGTGAAATTGGGCACCTCCAGTGTTGGGTTGATCCTGCATGAGCCAACGTGGACCAACGTGTTTGGCATCTCCCTCAAAGGGTTGTCAGCCCGATGCCAATGCGGCACGGCAACCAAAGAAGAGATGTTGGGGCGATCATCTAAACTGACTTCAACGCCGGTCTGCGACAGATAAGAATGGGGTTGTGGCCCCGACCACCTTCATTCATACCGTACATGTTGTGCCTCTCTTCACGTTTTCTGCGCCCATCATCGCAAGCATGGAGCAGACCGACAGGAGCCTTGGGAGAGTTTACCAACAAACTTCCGTAAACAATATGTCTCACACTGCCTCTAACAAACGTGATTCTCGGCTTCTGTATATTTCTACTTCCATGGTAAACCAAGATCATAGAGATCCGAAAGCTTCAGCGTCAGAGCATATATATCACGGTAGTAATGGGGAAGATAGTCCAGAACACGGCGGCGATGGCGGCCGAGGCAGGCGAGCATTCCGAATTTCTCGACCTGCCCATCCTCAGCATCTTCATCTTTGTTTCTACCACTGTCGTCACCCTTCGTCTCTTGTCAGTTCTGTTCGCGTGGTCGGGGATCAGACTCTCGCTGTGTGTTTCGGCTTCCCACTTCCACCTGTCCAGTCCAGGGCCCCGCATCAGAAGACTCTACCCGTCATCTTTGAGACGATATCCACCAAGTCAACACACTGTGAGATGATGCTTTGTGAGGCGGATGGCAAATTCTGGGGGGAACATTGTCCCAAATTGTGGGAAAACCTGTACGTGTGTGATGCGAATGTGAAAACAAAGCGTCCGTCCATACACCTTTGCACTTGAATTTTCATTTGAAAAGTTCGACCAGAAATCAGGTCGCTCTCTAAGAGAATGAATTGCTTCGCTCAACAACACGAAGGGGTATTTGGAATGGCGACTACAGAGTGAGAAGTGAAGGATTGGACCTTGATCATTCATAGTCTGGTGCGTCTCAGTCTTGCTCGGCAACCCTCAGTCATTTCTTAAGAGAGCATCAGCAGTTAGGGAAGATGATTGATTAGAATTAATCCAACCGAAACGAATCTGAACACCAATAAAATCAGAATATGTGCTTCCACCTGATCCAGCTGAAAAGAATGGACTCGGACTCCGTACCGGGTGAGCCCACGTCTCCAGTGCCCGGGTTTACATGCCGGGGAGTTTGGCGAGCCCTGGAAGAGGTTAGAACAAGTCTTTTCAGTAAAGGGGTCACTACTCACAGCCATCGGTCTGCTCCTGAACCGTTTGCTTAATTGTGCATTGGTTGGCAACGCTCATCTGCTGCTTCGTGATGGAGCCGCAGCCGTCGTAGAAGCATTCGGACTTGTTCATGGCGCGTTGGAGCGAGTCACCCTTCCAGCCAAACATGTAGTCTGCATGGGTGCCGGCCGCCGTGCCCTCGAAGCTCCACACATACGGGTTGGGTGTTCCTGAGGGCCACATGCTGTTGAACTTGGAGGTGTCCCAGACGGTCTCGAATGCGACCTGTATTGCGATGGTTAAAATCAGGAACACAATGCGAAATATTTGGACTGTACTGACCTGTGGCATGCGGACAGGGTGACTAGATGGGCACTTGCCAGCGTTGACAAAGCCGTCCTGAGTGATGGTGTTGTACATGTGCGACTGGTGGTCAGGGCTGTCGAGGTTCTTGCCGTCCCAGCATCTAGTTCCAATTAGTATGAGATAACGAAAATTCGGGATAGAGGCACTGCTCACGCGGGGAAGTGCTGAGTGACGAAGATACCGCCAGGGCATGGCGACGTGGGGAAGTTGGCCATCTCCGGTCCTCGGTTGAATCCACTCTGCAGACACTGGTAACGCAGGCCCACATGTTGGTTGGAAGCAATCTTTGGGTCGCCGACAGTCATACGGAAACCCTACGATATGTTAGAATTTCCATATCGTCAATCACAAGAGAACGGGAATATTTACCGGTGGGAATGTCTTGACGGGCTGGTGTGCAATGTCGTCCCGGATCAAGTCTGTCTGGCTGTAGTAGACTGTAAGGCCACCACTGGTGCCGGCGTACCCATCTAAGTTGCCTGGGTTGACAGGGATGACTGGAACGCGGTGGTAAGAGCCGTTGGTAGGGTGCTTGAAGTACAGAACCGCAGTCCAATAGTTGGAGAAGTCTTCCGACATTTCACACGTGGTGCAAGTCGCCCTTTCACCGACGTCTCCTTCCATCGTAGCGTTGAAGGCATTTCCACCCACGATATGGTGGACATGGGATGCTGGAACCGCGCCAGGCTGGACAACCGGGTCAAGACGTTGGATCGTCAGAGTCGAACATTGGAAGCGCAAGCCGGCCTGAACAGGCGCGACGAGGGATAGTGCTGCTGCGGAAAGCCACTTCATCTTGGCAGTAGATATTGACTCGATACTAGTTCTACTTTGGAGGTGGAAGTTGGCGGAAACAAATGAACCAGGGACTGTCGTGACATCTGAACTTATCTGACTCTTATATGGTTGAATTTAGTCCCAACTGCATCTTTTTGAGTAATGGTTCCTTATTGCCTCGCTACCTATTAATATCTCAATGTTGTTTTTTTAATTATTATTTGGAGACGGAACCAAAAACGGACATTTAAGAAGCACCCGGCAGATCGTCGACGAATCAATTGAGTTTCGTATTAGCCGGATGATCAACCCGTGGTACAGAGACAGGTATTCATCATATATGAAGTCGCATCGTGATTCTCCGCGGTAAACACCACGAGTGGCTGTTTATCTGTCGGCACATGCGCCGGGCGTGGTATCGATTGTAGTGTGATCGAGTGCTGTCAAAAAATGTGCCGACGCCACCGGATTTCCAGCCTTGGTGTGACTATCCCCCCGGGTAGATGTGATAGGGCCGGATAAATCAAGGTACCAAGACAATTTATAGACACGGAACATGGTCCATATCTTATTCTCATCCTGCGTGTGGTGAAAATCATCACATGTAGTCAGTCGTCGGGTCCAAAAACGGGCGGATCAAACGGATGTGTGCATCGAATGCTCGTTCAAGGCTCGATCGACACGTAATCGGTCCGACTGCCAATTGAAAAGTTCTCCATATCACTGGACCGAAATTATTCCAAAGTCTCGAGAATAAGATCCCATTTGGTGTTGTACGAACATGACGTTGGCGTATTGTTATTCCTAGCTCACGAAATAAGAGCACCGTGGCGCACAGGGAAACGGCATGAATGCCTAAAACAGAGAACTCAAATTAGTATCCACATGTGGAAAAACGTTGTAAAAGAAGACGGGATGTCTTGACCGTTAACAAAAATTTTGTAGGTGAATCAGCACTACTAGTCTGGCATGGAAGAGCGGTTAAGAACCTTGGAAGTTGCTTCTTGTGACGGCACGGGCTTATATACTGCTGGATTTGCAAGACGGGGGACTTAGAAATTATGCTCTTTTGGCCGAGCGATCTGTTGCGCAGCAGTCAATGGGCAAAACCGTCTCACATCTTTACTTTCCAGACCAATATTTCTTTTCACCTCTTATATAACTTTATCATACTATATTTTATCCTTACACATAGTGGTCCCTTACTTTAAGTCTTAAATAATATAGTTATTTTATATATAAAGTTAGACTAATATATTATAAACTTTATTATAAATTTATTTTATATATCGTTAATATATATATATACTTTATTAAAGATAATTATTAGTAATAAATTAATTAATATTAAGAAGTCTTACTTTTAATAATATTTAAATATATAAAAGTTTTATTAATATTTTATTATTAAGTTTATTTTAATTAAATATTAAAATCTTTTATAATAATAATAAAGTTTATTTAATTTATAAAGTTAATAAAATTTAATTTTAAAATTATTAAACTTTATAAAGCTTTTATAATATTTTATTATTACTATTAATCTACTATAAGGTAATAGTACTAAAAGTATAACTATATATATAACTTTAGTAAATAATAAGAGATGCTACACATAGATTCTAGATCAATGATACTATTTCTTTTATTTAGTTAAAATAAGGCATAAAAGCAAAAGAAATTCCAAATAGATTGTACTAGTAGCCTGTGTGACGGTGTTTGTGTTTTTATTCACCTGAGCATGTGCTTAGCCACGTATCGCGGCAGCATTGGTTTATCCTCACGAATTGTTTCAATCTGCATCGGGCTTAGTTTTCCCGCTTTTTCAGTCTATGCTGATGGCATTTTTGACCTTTTCTCTCGTAGGTGGAAATCCCAGGGCCCATCCAATGGCGGGTTTCGATCCTTCTTTGTCTGGGTGCCCACCTGGGCAGGTGGTCACGACCATTTCGGGAGGCATCTCCCAGCACACATCTAACAGGAGGAATATAGGGGTAACCGTTTCTCCTTCTTGACAGTGAAGACTCACAGTTGTAGTTTTACAGCGCCTAAAGCGTGCGTTGGGTTGACCAAGTGTCAATCAATTCGGTGCCATGATAATAGAACATGCTCTCCGCAACGGCTGTGGAAACTGCTGGCAACGTAATAGACCGCCCGGCCAAAAGACCACCATAGCCAACCTGTCTGTTGTATATTCCTAGCAGTATGTAAGAGCTGTATCGTCACTCTCTCCAGCTTCACACTCTGAATTCCCTGAACTTTCACCACCTGGGCAGGTATTTTTGTTTCTTAGAGGGCTTCAGCATAAACAAGGGACATTTGCATCAATTTCCGTACGTGGGTGAGTTTTTATTGTTAACCGTGTCACAGGGAAGATGTGTAGAGGAGGTTCGATTTAAGTTTCTAGGGGGTCACTCAGAGGAAATTGTTCCACGTGGACTCAAGAGGCAAGGATTGGGTGACTCTGCCAGCTGTATGGACATTTTCTAACTTGATCCCGGAGACTATCCGTCATAGAACAAGTATTTTCCACATGAGGTAATAGTGTGTGGAGAAATCGGTAGCAGGTACGCAATATGACCAAGTCTCTGTTGCAGCCCTGGAGCCTTGTGATAATCACTCCAGATACAGACTAGCCTCGATAATACCAAGATAACACCAACGCAATGAACTCTTGACAACCGAGAATCAGAAATATGTTCTGTCATATCATCGTGGCCACATAAGTATCAGCCTCATTTCCCTTGGACTCTTTTGCTCCAAAGTAATGCAAAGATGATGCCGGGTTACCATATTGTCTTGACTTTCAAGAGCACTCGATCAAGCATCTCTTGTTCTTTGGGGGAGCGAGGAAGTAGGTGATCTGCTGCATATCATCGTCGCACATGGCTTCCAGCGCAGACATTTTCGCGTTCGGGAAGTGGCGGAAGAAGTGGGCGATTCCCAGCCTAAGCTCCATGCGAGCAAGGTGGAGGCCGAGACAAACTGTAGATTCACGGAAGTTGGTTGTTAGCGCGTGCACAACGATTTCTTTGACAAAATAATTCAAGGATAAAAAATGTGAGCTCCTGTCTTACCTCGAGAGCCGCCACCGAATGGCATGGATGCGTCCCTCATGGACTTAGTGGGAGCACCCCACCTGTCCGGGTCGAACCGCTCAGGGTCTGGGAAAATGTCCGGCATTCGATGCAGGCTCCAAGCTTGAGTGCAGACAATAGTCCCCCCAGGGATATATTTCCCAGCCAATGTTGCGCCCTCTGGCGGGACTACGCGAGGCAGTCCCGACGGTGCCGCGCCGTGGAGGCGCAGAGCCTCCTCGATGACTTGGTTCAGATAAGGCAACTTGAGGGCATCGTGGTCTCCGAATTCTTCTGGCAGTTGTTGGAGTTCCTCGACCAGTCTTTTCCGGATCATTGGGTTCTGGCAGACACGCCAGACTGTGTAGGTGAGTGTGATCGCGGTGGTATCGGTGCCGGCAATTATATAGGTCTGGGCTTCGTCGACGATCTCTTTGAACGTCAAGTCCTCGTCCTCCTCTCCCTTGAACAGCCGGGTGAACAATGTCGGGAAAGGCTTATCAGAATTCTCTTCTACGAGTCTCCTGTACCGATTAAGCGACTCAGTTGCGTATATCCGAATGCTTTTCACGAGGTTGGTATTCTCATTGAAGCCAGGGATAGGATATCCTTGGAAGGCGAGCCTGGCCAAGGTGGGAAACGAGGCTCTCTGTGCAGACACTGCAGCGATTTTCTCGAGGTTCTCGATGTATTCGCTTTTCTGCGACTTGGTTTAGTATCGCTCACCCGGGATGATTGGCGCTAGGTATACTCACCCTTCCCTGCTCCAACATGCGGAAAGACTCGCCAAACGTGAGCTCACCGATGATGTCCGTTGCCATGAACATCCACCACTTGAAGACGTCGGCTGCTCCGCGGGACTCTGTCTCCTCAGCCATCCGCTGCATGGTCAATCTGATTCGCGACTCGATTCCGGGCTGGAAGGTCTGAAGTGACGCGTCTGAGAATGGCGCTTGGAGAAGCCTTCGATGCCTTCGATGGAAGTATATGTCCGAGGTATTAAAGACGTTCTGAACCCCAGGAGCGGTAATGGCCCTGTAGAAGGGAGCCTTGAGGTACCTCTCCTTAACGGTGTGAATCTCCTTGACCGCAGTCACGTCCATGACATCGACCTCGTTTGGGGAGATTCGAACGATGGGGCCTTTCCGGGGTTTGTCAGTAACCTTGGAACTCTTCCTGGACATCTAGCAGCGTGCACAATGCTGACCGTATCTTTCATGGAGACGATGGACATATTTCGACCGTCTGCCTTTCAGCCACTCGTTCGTCAGGACAGCACTTGTGATCGCCGAGTACCACGGGCCAGGTATTTTCGCCAGAGGGTTCCGCAACACATTGTAGGCGAGACCTAAGGCGGCGACAGCGACGGCCGCGACGAGCAGGTAATATTGATGTTGTAGGCCCAGTGGCCCAATGTCAGTTAGAGGCGACATTCGGAATGTAACTCACGCGTTCGTGATGTGAAGGGTGAGCGATGGCAGGAAGCGTTAAGATGGGGATCTGCGAGCTATTATATACTTCCTCAAGAAAGCATGAGGTTGAGCACTAAAACCTCATTACCGCTGAGTCGCCTCCGGAAAAAGTAACATTTGAACCGACGTCACATCGCACCGCATACCACCGGCGGTGTCATGAGGTGGCCATCTCCCATCACTAAAAGGATTTGTGGGGCATCTAGGAGAAAATGAAACCTTGTGCAGGAAAGGGGACGAAGCACTAGCATGTGCCGCCAGCCGAGTTATGCTCTAACAGTAATTGTTACAAGTTTACACAGCCAACGTCCACAGCACGATGGTCAGAACGGCACGCTTCGCTGGCTGGCCTTACTTACTAGTGCTGAACTTGCAGCCGCTGTGTCCGCCCCCCGTCGCCTCTAATCGGTGCCGAACATGAGCGGCCGAAGTCGCGAGTACTGCATTGCCCTTATGCCGTGTTTGCCGTATAATCGATGCAGATCACCTCCAAGTCATCATCAACTGACCCTGACAAGTCCTCATGTAGTACCGAGGTGGCTAGATGGTCACATAGTGGTTGTGATCGTCGCAGACGGAGGGTAGGAGACGCGAGGCCGACTGGGTGGAGTCTTGTATTCTGGGGACGGACGAATAGCTTGGGGGCGGCACTGGCAGCGAACGTCCGGAGCCGAGTCGGAGATCAGCACCGGAGGGATTAGAGTTCCGCGTCGGGCGGGGTTCATTACAATACCTCCGTCGTTGCACTGCATTGTATCACAGTATCGATGTAGGTGAGATTGATTCCTCATAACACGGCTGATTTGGGCGAGTAATCCCTCGCCATCAGCTAGAGTACTGCTGCATGTCTCATTCGTATTCTTGTGGAAAGGACTTTTACTCGAGACACCAAGCCCGAAAGGCGCGTTGATGCAATAGCCCTGTAAAGATCCCTTGAGTACCTCATAATTTTGACCCAGAAAAGTAAATATCCTGCAGGTCTCCTTGTAGAACAGAAATTGCCTCCCTCTTCATGATTTCCAGTGGTCTTTTTCCATCGGATGTCTCACTGTCGTAGGCATCGTCATCTAGCATGGTAGGGCACAGAAACTCTCGGGATGTTCTTCAAGAGCCATGCAGAAAAACTAATATGGAATATTGTGCCTTGAATTGTAGCGGAAGCTCCCAGAGAGTACGAAAAGATCGTTACTGAATTGGCTGTGGAGAGACGGGGCAACTTGAGAATGGCTACGAGGGCAGGAAACAGATGCCACTGGTCGGGTCGCAACATAAATTTAAAACCCAGACTCGGATATTTGAGTTGTGCCCAGGAACTCAAATTCTGAGAGTCCTTGTTGACGATGTTCAAGTGGTATATTTAACCCCTATGTTCGTTTTACTTCAAAGTTAACCCACCTGGGCAGGTGGTGAGATATGGTCAGTGATGCCAACCAAACCCATTCTCCAACCGAGCCACCTTTAAGTACACTGCTTGCCATGTCTGCACCCAATCGCGCTGATCACGTAGCTCGACATCCAGTAGCATGTCGGCGCAAGTGGGATCTCCCGAGCCCTCTGCGATGCGTTAAGAAACGTGTCGGCCGCCGAATATATCGCTCGGACTACAGAAGCAGCATTTGAGCATTACGATAAGCAGGTTCGGACTTGACTACGAGAATACAAGAGATAACGGCAGCTCAATGCATTGTGCATAACTGGTAGAGGCGGGAAGCAAGATATCAAAACTTGCAATCAGCGGCCCGCACTCATGCAGGTCAGAGGCGTGGCCCAGCCGAATAGTCGAGGAAGCACGACGTGTCTCTCGTCTCACACATGCATCCCTTATATTGTCCAACCCATACCTGCCAGATTCAGTGGTAGAGCCCGGCAGCCTATCACCCTCCCTGAGCGCTATCAATCGCGCATCATGGCAGTCTTGGTACTGCGTGCGCTCGAGCAGCCACTTCTTTTTCACGGGCGATGCTGCAAGCCTGCCCGGGTGCTGTCACTGCTACTCTGACATCCTGATCAGCCTCTGGGGGGCTTTCAACCAATTTCTCCGCCGGCGCCCCAGTCTCTCCCCAAATCGCAGTCATGACATCGTCTTCGTTTCTATGACATGGCACGCTCTCAAAAAACCCCTCCCTGATCCCTGGTTTCGGTTTCGGGTAACTCCACTAGCCTTTCCTTTTACCCCGGATTCCCCAGACTGCCAGGCCGGGTGGGGTCCCCCTTGGCGAGGCGCACAATACGGGAGCCATCTACCGCGGATTGTCAAGTATCAGTAAGCTTCTTAGCCTTTTGCCCCCAGGCGGCCGTTGGTTGGAGCAAAGGCGGGCCAGCCACCACCCTCCCCAGTCCCCCGCAGGTCCAGCGAGTCCGGTTTGGTTGTGAGATTTCCAAGGCAAGGATGGCTGCTTGCAGAGTGCAGCTACCAAGAGGAGAAGGCACTTGATCGTTTGGAGGCTCGGGTCTTGTTCTGCATCCCGGAGGCGTGTGTCTATTCGGAGAACACACGTCTTGATCGGTCTTTGATGTGCGATGCTCGCATTGATGTGGTTCGTCCGCACTGCTGCAGGGGCGCATGTCTAATATATTGACAGTGATCGACCCAGTTCTTCGCGAGCCTTCTATGTTTGCATGCCAATATATCGTTTAGCGTTCCGCTCGCGATTTGTTGCAATCTACCGCCCTTCCAGTAGAGCGAATCAAACATGAGTAACGACCAGCCGGCGAAGCATCTGGCGCACAGGTCTGTCGCGAGACGCTGTCATTGAATCAGGTACAAAAGCTGACGGGTGACCACCCAGCCACGCCCATGAAGAAGACATCCCGGGGACAGTCAACCTCCGGGCGGCGGAGGGCGACGACACTGGCTATGGCCAGGCACTGTTCCCCGTTCCGGCCGAGGACCCCAACGATCCATTGCAATGGGGCAACACCAAGAAGACGCTGATACTGGTCACATGTGCCCTGTATTCTTTTCTTGGCAACACTGCCCTCCTTGGGCCAGCGGTTTATATTGGGATATACTCCCAAGAATTTGGCATCTCGCCCAACACCGCGTCTGGGCTGATCAGCTATGCCAATCTCGTTTTTGGCTTTGGTGAGCACTGGCCCTCCCAGCCCACCGTCGTCTTTGTGGAACAGCTCGGGTCTCTTGTCTGAACATGTCCATCGGCGGCCATGTCGTGCTGACCTTGAACCCAGGCTCTCTCCTACTAGTTCCAATGTATCGAAAATTCGGACGTAGACCCGTGATGCTCTTCTCCCTGCTGTGCTATTGCGGCGGCCTCATCGGCGCGTCCCAGGCCACGTCTTACGGCGGGCTCATGGCCGCACGGATAGTTCACTCCTTCGGCTCCGGTGTCTGCGAGGCCCTACCAGTTCAGTTGGTGAACGACATTTTTTTCCTGCACGAACGAGGCCAGCGGCTAGGATACTGTGAGCAGCCGTTGCCGTTCTTGACACCATCCCGCAAGCCCTCTACGCGCTGTGACCCGTGACTGACCAGGCGATCTCCGAATGACACAGACACCTTTGCCCTCTGCCTCGGTGCCACTGGCCCGCTGTTCGCGGGCTACATGCTGAACGGCGGCTACTCGTGGCGCCTCTTCTTCTACGTCGAGATCGCCTTCGGGGTGGCGCTCCTGATATTCGCCTTCTTCGTGGTCGAGGAGACGACCTACCACCGCAAGCTGACGCAGGACTCGTCGGACGGGCCCGAGGACGCGGAGAAGACGTCGGTGGTCGAGAGGAGCGTCACGGCTCGCTCGAATCTGCCGCCGCGGAAGACGTACTTGCAGACTCTCAAATTCTGGGGTGTGTGGGAGCATGACTCGGAGTTCTTCCTGATGATGGCTCGGTCGTTTACGTATTTCCTCGTCCCACACGTGTTCTGGGTGGTCACGACTTATGGTGAGTCTCCCCACCACTGACTGAGCCTGATCCAGGTGATGCCGTACTTCCCAATACGATTAAGCTAATGATTGCATGGCGACAGGCATCAATATTGGCATTGGAGCTCTGACATTCAACTATATCATGCCGATCAAGGTGACATCTCCGCCATACAACTGGTCTCAGCTCAACTCTGGGCTGGTGTCGGTCGGGACAGTAATCGGCTACTGCGCGGCCCTCCCCTTCACCACCTCGTCCGACCGCCTGGCCGCCCGCCTGACCAAGAAGAACAACATGGTGCGCGAGGCAGAGATGAGGCTGGGCGTATGCCTCCCCGCGATGCTGATCGCCCCTGCCGGGCTGGTAGTGTTTGGCTTCACGGCGGAGCGGAACCTCCACTGGGTGGGGTACTTCGCCGGCGTCATCATGTCTTCGTGGTCCAGCTACTTCTACTTCACATTCGTGCTCAGCTATGCGCTGGACAGCTATACCGCGAACACGAGCGAGATGCTGATCGCGATGAACCTCGGGAAGCAGGCGATCAGCTTTGGGATGGGCCTGAATCTTCTGGAGTGGGTGCAGGAGCACGGCTATGCTGTGATGATATCCGGCGTGTTCGGTGGTGTGCTCCTGCTCAACCAGCTGGCCCTGATCCCTTTCATGCTGTATGGTAAGAGTATCCGGGCGTACATGGCGAGGACATGGCTGGCGAGGATCCATAAGGATAGCGTGAGGGAGGTCATGACCGCGTGAGAAGATGGTCCTGTTTTGATATCGGGACCTGACGGGATCAGCGCTTCGGCTTCACAAAGCTCTCGTGGGCCTGGAAGAAGGTGCTTGGATCTTGCAGGCTCTGAATAAGATAACCCGTAACTGTTACCAAACGCCTCCCACAAATCCCTGCCAAGACGCAGTATGGGCCTCAGGTGCCCCCCATCTACCCCCCGAGAAGATGGACCAAAGTAGCTTCAGCAGCATAGCGACCAGGGGTAGCCCCAAGGCAGCAAGCACCAGCTTCTCCCTCTGCCGTTGGAGTTGGCGCAGTTGTACCTGTCGACGGAACTCTCGGGCAGCGAGGTGAAGATGATATGTGCCGTCGATATCTGGCAGGAAAGGGCGAGGGTTGTGATACTCGAGATTGGGGATGAGGTCCGCTATTTGGTTAGCCCTCTCGATGCCTTCGGGTCCCAGTGGCGCGCTCGGAGTTTGGCGCCGAGACCTCAGGAGCGGCGGTAGTGGTTCCTCACGCATCTCAGGTGCCGGAAGCTACCTAGCTACGGACGAGGAGACGCGTTTCGGGTGGTTGGATATGTTCACTGAGTGAGTTGCGAAGATGTCCGGCGCAGCCGAGAGGCCGAGGCCCCCTGCACGGCGAATCGGCGATACGTCACTCGCTTCGAGGAGGAACAACGAAGTCCAAGGTCCTTGAACGCTGCAGTTCAAAGAATAAAGAACCGGTCCCAAGTCGGGGAATCCAGAATACGATGGCGCATGTCTTGTTCCGAGATGGCGTCAGCCGGGGCTGATGAGAGAGAGAGAGAGAGAGTTGAGGAGGAGCTGGCTGGGCAATGGTGCTGAGCATATCTCTTGCTCTCCCACACACACACCAAGTCATCTTCCCGAGGTCTGGTCCCGGGGTCCCGTCGTCAACCCAAACCCTCGTCGCCCGACCCACCCTCGTGGAAGCGAGAAGCAGCCGCACACCCTCTTCTGCCTCTCCAAGCAGGAGTGCTGTGCTCTATTTATTTGAACTCCTTACACTGCCCGATGACTGCCAATTCCCTGTGCCGCAACGTGGCTAAGACATGCATTTTCCTTGCTTGCCATTGGTGCTCATGCTGCAGTGCAGCTGGTGGTTGTGTGTGCACCCCACGCGGGGAGCTTGGCTCGATCAAGATCGCTGCTGCAGGATGCTGACCTGACCTGACCTCACCTCAACTCAAATAACCAGATAACGTCACCGCCAGCCTCGTCTCGGGCGCCGAGATGGCGCTGGAATGGGAAAGCCCCGTGCTGGGCCGCATTTAGGGCCAGACACGAGTAAGTTCCTCGTTCCACGCACGCAGCTGCGCTTGGCTGCGTGCTTTGGCTGCATCGATGCAGGTGTTGGTTCTCTGGTGGGGAGGCTTAGACCACACCTTCCCGCCCGCAGCACCAGAGCACCTAAGCGGCCAAGACAGCCGGCTTTTGGCTGTTGGTCTGGCATCTTTGTGGGCTCTTGATCGGTTTCGGTGAGAGCAAGGTTCAATGGCATCTGGACTGGCATCTGGACTGGCCTCTCAGCCTCTCAACTTCTGTCTCATTCCCGCCCGTGGCCTCGGGTCCCGCCTCCTGGACACCCACAACGGCTCCTTGTGTATAAATATAGAAGCCAGTTGGGGATCGGGGCACACGAAAAGTGGCAACCGACATCTCAGGTTTCCCTTCCGGCCCGCCTGTCTGCCCGTCTAGCCCCGATGCGATGCTGCCCCGTTGGAAATCCTACACATCCACACCCCTGTCTGCGCCGCAATCCGCCAAGAGCATCACGCATCACCCACAATCTGGTCAGGCTGGTATAGGTCCGATTCCAATATGAGCTGAGCCGTGCGATGTGGTCTGGATGCATAGTTGCGTCCAGGTGGTATCACGGGCGGGGAATACAGTTGTGGGCTGCAGCATCGCTTGCTCATTCATCGGCTAGCCGCGCCTCGCCCGCTCAAGAGCCAAACGAAATCGAAGGAAAAAAAAAGGCTCCGTTGGCATGGCAGACCTGTTGGTCCCATGCAAGAGCTTCGCATCTGTATCACCTCGCATTCCCTTGTTCTGCCGAGGAGCCTTGCTGCTGGATGCAATCGGCTCCGTTGCTCATCCCATTCCAGCTCATTCAAACCCCCCGGGGGCCCTCAACCACACCACCCACATACATCTGTTTACTTTCGACGATTCCGGCCTCCTCTGGTTTTCCGGTCTTTTGAATTTGTTGCCAACTTGTCAATTGCAAGTCTTGTTCTTTTCCAATATCTGCTTCTGGTTCCTCTCAACGGTAGGTGGCTCTCTCATGTTACCTGTCAGATATTGTCAACCTTGTCTCCCCTTCCCGTTTCCCGTCTCGCTTGTCTGCCATTTATCACGCAGGATCAAATGCGTACAGCCGCCGTACAACATGCCCCACAATAACTGCCTGCCCGCCAGGCGCCGCCCTCATGATCTGCCATTGCAGGAACCAACATGCCTGGACCTCAAACACATCATGCCTTGTGGGGTGGTGCTTCCCGCGGGCTCTACGTCAGGACTGGGGTGCTAGTTGGCACTCATGGGATCTGTCCCGGCTGCCTGTCCTCTCTTGAGGAACCTAATCTCCCTCCTTACTCGTCTCTCACTTTTCTGTGGCCATCTGATCCATCCTCTGCCCTCCACCGCGCAACTGACCTCTCAGTCGCAGTATCAAACCTGGCCACGGCTTGCCTCAAATCTGAGTCCGAGGGCTAGCAGCCGGGATGGCCAGCAACGGCCGTGTTGACGGAGGGGCCCAGGATGCCCAGGATGATAATGAGCGACCAGGTCCAGGAACAGGAGCCCTGGGTATATCATACCCTGCCCTGATCCAACGATCTGAGTCGAGCCAACCGCTCGTCGCCAACGCAGCACCAACTGCCGGTCCTTCCTCCCCCCCGTACGATACTGCGGCACAATTCGGCCAACCTGACTATTGGCACCCTCAGCTCTCGGGGCGCACGCTAGGTGGTTTCTCTCCCACCATGGACTCTCCGAATCCAATGCCGTCTGAGGGGGAGTTGAAAGGGTCCATCTACACCGCCTGGGATCGAGGCTCTAAGACGGCGACATATCAGAGCCTAAACGACGACAGGGGAGCCGCTGCTTCTGGAGGACGGCGGAGAAGTGACGACGACTCCATCAGCCTGGACTCGCTACAGATGCAAGATGAGAGCCAACCGTATTCCAGCGACACAGTGGGAGAGGGCGGCCCAGGCGACTACGACAACTTCAAGAAGCAGGTGCAGGGCTCGCCCCGTCCGGCCGGCACACCAGCCGACGTCCGCGTCAGCCGCCTCAGCTGGTTGGCAGTCTGGTTAATAATATTGTCCGTCTACTCGACCATCTTGAGCGGGTTGTGGCTCGGGGTGGCGATCGCACAGCCGAGATGGGGCCGCACGATATCATCGCACGGCTCGTTGGAGCTGTCAACCGCCAACGTCCTTACTGCCATTTTGGCCAAGACGATCGAGCTGTCTTTTGTGACGGTTTTTGTGGCCTTTATCGGCCAGGTTCTGACGAGGAGGGCCATGGCCACCAACGCAGGTATGACCATGGCAGAGATGACAATGAGAACCTGGATCACCGTAAGTGCCAGTCAGGTCCTGGAACTCGTCAGCGAAGCATTCATCTGACTTGCGCAGCAACCGGGATCACTACTGGCGAATGGGCAGACTCTACGATACGCAGGCCACACCGTTCTCGGCATCCTCACACTGATCGCAACGCTTGTTGCAATGCTCTACACCACTGCCTCCGATACCATGGTTCGACCCAAGCTTCGATTCAGCGGCTGGCATGATAGGGACCTAGAGAGTTACGTCATGTCGCCTTATGGGAATGCCCAATACGTGAAGCAATCATGCTCGACTCCACTGCATGGGATAGATTCTGAACATGCCAATGAATCCTGCCTTGCCGTGCAGTATTCTGGAGACGGTATGTAGATGAGCCCATACGTGAGGAGCTTGAGCTTTTAATCTTGCTGACATATTGTTCAGCACATCGAAACCTGCAAAATTTCATGGCCACGTGGCGAGATATGGGCTACAACGGCAGCAGTGCGAGTCGCGACATGGCCCTGCGACCTGCGCCTCAAACGATGCTCTACGACAATATCACGATGATTGGATCTTGGATTGAGGCACAGTATTCTGACACAGAAGAGACATCAAAGGTTTACGACCGAGTCGTCAACAATGTCTCACTGGCGTTACCGCATCCAGGCAAGTTAAACCATGTCCTGAAGACATGAGGCTGAGGACTAATCTTTGGATAGGGGTCTACAAGGCGGCGACCAATGATAAGAACAACATCCTTCAGCCTTCGGATCTCGACGGCCTCGGCTCTTATAACATCTCTGCAAGCGTGATATCGCCCGCGGTGAACGCACTCTGTGTCAACATGAACAAGAAAGAACTCGCACCGCTGGTATACACGGAGTGGCCGAACGCGAATAATACCGACAATGCCGCCGAGCCAAGGCAAGTCACTGGCCACGCGAATTGGCAGGAGGACGTGCCAGTGGTGTCCGAAGACGAGTGGCTTAACAGCACCGTGGTTGACGACATATTCCGCTGGGGACCGAGCTACGGCCGGCTTCCTCCAGTATTCCAGCTGTACCCGATTGACTACAACATCATCACCAACATCACCGTCTGGCAACAAAACACCACGACGAAATCCGATGCGATCTACATGCTCGGCAAGAGCCCTATCATGGAAGACTACACCCTCTGCGAGCTGCGGTCCTGGCCCGCGATCCAGTGCAGCACGCAATTCGACGTCTCCGGGCTGACGGGAATGACCATGGCGGCGCAGTGCGCCCAGTCGCAAGACTTCTTCCCCGAGAACGCAGAGGAGCACCCGGACCGGGACGCGTACGTGCGGCACATGGGCGACGGGGAGATCGCCACCAAGCCGGACTGGGCCGACATGGTGACGGGGTGGGCGCTGGCGATAGACCTGAACGGCGGCGCGACCAACAGCAACGCCTCGAACGCGCGCATCCTGACCGAGCTCGCCCTCACCGAGCCCCGGCTCGGCGACACGCTGCCCTCCCTGGCCGAGGCCCTCGCCGTCCTCGTCAGCAGCACCCTCGTCACCGCGTCCGTCGACACGCCCTTCATCCACTACTGGGAGTACGACTGGGACAACATGACCGGCCTGATCCTGCCCGCCCCGGGGGCCCTCGCGCACTTCCACGCCCGCGTCCGCACGCAGGAGTACGCCAGCTGGCACTCGTCCGACTGGCAGGGCGTCTTCTACCTCGTTCTGGCGTTCACCTTCCTGCTCAACCTGCTGTGCCTGGGCTACTTCTGCCGCGTGGGGCTGGTCAAGGACTTCCTGGAGCCGACCAACCTCTTCGCCCTGGCCACGGCCAGGCCCGGGGGCCACCCGCGGCACCCGCAACACGCGGGGTCTGCTGCTGCTGCTTTTGCGACGCCCGCGCCGGAGGTGATGGGCACCCCGCAGCCTGACAAGGAGAAGAAGAGGAAGACGAGCCTCGCTGTGCCGTACCGGCTTGCGTTTAAGGAGGACGCTAATAATTATTATTTCGAGGAGGCCGAGGATGAGAAGGGGGCTGCTGCTGCCAGGGCTACGGCGCTCGACGGCGAGGGTGGGCTTGGCGCGAAGCGCAAGAGCTATTATCGCCTGAGTAGTAGGATAGGGCTGTGATGGCAGGGCGACTATACGCCCGTCTAAGATTGTTTCTTTAATACATAGCGTTAATTGAATTTTGGCATTTTCTTCTACCGTTCCTGAGCTGACTTGGGGACCTCGGGAGTCATCTCTGGTTTCGCTTCTATTCCGCATACACCCGAGGACATACATGACGCCTCCATACGGCGGTAAACACTCAAGACCTAGCATTTAAAAAATAATACCAACAATAGTTTAGAGAGAATACTAAGTATAATACTATAGCCAAAAAAAAAGACTCTGGTAGAGGTCAGACAAAGACTCAAGGATCAAGACTTCGACGCAATGTAAGCACTTTTGATCCACTACCTACTTATTCGCTCACTCCAGGGCTCCCAGAACCCTTGGAACAAGGATATGTTCCCTTGTTAGAGTCTACCCCATAACCTTCACTTGATACAAACCACCTCCTCCGCTCCTCGAAGCACGCAGTATCTTCTCAGTACCTAATACCTAGCAGACCTTTTCCACAAAGATGGAATGCAAGTGATCACTGATGATCCACACACAGAGAGATAATACAAACACAAGGCCAAGTCATGGAATTTGCGCAACGACTTTGTAGCGATGCCTACCAGCCTTGTCTGTGCGGCACGAGGCTACCTAGGGCTAATAAGGCCATGTGCCTAGGCAGAGTCTTCTTACACCATTGTTGGCATTATTTTCGTTTTCAAACGCTGGGCCTTTAAGCGTCTACCCCTGTGTGAAGGGACCGTATGTCCTCGAACGTATGCGGAATAGAAGCGAAACCACACTACTCTATGGCCGAATGTCCACTGTTGTGCTACATAGAGGTTCGAGGGATCAAATACTACCGCAATGCACATTTACTCTTCTCACTCACTCGAGACCAAGAGCATGGCCGGCCGGCCTTGGTCGTCAGCTGGATTGATGTCTATCATTCTTGTCCGCGAGAGAGTATGCAATCCCTTAGCGACATCTGGACTTAAGGAGGTAGTGGTGGCCGGACAGTATAGAACTAGGTAGATAAGCAGGAGGTAGTAGGGACATAGGAGGATGATAAGTGTAGGAGTCCATATTTGAAGGCTCTTGAACCTGGCGTACTTGATTAGCCCCCTTCCCACTCGTATTATCCAATCTGGAGATGGCGAGACGGTCCTCCAAGAGTTCTCTCGCTATGTTTTCCACGACTTACAAAGGGTATCATGCTATACGAGCCATGACTTCTGTCTCGCCTTATTGGGCGTTGTCAGCGTCATAATTATCTCAGTTACAGGGGTGATATTGAAGGCAAAGGTGAGGGTCAGGTCAGTTCACTTCATGACGCAGCAACCAAGGTGGGATCGTGGCAGTATGAGAATCTATTTCAGAGACCACATTCTTCGTTTCTCTTTTGCTACTGTCAGAATTAACCGCATCCCAGCCCCGGGGACACGAAAGAATCAGACTCTCCAGCTTGCTGCGAGTATCCTCAATCAATAGAACCTGTTTCCCAGTACGCCGCAATAAATCTTGAGTAATTATGTCCCCACCCAAAATGGATTTGATCCATGTACACGAAGCCTAATTTTCCTGAGCTCGAGGTATGACGCTTATAGGAGCATGGTGCCAACAAGGCTGAAGAAGACGACGACTCCAGTGACCATGAAAGCCCCCACGTCCAGAGGACCAGGGCCACCCGCGCCGGCGTTGCCACTGGAGGAGCCGGTGGCGGCAGATCCTGTGGCTGATCCAGAGCCAGGCTTGGCATCTCCAGTGGAGGTGCCACCAGCGTTCTGAGAACCATCTCCCTTCAGGCCAGGGCCATTACCGGCACCCTTGTTCATGTACTGAACTGCCCCCGAGGGGATGGCGGGCAGCAATGTATTGCTAACGAGCCAATCAGAGTCGGCAGAGGGGCAGGCCTGGGAAGCGGTTGTCGAAGTAAAGCCACCGTCGCCAGTAGGAGCGGGATTCTTGGCCAGTGCAGTAGAATAGGCCGCGAAGTCGCTCTTCTCCGACACGCTGTCGCCGTCGATAGACACGATACCGTATCCGTTGCCCTCATCGGAGTACTCGTACACCAGACCACCGGAGTAAACGGAGGTCATGTCACTGCTCATCAGAGCCTCGACCTCGCCAAAGCTGCGGCCGTTGGTGATGCAGCCATACTCGGAGAGGAACAGGGGAAGACCGTAGCCGGTAAAATTCTTAACCTTCTGGTCCCAGCCAGACTGTTGGAAGCTGCTGTCACACCATGAGTAGTCGTTGAAGGCGAAGAAGTCGCTGCGCTCGTCGTCGGTACCGCAGTTGAAGTACTGTGCAAGCTGGAAGCGGTTCTGAGAGACATCTGCGGCGGAGTAGCCGACAGGGACCGCCCTGTAGCCGCGGTTCCTAATGTACTGGCGCATGTCACGGGTGGTAGCCTTGACATAGGGGGCAGCCAATGTGGTGTTGGCCTGGTCGTTGACGACCTCGTTTCCGGAGAAGAAAGCCAAGGTGTTGTCATACTTGACGAACTGGTCCACGGTGGCGAAGACGCTCTGGAGGTAGACGTCATTGTAGGATTCACCAGGGCTGTTACGGTTAATGGAGTAGAGTGGGTTGTTGACATCGAGAATCAGGTAGATGCCAGCATCAGCCAGCTGGCTCATGCAGTCATCATGGTCGGCAGAGTTGTCGACGGTATAGACACGGACAGTGTTGATTCCCAGCTTCTTGAACTCGGCGATGTCACGCTTGCAGGTGGCAGTATCAGCCAGCGGGTCGGCCAGGTTGGACGATCCACCAGGCTGGTAATCGATGCCACGGACATAGAACCGGTCTTTTCCGGACCAGAAGGCTGCGGGGGATACGAATCAGCAAGACGAAGACACGATACAGGAGCTGGAACGCCTTACCATTGCCAGAGGCGGTGACAGCGGGCAGGCTGGCGCGCTTGCTGGGTGGTTCCTGCTCGGTTTGGGTAGGGTTGGCCGTGGCGGCGGCCGCCAGCAAAGCCGACGTAAGGGCGTAAGACTTCATGATGACCTGCGTCTTCGTCGAGGTCGTCGGCAGGGACCAGATGCTATTTGGTGGGTGTTGAGGCAGTTGGCGCCGTACTACCTTGCTGCTTGCAGTAGTAGAAAAGGAGCGGCAGCGAAGGGAGGAGTAGAGTGATTGGCGTGAATCAATGGGTCAGTTGGAAGAAGGAAAAGAATAGCTGATCCGACGAAGCGAGTGAGTCGGGCGTGTCTCGCGGGTGGGATACAAGAAATAGCTCGCAGTCAACAACGACGGTTGGAATGTGGAGGAGGAAAGTGACGGGTGGTTGGGTATGATGGGAAAGGTAAAGGAGAGGGTCGTCTGATGTAGATCAAGGAAAAAGAGGCCAATGGGTCGCAGAGGGCAAACGAGAAAGATGGGAGCTGATAATAATAACAACCACGGCAATAATCATGCACCTCTCCTTCCTCCTCGCCCCTGGGACCTGGCCCCTTGCTCCTTGCCGTCGCCTGCTGCTGCTGCCGCTGCCGCTGCCGTGTGGGATGCTAATTGGGCACCCCTTGCCCCAATATGGCTCTGTTCCCCAGCTCTAGTTCCCAATTGCCCTCATCCTGCTCGTAATTGTCAGGTTTAGCTTCCCGCCAGTCGGGGGTACAGTGCGCGTGTAAGTCGCGGTACCCCTGTCTCGGTCGGACAGGTGCTTGTGGGGAACTTGCCAAGGCGTGTAGGGCTTGCCGCGAAGCCAAGTCACTTCTTCCCGCCGCCCCTGCCCTGCCCATCCTTGCTGATGCCACTCCCTCGCACGCCCGGATCAGCAGGAAGTATGAGGGTCTACTGTACAGCACACAGTAGCTTTGGGGGCATTTCATCTCCGTGAGCCGGCCGTCCAACCATGCAGCCATGCTGCCCCAGGACGCCCTGGACGCGTAGACATACAGCAAAGCATCCTCTCCTCTCCACACCACCATCCCAGACAGGCACTGCCAGACCAACACAGCATAGCTCCCGCTCGTATCAAGTGCCTGGCACTGGGGATTGATGACTGCGCGCAGACACTCACTCCAAGTGGCGCCGCAGGTTGGACCAAGATCTCATGTTGTAGATCGTGTGACTGTTTCGGTGGCCCAATCTGTCTGCTACTCGTCCTTCCCGCGGTTGTTTGTTTGGCGACGCTCGGGGTCAAGACGACTGTCAATAATGACGTCTGGTCTGATTCAAACCCCAGCGTCACAGGTCTGACCCTGGACAAGCGAGGCAGGACGCCCCAGCCATTGGAAACCACCGCCCCGCTGTTCTCTAGCAAACTCAAACAACTGACAGACGAACCCCCGAGAATGCTGGACACGCTGCTTGTTGAACACAGCCTCAATTTGGGCCACACTGGCACACGGCCAAGGACGGGTTGGACGCCGGTGCTTGAGGGTGGACCACACATTGCACAGCGGCGTATTGCACTGCGCTGCACTGCCCCAAAAGCATGTGCGGTGGCTGCATGGGTCGGTGGTTTCATAAAGTCTGTTCATGGCTGATCCGGTCCAATCCACCTTGCCCACCAGCACCAGAAGGCAGGGAAGGACATGTCCAATTGATCCCTTGGCTCGGCTCTCACCCAGATCAAGATCACGATCACCCCTTGCTCAGTGTCCTTCGTGATTGTGGGTAACCGTGTCAGCGCCGTGTTGCCCAAAACCTGCTTGTAGGTTAGGGAGTCTTGTCGTCCCAGTTTGCAGTCCTGGGCCTCCCACACACAAGGTCTTTACACCGCAAATCAGGAGCCAGAACTGACCAGCCTCCACAGCCGTCCTAATTTCCACAAGTTTCCGTTATGCTTACCGTTAAGGAATTAGGTCTTGGTGGCGATCCCCTTGACTGACAGACCATATTGTCTGGGTCTGCAATCCAGCCCACAGTAGCGCACGCTACCCCTGAAATCCTCATTTAACCCGCATCCTAACAGCCACACCCACATCCTCCCGCCCTTTGCTGTTAGCGCCCTGTTCTGGCTGACATCGAGCGACGTCGAACAAAGCTTCACCAAGCAATTGCCCAGGCTCGCCCCAGGTCTTGGAATTGCTTGGCCGAACCCGCCTGGAGAAGCGTGGCAGATCTCATTCCTTCCACACGGACACAGTGCAGACGTTGTGGAAACGGATTGTCAGGCAGTAGACCCAGATGCATCGGTAGAGTGTAGTCTAGAGAGGCTGGGAGGGCAAGCGATTTGTTGGTGGGGCTGGCCTGCCCACCTGGACAACGCATGAAGTTCAGCGCATCACCGACCATTCAGATGGACCTGCACTCCGGACGATTCTTCCATGTGACGTCGTTGTGCTCGTCGCACAACGAAGTAACACTGGCAGCCTCGTGCACAACGACGTAACATGGGCAGCATGGGCACCCGGTATCAGGTTAATTTTCCAAACAAGCACGAAAGATCTTTTGCACTACCGGTGACAATCGAGAGTCGGCACTGGAGGCTCCAACATGACGAGCATGGACATATCAAAAAGGGGTGCCCTTTCGCCCTATCCCATCAGTCTGAAAAACCTCACCGGCGGCACAAGTTATGGCTACGTGCCGACCGCCCGGAACACGTGAAGAACCCCGGCTTCACCGTGCTTTTCCTTGTACCCCGAAGCAGAAAACCTGAGGATTGTAATCTAACATCGTCAGGCTGTGTCATCGAATCGGTCCCTCGCAGCTACTCTGGCTCAGAGATTGGCCGTGCTGATTGCTACCAAGATCCCACCGAGTACACACACAGCATATCTTTGATCAACCCTTCCTCACTACCGAAGGTTTTTCTGAGGCTCGTTGCTATGGCGCGGGGGGGGGGGGGGCGTTCTTGCGCTGCCATGTGAGATTGTGCCTCAACTGCGTGTATGTTCCCGTGCCGGTTGATGCTGATGGCACCTTCTCGGCCAACGATTACAACTACAAACATATCTTTGCTTTCTGTTCAAGCTCGGCAATCTTTCATGAAGTTTGATGTGACGGCTGAGAGCATGCAGAAACCAGCTATCGCGGCTACACGCCTTGAGCCGTCCTCCTGTGGCACCCACGGTTGATCCGCTGAGCATGGCCGTGAGGAGCTCATGTGCCGAGCGCGAGACGGCCGAACACAACGTCGTGATGTTTGTTATGCGTGAGGCTCAATATTCCGCATGGACAAACCGGCACATTGCTCCGGTTGTCTGGGAGCAGGCTCGAAGACTGGTGCCGTCTAGAAGGGGCCAGCTCGAGCAAAATGACGGGCGCTCTCCGAGCAGGCGAGGGAGGCTGCTGCTTCACATGCGATAACTAAAGCAGTGACTTGAGGATAGATGAGAATTGCCAAACATGCTTTTCATGGCATACTCGCGGTTGGCTTTACTGCATGCAGACGTCTTGATTCTAATGGCGTGGACCCAGAACTCGGAGACAGTTCTTTAAACCAAAGGGTGGAGGGAGACCGCTTGACCATCTCCATGTAAGAACAGCAGGCTCGTCATGACTCTACCTCTATTCTACATAATCAATTTGAGACCAGCACGGCCATCAGGCCGCCGCGCCACCATTGAAGCTATCGTTCAAGTTTTGAACGCGCCTCTCCAGTTCACCTATGTACAATCTCGCGAGCCACCCCCAAGGCCATTACAATGCGGACATGAATGGCTGAGTACAGTAACAACCCTGTCGCCGCTCCCGATGCAAAATAACAAACGAATTCCATCAACGCCTGGCCTCGTCTCGAAGGGTCTAGCCTCAAACAGCCTGCACGTAACTAGCAGGTACGCTCTTCGTAAGCCCGCCCTTCTCGACCTCGGCCCAGCCGTCGCCGGGGTCCTCCTTGATAAGGACGAACCTCTCCCCTTCGACCATGGTGTGCTCGGTGTCGGACTGCGCGGTATAATCGTAGAGCGCCTCGACGTACCGCAGCTTCTTGGCGCCCCTCCGCGGCGCCACCGCGGGGCCCTTCTTTTTCACGGCCGGCGTGCCGCCTATGGAGGAGCCCGAGTTGCTATAAGTCGAGGGCGGACGCGCCGAAGCCCCCGTGTGCTGCGGCGCGATCGCCGCGGCGGGTAGTATCTCGATGTATGACGTCGGCACGAGTCCTTCCTTGTAGCCGGCGCGGACCTTGGTCCAGCCGGAGCCAGCTGGAGGTTCTGTCAGCAACTCGTGGTGATAAAGGGGTGGGGAATGAAGAAGGGAACTCACAATCAGCCTCCAGCACGACCAACTCCCTGCCTTCAGGTACAGAGAGCTCTCCATCGCCACTGGCTTCGAACGTAAACAGCATCTTGGCTTTCTCCTCCTGGTGTCCAGCTCCCGACCCATTCGGCGCACTTCCTGGCAACTCGCTGATATACGCCGCTGGTGGGGGCGCAATGACCCTGTTCTTCCTGACTGACCCGGATCCGATCGTAGACGTAGGCCTTGTGTTCGTAGGGACCTCTGGCGGAGCCTCCTCCGTGGGGCTCATCGCGCTCGTCATGGACCGGTGCGCGCTGGCCGCGTATCCTGAAGAGATACTATTCACAGTATTTGTCCTAGACAACACTGGCAGCTCTGCAACCTTATCGCTGGAGGCGGGGCCAGGGCTGAGAAGCGAGTTGGCGGCTTCCTGCCGTTGCTGCTTCAACTTTTTGCGCTCCTCCTTGGATGACTCGCCCGGACACTCGGCGGGGACCTTCATCTCGCACTTGCTATGGCATGTGTAGCCGCAGTCGCGACAGTCGAACCCCTTGGCAGAGAGGCCCCATATCCTCTCACCGCAGAGATCGCAATTGGTCGGGATCTTGAAGGTTTGGGCTTTGAAGTTGTGATTCTTGGCGCCGAGGGTGACGTCTCCTACGACGGCGGTGATGGTGGACGTCTCGACCTCGGCGGTGATCTTTTTCCTGTCCACGGCGTGGAGCTGCTCCTGGAGCGCGAACATGGCCGCGACTACAGTCACCTCATCGCTCTTGTCTTGCCCCTCGCGGACCCTCTTCTTCACCCTTTGTGCATTTTCCACCTCCCTCCTCTTCTTGTCTACCTCCCGCCTCAGCTCCCCAAGCGAACTTTTGGACTTGTTTAGCACGTTTCGCAGGTAGATCTTGGCCGTCTCGTCGACCACCATGGTCGGCTCGTCGTGCCACACGGGGCTTGGCTCGAAGACCCTGTCTGGTGGCTCGTTGAAGGCGCCCATGTTGTGGCGGATGTACATCATTGAGTCGAGGTGAGGCTCGTTCCGTGGGATCTCGTCGGCCTGATGCTGTATCAATGCCTGGCTCTGCTGCAACATGCCGAGTTCCAGCTGTGACGCCAAAGTCCAGAGGCCATTCAGTTTCAGTACCCGGAATTCGTTCAGATCCTGCAAACTGTCCAGAAGCTCAGGCAAGTACTCGTGATAGTACATCTCCTTCTGCTTGTTGGTGACATTGATCGCTATCAGGTATGTGTTCTTGATATTGTTCATCTCGATGATCTGTTGCTGGTATGCGCTCTGTGCCTTTGCCTTGTCGAACGACGACTCGGACTTTTTGCGCTTGCTCTCCACCTCTTGACACACGGCATCGTATTTACCCTTCGTCTTGCGCAGTTCGGCGTACGAAGAGTCCCTCTCCTTCTCCAGCTTGTCGGCGTACTCGGCGTGTTTCTTGCGGACCTCCTCGAACCGCGTGGCGAGCACCTTCGTGGGCTCCGCGACTTTCGTGATGAGGTCGTTCGCGTAGTTGTCGTGTTCCTTGGCTCGGCCCTCGAGGGTAGTGAGTTGTGTGGTCCATGTCGTGACGGAAGCGCTGTATCGGGGAACGTCAGCTGCTGCTCGCGTGCACATGATCTTCCGAAACTGTGGTCACACCCAGGCCATTGCTCACCTCTCGATAGAACCAGGTGTCATGGTCGGCGTGTCACCAACCCCCAAGCCCGCCGACCTCTTCGCTTTCTTCTCAAAATACTTGTGTGCGAGGGCCGTGAGTTGTTTGGCGTAGTCCTTCTCGATCGCTGCGCGTTCGCGGTAGAACCCCTGGATGTCATCGAGCCACGCTATGCCGTTGGCGACCCAGGCGTTTGCAGGTCTGAAGCCATCCTATGCGCGCAAGTGGGATCAGCAGATGCAACCTTGTATTCCATCCTATTCTTCTCTTCTCCCCCTGTGGTCTTCTCGGTTCTGCAGTCCCGTACCTTCAACTCCGCACCGAAGGTCGGCGCAACATCCACCTCGGCCATTGTCCCTGTCCAGGAGTTATGCGCAGGGGGCAACTGTCATGCGAGGCAGGTCTGGAGCCCTTCTGCAGTCCGAAAGTTGGGTATACGGTAGGTAGCAAATGCCTCAGGAACGCGGCGAGTGTCGAGACTGCAGAGGCAGACTGTCGTCGAGAGCGGAGTGGCGGGCGCCGAGGTTCGAACGACAATTCAATGAATGGCCCCTCCAAGTGCCAAGCATGGGTTAAATGCGGCCGAAGGATGGAGTCGCCGGGCCAAGGATGACACCCTGTTGGGTTGGGTCTTGGATGACGGTGTTCGTCTCTGGGGGTGGGCGGAAGGGTCACGGCTTGCAGCAAAAGGTCAGGAGCAAAGAAATGCAGTTCGAACACATGTACAGAAGAGAGTATTCCTAGGAAGCTGGTGCAGCGCAAGAATAACACAAGAAGACGTTGCTAGAAAATTGGTGCGACCAAGACGAAGGCTTGCCGGTCCAGTCCGTCCAAGGCCGGCCAAGAGCTAGACGACCTTCACAGCCCTGTGGGCTTCGTCATCTGCCATGCGACAGCAAGACCGCGGTGTTTGGGCATTGGGCAGCCACCCGAGCAGCCGTGCTAATCAACGAGTACTCCACATGGGAATAAGGATCAACCCCTGACGATGCCCTGAGCTGGCTGCCAGACGCCGCAGAGCATCAATGCGTTCGCCTTACCAAGTTGCCGCACTACAGGCAATATGCTTTAAACCAGACCATCACCGTCGTAGGGCGTTTGGCCATCCTTGGGGATACCAGAGAAACAGAATGCCTTGGCAGTGATATATGTGTAAGGAATATTGGAAGACACTGGGATAAAGACTGGGGCATTTCTGTACTAGACCTGCCCAGCTGTACTTCGCAGCTTGGCAGCATCCCGTCGTCCTTCTAGAATACCCTCAGGCGCCCCAGCAGTGCTAATGGAAAGAGCATGCAGCCTACCTGCCCAAAGAGCAGATGCTGAGGTACCTGGACAGACCGCTACACTTCTGCTAGGGGAAGGGTACCCTGGTATCGCACCCACTCCGACTGCCCCACTACCCCGCCATCCCATCGCTCAATTGGTCTGCCTGCCTGCCTAGCAGTTGCTGTTCGCTAGGCGAGCTATCCCTTTAGCGTCCGCCCAAAAAGTTGGCGTGAAAGGCACCTACCTGGGAGGACCGGACTAGAACTCGAGCCCCACCACTCACATTGAACGCTGACCCTGATATTGACCGACCTTCGTCAAAGCCATTCATACTTGAGAGTCGCATACTGAAAACCATCTTCTTTCAGGCAAGACTCAACAGGCGTCGCAAACGGACCCCTTCTCTTGACCCCCCACCCCCACCTCTTTGGAGCAACACGAGGCGTCTCCCCTAGCCGCTTCCTGTTCTCACCCCTCATACACCTCATCCCGCGTCCCCTCAACTCAACTCAGCGCATCGCATCTGCTCGCGACGCGGTCGTCGACCAAGGTCACCATGGCAACTTCTTGGGCCGATGACGTTGAGAACAACCTAAGCGAGCCCAGCTACGATGTTGAGGTCAGCAGGTCGAACCTCGACGTCGACACCGACAACCCCCTCTCGGCTGCAAAGACCTTTGAGGATCTCAACCTGTCCGTAACCTGTGCCTACCTATCGGCGGATCTTGGGCTAACACTCTCCACAGCTCCGAGGGCATCTACAAGGGTCTTCTCGCCATGAACTTCAAGAAGCCCTCCAAGGTCCAGGAGAAGGCTCTGCCCCTGCTTCTCTCCGACCCTCCCAGGAACATGATTGCCCAGTCTCAATCCGGTACTGGAAAGACCGCCGCGTTCGTTATTGCCGTCCTGTCGCGGATCGACTACAGCAAACCGCACCAGCCTCAAGCCCTCATTCTGGCCCCGACTCGGGAGCTGGCACGTCAGATCCAGAACGTTGTCAAGACCGTGGGCCAGTTCCTCCCCGATCTCGTTGTTGAGGCCGCCGTGCCTGGTGCCGTCGACAGAGCAACCGGTGTTAGAGGCTCCGTGGTTGTTGGTACGCCTGGCACCGTGCAGGATACTATCCGTCGCCGCCAGTTTGACGCACGAGAGCTGAAGATCTTCGTTATTGACGAGGCCGACAACATGTTGGATCAACAGGGCATGGGCGAGCAGTGCATGAAGGTCAAAAAGTACGTTCTGATGAGCTGATTCCGCTCCTCTGATTTTGCAGTTCGCATATGCTAACAGCTCGGAAACAGCCTGCTTCCAAAGAACATCCAGGTCCTGCTCTTCTCGGCCACCTTCCCCGACCGAGTCATTGAGTATGCCGAGCGCTTTGCGCCCAACGCAAACTCAATGCGCCTCAAGCAGCAACAGCTCACCGTCAAGGGCATTTCGCAGATGTACATGGACTGCCCGTCCGAGGGTGACAAATACGATGTGCTCGTGAAGCTCTATGGCCTCATGACCATCGGCTCCTCGGTCATCTTCGTCAAGGTCAGTACCAGGTACTCCCATTGCAGGCTACTAAGGCCCTGTCCGCTGACCCGTACAGACCCGCGAGTCGGCCAGTGTTATCGAGCAGAGGATGATTGCCGACGGCCACAAGGTGTCGGCCCTGCATGGCGCCTTTGACCCAGCCGACCGTGACCGCCTTCTCGAGGAGTTCCGGCAGGGAAAGACCAAGGTCCTGATCACCACAAACGTCCTCGCCCGTGGCATTGATGTTTCGAGCGTCTCTATGGTTATCAACTACGACATTCCCATGAAGGGCGCTCGAGATGCTGAGCCCGACGCAGAGACCTACCTTCACCGTATCGGCCGCACAGGTCGTTTCGGTCGTGTGGGCGTCAGTATCAGCTTCGTGTCGGACCGCAAGAGCTTCCAAGCCCTGGCCGATATTTCCAAGCACTACTCTATCGACCTGGTCCAGCTGAGCCCAGACGACTGGGACGACACGGAGACCAAGATCCACGAGGTCATCAAGTCAAGCCGAGCCCAGGATACTTACAAGCCCGAGGACCTCCCCAAGGCGGTGGAAAACCTTCAGGTTCAGGATCCAGCCCCCGCCGCGCCGGCTTCGGACCCTGCCCCTGCCCCGGCTCCGGCGGCCCCTGCCACCCAGGGCTAGAACAACTGGGTGCCGAGTGGCTTGAATGCTCCGAACTCGAACTGGGGTCAGAACTGGGGTCCAGGCACAACTTGGACGTAGAAGCGGCTTCCACTGACCAGAGGCCGGAGTTGCATAACATGGCAGCCCTGGACATGGAACCCGGGTCATTACCGCAGTAGCAGCTCGCCCGAACGGATGAGCGGAGGATTCATGATGGGCTACCTCCCTGATGAGAAAACGACAGGATGGTGTGCGCTGGTTTTGTTCTGGCCGCTTGAAGACAAGCGTGAGTCGCAAAGGACACGACCTGGACAGATGATGTTGGGAATTGCTATACATGAAGAAAAGTTGGTCGGTGGATGGCCTGGCCCAGGGAAAAAGTCTAGAAGGTGTAATTAAGATTCCCCAAAGAGCAATGTGACATAGGATCTGCCCCAAGGTCGAGCCAGATGGTCGCGATCGCACAAGATGAGGGTAGCATTTGTTGTGTGACATGTTCATGGAAGCGCCAGGCCTGCATGTTGGATAAAACAAGGGCTAATCCGGTCGGTTACTGGCGAGAGAGCATTGTGGCGGCGCTTGGCGCGAAGATTGTGTCGGCCCAAGAAGCGCAGGAGTTCCCAACTTCTGGGATCGACAAGCAAGCGACCGTGTCAACGACGTCAGAGGTCAAGCAAGCAACAGCTCGGTGGGACCATTGAGCGTAGGGCACGGGACAAGTTCGGCTTCCCTGCCCGCAGATATCGAAACGAAGAAGACATCTCGAGGCCCCTATCACGGTTTCGGCGTTAGTTGATCCGCCCAAGCTCCAGCCAACCTGGAGGCGTGGGTGCAGGTGAGGCCTTGAGAAGCTCGACTGGCCTGCGTGGGTGCGTCGCTTAGGCATGGTGCTGGCCACTGATTGGGTCGTGGGCCGTCGCGGGTGGCTGCTGAACCCTGCTGCTGTGTACTATGGTGTACTATAGCCAAGGGTCTCACTCTGTCGTTGGCGCCCGCGACCCCTGTGGAGCCTTATTTAGGCGCCGGGTAAGCGCGCACAGGATGACCACAGTCCAGATGTCTCCAATTCCAATGGAGCGGCTGCCGGGCCCACAGCCACTCAGCCGTCTGGCCGCAGCAGACGCATGTACGTACGGAGGTACATGCGCAGCTACGGTGGTGCTGTGCTTCACCAGCTTTTCCAAGATTGGGTTGCTGCGATTACCTGTCCATTTTAGTCCTGGCCGGCAGCATGCTCGCCCGGGTCTTGATCCATCCGCCCCGGCAGCCCGGCCCACCCTCCACCATCGTCTTCCTTCCACCCATCCAATTTCTTTCCCTGTATTGTCCAGTTGAAAGTAAGCGCAGATTGACATCTGCACCCAGCATGCACGTACCCACCCACTCACACCCACACTTGCTTGACCCAAGCAACGGCGGTCGGATCGCGGTACTTAGCGCGCATGGGGGAATCCCACCCACCCCAGAAATAGCACTGGCGGCCACTCATGAGGCTCAGACATGCCGGGTCTGACCTGCCTCCTACAGGCACAGCAGCGAGCAGCGAGCAGCGAGCAGCGAGCATCGGGCAAGAAAGCAAGCAAGCAGCCAAGCAGCGGTCGATCATTGTCTGTCTGGTCCTTGCGGATGATCTGGAACATGCCCCTTCTGGATGATGGATCCATCCCGCCCTCATGACGTTTCCCAGAGTAACAAGGGGGCCCGCTACCGCCGCCGCCGTTGCTCACCGTCGCCCATGTTATGTTGCGGCTACTGCCATCGTTCTGGTTCCGCCGCACATGTGCCATGCCATGTCCCCGTGGGAGGGGCGGCACGGTAACGCTGCGGATTGGGTGGCCGACGACATGGGTTCCGGGCTCGGTCCTGTACTATTATGTCGTGACACACACACACCCACACCCCTTCCCCGTGTGTGAGAGCTAGTCTCGCTGTCTCTTGCTGCGCGGCGCCTTTATATCGAGAGCGGCTCAGTGAATGCACGTCGGCGTCGTCTGCTTAAGCGAGTGGGACGTCATTTTACCCTGCCCTTGCCCTGCCCTGTCTGCCTGTCCTGGCTGCTGCGAGGTCCAGGCAGACCCTTGCGGCATGCAGCTTTGCTTCTCACTTGCTCCTCATTGTCCCTTTCTCCTTCTCTCCTTGTTATATGGTCCTCGAATGGGACGCCGCACGGTCTCGTGGCCCAGCCCGGTCGACCTTCTGATCATATTCCGGAAAGTCTATGTTGGTCCTGCTCAGCCTCCGCGGGCCTGTTTTCTGTCCCTTTTTACCTTTGTGTGGGTGTCTAGTATATACTATTACTTCATCTCTTCCTCCGCCTTGCAGGCCTCCCCGATGGGTCCCCTTGAGACACTCGTCTAACTTTCCCTCTATTCCCATCCTCTAATAATTTTTCCTATCTTGGGCTCCCTGTCGTCGGTTTTGTTTCCTTCCGGATGCCATAGGGCTGTTCTCGTTGTTTGATAGAAGGATTCCTCTCCCCAGTCCTTGTCCCAGCGTTCACCTCTGTTTCGGTGCCCAACCGGTACTCTGAAATATCCTTCTCCTTTGTTCTAGCCGCCGACTATCTGATTCATCAAATTTCCTTCTGTTGGTGTCTTCGAAAATCAAAACCTTCTAGACAATGCTGAGATGCCGGCCATCTCCTTAATACCGGTCTCCTTCTCAATAGGTTAGTCACACAGCCACCGTCCCCTTTGTCCTGCGTTCCCAAATCTCCCATCGCGCCACCGCCTCGCGTGGTGGGCGGGTACATGAAATCCACCAACCCCATCCCCGTTTTGGATGTCGAGCGGCTACCGGTTTGCCTCTGTTGCCGGCTTGGCCAGGTCTATGATCACCCGGTGGCGAGGTCGAGGTGAAGGGGGAGCTGCCTCTCAGCTCTGGTGTGATGTTTAACTCTCCTGGCCTCCTCGACTAACATGCGGACGCCGTCGTCGACGAGCAGATAGATGTTGTTACATAGAATGGCAGCCCGACGGGCAGGGCTGCTGCTATGGGCCACTACAGTACCTCTCATCGCGGTCAGGGCAGCCGAGACCGCATCGGCGTATTCTACGACAGGCCTCGACCTGGGATCTGATATCACAGCATTCGTACCATCCTGCGCCAGATCATGCGTCGAGTCGTTCATCGAGGTCAACTTCGACACCGACCTCTGTGGATCCTCACCTTCATTACAATGTCTCTGTTCACACACCGGCTCGACGGGATATACATTGGGGGAGGGCGCAGTTCAATGCATTGTAGCTGAGAACTCTATCAGAGCATGCGAGGGTATGAGTGCCGGATGTAAGTCTGGGGACATCCGGTGTAATCCCGAGTCAAATACAAGATGATGAGGCTGACTGACACCTTCAATAGCTGACACAGTCGCCAACGCATACACCATGTGTAATAATCAACCCAGTGCGGTATTGGCAACACACGCCACAATAATAGCAACACTGATCGTGCCTCCTACTGGCCCGGTCGTGGTGCCGAACCCGTCGCCGACGGCATCCAGGAGCTCGAACAGGAGCTCCTCGACAAGCTACATGACGCCTTCCGTCACCATGGAGCCCACATTGTCCACGAGACCTGTCTCCAGCCCTAGCTCCACATTCATCACAAGGACCAGCTCGTCCTTGTCTGCATCTTCCACCGCGGCTTCGAGCGCTACAGCCGCATCAGAGTCAAGCGAAACCGGCGCCGCAGCAGCAGCAGCCCCAACAAGGTTGTCAACGGCGCAGATCGGAGGCATAGCCGGTGGGGCTGTCGGAGCTGTGCTTATTGCGGGAGTCGTGGCGATCTGGTGTTTCACGCGCAGGCGGCGCGGGAAAGCAGTAACTGGTTTCTACCGGGTCAGAGACTCGTGGAGCCCACGGAGGAAAGACAGCCCGGAGATCTCGGCGCCGCAATATCGGGAGCCAAAGTCGATGTCCTTCACGAGGGCGCTGGCGCAGAGGGCTAACCGAGCCAGCGCCCGGCCTGATACTATCGGCCTTGCGATATCTCCCGAGGGCGCAGGCATGCCGGGAGCGGCAAGGCAACCCGGGGGGAGCATGGTCGCTGCGGCTGTGCCACCTGCGGCTCATCTTGCTCAGAGGCGGTCGCCTTCACCACCTCCCATTCCGGCCCTGTCACCCCTCCGGACGCAGGGCAACTTCAATTTCTTCTCTCCGCAGGGGCGGTCTACACCACAGGACCAGCAGACGAGCGCGGCGAAACCAGCACTGACCGTCGCCATCCCGCCGGCAAAACCCCAGCCGGCTAACCGTTCCAGCACCATGTCCAATAACCGCATGCCGTTCAGCGGTGGGCGCGACAGCGTCGTTACCGAGTTTGCCGAAGACGGAGAGACAAGCGCAGGACTCGGGTCGGCGCAGATATGGCGCCCTCCGAACACAGACCCGCAGTCGGCGTCAACATATTACGTCGCAGACAAATGGGGCAACTGGGTGCTTGGAGGCGGTTCAGGGCCCGAGGAGCACATTGTGGAGATGCCAACGCCCGTCTCCAAGACGGTGGCGGAGAGGGACGCCGAGCAAGACCGCGCGGTGCAGGAGAGCAACGCGGTCAAGGCGGCGGTCAAGGACCTGTCGTCCCCTACCCTGGGCGCACCAGCACCTGTGGCGGTCAGAGTCTCGAGGCCAGCTGGTGCGCCAGGCAGGCCGACCATCAGGCACGTCGCCCCCGAGAGTGGACGGCTGCCCATCAACACGAGGAGCTCGAGCGTGTATTCCAACTTCAGCATGAACTTCAGCCTGCCGCAGACCGTTCAGCCGGGGCCGAACAACCCCATGCCGAACCCCGACTCGTACTACGCGGCAAGCGGCGCCGGTGGCAAGCAGCAAGGGAGGGACCTCACTTCCTCGAGGCACAGGAGAGGGTCTAGCAGCGCTGGCGGGGCGACGAGGGACCGCACGAATACCATGATGTCGCAGGATTCAGCGACGACAATCGCGTCCTCGATTGGCAGCGAGGTTGGAGTGGACTCCTTCCCAGCACCCTCCCGCCAGTCGGCAGCGACCGAGCAGCAGGGCAGCCTGTCGCCTGTGGTCGAGTCACCCGGGCGATCACCAGTGTCCTATCCCAAGATCCCCAGGCCGCGCAGCAACGCCCCGCTGATGATGAAGCCGAAGCCCATGCAACATCCAGCCCTCCGGGTGGTCAACTCCACGCCCAACGACAGCCCGACCCTGGGCGTCGTCGACTCCCAGAAGCCAGTCCAGGTCGATGGTGGCCCCCAGGCCTCTGCCGCCGCCGCCGCGCCAGCCCAGGCACGGGTCTCGTACTACAACCCGCCGCCGCCCAGGAGGCACCCGAACCCGAACAGGAACCCGGGCCAGGTCCGGTCCGGGTCGCCCGAGACGCCGCCGGGCCAGCCGATCCCGCGGCCCCTGGCCGTGCCCAGCAACAGGCGCGACACGACCAAGTCGCCGCCGCTGCAGTCGTTCCAGCAGCACATCAACAACCGCTCCCAGCTGCCCTCGCAGTCTCACTCCCGCTACGGTCCCATGTCCGTGTACGACGCGTACTCGCGGCCCGAGTCGAACCTGCCGTCGCAGCAGCAGCAGCAGTACTATTACCAGCAACAGCAACAACAACAACAACCATCACAAGAATACCACTACCAGACCGAGCCCGGCGGGCCCTACTCCTTCTCCCCGGACCCCTCGCAGTCCGCCTCCCCGGCATCCGCGTCCCAGTCCCCCTCGGTCTCAAACACGACCCTCAGGACGACGGACAGCCAGTCCAGCCTGCTGGCCGCGAAGCGCCTAGGGCCCGAGCGCGCCGCCGCGCTGCAGATCGGCGGCGACTCGGCCGAGGCCCGGCAGGCGCGGTGGAGGCGGCGGACGTCTAGCCTCGGGGCCAGGGCCGGTGCCGATTACGACGGCGCCGCCGCTGCGCCGAGGGGCGTTGTGTACCGCCAGGCCGCTGCCGGCGCTGGTGGTGGTGGTGGCAAGAAGCCCAACAGCACCAGGGAGAGCGACGTCCCGCTGCCCGCCACGCCCGGGTGGAAGCCGCAGCTTACGCCCAAGCGGAGGGGGGACGATTTGTTCCTGAGCGTGCAGTGAGTTTGGATGGGTGGGTGGGTGTCTTTGTAAGAAATTGTAATATCAGATTTCTTTTCTGTTTGGTTTGGGGTTCGCTATTTCTCTCTCTCTCTCTGTCTTTCCTCTTTTTCTTCTTCTTCCTTCTCTTATATCCAGATCTGATCTTATGGCGTCGTGGGCGCAATGTTTGTGGGTATTTATCTATCATGCTGGGAGTTTCTTGGAGTTTCACAGGGAAGACACAAAAGAAGACAGCGGTGAATCTTGACTGCTGGGTGGTTTGGTTTATATGGCCTACTTACTACGACCACGGTGTTTATTCAGTGGATGGCCTGGCTGGCGTTTTTGGGGGGAAGTGTTTGGTCTACTACATTCTTTTTGGGGGCTTTCTACTTGATAGTCGACACATCTGAGATACCACACAAAATTGCATTGTCATATTCTCTACATCTATAATCCCGGTCTTGCTGTGCCTTCGCAGGGACGCACTTGTCTTCTGCGGTTTGTGTGCCTCCTTTTCTCGCTATTTGGTATCGAACAGCCTGAGATCAGCTTAGGGAAATATAGGCAGCCACCTCGGGGGGAAAAGACAGAGACGTGGGCGCGAACGAGCGTCTTCTGTCCTGCCCTGTCGGAGATGCGATACTAGATCAGTGATTAGATGTTGAGTGGCAGAGCACATGTGAGAGCGGAGAGGAAGCGCCAGCCCGATGTTCATTGACAAATAGACTATTTCGTTCGTCTCACAAGAAACAAACAGGACAGTAAGAGACACTCAGAAGCATACATGCACGCACGACACATCACGGGGACGGCCAAGACATGGTAAATGATATAGATATCAATGTCAATTTTCATTTTCACTTCGAATACCTAGGGACGCCTCAAACTCCGATGTGTCGACGCATGCCTTGGAAAGAGGAAGGGTTCAAGTACAAGGATCAATCATTTGGAAAAAAAATAAACCATGCATGCCGTTCGTTGCCCCCATTGCCACAGGTTGATGGAGGGAGGGTGTTCCTCCCACCGTTCCACCAACCAAGATAAAATATGAACGAAAAGCAAATACTGGCCAGAGGGCCGCGAAGCCAGATAGCCAGGTGATGGCGAAGTAATTAGGGGCGGTGTGTACACAGAAGGGTCTGGGCGCGCGCAACAGCAGGATTACGGCACGTAGGTTTCAGAGCTTGAGCCGGCTGCGGTGCGAGACGTCCGACTCGGCCCCGCAAGGAAGTCCCGGACGCTAACCTGTCTGCTAGGAGCACTCGAGGCCGAGGAGGCAGCAGGACTGCGCGCCCGCTGTTTCCCCTTGGATGCCATCGACGATGGGGTATCAGTAGCAGGAGAGGCCGCAAGGAGAGGCCGGCAGATATCAGGTGGTACCTTGAGCCCGATCCCGCGGGCCTCCTAGGCACCGCCTGACGTCCCGAGGTCGCGCCCGCTGGCCATGGCCGCCGCTGAGCCGGCTGGATGTTTTGAGGACTGAACATTGTTCCATGAAAGGTACGTGTGGTCGCCAAGTTTCCTGTACATGCCCGGTTAGCATTGGCATTCAATATGCTGTTGACGCCCGCGAGATATCGCGTGCGTGAGCGTGAGCGTGAGCGTGAGCGTGAGCGTGAGCGGGCTGACCTTGGCTTAAGCAAGTGCGTCACGGTGAAAATAGCACCGAGGAGGATGCAAATCCCACCCACGACCAAGTATGCGATTCCTAGGAACGGGTTTCTGCCACCCATGACAGTCCTGGTGCTGAGGACAATGGACTTGGTGCCCTTGTAGACGTCCGCAGGGAACCCTGGCGTTTGGAGTTAGTATCCATACACTACATCGAATGTGTATCAAGGGAGGCGGAACACTCACAGTGAATGATGTCCACCTGGTATTGTCCCTTTTCCATCTTCTGGGTGTCGTTCCTCATGTACAGCTTGCTGAAAGTCGGCAGGCCGGCCGTGCGCATCCAGACCATGAAGTGCTCGTCATCTCCTAGGTTCGGAGGGGGGTTGCTTTCGGTATAGCCATTGGGATACCGCACCCTCCAGTTGAGTGGAACAGCAATCTCGTCCAGTTTGGTCTCGGAAGAGATGTTCTTGAACAGGTCCTTGTCGGAATTCCAGGCAATGCCCTTCTCGGTCATGTTATAAGGCACTTCGTCATTGCCCACGGAGAACGGGCTGTAGAAGGTGTCATTGAAGACGGAATTGGCGATCAGGCCGCAGGGATAGAATGGCTTGCCGGAGATTTCCTCCGTCTTAAGAGGCTCACACGAGGAACTGGCGACCTGGGCCGTGGTGACCTTGGTACCAGCCAATTGTTTATCGTAGAAGCTGTTGACATAGCGGCGATGGTTTTGGTAGAAGTTTGTAAGCTGGTAGTAGAAGAGCACAGGCGGGCCCATGTCCTCGGGTATTGTGAACTGGATCATGCATTTCTGGGTCGGGGTGGGGACACCGTCGAAGGTGACGTTAATATCCTCGCGCTGCCACTGAGCCTGGATGTCGCTGTTGTTCTTGAACTGGGTGAAGACGTTATCGGAGGGCACGGCGTCGAAGGTGGTGTTACTGGCATCCTTGTAGCACGTCGTGTAGTCGATGGAGATCTCTTGGACTTGCGAGCTGGCATACAGGAGTAGGCCACCTATGGGGGCGAAGATGATGCCGATGGAGAAGAAGAGGGGGAGGACGGTCTTTGGCGTGAGGATTGGTCTATTGCGCTGGTCAGCGCTGGGTGGCAGGGAGGCCGGGTCATGATGGTGGTCGTCGACTTACTGCCATGCCTTGAGCCGCTGCTGTCGAAAGGCAGTGTCTGTTGGTTGACACGGTCATCAGCGTCATGTCATCTCCCGGCAGAGGGCGTAGAACATAGGGCGTCCCATCGTTCCCATCACCCCACTGAGGACGGTGGTATTGTGGGTTGACTGGTACCGCTGTCCTCGTGGCTCATGGCTCATGGTGCGGGTGCGGGCGCAGGCGCGGGTGCGCCGGGTGGGACTCACTGGCTGGCCTGCGGCTCTTCTTCTTATCGTTGGACTTGCTCCCGGAATCCTGGGAGGCGATCGAGTCGGTATGGCCGACTCTAGTCGGTGAATCGGCCATGTTGATGGATAACAGCGTCGACGGGGTCGGTGTGGGATGTGGGATGCAACTAAAGGGAAAAAAAGAGAGTGTCGGTCAGGTCGGTCGGGTCGAATGCGATGACATGGGCGTGTACGGGACAGACGGGGACGGGACGTGCATCCGCTCTTTGACGAGACGGCGCTGGAGAGGGTCCGAATCCCAGTGGCAGTGGCAGTGGCAGTGGGCAGCGGCAGCCTTCGCCTGCTCGCAGGAGTGTTGCTGGAGCGCTGCAGGATCCGACCAACCTCTAGCGTAAGATTGTGGCTTGGCCCTCATCAGTCACAAGCGCTGCAGAGCGAACCAAGGAGGCGCAGCTGGCTTGGTAGAGAGACATGCGAGTCTCTGGGTGTTGGGGGGGGGGGGGGGAGGTTGTTCGCTTACATAATCATCTCGGCTGGGTCGGGCCCAAGCGGGCAGCACCATTGGCAGTACGGAGTGCTATTATTACTATGCTGCAGACTGCAGTAATAAGTGCGGCTGTGAGCTTGCATATACTATTACCTGGCTTATGATGCCCATACTCGACACAGCTGAACTTGGGGTTCGGCAAAGGTGAGTCAAACCCAAACTTTGGCTTGCAGAGAGGTGCTTGGATATTGACTGACGTATTCTACAGACAGCTCGGGCAGTGGGGTGGCATTGCGCCCGGGAGCATCAGCAATACCACCAGGCTGCATTGGCCGAAGAATAGCCACCAAGACAGACAGTCCCTGAGTCCCTGGATCGTACCCGTACCCGTACCCACGCCGGGGGGCAACTCATTGACGAGCCTGCCTGCCAGCTGCAAATGTTTAAGTCGCGAAGCTTTTGCCACCTTGCCTCTGGCCAGTCTTGTCTTGCCCGGTAGCCAATCTCAGCCATGCCTCCGAGTCAGACCCAGTAGTTGGCGTCACCCTGCTGTGCAGGATGCGACTACGGACAGGACAGCTGCTACAGAAGGGTTACAAGGCAAGAAAGGTTGCCAGCTGTCTCTGCGCTCGTCTTTGTCAGGGTCTAGTCTACTGGCGTGCTTGCAGGCTCAGCAGCAAGCAGTCAGTCGGTCAGTCGGTCAGCCATCATGCCGGGTCATCCGGCCATTTCGGGTTACAGTCCCCCGTCAACGAAGAAAAGCAACTGGGACAGTTGGACAGTTGACGACGTCTAATTCCATGTAACATGGTGATCGGAAACCGACGCCAGCCCGGCAGACAACGCTCCTTCACACGTCTCCCCCGGCCAGATCTCATTGACAAGACGATGAGGGGGAGAAAAAAATTCAAAACCTCGTACTGACTGGGCGCGCCGAAACAGCGGTCATTGCGATGACAGGCATAAAGGAGGCGGCGAGGAATGAGTGGACCTCCAACGTCAGATGCTGCATCAGCCGGGCAGCCGAGTGTCGGGCGCTGCATACTCTTACCTAGGTACGGTACAGTGCGTACCCAGGTACCTACCTGGGTAGTTTGTCCACAACCCGGTAACACGATATTGTACCTGCTGGCCAGCTAGCTAGGGTCAGTAAAATGCAGGAGGCGCAATGGGCAGCGCTCATGTCTGGCGTATTTGTGACAAGAATCCCCACGAGGGCGGCGAGGCAATACGGGCGACATGGGGAAAAGCGGACGAACCGCGGTCGGGGATTAAATGGTGACATGACATGGAAATAAATGGAAATGATTGGGGTCGTGATAAGAGATGGGACGGCTTGTTTGAGGCTGCGAGATTGGTAGGAGGGCTGGGAGGGCTGGGAGGGCTGGATGCAGGTCCACGGGTTCGGTGGCGAGCTGCAACAGAAGCCTGAGAGAAGCTCGAGAAGCTCGAGGAAGCACCTCTCGCAGGCTTCGGTCCCCTTCGCTGGGCGGGAGGCCAGGGGGCCAGGGGGGCCAGGGAGCTTGGGGCTTGCAAGGGCTTTGTTGTCGGGCTTGGGCCGCCAGCCAGGGCCCAGGGCCCAGGGCACCACAGGGCATTGGGCCATTGGCAGGCCATGCGCCCGTGGGCAGTCAGGCCGAGGGCGGCCCCAGTCCACCACCTGGCAGCAGCGCGGCAGAGGGCCACCCGCTGATCTGTGCCCCTTCTTCTAGAAGGCTTCCAAGGGTTCGATTCGACGACGGGAAGGGCGAAAGAGGGGCAGCGCTAGGACAGACAGCTGCGGAAGGTGCGTATGCTGGCCCCTGCTCGGCCGCGGATGGCAGGAGGCCAAGCCCGGCAGCCGGCTTTCATGTGCCCTTTCTGGCCTCTGCCCTCCAGCCCTTGAGGGGACCCCTGGGCCCATGCTCGTCCTCCCGGGCGAGGGGGGGTTCGGTCACCCTCTAACCCCCCTCCCGCGGGGTCACCACCGTTTCCTGATGCACGGCTACCTCGACGGTACGTGTGGGACGGGGCAGCACGGCCATGCCAGGTGACATCTTTGCTGCTCTTGTCCCCCACTTGATTGCCTTGCCCTGCCAAACTCGGGCAGAGCGAGCCAAAGCTCCCTCGCCAGTTCCACGCTCAATCTCCTGGCAGTCATTTGAATCTAATTGCGACTGCTCTGACCTGCGTGCCAGTGAAGCTATTGTTGTACGGTTGGTTGTACGGAGTACCTGCCCACCAGATCTGCCCTGTCTTGGTCTGCAAAGCTCTGTCCTGCTCTACTTTGGGCCCTGCCCCGGCCTGGCCTTGGCTCTCTCTCGCTGCCTCTTTCCCTCTCACACACTCAGAGGTACACACACACACACCCTCTTCCCTTCTCACCGACCTCGTCTCGAGACTTCCCTCCCTCTATCCCCGTCCGGACCACCCCCCTAGCCCGCCTTTGGTCTCCAGTCTCCAGTCTCCATTCTCCAGTTTCCAGTCTCCAGTCTCGGCTCTCCTCCTCCCTGGGTCACCACGCAGTACCCATTCCTTCCTTTCTCACCTCGCCTTTGACCTCCCCCCCAGCCCGACCGTGAACTGCCTGCTAGGCCACATACTAGCTCGACCCGGCTGCCGACGTCAAAGCTGAGCTGCTCAGATCGGCCCTCTCCTCCAGCTCAACAACATCCAGCCCTATCCCACCACCCCCCGTCGCCCTTCGCTCCACAATCTTGTTCTGCCACGGTTGTCTGTCTTCTTCCGAATAGCTTCCTGGTCCTTCAATTCCGTCTCGATCAGCGCATCCGGGCCTGAGCAATCATACCAATCATCCCACGCCAATCATCACGGTGTCCCCGATATTGCCTATAACACTCCGTTATTGGCATACACGACGCCCGTTACCGTGCTCGCCTGCTCGCCTGCTTGCCCTGCCTGCTTGCCTGCCTTACCGGGCCCGACCCCCCGACTCAGTCCCCTACCCAAACGTCGCCTCCTCCCTTTTAAGCTCGACGTCTGCTTCCTCAACCCACAACCTCCTGTGCTGCCGGCGCTCCTCTTTTCGCAGTCAATACTCCTTCTTGACTTGTTTGTTTCTTGTTACCCATTCGCTTTGTATTCACTCAGTCGCGGCCGCTCTCCATCTGGTAAGTCCATGCGACAGCTCAGCTTTCTGGCCCTCGGTCGGCCGCAGTACCACAGATCCCCCAGGCCAGCACGGGTCTCCCTTGACGCCACTCCTGCACACTGACTTGCGCGCCTCTCCATCACGTTGCGCTTTGACTCTGCGGCTTGCATGCGAGGAACCTACCTGTCGGTTCTCGCAGCTGCACTGCCTTGAGCTTCTTTGACTGCTCAGGGTTGCGGGCTCTTTGAGCTGGCCTGGGCCCCTCCCCACCCCCCCCCCAATCTGCTTCAGCCCAACATGTCTCAACACCCTTGCGCTCTTCCTGCCGCCTCACAGCCCACCACGAGTTTGCTCTGCGGCACTCGTGCTCAACGTGCAGCCTGTCGATGCTAACGTGTCAAAGCAGCCTTGTCATAGTAGACGCCACAAGACCCCACTCAAAATTAGCTGAAAGGTACGGACAAGAACCCCCTTCTTGACCTAGCCCAGTATATCGGACCCATCACAAGGACCACCGCCGGGGCAGGCCCAGCAACAGCCGCTCTTATTAGGGCCCATGCACCCTCTCCTGTTTTAAACAAGTCCCTTTCCTCTGATTTGTTTTGTGTTTCGCAGCTTGCTTTAGGTCGTTTGCAACATGACTCTCCCGGTTGCTTACACGAACGAGATACAGGATTTGAACAGCCAAGTGCTGCGATCCAAACCCCGAGATATCCTGCAGTTCTGCTGTGATCACTTTGCCAGTCGGCTGGCCTCGGAACGCAAGAAGAAACTGTCCCAAGACACGCCCAACAAGCGCCTCAAGTTAGACAAAAGTAGACCACTCGCCATGTCGAGCAGCTTCACCAGCCCCTTTGGGGCCCACACAAACCCCTTCGGTTCCAACGAGGGCAGCATGATGCAGAGGGTCATGGAGGAGGAGGAGGAGAACGACACCGTTACCTCGCCCACGACTGGTACCTTCAACTTCAACTCAGGCTCCATGTTTAGCGGCCCATTTGGCGGCGATGGCAGCTCCGACCCCCCCTCCTCGCTGCGCAGTCCGCCCAACCCCGAGAACTTTCCGGCGCAGTACAACTTTGGCCGTCGAACCTCCGTCTCGGCCGAGTCCCTCAAGCCCGTCGCGGATAACAACGACAACTGGCAGCCCCCGGTGTACCCCAAGTCGGAGGAACAACAGACAAGGCTCACAAATTCGATTGCCAAGAACTTCCTGTTCAGCCACATGGACGACGAGCAAAAGGCCCAGGTCCTAGGAGCGATGCAGGAGAAGCCAATCCCGGCAAAGGACATTAAAGTACGTTCCTCTGAGACTGCTTTGCTGGTTGATGCAGTTCACGGACATGTTTGGTTGACCATGATATCAGGTTATTACCCAGGGCGACGCTGGGGACTACTTCTACGTCGTCGAGAAGGGAACTTTTAACGTCTTTGTAAACTCGTCTGGAGTTCAACAGCCCGGCCCCGACGGCCTTGGGACACAGGTCGGCAGCATCGAGGCAGGGGGTTCCTTTGGCGAGCTTGCCCTCATGTACAATGCGCCCCGTGCCGCCACTATAATCTCAGCCGAGGCAAACTGCATGCTCTGGGCCTTGGACCGACTGACCTTCCGCCGGATCCTGATGGAGTCCACGTTCCAGCGCCGGCGCATGTACGAGAGCTTCCTGGAGGAGGTGCCGCTGCTCAAGACGCTCACGTCGTACGAACGATCCAAGATCGCCGATGCCCTCGAGACCCAGAAGTACCCACCGGGGACTGCCGTAATCAAGGAGGGCGACCCAGGCTACGATTTCTACCTGCTCGAGAGCGGTGAATGCGACGCATACAAGGATGGTGTCCACAAGGAAAGGATCAACCTCCGGCACTACGAGAAGGGCGACTTCTTTGGTGAGCTGGCGCTGCTCAACGACGCGCCCCGCGCGGCCACGGTGATCAGCGTGACAGAAGTCAAGGTTGCCAAGCTTGGCAAGAACGCCTTCAACCGCCTGCTGGGCCCGGTTGAGAGTATCATGAGAAGAACAAAGTACGAAGATGTCAAGTCCGGTGTTGAAGATGTGGACCCGCTCCAGTCGGCGTAGCCAGCTACGGCCTCTTTCCTGGACCTGGAATCCGGACACGGACAAGATCACTAACATGGCCTGATTCACGACAGATCTGGAAGCATGTCCCGACCCAACTCCCGAAGAAACACGACGGAATGCGGCCTTTCGCGCGGAACCTCGAGGATGCGGGCCTGGACGACGGACGGACAACTGGTGGAGGCTTGAACGACGGTACGGTATGTATGGACGCAACGCAAGTGCAAGCAGAGGCTTGAACCGGGGAGGGTTTGGATGTGGGACGGACCACACTGGATGCTGGAGTTCGGCTACAACGGCGTTTTTGCGGGTGACGGCATTATCGACTGGCAGACAAGAACACTTTACCTCTTTCCTTCGCTAGCCTATCGTGTTAGGAGATTATTGTTTTGTTTTTTGGAACATCAGATACCTATGGAACAGAAAAAGACGAGTGCTGCGGTAGGGCGCTGCTCCGGAATTATAACACCTTCATTAATATCACCAAACGCTGGTGCAGTCGTGCAACAAGACATGGGGAAATTCGTGCTCGGCTCCGACTCTGCCACCAATTTGTGATGTGCATATATATATATACCATGCGGTGATGCCCTCTAGTACAACGCGTGTAGAGACGCCATATCTGTCTGGCACGAGCTTGTTCCAAATCCTTTTTGGGCAGTTTCTATCATCCTTCGAACACTGGCTTCTAGAACCATGAACGAGCCAAGATTGCTATTGAGAGCACGCCTCAGAGCTCATCAATATACATACGAGGGTGCTGCTGCTTGTGTCCTGGCTCTGGTAGGATCCTGGCTCTGGAAGGATTCTGTACTCAGGACACAGATGATCCATGTCGGCCACACTGAGGACAATCCGTCCTCTCCGCCGAAGCCTTGCCCGTCGCAAACTAATTGGTGTCAAACCAAAATTCGTCCTCTCTCTCTCTCTCTCACCACTTCAAGCCTCCGCTGGCTGCTGCTGGCCGCCCTCCCGAGCGGCCGCCCTCTCCCTCATGATGGCATCGACCTCCCTCCGCAGGCCCTCGGCAGCGACCTCTGCCTCAAGCACGCGGCCGACGCCCTTGCGCCAGGCCTCGTCGAGCCCCGTGATCTCGCCGCCGCTGTCGCGCTGCAGCCTCTGCCGGCGCAGCGTGACGAGGTCGATGGCGCGGCGGGCGGCGGCGACCTCGCGCTCGAGGGCGCGCAGCTCCGCCTCGAGGTGCCAGTTGCCCACGAGCCACGCGTTCTTTCCGTGGCTGTCGAGCAGCGCGAGGTGCTGGCGCCGCGCGGAGAGGTACGAGGCCGCCGTGTAGGCCTGGCGGAGGGCGGCCTCGAGGGCGTCGCGGTCGGCGTCGCCGTCCTCGGGGAGGTCGGGCAGCTCGTAGCGCGAGAGGTCGATCGCCGCCAGGGGGGCTGGTTTTGAGGGGTCCGCGCTCGAGGCTATGCGGTCCAGCTCCGACTGGATCAGGGGGCTGAAGGTGGGCTCTGCCGGCGGCGGGAGGAGGGCGTGGTGCGGGTCGTCTGGGACTGTGGCGCGCTCTGCTGCTATGAGGGCTTCTGCTGCCTCGCGCTCTGGTTTTGTGGGTTCTGGGTCGACATCTGGGGGGTGGGGGGTTGGTTGTTAGTATGCCTTTTTTGGGGGATCTGTTGCGAATGGGGTTGGTCTGAGAGAGAAGGAGGCTGTCGTCGTTCGGGAGATGATGGCAGGGGCTTTTTGCTTACAGGGGAGTGACTCGTGGACTGTCGTTATTGAGGGCATGGTGGGCAACTGGTCTGAGGATCTGTCCTTGAGTAACTGCGGCCAATTGCTGTTCTCATGTGCTAGCAGTTGCAGTTGTCGTGGATTGGGTTGTCGCGAAGTTGTGACGGGCTGTAGTGTGGAATGGTTGTTTGCTAGTGGAGTCGCAGTGGACCTGTGTGGTCGGCACCCTGCTTCCCAGCAAGGAGCCCCTGTCCCTGCTCGCAGGCAGGTGGGGGCCAAATGACGGACAGCCAAACTCACCCTGAACCAAACCAACCACTGCAGATAGCCATATTACAACAACATAGCTGCATGCAGAGCAATAAACATTCCTTGTCGTTTTCAATGGATTGTGGTAATATAAGCTTTCTGATGTCATCTGGTCATGTTAAACTCTGCCGTCGTTACGTTGGGGCTTCCAATGCGGATCTCACAACATTGTCGTTGAACCAATTCCGCTTTGCGACCATAGACAAACCCGTTCACATGCCTTGTATCGGGACTAGACAAGAGCTATTGTGAAATATTATGTACCTCTCACCGCTACAGCCTTAGATAGGGTTTGATTTGAATCTGCAGGGATGTGGAAGACAGAGCCTAGCCTCTCATGATATCAATACGAGCACGGTTTGAGGTCTTGATGGGCTCCCAGAGGCTCAGCAGGGATGCTTGCTGTGACGGGAGGCTGATATTGGTGGGGCTTGAACAGCCACAGTGTCCATGTTCATTCTGATTCCATTGCCTACAAAGAGAATAACATCACAAATACCACGGCAGTCCAGCTGGCGTTGGCAAGCGGTTCAGACGCCACTGCGTCAGGATATGTGTCTTTAAGACATCTGGACCAATTCGGTAGTAGTGGCTGCCAGTCTCTGAGCTGAAACGCAAATGAGAGCTGACACTTGCAGAATTCAAGACGGCCAAAGTTGTGATGCCCATCAATTACAAGGTTGCAAGCAATGGCTTCTTCCTCGCGGGCTACGAGCCTCCTCATTTCGCAAGACATCATCTGCGTTCGCTCTGTCATTAGCCATGGATGTTGACAATTATCACTTTCCTGACCAGCTCCTCGTTCTGTTTCAAACTCCGTTCTCCATGTACTGTGGTATTCCAAATTTTCTCTTCCACAGAGACATCAGCGAGTATTCCTAGCGGCAAAGCTGGGGGCCGTTCTGTTGAGTCATGAGCTAGCACAGCCTTGACCCCGGGTCCGAGATTCATAATATTCTTGCACATGTACTCCTTTGAGACACAGGCAATCTGCGGCTTGTGCTCCACATGCACAAGATTCCCGCTCTCACGTGTAACTGTGTGTAATATCGTTTCAAACGATCTAGATCCTAGAAGCTGTGTGGAAATGCACGGAGAGCTCGACGCTTCATGAATAGTGCAGTCTCATCGAATAATATTTGCCTTGCCAGAACCCCTTCTAAAAGATATATCTCCCAGCTGTACCGGGCTCAACAGCCTGGCCCCTTTGATACGCCAATCTCTCAGAAATTCGGCACCGCATCTCATGTGTTGGCCTTGTTGTGAGCCTTTCATGGGGTACGAAGACACACCTCGATATCATCGCAGGTGCTTGTGTCTCAACTTTGGAACATGGCTTGGTTCAGTTGTGGCATGATGAACAAATTGTATGTCCGTTCGGGCTGCTAATAAGTTATCCAAGCCACCAATTCGAGCACGAGATCACTAGTAACAAAGCAGTTGTCTTAATACGATGGCACACCACTGCCTTTTCCCTGCTTCGTTATTCCAATGGTCTCGGAGCACATTTTCCAATATGGTGTTTGTTCACGGTAAGTATTATGTCAATACGCTCAGCCCAGAGCTACCTGTAGTTGACACAGAAGACAACTTTGGTGTACGAATTTCATTGAACTAGTCGTGAGACATCGTACGCCTTACCTTTATGTGCACCAAATCTCCCTTCCCGTTCGAGTCACCCGATTCCCACCTAGACCGGCACGCATGTAAGTAATTAAATGTATGTTGTTGTCCTCGGTGTCCTCGCTCAGGCTTGGGATACAATCTGTTCAAGTTAAGTACCTCTGCTTTCTTGGGACTTTACATCCCTCATCTGCTCAAGGGTCTCCCGTAAATCTTGTCACGATGCGAGCCATATCCTCTCCCAGTCGTATACTGGCTTCCTTGCTCCCTGCTCTCTTATTGTCGTCTTTGTCCTCGGTCCAAGGATCGGCCATACCAAATGGCGAGAGGCGCCCACAGTCTTCATGCCGCCACACAAAAGTTGCGATCTTGTGAGAATAGTTCTTCATGCTGTCATACAAGCTTGAGAGGGACTCGAGGCTAAAGTCAAGAGTGAAGAGGAGCGGGCATCGCGGGAATTACCGCCGCTGTGAGTTTTGAAGCTTTAGGCTCATACATCTGTAGATAGCAGACTCCGTGTGAATGACCCCGTATGCTGATACGTTTGTTCTTTCATTCTAGCAAGCCTTGTCCAATCAGTCTATCACGGACTTCCTCATCGTGGAGTATCAGAGTGAGATTGGCGGACGAGTCCACCACGCCGATTTTGGAAAGGGTGCAGACGGCAACCCACTTCTGGTTGAATACGGTGCGAACTGGATTCAAGGCCTGGGCACTGAAGACGGCCCAGAGAACCCAATCTGGACATTGGTAGGAACCGCTTCCCCACGAGCCACGGAGCGCCCCTGGCCACTGACAAATCTTGTGGTTTAGGAGAAGAAATGGAACATTTCGAGTCGAGAGTCCAACTTCTCTCGGATCCTCACGTACAATCAGTCTGGTCTGTCAGACTTCGAATCCGAGATAGAGGAGTATGAGAATGCCTTCTTCCGCATGACACAGGAAGCTGGCGAGCTTCTCACAGACAATATCCAGGACAAGACAATCCGTGAGGGCCTTGTGCATGTCGGCTGGCAGCCAGACCAGCGCGACGACCCAGCCGCAGCTGACGCCGTCGAGTGGTGGCTCTACGATGGCGAGCAGGCATACACGCCCGAGGAGACGAGCCTCGTATTCAACTCGGTTGGTATTATCCTGCCGTTGGAACCCTCAACCATTTGCTCTGGTCAGCCTATTTCTAATAGTGGAATCATAGGCGGTGAACAATTTCACTTTCCTACAGTACAGTGGCAAGAACAACTTCGTGATTGATCAACGCGGTCACAACACCTGGATCAAGGGTGAAGCATCAACATTCCTAGATGAAGACGATCCACGTCTTCTCTTGAACACCATAGTCAACAAAATTGAGTATTCAGACGAGGGCGTAGAAGTCACCATGGAGGACGGATCTTGTATCTCTGCCGACTACGCCGTCTGCACTTTCAGCCTTGGTGTTTTACAGCATGAATCAGCGGTAGAGTTTGATCCTCTGCTGCCAGATTGGAAGAAGACGTCCATTGACATGTTTAACATTGGCACATACACGAAGATATTCATGCAGTTCTCGGAGAGATTCTGGCCTGACGACACTGAGTTCTTTCTGTACGTCTCCGCCCAACTCCACCAGAGCCCTGGAGTCCCCTGCTCCTTCGATCATCAAGTTCTAACATCCAAACAAGCTACGCTGACCCAGTCCAACGAGGCTGGTACCCCATCTGGCAATCCCTCGACCTCGAGGGCTTCTTCCCGGGCTCCCACGTCCTCTTCACCACCGTCACGGAGCGCGAGTCAAAGCGGGTGGAACGCATGACCGACGACCAGACACTCGCCGAGACGATGGACGTACTGCGCGCCATGTTCCCAAACGCCACGGTGCCCGAGCCGACCGCCTTTGCCTACCCGAGATGGGGTACCGTCCCCTGGTCATACGGCTCCTTCTCGTGCTGGCCCGCGGGCACCACGCTCGAGATGCACGAGAACCTCCGCGCCAACGTCGGCAGGCTGTGGTTCGCGGGCGAGCACACCAGCTCCACTTACTTTGGGTACATGCAGGGGGCGTGGTTCGAGGGCCGTGATGCTGGTGAGAGGATTGCAGGGCTGATTCACGGCGGGTGTATCGGTGATGCGCCTACGGGCGGTGCTTCGAGGGGTGGGGGGGATTGTGGTGAGAGGGTCTGGTATCAGAAGTTGCATGGAACTACTGAGTTGGACGAGTATAATGTCCAGAACGGGTGGGATGGGACGAGCTTCCAGACAAATGGGCTAGATGAGGAGTGAATGGGCTTAGTATTGTAGGCCCAGTATTGTGGGCTAGGTTATCTTGATTGCAAAATATCATAATCATTGAAGACAAATCTCAACTATATGGGCCTCATAGTACGGCATTAACGATTGAAAAATCAAAAGACAAATATGATGGCGCAGCGGCGCTTAATGAATCCCAGACCAGTTTCCCCTAGTCATCTCGGTCATTCTTTCGACCCCGTGCAATCCACATTCAGACAGGTTGAACTCAACCGTGCCAATCTCATCAAAACCATGCTTTTGGTACAAGCGCCGTCCTTGTTCCGAAGCCTGCAGATAGCACGGGATGCCGGTTGTCTCTGAAAGTCCTACTCCCCACCGGATCAACATGCTGCCAGCTCCGCGTCGCCTGTGCTGCCGTGCTGTGACGAGTAGGGCCAGGACTTTGTTTTTCCTACTGTGAGCTCTGATGTCTCGTGCGCCGGAGTCGTCGGGCTGGACTCACGCAGGTGCGGGTACTTTCCCTTGTCCCGATTCCGAGTACAAAAGTAGTCGTGCGCAACGTCCCTTAGGCGCCCGAACTCGTCGACGGTCCTGGTAGATTCCTCCATGGGTTGGCTGAGCTGTTCCAGATCCGGGCGTCCCTTTTCGTAGACCTCCCATTTGGCATAGGCCATCACCTCATGCTCGTCGTCAGTGTCCACTACCTTCAGGTGGTGTATGTGAGGGTTTGACTCGATATCTCGGTGGATCGTGGCTTCCTGGTCTTCCGAGAATCCGGGGTACGGAGGCGGGCGTCCGATGACGAGGGATCCCAGGCTATCGATGCGGATACGAACGCATTGGGGTACGTCTGCGTGCTCTACTGGCCTGACCACCAGCATCTTGCAAATCAAAGTCTGAAAAGGAGAAATGATAGCTGTGCAAGGGCGATGTCAAGGACCCTGACCGTGGTCTACTGGGCCTCGGTTGGCTTATACGGGCGCGAACAAGGTTCGAATAAGGCGTGCAGTAGCGCCATGTACAACTAGACATGGCCTATCCACATCGGCCAGCGGTCGAATCGGGGCGTCTCCAGGCACCCGAAACGGGACAGGGATGGTCGCCCGTTGTCACTGCCGTTGCAGCCATGACCGCATCCCTAATTTAGTAAGTACCACGCATCGCCCCGGACTAACCGCAGGTGCAGTCAGCTGCATCTGGCTGTGTCTGAAATTGCCCATCTGATCCGGGACCCGTCACTACCACGTTCTTCTCGCTTGTTCTTCATTCTTCTTTTGATACAACTCACAGTTCACGCAATGATCATGCTACAGGTGTAGAGGGCGAGCGAAAGAGAACGTGAGAGAGAGGAGAACAGAGCGAATATGGACGAGCACAAGACATCCGCAGGGCCTCTGTCAAAACCTGTGTCGAGAGACTCCCGCAGGCTCAACACAACTTCATGGCTCTCTCTCATTTTCGTCATCACATTCTCACTCTATCTAATCCACACGACGGCATCAGGACCCGCCAGGCATGTTCTCGGATGGTTCACAAATGATGCACCTCCACCCATGGCCTCCAGCCCCTACGAGGGTGATCAATACCTCTTGGGCGTGGGAAAGGCCGACATCACGGGGCCGGTCGTCGAGGTGAACCTGATGGGCTATGCCGACCCCAAACAGCTCGGGACAGGCCTACGCCAACGCCTCTACTCGCGTGCTTTTATAGTAGGTGACACCAAGAACCCCGCCGACCGCTTCGTCTACCTGGTGCTTGATACCCAGTCAGGAGATACGGCCGTGAGATATGGCATCATTTCTGGGCTCAGAGACCTGGGCCCCGAGTATGAAGCCTATCAGAACCACAACATCGCTGTCACCGGCACACATTCACACTCGGGCCCAGCCGGATGGCTCAACTATCTGCTGCCTCAGATCACCAGCAAGGGATTCGACCACCAGGGATATCGGGCGATAGTTGATGGTGCCGTGCGTTCCATAGTCAGAGCCCACGAGTCCCTCCAGCCTGGCCACCTCAGCATCGGCTCCACCAGGGTGGAGGGTGCCAACATCAACAGGAGCTTGTTCGCCTATCTGGCCAACCCGGAGGAGGAACGCGCCAGGTACAACATCAGCAGCGAGGATGATGGCTCTGTGGAAAAGGACCTTACCCTGCTCAAGTTCCAACGTGCGTCCGACGGGAAGAATATCGGCGTCCTGACCTGGTTCCCCACCCATGGCACATCCATGTATGGCAACAACACAATAATCACTGGCGATAACAAGGGAGTAGCTGCCTACCTCTTTGAGAAGAGCGCCGCAAAGGACCCCTCGGCTGCCGACGGGTTCGTCGCCGGCTTCTCGCAGGCAGACGTCGGCGACACCAGTCCCAACGTCCTGGGTGCATACTGCGAGGATGGCTCCGGGGAGACGTGCAGCTTCGAGAACAGCACCTGCCCGGGCGACGGGAGGAGCCAGAAGTGCCACGCCCGTGGCCCGCTGTACACGGCCGACGACACTGGCACCTCATCCTGCTTCGAGATCGGCCGGCGCCAGTTCGGGCCGGCAAAGTCCCTCTACGACGAGCTCAATGCGGACCCCGTCCCCGTCCGAGGGCCCTGGGTCAAGTCCTTCCACACCTTCCACAACATGTCAGACTTCACCTTCGAACTCCCCAACGGCACCTCGGTCTCGACCTGCCCCGCGGCCCTGGGCTGGTCCTTCGCAGCAGGCACGTCTGACGGCCCCGGCGCCTTCGACTTCACACAGCACGACGGCAACCCGTCCAACACGTCTCCCGTGTGGCGCGTGGTATCCGGGTTCCTCAAGGAGCCCTCGGACGAGCAGCGCGCGTGCCAGGGCTCCAAGCCCATCCTGCTCGACGTCGGCGAGGTGCACAAGCCCTACGCCTGGACCCCCAACGTCGTCGACGTCCAGGTCCTCCGCGTGGGCCAGCTGCTCATCGTCGTCAGCCCGGGCGAGGCGACCACCATGGCCGGGCGGCGGTGGAAGGAGGCCGTCAGGGCCGAGAGTGCGGCCATCTTTGGCGGCGAGTCTGAGGGAAACGAACAACCGGACCCCGTCGTCGTGCTGGGGGGGCCGGCAAACAGCTACACGCACTACATCGCCACGGAGCACGAGTACTCGGTCCAGCGGTACGAGGGCGCCTCGACGCTGTACGGGCCGCACACCCTCGCGGCCTACATCAACGTGACGCTGGCGCACCTCCCCCTCCTGGGCGCCCGCGTCCCCCCGGGCTCGCTCCCGCGCCAGCCGCCCGCCGCCTTCCCGCCCGACAACACGAACCGCTCGCTCAGCTTCATCGCGGGCGTCGTGCGCGACGGGGCGCCGCTGGGCCGCGCGTTCGGGGAGGTCAAGCAGGACGTGCGGCGGTTCTATCGCGCCGGCGCCGACGTCTCGGCCGTGTTTGTCGGCGCGAACCCGCGCAACGACCTGAGGCTGGGGCGCACGTATGCCGCCGTCGAGAAGCTCGTGCCGGCTGCCGGGGCCGGGCGGCGGGGGGGACACCAGGAGGGGGAGCTCTGGCGGACGGTCAGGGACGACAGCGACTGGGCGCTGGTGTTCCGCTGGAGGCGGACCAGCGAGCTGCTCGCCACGAGCGAGGTCGAGATCACGTGGGAGACGGGCAGGGAGCCCGAGGGCGAGGGGCCTGAGCCTGGCGTGTATCGGATCCGGTACTATGGTGACTGGAAGAGTCTTGGGGGTACCATCACCCCGTTTGAGGGGGTCACGGGGGCTTTCACGTTGGTTTGAAGGGATGGCCAAAGGGGGCGGCGGTTCAGGGCGTTTATCTGCATGCTGCATATACGAAGGCAACGGTCATGAGTGGCATGGTAACGAGTGTTCACAGCGGTCACGGGACGGGTTCAGCGGGTCAGACGGAGTCAAGACTGGTAGACACTCCAATAGGGCATTTTCATACTCCTCAACTAGTTTCACACGTCTCGTCTGCCTTTATTACTGCTTCTGAATGTCTCTAGGGTGCAGGGCAGGGCAGGCCAAAGGGTCAAAAGGGCAAGAAGGCCCTCCGAAGAGTCAGAAAACCCTCCTCCGTCTGTCGCAGACCATTGCTGATTTTTGACTGGTGGCGACTTGGATTGGACTTGGGATCATCGGCGCCGCGAGCCGAAACTTGACGCCGGGCCAGATGGCCCATTTCATCAGCAGTTTCCTGGTGGAGTAAACTGTCCATGTAGTCGCATGGGCGGCATAGGAGCTGAAGCGTCTCACTGCGCAGCATATGACAGAATTTCTTGTGGGCCGGAGGTCTAAAGTCAACCTGCTGCCATACAATGTGGAAGACAACAATCTTTGATTTCAGTATTTCCGATGGGGACTATCTGTGCCTTTTTGTGCTCCGTTTGCTGACCTTCTCCGAGCTGCCAAAAAAAGAATAAAGATGCCGAAATCACCTGAACGACGAGGGGGTGGTGTACATACTCCATACAAGATGCCAATGCTATGCAGCAAAATAAGTCAAGGGAGAGGAAGAGGCGGTTGGAGGGGGAAAAGCAACCAAACAAGACCAAAACCAACGGGGGTCCAATACTGCTCCTAGTAATAGTAGTTGCCTCATGACTACCGAGTCTTCCCATCCCCAGCAGCGTCTCGAGTGATCAAACACTCGATGCCAATGGCACATCATCCTCCATAATTCGTGCTTTGTATGTACCACTTGGTATCACCATATATCTGCGCCAGTCCCACAATTGAAACCACTTGGTCCAACGCCTGCGCTTTGCCCTTTCTTTTTAGTACAGATGCCACGGCTGCTTTTCCTTTTCTTTCCCTTGCTCTGCCCGCTTCAGATTAACGTGCCCTCTCACTCTCGTCCGCTCTACTTCTTGTTCGCCTTCTTGTGCTCCTCGAGCGCATCGGCGAGCTTGACAGCCAGCTCGTTGGTCTTAACCTGGAGCATCCAGGTCTCCAGGCCCTTGCCGTCTTCCTTCGCGCAGGGAACCTTAATCCACTTTGCGCCCTTGTCAACCTTGTAATCGAACTCGGGCAGAATCGTCTTGTTCATGGCGACATTACCACGAGGCTCGCCACGCAACAGGATGCGCACAGCGCCGGTGCTTTTGTGCTTGAGAAGCCTGAGGGGTCCCAACCCTTCTGTCTTCCATGGGTTCTTCTTGGCACCCTTGTCCTTCTCGTCGTCGTCATCGGACTTGGGCGCCAGCCGGAGAGCCTTGGCTCGCACCTCATGAACGACCTGCTCGTCCTCTTCCCCGGGCCCACCTTCGGTTAGGGAAATTTGCTCCTGTGGTTTTCCATCCTCGTCAGCCGTCTGTTCGCTCGTTGCACTATCTTTCTTGGCCTGCGCGGCTTCTGGCTCGGGTGTGCCAGCCGCCGGCGTCGTAGCTAAGCTAGACGCCCCGCCAAACAAGGGGGTATCTTTACATGACGTTAATGATGGACTGCCAAGAATAACGAAATGTAAACTACAAGAAGATAAAAAGAAACAAGACACTACTTACTCGTGCCAGTCGAAGATCCAGCCGGGGGCGCTAGGCTACCAGCAAAGATGCCTTGCGCCGCGTTGGCCGGCTGACCGGAGAACATGTTGGCGGAAGTGGTTGGCTGGGACTGTGCCTGGGGCGCGCCGCCAAAGTTGAACATGGAAGATCCACCATTCGGCTGCTGGCCTCCAAACATGTTGGACGACGGGACGGGTCCATTGTTCGCAGGCTGAGAGGCGCCACCAAAGGTAAAGCTGGACGACGAGGGGCCATTAGTCGCGGGCTGTGAGTCCCCACCGAAAGTGAAACTGGACGAAGGTGGAGCAGCTGGAGCAGTGGTGTTTCCAAACTGGAACGGCGTGCTGGCTGATTGAGTTGGGGCCGGAGTCGCTCCAAACTCGAACGAGACCCCAGTAGCATCCCCACCCGAGAAGGGATTCTTGAAGGAGCCCTGGTCACTGCCTGCGTTGAAGGTGAAGGAGCCAGTCGCTGGAGCCGGCGCGGGCGCTGGCGTGCTGCCAAATGTGAAGCTCGACTGCGGGTTTACGATGTTGTTATTGCCGTCCATCCCCGACGCGCCCCCAAACAGGTTGTTCGAAGGTTTGCTGTCATTCCCAGATGGAGCACCGAACAGATTGCTCGAGGGTTTGTTGTCGTTGCCAGATGGGGCCCCGAAAAGGTTGCTTGAGGGTGTGCTCGAGGCTCCGCCAAAGGTGAAGCCCGAGCTGGGGGCGGAAGAAGTGGGAGCGTTTGCGAAGATGCTAGGTTGTGGCTTGGCTGGCTCGGCCTGGGGTACTGGGTTTCCAAATAGAGACGGAGCAGGAGTATCTGCTGGCTTTGAGCTTGGAACAGGTGTGGAAGAAGCGGTGCTTCCAAAACTGTATGTCTTGCCACCGTCTTGCGAGCCGCTGCCGAAGACAGCGCCAGCTTCTGTGGAGCCCTTAGCTGCTTCCGCAGTCTTGGGTGGTAGACTGGCCGCGGGTGTCGGGGCGTTGCCTCCGAATGAGTACTTCTTGGATGCTGGCTCGGCAGATGTGCTACCAAAAACTGCACCAGCCTCATCGGAGTCGGGCTTCTTCCTCTTCGGGGCCGACTCCTCCTTCTTTTCCTCGCCAGAGCTGGCCTTTGCGCCAAACAGTGTCGACGTCGATGGCTGAGCCCCGAACAACGACGGCGCGGATGACGGCTTATCGTCACTCTTCGCGCCGAACAGGGAACCGCTGGGTTTGTCACTTGTCGTTCCGAAGAGCGACGGTGCTGAAGCCTGGGCCGCAGTGGCAGGTGTGTTTAGACCGGCAAAGATAGACGTTGGCTGAGCCTGAGTAGCAGGGGTCTCAGCAGGCTTCCCAAAAGGCGTCGTGCTTGCAGCAGTGGACTGTCCGAAAAGACCTGTCGCAGGCGTTGCAGAGGATTCCGGCTCAGCAGACTTCTGCTGAGCGGGCGTGGATGCGCCGAAGGCAGGTGTGCTCGAGGCGTTCCCGAAGAGACCACCGCTCGATTCCGAGGTCTTTGAAGGCTGGCCGAACAACGACGGCGCGGCCTGTTTTGGTGTCTCCTTCGCAAAGTCTTGCACCTGAGTGCCAAAAGCCGGTGCCGCACTGGCCTTTGGAGTAGTCGACCCAAAGAGGGGCGCACTGCTGTCCTTGGGCTTGTTGGCAAAGATGGAGCTGGGCTGGGCGCTTGTGTTTCCACCAAGTCCACCAAAGAGAGAGGGGCCAGGTTGGGAAGCTGCACCACCAAATTTGATGGGTGTGTTCGGGTTCCATGTCTTATCCTGGGCCTCCTTCGTCGGACTTGCCGGCGGCTTCGTGCCGAAGAGACCAGTGGCGCCATCAGCTGGGGCTCGCACAGGCTCACCATCTCCGCCCTTGGTGATGCGCCCAAACAGACCAGTGCCCTGGGAGCCGACTCCGGTGGAGTCACTCGGCTTGTTGGTGCCGAAGAGCGATGGCGCACTGGTGGCAGGTGCTTTCGGCGCCGGGGTCTGGGCTGCCGGTTCCTCCTCGGCCTCTGCATCCTCAGATCCGCCACCGTTGTCCTCATCATCATCACTGCCCTCAGGCGAGTTCTGCTCAGATAGGTGCCCGAAAATGTTAGCTGACGAGACCTTAGCTGCGGCGCCAAATTTCGGTTGCGCGGGCGCCTGTGCAAACAAGCTCTTGGGGGCAGACTTCGTGGGGCTCGCGGCTTGTCGTGCTGGCGAGCTGTTGGCCACATCCTCGAAGATCGACAGGGTGCTAGACTTCTTCTTGCTGGGCTGATTCTCTTCCTCGTCTAGATGCTCAGCGCCGCGTTTGGTCTTCTTCACGAATGGGGTTGCACCCGCGTTCGAGGTAAGGGCCGTTGACTCGGTCAGAGGCTCCCGCTCTGTGACACGATTTCGCTTGTTCGGCGCATCGTCATCTGCGGCTCGTCTCTTCGTCGAGGATCTGAAGTTATTAGAGGTTCCATTGACCTTGGGAGCCTCGGCCTCTTCCATCTCCTCATCCTCTGGCACATTGTGCTCCTGCTTCCACTTCTTCAGCAGCTCCCTAGAAGCGGGAACGGTTTTGAATTCGTAGAGGCCGTAACGCAGCATGATCAAGCTTCGGCTCTTCTCATACTCCTTCGCGAAGTTCATGATGTTAACTCTCCAGTCCTTCTTGGCGAAGATCTCGGAGGCGGCATACTTCAACCGTCGCAGATCGAGGACACAGAGAAACTGTCGTCGCTGGAGGTCATCCAGCTCGGCGGGAACGAGGTGGGACAGGAACTCATCAGCGTAGACAGAGCCTACCCTATCAGGGCTGTCGGGAACCTGCTTAGCCAGCTCCTCGCCATCGAGCTCGGGTGGGGGAGAGGCAATCCTCATTGGGAAGAGGTTGGTCGAGGATGTCTTGGACATGGCTCGCCCACTGAGGTCGGCAGTGGAGGCGCGGAACGACCGTCCCGGAGTGACGGCAGTGAAGCTCTCGCGGGATGCGTTGGGGGGCAAGCGGGGGGAGAAGGTGAATTTCGGGGTGCTGCCATTGCTAAGACCTGTCCTGCCGAAGAGCTTGCCTGGCGTGTTGGCGGGCGAGTTGGAAGTCTGTCTCTGCTGTTTTCTATCGAAAAGGCGCCTGCCCGAGACCAAAGATGATGGTCCTGCTTGGCTACCGGCGAGAGGGCCCGTGGACTTCCAGCTGCCGATGGGTCGTGACGAAGATCGGCCGCGGACATCGTCGCCGAGCTCGTTACGGAGCTTAGAGGGGAAGCCACTGAAGGAGGCTGGCTGGCCGGGGCGAATGCCACGCTGTCGCGTCGAGGCGTCCATTATGAGACCAGACGATCGCGAGGATCTATTGTGGGGAGCAGCGCATCCAAGAACAAAATGGTTTCGATGGCAGGATTAAGTGGACCGCGTCGACAGAGGGGATCGGGCGGGACAAGCAGTCGCGAGGCGTCGCGTGGGGCGGTAAGGGTCAGCGGGGCAAGGCCGTCGTCGAGGTTCGAGTGAAACCGAGACAGGAGGCTCGCGCTGTTGGAGGGGGTTGGGTGGGTAGACTGGATCGAGCTTCGACAGCCAAGGCGAAGGCGATGGAATCAGGGCGCGACGGTGGCCTTTTGCTTGCTCGAAAACAGGATAAACAAAGGCGCAACGTGTCGCGGGTCTAGAAGAACAGAAAGGAGAGATTCATCAAAAGAAGGCGCGTCCCGATGCGATTGACATCGAAAGGGAATCGATCGAGGCACGCGAAGCCCGGCGCAGATGAGGAGGATGGGAGGGAGGATGTGAGGCAGGCGGGAAATTCTGGACGGGGATGGGAGGGATGTGCTGCCTTGGGTCGGTCGCGCGACGGACGGGTGCGGATGAGGGTTGAGAAAAAAAACCAACCAAGGTCTGGAGGCGGGAGCTGGCTGGGCTCAGTGGGCTGGCCGGGCTGGCTGGCTGGACTCCCCAAAGACCGCCCGCCCGCCACCACTCACTTGCAAGGGGCGCGTTGGCCCGAGCGTCTCTTGGGGAAGGGAAGCCTCGAGCAACGCTACGGGGTACGTACCGCCGTGTGTGGGGTACGTACCTGGGTACAAGGCGACTCGGCCGGATGCGGTCTGCCAGCTCGTTGCAGCTGGTGACCAGCTGCGAGGATTGAATCAGCACGTTGCGAAGGACGATGAATGCTCCATGTGACCCATTCCTTGCGTGTACGGAGAACACAGTAGACACATCAAGAGAGTAATTAGCAATACTACCGTGCCTGCAGCGGTGCTCCATCTCTATGCATTCATTGTCGGTGCAGGCCAGCGATGCGCGAGCCCTTATATATGGGGCCAACCTGCGAGACAACACGACAGCGACGTATGTGGAGGGGCGGATGCATGCACTGGTCGGTCACATTCAATCGCAACAATAGACTCCAAGTTGATACTGCTGAATTATAGTCTAATGGCATGACATCCAAAGATCTCGTGCTGCAACATGGGTCCAGCCATCTGTTAATGTACATTCCTGGGGGGCGTCGTTGCCGTCCGCGGCCAGCCATCAGGGGTTGGAGGATGGATCACACCCTGGCTCCCGCGGGCGGCCGGCCCAATCCGTCCAGACTCCATCGTAGCGCAACCCGAACCTCAGTCTCTACAGCTTGGCCTTGGTCTGCGCCTTCTTCAGGATGGGGTCCAGCTTGGTCGCCTTCATGACGTTGCCCTTGATCTTGAGCTTGCCGGCCATGAATAACCTCTGCGCGTTGCCCTTGCCGGTGACGAGGTTGCCAAAGTCGGCGTCGGACAGGGTAAGTGTGACTATCGGCTAGGTTAGCAGGTGCCCTTCCTTTTATTTATTTGTACGTAGCATGGGCCTACCATCGGCCTTCTCCGGAACGCCCTTGTTGACCTTGCCCTCGTTCTTCAGGTCGATGTGCCAGCTGTCTGTCTCACCAGCAGCGTTCTTGAGCGTGAAGGCGTAGATGCCGTTGCCCTGCTTGATGGCGTCCTTCTTGTCGGCTTCGCTGGAGTTGAGTGCCTCGTTGATCGCCTCGAAGGCAGCCGAGGACGGGAACTTGTCTGTTACGAGAGTCAGTCAGTCAGCCAGTCAGCCAGCCTGTCAGCCAGGGCAGTTCGTTCCCCTCGCGCGTACCGTTCGTGAGAGACATTGTTGCGGTTGGCGATTTCAAATGTCTGGTCTGATGATTGCGAGCGGTGATCGGGGTATCAAGGAGATTGAGTCGGAAAGCGGGAGAAGTGGGAGGCGGAAAAGTGGCCTAGAAGAGATGTGCGATCGTGTGCGGGCACTTATAATAATGAGGATTCGGCAGTAGGCACGGGCTGGCTATAATGCCTGATGACCGCATGCCTCGAGTGTCGCAATGGGCATGTGAACGTCCACAGACAGGGCGCTAGGCCGAGGCTCCAACACACCAAGAGCTACTAATCCTGGACTAGCGCAGTCAGCCCCTACCTAGCAGCCCCCTGCCTCCAGTCCCAGGCCCGTGGACCCTCTCTCGGGCCTCTAAGTCCGGGGCAGCCCCACAGAAGTCAGCATGCCGCCTCACAGCATACAGATTACCTTCAAGTCTACAGCGCAAAATCTCAAGGTTCTGGAATGCCAAAATGTTCCACGAGTTCCTGCTCCCCGTGTTACCCTGGCCCCTAGCGCACCCTTGAGTTAGTTGCCAGGCTGTGTTGGGATGCGCAGCCAGAGATCGACTTCGTGGTTCACGTTGGAGGACAACCAGGACAATCGGCACGAATCAGGCAGTGTCAACTTCCCAAAGGTCCATCTTCACATGAGCCGACTGCCCAGGTGTTGTTCGCATCCCGAACAGGGGTGCCCTGATACTGGTCAATGTCACGCTCCGGTCTGTCGGGCCAGGCCGAGGCAGCTTTGTACATTCAACGATCAGGGACATCTCAACTTCAGTCCCCAATTATGACATTAGTTATACGTGTATCTCGAGTCCGTTTCTGGTAGTTTCACTGTCTCTGCTGCGGCTGTCGTGAACCCACATTTTCCCACACCTCCCATCATCTTCAATACTCCCCATTGAACAGGAAGCAAATAACCACCCTCGCGGTCCTCTGATAGGACATGACAAGCAGCGCTTATCGCCAGGCTGTTGGTCGATACCATCCTCATTGTGCCATCATATCGCCGAAGACCCAGGGCGACGATTATCAAGATGAGCACAAGTCCAACCAGCAATGCTAAATACACAATTAGCCTGTAATTACAAGCCGCGAGTCAAATGAACTGAATAAACTCACTGACAAACACTGCGATTGGACTGTAACCGCAAGTTGAAAAGGAGTTGACGTCGTCGTCCCTCCCATCCGCAGATATCGCACGGATTCGCGCCAGAAACAGGCTTTGCGACACGAGCCAATGCATAACACCCGAGCTGGCGTAAAGCGGTATCCCATATCGGAGTGGTAACGATATAAAGTAACTCGACCGCTGGATTCCAACAGGCTCGGAAACCCGCAGGGGCTTCCGGTGCTTCGACTTGTACATTCTGCTAAACTCTCGCTGAACGAGGAACGTGCTCAACATTGCATTGTACAAGACATAAAGAATCGAGAGGACGAGTTGGGGCAGGTTTGCCAAGAGAACATTGGCAATCAGTCCTCCTGGGTCTTGTCGAGGGAGATTTATCACCAAGTAGGTGTAAGGAGTAAGTGCCCCAAAACCGAGCTTCCAGAGTTCTGGAATATCTACTCCAAACCTTCGCCTCTTCAGGCTCGTGAACGACAGTACAAGAAGGGTGGCCGCGATGATGATAACGATAAACATCCTATGAGGCCTTAGCAACTGTTTTCATGGGTCAGAGAAATCGGCTGCAGCCGCATCCTTACGTGGTCAGCAGGCAAGCCCAGCGTCTGAGGCTAGCAGCGGATCTCCATTGCTTCGGTCTGGGCTCAAATGCTCTGGCTGGAGGCTCATGTCCATCCTGTCCAAGTATTTCAGGTGGGGATCTGACAAAATGGCCTTTCCGAGTGCGAGTGGTCAAGAAGTCATGCTTTGTCGTGAGTCCCATTCCCGCTGTCTCTTTGCACGGGGTCCTCATGAAAGAAGCAATGGCGTCACCCAGTGTATACAAGACTTCCTTTGCCTGGGGCCGCACCTTGGGATCCTGCCATCTCCTGAGGGCCCATATCGAGAGCATGAGGGCCGCTTTGATCAGGTTCATGGCGCAGATTGTGACCATGATCGGAGGCGAATACTCGAACCGACAGTTCGCGCTGAGACCCGCCGGCGGCTGGACGAGGCAACGGGATACCTCGTAATGCGGAGGTCCAAGAAACCACGTAATGACCGGTTTTGGAGGCGGCTGCGCTGCAAATCTACCGGTACCATTGCCTAGAGCCCACATGTTCTTCCCCCAGTCGTCCGACCGAGGAACAATAGAGACGTACATGAGCAAGCTGTCATCTGGGGGGCTCTGCACAGACCCATTCTTCACTAGCACAATGACGTTTCCCTGTGGGTTAAAGTAGTCGTCGTAAAGGTTGAAACATGCAGAAATGTTGAGGTTGTCGTAGGTGTGCGCGTCTTGCTGCATCGAAGTTATAATTTGCTGGGGGTTGACGTTCGGGGGGTTCACCCTGGATTCGTCCCAACCATTATCGCCGATCCGATTAGACTCTGCAGTTTTCAGACTCCAAGAGCTATTGCTTAAGAATGAATCCTTAACGACGGCAACAGTGTAGTTGTGAGATGAGAGTGACTGAAATACTGCCGAATTGTATCTGTGTGTTTCCGGGTGAGCAATTGGAAGAAGGCAGCTGAAAACGGGGGCATAGAATGACTTACATGAGACGTTTAGGGAGTGAAGTCAGTGCCAAAAGTGCCCACGACACTCGCCTCCAGGTGCTGAGATATCTCAGGTTCCTCGGGCTAGAGATTCCGATGTCCAACCATTTTCCATTGCCGTGCGCCTTGTCTACGTTCTCGCGGGTGGGAGCGGCCTGCAGCTGCATGCAATAATTCGAGGCGGAAAGCATTCCGGTCCCCAGCAAATTGATGAGCAAATGGAACCACTGGTCTAGTTGCTTGATGGTTGAGCATTCACCCTCATAAATCAAGCCAACACCATTGCGGCTGCCATAGCTTCTCACGGCGTAGATCGTTACCCCGAGGTTCGTCGTCAAGATGAGGCCGATTATACCAATCTGTATCATAAGAGCTCTGCTCCTGCGCGAGAACCAGATGCGCCAGCTACTGTGTTCGTCATGTTGTATCTGGGGAAACCACCCGGATAATGTTTTACGATCGGCAAATTGGTTGACTTGGAAACTACTAGCGCTGCCATCTCGCCCTTCAAGATTGTTCGGGGTGCGCTCATCGCGTGCGATTGCCAGAATGTCAGTAATTCCTCGCGCCGCCGACACTGGCGCCGACTTGACTTTTCTGGTTGAGGGCGGTAGATCGTTAGTTTAGACTATCAACCATCAACAAATATAATACTGCAGTTATTGTTGGAAATAGGTGTTGGATGAGACGGCAAGCCTTGCATACCTCAATATTCCATTTCCACCAAGCGTAGCCATGACCGGGCAACCAAAGCAGCTCCGTATTCCACGGCAAATGAAAATGCCCACACATTTTAGACTACTAGATATGAAGCCACAAATTGAGGGTCGAGTTAGGCGGTATGATACAAGGCTGTGGATCATATATACGAGTAGGTAGCAGGTCTAAATTCTAATATTAGGTGACGTGGCTTCAGCTGCTCAACCAACATGACGACGCTCGCTTGCCGTGCTCTGGGGGCTGCATCTGTACCACGGCGCGATTGGTTGGTATCACAAGAGGGTTGCATCACGGCACGCCGGCAGCAAGCAGGACCTCGTGGGAATCTTAGCTGATTGGCGTGGCAATGGTTGTTGAGTGTGTCAGGCGGCAATGCCACAGCTGTTGTGTAACAGAGCTGCATCTGCGCAGCCCGTTCGCAGGATACCGGTGAGGCTCTGCTAGCAGGTATGTTGCACTCCGTGCCGCGTTCGCTATACCCGTCTCAGTTATTGTTAAGGGGAACAAGAAATACGAATGGGGAAGTAATTTTCTTGAAGCACTTGAGCGAGACAACTCTCTAGCATGACATGGTAGCTGGCAAGCCGTTATAATCTTTCTTCTATAGAGTACTAAAGTATCTACTTTACTTGAATAGTGTAGTCTACAGTTTATTGATGATATAATACCTTATTAGCTTTAGCCACACTATATTTTTCCTTTATACTATATAACTACTTATTTCTTCCCTAATAGTCTAAAGTTTATATATAAAGTCTTTAATAACTTTATATATATTCTTATAATCCTTTTAGAGAGGAATTTTAAATCTATTTTTTTTATTTTTATTATATTTTTTTATATTATTAAAAAGTTAATAGTTATTAATAATAAAAGTATAGACTTAAAGAAGAATAAATTTATTATACTTTTTTTTTATCTTTTTATAAATTACTTTTAAAACTCTTTTTAAGAGTTTTAATATTTTATTATAAAAGTTTTAAGGGTAATATAAATATATATATATTATAAATTATTTCTTTATTTTAAGTTCTTTTAAAGTTAATAGCTATATACTTAAATAGAGGTTGTAGTGTTTATTTAGTGAGGGTTTTATTTCCTTAAGCTATATTATCTTAAGGTGTTAGTTTACTTTAAAGGGGTGTGTATATATGTATATATATATGTGTTTAAAGGAATAATTTTTAACTAGGCTTCCCTTAATATAGGAATAGAGGTAATTATAACTAGTAGATAGTTTAGGTTATATAACTTTAGTTAATAAACTATAGTAAAAAACTTATTACTAACTCTTTAAGTCTAACTTTCTTCCTTTTATATAATTTAACTTAATTAATTAAACTACTCTTTATATATATATATATAATAATTTATATTAATATTAATTAATAATTACTTTAAGTAATTATAAATAATAAAGTATAAAAAATAGTTAATTATTATAATAAGTAAAATAATTATATTAATATTATAAAAATAATTAATATTAATATTAATTTACTAATTAAAATTATAATAATTATAATAAAAATATAATAATAATTAATATTAATATTAATTTATTAATTAAAAGTATATAATAAGTTATATATATTTATTATACTTTAAAAGACTTTAATAATTTTAAAAACTTAAAATCTATTTTTAATTTTATTAATAACTTTTACTTATACTTTTAATAAGTATTTTAAAAAATATAATAATCTTTAAAACTTAAGATTTATAATCTTTTTTATTAAATAATTTTATTAATATTTAGAATAATAATTTAAATAAAAATATAATTTATATAATTTATAAGTTATTTTATTAAGTAATTAACTTTAATAAATAAATTAATATTAAATATTAAACTTAACTTTATTTAATTTTTCCCTTTTATTTATTTATTAAACTTTATTATTATAAAGAAAGTTAAAATATATTATATTTACCTTTATATTATTAAATAGAATATAATTATACTTTATTAATTTAATTATAATAATAACTCTTCTATTTATACTTTTTTTTACTTTTTTTTACTTTTTTTTCTATATTTACTATACTTTAATAATATTATTATTATTAAACTCTCTATTATTTAAAGATAAATAAATTAATAATTAAAATATTATTATTATTAATATATAATTAAAATTAATTTTAATATTTATTAAAAAATAAATCTTTTATTTTAATTATAATTATATTAAATATATTTTTATTAAACTAATATAAAGTAAAAGAAACTTTTAAAGTTAAATTAAATTATTCTCTTAATATTATTTTAATTTATAACTTTTAAATTATAAATTTATTAAAACTTAATACTTATTTAAAATTTATTACTTTTAACTTAACTATTATATTATAATAATCTTTAAAATAATATTTAATATATAATTATTTAATTTATTAATTATTATTTTAAATATTTTTAATTACTATATATAATTTATTAAATATATATATACTTTATTATATTTTATTTATTTCTTTATTTTATATTATTATTTATTTTTATTTTATATTATATAAAACTTTAATATAAATTATTATTATAGTTTTATTTTTAATTTTATTTAAAATAATATATTTTTAATTATATTAATATTAAAATCTACTTTTAATTAATTAAAGAATAAAACTTAATAAAAAGTCTTTTAAAAGATATTTTAATATATAAATTATATATTATATAAAAGAATATATTAACTTAAATATTAAGAAAGTTTTTATAAATTTAAATTTAATTTTAATAATTAAAATAAAAATATATTTAATAAAACTAATAAAAACTATTGAAAATAAAGAAAATTATATAAATAAAGAGTATTTATATTAAATATTATTAAACTCTAAATATTATTATATTTAATAATTTTAAAATACTTTATTAATTATTTTACTTTTAAAAACTTTTTATTAATAAAAGTAAATAAATAATTTATATTAATAAAACTATTTATAATTTAAATTATATTAGAATTATAAATAAAAATAATTTTATAAAGATTAAATAAAAATAGAAATATATACCTTTTAAATTTTAAAGTTATTAAATGTATTTTAAAACCTTTTAAATTTTTAATTTTTTAAATCTTTAAGTCTATTAAATTCTTTAAAACTATTTAATAATAATAATAAAAGAATTATTAAAACCTTTAAATCCTTAAAACTACCTAATAATAAAGGTAGTAAAAACCTTTAAGACCTTTAAAACTATTAAAATCTTTTAATAAAAATAAAAATAATAAAAGTTAAGGTTTTAAAATAAAAAAATAATATAACCTATATTATATACTTTTATTATAAAAATAAAAATAATTTAATTAATATTAATATTATTATTAACTTTAATAAAATATATAAAATAAAAATATATATATTAAAAATCTATATAATATTTTTAATAATAAAACTTAATTCTTTTTTATTATTTATAAAAATATAAATATTAATATAATATAATTTAAATTAATATTCTTTTATATTCTTAAAAGAAAAATAAAATATATTATATATAAAATATTATATATATAAACTTATTTTAAACTATATATTTAAAATTAAAAACTTATTTTAATAATTATATTAATTATTAAGATTATTATATAAATTAAAATATACTTACTTTTATAAAACTTTAATAAAAAATTTTAATAAAAATTAATTATAAATTTTATAATTATTATTTAATAAACTAAATATTTATAATTAAACTTTTAAATATTATAAATATAATAATTTATAAATATAAAATAATATACTTTAAGTAATAAAAGAATATTTAAATTTACTATAACTTTATTCAATCTTTCCTAATCTATAAAATAATTTTATATAAACTTATATATTATTCTTTAAATATATAAAAGTTAATAACCTAATAATTATTAAATATTCTTTATAAAAACTATAACTATAATAATAAGGATTAATTCTTCTTTAATTAATATTATTATAAAAATATACTAATTATAATAATAGCTTAAACTATTTATATAATAACTTTTATAATAAAAACCTTTTATAAAACTTTAATATATATATAAATAATTTTAATAATAATAATAGGTTTCTAATTATAAAGGATTTAATAATTATAATAATAGTTATAATAATTATTTATTTAAATATAATAATTAATTTAATAAAAGGAACTTTTATTAAAAATATTACTTTATATATAATTAAAAAGCTATTAATTAATAAAGTATATTTTAAAGAAATAATAATAAATTTATAAATAATACTTTAATATTTAAATAAATAAAAAAATTAATAAACTTAAATTATATAATATTTATTATTAATATAAAAGTTTATATATTAATAATAAAAGTAAAAATAAAAAAGATTTTTAATTAACTTATAAAATAATAATTAAATATAATATTTTTAAAGTTAGAATTTTAACTATAAGAATATAATATTTTAATAAATTAAACCTTTTTCTATTTTATTAATTTAACCTTTAATAAAAATTAAATATAAATACTTTTTTATAAATATTTATATTTAATAATAAATATTTATATAAATATTTTTAAAAGATTATTTTAAATATTAAAACTATAAAATTTTCTATTAATAATTATAATTAATTCCTTATATTATAAAAAATTAATCCTTTATAATACTTAATAGTTTATATAAAGGTAAAATAATAATTAAGTTTAAAAATAATCTTTATTTTATCTTTATAAAAACTATATTTATTAAAACTTTAATAAATAAAATAATATTCTATATTATAAAAGTATTTACTTTATTTTTATTATATATATAAAATATAATTATATTATATATTTTCTTTTAAAATATAATAAATAAAGTTATTTATATTTTATAAGAATAACTAAAATAAATATTTCCTATTATATAAAAGTAGGGATATTCCTAATTTTTAATAGAAATTAAATCTAATAAATATTAAATATTCTTTATAAAGGCTAAACTTTAATAACTTTATTATTAATTTAAATATTTTTATTAATTAACTTTTATATTTACTTTTAATATTAAATACTTT